TTCACGTCAACGGTGCCTGCCCTCACCCACGACCACGACCTCGATCACGATCCGGAACACGACTTGGAGTTTCCGGAAAAGCGCGACTCGTCCAGGACGGTGGAATCCGCGCCCTCTGTGGACTCGGACGGCGTCCGACCCGACCCGAGAGGAGCCACGCACAGCCGAGGAGCCACACCTAGCCCGAGTCCCTCGCGCATTTCACCTCCTTCGATGCTGGAGTCTCGATCAGTATCCCCTTCTCCCTCGGTGCATCTCCCCGTTCCCGAGCCTGAGAAGCCGGGTTCACGAGATCGGTACGGTTTCAAGAAGGAAAACCAGTTCATCACCCGGCAGCAGTACGATGCCTGGGATAAGACATACTCTCAATATCTCGCGCGCCGGCGGAAGAAGTGGACTTCCTACCTCAAGGACAGTGCCCTTATGACTGACCGTCCGCAACGATTCCCCGCCCCTAACGCCAAAACGAAGCGGTTCGTGCGCAAAGGCATTCCACCAGATTGGCGCGGCGCTGCATGGTTCTACTACGCGGGCGGACCAGCCATTCTGGCTAAGCATGGAGGTCTCTACGACAAATTGTTGCTGAGACAAGCCAAGCACATCGATATCGAGGCCATTGAGCGTGACCTTCACCGAACTTTCCCTGACAACATCCAGTTTAAGCCCTCACAAGCCACCGCCGATATGCTCGACACCACCACCAGCAGCGAGAGGGCGAGCCAATCCACGGTGAGGGGAGCGGCCTTGGATGGCAGTGGACCTGGCCCCGTTGGGTTGGAAGGCGAGCCGCCTCTCATTGCGTCTCTTCGCCGCGTCTTACTCGCTTTCGCCGTCTACAACCCGCGCATTGGATACTGCCAGAGCCTCAACTTTATTGCTGGCCTCCTGCTTCTCTTTGTTGACACGGAAGAACAGGCGTTTTGGCTGCTCAACGTCATTACACACATCTACCTTCCCGGCACGCACGAGATGAGCCTCGAGGGCTCTAAGGTGGACCTGGGCGTTTTGATGACGGAGCTCCGCGACACAATGCCTGCTGTGTGGGACAAGATTGGAGGAGAGCTGGACAGTGGCGAGCCGCAGTCGCGACCGATGACTAGCAAGTCGGTGCGAAACCCGCTGAACCCGCTGACGCCTCGACTCAAGCGCAAGGAAACTCACGCAGCACTGTCGTCTGAACGGCTTCCCCCAATCACCCTCTGCATGACTGCGTGGTTCATGAGCTGCTACATCGGTACGCTGCCCATCGAGACGACGCTGCGTGTGTGGGACGTCTTCTTCTACGAAGGATCCAAGACGCTTTTCCGCGTTGCCCTGGCCATCTTCAAGCTAGGAGAGGCCGAGATCAAGGCGATTGGGGACCCGATGGAGATGTTTGGTGTGGTCCAGTCAATGCCTAGGAAGATGCTTGACGCGAACAAAGTCTTGGAGACCTGCTTCAAGAGGCGCAACGGCTTCAACCATCTCAGCCAAGAGGTGATTGAGGAACGCCGGCAAGAGAGGCGTGACAAGGCCCAGCAAGACCTTCTCCTGCGGTCTCGCAGTAAAGCTGCGACAACCGGGGCGACTGGCAGAGAGGCCGACGGAGAGCGAAAGGGCGGCAGCCTGTTTGGGCTGAAGAAATAATATCCTTAATACCCAGGGGTGGTGGTTTGAGTTTCCATTGATACCACTTGTGTCTTTCTTCTTCTTTTTCACCTTCATCTTCCATTCTCATATGCTATAATTCTTTTTTTCCCATTTACATCATTTCAATTCATAGCACGGCAGGCGTTTGAGGGAGATGTCAGGTCGTGGCCCAGGAGAATGGCCACGATGCATCTTGCATGAAGCATTAGCATTTTCATTCACCTCTTGTTTTCACCAGTTTTCACTTCTCTTCTCTCCAACTACTTCTCCGACTACAAATCACTTTTCTCCTTTGTCCCCTACTTTTAACTCTCTTTATACCTCTTTTTACCTCTTTTTATTTTTCTTCTTTTTAACTTCTTCATATGGGGTGCGCGGATTACATACAAAATGGGCGCATATATCCCCCTTGCTTCAAAATACCATGACGACGGTTACGGCTGCAACCTGTGGCAGGTCCCTTGTTAGAGGAACTAGAGACGGAATGCTTGTTGCGAACAAAAAAGAAAGGGATGCGTTTTGGCCAAAGAATGAGCGAGACACAAGAAAGAAAGAGAAGACTTCTGTGTTCTTTTTTCCTTAGTCTCCTTGTTTCTTGTTATTTTTTTCATCTTTTTTCTTTTATTATTTCTACATCTGTGGTGCGCAGCATAGAAGGATGGGCATGTACAAAAATCTCTTTGCTTGTTTTGTTTTTTTTGACTTGAAACTTGGATAGAATAGGACACAAAATCTTGGGGGGGGAACGAGGGAGTAATTGGCAAAACACCCACTGGCGTGTACACACAATTGTTGTTTGTGGCGCGGCCAATGATGAATTCTTGAACGAAAGGCTCTTTTTTTGACTTGTGTGTGTGTTATGTGTGCTTTGTGCGTGATGTGATGAATTGTTCCATTTGTCTATATTCTTTTGGCCAATCTTAATAGTAATCAAGTAAATTCCGATGAACCGAATGTTGACGCTTTGGAAGAGAAAGAAGGGTGGATATTGTATCACTTTGCTTTTTGAAGGATCTTACGGACTATTAAGCCTTTTTATCAAGCAATCTATTAGTATACGGACTCTCGCAACTACCTAGTGTTATATTGCTCGGGCCATCGCTACCATATCAGGAAATTGTAAGTTCCTTTATGCTTGAATCCTAGCTGTTGAGTAATTAGGCGGGAGGATTCGACCGATGCTACTATCAGTTAGTAACTAGGCTCGGCACCTAAGGTAAGCCGGACTTAACCCTCCGCTTTCTGATATAAAAAAGAAAAGAATGTTTCCTCGGAATCATATAAATAATTGAGACGAATTGTCTCAACGAAACGACATCTAGCAGTAACGGCGACCTCGTTTCTGGCAGAAAGAAGAAGAACAAAGTGCTAGCCATATCAAATTATTCTACCTTGACTTATTCAAGCGCCGTAGTCCTTGGAGCGGTCAGATGTGTTGAGATTTTGGGTGTTGGTCGAGCCCAAGTTCAAGGGTATCATTCACCCCCAGCTACCAACAGAAAAGAATCAATCGGACCGAGACACGGAGAATGCCGACAAGCTTATTGTCAAGTCTAAGATCGTTAGAATTATGGAATTTGGGTTAATGTTTTATTTGGGTTAATGTTTTTTCTAGGGGTTTCTTTTTCTTGGGCGAGTTTCCCCGGAGTTCTGGGCTTTGTTGGTTGGCTGATGTCTTCGAGAGCTCACCGTACTCTCACCGTGCTCTCAACCAGAAGGTTATACTACTATACAAGCTTGGAAATAAATATCTCGAATAGCTGAATAAGTCCGTGGGGGATTTAAATATCGTAAAGTATCTATATACACTATATGAATCTTGAAAGTCAAGTTATGGGAAGGCGCTGAGGCAATGTATAACACAAGGGAGTGTTGCAAACTCGAGGGCATAAATAAGAACTTTTTCTTTAGATGAACGACTCAAGCTTCAGTTCATCTCAACTTTAGCCTATAGTCCTTCTTCAAATCCTTGTTCAGATACTTCTTTTGGTTCGTTCTGGTTTGAAGAAGGATTCAACCCCCTTTTTCTCTCGGAGTAGATCCATGAATATTTTATTCATGAAATTGGAAATCCGAAACTCTACACCGATGAAATGAACATTCGAACTGCCGAACGAATAATTGATACAGAATATCGTCTCGTGAACGTTCTGTAACTTGTGTTAGAACCAACACATCGACAGGAAAGGCAGCTCGCAAGCTCCAGCAACTTCAACTGCTTCAACCAACACCAAAAACAACAACGTAGAATCCACGAGCCCTGTCGTTTTAAGAAGGATATAAGACAGTGAAGATCCTGCCGTCGAGTTCTGATTTGGTGTGTCACATAGGATATCAACATCAGTCGTTATTCCTCTATAACTTCGAACACTACATTCTTCCTTGGCTCAACTCTGTCTCTGAAAAGCATCACCACTACAACTTATACATAACATCAACAACTTCTACAACAACCATGAACCGCCTCTTATCCATCCTCGTCCTGGCTGTCACAGCCCAAGCATGCGTCCGCATCACAGGAACATGCCAAACAGGCTCCATCAACCCCGGCGTCCACATCCACATCGACGACAACAACGGCCAAGCCGTCTGCGACACCAGCTGCAACACCTTCAACCACTGCGCCATGACGTGCACCGGCAACGTCAACGACGCGTGGGTGGAAAACTGCGAGAAGCTGCACTACAACACCGGCCGCGGCAACTTTGTGGTGGACATGAAGCCCAGCATTAAGACGACGTGTAATAGGCAGTGCGGGATTCCGGCGGGGGCGTGCTGTGAGTTTGCGAGTCATTATACTGTTGATACCCAGGCTTTGGGGTGTTAAAGTTTTTGGGGGATTGTATGTCGTGTGTGTCTTGGTATAGACGTGGAACAGGCACATTGGCTTTGTTATCGAAATTTTTTGAGTTTCTTATTCATGTAAATGAGAGTTGTTTATATAGCCGGTGTTTAATAACATTAACAATAACTTATACAACATTTATGGCATTGTGCCAAACGGGGTTCCTATATATTAACGCAGCAAGTATTCTTCAGGGGCAAATGTGTAGATTCAGATTTATATGAGCTATAAAAGATGGGTGTGTAAAAGACTCTCAAAGAACAAGAAAAAAAAAAGGTTGTTCTTCATCATGCCAACTCTCAGCCTAGCGCCAACTCTTGTCTGGTTTCAACCTGATACCAAACTGATACCATATTCTTAGTTACAATGTTGCTCTTGAGACTTTGTAAATCATCTGATATGCGTCCTCTTCATTCTGCAAATCTCTCAACAGCCAGCCATAATTCATTCTATGCCATGATGACTCAATGTATGTGCCTCTCGTACGACGACTTGTGGAAATTCCTGTTTGTCCAGCGCCTCATCTCCCCCCCCCCTCCTGCTCTGGTAATAATGCGGAAAAAAAAATTGAAGAAAGAAAACCTTTTATGATGCCGGAAAGACGGGGTCTTCGAGGGCATACTTAGTGACGGCAGCCTTCGCCTTTGCCTCCCACGCCTCCCTGTCGTTGCGGTACTCGTCAGCAATGCGCTCCTCCAGCGGGTCGTCAGGCTGGGGCTCGACAAGCAGGTTGCGCAGGGCCTCGAGCACAGAGGCAATCTTTGTGCTGGGCTTCCAGTTCTCGGCCTTGAGGATGGCGAGGCAGACGTTGCCGAGGGAGTCGTTTGTGATGTTTGGGTGGTAGACGCGGGTGACGAACTTGACGACGGGGGGCTTGAAGGGGTAGTCGGTGGGGAGGGTGAGGACGATGCCGAAGCGGCCCGGGTAGAAGGTGGTTGAGGCTGGGGGCTGGAGGGTGACGTGCCAGGTGTGGACGGAGTTGTTGGGGGGGAGCGTGACGAGGAAGCCTTCGATGGGGGTTTGGGAGACTTCGGCGAATTCCTGGAAGAGAGAGAGAGAGAGTTAGCGAGGAAGAGAGAGGAAGAAGAAGCTGGTGATTATGGGAGGGAGGCGGAGGCATAGGAGGTTGAGGCTTACCTTGGAGATGCGTTTGGTGGACATGGTGATGGTTGTGGTATGTATGCAATGCACAGGGAGATGATGGATGGGCTTGGATTCCGCTGCTCTAGAGATGTGACAGAAGGAAAGAATGGCGGTAGAGGCCTATCTATTCCGTCGAGATGTAGAAAAGTAAACGGTCCTTTGTTCCGCTCGTTCGTATGGACAAATATCGAGTCGGGTCGAGTCGAAGAGGACGGCCGTGACGTCGTTGATGCAGAGAGAGAAGCGTGAGATAATCTATCGCAGCTGGTCGGGTTGAATGCTCGTATTCGTAGGTGACTTCAAAAGAGGGCGGTATGAGACAGAGTGTGGACGAGAGAGAGAGGAAGCAAAAAGCAGACAGACGATGGCAGAACAAAGAAGATGAAGCTTTTCTTTGTAGCTGAGCGTATCTGTGACTGTGACTGTATGACGGATGTGGGGTCTGTTCTGTTACACGCCCAGGTACCGAGTACGTACCGGATGGCGGGGCAGGCGGGATCACGGCAAGTACAGATACGAAGCTGCGATAGCGTTTGGAATCAACAGAGAGGCTGATGTTATATGATTACCGTCTTAAGATGGAATATCCTGTTGATTCCTACTGAGTATTCTGGTATGATTCCAAGTCTTAGGTAATAATTCTCGATACTTAGTAACTGACAGGGAATAACAAGATCCAACACTGACAAGGCAGCAACAAAGCAAAAGCACCAGGTACTTCAATCTCGGTCAACGGCCTCCAGGTGGGTCTCCGTCCCCTTCACCGAGACCCACACCGAAGCTTCACCTTGATTTTTTCCAAGCCTTTCAAAATTTCCCTACCAACTTTTACTACTTGCTCTCCCAGAGTAACCAGTACTCAACTATATCGTTAATTGCACAACGTACATACGCCATTCATACTCGTATTTTAAACCAATTCTCGACCCAGTTCAGACATATACACAGAATACACACATACAAATCTCCCCACCAGCCATGGCTGCCACCGCCGCCGTCTCTGCGCAAGAAGCGCAGCAGATGCCCTTTATCAAAAACCTCGCCTCAAGCGGTCCGTCTCTCTCTCCTCTTCCCTCCCGTCTCTCTCTTAGTTATAAACTAACAATACTCCAAAAACAGACCGCAAACTCCGCACCGAATCCCTCTCCTCCCTCCAGTCCTTCCTCTCCTCCCGCCGCTCCCTCACCCCCCTCGACGCCCGCAAGCTCTGGACAGGCCTCTACTACGCCCTCTGGATGACCGACCGGCCTCGTCCCCAACAAGCCCTCGCTCAGGACCTCGCGAACCTCGTCTTCGACCTGCAGCCCGCTTGCGTGGAGCCATGGCTTGCGGCGTTTTGGTCCGTTCTTGGCGTGCAGTGGCCGCATATTGAGGCGCTGCGATTGGATAAGTTTCTCTTGCTCGTTAGGAGAATGTTTGCTGCGCATGTGAAGGTTGTGAAGGAGGATGAGTTTAAAGGGGAATTGACGGAGGTGGTGGCTGGTGTGTTTAAGCAGTGGTGTTTTGATGTTGAGGATGAGAATAAGGTTGCGTTGGGGTTGAGGTTGCATGTTCTTGACGTTTGGGTGGATGAGTTGGAGCGTGAGGGGGTTCTTGCTGTTGAGGATGAGAATGCGGGGGAGTTTGTGAAGATGGTTGGAGGGTTGGTGGAGAGTTTGAAGAGGTGTCCTGTTAAATCTGTGAGACAGCGTGCGCTGGATAGCTACGATGATGAGAGATTGCCGTGGGTGGAGAAGAAGGAGGAGAAGGAGGAAGATGATGATGAAGAGATGGAGGGTGAGGAGGATGGTGAATGGGGTGGTATTGACAATTAATTGGCGAGATGGAGAGGGCGTCGTTTGCATTTTTGGTTTCTGGGTTTTGTGTATACCAACCATTGCGGTGGATGAAGAGAAAAAAGGTGTTTGGCGTTTTACAAGAAAGAAGAAATCTCGGTTCAATTTCAGATATTGCATCCTAAAAGAAAACTATATATGCATACACAATCATACAAATGTCCATAAACACTCAAACAATAACACGACACTTGGTGTGATGAAACAAGAACCGCCCTTCTTCATTATATCACCTATATTCAATATTCGACCACCCATGCTACCCTACCTAGGTACACCAAAGATAATGCATCATGACTGTATTATGCTCCATACTCCATTTTTGTTCAGTTTCCCTGCTCCTCATCATTATCTCGTCAGTAACGATTATTATGTGTAGTATATATAAAAAAGAAAACGAAAAGAAAAAAAGTAAAAGGCAAGTAATAAAAAAGAGAGAAAACTCCCACCAAAACTGCCGCCAAAAAAAATTCGTCGTCGTGTTATCCTCTTCACCTCCATCGCCCAATCTTTACCCATCCCTGCTCCTCATCGTCATCCACAGGCTTCGGCTTGGCGTTCTCGTCATGACCCTTCTCAGCCCGCTGCTTCGCCAGCCGCAACGCTCGCCACTCGTCCCACTTTGCTTTTTCCTCCGGTAGCGGCTCTCTGGCAGAAGCTACAAGGCCCTTCTTCCGGAGACGCCGTCTATGCCGACGCTTCTGTTCAGGAGAGAGCGACTCCGTGTCCACTTGGGTAATGTCGCGTCTCAGAGCGAGATCCTGCATGTCGGCGATGAAGTCGTATGCTTCCTCATATGCAAAAGATGCGACTTGGCGTCCTTGTCCGCCGGTGATCCACTGGTCGAGCTTGATGGGCAAGGCCGTTCCGAAATCCATGGGGTCGTCAAAGGACCAGACGCAAGGAGACTTGGAGGCTGGACAGGTTGTTGGGCGGCAGTACATGGAGCACATGGTTGACTCGGCGGCATACCACAGGGAGAGGATTAGCGTGAACACGCCCAGCCAAGTGAGGTGGAAAGTAGGAGTTCGGTGGAAGAGTTGTGGTAACGTAAGGTGAAGATATGTAACGGGGGTGGCAGAAGAGCTGGTCGATGACGACGATAATGGTTTGCAGTACGGACAACCTTGCGTGGGATTCTTGTGATTGTGATGCGCGTGGCCCTTGGGTGCTTGGGCCTTGGTCTTTATGTCTTTCTTCATCTGGATCCAGGGTTTTGTGTCCTTCTTCTCTTGGACCAAGGGTTTTATATCCTTCTTCTCTTGAGCCAAGGGTTTGGTCTCCTGCTTCACTTGAGGGAGGACCTTTGCCTCCATCTTCTCTGGAGGAGCAACCGGTTCAGGAGCTACTGGTTGAGGCTGAGCTCGGGAATAGCGATCGAAGCGATCCTCGAAGCGCTCAATGCCCTGTTTGGCCGAACGGATCCGCAAGAGGCCTGTTTGTAGCGACTTGTTCATTCTCTCAAAGGCAGCCATCTCATCATCCTTCTGGCCCTCGCCCTTAATCACATCAGAGGGGTCAGACTCTGACTCAAGGTCCAGATCAAAGTTGTCGGCGGCTACTGTGGATGGAGGAAGGGGATCGCTCTCAGGCGCGGCGAGCTTGGCTGCCTTTTTGGCGTTGGCGATAAACTCGTCCAGGTCGTCAAACGTCGAGTCTTCCATGTCGTATTCCCGGCGCAACTGCATCAAATCATCCTTGGCGGATGGAGGCCTGGCCGAATTCTTCATGGGCGGCCTACGTCGAGGCAAAGATTTCGCCCGCGGTTTCTTTGAAGCCACCGACGCAAGCGCGATATCGCCGCCGTCGTCAGTCGTGCCGGGATCGGAGGCCGTGTCCTGGTCTTGGCTTCTCTCCCTGCTCCTCCACGAGGAGAAGCTCGGCTTCCTGGCCTGAAAGAGTGAAGCAGGCGCCTCTGCAGATGTCTTTGCAGGTGCCTTGATCTCCTCTTGCATCTCTGGGGCAGGAAATTCGGGCTTCAGCACTAGCTTTTCAGTCTTGACCGTCACTGGCGTCTCGACATAGGCACCTGTAACTATCGGAGTCGGCATGGTCAAAGGGTCAGGCTTGGAGGGCTTTGGAGTTGTTATCATCGCTGACGACTCGTTTAGCCCATTGTCATCTTCGTCCGAGTCATCGAGACCCGGGGATGGGGCGCGTATGGAACCTCGTTCAGACTGGTTGTCTGATGGCGCAAACAACTTGATCTCCGAGTCTATCCTAGCCGTCGGATCTGGTTCTGACTGCATGCTGGATCGTTTGCTCTTAGCAGATTCCACCGATCGCGAGCGTTGCAGGCCAGTGAATCCCACAGTGGGTTTTGGCTTTTCGGAATCCTTAAAGTCGGTTGTCGTCGCAGTAGTCGTAGTAGTGGCAGTAGTCGTTGTAGCAGGGTTATCACCAGCGGAGGCGCGTCTCGAAAATATGCGAGAAGCGATTCTGTCGGCGATTGATTTGGCGGTCGTTTGTTTGCGTTCTTCGTCACCTGGCGGAGGAGTGGGCAGCTGTTTTGTCCTGGGCTCGTCTTCAGGTGGCGGGCTGGAGCTGGCGGCCCTTGCCAGCCGGCGCAGCAGGTCGTGCTCATCAGGCCGCCTTTCAAAGGGCTTGGGCTTTGCCAGCAGGTTGTCCCGTTTCTGCTCGTGGATTTCCAGCTTCTTCAGTGGTTCCCTCAGTGGTTCCCGAGATGAAAATGCCGCTTCAACCTTGTCCTCCTCTTCTGCACGCCTCGCATCCCGACCAAAGAATGTCGCGGGTGCGTCTGATGTCAGCCGGCCAAACTCACCTCCGCCAAAAGACGTCCTTGGACGCAAAAGCGGTGGCTGTTCGTCCTTCTTCACATCATCGACTGGCTCTTGCTTTGTTAGGCGTCGCCGCGCCAGCCCAAAAGTCGGACGAGGCTTGGGATCCTCATCAGGGGAACGAGGACGTGCCATGGAATTTTGCTCCTTGATTTCCTGGAGGCGAGCGGCTGCAAAGGCCCGCTTCGACACGCCATCGGCCTCCCGCTGCCGGATGTCGTCTAGTTTGGTGTTGTTTCTCAGGCCGTCAAGGTGTCTGCTGGCAAGAGGAAACTGTCGCTCTACCTGTCCTTCCCTTGTGCGTATTTCTTCGAGTTTTGTATTTGGTGGCCTTAACCGTGTTTGGGGTGCCAGCGGTATCTGGCTGCCGTTTGCGCGAAGCTCGAGCGACCTGATTTCGTCTAGCTTGCTGTTGCGAGATCCTGGATTGGCGAGACGGGGCAGGCTGTCAAAGTCTTGCTTTCCATCGTCGCGGAATCCGAGGCGACTAGCAAATGGCCGAGTCCCGACCCTAACGCGTGGACTGTCAGATATCTGCAACTCGCCCGCAGTGAAATCCTCATCCATCTGCCAGGCGAAGCTCTTATCGGGAGAAGATCGCTGGACAAGCGTTGCCGCCGAGAGGGCAGGGTCGAGGGGGAAATCTTCGATGCCCGGGACCAGTTCAGGGAGCCCACTGGTGCCGGTGCCGGTGCCGGTGGTAGCGGTGGCGTCTCTGTTTGCTCCAGACCGTAGAGCGTTGCGGATGGCAGGACTGACAAACTCGGTCGATCGCTGTCGCACAAGGCCGTCGGCGCCAGTGAGGCGGGTGGCCCTGGCCGGCGATATTGCTCCTTCCCTGCCTCCCACGAGAGTTGCGCTGAGGTTGGAGTTGCGCGCTGACGGAATCTTGCTGCGCCCTTTGGTGTCCAGATGGTCGGCCCCGAGCACCCGCTGCAGCTCTGACACTTCTGAGGCTGTCCTCGTCCTCCACGGTCTGGGCGCAGGACTGGGCGAGCCGTCGACAGCAACAGGGTCGTCAAGGCCTGCCTCGTGCATTAGCTTTGCCGCCTCTTCCTCGCCCTCTGCGAGCTCCATGGCCTTGCGCAACGATATGGGCTTTCGGCGCGTGCTATTAAGTCGGGGGATTCGGGTGCCTCCAGACGAGATCACGCTGGAATTGGCGTTGGCATTAGCATTTGCCTGGTCTCGGGTCGAGAAGAAGCCTTCGGAGACGGGCCTCGGCTTCCGTAGTCTCGTCGCGCTGTCGCCGCCGGACATGCTCGTAGCTGCTCCCATTCCTATTCTCGAGAAGCCCGGTGTCTTGGCCGTGTACACGTGCAGTTGATTTTCACTGCCGTCTTCTGTCCGGCCGAATAACGGCTTCCGGCTGCCGTCATTCACGTATAAGGATGCGGGACGTCCATTTTGTCGGACGCCAATTGCTTGATGTTCCTGCATTGCAAGCTCTTTGTGACTATTGTAATAAAGACGAATCGAATAAATTGAATGCTGCGGCGAAAAAGCGCATGATTACTGCAGCAGGCGATGGTTCTTTTGCTGGTGAATCGTGATTCAGTCGAGGCGCGTCATGGCCCTTTGGTGAGACGGACGGATTGCGACGGGAGTATCAAAGTTAGAAGAAGCTCGAGGCTGGATGAGATGCTGTAGAAGCTGATGATTTGAAGTTAATAGGAAATCGTATCTGTAGCGAGTCGCAATTCTGTCTGCTTGGAATCAATATGTTGGACGCTGGGAGAAGCAAAAGACAAAAGGCAAAAGGGAAGAAGATTTGAAGGAGAGCGCGTTCTGGCGACTAGCGGTCGATTCGACAAGGGGCGATTTCTGTGCTGTGACTTTTTTGGGACATGTGCTTGCTGTCCACTGGCCCGTGCGTCGGGGTATTGTTATACGAGGAGCTGCCCTATTTTTGGCCGTGAGAGGTACTTGAACTGTGTTGAAAGGGAACAGCAGGTCAATGTAGCAAAAGAGTCAATTGAAAGTGAAGATGCAACTGAAACTTGTTTTAATTTTGCCTCAATTCTACATAGATGGACAGTATTCTTGGTTTTGTTTTTAGAAAAAGTCGCCGTGACAGGCATTTGGCCCGTGTGCTGCAAGTGTCAGATGCACGGACAAGGTTTGCCGAACTTGTCACGGGCCAAGCCGAGTCGAAGCTGGACGGAGCTTTGGCCTTCATTAAAGTGATATGATTAACATGATAGAAGCACCAATGTGATGGGGGTTGTTAAATCACAGCAACAGCATATGAGCCTTGAAGACAAGCTGCCGCGTCTGGATTGGTTGATGCAAAATGGTGAGCTTCAGCATGCAATAAGTTGGTACATACATGACTAACTGGTCACCAATAAGCCTGCATGAATCCCATCTTAATCAGTCGGTGTAGCTTCGAAAGAGCACGCGTGCTGACTTTTGCCCTGAATCCAGCATAACGAGCTCATCACCTGAAATGTTACTGTGTACATCTGTAAATATTGGTTGGCGACATCTATATCATGCTGTATCATTGGATGCATTACAGTAGTGGGTTGATTTGATTTGTATTCCAAGACCGCCTTGGGTAATACGTGGAGAGGTGATGAAATTACCGAGGTGAGGTGCTCGGCAGCATCTCTCAGTCCATGAAAGAGTCTCTCTAATTCTAGCAATATCTCGACAATCTGCTACAGTACTACTGTAGTTACTGATTCAACAAACCTGAAACGGCATAATTCAATGAAATTGCCCATATGACACTGACATTTGTTATGGAAGAGTAAAGAGTTATGTAACACCCTCCAAATTGATCAGCGGTGGCCACCACCAAACTCAAAAAATAGTGCACCTCCAAGTCAGCCGGTCCGCAGCCAATAAGACGGCAGCCAACACACCACAATCGCCCATTTTAGCATTGTTGTTGTGTTAAGCCTAAATAAAATCTTCAGCCTAGCTTTATATCTGAATGCCTGTATATCATTGTTTGCTGTTCTTTAGCTTGTATAGTACTGGATGAACCTTCTAGATTAGGGAGCACATGAACTGAGGCTTGTGAACTACTACAGTAACAGCCAAGTTTCTCACCAACATCAGCCACATCTCAATTCAATTCAGTTCAGCTCAATTCCATCGTCATCTGATGCCCATTCTTTCTCGAACCAGTTTCCATTTGTAGCACATATTGTTCACATTGTTCTCTTCTCCTCCTCGCCTATCCATATCTCATCATGTCTTCATCCTCGCAGTAGCTAACTCTTTCCAGCACATTTTGTTTTAGCGCTACCAGTCAGTACATGTAGTTTTGATTCATCAATGGACATCACTTCAATACTTCCTTGTGCCCGTACATCCAAGACACCCCAGCCTCTCAAGGTCCATGTATCCACTGCGTCCTAATACGACACGCAGCGACACCTCAGCGGATTGCCCTCTAAAGGCTTAACGTCCTCGCTCTCTCTCTCTCGGGCTCGGACAATAGTTTTTTTTGCGATGCCCCGAGGATTAACCCCAAAGAGAGCAGTGTGTTACGTGTTTCCGTTAGCCCCAGGCACGAAATAGTTTAGTATGAGTTGGCTACCTCTTTAGTACATGCATCTGCATCCTCCGGCCGGCGAGCCAATAGACAAGGGCGCCCTTGAAACAATCGCATCTTGCATGCATTTGATATTATTCATCTGCTTGCAGTCTTACTTTTAAACAAAGCATCTTCCTCTTATCTCGTCTGATGCTCTTCCTCTTTCTGCATTACTGTCCTAATTAACATCGTCCCATCATATAATATACATACCTCAGTATCTAGACATAAGTGACGAGGTTTTCAGGGCCGTTCACCCTCACCACCACGAAGGCACTCCTTCAAACCATCAGGCAGCAACATACCCGCTGTCCCTCTATTTCAGCCCAATTCTTCACTCAATCGATCGATCAATCATAAAACAAGCCAATTGAATCATAATGGGCTCCGTCAACACTCCCCAGATCCTCCGCAAACTCGGAGACAAGTAAGCCTTCACCTCTTCACCTCACCCTAACAATCCATCATTCTCATATACACAAACACATACTCACACCCTCATCCAGTGAACACTTCTCCTCCTCCCGTCACAGTCTCGGCATCTACCGCTGCGTCACCGTATCATGCCGCTACTCCCACCCTCCATCCTCTCTCCCCAACGGCACATCCATCAGCCCGAACTTCTTCGCTGCTCTCGCAACCGTCGTCAAGGACCAGCCCATGCTCCGTGTTGGCATCACTGGGGACGACACGAATGACGCCCACTTCGTACACATCCCCTCCATCGATCTGCGCGACCAAGTCTCCGTCGTTGCTACACCCTGCCAGTCCGTCCAAGAGTACGAGGACAAAGTCGCCGAGCAGCAGGGCTGGGAACATGACCAACAGTTCAAGGACTTGGCTGTGAGGCCTCCTTGGAGAATCACCATCCTGAGGCCCAGCAGCGACAATGCCGGTGTCGTTGAGCAGTTGAAGGGGCAGGAAGACGTCTTCTTTGCGTTCCATCACTCTCTTATGGACGGAACCAGTGGCCGCCGCTTCCACGAGATGCTCCTCGCAACGCCCGCTTACCAGGGCCAACAAGTCCCAGCCGAGCCAGAGCATGTCCTCTCCTTTCCAGAGCCGTCGTCACTCCCTGAACCCCAGGAACAAGTCGTCAACTTCACCCTCTCAATCAGCTATACCGTGCGTACCTTATGGACTGCCCTCGGCCCAACGTTCCTCCAACCCCCCAAGCAGCCCATCTGGAACGCCATCCCAGTCGACTTCTCCCTGCCCTACAAGACGCGCGTCAAGCCCGTCGACATCTCGCCCGAGGTCCTCGCAACGCTCCTCTCCGCCTGCAGGGAACACTCCGTCACCATCACAGCTCTCCTGCACTCTCTCGTTCTCACTTCGCTATCATCCCGCATCTCTTCTCCAACGGAAGCGCCCGCCTTCGCAGCGACCACGCCCATCAGTCTCCGGCCTTTCACTTCCCCTTCCTCCATGGATCCCGCATACGTGACTTCGCTCCGGTGTCTCGTCGCCGCAACCACGCATCGCTTCTCTCCAGAGATGGTGTCCGCTCTGCGCGCCCCAGATGCCGACACCACGGCCTTGATATGGCAAAATGCGCAGCACGTCAAGGATGAACTGACCACTAAGCTCAACTCCTTGCCTAAAGACGACATCATGGCCATGCTCAAGTACGTCGGCGACTGGTTCAACTTCTGGCGCGGCAGGGACGGCAGGCCGCGCACCGAGTCCTGGGAAATTAGCAACATTGGCGTGCTCAAGAACCCAGAGGCGGAAGCGCAGACAGACGTTCCCCGGGCCACGCGCATGCTCTTTACGAATGGAGCTATGGCTGCTGGGCCGCCGGTGGCTGTCAATGTTGCGAGTGTGGCGGGGTCCAAGTTGACGATTGGCTTGTCGTGGCATGATGCTGTGTTGAAGGAGGAGGTGATGGACTGGCTGGCTGAGGATCTGAGTTCGTATGCTGCCAAGTTTTATGAGACTGGCAAGACCTTTGTCTAGATGTGGATTTTGACTAGAAAAGACAAAGACAAAGACAAAGAAACAAAGAGAATGAGCAAAAAAAGAACACGGGTAATATTAATATCAACACTCTACAACAATATGGTAATAATAATAATATGATATATACTTTAATTGGGAAAAAAAAAAAAAAAAGTGCCATGTACAACAAAGCTTCGTAATATTTCTTTCATATCCTATCCAAGAAGTCAAAAAATAACTGGACATTTTATCCAAATAGTGCAGAAAAGTCTCCAAAAAAAACAAAATGTCAAAAAGGTGCTATGCCTCTCATCTCAAAAAAATCCAGAGGTCTCAGCCATCTAGTCTAAAACCCGTAAACGCCTTGCAAAAGCCCCTTTGTCAAACACAAAATATATACCGCCTCATTCATCTTCATCCGAGCCCCCTTATTAAGGACTACGGCAAGCCATTGCTTCTTTCTTTCTTGTCACATGTCTCTTTACCAGCCCTGTCCGGGAGGTTTTGTCGGTCGAGATCCGCCCCTAAAGTAGTTGTACTGCATGGGGTCGGCATCCTGTTCCTCTTGTTGGGGGAGGCCGCTGTATCCCCGCGGTCCGCCTACCCCCGCGCCGGGCGTTGAGGCTGGCGAACCGACTGCTGGACTCCGGGTCCGATCAAGTGATACGTCCTGATAGCCTGCCAGAGGCATACCCAATGCGGGACTCCGTGACCGTTCCTGGGACACGTCTCGATACGACGCGGGCGGCACCATGGCCGGGCCCACGGCATTGCTCACCAGGCCTGACGAACTGCCGTTATCTTGGGCATAGAGCGGGCTGCGATGGCGGCCGATGGAATCGTCTGCGTAGGGGCTGGGCCTGTAGGACTGGTAGCTTGTTTCTTGCGGCGTCGGCAGCTTCACGTTTCCGGGAGAAAAGGGCGTGGCGTGGCGGTTGGACGGTGTTCCCGGCCTGGAGCTGCTGTCGAGAGAGCCGGGCGTTCCTGGCCTAAAGCTATCAAACTCCTTGCCGTACATTTCACCGCCTCCATGCTCTTCGGTAAACTCTGCCCGGTTCTTGTAATACTCAAAGTCCATATGCGCCTCCGAGACGTACTCAAATCCAGGCACTCCGTCAGCAGCTTTGCCGGGCTTACCACCTTGCATGGCGTTGAGGGCGTACACGTCCGAGTAACCACTGACAGTCATCAGGTCTGCATTGTTTGCGCCATCTCTGCCGTCAGTCAGCCGTCCTGAGTAAACGGACGGAAGCAGGTTCTGTGCCTTCTGGTGGACCATGGGAGTGATGAGGGGTTTGTACAAAGCCGGGTGGCCAAAGCGACTAGCCAGCTTCTCACTTCGGAGGCGGCTCTCCTTCTGCATGCTATCAGGGCCCTGGTTTCGTTGAGCAGCAGATATCTTGTAGTATCGGATCTTATCGTCAAAGGTTCTTCCGCAGTAAATCTTGAAAAGGATCAGGAGAATAGGCAAGGGGCACACGGCATAAAATTGAATGTGAGTACCGTCTCCGCGCACCCAGCACGTCAGCAGGAAAACTCCATTGGACAAGATGGTGCCGAAGATGAAGCGGTTGAAGATGACACGCCAGAACAAGCCACCAGACTCCGTCTTGGTAACGAAGCGGTACAGGATCAAGTACTTCTTCAAGAAGGAATCGATGACAAAGTACAGAGCCGTCGCAAGAAGGACGAGGGGTTGAATACCCGCGAAGCACAGCGTGACGGTCGAGTAGTAGAGGAAGTAGCAGTAGTAACTAGCATAATCAAACGCCGGCGGGGCCGTCAGGTCAATAAGCTCTCGCGGCGTAGGGCTGGAGAACCTCTTGAGGAAAAAGGCGCTGACGAGTGGCCAGAGCTGAGCGAGATCAATGGCGGCACCGAGCTGTCGCTGCAGAAGATAGGTGACCCAAAAGGGGCTGTTGTTGCAAAAGGCAGTGAAGATCATGGCCGCAATGTTTTCCTTGACGATGGCGTCCCACGCGTTCAGTCCGTCGTCAGCATCGGTGACGACGGCAGCGACAAAGGACCAGATGACACTGAAGAAGGAGAAGACGATGAGGTTGTTGAAGACGAAGAAGGAGTAGAGCTTGGCCATGACGTGTCTCTCACGTCCCGTCTTTGTCTTGTCTCCAGCCCTGATGGACAGGCGACGGAAAATGACGGGGAGAGCCAGATAGACACCGGACGTGATGGCGGGGGATGCAATACCCTGAACAATGCCCCAGAAAGTAGTTTCCTTTTGCAGGGACACCTGGAATCCGTGCCAAACCTTGCCCAGATTTCCCAAGTTGACGAGGAAGATGGCAATCATGGCGTTGGGCGCAATCCATAAAAAGGTCAAAAGGACAATCCAAAAACTGTTAATCCACCGCCTGCGACTTCGAGTAGAGCTGGACAGCGGCATGTTTTGCCAGATGATGTCGATGGGCTTGGGCGCCAGCTTGATGGTAGTGCCGTGGGGCTTCTTTTTGCGGGTGATGTAGGCAATCTCGTGCGCCTCAGAAACGTCCGAGTAACTGGCAAATCCGAAAGGCATGGAGCTCCGCTTGTCGACACTGGCTCTGACCTCCTTGATCTCCACCTCGAGTTCTCGAATGCGCTGTGTGTAGTACTCAATGGCATCCAGTCGCTGGCCCTTGGGATAGGTGCCGTATGAGCGGTCTTTCCTAGAAGGCTTGCAGGTTGGTCGCGGCGGCAGGCTCTGGGGATTCTTGAGATAGATGGCCAGGACCTTTTCCAGTTTCCGAACCGCTCGATCGTGCGCCGCAATGAGGTCGGGGAGGTCCTTGACGTTTCGGGCAATGGCCGTTCGCGCGAAAGATGAGTTGGGCGCGACGCCGTCAATGATGCGCGCAATGCCTTCATCAGAACAGCCTTGCTTGGGGATGTCGTAGAGCTAGGTTCATGGTCAGTTGGCCGTTTTTCTTTGTAATCTATAGACAGCAAAGGGAGAAACATGTCGACAATGAGCAGCCAGCTTACCATTAGCGTTCGCGAGTGCAGACTGCTTTGATAGTCCTCACTCTCAAAGTACTTGCGTCGGAGCTGCATTATCCTGCGGTAGTTCCACCACAGAAAGAAGCAAACGATGATGTCGAAGACCCAAGCAATGACCACTTGCGCCCACATCCATTTACCATAGACATTCAAAGGAGTGATTTCGGTAATGAAGCTGTTGGAGTTGGTTGTCTCCCCCGGAAACTTGACAGACTTGGTTGAGTGGATCGGGACAAGAATACCGATGCCAATGACGGCGAGGATACAGAACATGTTGCGGCACATGCGCATCACGCGCAGGAAGACGGTGGCGTCCATGCCAATGGTTTGCATTAGCTGTTCTTCTTGGGTGCTCATCAAGGGCAAGATCCACGACCACGGCTTCTTGCCCAGGGGAGGCGGAGCGTGCTTGTCGTCGACATGCTTCAGCTTCGGGGCGTACACCGACTGATTGTAAGGTCTAATGAAGGAGAAGATGATGGCGACAAAGGCTGTGATGCCGAGGGAAATGCCCAAGGCAGAGTAAACGGAAGCCGCCGCAAGCTACAAAGCCGCCAGGTTAGAATTAGGGGGGAAAAAAAAAGACACTACGCCTGGTGAGCGTTATTGACTAACCGTGCCCGAGAAGGGATCTTTGAGCAGATTTAGCAGCTGGTTCGCAGGACTGTTGCTATCGGAGCTGGGGGTGCCGCTGTCGTCGCGCGCCCGAAGCCATTGTATGACAGGGTCTTGGTAGGTCATGATGCAGATTTGGGCGCCCACCAAGGGCAGAAGACCTGTCTACTTGTCCACTGAAAACAAAGAATAAGAGGAAGGAAGAAGAAAAGCAAGGCGCAATATCGATGCTGGCTGAATTTCTACCGCGCAAACGAGAGCGTTGAAGAGGCGGGTAGCAGCTTTGGTGGTGACTTGTTGCGCCGAGCAGCGGACACAGGGCCGGTCGTGGCTCAATCAAGAGCTCAAAGGCTGGCCGAGAAAACGCGTCCCCAAGAGGAATCCGCAATCCGAGTGTTGCGTCACCAGCGTGATGTCAGGGGCAATGTCGCTTGCGATGATGCCTGTCGGTTGCCAAGTCGCCAGATCGAAGCAGCGAGCGAAGGGCGGGAAACCAGAAACGAGAGTGGATGAAAACCCCAAGCAAAAACCGAGACGCACAAAACGAGGGACGCTGTCTGCTAGAGAAGCGCAGAACGAGCAGGGCTTTTGGAGGGCAGAAGAAGAAGAAGAAGAAAGAACTGAAAGAGGAAGCACAAGAAAGAGGAAAGGCTCGAGGCGACCAGGGGGTCATTCGGATGGGGGTTTCGAGTGGCCAGGTGAGCAGGAAAAGAGGGAACCAGGGCGATGCCTGGATGGGGATGGTGTGCCCGCGTGTGCTGCCAGTGTTGCGTCGAGGATCACAGATGGCATCGGGGCCCAAGCTCGGATGGAGAAGCGAGACACGCCAAGGGAGGGTCCAGGGCCGTTAAAATGGATGCATCTGACGCTCTATCCAGGCCCTAGAGAGAGAGAGAGAGAGAGGCCGCTGGAAGAAAAAAGTATGGAGTTGAAAGAGGTGGTGGTGGGTTGAGTGAGGCCACATGCCAGAGGCGGGTAATCGATAGGAGATCAATGGATGTGTGCTAGATACCCAAGACGCGATGACAATCTGGTGATCAATGCCTGCAACTGCACTATTTAAGCGTGTCTATTATTAAAACAGGTAGAAATAGTATTGATACATGCTGTATTGATATCTACTAACAAACCTGGAACAGCATTCACGAACCCTCAAAAATCTCATCCACTACATCTTTCTTCCATCTTTGTTGAATTCACAGTCCAGTCCAAGTCCAGCCTTGTCAAGTAGCCCGTCCACGTCCAGCTTAGTGGCCTCAACTCCAGACACAGATAACTGGGGACCTTTGTTTCAGGCAATTTTTTTCCTTCTTTTTTTCTCTTCTTCGCACCTCCACCCCCCGTTTCGCCCAAACGCTCACGGCTCAAACAGCGTCGCCGCCGCGCCTCCCATTGGCCCGCGCCCCTGTCCGGCGCTGCCCCTTGTGGACTCGCAAAGGCTGGGCCCCAAGACCCCAAGAGGCCTCGAGTGGCCACTAAGTCGCGGAGTGGCTCTTTGCCTTCCAAGGTTTGGTCGCCCAAGAAAGCTCGAACTGCTATTTTTGCAACCCCTTAAAGCCACTGCAGCGTTAGCGGCTGCTTAGCACGCGGAACCTGAGTGGTGGCGGTTTGATGCCAGGAACCGGCCAGCGTTGAGTGGGCCGCAGTGCGGTGGGGAGAGAGCGACGCAGAATACGAGGATTGAAGAGGTTGATGAGTAGAGCGTTGGTACACGGCAGGGCGACTTGACACCTGCTGGCAGCATGGATGTTATAAGCACTAGACGGGGGATTTACTGGGCGTTACTATCTGTACTGGACTGTACGAGTAAGTACTACCAATGTGCAGGAATATCTGTACTGGGTAAGATGGAGAGAAGACAAAGGAAAAAGAATGAGTGAGAATGACTGAATGACTGTCCCAACGAATGAATGGCTCAAATTCCAACCAGCCAGCCAGCCACAGTCCAATCTTGGTAGTTACTCGTACAGGTATTTTTATCCTCGCGCCATATGCACGCCTGCATGCATTAGTAGGTGCCCTACCTTATCCGTCCCTCTACATCATACGTCGTATTTGCTTCTTTCATGCATGCGCGCTTCGTGCTCCATAGCTCATTTCGACTATCGCCTCAAACACGAAAATATCTACAGTACATGCTCGTACATGCTCTCTTGGCTCTCTCTATCTCTCTAGGGAACTGCTGACAGAAGCTATTGGATTTCAAGCAGTAATGATCATCGCTGCGGGGTCCCTTTGAGAGATCCTCGCTGGGATGAATGCCCGAGTTGCTATTTTTGCCACCAGCGGGTTCTGATTGACACTTTGACACCACACTACCCATCGTGATCACGATCGGGGTTTTTGTAATTGCTTCCGTCAAAATATGTACGAAGCACGTCGAACTCTGGTAAACTCACAAATGCTTAAAATACACCCACACACATTACACACAGACATCTGTCTGAGCAGCTGGAATAAGCACGCAAAACACTCGGGTCTAGCGGTAGGGCCAGGAGTTGGGACGGCTATAGCCGATCTGTGCTTCGCCACAGACAGCGACGATCCCTGGGCATGCCCGGGGCCATTTCTGCATTCCAATTGAATCATACAGCCACTTTCGTCCTAGAAAGAGTCTTGGAAGCGGAAACCCCAAGTTGAAAACTCGACTCTGCAACAGTCGTATACCTGGGCGTATGCATCATCAGTACGAGCTTGTCGTACTCGGCCTGTTATCGCGGGTGTTGAGCTCAAATTGGGGCTTACAATCCTTGCAGCGCATGTACATACGGTAGTACATGTAGTCATGCAGTTTGGAGGGCCTCATCATCTTAGTAATATCTATGTAGGAAGTGTAACGGGCAACAAAACACTGCTCTCCTTGTCACGCGACATCAACGCATGCGATTCGATTTCTCGCTGCAATTGAGACTTGCGCAGAACAGATGAAGAGGCGAGACCTCCGCGTTTGCATAGGTTGAAGCCGGCAAATGCTATACGAGCATCGTCTGCCGCGGCGAACATTGGTGATGTAATCAGCTATTCGCGTCGAAACCATTGCCATTGATATTCAAGCGAAAATCGCTTCATGGGGGATGGGGACTCCAGGCACGGCGAATTTCTTCCCCCTGAATCTGCGATCCCGGCCGTGCATTGCGTTTGGTGGGCGCCAATGGCCCAACCACTCCACTACGGAGTGCTAGAATGCCCGGATATCCGGGGAGAACAGGGGACCTGGGGTGCTGAAGTGCAGTGCTCCAGCTCACTTGCATGTCCCAGACACTCATCAGTGCAGATACATGTATGTATGGATACGGGAGAGTCTATTCCCGGAGCTGACAATGATATGTCTGATGCACTATTCGAGCAGAGGCTTTATATAGAACGAATGCAGCATCTAAGTGGACTTTACATCTCTAATGCACCCGATATGAGATCGTAAATATACGTGTAGCCATCTTCGACGTTCATCTAAGCTCAGCTGAAGAGGTGTGCTTGCTGATGCTTTAGGTACGCACATACACGTGCAGTGAGGCAGTGAAAGGAAGATAAGAATAGCCCATCGGATGATTTAATTTAAATCTTCCCCTTTTTCGTATAGATAGCCTTAAATAGAACTATCTCTTAATCTAAGTTTCACATTTTAGTCCTTTCCATAGCTATACTTGTCGCAAAGTTGCTCTTCGTGCCTCGTCGTTGTAATATACTAACCTCATTACCAGCGCTACGATATTTGTATTTGTATGGTCAATGGTACCGGACACCATGTTAGGAGATGGTATACACAGTAGCATCGCAAAATAATAATATTAATGCAGCACCCAATGGAGCCTGGTGTTAACGGAAAGCTTCGGCACATGTAGCCACTTATTGTGTAGACAGATCAAGCCTCGCGGTGCGCTGCAAGGCATGGAACTATAAGAATTCAACCACTTCTTGTAATAAATGCTGGGTGAGGAAAAACTTAAGACCATAAAATCTCATTTCAAGCGTGCCGTAGTTATGGATACAGCACTGTAATTTACATGTACATAATCTCAAAACACATTGAATGCTATTTCGGGCCCGCAGCCAGAATGGGCTTTCTTCAGCATAGCCTTTGGGCATTGCATGTTATCACTTTCTCCTATATATGCAGCACTATTTCATCCGCTCACGCTTATCTTTTCAGTGATGTCCCCTTGTCATAGGAGATTTGCTGTCGTTTCTGCGGCTTTGCATACTTCCAAGATATCGATCTTGTTGATACGCATCCATGGATAAAAAATTCTCAGTCGATAGTGACAAGATTAGTCTGGTGCAGTGATATACTACCTAGTAGCAGGCGACCATACTGAGCGATCTTCACGTCTAGACACGAAAGAAGACAACATCGAGCGCCTAGATATACTGAGGGAGTCCTTTAAAATGTTGACGAGATAATCCTCAGCCTCTATATGGAAACAACTTTTGAGGGTATATAAGGAGTCTCGAGGCATTGGGCTGGTACTAAGAAGAGATGCCAATTAGTGATAATTCCTCCGACTTGATGTCTTCTGCTTGGGGTCTTGATTTGTCAAGACACTAGAGACGGCCCCAATATCGATGGTAAGTCATTCTTACAGTTAGTTACGGGGAGATGCGCCAACAACATAAGGTACGAGAACGAGGTACATTGCACAACCTGCCATGAAGAACAGCAATCGATCGCTGTGTACATGTATGCTTTTTGTATCTTTAATTTTCCATTATCATTGAAAACTACCAAGAAAATGAAACAAACAAACAATGAAGCCTGCCAATGATACAGGTATACCCAACATGTAAGTCATACCATTCATCCATTTTGGCACAAGATTTTTGCGTGGGGAACAATATACAGCGATGAACCAGAAGAAACCAGCACTCCCATCAATCACAGCGAGCCATTTCGCCTTAAGGAAAGAATTGATAAGAATGAAAATGAAGAGATAGAGAGAAAAGGGAAAGGCTTCGGCAAAAGAGTTGCTTTTCTTTTTCAGCCTGTTTCGCCTTTAAATCTCCACAGGTCCCTGACTCCGGGTCTTGCGCAAGGTTTTGCCCACGACGGGAGCAGCCTTCTTGTCCTTCTTGGGGCGGCCTGGCTTCCGGGGTCCGCCATTGGTCGCCTTGCCGTTGCCATTGTCAAGCTTGGCCTTTTTGTCTGCGGGCTCACTGTCTTCAGACTCTTCTTTTTCGGCTGCCGGCTCGTCAACCGCAGTCGCGACGGCAGCATCGGCCTTGCGCTTCTCGCCAGTGGCCGTTTCCGACGTCTCGGACTTGGCGTCTGCGGCGCTGGGCTGAAGAGCGCCGGCCATCAGCTCAGCTGGCTTCGATTCGCCATTTGGAGTCACGGGCTTGTCAACAATGGAGTCGGGGCCGACGTCACTGCCGGGGGCGGAAGCCGTGGGAGTTGGCAGCGGCTCCTCGGCCTCAGTGATGATGACGGGCTCTTCCTGTGGCTTCTCGGGCTCTGCTGGCTCAGTGGGGATGTTCAGCTCCGGCCGCGGTGATCCATTTACGGGAGTCGCCAGATTGACGGGAGTCTCGGGGACGGACTGGACTTCGACGGGCCGTGGGGTTTTATGAGCCAGCTTGAAGGCATCAGCGATTGAGAGAGGCTCCTCTGTCGGCTTTGCCTCCTCGGGAGCTTTGGTTTCAGCGATGATGGGGGGCTCTTTGGGCTTTTCAAGAGAAGTTGGGAGATTCACAGTTTCCGGCTTGGCAGTGTCTGTGTCCATGGCCATGGTCGGAGCTCCAGCTTGAGCTTCGGGAGCTGTAGGCACAGGTGGACCGACTGTTTGATGGAGGTTCCAAGTCAGCAGGATGTTTTCAATGGTGTCAACACGCTGGGACGCGACGGGGATTTTGAGCAGCACAATCAAGGGAGGAGCATGTGGTGTTTTCAATGGCACGGAATAACATCAATTGGAGAGTCGCGCGCAACAATATGGCAGCAATACCTTTGTCAACAGCTGGAGCAATGCCGTCAGACATGATACGAGGTTGATGACGTAAGAATCAGGACGGGCGTCGCGCGCAATGGCAGCTTGAGGCTGGAATCAGAAGGCCGGGCAAGACGCAGGTGAAGCTGGTGGAGGAGATGCGCGCTTGCAAGCAGAGAACAGGAGCATTGGCTGGTTTGCCGATGGAAGGGCGAGAGAGGGCGATGGGATTGAGGGAGGGAGGAAAGCAAAGAAAGGAAGAAGAACAAGCAGAAGCAAGTCAGTGGTGGCCAGCTTCACCCGCGGTTCCACAGATGGGTTCGATTACTACATGTACATGGACGCTGGTAACATCTAATTGATCCGAGATGAAGTCGCGCGCCCGCCAGTTTACCGTGGCAGGGAACCTGTTGCTTTTTGCCGTTGAAGCCATGGATGGTTTAGTATGGGCATGGCACTTAGAAAGGCTATGCCGGCGGCGCCGTGTGGGTACCGTCTACGTTTCTGTAAGGGAAAAAGCAGTCAGACAAAGCAGTCAGTCTCGTCACGAGAGAGAGCAAAAAAAGTGAGGCGGCACAGTGCTTGGGAGGGATCTGGCTGAAGGTGTCCAGGGATACTGGACGGTGTGAATTGTCGCCATCGGGACCGTGGGTTGAAACGAGCAACTCTTGCGGGGAAGAAGCTTGGAGCTGCAGCAAAGCATTGGCTAGTTTACATGGACAAGACGCCACCATGAGGTCCTTCAGCTCCGGATTCGTCCAGTCACGACGTCGACGGCGGGGCGGCTACCGATCATGTACCGATGCAATGCATGCACGTCTGTTTGGCTTCTTGTTGCTTTTGCCTTTTTTTTCGAGGTGGTTGGGTGGGAAATCCTTATTGGAGCGTGCCTGGAATGGGTGCATAATTGGCGGAGGAGGCGGGGATCGGTTAATGGAGGTTGTAGGTTGGACGTCCGGGGCTCGCCGTCAATTTTGCATGAGGAGGACAAGTCTGGTGCTTTTGATGTGGAAAACGATGGTTAGACTCGGTATTTGCAATTATGTTTGCTTTATATCATCAATGCTCGATGAGAATTGAACCCAAGTGCTACACATGGTAGCTTGTTGACTTGTCTGGAGATTGGCTACCCGTATTGAATGCAATGTCGACGCACCATGCAAGTGCACAATCTGCACTGATCATCTCCCTCTTCCCGTTGACCATCTTTAAAACATCATCCTACATATAATTGACCACCTGGGCATTTACAATCTGGCTTGAAACGCGCAAAAAGATTCAAATTGTCTCTAGACGAGGTCCTTGCGCTATAAATTCCCGGCCAGCGCTTTAGATCCCTTCCCGATGTTCAATGCTCTGCCCGGTCCCAACCCCGACCTTTCAACCCTCTGTGCTTGATTATTCACTGTTTCCTATTCCATTCTCAGTATCTCCAAGTATCGAGTTTTCAACCTCTCTTTTACCTTAAAAGCGCTGTGTTGAGCGTCTCTCTGCTACCAGAATACCTAAAATGCCACTTCCGTGCTTAGTCATCCGCGGCCGCCAGTGACCCCCTAACTGCCACTTTTCGGCCAGACGCCAGCTTGCCGGAGGACAACTATCATTGAAAGCTGCAAAGACGCGAACACCCAACTTCAGCACACTCTTTTATCGCCAATTACGCGCTTCTTTCCTGCACAGCAACTTACACAATGGCCCCCGCAAAGAGCACCAAGGACAAGTTCTCGGTCATTCTGCCGACGTACAATGAGAGGAAGAACCTCCCCATCGTGGCCTGGCTGCTGAACCGCACCTTTACAGAGAAGTAAGACCATTCTTCTGCTCCCCCAAATCATACCCAAGGACCTTGGTCAAAACTGACAATTCTTGCTTTCTCTCTAGCCAACTGGATTGGGAACTCGTCATCGTCGACGACGGCTCACCCGATGGAACACAAGAGGTGGCCAACCAGCTCGTCAAGGCCTACGCCCCCCACGTCGTTCTCAAGACTCGATCCGGCAAGCTGGGCCTCGGAACGGCCTACGTCCACGGCCTGCAGTTCGTCACGGGCAACTTCGTCATCATCATGGACGCCGACTTCAGCCACCACCCCAAGTTCATCCCCGAGATGATTGCCCTGCAGAAGAAGGGCGGCTACGACATCGTCACCGGCACGCGCTACGCTGGCAACGGCGGCGTCTTTGGCTGGGACCTGAAGCGCAAGTTTGTCAGCCGCGGCGCCAACCTGTTTGCCGACACCGTGCTGCGGCCGGGCGTCAGCGACCTGACGGGCAGCTTCCGCCTGTACAAGAAGAGCGTTTTGGAAAAGGTCATAGCGAGCACCGAGAGCAAGGGGTACACGTTCCAGATGGAGATGATGGTTCGCGCCAAGGCCATGGGCTGCACTGTTGCCGAGGTGCCCATTTCTTTCGTGGACCGAGTGTACGGCGAGAGCAAGCTGGGTGGTGACGAGATTGTCGAGTACGCCAAGGGAGTGTTTTCCCTGTGGCTCAAGGTCTAAGCAGAGAGGCATAGAGAGAAAGGGGAGAGGAGACAGATGAAAACGGACGAAATTAAGGATGAATTTACACGAGTTGTTCAGAACTGGGGTGGGTCGGCGTTGATATAGCGGAAAAGAGTACACAATTCCGCCTCACAATTAATTCAATATACCATTGCCATTTTTTTCTTTGTCATGTTCGTACAACATTTAACGATCATATTTACAACGTTCTCATTGCATTATATCTGTCTTTTCGCAGACTACATGTTCCTACCACCTGTCACCATGATGGTCTGCCCTGTTACGTATGAGAACAGCGGACTCGCCACGGCCAGGATCGAGCTCGCAGCCTCCTTGGCACTCCCCGGCCGACCCAGCGGAATATCTGAAGGACTAGCAACACCAGGCTTTCTCCCCGGGACGCCAATGGCAATCTTTTCACCATCAGGCCCAACCACAAACCCGCCGTCCTCCTTGGCCGCCGTCAGACGAGTCTGGATGTAGCCAAAAGCAACGGCATTAGCCCGAACACCAAACGCAGGACCCCATTCCTTTGCAATGGTCTTTGTGAAGCCGACGAGACCAGATTTCGCCAACGCGTAGTTGATCTGGCCTGCATTTCCATGGATGCCAGAAGTCGATGAGACGGTGATGATGTTTCGCGGCTCGCCGTCCTTGACGCGGAAATACGGCGCGGCCTCGCGCACCATGTTGAAGGGCGCGGTGCAGTGCAGGGCGATCATGGTCTCCCACTGCTTGTCGGTCATCTTGTGGATGACGCCGTCGTAGGTGTATCCCGCTGAAGCCACGATGATGTGGATCTTGCCGTTGCCGAACTCGGCGGCTTTGGCGATGAGGGTCTTGATGTATGCTGGGTCAAGGACATCGCCTGGGACGGAGATGGCTTGGCCGCCGTTTTTGCGGATGGTTTCTACTACCTCGTTGCTTTTCTCTACGGGGGTTTCATATTAATGAGTGAGGTTCTTTTTACGGGAGAGATAAGAGAGACTACGTACTGGCGTCAATGTCGGCGACGACGACTTTTGCGCCTTCGTTGGCGAAGAGGATGGCTGCTTCGGCGCCGATGCCTTGGCCGGCGCCGGTGATGATGGCGGTTTGGTTGGCGAGGAGGCCTTTGGGGTAGTTGAGGTGGCCGACGACCTGGGAGACTCTGTCTGACATTTTGGAGATTTGATATGAAGAAGTTGAAGTATAGATTTTTGAGTGAGAGGATGAGATTTGTGAAGAATGATATAAGAGAAGCAGTGAAGGGACAGTGGTGTTGATGGATGTTATATCCCGTTAATATACCGAGGTTCGATTCCGCGGTTCGCTGGCTGGATTAGGAAAATGGGGGACGGCCCCAGTGTGGGGTAGCGTTGAAATACCCGGTAGTCTCAATGAAAGGAAGATGAATTATTATTTTACCTCGTTTACTGTTAAGAGCATGGAATCCTTTTATTATTCATGGTGTATAATGTTTTCAATTGGTGCTATTGAGTGGATTGTAATGATGTTATATTGCAAGGTGAAACACTACGCAGGCTGGTCACTTCATGATAATCTAGAAACCTTTGATAGCTGTGATCCCTAGGTAGTATTAGACACTTCCTTTATTTTACAGATCATGATCTCTACAGCAGATAATTCATTGAAGCATTCGATTAAAAGCTTACACCTAGCTGATGAAGTCTTCTATCAAAAGCAGTTGTTCATTCTTCACAGCTTAAAATCGGCATTTGTCTTCTCCCACCCAAATGGTGATTGCTCCATATTAGCCACCTTCTCCGTCAGCCTCCCCTTCAAAATCCGGTTCCTTTCCGAGCAGAGTTCATATGTCGTCGAGAGATTGAATAGCAAGGTATGCGATGACAGACCTGAGTCGACTAATTTCTCCAGTATATTCCGCCCCTATGAACCACGGTCAATACAACTATATCCCCATAACCGCAATGTGTGGATGGTATATAGACTCACCTCTTGAATCCGCCCAAGGTAGATAAGGCACACGGCCTGGTTTACTCCAATCATCTCATCTGTTATTGTTATGTCAAACTCTTGCCACTTCTGCAATGCTGCCTCATAATTGGAATCCGCCATGTCACACAAGGCCAGAATGAGCTTCTCAACGTTCTCGGTATCCTCGGAGCACTGGCTTGCACAAAGCTTCGCATTCCCTATATCGCCGAGATGAAGCCATAGCAATGCTTTAGATAGCGCCAGTTTACCATCACCCCGATCTCTTAGACTATTCAGGTGGTGTGCTGCGCCAGAGAGATCGTCCATCTCAATCAGGGCACCGGCGACTTTGATGCCCAGCTCATGGAGACGTGACTTCCACAGCTCTCTAGCAGAGTTGTCATGTGACAGAGATGCTTTTCTGATGCGGTCCCTTGCCTCTCTGGCAAGATCATGATAGCTCATGACGGCTCGGCGGGGATCTCCAAAGCCCAATGCCTGCAGCCGCACGTGCAGCACGCGCAGCTCCCACGGCACTAGATGCTCATTCGTATTGTCATCAATGTATCTGCGGGCATCATTCAAATCCTCCAGCGCTTTGGCTTCCTGGGCTGCGAGTGAAGTAGCATCGATCAGGGTGAGACACGCAAGTCGGGTATACAGAAGCCTAAAGATCCTACTGGCATCTTGAGGATCGATACTAGTGCCGTTTATAGTTGAGCCTGTTAGCTCTTGAGCTGCCGCAATGGCTGCGGCTCGAAAGTGGCCTTTGGCAAGCAGCTCGTCTATGGGCGTCTCCGAGTTGGGCTGCTTTGGTGAGTTTCGGAACGCGGGAGGGATGTTCTGTACGTTTAGGGGATGGTAGATCTCGGGCTGCAAGAGGAATGTGAAATCCTTTGGTCTCGCCTCTCCCAACTGAGGAGTCGGAGACGGCGGAGGCCGAGGCTGGGCTGTGTTGTTGGCTGAAGAAGATCGTGATGGTGGCTGGAGAGACGGGCTGAGCTGAGAGGCCGAAGCAGTTGGAGATGTCAACATTCCACTAAGAGCCCGTTAGACAGAGAATTTGGTCATAATCATTTGCATACTGACTTGTCGGCATCTAGAGGTCCCTTGGTAGAGGACCTTGGTCTTGTTGCTGTGCGTGAATATCAGCATCTGTAAATCATGTTCTCATCCACATGGCGCTTCGTTGACAGTGATGGAGGGGCAGCTGCCTGTAAAGTTCGCTGAACTTAGGCCTTCAAAATGCAGCACATACACCGAGTTATAGATGGCTTGTTTCTTCTGTGGCCTTGATCCGGTGCAGGACTGCTCGGTTGTTCACTCATGATATATGGCCGATGGTGGAATAATTAAGGTATTGAACATTAAATGTTGGTGAGCTCAATGATCGCATATGGTCAGTACATGTGTCTGGTATGAGATGAGATGAGATGAGTTAGGCGAATAGCAGTGGTAGGGATGGCTGGATAATCCTCGGCCATTCTCTCATCATATAAATGACTAGAATGGGAGACCAAAGCCATCGACCTGCATGTAACGCTGCATCCTGTATATCTTGATACAAATTCTGATCCCTGAATCAAAAAATACGAGTAAAAATAAATAATCATCGATGAACTTATGACGTGCCAACTCCCGGGTATCTTGCGAGGCTGAAGCTTGCCTGCCAGCTGGCTACCAAAAGGAATGTATACTTTTTGCATTCTTGGCTCCACCAAGCTGTGGTACTCAGACTCAGACTCAAAACTTGCATGAATCCATTCTCACACGCGACTCACAATGAGAACCAGAAGATCGAATCGTACAAAACATTATACTCTCGACAAGTACGATTTCCTCAGCTCTGGGGATGAAGACCAGCCTCAACGGCGCCGCAAAACCGCAGACGACAATGATGACAATTTCGAGGCAGCCGCTGAGGAGCAAAGTGCTGGAGAGGAAGAGGAAGAAGATGAGGATGACGGCCAGATGAATGACAGCGGCAGCGACGTAAATGGAGCCGAGAAGCCTTCCCGTCAGCGCTCCAAACAGAGCAAGCAGCCAAAGCAGACAAGGCCTGCGAAGTCATCCGATGAGGGCGACATGGAGGTGACCGGGTATCTGGACATTGAACTGATTCCACCCGAGGGTCAGCACAAGGGCTATGTCGGACCTTATGAGCGAGGCATGCGCGGCAAGGCCCTTGTGAGAACTCTGTACGGACCCAGTCCTGAGCGCATATCAATGGCTCACGAGCTGCTAGAGAGATGGAGCGGGTGGACGATATTTCCTCCAAAGGTGCCGCAAGACGAGGACGAGCCGACGGACAAGGGCTTTTGGTCTCCCGGTGGTTTCGACAAAGAAGCTCGGCTTGCCAAACAGTGGCACGCGCAACTGGTCAGGGCACTACCTTCCGACGATGCTTGGTCAGAAATATCTTTTTCAGAGACCGAGATGTATCGATTTCCGCAGCTGAGCATGCCGGTTTTGACGGGCCCGCACGAGACGCAGCTAGAGATACCAATGGAGCCTGGACACTGCCATTCCATGTCACAGAGCAACATACCGTTTGACCAAGACAAAGATGATGACAAGGTGGAGAGTGGATGGATGCTGGATGTGGGTGGCCTCGTTTTGAGCATGGACTGGGCGCCTCGGCGAGACAAGAACCCTAAACAGCTGCTTGCTTTGGCAATCATACCCCAATCCGACCAGGACATATATAATTATGAGGAGGAATCCGTGAAGCCAGATTTCCAGAAGCAAGGAATCATTCAGATTTGGGAATTTCGGAGCACCAAGACAGACGACCAGTTTATTCGACCGTCGAGTGAGCCTGCGAAGCTGCGCAAGACACTGTGTGTGGACTACGGAAGGATCAGAAGAGTCAGATGGAGCCCATCGTGCAACCATATCGCATTTCTTTGCAGTGATGGTAGCGTGTACATTGCTGATGCTGGGAATCTCGACGGTGAAGAAGAGGGCCTCTACTGTAAGCTCAGCTAGGACACTTGCATTGTTTGAGACGCCCCTTTGGCTAACAAAATAACAGACAAACTACAGAAACCACTTGCAGTACTCACCTTACTCGACGAGTACGGCATCAAAGCGACTGCAATAACGTGGGTCAACTGTAATCGAATAGCTGTCGGCTATTCTGATGGGTCCATTGCGCTTTGGTCCATCCATCCACGACGCCTCTTGTCTCGACACCCAGTTCATCACAACGACATCATAGATATGGTATCGGGGTACCCGACTATGCCAACCATTATTGCTTCAATTCCCGTAGGTGGCACAGCTCGAGTCATTGATCTTCAGGCTCCGAGCTACGAAACTACCGAAGCTCAGAGACCTTTGGTGCATACACAACCAGGACTCCTAACTTACAGCGACCATCTTCTTGGTTTCTTATCCATCTATCCATCTGCTAGTGCGCTCAACACGATTATTGGATTCTTACACCACGCACATTTTCCTGTTTGCCGGAGGGTATTCACAGGGGATAGTTTTCTCACTTCCTTGGCTGTCGGAAAGCTGCACCCCTTTCTGCTCATTGGAGCAACGGACGGCTCTCTGTGGTGTCTCAACTCGCAAACTGAGGTGTTCAGCAACAGGCATGAATCGACAGACAAGATACGGGTGTTGCAGCACGAGCACCGGCCGGGACGTCTATTCCATCCCGACTCTCCAGCGGCTGCTCGAGGCGTCTGTCGCATCTTGCACGGCTTTACAGTGGACAGGAACAGAAACTCGAAGCCCGAGGCTAAGCCCACTGCAAAGAAGGGCAAGAAGTTACGAGCCAAGGAGCCGGCCGAAGGCGCAGAGGGAGGGCGAGAGGGGGAAGGGGAGGAGGACGATGACGAAGCTGGCGATTTGACGGACCCATCTCGAGCTACTCTGCACGAGCCGCTGACGAGAATCACCACCATTGAATGGAATCCAAACCAGGATTATGGATGTTGGGCAGCGGTAGCCATGGGATCGGGACTTGTAAGAGTAATTGATTTGGGACTGGAGAAATACCCCGAGGGCACGGCGTGATTCGCCATGATTTGTTCGGCGAAAAGAAGGCGTTTTGCAAATGTAAGAGCAGTAGCCCGTCTAAGTAATGAAATATGTGTATACCTTTGTACATGCGTGATCCAATGTTCTACCTATTTTATGGGTATCGTCTATGATAAGCACTGCGAGCCCATGCCCTCATGGTGATGATCAAACGCCTTGGCCATGCCGTAGAAATGAGTTGCTGCTGCAAGTACAACAAACATGTGGAAAATCTGATGGGAGTGGCCCCAGATGTCGAATGCGCCAGGGTTGCTCCTCTCTGGCCAGCGAATCTGTGTGAACGCATGTGTTAGAAATATGAAGGCTGTTGTTGTAGGTTGGGTGAAGGAACGAACCGCGTAGAGAAATGCGCCGAATATGTACATGAAGCCATGCAGAACGACCCAGCTGAGGCTCATCCTGTCCTCGAGGGTTTGATAGCCAAACTTGAGCAGCCCGTGGCCTATTGGGATGATGCCAGAAAGGCCCAGACTGACAAACATGAGAGCGCGGTAGGGTCTCCAAGCGGGCGTCCTAAACCTTTCGACCCAGGAGACGATGATGCATCCAAGGCCAAGAAGACATATCTACCCAATAGTCATTAGACACCTTGTCACATGTAAATATCCCAGGCTCTCTCAAACTCACTAGATTTAGATACTCGGCCATCAAGATCGGATGGCAGAAGAAGCCGTAATACAGCGCCGGCACATAACTTCCCACAATCAACGCCACGATGCCCGTGTAATCGAGCTTGTTCCCCCACTTGGCAACCTCCTGGCTATGATCCGTCAAGGCGTGATACGTAGCGCTCATGCCCAAACACACGACGGCACTCCCAAAGAAGCACGCAAAGACGAGCACATCCGACGAATTAGCAGCCTCATAGCGCGGGCGAACAACCACATAGACGTACAGGGCGGTGAGGATGGCGACGATGGCGCCGGCGAGGTGCGACCAGATGTTGACGGACTCGTTGTGCAGGTAGAAGAGCGAGCGGGCGGACTCGGCGTAGGAGGGGCGGATGGGGCGGTAGCCGGAGCGGATGAAGGCGTTGTCGCGGCGCCAGGAGGGGAGGTCGTCCCAGAGGAGGAGGAGCTTTTGCTCGACTTTAAGCTCGGCTTGTTTGATTGTTGTGAGGAGGGATTCGGAGACGGAGACGGAGGGCCGGCGCTGGCGGAGGGACGGGTCGGAGGAGGCCATTTTGATGCTTTCTTTTCTGTATCTTCTTCCTACCTAGTTCATGGTGTTGCTAGTTTACGAGGTAGATGATTTGAGTGAAAGGAAATATGATTCATTTAATGAATATTTTTCATGCTCATGTTGGGCGAGAGAGAACGTGTAAGTTGTTGGGGTTCGCCTTTCAAACGTGAGATGCTCCGGCGTGAGTGGACCTTTTGGCGGAATGGTTGGGGCTCGGCACTCGAATGATGGTGGATTGAGTTTTAAGACTGGTAGCGCATGTGCTAGAGGGGAAAATCTCTTGTTTATTCAATGGGATTGTTTTAGTTCCAGGAGATCAATAGGCTATGTGATTCCCGCAGCATGGAATATTGGTGTACTGTAGATGTCATCTTGGCTACCTACCTATGTACCATTGCTGGCATGTGATGCCGCTTTTCGCTGCTGAATGCCGGCCCCGGTATAATATCCTCACATTTAGCACTAGGCAAGACGCAAATGCAAGATGACATAAAATCTTCAATACCCACCTATAAAAATACATGTACATATAGCCATCATATCGTAGGTAGCTTGCTATTTTCTGGGGCAACATGGCATTTAAATCCATAGCATCGCTTCCATAGTGAGTCAGCGGTACTCCAAATGTCAGGTATAAGCGCTGTATAGGCGCAGTTTGCTTCACCTGCATCTCATCTGCCACCGTGAACAGCAAATTCCCAGCACATGTCCAGATAGGACAAGAACAAAATGTGTATTTCCTAACGCCTAGTGATATTCGCCGCACAGTCTACAGACCTTGTCCCAAAGCGCAGATGCTGCCTTTCAGCCTAATCCAACAGACATCGCCACGGGAAACCACCTGTTGTGGCTTTCCGCAACATCGCCTGTTAGAGCTAGCAGTCCCAAATCATGTTCTCAATAACGCATCGCTTCGTCTTGTATCGTTTATTTCTTGCCGCTCTTCTTGATGCCCTGGGTACCGGTGTTCAGAGGTCCCTTGCCACCAGCCTTGGCCGCCATCTCCTTGCGCGCCTTCTCATCTGCAAACAGTCAGTCAGTCGTTGTCGCTTCGCTCTCGCAGTGGTTGGTCGGATGTCGGGACAGTCGTACCGGCCTTCTTCTTCTCGAGGTAAGCCAAGTCATCCTCGTCGAGATCCTTGTTCTGCTTCTTCGGGGCCTTCAAGGGCTTGGCCTTGCCGCCTGGAAATTTCAACCGTCAGTCTCGACATTCATGGAGGGGCAGTTTGGCGGGGGCCGCAGATGGCAGGACGAGAGAAAATCACCTTCTCGGTTGGAACCACCCATGATGAATTTGCTGTAGAGAGAAATGTAGTGTAAGATGCAGTGTTGAGTGTAAGAGCAACGCAAGACAAAGAGAGAGTTTACTTGGACAAAGTCGGTGGTGGCTGGCAGAAAAGGCCTCCAAGGCTGATTCTTTGTTCAGGGTCATCCTGCAGGCTGCTTAGTCAACCCGCGCTAGGCTGAAGACGACCAGACCCTCCAAAATCCGGTCTGCAGCGAATCTGAATCTGAAACCCATTTGCCATCATCTCGAGATCATCGCCGTCACTCGACATTTCACCATCGACTGGCTGACGCTCCGTGATTTTCTTTTTCACCTCGTCATTCCAGTGATTTTTTCCTCTTTTAATTGCACGCTTCCATCATTGTTCAACTCCCCCAAAACAATCCCCCGCGTTCCTCCTCGAAGCTATCGTGCTGCCTGCCTGCACTTGGGACGAGTCAAAACGTTGACCTGGTTGGACTCTTTGCCTGCCACACACACCCGTTGCCTTGGTCCATTACTGACACTTCTTCTGTCGACACTGAAAGGGAGCCCCATCAGAGGTCCGGTGGCAGAATAAATAAATAAAGGGCTTCAAGATGACGTCAAGCTCCGATGAGGGTGAAATTGTTGAGCAGAGAGCTGGAGATTTGAAGGCAACTTCACTGTCGCACGCAGAGAGAAACGGTGTTGACCGTCAGGATAGACAGCGGAATAGACATTCCTCGCCCGACTTCGATACGACTTCCAGACACAGCAACTCGTCACGACGAAGCCGCTCGCCACCGCGAGGGTACAAGCGGTCGCGCGATGACAGGGATCAGTTCCCTCCTGCCAGAGCCCGAGATCAAGATCCTCGCCATGATCGCGGCGCATACGACGACTATAGGAGGGATGGCCCCAAAAGATCGCGCGTCGCATATGACGATCTCGACCGCCCTGCGGCACGCAATTCGAACCAAGGCTACGACTGGCGCAGTCGTAGGGACCGAGAGCGCGATCGGAGTCGCGACCGGGATCGATACCACCGCGGCCGAGACCGATATTCTGAACGTCCGTCGCCTCGCCCTCGAAGCCCTTCCCCTCGCCAATACCGTCGGGGAGACAAACGAGCTGGTGATCGATTCGTCCGAGAAGGCTACTCTGACCGGCACGACTCACGGGAATTGCGGTACGATGACGCCGACGTCGGCGCTCGAGGCAACAATTATGCAGCTAGGAAAGCCTCCGTAGGAGATTCAAACCAGGCACTGAAAGGTCATGCTAAATCTGACAAGGACACTACTGAAAACGGTGATTCTGCTGGTGCAGCTACTTCGAAGTGGGTGGAATGCTTTCTCTCTAAGAAATACCACCATGATATATATGCTAACATCAAGAGCAGGGATGTTCCAATGATGGATGACTACGAAGAGCCTCAAGAATTTGACGAGGAAGCAGAGATCGAACGCCGCCGCAAGAGGCGCGAGGAGCTCATGGCAAAATCCAGCTCCGCAACGCCTCTCCTCCTTCACGCTGTCGGGGCTGCCACTTCCAAAGCTCAAGCATTATCGCCTGCCTCTTTTCAATCCGACACGCCGCAAATGTCTCAGCGGTCAGATAGCAAACCGCCCCAGTCTCCGCGTTCAAGTAAGTCTCCTACCAAACCTCACTTATCGACAACGACTAATCTGATAGACTTTGCCTCACCCGGATCGCCCCTATCGCACGACGTGCCGTCTCCCGGAGCAATGGATGTCTTTGATGGCAAAGATCTCGTAAACTCACACGCGGCAGCCAAAGCCAACGACGAAGACGGCCCTTCTGCTGCCGACTACGACCCTACTGTAGACATGATGGAAGATGGACGTAGAGATGAACTGCGTCACGGTCAAGTAGTCATCCACGGCGAACCTGAGCCTGCGGCGGCGATTGAGCAGAACCCTGCCAAAGAAGCGCCTAGTGCGCCGCCACCGAAGCCACCTGCAGGCGAAGGAGACGAGGATGATGACTTTGACATGTTTGCAGAAGATTTCGATGAGGAAAAGTACGCAAGCAAGGCCCAGGTCACTGAAACGGTAGCACCCGACGAAGCAACAGATGCGGCGGAAGCAGTCGATAAGGGAGGCATTCTCGAAGGCGATGACAAGGACGGTTATTACAAGATCCGTATTGGTGAAGTTCTCAACGGTCGTTATCAGGTCCAGGCCACGCTTGGCAGGGGTATGTTCTCAGGAGTCGCACGCGCCGTTGACATCACTACCAAGCAGCTTGTCGCCATCAAGATGATGCGAAACAACGATGCCCTTCGCAAGGGAGGCTATACAGAAATCGCCATTCTCCAGAAACTCAACGACGCTGACCCCGAAAACAAACGGCACATTGTCAAGTTTGAGCGATCCTTTGACCACCGAGGCCATCTTTGCATGGCCTTTGAGAATCTGAGCATGAATTTGCGCGAAGTCTTGCGTAAGTTTGGCAACAACGTAGGCATCAACTTGAAAGCGACAAAAGCATATGCGTACCAGTGCTTTGTCGCGCTGGCTCACATGCGCAAATGTAGCATCATCCACGCTGATTTGAAGCCTGACAATATCTTGGTAAGCGGGGCCCTTTCATATTCTCTTTCTTTTCTAGCGATTCATGACTAACGGGGCAATACTCTAGGTCAACGAGACTCGAAGTATCCTCAAGATATGCGATCTGGGAACGGCAATCGACCGTTCTGATGCTGCAACCGCCCATACGGAAATCACTCCCTACCTTGTGAGCCGCTTCTACAGAGCCCCCGAGATCATTCTAGGCATGCCGTATGACTACGGTGTCGACATGTGGTCTATAGGCTGCACCTTGTACGAACTCTACACGGGCAAGATTCTCTTCACTGGAGACAGCAATAACCAGATGCTCAAAACTATCATGGAGATTCGTGGTCGAATTACGCCAAAACTGTATAAACGAGGTCAGCTATCGGCTGCCCACTTTGACGACCAGGGACAATTCGTCAGTGTTGAGCGCGACAAGGTACTTGGCAAGACGGCACTACGAACCATCAACATTGTTAAGCCGACCCGAGATCTACGCACTCGACTCCTTGCTGCCTCTAGTGGTATGAATGACGCAGAGAGCAGAGAGCTCAATCACTTCATCGACCTGTTGGATCATTGTCTGGCCCTGAATCCTGACAAGAGGCTCAAGCCGGCGGACGCCCTCAAGCATCCCTTCTTCGTCACTCGCTCTGGAGCACCACGGCGGTAGGGCCAACGGGTGTAAAGGTTGAGTGAAGGTATGAGGCATACGACTGTTCCTCCCATGGTTTATTGCCGGGGTTTATTGCTCCTTTGTATGGTTGCTCATAGTGCTTTGCCTACTTTTGAACTGTACGTCTTATATGCCTCCGGACTTCTTCATAGCAACTTCGAATAACGGTTTGTCGCTGACATCAAATCATAACTAGGCTGTCCGTGTCTATTATGTACGATTTCATCGCTTTAAGATACCATTGCTTTCGGAGTACAAAAGGCTGGGGATTCGTGTGGATACCGGATAGGCTTCTCATCTTTGACCAATATGAAGCCTATGATGCTTCATCTTCAAAGATGGCGCCCGCATTTTCTGATTCATATTTACATAACACTCGTGGATGTACGAGCTGCTCAATCATGCCATGTTGCAAAGATTGGTAGACATATACGATACATCTCTTGCTTACACGTGGCGGCCACGTATGGTTTCCGCCAATGTATTTACGATTGCTCCATAGAATACCATAATGTAGTACATGTTAAACTATTCTGTATCAATCTGTACCACGAGATGATGCATGCGATGGCGCAAATGAGGAATGTCGAAGGATGAGATTGTTTGTACGACGGTAAGCTTGCAGAGCGGTATGAAACGGGCTTTCTTTGTGCGACACGCCTCATGTGAGAGATGACATGTTGCCGAGCTCGCCGCTTTCCGGGAGGACAGAGTAGAGAGCGTTTTTCTTTTTCGTTGATTCCTTTCGGTAACTGTCTTGCTTGGGTTGTGTTGGGTAACAGTAGTATGTTTTAGCAAATTGTTGTTTTTGCGTGACGGGATAAGCGGCTGAGCACTATATTGTTTTGAGATGGGAGGGAAGCTGAAGGTGTATAGGGACGAGGATCATTTATTCCGATAGGTCTTTTTTGGTGTTTCACGAAGGTAATGTTTGTGTTTGTGTCGTGGTGAGGGATTAATGGGATGAGGTTTTGGGATGAGGTTTTGGGATGAAAAAGTAGGGCTTGGAGAGTTTGCTTGACTGGAGGGGGAGTGTGTGATGGAGATCGAGATGGAGATGGGATGGAAGGGGGTGGACGGGATGAGGCGATGTTGTGGGAGGGAGTGAAAGGGTAAGTTTCAATTCTTGTGAGATGTGGAAGATCTTTTGGTGTTGATAGGGAGTAGATGTAGAAGTTTGTGTGTGTAAGGGATTATAACTATATACAACAAGTGGTGTGTGGGATGATGATCTTGTTGTCATTGTGATTTGGGATTTTCAGTCGGTTAGACGATGGTAACAGGTGCATTTCCAGTGCAGTATATTGAAGAAGTGTAAGTATGATATAAGTCATCGTCATGGATTCTGTTCAGGGGAGCTTATGTGGTTGATGTCATGGAGCAGCGCTGATCATGGGCTTTTAGTGCCGGAACTGTGTGGGAACATCGGGGGGAGCTGGCTGGTACTTTTTTTCTTGCTTTGCACTTCGAACTAGAGTATGGGTATGGTAAATCAATATGAACACTACGTAGGTGAGATGATCTGATTCCTTCATTACTGTTGCGTCTGGTATCATCGTGGTGGTTGCTCGGGGGATGACGTTGAGGTTTCAAGTTGGGGATATCTTGCGGCTGGTGGACCGACGGGGGGCTAAACTTGCCATGTATGGCAAGGGCGTAGTTTTTTGGATGGATATTGCGTGAGAGACATTTTGAGGTTATCGGTCAGGCTTGAGATTAGGTATGGTAGTGTGATGGGGTGCATTGAAGCGCAAAGCGAGACGTAGAATGTGGAACTGAGGCGAATGGGTATTCTAGCTCTCTAATTCAGCCGAAATGGGAAGTTGAGGGGAGTTCCAACGGCTCAAGTCAAGGGCCTTGTCAGCTTGCCAGCTTGCATGCGTCAGGTTTGGTGATTGTCCAGAGGTCCCTGGTGAGTTGTGATACTGTATATGCATAGTTAAGCTGACGACGATACTGTTGCCAGGTTGCATTGCGGTACCAGGAGTGTTTCGAAGAAATGAAGACCAATGTAGATATGTCTTCCAGTCATCATTGCATTATAGGTTCCGTGAGTACATGTAAATTAATACGCAGGATCAGAAACACATGTAAACAAATTGCGTTATCGCCAAGAGCGCCATCGTTCGACTCATCTGCAGTATAACTGAATGATTGGGCAAGATAGGATCCTCTACTGTTGTACATTTCTTGGTATAGCAATAGTATTGATCCTATCGCCAAAAGTTTGGTGTTTTGCTCTATTAATGTCGCTCTCTGTGCCATGGCATTCCATTGGCCCCGGGTTTGTCCGGCCTCAGGGGTTTGTAGGTGGGGTTGGACGGGCCGAAGCGTCGGATGTTGGACGACAGTTTGTTCAATTTCCTCTTGGAAGAATGCGATTGGAGGTTATGATGTTTGTTTTAAGTAGCAGCAATGAATTCTAAGCATCACGCGGGAGCATATTGTTGTTGTTTGTTTGTAAGGGAGGCAATAGAAAGAGATGCAAACATCCAAGGTAAAGAAAGAGAACAGATGGACCGATACGAATTAAATAAAGTTGGGTTCGTATCAATTCGCTAGAGTCATGCTAATCTATCTCATCCATCCATCTTTCATAACGCCATGATCATGACTCCTCGTTTCTTTCCCCTATCCTCGATCCTCTCCATCTATCAAACCATGTCGACAAAGAACCCAAAGTGCATCGCAATGGCCAAGCCAATCTAAGCCCAGTCCCAAGTTGCAGTAGTACGACCAATATCGAGCGGACCAATTGCAGCGCGGAAAGCAGCAGGCGAGAGATCAAGGTCGTTCTCGGCGCATCCCTCGCAGCGGTCGACAACAGTAACGACTGCGGATCGGCCCTGGTGGCTAACGCGGATCTTGCGGCCACATGGATGCTCGCGGTCGTAGAGAGAGTGCGAGACGGCGCAAACGAGTTCGTTGTCGTTGTTAGTCTGGCCGCAGGCGCCGAGGCCAGTATTATACCAGGTGACGGAGCCACTGTGGGCAGAAGCTGCGCGGACTTCGGCCTCAGTGGGAGCCGCAGAGCTGGCAAGGGCCAGGCAGAGAGCAGTGAGAGTGGTGGTAACGAAGGAAACCATTTTGAAATTCTTGTGAAGTGAAATTGTTTGGAAGTGAAAGTCTTGAAGAGGAAATCTAGAGAGTGACTGTGTTTGCTGTGTTGATGTGCGTGAGAACTTGATGAAGAGAAAAGAGAAGCTGTCGTGGGATTTCAAGGGAGCTTTATAGTTTTAATGTGTACTTTCGTAGCTGTTATTTTCTTCTCATGTTTGCTTGCAGTGCCGTTTCATGAGCGGTGTGTCGAGTCTTAATCCCATGTTTGCGCCTTCGCGGCGGTGTAGTAGGAAGCTCGATGTTGTTGACCATCACGAACGAACTTTTCAGTTTTTGAATGCAGTTTTGTGGAATCTTTCTTTTTTCTTTGCAGAGCCGAAATGGGGATGAGACACTGTTTCACCATGAGTGATTACTTTGAGATTCTAGGGAAATTGGCTGCCGGGAAGATGGCAAATACAGGGAGTGCTGCCGTCTATGATTGTGAGAGCTGGCTTTTGCCATTGGGTTATCAGGTTTGTCATTGTCACTGAGAATTTTGTTCCTATATGAATGTATTTGAATCAAAGCGGTGGTGACAAATTGTTTTACACGAATATTCATTCGCAGAGATGGGATTCGACTGATCCCGTTATGACTCATGTCGAACCTGAGTCTATGAGCCTACTTAGAGTCCTAGCCGAATCTATGGAAGAGTTTGCATATTGGCTTACGAAGTACAGAGTATTTAATTTTACGTTCAAGACACCACACGTCGGCAAACCATGTGCTCCGGAACTGGGATCGGCAGGTCTAGACTCTCACTCCATTAATTTGGCGAATAAAGCCTCTCGGGAGGGATACTGAAGGGCCGTATTAGGCAGATTATCACTCGGCACGAATATCTGTGCCGCGCTACAATGAGATTATGAGACAGCATCCACGGTTCGCAGACGCAGCGGATTTGAAGCCAGGATTGTTTGTCATGAAGGCTCTGAATATGAACGACTCCTAACAGTGTCACTTTGCTTGATCAAACAGCTATTGTTTAGTGATGCAGTGAGGTGATGTCTGCAGTTGCTTTCCCCATCGCACTGCCCACGATATACTCCCAACACAGCCGTGTAATTGTACTACAAGTAAATTGCCATGTTCTACAGCTACATCAACCAAACATTTCCATTGTGAATCCCGCCAAACAAGCCAAATACATCTTCAATTGGCAGATAAACAGTCGCCGATAACAATCAACAATCCCCGCATCAAGTCGGCTTTTGATGCCGTCTGGGGACCAGCCGCTCCACTTGGTCCGACCGATTTTTCGGGGCCCCGAATAAGCGTCGGCAGCCGGGTCTCTTATCGAAGGGCGTGAGTCTTTTTTCTTCTTCTGCTTCTCCGTGATTTTGATAATGTCAATTTGATATAATAAGATATTGACATCTTTCTTATCAAACGTGGAGATGAGTGTGTCCGTGATGACTCGATTTCTGAAATGACAAACATACTCCATACGTGATATATAAGGCCGCCGGTAAATGAGTCAAAACCCGGGCCGATGTTTCTGTGACAAAAGTGGTGCAGCCGCAGTGAGTTTGTTCACACACGCATCATCGATAGCCTCGTACGGTGCCTCTGGTAAACTCCGACAGCATCAGCATCAGGATATCTGTTGAGCCTTCACAAGCACCAAACATGGGCAGCAACAAAGACCCTGCATTCGTCTTGTCCCCCGTGACAGACGCCACAGCTGTGGAAAAACACCTCACGTCGCTTCGAGAGCTTCTCCAGCACTGCATCAACGATGAGCCGGACACTTCGTCACTCGGCTTCCTGGCACCTTTGACAGACCACACGGCAAGCAGCTACTGGCTCGAACTCCTACCATCAGTCATTGGCCCTGGCGCAACAACAACGCTTCTCATAGCGACGGCTCCCGGCAGCGACAAGGTCGTTGCTACGGTGCAGCTGGCAAGGATGCCCAAAGAGACGCACACTTACAAAGGCGAAATCAGGAAGCTGATGGTACATCCCGATTTTCGACGGCATGGGCTGGGACGGCGGATGATGGACGAGATCGAAAAGGTTGCGAAAGAGGAGTTTGGGTTGGAGTTGTTGCTGCTGGACACGTCGAAGGAGACTCCGGCGAGGCAGTTTTACTTAAGGACTGGGTGGACGGAATGGGGGATATGTCCTGATTATGCAAAGTCGTCGAGCGGACACAAGCATGATTGCTGTTTCTTTGTCAAGAGCCTAGTATAGAGTTGATGGGATAGTCGTGTATATGTTGAGTAATTAGAAGTAGATTGGTTCAAATTGCGTCAATTTTTTTCGCACATTAGCCAAGGCATGCCACTCTTTCCGCCGTTGCAATGAGCTTAAAGGCCATTCTGATGAATAGAATCGGCCTTTAGCCTTCAATATCCATGCAGTTTCACATAGTCATCTACTCAACCCCCGTTTCCCAACATCTCAACCACTACACCGGGATCAAGACCCGGCCCCACCCCGGTTTGCGGCCCCGACTCCCTCCGGCGCCGAACCATCACAACTTCCGGTGGCTAAGCCTTCGGAGGCTTCAATATTAGTGAGCTGACGCTTACATAAATGCATTATTCCTCGTCATCGGAGTTTAGATCTCATAAAATCTCGAGAGCCCACATGATCAGAAGTTGCTGACCAAGTCTTTGTTGATTCGCCTTCACTTCTAATTCCGTTTGTAAGACGGCATCAGCATGTATCATGGCAAAAGGATTCTTCATCCATAATTCCATCACATGCCGCTTGCCTCGTCATCATCACTCCCCAAGCAGCACATTCCGGCAAAACCTAGTGTTGAGCCGTGGCAATAGCGAGAAAGTATCTTGCTCAACCCTCACTCAGCTTGCCTCGTCGATTCCTAATCTACCAACATGGAGGATGCCTAGAAGTCTGGGCCTTCCGTCCATTTGCCGTGGCGTCGGGGAGTTGACTGATTCCGAGGAGTTATGGTGACACCAGCACCCCAAGGCAGCCATTCCTCCTGATTAAGCCTATCTCTTTGCCATCGGATTCCGAAGAGGCCGAAATTTGGTAAACATGACCCCCCGGTTGTCCATGATGGGAAAACCCTCAATCCCAAAAAGGAACCACAATGACAGATCCCGTTGCTCACGGCATGCCGTAGAGTGTCAATTCCAGTATTACGCAACGTAGAGGCGGCGGTTCAGTTTCGAGCTACAGGCATGCTATGTATTTGGAAGAACCTTTTTGTTTCCGTTTACTCCGGTTACGCGGAAAGGAAAGGAGACGGGAAGTTGAGTTCTTCATCGGGATCCGTTTGGCTCTGTGATGATGAGTTTTGCCTTGGAGATGGAATGCGCGGAAACTGCGTCGGCGAGTAGACGAGTAGACGGCCGATGGCAGTTGTAGAGGTTTAGAAGTTCAGAAAGTTGTTTGAGCCTCGGCAGGGCTACTAGTTTGATCGCCACCGTTAAGCGACGGCGGTTTCTTGACAGTCGACCGATGGAAACATTTCCCCAACAGCCTCATATTAAGTGGCAAACGAATGTTGTGTGTATCTATCGCTGTCAATGTGTAAGCAAGATACTTTGATCAGAATTCAGCCTAGAGAGTAAAAGTCTCCGCCGCCGAGTATCAGATCTCTCCAAACTTAGTCAACCCGATCCAGCCTCACAAGTCATGTAGTACTAAATACCATCCCGTGGGCTTGCGCACCAGCATCGGATCTCGCAAGCTTCAAACACTCCATGGCCCCGGAAATACAGGCTTTGCTACTGCTACTGCTTCTGCCCCTATTGAGCTTCTACTATTGCTCCCTCCGCGGCGAGGCAAGTTTACGCAACTCCGGCAGTTCCGGCTCGGCCGCCCGCATCCCGGAGCGGCGTGTCGGCCGGTAATTCCACCAAAACCCCCCGTGACCAATCCAACAATAAACCTTTGCCACTGCTTGGGCTCTGCTGCGAGAAGACACAATGGAGAGTGGCCTCACTTCAGCTTCTCAGCCCAATTGGGGCAACGAGGTCAAACGCCATCCCGTGCTTAGCAAGCCAGTTTTGACTTTTGGGCGATAGCCGGCCATGGGTTTGTTTGCTTCTTGCATTACATGGACAGTGTCCTTCTTTACACAACACTGCCACCACTGAGAACAAAAAGAATGGATCGTCTCCCGATCAAATCACACAATCTCACAAAGTGGCTTAGCTAGACCAATGCCAGCCTAGTAGATACAGCAACGGGAGAGGATGGAAATTGTGTCGCCATCGCCAAATCCTCGCCTGGCTTCATTCCAACGCAATGGCACCGGGTCGGGCTTGAACCTTTTTGCACGTTGCCAATTCCCACACGGCGTCTTTTTGGCGTTTTGGGGGTCCGGTGATCCTCCGTGCCCGACAGCCCAGGATTCTGCCAATGAAAGCAGATGCCGAGAGCCAAAAGGCAACACTTCGCCCTGCCTTTGTATCAGACACCGGCCGTGTACCGTGTTTTGCAGCCCAATGTCGGCACGATGCCCAAGTCTAAGCCAAGAAACGAGTATATCGAAGAGAGTATTACAGAATACAGTATCACCGATTCCGCGCTAGAGTATCGGCACTTCATGTTGTCGGCGGATGACATTGATGGTCTAGGACTCAGCTACGTGGGAGACTACCGATGGGCACAACTGGTATCATTCCACCAGCTGAACTTCACACGGGCCTAAAATCGCGTCGTCCCTTTCATCTCACGGAATCCAGGCCCATCTACGATTACAAAGTTCAACTGCTACTGCTACTGTACAGTGCTTGTAAGTGAAACTACACAATCAACTGCCGGTGGAGCGCGTCGATCTCCGCAGCACAAGCACAAAACGAAAAGGCAGTCAGCAGTCAAATAACCTGCCGCTTCTTCTCATCGCTTTAACTAATTCAGGGCCATGGCACGTAAATGTAACATGGAGACCGACATCCTTCCGCGAATTGTGGAGAGCAGCCCGGCAGTTGCAGATAGTAAGTCGTAGGAGTTCTTGTCTATTGAGTTCCCGTTCCTTGCTACTAGTTTGACTCGGGTTGCATGTTCAATAAAAAAAAAACAAGGAGAAAAATTACCTGTAACATGAGATCTTTCTGACCGCATTGCTTGCCGTGTTCTGGATGTAACCCCCAGAGTGGACGTTGAGGCTGGTCGTACGGAGTCCTCCGTGATACCCCCCCTTGAGGTGCTTGCTCTCCGAGCCGTCTTCTTACTGCATCGATGCAGCGTGAGCTTCATCGGACGGCAAATCACACAGAATAGAAATGACACTCATGCCTGATGCTGCAAGCGAGAGCCATTCCGTCCGTTGGCCCTGACAGATGGCAACCCAATCATCGCCACGGTGCCCTGAAAATTAATAAATCAAGAAATAAGCATGGTTAACACGAAAATCAAGGAACCAAAGACAAGTAGGTACATAGAATTGTCGCCCAAACTTGGCATGCACAGCAGCCCAAGCAAAAAAAAACCAAGGACTCCAGCCGAATCCCGTCGACCCTATCAACTCTCACCTTTTCGTTCCCCCTTCTCACCCAGAGCAACAAGCCAATATGAGAGCTCACAAAAAGGAAAACAGACAAAACAAAAGAGACCACAGTCCACTGTTTCCCACAAGCAGTAAGCACCGCATGTGACTGCGTGCTCTTTCGTGTCACCAGCAGTAGCGCAAAGCCCAAACGCCGCCTGACCCTCTTTGCTGCCTCGCCTTTGTCCACTCATCTTCGTCCAGAAGGGCATACGATAACTGTACTTGTACATTGGCCGAGGTTCTCTGCATGCATTGTGGTACTCGTCCATGGCTAGCAGAAGAGCCCTGATGCCACCTATAACGGGTAGCAACAGACGAGTAACCCCGGCAAGGATAAGTGGTCATACGCAGTACAGCTCTTCGCCTGGCTCCTCTCTCTTCGCACATGGCGGATTCTCTTAGCCTCCCGCTTCTGGAGAGACATGCATGCTGGCAGTGGCGCTATTGGGACATGCGCATTACATGCGAATACGTGGCGGTGGCAGAGAAGCTGGACGCAGGCGAATGTGTGGCCATGAGTGCTTTTTTTTTTCTCTTCTCTCTCTTTCTCGCTCTGTTGCCTGAGAAGCGACGGTGGAGAGGAGTTGCATTGGATTCATGCAAATTTCATGCAAGGACGGAAACGGACTCGACCGTGTGCGCGAGCTTGAGTCGAGACTCTGATGAGCGTGCAAAGTTGGAGTGGGTGAGTGAGTGAGTGAGAGGGTGAGCGAGTGAGTCTGCTTTGCCCATTCATTCTTCCTCGCCGTCTGCCTCGATCTGAGCCTCGAACCCTGTGCCGCGTCTCTTGAGCAAGTATTATTCCGTAGTCCTACATATTTGTGTGTAGCATCATCATGCAATGCCGCTCGGTAACTTACAGCCGGCCTGAGAGATGCGGCACGGCATGATTCCAACTCCGGACTTACACTCATACCACAAACAAGGATCCAATGCCTGCGTAAAAAACATTCTCAACGGTAAGCCTTGCTCAAGCATCAGCCAGATCCTAAGCAGCCCCGCGCTTTCGGTGAACAAAGGCTCTCACGCTTATTGCTCATGGCCCAGCACTGGATGTCAGCCTGTCATTCCTGGCGCTTCAGCTGGGCCACCAAGAATATCTTCTCCTCTCCTAGATTACTAGCATCATCCTGGCCATTGTAGTATGTAGTACTATTTACTATTTTTCCATCTTTCCTTTCTTTTTTCAGCTCGCAAGCAAAAGCGGTGTGATGATCAAGCCATCCACTCTTAGTCCATCACCGAAGAGTAAGACAGATGACAATTGACATGGAACATTGCCCTTTTCCTTCTGCCGAGTACCCAGGAATAGCTCAATGCCATGCTGTGATTGGCCTCTTGTCTTGCTGGGCTCGAGTCCGTGCTTTTTTTTCTGTTTCTCTTATTCTGCTAGGCTGCCATGAGGCATGAAGCGGCGTGACAGGGGGTTGCGGCCCAACAAGCAGAAAGGAAGACGGAAAAGAAAAAAAGTCCAGCAGTCATCTTTCTCAGCCAGGGAATCTCAGTTCACCCCGGTCAGAGGACAGACCGATGCAGAGACCGGCCTTGCTACTAGTTCACCCATGCTGCCGTGTCTCATGGTCCCGTGAGGTTCTATCACACAACGGGGGTGTGTCTGTTTCTCTTCGTTTGGTTTTTTATGTGATTGTTTCGTGCCGTGATAATGATAATCATGCCTTGGCGTAAAACGGCTGACTGGTAGCCTGCCTAGGAGCCAGTAAAGAGGAGAGGAGAGAGATGGCGCTACCGGAACAGAGCCGGCTTACACTTTGCAGCTCTGGATGACACCGGCCAAGGGAGAATGAGAATCCCATCATGACGCCTTCTTGTTTCTCTTTGCAGCCACATTGTGTTAGTCCCGTTACCCTGGAATCAAACATCATCATCAAGGCAGAAACACGGCTTGCCAAGGGTTCCCCAGGATCCCAGGATAGTAGCCCTGGATGGCCAGAAAAAGAAGCAACCACAGCCCCAATCCCTCACTCCTCTTACATGCCATGCTGCATACAGTACGAGGACCTGTAGGCATTGCTTCCCTTCCTTATCACCCATACCAAAAGCACAAAATAAAACCCCATGCAAGATGATGACTCGGCAGCGGCTTGGAGAAAAATAACAATCAATGCCTGCTAGCTTTTCCCCCAGCCACTAAAATCCTCCTTCGCCCTGCGTCTAACACAAACACGCGTTACCTTGTTATTCCCCTCTACCACTAAAAAAACAAACCTCCAGGCCAGCACTTCGATGAGAAGCTAGCCGGGCTTACACACTATTCCTGTCTGATGACGCCTCTAAACATGGGAAGCAAGCCAGGGCAGGGCAGCTCAGGTATTCGGGACGGAGCCTTCAGCCTTGAGATCCCAATACTCTGGGGCAAAAAAAGCAAAAGGCCGGATTCCCAAGCCAGGATGGATCACAAATGTCTGTGACATCTTTGCGGGAGGATGACGCTCCCTGCATCATTTTTCTTCTGTACGTCTGCGTCAAAAGTCCACCCCCCTTGCTGCTGGCTTCTGTGCTCGCCCTGCCGCCGACGTACATCTTAGACAGAGTGAGAAAGAAAAGCACCCGATCGTTGGGCAATCTTTCTTGCTCCCCCCCGAATCAAGTTTTCCAGACAAGTTTCGTCTCGGCCATCAAATCGAAATCAACCAGTCCTGCATATTGATAGCCCAAATCCCCTTCGAATCTCCAGTTAGATGCCGTCTCGGCCCACCAAAAAGCCAATCTCCAAAAGCCCATGACCGCATCCGCCCGCCATTCCGAGCATCATACAGTACTATCATGGAGCTTCACATCACTAACACGTATTTTTCGCGCCCATCCTTTTTTTCAATGAACGAACCCAACCCTTGGCAGAGCTGCCCAAATCGCCCCAATCACCGTCTGCCGCCTCACACCCAAAATCTCGCCCCTTCGCCAATCCCATTTGTCAGGCCCGGGATAACTAACAAACAAACAAGAGGAGGACCAACTGGCCCCTCTCATCTCATGCATGTGCTCGCTCAGAGGCGCTAGGCACAAATCCTCGCCACACCTTTTTCTTCCTCATTCTCATGCCCACTCTCCTCTCTTGTCTATCCCTTTAACTTGTTATGGGCAAAGCTTCCCAATCTCCGTCTACTCTGCCTCGCTTCCTGCAAGCCCGTCTTGCTCCAATCCCATTCGTTTCCCGCATCGACGCTACCTGATGCTAGGACGAAACAAGATGTCGTTGGATTGCTCGTCTGCAGCTTCTCCAACCCCCCTGCCTTGCAGCAAGAATACCACCTCACCACACCACCTCATCAAGCATCAAGCAGCTTTTTCTCCAAGTCTATGCCCGAACGAAACAGGCGCTCCCGTCTAAGCCAGTAGAAGCTCTTCTCCTTACACAAGTCGAGACCCTCTCTTCTTTCTATGATCCATCCAACACTGCCCGGATATCAACAAGCTGCTTGGCTCCATTCTCCACACGCATCGACGCCTATCCAAGCCATTGGCTCCTCGCTCACATCATCATCATCATCTGCAATCTCCTCGAATAGTAGCCCATCTTCATCCTTCCCATCCATCCCCTCTCTCAAGCCGCTCTGCCCACTTGCTCCTCGACTAATCCCGCCTCGTCCAAGTGCCATTCATATCACCAATCCATGTTCGAACTTCGGCTCCTCCCACCCCACAGCGTCACATCGAGCCAGGAAGAACCGAGAAAGCCAATTTCTGCCTTTCCTACCTAACCTTGGGCTAGCTAGACACACTTCGACCTTCTCCTCTTTTTGCCCTTCTTCCCTACTGTATTGCTTCAGACACCCACAGAGTTGCTAGTGGCAATGGCCCCCCATCCACTAACTGTCACGTTCTCCAAACAAAGCACCTAGAATCCCGTCAGCCTCCACATCCAAATGGATTACGCTAGTATTCGTCTATCGTACCTTCAACTTGTCCTTGGCGTCATCCACATCTTCCATCTCTTCCAAACGGGACTGGAGATAGAATGAGAAAGAATAGACTGGCGCCACGCCTAAAGTCCACGATTAGAATCAAACACACACACACGGTCCCCTCTTTCTTCGCTCCGTTCCCCACTACTTCCATCTCCATCTCCATGAGCACACACGCACACAGTCCCCAGCCAGCCGTAGGACTACCGATAGACCAAGACCAGACCCATGAGAACTTGAGGTTGACTAATGCTGCGTGTTTTCGCTCCTCTCACCCCCTTGCCTTGCCTTTTTACTCCAAAAATGGCGCGTTCTTTCTTTGGTCCTTGTATCTTCTCAATCTGTGACTGGGTCCCGGAACCTGCGGCCACTAGCTCAGGGGATGAACTGGCTCGCTGGCGTTGGCACCACATGTTACTCCATTCAAAGAGTCACGGTAGTGTTTGGGTCAGGTAGTGAGTGAGTGACATTGGCTGCCCATCGTTCGCTTTCATCGTCGATGCTCAGCGTCATCCAAGATGCCACCCATGGCTAGTATCTTGTCCCCGTTTCAGGTAGTCTCCCAAACCATTGCCGTCTGAGTGCATACGAGTATACGAAGCAGTAGACTGTCGAAGTAGATTGAAGGAGATTGAACGGGGGTCATGAGAGGTACTCACTTCGAATGTGAACATCGCCCAAGTAGAACCCAAGAATGAAGTCAAATCACAAAGAATTGGAAAATATGTAATTGATGTCTGATAAAACGTATATTTGGTTTTGAAGGCAGTGGCTTAGAAGCCGGCCTTCTTCTCTTCTTAGTTAAAACGTGTTGCGGCAGCAATTTTTAGCAGGTCCGCGAGGGCTATTGAGGCCCAAAATCTTCTATCTTTGTGTGATCTCTCACAAACAGAACACCAAAATCAGGAGCCGAGTCTTACAGTTCTCCCATCCCAAAAGTCTTTCCCAAGTCCACCGTAAAACAAAAAAGAAAAAAAGACAACCGGAATTCTTCCTTTGCCGTCCCAGTAGCGAATGAATGCGTAGTAGATCCAGCTTCAAAGCGAGCCTTCTCATAATCAGGGTGTTTCTTTCGTCAAGCGTCGTTTCCTTCTCATTTCCATCAAAAAATTTCGCAAATAACTCCCCGTCTTTCATTCTTCCCAAACAAATCAAAAAGCCACTGCGTTGTATGCGGTCTTCTCTCCATACAAGTTTCTTTGCGCCGGTACTGATGCCTCTGATACGAAGGACACGCTTCCCAAACTCCTCATCCTGTGGGTTAAAAAAAGAGAACAAAAAACTCCCCGCTATAAAGGAAAAATCCAGTGCGGCAAAGGCGAATCGTAGAAAGAAAAAGAAAAAAAAAATTTGTTGGATAGATACAAGTTGTGAATCGAATATTAGGCTTTTGACACTCCAAAATGAGGTGTCCAATTTTGTCGCTGTAATAATTGTCAAGACGCCTTTTTTTTCCCGTTTTGTTCCGGATGCGTATAGCATTAAAAAAAGATGTAAGCTCGGCTCTTTGGCTTCAAGCCTTGGTTCTGTAAAGGCCGGTGTAAAGGTAGCGGTAGCATTATGTTCAATGAAGCCAAAGATAAAAAGAAAAAGTTTTTCAAGTCGAGTGACGAGGCCAACAAGTATTACAATGTTGAATTGCCCTCGCCAGAGTGTTGGTCTTTAGTAGCAGCCAGGAAGGGATGATAAGAAAGACACCTGTTGGTGAAAAGGCACAGGGTGCTGCATCATTGGCACCTGCTGAACGTATTTGACCACTTCCCACAGAGGGAAGAAGGATTTGGGTTGGCAAGTAGGCTGCACAGGAATGGGTGCCTGGATAGGAACCGGGACTTGCTGGCAGGGCAGATGTTGTATGGGCGCTGCCACCACAGGAACGGGAACAATGGGAGTATGCAGAACAGGCACGGGGACAGGGCCAGTGTACTGCTGTGGGACGAACTCGTGGCCGTGATACACGGGCTGTTGTTGCTGCTCGCAAAATTCCTCTGGCTCGTAGGTTTGGGGAATGTACTCCCGAGGCAAGTCCTGCTGGTCTGCCATGAAGTCTTCGTCCTCATCATCGTTGTCAAAGTCATCAATGGTCGACACACTCGAGATGAGCGAGCCTTCATTGGACGACGTCGAAACAGGCGAGAGGGGCGAGTCGCAGTCATAGTCGTCGACTATGGCGTCCTCGTTGGGAACGTATTGGTCTTGGGTAGAGGTGGGTGTGGGCAGAGTCATGGTGGGCACTGCTGGCACGGTGAACTGGGAACAAGCAATGATCCTGTTACGCAGCTCAGAGAGAGTCACCCGGTGCTCGGGGTTGGGGTTGAAGATGCGGCCCAAAATGTCATTGAGCTCATCAGTCAACGGGAGGATGGTCTTAAGAAAGTCCTGGGAGCGAACATATGCGCGGTAGGTGGAGTCTTGAAAGGAAGCCTGCTTCCATGGGTTGCGTCCGCAAGTCAAGTTAACTAGGATGACTCCCAGACTCCAGACATCATTGGGGGCACACATGTAGTAGGGCTTTCTCGCGGAAGGGTCCAAGCACTCTGCAAAGTCGTCTCCGTTAGTCAATTGCATCTTGTCGTCGTGTTGGTGGAGTGGTTGTGTTATATTTACCTGGGCTCATGTAAAAGGTTGAGCCGCATCCGTAGTCCTCGGAGCGGTCCTCACTGGTAGCAAGTCCAAAGTCGGCCAGCTTGACGGTCTCTCCATTGTCGGTGACGAGAATGTTCTCAGGCTTGAGGTCCCGGTGGTAGATGCCCAAGTTGTGGCAGTGCTCAACGGCATCCAGGATCTGAAGGAACACCTTCTTAGAGAGTTCATCTTTACCAACGTACTGACCGCGCTCAGTGATATTCAAGAAGAGGTCACCCTCAGGGCAGTACTCTAGAATAACATAGATGCAGTCAGGGTCATCGACAATCTTCAACATGGACACCACGTTAGGGTGCGCCGATGCGTGGTAGTGCAGACGAATCTCTCGCTGCTGGTAGGCAATCTGGCGGCGTTCCAGTGGTGTTCCGTCGGCATTGTACTTGCTCAGGCACTTTACAGCATACCGAGCTCCAGTGTTGATATCCAGGGCAGTGTAGACGACGCCATATGCGCCGGTACCAAGGATATCTGTTAGCTGGAGCTTACCCTCGAGAAGACGTCCTAAACGCTGCTCTGGGGCAAGGGGTACACATCGGGGCTGGAAAGTGCGTGTCGCAAAGGGCTGTTGGACGTTGCACTTGGGGTTGTCGTACGCGGGAGAGGCCGGGGGAGTGGGATATCCATACGGGGCATGGTGCTGCATGTTAAGCGACTTTGGTAGGGGGCTCTCCAAAAGGTTCGGTGGTCCTCAAGGGTTCAGGTCAAGTACCAGATCCGAAGATGGGAGGTGCAAGAGGATTAGATTAACAAAAAAGAATTAAAGAAAAAAAGAAAGAAAAGGATCCTTTGGACGGAGCGAGTTGATTGGGTTTGTTTTCCTTTGGAAGTTGTCGACGGGAGTGGAGGTCCCGTATAAATCACAGGCCGAAGTTCCAATGGGATACCAGAAGCAGCCGCATACAGCAAAGGAAAAAGTTCTCGAACGGCCGAACGAACGGGTCAAGAACGGCGTTGAATTGTCAACGGCTTCGGGGTGTCGAGGGTACCGGACTAATAATGGATAATAGTATGAGAGGTGTGAGACGGGTCCTGGAGTCCTGGAATCCAGAAAGAAAACTTGAATTGAGGTGAGAGAGGAAGATGAGCGTTGAAGGAATGTCGTGAACGTGGTGATGCGTGTAATTGACCCTCGGCCGAGAGTGGGCAACAAGAGGTAGATATCAAACCGGACCTTGGCCACGGCGTGGATCTATGACTAGACCTTAGAGAGCGAGGCGGGCGAGTGTTCAGACCCCAGAACAAGACGTACCCGTTTCTCTCGTCTCGGGGCCCTGCGAATTGCGCGGAGCATCCACACCCAAGAGACCCACCTGTGGAAAGCTCATCAGACCCTGGCCCTGTTGGAAGAGATGAATGGCATGGGCGTTGTCTTAGGCGGCCAGGGGGGGGGGGGGGGCTAATGTGCCAGCTATTCTTAACCAGCGCTGCAAGGTTCGTCGACAGCCTTAGGTGGGCACCAGACTAACGAGGCAGGGATCATAGCGCGACGCTGAGCAATATACGAGAGCGAGCATACTCTGACACACCAAATGAAGCGGTTCGCTGTGACTTGTGTGTCATCCGCTTGCTCGCCCTCCCTCACACAACACACCCCCTTCTGCTCGGCTTGCACTAGCGACCCTTGGTCCCACACACAACGTCAACATGGTGGCCAAAGGAAAACAGCTAGGCGATTCCAGCCCCCCCGATCCAGTCGGCTTCGACGGTGTCATAGTCAAAAGGTTGAACCGCCGTAATGGGGCGAGGATGTCGGATCTGCGGCGGGCCACAGCAGGTCAACACCCTTCTCATCAACCAGGCCGTGCCACTTGCACAGCTCGACTTGACTGGCTGGCGTGCTTTCCCACCACCCACCCGCTTCACTGCCTGGCAAAAGCGTCATGGTCGGCCGCGTGACTGGCATGACATTTCCGTTCTGTGAGTGAGTGTGAGAAAGTCAATAGGGAAAGGCTTGACTCGCCCTTCTGGCCATGCTCTTTTGGGCCAACTGAGTGTGACTACACCTACAGTACGGTACAACGTACTGGAATGGGACGGATGAATCTTGTCAGGCCAATGAGCCCGTGGCGGAGGCGAATAACGAAAATGAAAGAAGACGGGAGGACCTAGTACCGGTGTACTCCGCTGCTCGCTGCTAGCAGCTGATTTCTGTTGAGTAGTCGATACCTACGAAAGCGCCGGGTCCTCGTCTCGCTCCCACTTCAGGCTGCTGGAGCAATGGCAGCAGTCAATGCGCTCGCTCACTGGCCGAGCCCCGTTTACTTGGCTGCTCCATTTTGTTTGGTGTCTGTCTATACCCGTACGTACGAGTACGCACAACAACACGCTGACCCTCACTCCAGGGCGTTCTGGTGGGTAACAGGCAGCAAGCCAGACCGAAATGCATGAAGCAATGCTGCCTGCCCGCCTGCCTGCCTATCGCTTTGACTGTGATCAATAGTCATTCTGACACAGAGGCTACTGCTACCTGTACCTCGCGTAGCCCAGTTCACCGTCCACCTCACTTGGAGCGGGGGATGGCTGCTTGTGTAGATCAATGACTGCAAGCGTCCATTCGAGTTGGCAGCAAGCGTCGTAAGAGATTGGGCCAGCATCAATTCAGTGGGTAGGAAAGCTGCATTGCAGCACTCTCTGCCACCTGCAACCAAAACAGTAACATGGCAGCATGGACAGGAAGAACAAGGAGGGAAAAAAGGTGGACGAGCCGTGGGTGCGTAGCATTCAGTTGACACTGTGCCATCTCCGCTGTACAATGCATCTGTGCATTGCATTCCCCATCGATGGTTGATATTGATGGCCACCGCAAACCAATAGCAAGGCCAGCCTTGAGGAGTAATGCAGGAGGTGGATGGTGATGGCTGCTGCTACGTGACTGGTCGAGTGGTATGCAGACCCAAGTCCACACCCTGGCACGGCGCTGCAGTGCTCTGCCAGCACAGTATGAATCGCCACGTCGGGAGTGCTTGTTTGTGTTGTGTGCAGACGCTGCCGGTCAGACAGTAGGATTCAGGAGTGTGAGGTTTCCGGATCAACCTGTGCCAGCGTTTGTCTGGCCAAATGAGAGCGGGAAACACAGCAAGAGTCGGCCAATGGCAATTCTGAGGAATGCAATGCAGCTGCTAATAATACTTAGGCGCCATGTGGTCGACAACTCGGCCGGCGTTGGCATCACGATGTCCCTCTGCGCTGGCGGTCTAGTGGACGTGGACGCCGTTGGATGAAGGCAAGCCGAGCCAAAGGGGGATAAGCATCGACACTGTGGTTTGGGCGGAAGCGAGCGAGCGTGGCCAGAGTCCGCTGGAGTGTGCATTGCATTGCACTGTACTCCGTAACAACGAACGAGCCTGAGGCCGTAGAAGTGTCGCCACCGTCCTGCTGTCTACTGTCCTGTACTCGTCCTCTCGCTCGGTCCTGTGCCGTGCTGAACTAAACACCCCAGTAGCAGAAGAGCCAGCGGCAACCGAGCCCGTGTGAGCACGGAGTAAACGTGGCCAATATCGCCCGCAGCAGAGATGAGCCAACTGCTCAGCCGATGAAGGGACCACAGGGCGCTGGCCAAAAGCGGAGGCTTGCATCCGCTTGTGGCGTTGTCGTCTGATTGGGACGTGATGCCAGGCACTTTGAAGACGCAGGAAGCAGACCAATCACCCGCCACAGTCACAGCAGGTCCCCCACCCGACGCCGGCTTGGATCAATTATATGCAATGTTTGGCCCCAGCCTTGTTTTCCGTTGGAGCAATCTCAAGTCGACAAGGGCAGACAGAGGTCGGTCCCACCCTCTAGGCCAAACAGTGAGGCTGTTCTCTGTTCTCCGGGTCCGTTGCGGTTGCATTTGCTCGTGCTGCGTCCATGATATGTACGGGGTTGAAGAAGGAGGCGTCCAATGGAAGGGCACTGAGAAGCAGAAGTGGGATATTGCGCAGTCAACCTGATGCACTTGGCAGCCGCCGTTGGTACCGGCCTGCAGATTGACTGATTTTCACGACGCTTTCCAGCAGCATTGCGGCAGAGATGGAGGGCCGGTGGCTTGTCTGCTTGTCCATCAGTGTGAGGCCAAGGCGGTCCAATGGCCCTGATGATTCGATTTGTTTCGATTGTGTTGGAGCAGAAGAGCAAGGGGGTGTGACTTGCTGCTTGTTGCTGTTGTTGTGGCTGTTGCTGTTTTTGTTGATGTTGTTTATTATTCGGGGGCTGCATCATCATCTCTGCCGTTGCGTCTGTCCATCCATCCATCATTTCGTCCATCCACCCATCCACCCATCCACCCATCTTCACGGCAAGGCCTCGAAACATCCCCGGCGCTGCTTTTCCCTCTCGGTGGCCTCTTGTCTCGGAGATGAACGGCCGCGTGATGCCCCCAAACACACAATTCACTGGTGTTGCTGTAGTTAGTCATTCGATCCTCGCAGGTCTTTGTCCACGTCGTGACTCGATAGAGTTTGTCTAGATCTTGATAGAACCCTGGGCGAAGGACGGGCCGTCCAGGCGCTGTCATTGGCCCGCTAACGACGCAAGGGATACGAGGTACTTGTACACGTGCCTGGCCACGTACACAGTCTGCGGCCGTTGATTCTCCGCCGCGAGTCCAGACTATACTACACGTAGGAATACGGTCCGTGCGACAAATCCGCTATCCGCACGTATCATTTGTACCCAGTACGGGGCGGCACAAACAGGCGGTCTGGTGTTTTGTGCTGCATCTCTGAATCAACCCGTCTCAGTCCCCTTTTTTTTCTTCCTTCTGCGACATTCGCCATTCGCCCTGCCTCTCAACCAGGGTTCTTTTTCTCTCTAGTTTCTCTCTACGCCATGTCACAGCGGATGGCCCGCTTCTAGCCGGCTTCGGAATAGCATCCCTGGGAACGCAAGACCTGGATCTGGCCTCTGGAGCCGGGCCTGTCCTTGTTGCGTGGCCTGTGCTTGCTTTTGACTCGGCGTGAATGTGAATCCTTTCACTGCTGGGATCCGCCGATCTCATCCTGCCGTGCCACTGGCCATGGACCATGACCATGACACTTTCTACTGTAAGTGCAAGTTGGCAGCAGACTGAGTGTGTCTACTTGCATGGACGGCAGAGCACGGGCTCTCGGCTTTGCTGCGGATCCCTGGCAACTGGCCAGCGAACACGGGCCTTTGGCCTTGCATTGCGATCCGCACGGCGATCCATCACTGTGGACGGACTGATAACCGATGGCTTCATGGTTTTTTCGATCGAGCTTCTTCGTCCGGCTCGAAGTGCAGCAAGCATGTCCAAGATGATATGCAGGGCTGCTCGTATGTGGCCATTTCTGCTGTCTTGAAGAGAGAGTGAAACAGGCAGGCGCTTAACAAGACAACTCCAGCGGCTTTGTGCCACTCTACTCTACTCATTACGTGTCAATGTACCAAGCGGCCATTTTGTCTGGACTCATCTCATGCCAAACTTGGAGCCGTTTCGCTCTGCCGCCGACACATACCCTATACCTCTTGACCTCCACCCAGGTAATTTGCCATTGCCTGCCACTACCTGCTCACATGCTCCATCCCTCCAGGCCCCAACTTGGTCCAGTTGCTATTTACAAGGTGCTGGAACCAACTAGTACGGAGTCTGCACAGCTGCTAGCAGTGTTACGAGCCCATGTGTGCACTTTCAATAGATTGCCTACCAGCCCTTTCGCCTGGGTCCACGGAGCATATTCCGCTTAGGATGGTTCCGACATGACATTGGCCCTGGCTCGAATCCATCAGTGTGACATCAAGATTGGTTTTTTCTCGTGGCCTGAGGCCAAATCTACCAAGAGGCACAGTTCCTATCCTGCCCCCCTGCCTGGTCCCGATATCAGAGAAAGGGGGAAAACAACGTTATTCCAGCAGCTTCTGATGCCTCTTACAACCGCACGCACTAGAGCAAACAAGGCGTTGGATGATTGGATCTGGTAAAACCGGGAGCAACACAAGGCGAGTGGAAAAGCGGCTTCGGGATCCAATGAGGTGCCGCCCACTATCTCTCAAGTGGTGGCTTTGCAGTATCGTGGCAAACCGGCCCTCAGCTGAGCAACGCCGTCTGCGCACCATCCCAGGGCCAAGTTTCGGGAGAGATGACGGCGGCTGGAGGTTCGCGAACCAACTTTCCAACCGGCCTTTGTCAGCAGGGCTACCAAGTCGTAGATCGACTGATGATTGTCTCGCCATTCATCATATATCCCATCAGGGTAGTTTACTTGAGGCGAAACAGCAAGCATGGATCTTCAAACAGGATGATCGATCGCGTTGGATGATGAAAGCAACAGCACAGTACTGCATGTTCAGTGATCCACATGCCTGATACAATACCTGTTTTTCTTTCTTTCAGTCTTTTTCCTTCTCAATCGACTGCAAGATTCGATAGACACCGATGGCGGATGAGCCGATGCGGAGTCTGGAGTCCGCCTTGTCTAACTGGGCAGACTAACCACCATTACACAGACATGCAGCTCTCCAGCCGCCAACAATGTCTCGCTCATCAAACCGGTTGCTTAACTCGTACGTGTAGAGTTTGACCACTGCTAGTCTTCTGCGGCCTGCGGCAACCCTGCATACTGCCAGTGCCATCACACTACAGTACATGTGCACAGGGTCATGCCCTTGAACCAAATTTTCGTTTGCCTCCCTGCCGCTCCCAAGAAAAAGTGAGACAACCACATGGCGGTACCGCATAAACAGGGCTACGAGCAGGCATCCATAGCTACAACATGTTGTTCTTAGGAACGTCTGATGGCCAATGAAGCCAAGGATCAATATTGAGCAGTCCAACACTGCTACTCAACCTGCCACCGGCGCCTGGAGAAACGCCAGGAGGCAAAAAGGCGATGCGGACGAGGAGGCTCATGCATAGCTAGTCCCTGCGGCTGCCTGCAAGTCATCCAGGCCCAGGGCACGCCACTCATCTCGGCATCTCGCCGGGGCCACAGTCTCACTGAGCAGCACGAGCAAGCGCTCTGCTCTGGATTTAGACTGCTTACGGGTGCGTACGAGCCTCTGTGACGGCGTCACCTTTTTCTTCATGAGCCGCACCGGTAATGCCGCCTTTTCCAACTCCATTGCGGCCGCTAGGTGCAGGATGGAAATCACAGTTTCCACTAGCTGCCTTAGTGCATCCGCCCTGTCGATAGCTCAGCTGTCCATTGTTTCGAGTGTGCATGACCCAGTCAAATTTTCCCTTTCTTTTTTCTGCTGCCGAGATTTTCTTTTTCCGGCTGTGGATTTGTCCCGCTCACTTGACATGGCTTTGCCGCGTTCTGCGCTCCTCCCTGGTTCCAGACTGTTGCCCGTCTCGGAATACAGCGAGACACGGACGGCGGAGATCGGGAATGTGGGGCCGGAGAATCCGATGTTCACATGGATTGAATCTCTGGAATGTGTTTGCTACGTTTTTATCGGGCCGGGCGATGTCTGAGCACGTCAAGGGAGACGTGTAAGCCAAGGAAGGGGAAAGGAAATAACTTTACTTTCGGGCTCGTGGGCGTGGGCTTGGGCTTGGATGATCCAATAGCATATGACGTCCAAGTGCTCGGATTGCGTCTAGACTACGTACGCAGTTTTCGGGTCTGAACTCTTTGTCATAGATGGGTTAGAGCTGAAAGGGGACGCCGTTAGCAATCAATTAATAAGATCATCCGTTCTGAAGCGCTACATTGGTTTGAGTTTCGGTAATGCCAAACAAGCTGCTGACATGGAAGCTGATATCATGTTCGAGAATCCAAATGACGCCGTTCAGCAGGACAATGACCTACCATAGTATGCCCCAAATCGACTGCGGAGATACTATTCGAAAAGAGGCACTCATAATTCAATAAACTGCTCTCCTTAGTAGCTATGATGATGCTTGGCGTCCAAGGAACAGCTGACGGTTCGCCGAGAGCTAGAGCTTCGAGATGGCGCACGCCGGCAACGAGAAGCCACAGCCCCAGATCAGTCTTCCAGGGCTGTGTGAGAGAAGAGCTCTCTCGGGATAATCAAGAGGTGGCCAGAGCTCCCTTCGCTTAACCCCAATCCTGCTCGTTAATTGAAGGATAGCAACCTGGAGATACCAAATTGCCCAGACTGGTGGCAGTTTACTTCCCAGGTCCGGGTCGAAGTCGAACGCCACTGAAGTAAAAGCAACAAGAATGGCGACGGCGGGGTAGATGGCAGATCGCGATTAACATGGAGAATTACTCAGTGCAGATATCCAATGCTTTGTTTTCTCCAAGAGCCTAGTTCCTGATTAGAGGCGTCATACGTTTGGAGCTGTGGTCCTGAGTGGGAAGCTAATTGTTGACCGGTGGCAACTCAACGGCTGTCGGTTAATGGCTGACTACTGCTCTAACATGACATAACGTTCCTCTTTCTTACTGATCGCCCCTTTTGTGCCAAGTCAGCCATTATCCATTGGGGCTTCCCTTGGCAGGGAAAGAAAGGCCGAGTGGCCTGAACTCTGTTATGCTTTGAAGATTTATGGGATCAGCGACTGGATAGGAAGAGTTCGATCACGTATTACCCCGGCGGGACGACCTAAGGTCTTTACCACGAAGCGATAACTGCTCCGTACTATGTGATAAAACCTCACTTATTTGGTGATACGTGAATAAAACAATTACGTCCATGATGAAATCCCGCTTATGGACTGCTTCATGAAATGTGGTTTGGTGGAATCTGGAGAGAGCATATTAGCGCATTGATGGCGATGAAACCACCTCCAGAGGCTACTCCATTCATCGCGTCAGGCAAGCTCAAGACTGTAAAGTCTTAACATGCTTCTACCGGACAAATTCATATGTATACATCCATGGGCTGGATTTCTCCAATGAGAATAAAGCACAAGTGGTGCAGTGTTGTGATATTGGACTAATGTTGCATTATACGGCATAATTAACAAGAAGCGTTTAACGATTCATGGCCTAATTCTCTAACGCCATATGAAACCACATCTCAGGAGATCCCACGGGGAAATTTGTGATTAATGATAGGGCACTCCGTACAAGAAGCGTCCAACGATTCATGGCCTAATTCTCTAACGCCATATGAAACCACATCTCAGGAGATCCCACGGGGAAATTTGTGATTAATGATAGGGCACTCCGTACAGAGCCGTTGAACGAGTGGCTGTCGATGCTACTTTAGCATTCGTTAATAGTTTGGTATAGTAGCAATAGCCTGCTTATCCGCTCTATTATCAAATCTAGGCGTCAGTGCTGATTTGACAGAAGGACTGTGTCTTTATTGTCAGTATAGTGACGTTTTTCGAGCATTCACTACTTGAAATGGCATGACTTTAGATCATCGGAGGTGTGGTAGAGGGGTGCCCGGGGCTTGGTTAAAGGGCCATCCAGAGGCATCTCCGCATCACAGACTGAAGTCATTCAAGAATCTGCAAGACGAATTGCCGTAGTCACACGGTCTACTCGTAGGCAAATCCAATAGTACGCTGGCGATTGACGCCTTCACAAGAAACCTGTTTTGACAGTGAGGTGATACGCACGTTGTAGAGGAGGAGGTCCTCCGCGCGAGAAGAAATTTTCTTTCCCACGGGGATCCCGCATTAATTAATTGGAACCCCCCTACTTCATTCATGTGAAGGGCATGGCTAAACAAGATAGTTGATGCCGGCCGGATCCGGGAATTTTGCTGTTGCACTGACTTCTTTATCCCTGGTAGGGAGATCGCATGATAAGTGAGGTGATCTGGCGCAGCAGCCCTTACAGGGCCCGGTAGTCACCGATCCCGCTTGGATCGTATGATATGGTTATAAACCTTGCGAGGAATGTAGCAGATCTCGAGAACTAGGCTCGCTCCGAAGCAGAAATTGTCCGAAGGGGAAGTCATACGACGCGCCGGCTTGTTCACGTGTAAGCAAAATTTCTCAACGTGGCCATGTACCAAAGCCGTAGCATTCCGACGATGATATATTGTTTGTAAAAAGTCAATAGTATTGATCATATGAGTGATGAATCGATGTTCTTGCCAACCGGATGCTATGTGATATATCTCCGGAATTGCTAACCGGGGGATACCGGCTATCGAGCCGGGTTCGAAAGTAATAATCGGTCTATATGGATGTCATATACGGATACCCTGTGACTGCTGCATATTCCAAAGCCTTGGTGCATTAGAGTTAACATGTTTGACAAGGATATGTGTGAAAAATCCACTCCATGACGGGGAAAGGTGAATCTGCATTCTCTGTGCACAATGGTATGTACAAGTGAGTAGGATCTGAACAATAGGACGGGGATGCCAATTGTATAATGATCAATATATATATTTACCATGATATACAGGCTTATTATGTTCAAATATATTAATTTTCTTGTTTTCTTTAATATATCATTCTTTGAGAGTTATATCACGTACTTGTAAAAAGAAAGTCATGATTTATGTGCATTTCGCTTATTTCTCTCTTCTTGAGGTATATCCCGTTCGGTATATGATCGTGTTGACATGATACTATTCAATGATAATATTTGTAAACGAATTGCAGGCGGAAGTTATGACAATAAGACAGACAGATCTCTAAAGATGTAGCTGATGGCAGCCGCTACAGCCATTGTCGAGAAATGCCTGGGATAATTCCACCTAATATCTTATAGGTTCATACAATTACTCTATTATTATTTATTGTAATATTTCTATTATCATACGAAGTTCCATTGGTAAATTGATCTTGGCAGAACTTCATCAGTTTATAACGAAGACAATGAACCATGATGAGAAACTGACTCAGTTGCCATCACTCGCCGACTTTCACTCATACCGTCTTGTTTCGTATCCCAGATATCTGCGAATGTGAAAATCACGTAAGGCATCTGCAAAAAGAAGCCATAATATAACATATAATACATTATCTATGAGACGAATCAAGAAGACCCCCAACTCCTTTGGAGCCATTGATGTGGCACCGCATACGTTCTATACCAGATATTTAGAGCCTCTTGGACTCACTGGACAAACCCAAACTCCAATCCCGATTGAAAGCAATGAACTCTAAAAAACGAAGATCCCAAAATGTACTCAAGTGCTACTTTAGAAAAGCCCCAATGTCATTGCGAGCCGATAGAGCATGACTAGAAAGGCGAGAAAAATGATAAGGTTGACAAGGTATCGAAATGCCACATTTTTCATCTGGTTACGGTTGCGACGCCGAGATCGAGTTACAAAGTCTGAGTTGTCGTTGACATTCGGGAACGGAGATTCCTTGGGAATGGGCTCGCCCAGGAACTCGCAGAGAGGCCCCCATCCATCGGTGACTCTGTATTCCAGCAGGCGATCTTTCGGCACGAGGCTTCTGACCTCTTCGTAGTGCTTCCTGAAGACATCTTTGCCACGGTTCGGAAAGTCGCCCTCGAAGAAGGTGTCGAAGAACTTCTTTAGCATGGGATAGTACATGCTGGCCGCCCAGTCAAAGTTGGAGAGCCAGCGCAGCTCTTGGTCCGTCACGCGCCAGTACACCGTCTTCATGGTTGAAGCGTGCCACGAGTCGACGTCTCGGTTGGTCAAGACGACTTTTGCTTCGGGATAGGCTTCGATGAGTTCTTTGGCGAAGGCGATGGCTGGCCAGTCGCACACGGCCTGCGATGTACCGAGGAGCTGGTCCCAGTCTTCGCGGGTGAAGGGCTTGCCTTGCTTGTCGTATTTGGCGCAGAGAGCGTCCATCCACATGAGGGCATCTGGAGGGTTTTCGATGGAGGTGTTCATCATGTGGTATGTGTCTACATAACCAAGCTGTTTCATAGCCGCTCGCATGGCTTCTTGAAGTTAGCGATATGGATCATATTATACTTTGTGGACGAAGATACTAGGATAGAGAACTTGGTTCAAATAGAATAGACATACAAGCAGTGCCAGTACGACCCAGGCCTAGAATGAGGACTTTCATGGGCACCACACGGCCGAGTTTGCGGCGGTTGATATCGGTATCGCTCGTGAAGATGTCCGTCCGAGGGCGAGAGGTGTACTTGGAAGAATACGCCATCTTGAATGTTGTGTATTATGCAGTCTCTGTGAATGTAATGTATTATAAACGAGTGTTGTTGTATGAGGAGCACGATGCTATAAAGAATGACGCTTGTCAAACGATTCAAGAACGACAACTGAAAGATGAACGTTTAATGAACGAACGGCGAGTAATTTGTTCTAGATAGTAAGGGATGTAGCAAACTTTATGTCTCAACATAGAATGAGAGGAGAGCATATCTAAACCGCTATCAACAAGGGTCTAAGTCGAATGGGGAAAGTTATGGGTTATCTTTCAGGCAAATGGATATTGCACTTTGTAGATCTAAGTATTAGGGGTATCCAGACGAAGAAGTGTAGCCGACTCTTGTATCGTAACTAGGTATCAAACTCGAATCGCCTCCTGCTAATCATAGAACCCAGTGTCAACTCACTCGCCATGGTACGAGCGGCTCTTGTAGCCATGTTGTATATTTGTCCGTATAGCACAGTTTGAGAAGATTCAATCTGGAGAGAGTGCTCCTGTTTTCGTAGCTCCTCCTGTCCACCTTACTGGGGCTATGTTACAGGGAAGTGATCCATAATAACTATGGATTCCGGTTTAAGATATCGTGAGTAGTGCTTGAACGACGACGGGAAACGAGTTGGTGATCCTCGGACACGTCATCTCTTTCTATAAGCCATTCCTCGAATCTATGTCTATTGTCTAGAAAGGTCTCTGCTATTGATACTACTATGACCAGTTACCTCTAGCAGTTTGAAGGCTCTTGGAGATATAACTCGGACAACCCTTTCTAAAGACCAAGGCACAACGTTATCTGGCCAAAATAGATACCGGTACTCTCTTGGGCTGTGGCTGGTGTTGATCGTCAATGCCAAGAATGATCATCAGGGACGGAATAAAAAACAACAACAATACTATCGATACCAGCCAACCATCTCTTCTATTTCTCCGTTTTGCTGTATCAAGAGGATCCACCATCGAGAAACACCACCGGCTCGTCGGCCCCCGAGTTCCGCACTGTATAGTCGCCACAAAGAGATCGGCATTTCCACAACGACGGCTTACGCGGCAAAATGGATACCATTTCATTTTTTCTTTGTTTCACATAATAGGAGAGATAATTTGATCAGCTTGAAAGTGCTGCGCTTGTAGCCGTTCTGTATCAGTTGGTCAGCCCACGCGTCGGTGCGTTGATATAAAATATAAGTGGTGAACCATTGCGTGTGCCTGCTTGCGTCACCGTTCACGTGGTAAAGAAGTTATGAATCCAATGCAATCGAAAGCTTGAAAATAATAAAGAACAGTAACTCTGGTCATATTAACTAAGCTGTAACGCAATTAATTAACCGACTTTAGTCGAGCGAGCACTCTTCGAATATCTTCGAGATGCGGATATGATAAGCCGCGATTCCTTTCTAGAAGCTGCCTATGCAGGAAAAGTAAAGAATGATTGGCTGTTAAACTTGTTCCGTTGCTAATGACGATTTTCACGTCTCCTGACTACATGGAAAAAGGCGCCCTATTCTTATCCACACGTGGTGCCCCTGATCATCACTTTCCCAAACTGTGAAGCGCTGGAATATAGAAACGCCCCATTTCAACCTCACACACACCCCATCAGGCTTCGGATCGTCGCCTTTGTAACTCTTGAGAAAAAAGAAGAGTTTATTGCTCAAATATCACTTTATAGACACACTGGACACACTTGGACATCGCCGATAGTCCGAACACAAAATGATCAGCACAGCTGCGCACTGCACATACTCCCTCTCTGCCGAACAGCCTCACACGCCATCTCCTTCATGTCCTGTTAATATCCGCAAAAAGCTGAACCAGTGGAGTTTCAATTCTCTTGAGCCTGAATGCCAAGACTTTTAAACCCATTCCAGCCGCCACTTTCTCTTTGACTTGCGAAACGGAATTGCCTCCATCATCAAATCATGTATCCATGCGTTTGCGGATGATCTTCAGCCTGGTTCCCGGATACAGAGAGTTGCGCGTCGTATGCTTCGACTTTGGCGAGGTAAACTGCTGCAGACCTACTTTTTTCCGATTAGAAGATGGGAAAAAGGGAAATAAGGAAGCGAAGTTGAGCGGAAATCGGAGTGTTTCGGCCCCGATGCTGTGTCGTCACATCTTTCCATGCATCATGCAGCCACTCAAGCTTCTCTTCCCAGTATCATCACCACTTCTTGTCCATCAATAATTTTCAGCCTTGTAATAATTTTTAATTACTTTATTTTCGTCGACATTGTTCTTTTGTGACCTCTTTTCTTTTCCTTTGTCTCTTCAATTGGCGAAACTCACTTGTCATGGCGTCTTCGCATGCCAGGTCCTCCAGCAACGACTTTACCTCGACCGTACTTTTAGATCCCATTCGGCCACGAAAGAAACAAGATCAGCCAGATGGAACATGGCTTTCAGATGAACGGTCGATTCCAACGCTTGACGAGGTAGACGATGTCAACAGCCACTCCAGCTATGACTTTGAGTCGCAGCGGCCGCTTACTCCAGCGACACCCATGGAGAAGACGCAAGCCAAAACTTCTTCAGGCCCAGTGACATGGATGTCTCTTCCTCGAAAAGACCAGCTCCTCATTCTCTTCCTCTCACGATTTGTCGATTTCCTGCAGGTCGCGTCTCTCCAGGCATACGTCTTTTATCAACTCAAAGCCTTTGACGACTCTCTTTCAGATGCCCAAATTTCTCAGCAGGCGGGAGTCCTGCAGGGATGCTTCACGGGCGCCCAGGTAATGACGGCCATTCTATGGGGCAAGGCTGCGGATGCGAGTTGGTGTGGTCGTAAGTGGGTGCTGGTAACTGGACTTGCTGGGACGGCAATATCGTGTTTGGGCTATGGCTTTGCGACGACTTTCTTTTGGGCGGCTTTTTGGAGGGTTTTTGGCGGTGCCATCAATGGGACCGTGGGTATTATGTGAGTCCTCTCTTATACAAGGAAGAGGTGAGTAGATATGTAAGAAGAGATGGCTGACGTAGAAGCTGCAAACGATAGTCGCACAATGATTGCCGAAATCACAAAAGAGAAAAAGTACCAATCTCGAGCATTTCTGATTCTCCCTATGAGTTTCAACGTTGCAGGAATTTTGGGTCCAAGTGAGCAAGACTGAACGAGATGCCCTGAGCTGGCTTACTGACATTATGGTTTCGTACAGTCATGGGAGGCATGTTGGCTGACTCGAGCAAGACGCTTCCTGGTTTGTTTGGAGAAAAGGCAGTCTTTGGATTTCAGTGGATACGAGACTATGCGTACGCATTGCCAAGTCTGATCAATGCTGCTAGCTTGTCTATTGTGACGGTGATTGTGTTTCTCTTCTTGGAGGAGGTGAGAGATGCCCATTTTCTTGACAAAGGTGATTTGGCTGACATTTAAATAGACATCAAGATCACGACAACACAAGTTTGACCTTGGCCTTCACCTTGGGTCTCGGCTTAAAGCCATCATTTTCGGTAGTGAGCAAGCCGACGATTATGCTCGCGTTCCCGAATGGGAGGATCGTGCCATGGAGAATTTCCAAGACAAGCATATCCCAGCAGAGAAACCTGCGCCGTCACTGAATCGGCTTCCCTTCCGCCGACTTTGGACGCGAAACGTCTTGTTTACGCTGCTGACCGGGGCATTTTATGACTTCCACCTCGGCGCCTTTGGCAATATGTGGTCGTTGTTCTTGTCGACACCTCGATATTTCAACCCGACAAAGAGAAGCTCGGAGGGATCTGAACATCTACGTCGATATCTTCCTCTCTTGTTTACCGGCGGACTGGGTATGCCTGCGTCGACGGTTGGCGTTGCGACGTCTTTTCTAGGATCACTGGGGATGCTGCTACAAGTGACTCTATACCCTCCCGTCCAAGCACGTCTCGGCACGATGAGGTCCTTTCAGTGGTTCCTGTTTCTCTTCCCAGTTGCATACTTTGTCGCCCCCTACCTCTCAATACTACCATCCTGGTCACAACCCTCTGAGCCGGCGTCGGGAGGCTTCATCTGGGTGGGAATCATCGTTGTCCTGTTTCTCCAGGTAATGGCTCGCACATTCACACTCCCGGCGAGCATCATCTTGCTCAACAACTGCAGCCCGCACCCGAGCGTGCTAGGTACCATTCACGGCCTAGGACAGAGCGTATCTGCGCTGTTCCGGACAGTCGGGCCCGTGATTGGAGGCTGGTGGTACGGCTACGGCCTGGATATCGGCATGGTGGCCTGGGGGTGGTGGGGAGTTGCAGCCATGTCAGCTTTGGCGTGTGGGACTGCGATGGGGATGCATGACGGTAGCGGACATGAGGTTTTCTTGGAGGGAGAGATGGATGAGATGGAGTAGACGGTGTGAGGTTTGGTTCATCTTTGATGTTTGTTTTGGGCTGGGGGTTGAGTACTGTTGATGTTACAGATACCATTTGCATAGCCGGTTTGCTTCTCATTTGGTGAGCTTCACCAAGTATGATTTAGAAGAGCAACTAATACATAGAGTTCATGTTCGTCTCTTACCGATTGAATGAGATCCATTGATTGAATCTGCAAACCCCTGGTTGCCTGGTGCTGAGGTGGACCTTTCGGAGAGAACCCTGGCAATACGGATCCAGGCACCAAGCACAGGGATATGAGCAAACTGCAATTTCCACGACAAGTCACATCGCATCACGAGATGTCTGAATCTCACCTGAATTCTTGGCAGGTCTGCCTAGTATTTAACCTTACCGGCAGTTGAGGTGACTATTTGTCTTTTCTGCGAATCAAAATGCATTGACTGGCGTCTTAGTGTCGCGGCTGAAGGAGGCTGTGCCGCGATGGTCAGGCCCTCCCGTTGTGACACTGAGACGATGGCTGGGTAGCTCTGTCTCGTGTTTACTTATAAAGATGCTCAAATTCTCATCAACCATCATCGCTATCTAATCATATCTCTTCTATATATATTTCACAGCTCTTACAATGACGACGACGTTGCCACTATCACAACATGCTCTCGAAGCGCTGGCTAAAGAGACGATGCATGATCGCATCGTCGGCTGTCTTTTCGGATCAGCCCTAGGCGATGCCATAGGGCTATACACAGAGTTTCTCTCCGGAGAAACAGCTCGCCTCTCATATCTATCCCAGAAATTCACTCTTTATCCTCGATCTGAAGCCACTCCTTTTCGTCGAGACGCGCATCGCGACCCCAACGTGCCTGGAGAATGGACAGACGACACCGATCACGCCATGTGCATCTTGCTGTCGTATCTCCATTCGGACGGCAAGGAAATGAATACCAAAGACTTTGCATCTCGTCTACATATTTGGGTCAGGATGGGGCTTCGCGCACTGGATACATTGCCACTGGGCTTGGGCCGAACTGTTGGTTCCATTGTGAGGAGCAAGACCTTCCTAGAATATCCAGAAGAGACTGCGAGGATACACTGGCGGAACGCCAATTGCGAACTTGCGCCTAATGGAAGCATCATGAGAACACATCCGCTGGGCCTCATGTGCATTCACAAATCACTTGACGAAACGTTCCAGATTGCTGCCGATTACTCTGTTATTACACACGCCGACCCACGGTGCATCATTTCATGTGCCATCGGAACGGCACTCATCAGGGGACTGGTGCGGCAGGAAATATACAACGAAGAACATATTGACGAAATTGTCAGCAAGGCCATCGAGTGGTTTCCCACGTACCGGCAGCGCCAGATAGAAAAGGACTCCAGCTGTAAAGGGGATCCAGAGCTGGATCTGGAAGAGCTCAACAGGCATGTCAAAGTCGGCAATCTCACTGAGCTTGAGCTCGACGACATGTACAAGATCGGATACACATACAAGACTTTTGGCTCCGGCATTCATCTTCTTCGCCTTGCCATGAGAGCCCTTGTTTCTCCCGAGAGCCGTCTTTCCACGCAGAAAACCATCTTCGAGCCACTTATCACTAATCTCATCATGCAAGGCGGCGACGCCGATACAAACGCTTGCTTTGCGGGCGCTCTTCTTGGTGCGTATCTGGGCTACAAAGTCCTGCCTCTACATTGGAGAGATGGACTGGTACATGGTGAGTGGTTGATGAAAAAGGCAGAGGGGATGAGTGTTTTGCTTGGAGTCGGCCAAGGCACTTATAGCGGTGTTCAAGACAAGGACACAGCGCCGGATGGAGGCAGAGGATGGCTGACGGAGAGCCAGATGGACGAGAAGGTGATGCTTTTTCAGGCTGACATGGTTAAGAGGGCGCAAGAAAGGGATCAGCAGGAGAAGAGTGAGAGGAGACAAAGGGCAAAGAGAACATCATGGCTGGGAGGGTTTGGTGGACGAGCGCAATGAGACCGGTTGTGTCTAACGGGGTTTTCTTTCATACATTGAGTACATGTAATGTAATCTGACGAATTGTGTGTGCTAAATAGCGTCGGAGCAACCTAATAAAACATCCGAGTTTCCTGTCCTGATATGTCCTTGCGAACTTGATGCCTGATGTCCTGTCGAGCAAGATAAAAGAAAAAATCCACCATCATCCAACCTGTAAACCAACAAAGTCATTGATTAGAGCAATGTCCACCCTGAGAAAGTCGTCGGTGCTAAACAGAAAAGGAAAAAGAAAATAGAGAAAACATTTCCATGACCATTCATTCCAAACCATATTCCTTCAAAACCATCTATGCATACCCAAGCGGGCCAAACTTGACACTTTGCTCAATCAAAGACCCCTGCCTTGGATTCTCTCTGCGGCAATCCCATACGACGACATGGTATCGCCAACCTCGCAGGGATCGTCTCCAAACTCGACCTTCTCAAAGCCAGCAGGGCGATCCTTCTCCAGGGACATCTTGCCCATCTGCGACTGGCAGCGATAGCTCCCAAACTTAAACTCCACAACAGCCCGTCCCCCGGCCTTGATCAGCTCAACCACCTCGTCGACCTGGTAAATGAAGCGGTCCTTGAAGAACTTGCTCAGGCTGGCCTCGTTGACAAAGTCGGCGTGGCCCGTGATGATGAGGCACCGCGACATCTTGCCCGTGATGGCGTGGCTGCCGTACTTGATGCGGTTGTGCGAGACCTTGACGCGGTAGCCCTGGATGTAGAGGCCGCGGGTCCAGGAGACGCTGAGGAGCGACTGGGCGGCCTCGGGGGTGAAGAAGACGACTTTGGCGGCGGCGGTCTGATGGGTCACGTAGTCGGGATAGTTGACGTAGCTGCACCAGACGCGGCCGACGTTGCGGATGGCGGTGAGGAGCTCGTGGGTGGACACTCCGGGGGGCAGGTTGGTGAGCCAGAGAGCGCAGTTTTGCTCGGGAGCGAGATGTTCGGCGCTGGCGTTGGTTTCGGTGTGCATGCCGTGATATTGAGTCGAGAACTTGGACGAACCAAAGCCGTCGCCGCAGGCTTCGTGGGTGAAGACTCCGGGGGGAGTTTGTTGCATTACGGCTTGCATGGGCAAGAAGCCATGAGGCTGTTCATGGGTGTTGATGTTGATGTTGGGAGGAACTTGGACGGTAGAAGGAGGAGGGATAGGCTGTCGGATAGGGTCAGTTCGGGGAGGAGAGAGACGGAGGATGTCGATCCCAAGAGGCTGAGTGTCGTCGATTTCGGACGCAGCAGTCGAGCTTAGCAAGGCACTCTGGATCTCCGAGAGGTCGAAAGAAGAGTTGCTCTTGCTGGATGGAGGGATGTAGCGTCTCACGGGGAGGCCTTGGTTGTCATGGTGATACTGACGAAGCACATTCGGCTGCGTGAATGGCTGGCGAGGAAATGGTCTCTCAGAAGCAACAGTCTCGGAGCTGTATGAACGAGCAGAAGCAACAGCTTCAGGGCCATACGGACGAGTCACGCTGATGGGGCTGTCGACGATGGTAGGAAGCTGGTGCTGGTTGGCCAAGAAAGGCGGAAGACGCGACAATGGGTTCTCATGTCCATGGCCAGCAACCAAGCTCCTGTGAGCGTCCAACGAGCCCCATCGAAAGTGCGCGGCATTCTGTCTCTCGACAGCAGCGCCGTGGTCGAGAGGCACCGACGGCGGTGCCCAGATCTGAGCAGCAGCACGATTGCCAATGCCCAAGTTGCCGCAGAAGCGAGGAATATCGGCGCCGAGCATGGGCTTGGGGCCATTGGCAGCCGTGGCAAACTCGCTGATGGACGACATGGAGTCGTTGGGGCGATGGGTGAAGACTCTGAGGGCCGAGGTAGCTCTGGCAGCAGAAGCAGAAGCAGAAGCAGAGGAGCTTTGAGCAGCAGCGATGGCATCGCCAAACTCGCTCTGGAGGTCGTCTGGGGTGCCTGGAGTGGTGGCCGTCTTGAGGCTCTCAGGAGAGTGGGAGAGGCTGAACCTGGGAACGTCGTCGACGCCGCAGCCGTCGGGGTTGAAGTCGTGATAGGCTGCGGAACCCATGACTAGAGACGGGATCGAAGACAAGAGGCCTGATGACTGAGAGAAGCAGGATGCGTTTGCGTCAAGAATCGAGGGTGCTGAGCAAGAGGATAGATGTAGCTATCAAGTCTTCATGGGGGCTATAACCAGGTCTATTTGAACCCTAGAAGGCTCCAGAACGCGGGCTCAGTGAATGATGCAGAATGGCAAACGGAGCTGCGAGAAGGAGAGGAAGCACAAACTTTTAGTGACAAAGAGCTAAACAAGCCAAAGGCAGCGAAGGGGATGAAGCAAATACAAAATATGCGTACAGATAGGATCGTTGATGAATGTTGTCAAACAGAAGAGAGTGCAAAGAAGAAAACAAACGCCGGGGGGGATGCGTGGGTAAATAAATAGACGAGCGGGTGTTTGAGAGAGAAGAAAATTCACAAATCATTCACTCTGGGGAAACCGGGGCATTGTCAGGCACTTGAATAGCTGGGCCCAGGTGGGTGAATGGGCGTTTTCGTCCCAAGTCGAGGACCGCACAAATCCCAAACTCGGGCAATAGGGAGTGAATACAGGTATGTACGTGGGCTGGAGAGAACGAAGAGGAGGAGGAAAAAAGGAGAGAGAAGAGAAGAGGGGAAAACCTCAGCACAGGATAAGATGCAACATGACAGAATCGTCCAGTTTGGTTTGCCTTTGCCTTTTTTTTCTCTCTTTTCTCTCTCTCTTCTGAAAGTGGCTCTTCATGCATGTTGCCTGCTTTTCTTCCTTTCTGCCCCTGTGCCTTTGCATTGAGCTTTGGTTGGAAGTTGTTTTTTTGGTCTTTCGCTTCAGCACCAGCGGCCTGCATATGACTTTGAATACGAAGTTTGCGAGGAAACAAGGCATCCCAATAGGGCATTGATAGAGCCATCGTCAACGCCTATTCGACGAAATCCCCAAACTTCCAAGGTCCCTTATTCGGCCGCAGAGCCGGCCCCCGATGGATCAGCCAGCAGATACATGTCCATACTCGCACATTCCCCATGCCTGGTTTAACCATGTGGGCAAGCCCGGGTGCCTGTCTCGTCGATCCCAGGATCACACGGGCCTCCAAGGCGAGCGAGCACGAAAACTCCCGGAAGACGCACGAAGCATTGCCGCCGGGGGGTTTTCTCGTCTTGTCTTTTGCTGTCTCTCTTGACAACTTGCGGCAGATGGTTTTGCGCAATCTTCCAAGCAGCAGTGCAGTAGAGCAAGAGTGGGCTTTGGGGGACTGTCCGGAACCCTATCCGGTTGGGGTGGAAGAGCCTCCTTGCATAACGGGCAGGTCTCACAAGCTGGGGGTCCTTGTGCTTGTGTGAGGCCCGTCGAGGTTCAATGGGAAGAGAAGGCGGGTAGAGAGAACAGCCACACCGGCAAGGTCCCATAACAAGCATGTAAGGGGGAGGCAAGATGGTCCAACCGACAGCCTCAGGACTGGGCACAGGCGCGAAAGCTGTGTGGAAACAGACTGGACGGATGCTAGCCCACGACTCTCTTCTCTTCTTTTTCTTCCTCAGTCCTAGACATTAAGTTGAGCGCTGGCCATCCGCAGCCTTGCTTTGATATGCACGAGTACGGGTTCTCTCATCTCCCCCTTGAAGACGTCCGATTGGAGTGAGGCTTTGCTTGTCAGGGATTCGAGGCCAGCCTGGGGAAGATGCAACTTTGAATCGGCGGCAACCGATCTGTCTCCCCGATCTGAGAAAGCACAGTATTAACAATGCAATGTGCTAAGCATAATATAAGCAGAGCGTCGCATGCATCCGGCCGGTCTGCGGCACACTGCTTTTGCTTCTTCTTTTCTTTTCTTTTTTTGTTTTTATTTTTGCTCCGCAGGATTCATTGCCAAGTCAGAAACGCCAAGGCCATTGAGATGTCTTACCGTCCATCCCTGGCATGATTTGCAGCCTCTTTGCTTTTTTCCCTATGTGATAAGTGACCATGGCGTGAGAGGCCTGGTATCAATCGGCCGAACAAGGTCCTGTTATTGGACGCTGTTGTTGGTTTTTTCCCCTCCAAGGCTGCATGTGCATGGGATAAGAAACGAAGCGAAGCGGGAAGAAAAAGCTGACCGGATGAGGGCCGGATGCATGGGCACAGTTTTACCCAGAGCGAAAGGAATGAAAATAAATTAAAATATAACAAAATAAAAAAAAATCTAGAGGCAGAGACAGAGGCAGAAAAAAAGGATACGGTCATGAAGCATCCCGCGGAAGAGCCTCGTAGCATGGAGAGCCCCCTGTCGCTGCGGTTAGAGTCCGTCCGGGGATGCACTCAGCCGCGTCTCAACCAGTCCTCTTCCAGCAATTTCCGCATCGCACGTTCCTTGTCGTGTGCCTACTAGTACCTGTCTATAAGTGCGGTGGCTGGTTTCGTTTCGAATGGATGTCTCTCGTCTGCTGGCCGTAACTGTAGTATGTACTCGTAGTAGACAGACGCGCATAAAGAAAGACGCCTGGATGATGGAAGCTCGTACGAGTATGAGTTGTCTTGGGGGCTGCTATTATTGGGTGGCGCCATGTTTGCTCTCTCCCACGTTGCCCGCTCCACCCACGATATAATTCCTGTGAGACTTGGATTGTTCCTCGGCGCGGATGCAAGGTGGACGACGTGTCAAAGCATTGATCCCAGTCTCAAGCCACGTCTCCTCGAAGGTGGCATTCTTGTCTGTGCTCCCACTCTAGAACAAAGCATAGACTACTCCGTAAGAGGCAAGATAACAACGGTGCTTGTATGCTTGACCGTATATCGTATGAGTTCGGACGGCAAGATAGAATGAGGTGGTGATTCCATGGGTCTTCTTCTCCCTGCTTCTGCTTCGCTTCATCATCATCATGTCTCATACTCGAACGCACCAGACCAGCACGAGTGTGACATCGCGCCTCGAGAGGCACCCTCGCAATTCCAAATCCTGGCATGTCAAGTTCTGGGGATCCTTCCGACGGCCCCAGTGCGGAGAATAAATCCGAGCCGCTGCAAGATTGCAAGATACATGTATCCGCTGCTCGATACGAAGCTGGGGCAATCATGGTAGCCCCCCTTGCACTCCCGCCTATATATAGGCTTTGCGTGGAGTTGATATATCACAAATGACCCCCAGACAAAGGTGATTTTGTTTTCTCTTTTAGTATTCATAATGAGCAAACTACTATTCTTATTTTTGGTCTGTCACTTCGCTACTGCTACTCATAAAGCCTGTCAATCTATACCAAGACCAGGTACATGCATGTCGTCGGCAGCAAGCGGCGACCAGGTAGATGGTAGGGGTATCGGGATGCTACGCTCTTCTTCCAAATTTGGGTTGTAGCATAAATAATTTTCCTATCAATACACGAATAGAAATGGAATAGTCTCATCGAGTAGCTTGACGGTGCTTGATCCTTGCCCTTCAAGACAGCGTCTACACTCTGTTCCCCTACACTCTGTTGTAGACCTCTCTCAACACTCGCGGCTGAACTGCAGCTGAGCTTCCCCCGGCGTCAAGATGAAACACAAAATCGTCTGCCGCAATCCCCCCATACATGAGCTGATCCGGCGTCCCCCACATCCCTGCTGTCGGGTCAAACACCATATGGACTGACGGTTCGTATTGGTATGGAATCGTCTCGAACAGCGCCCGATACGCAGCCTCGCTCCCAGTCTGCAGACCTGTGGGAAACAGTCTCACAGCGTTGATACGGCCGCCACGTGTAGCGTTCGCGTAAGCTTGTCCGGCGGCAATGATGTCGTGGCCCTGGTGAATCCACTCCTTGAGTAACAGGCCAGGTCCATCGTCGACAGTGAGGACAAGGGATGATGTATTCTTCTCGGCGCCTGCTGGTGCGTACTTTCCGCAATGCTTGCGACATGACTCTGCTTTGGCGGCCTTTTCCAGTGCGGGGACGAGTGTTTGAATGACGATCTCGGTGGCAACTTGCAATGCTGCAGCACTATCAGGTCCAGCGGCGAGAATGGCCAAAGTGACTTGATAGTCGGGTATGAGGATAAGCAAGGAATTGTAGGCGCCGACGCCGCCGGATTTGGTATAGAGATCGACAATGCGGCCGGTCGTGATGCCGCTCTGAGTTCGCACGATTTCCCAGGGCGCACCGACGGAGACGGATTGTGAAGATGTCAAGGAGGCGGGCTTCATCCAGCGAAGTGTCTCCATGGAACTGAGTTGCTTGTTGGCAAATATGGCGCGTCCAAATTTTACCAAGTCGTTTGTTGAAGAAAGGAGACCGCCAGTGCTATAAAAAATGTTGGAATTAGTAAGTGAACTTGAGCTGTGAACAGTATCGTGTTCGGTGACGCTTGTTTGACTCACGCAACCTCATCGCCGTAAACTCTGCTCCATCCCGCATCTCCATCAGGAATCACTCCAGTACCCTTGCGAGATGGTGGCAGTGAGCTTGAATGCTTCATGCCTAGAGGCTGAAAAACGTCATTCATGACTACTCCGTCGTACGACTTGCCGGTAATTTCTTCAATAACATATGCAAGAATCCTGTAAGCTGCGTTGGAATACATGGCCTTTGAGTATGATGGGAAAACGGGATGTCTTTGGATAAGCCCTTCGAAATATTCTGGAGCCTCGATCTTAGTGTTTGCCAGTAGGTAGCCGCACTCGGTGTATTCTTTTACCTTTGCGAGGACATGGTAACTGGCTATCATTTATGCCACAGGTAGGAATATCTTGAGGAGAGAGAGGAGGCAATCCGGCATCTTTCGCTGGGAAATCTTGAACCGACAAGTCTCCCGAATTATCTGCAACTCCTCTTGTAAGAGTGCCAACTGTGATGAAAGCGAAGCAGAAAACGTACAATCTCTTCCCATACCAGAGAGCTGCGATGCAAGAGCGCCAACCGTGACTTGGTCCCATTGAACAGAATCGATAACCGACAACTTGTGTAACGGATGCTGAACAGCTTGGCGTAGCTCGGGTACAAAGTCCGTGACAGGGCGATTCCAATAATTGATGCCTTTGTTCAGGAGCAGAGAGTAAACAGTGAACAATTTTGACACGCTACCAATTCGATAGACTGTATCAGCTGTCACCTTTGACGTGCTGCCAGCAGATATATTGAGAAAGCCAGATGTGTGATGGAAGTCGATGATCGGGGCAGACTCTTGCTGCGAAACGGCAGTCAAGGAAAAAGATGTCGTGCTGCTGTTGAAGTTGCCATACTGGCTTTCTCTGGTGCGAATGGCGCGATTCAATGACTTTTTAATGTTTAAAGCAGCCTCTTGAATCAATGCCTGAGTTGAAAGATGAGTTGGTGGCTCGAAAGAGGGTCCTAGCAGCGTCTGTTCCATTTGCGCAAGTGAGGCGGAGCCCAGTGCCGCAATTGCGACTAGAAATGATGGGAGGGTCAACATCTGGATATACTTTGCTTGCTAATAGAAGATTTTGATTTCTAAAAGATGGGTGATGCAGAAAACTCTCTATATAGGACTTTTATATATCAATTGCTCAGGTGTTGGACTCATGACGGCGATTAAGCGGACATTACATCGAGGTGCTTTCGCCGTGGATTGTCCGCTGGAGACGTAACACCGTCGACGGACATTTCTTTGGAGATAGCAGAATGTTTCTAGATGTCAATCAAACGGCAAAATGGCCATGTTTGGATGGATATTATATTATAGACTGCTGATTGTGGTGATTGATTTTTCTGTATGCGATCGAGATATCTGCCGCTTCATTAGGAGGCTAGGGGGAGGCTTCAACGCTTTAGCTGCTTGGCGCTTGGAACAATAAAGTAGTTCAGTATAATGCGGCACAAGAGCAGAGAAGAAGGGGGAAAAGGGTATATCCCTCTATTATTTTCGTATCTAAACAAAAGAAAGACAATATCTGGTAAATGATGCGGAAGAACAACTGTCTGTGTACAGATACCATCTAGCCGCGTGAATTCATGCATGTTCTCTAGGGTATCTGCAGCCACCCTCTCAACCAACAGGTCTCCATTGCTACGAAAACTTCAGTCGCAGATCTGACTGACTGTATTTGTCAAGCTGATGAAAATTTGTTTCTCTGGGCTAAATTCCTTCAAATGCGTAACCAAAGACAATGATCTACTCTTCTCGGCTTTTCAAGAATTGAATGGGCAAACAGCTTCATGATGTGAAGTTGATGACTGATCCACAAACCTCATACAATCTTTCACATACCGACTCAGGAGACTGAGATGGGGTCCGATAAGGCCATATCGCAATCAGCAAATGCCATGGAATACTAGCTTTGTGATATTGCTACTAATAGACACAGTCTGACATCAGATGTAAGAGGGGCGCGCAACTTTAAAAGGACCTCGGGAGCTCGATACGCATGAATGTTCGTATTACAGCGGCATAGTGCTTGCTAGACACTGGCCTTGGCAAGACCTTTGGCTCGAGTATTATATCTCAGAAGAGGTGGATGTTATATACTCTAGAGTCCAAAGTGTCCAAGACGGCATCCTACATCTGTATTCTGTCCGTACACAAGATTACGTGGCGGCGCCGCAATCCGAGAAGCGCGCAGTGCTACCATTCGGCAACGGTATCCGCGGGCGCGGCTTTTCAAATAGCCCTAGTCAAGTAGTGAGGTGTAAGACGCAGACATGCCAAGAATGATCGCGGTAAGATAAGTAAGACAAGTAAGATGATTCATCTGTTCACGGAATTGTAGCTTTCGGAGGATTGGGACTAGAGATCCTTCACCTCAATGGTTCGCCGTGAGATTGGCTCGTTTAGGCGGAATCCGCGGGTTCCACTAATGACAACTGACGCCGCGTGGGTGAATCGCGTGGTTGGCGTCAGCTTTATCCGCGCTGTACTCGTAGCAGAAGCATAGTTCGATGGGCATAGTTCGATGGGCATAGACAAGTGGCTGAAACAAGTGCGGATGACGAAGCATGGGTCTTTTGGGGATAGAAAGTCTACTTCGTATTGGCCTGGCCTGACAGCGGTCAGATTCACCCTCTGACTTGCACTTCATCTCGTTTGTAAGGATGTTGCGGAGTCGACGGAGGAACATGAACCTTCCAGCTCCGTATTCTTCATGTTAGGATTGCTTCATCATCAAAGAAAATGGGATATATAAAAGCACTCAAGACGAAGTTGGGAGGCCATGATGGAGGACAAAACGGCATGGAGAAGCCAATTGAGCCGCTGTCGAAACTTGTTAGCGTGGGCAAGATGAAGTCCGTCAAAGATCCGAATTTGGTCGAGATTCCAAAGCCCAAAGGTAGGTGCTGTCAAACTATTCCCCGAGGATGGAGTGGGTGGAAGATACTGATATGAATTTGCCAATAAGGCCTGCCGGTGATTGGCAATCTACACAATATTGATCTCGATTCGCCGCTATTCTCATTAATAGAGCTGATTGAGCCATTGGGGCCCATCTGCCAGCTCACATTCGGCAGCGAGCTCAACATCTTTGTGTCGAGCATTGAGCTATTGAATGAGCTTTGCGACGAGTCAAGGTTCCACAAAATCGTAACAGCAGAGCTTGAGAAGCTGCGTTATGTCGTCCACGACGCGCTGTTCACCGCGAGGAACGAGGAGCGCAATTGGGAAATCGCTCACAGGATCCTGATGCCAGTTTTCGGCACGATTAAGATTCGTGAAATGTTTCCGGAAATGAAAGATCTCGCTCAGCAGCTGTGCTTGAAATGGTTGGCCTTTCTTGAATCGATGCTGTATTTGCTTTGGTTGCGCTGACTGGATGGGAAATAGGGCTCGCTATGGCGAAGAGTACGTGATTGATGTTACAGCCGACTTCACTCGACTCACCCTGGATACGCTTGCGCTGTGCACCATGGGCTTCAGATTCAATAGTTTCCACAACGGATCAGTCCTGCACCCCTTTGTCGACAGCATGGTGAGAACGTTGAAAGAAGCCAGTGTTCAAGCGGCTTTGCCAGGCTTTATCCAATCCTTCCGAAAGAGGTCCTGGCGCCGGTACGAGAAAGACACAGCCTTTATGAGAAAACTATGTCAAGACATCATTGATAAACGAAAGGGCAAGACGGACCCAGACTCCCACGATCTGTTGGCAGCGCTCCTGGGGGGTCGTGATCCCAAGACTGGCGAGGGCCTGTCCGACGATTCCATCATTGACAACATGCTCACGTTTCTTATTGCTGGCCATGAGACTACTTCGGGACTCCTATCGTTTGCCTTGTACTACTTGCTGGCAAATCCACAGACGATGGAAAAGGCACGCCAAGAGGTTGACGAAGTCAGCCAAGGCTCCCCAATTGCGGTCGAGCATCTTTCCAAACTGCCCTACCTCAATGCCGTTCTCAAGGAGACGCTCCGTCTTCAGCCCACAGCTCCTGGCTTCATCTTGGCCGCAGACAAAGACGAGATCATTGGCGGCAAGTATCTCATCCCAGCGAATGTCCCCATCGGGGTTCTGCTTCACATGGTCCATCAAGACAAGGCCGTTTACGGCGAGGACGTCGCCGAGTTTAAGCCGGAGAGAATGCTGGACGAAAACTTCAATAAGCTGCCGCCCAATTCCTGGAAACCATTCGGCAATGGGATGAGAGGATGCATAGGTAGAGCCTTTGCTACCCAAGAGGCGCTTTTGATTGTGGCGATGCTGTTGCAAAACTTCACGTTTGAGATGGCGGATCCTGGATATAAGCTTAAAGTTAAAGAAACTCTGACAGTCAAGCCAGATAACTTTCGGATGAGGGCCAAGCTCAGGCGTGGCGGCACTGCCACGGAATTTCAGCGTGAATTACAGTCAGTGGGTTCAGTCACCGCCAAGACGAGCTCTACTCCCTCCGTTGTCTCAGCACAGGCCGCTGGAGGTGACAAGAAGCCGCTTACGATTCTCTATGGATCCAACAGTGGCACATGTGAGGCTTTGGCATACAGGCTAGCATCTGACGCCACTCTCCACGGATTCCATGCTCGGAAGATTGCGCCCTTGAACGCAGCCCGTGACAGCCTCCCCAAATCAGAACCAGTCATCATTCTTGCCGCGTCCTATGATGGTTTGCCGTCGGACAATGCCGAAGAATTCTTTGACTGGCTAAACACAGCTGAGAAGGACTCTTTGAAAGGAGTTTCGTACGCGGTCTTTGGTTGTGGACATCGAGACTGGGTTGCAACATTTCAACGAATCCCTATCCTCATCGACGATCTTCTGCAAAAGGCCGGTGCCGAACGATTTGCAACTAGAGGTCTTGCAGACTCAGCGGTGATGGATCTCTTTGTTGAACTCGAAAAATGGACCACTGACTCCGTTTGGCCAGCTATTTCCCAGAAAGATGGAAAAGCGGACAACGATGGAGAAGGCCAATTGATCAACTCGCTGCTCAAAGTCGAGTTTTCTGAGCCGCGCCAGCTACAACAATATTCCCAGCTTGTAGAGGCAACGGTGATGGAATCACGGAGCCTGACAACACCCTCTGCTATTGGCCAGAAGGTGCACATCGATATACAGCTCCCTTTAGGGGTGTCGTATCATCCTGGCGACCATCTTCTTGTGCTGCCTGTAAATCCAATGAGGAACGTCAAGCGTGTTCTATCACGCTTTCACTTGACGTGGGACACTATTGTGCGAGCATCTGGAAATGACTCTGTTCGCATACCGGTCGAGACGGCCATGACAGTGCACGAGCTGCTGAGTTCTTACTTTGAGCTGGCTCAGCCGGCGACACCGAGGGTAAGTTGCTTCTCCTTCTTGGTTTCGTTGATCAGTCGAACCATCCCCTTTCTTGAGCAATTGATGCTGACTGTATGTAGGATATTCGAGTCCTTGCGGCTGCGGCTGAGGACGAAGCGACCAAGACGCTCCTCAACAATCTTGCAAACACCTCCTACCTTGAGGATATTCAAGAAAAGAAAACCTCGCTGCTCGATCTACTGGAAAAGTTTCCAGAGATTCCCATCGGCTTTGGAACCTATTTGACCCTTTTGCCATCCCTTCGACTACGTACATACTCTATTTCGTCCTCACCATCCTGGAACTCGAGTCGTGCCACCTTGACTCTCTCAGTACTGGATGAACCAGGGACCACAGATGGCTCTGAGCGTTTTCTCGGTGTGGCCTCGAATCATCTTGCCGGTTTAACGCCAGGCGATCTGATTCACGTGGCCACACGCCCAGTCAAAGGCATTTTCCAGATGCCCACCGACTTATCCAAAGCACCAACCATCATGATTGCAGCAGGGACCGGTCTTGCACCGTTTAGGGGATTCATCCAAGAGCGAGCTTACCAGCAGCAAAACGGAGTCCAACTTGCACCAGCCGCTTTGTTTTTCGGATGTAGATCGTCACATGATGATTTGTATCGCGACGAGCTTGATGCTTTTGAATCGTCAGGCGTCGTTCGCGTGTTCCGCGCCTACAGCAGAGAAGACGTGGGCTCCAAGCCCAACACCAGGAGAGGATACGTCCAGGATAGCATGCAGGCGGAAAAGGATGCGTTTGTTCAGTTGTGGAATGCTGGAGCAAAGATTTATGTGTGTGGAAGTGTGAGAATGGCCTCGCAGGTAAAGGATTTGGTAGCGAATCTGGTGTACACAGCTGGACCGATGGAGGCTGAAAGGGAATTCACGCCGCAGGAGTGGTTCAAGCGCTTTGAGAAGACGCGGTATGCCGCTGAGATTTTCACCTAGTCGCTGCCACATCTTGACACTGCTTTTGTCACATATTTATTTTTCTTCTTACTTAGAAGTTAGCGAGCTTTGTAGTTGACAGAATGATACCAGTTTGGATTGTTGCAAGCAGTTGAGGCTAAATTCAATCGATCGCCGTGCAGGGCAGGGCTTACTTGCAGCCTCGGCGACCCCGCCAGCCTCGCCAAGATTGAGGCCTGGCCTGCGTAGAGGAAAAATTAACGCATGAAAATGGCCAGCAAGTGACGGAACCAATAACGCCCAGAAAAGGGCATTTTCACAAACAGCAGAGCTTTGTCAAGTAACACCGATTGGAAGCCATTCAAAAACAAAGGGCCCCGACGTCATTTCGCATCACGTGACTCGCTCACCAATTTGAGCGCGTCTCCCTTTGCCCCGTATCATCTAAACACGCGTTCACATTCACATTCACACTCATTCAAACACAGCTCAACAAGGGCAGCTCCATGTCTCAGGGCCAGGCGCATGCATATCCGTGCCTTTGTCATCCGCCGCCAGCATCTGCTGCAGCTCTCACCATCACAACCGCTGTCTTTATGACGGCTGCACCTCGTTCCTAATGTCAAGGGGCGATGATTTCCCCCGCTACACTTACATGATGGACTTCAACCCCATGGACGAAGACACGCCTCTCAGGGACTACTGGCAGACAACCGACGACCTGGACAACGAAGATGCTGCCACGATTGCGAGCCTGGCCACGCGGGTGCTGCAGTCCAAGTCGGGCTTCGACTATGGAGACGGCATGGGCGTGGGCGCGGGCATAGAGGTGAATGAACCCGGCGTGGTGGCAGACTACATGTACAGTGAGAGTCGATCGTCGCCTCAGTCTCAGTACTCAACCACCCTCCCGACGGAGCCAGCAGAATCATTTCGAGGTCTGATGGATGACCATGACCGCGGCGTTCAGATGTTGGAGGAAGGCGCCGCTTCGCAGTACGATTTTGAGCCAGAAGCCCGGGGGCACGAAGTAAGCCATGTGCATGGAATCGATGAACCGACTATGCTCTCGAGAGAGCAGGATGCGCCTGAAACTTTCCGTTCCACACTCCTCAGCGTGGCTGCAGAAGTGGATGTCACCAATCAAAGCTCATACTCTCATGAGATTGAGATGAGTGCGGCCATGACGGCTAGCCGCGTGGTGAACGGAGTACTGCGTCGCTCATACGCAGGGACGCCGACGGAAGAGGTCGTGAACCTGCAAGCGCTTCAATCACATGCACCTCAGCTCACGCCACCCATATCAGAGTCCCGTTCTGTTAGTGTAGAAACGCCTGATTACGGAGAGCAAGAGAAAGAGCCAACGACGGAGACAGAAGATCAGCATGTTTATGACGAGCCTGAAGACGCCTTGATGACGAAAGACGACGAAGGAGAGGCTTGGGAGGAAGATGAAGGAGGAGAAAGGGAAGAAATCGAAGGAGACGAAAGGGAAGATGTCGAAGGAGGCGAAAGGGAAGAGTTCGAAGGAGAAGAAAGGGAGGAAGACGAAGGAGGAGAAAGAGTAGAAGACGAAGAAAGAGAAACGTCAGGAGACGAAGGAGACAAGAAAGAAGAGGAAGGAGGAGAAAGGGAAGGAGACGAAGACGGAGAAATATCAAAAGATGAGATGGGCGAGGAGGAACCTACACCGGATACCGGAGCGCAGCAGCAGCTCATAACCGAATCCAATGAACGACCAGCAGTAGACGACGATGAGGAATTGCCATCACTTCAGGAAACACCGAGAAAACGAGGGCGCCCGCGGAGGAGTGATACCGTGGAAGCGCCACCAGCTCTAACATCAGAGCAGCCTACAGCCGTTCAGATACCTGTACACGAAAAAGATACCCATGCCGAAAATGAAGAGGTGGAATCAGCTGTCACTGATGGCGCTGATCTCAACAAAGCTGAGGAAATGCCGACCGGGAGAAGACGTGGAAGGCCACGCAGGAGCGAGATTTCAGAGCCGGAGACAGCGACAGCACCAACCTCGGCAAAGCGAGGACCTGGACGACCACCGAAAGCGACGGATATCGAGCTGACTCTGGAAGCAGCACCTGCAGCCGGAAAACGAGGACGGCCTCGGAGGAAAAGCATGGTAAATGCAACACAGTTGACCGCAATCGCCCACGAATTGTCTGCCGCCGAAGCACCAACCGCAACAACACCCCGTAAAAGCAGCATGGTGGACGCTGCCACACAAACCTCTCCCGGCCCAACTCAGCCACCTGTCGCTGAAATAACACGGACTGAAGTACCGTCGGGCAAAAGAGGGAGGCCCCGAAAAAGCGATGTGTTGGATATAGCACAAGCTTCTATCACAGCAGACCAGGAGGCAGCAACAACTACTAATGCAGCCAAGGAAGCAGTAACAGCTCCAGCACGAACCTCGAGCAAAAGAGGACGACCCCGGAAGAGTGACATGACAGACGCAACACAGGCTTCCACCGAAGAACTCGGGCAACCCGCAGTTGAGGTAGCAGAAACTGGAGCCCCTTCGGGTAGGAGAGGGCGGCCCCGAAGGAGCGATGTTGCTGTTATTGAAGTTCAAGAAACAGTCGTCTCCGTACCACGATCTTCAAGCAGAAGAGGACGGCCTCGGAAAAGTGATACGATGGGAGCAGCACAGGCTTCTACCGAAGAAGTTGAGCCACTCACAGTTGAAGCATCAACGACTGGGACGCCGATTCCGAGCAAAAGAGGGCGGCCTCGGAAAAGTGATGCGATGAGCGAAGCACAGGCTTCCACTGAGGAACTTGAGTCACTCACAGTTGAAGCAGTCGTCGCTGTACCACGATCTTCGAGCAGAAGAGGGCGCCCCCCGAAAAATGATGCGATGAGCGCATTGCAAGCCTCTACCGAAGAAGCTGGGCCGGAAGAAGTTGAGCCGCTCGCAGTTGAAGCATTATCAACTGCGGCAAGGGCTCCGAGTAAAAGAGGACGGCCCCCGAAAAGGGCTGCTCTCAACGCAACTCATACCTCGACTAAGGAACTTCAATTGTCTTCAGTTGAGGCACCGGCAACTACAACACCAGCTCCAAGCAAAAGAGGGAGGCCTAGGAAGAGTGACGTGGTGGAAGCTACTCCCGCGGAAGTGCCCACCCACGAGGTTCCGCTGGCTGTGGATGAAACACCGATCACCGCAACTCCGGCTTCAGGAGGGCTACCATCCCAAGTAAGCGTCAAAACCTCGACGACTACACCCGGCAGACGTGGAAGACTTCCCAAAGGTGTTATGCCATTACTGCCAACAGAAATTGAGACTTTGCAGACAGAAGATGATATATGGGCAGTCGACTCGCCCCCTTCGCAATCTATTGGCCGGCGAGGTCGATCTCTTCGACAGGTTGATACATTGGAAGAACGAGATGGCTCTCCGTCTCCATTGCCCAAGAAGAGACGGGGCAGAGGTAGGCCGCCCAAGAGCGAATCCTTGTTACCTGCAGATTTGCCTAGTGCAACTGTAGAGCCTGGTCTTGGCATGGGTGCTCAGCAGGCTGAGCCCCAGGAGCTATCAACACCTGTGGACGATGTCTCGAAAGACTTGGATGTGGGCGAGACAGCCTCTACACCGGCACAGGAGGATATGGAGGTAACACCTGTAAGGAAACGGGGCAGACCGAAGGCAGCGGCCGTAGGCAAGCCTCTACCTGTGACGGATATGCTTGTTACAGCCTCAGAAAAGAAGCGTGGCAGGCCGCCAAGGGCAATTGCGAACTTCGACTCAGCGGAGGAGCAAGGGCGACCTGATCAATCGGAAGTTCAGGAAGAGGAAGAAGAACCAGCTGCCAAAAGAAGACGCACGAGTAATGACGTGACGATGGAAGACGCTGTTGACGAAGAGGAAACTCAAGGGAATGCTCAGGAGGATGAATTGCCCAACGTGGGAGACCTTGGAGACGCAGTAGCAGCAAATGGCACCAGACGCAAGCGATCGTCTGTGACCTGGGCTCAGCCGCTTACTTCAAGCTTGACATCTCCTCAGACTGGTAGGCGTCCCCGCCTTTCAGGAGAGATGCTAGGAGAGAGCACAAAGACGAAACAGGTCGAGCAACCCTCTGAGGCGCCACTAATGCCAAAGACTCTTTTCGACATGATATCCGATGGAAGGAGGATGGGACGGCAGAAGACATACGGTAAACGCTCTAAGAGATGACCTGGATACTTGGGTATGTTTGGATGCTTGAACGGGTTCGAGCGTGGCATGCAGGATGTGGATGAAATACCCTCATAGCTAGCCAACAAGGTTAAAATGTACTATTTGCTATAGCTGCGGCGCAAACGGGTTTCTTTTTTCAGGAAGCGGCTATCGTGGCTTTGCTTGATGTCCACGGTGATGACATTATACATAGACGGGGGAAAACAAAGAAAAGATTAGGGGTTTCATTACCAGATTCATTTTATGTCGTATGCATTCATTCATCCAGTGTCCCTAGTGAGCTAATCATATTGTTCTCACGTTACAACTACTCCATTCATTCATCACATCTAGCGACATCACTAATAGGAAGAGATGAACCTCATCATTCGGCTCATTCCGTCTCGTGTTCATTATTACATCCGCTCTGTCCGATCAACTTATATACGGGTGTATTCTCCCGTTACTTGCAGCATATCACTGCCTACCTATGGAAGCACAGATTTCGTTACTTCATCCATCCTGTCTCATCAACTCATACATATAACTCCATTACTTGCGGCATATAATCTCTCCGTGCAGAACCGAAAACCACGCCTCCTCCTCCTTGCCCCATCTCTTCCACGCCTCAGCCGCCTTATCCAGCCTCTCTTTGGTGCCCGTGCCATTCTCAATCGCCGTCTTCGCAAACGACGAGGCCACCGTCCTCTCTGCCCACAATCCGCTCCACCAAGCAATCTCCGTCTCTGTGCTGTAGCACCAGGTGCTTGAACCGTTGGTGATGGCTTCAGGCGAGAAGCCGGCTTGCTTGGCCCAGGTGTGGAGGCGGCGGCCGGCATTGGGCTCGCCGCCGTTGGATCGCGCGTTGGCTGAGTAGAATGCCAGCCAGTCGTCCATGCCGTCGACTTCGGGATACCAGATGAAGCCTCCAAAGTCGGACTCTCTGGCGGCGACGATGCCGCCTGTCTTGGCTACTCGGCGCATCTCTCGCAGGATGCCCACTGGATCCTTGACGTGCTGAAGCACCTGGTGGCAGAGAACGACGTCAAATGTGTCGTCCGCATATGTGAGAGCATTAGCATCGCCCTCGACGAAATCCACGTTTGTTACGCCCTTTTCCTTGGCTAGGTCGCGAGCTTGCACTAGCACTCCGGCAGCATTCTCCAATCCCGTGATGTGGCCTTGCGGCACATGGTTTGCAGCTAGATCAACGGTGATTGTTCCAGGGCCACAGCCAACGTCGAGAATCCTCATGTCCGGCTTGAGATACGGCAGAAGATAAGCTGCCGAGTTGGCCGCAGTGCGCCAGGTGTGAGAACGGAGAACAGAGGCATGGTGGCCATGCGTGTAAGTGGCGCCTTCAGTCTTGGACATGGTGGTGGTTTTGCAGTGTATAAAGCGTATGAAGTGACGAGTGGGAGGCAGCAAACGGATGGGGAGATAAACACAGGATAACATGCGATGATGCTATAGATCTAGGCTAAGGCAGATGGTGCTGACCAAGATGAGATATACTTTTTTGGCCGCTTGGGATTTTGGAGATTCGGGGCTCTTACATGCTGCTCTTTCAGCCTCACGGTACGAAGTACTTATAACTTGGGGGGAGGCCGATATCGGAGATGCGACGCCCTCAGTTGAACATGTTGAACATCAATTCAGTTGAATATCTTTGTTTCATTACACCGAAGCGGATTCCAGCATTTTCCAATTTTGGCAATGAATCGGCATTTGCTACTGCATGTGGGATGGTTGAGCTGCGGAGAGGGGATCAAGTACGTCAGTTGGTGGGTGTTAAGGGGAGTGAAGTCGTGGAGGTTTGTTCGCATATTATAATAGTTAACAACAAATTTACAAGGGGATATTAAAAAACAAATGAAAATAAATACTACAGATATGTATGAATGATAAATACTGCAATACTTAAAAACAAAGACCCTTGCAAGACGCAAGCCCGCTTTGTTGCTCCCTAGAAAACCAATAACAAGATCCGTGTAACCCGAAAAACCTGATATCCCCTGACGGCCAATATCCCATTTTATTCGTACAAGTCCTTGTCAATGTCACCATCCTTGGTCGCATGCGGGCTCGTCACTTTAATTCCGCTCTCCAGCCTCTCCAGCGTCATCAGATAGCCCTTGTGGTCGCACCAGCTCTTCACCATGCGGACTGCGTTTTTGATCTCTCGACCATTCAGCTGCCACAATGATAGTTGCTGAAGCTCGGCATCTCCAAGAGGTGCCTTTACTTCTGTGATATCTTCTGCATCTTCGTTGGAGGGTAGCTCAAGTCCCTTTTGCTCAGGTAGTCGTTGCAGAAACTTTCGCCAGACAGTCTCGCGCGCCTCCCTGTTTAGTGATTGGAAGAGGAGATGCAAGCTGACTCTACTGCGGAAAGCTGCATCGATTGTGTGGTACAGATTTGTCGTGAGGAAGATGATGCCGCGGAAATATTCCAGCTCTCGGAGGAAGATGCTCACCAGCTCGTTACGATGGATGTCGTTGGGGTTTCGCTCGGCCATGAAGACGTCGGCCTCGTCTAGTAGGATCACGGCGTTCCATTCCGTCGCCATTTCGAAGACGCGCTTGATGTTGGCGCCGAGAGATGCTGCGTTGATGCCGAGATCTTCGGCTTGGAGATAGAAGAGCGGTCGGTGGGTGCGATCTGCGACGGCTTCTGCTGTGAGCGTCTTGCCGGTGCCGGGAGGGCCTGAGAGGAGGATGATGAGGCCTTGGCCTTTGCCGACGATGACGTCTTCCATTGGCGCTGGAGTTGCGGAGGCTGATGTTGTGGAAGCTGAGGATGAGGCTGTTGGTGCTGCTGAAGCGATGCGGTGAGGATTGTGGTTTTGGACAAAGGAGAGAACGAGGTCCTTTTGCTGATCGTCATAGACAAGATGTGAATAAGCTGTATCGTTCCAAACCATGGGCTCAACATCCTCAATGTAAAATTCCACTGGGTAAGTTATGTTAGTGTTGGCTCGATCATCATCAGGTAGGGGGTCAACAGAGACTTACTCCATATCTTGTTCTTCAAAGCGTACCCGCCCAGCATTCCAGAAATGAAGCAAAGATCCTCCTCTCGCGACTCCATGTGCTGCTTGTTCTGCAAAAAGTCCCTTTCTCCCAGTCGCCGCACCGCAGTCCGTTTAGCTGAAGTCTCATTTAGAGAATCCGAGTCTGAATCCGAGCTCGAACTAGAGTCCGAGTCCGAGTCAAACAGACGCCAGCCCACTGTCGACTCGTCGTCTTTCTTGTCGTTTTCTCGCTTGCCCTTGGCCAAGTGATACTTGTTGTAGCCAACGGCGTCGAGGAGGATGCGGCCTTCGACATTGTGCTTCTCGATGCACTCTTTTCCGGTGTCGTGGAGAGCAATTCCGTTGTAAAGGCGATATTGAAGGCCCTGAAGATCGAGAACTTTGCGGCCGCGGACTGTCAGGCGTTGCTTGACGCCTTCTGGATCTTGGTGAAACTCGAGCGGGTAATGTCCCAGCTCGAGAATGGGCTTGTTTCCCTCAAATTCTTCGATTAGGAGAAGGTGGTCTTGCCAGACGAATTTTTCGCCGTTGAATCTGAGAATCTTGGTCTTGATGTGTAGCGCATTGCCAGAGTTCTTGTTTACGTAGACTGTGCTGTCGACTTTGGCAAAGAATTCTGCGTTAATGCCAAAGCTGTACACAGTTGAACCTCGAGGGAACAAGGTCCAGGCTGTCCTGAAGTCGACCAAGCGACTGGTCTGAATATTCCGTCGCTTGACAATCATCTCGCGGAACATGTCATCCAAGACTTGGATGAATAGCTTCACGTAGGCCTTTAATGGATCAGATGATTCCGTCTTCTTGTATAGCTCCTTGATGTCGTCTTGACAGAACCAAAGGCTGCGGAAGGGTTCTTCAAAAGTAGCAGCCTCGTTGACATCGAGATGAAGATTCTCCTTCTTCACAATCGGTGCCAGCGCGGCTACCAGAGTAAGATTCTGGACTTCGATCTTGTGATACTTGAGTGGGATTCGCCCCGAGATGCAAGGCTTGCGATGGTCTCTGGCCTTGTACACCTTGATTGCGACTCGGTCTTGGGCACGAGCTGCCGACTTGGACATTTGCTTGGGCGGATAATCCACCCATTCATGAGGCGAGTACGAGTCCGAAGTGTTTTTATCGTAGAGCGTTTTGATGATTGGGCTTGAGCCAAAATTTGCGTCTTTGTCGCTGTTGGCTGCGGCGCCGGCCTTGGAATCATCACCGTCCAAGACGGCGGCGTTTTTGTCATTGCCGGATTCCTTGGAGAAGGTCGCATCTTTGACGGGAAAGATTTTGCAGCGCCATTTCCAGGCAAAGTCGGAAATGGCCTCGCGGTCAATGTCTTTGATGTCGCGAAAGCGCATGGCGGGCAGTTTTGTGTATGAATGGTCTTCGGATTCTTTTACTTCCTTGTGGTAAATGGGAAAAAGAGACGCACCATTGATTTATTTATTTTTAATTTATTAAACCCTAATGATGCAGGCTATATAAATTATTATGTCACGGTAGGACACAGTCTTATCTGCATATGTACATACATGTATGCTGGGCTTAATGTTTCTGCCTTGAAAACGCCTTGCGGCTGCCTGCGAGGCTTCATCCAACCAGATCGCGGGATGCTCTGCCGGTGACTCAACTGCCATCCCTGCGCATGGGCGAAAATTGGGTAGCCGATCAATACTTTGTGGGTTCTAATAGACTGCTGCACACTTGTATATGTTTGTTTGTTTGTGTATGTATAATGTTAACTAGGACGTGAGATGCTGGATGGTTTGTTCATGATTGTGATTGCCACTGAATTTGTAACTAATGAAGCCGTATTGCATGCAACGATCTATTGTCTCACGATGAGGTCTATAGGAATGCATTCCCGTGAATAATTCATCACCGAATTCCCTAAACACCACCAATGCAAACCTAAAATGAATGAACCCAAAAAACCCAAAGACACCAAAGTAACCAAGGTGACCAGAGGCACCAAAACACCAAAACACCAAAAATACCAAAGACACCAACAATACCCAAACCACCAAAGTAAAATCCCCAAAAGACGCCAAAGATGCCAAATCAGTACAGAGTTGAATCAACTGCCACCAAGTTGTCGCCCTCTGTTTACCACTGTTTCAACTCGTCTGGCCTCTCCGGGGCAACTCCACCATGAGCCTGAATATAGGCTTCGAGTGCCACCATGTGCCTGTGTAATACCTGCACTAGGTTGTCGGTATTATGCGCATGCACTCGTGGCACTTCTCCACTGGCAGTGGAAGCCATGCATGTGCATCCAGAGGCAGCACAGTTTGCACATCCCTGAGGGTTGTCGTCGCACCTCAGTTTGTTTTTCCGGCACCGCGTGCAAGCCTTGCCGGACCGCTTATAACCTCGGGGGCCTGGGTTATTCCTCTGCCTTGGCGCCTCGGCTGGAGGTGTAGCGGTCTGTGTAGGAGGTGATGGACCGGTGGAAGAGGTGGTGGCGGTGGTGGTGGTGGAGGCGGCTCCCTGTGTCATGGGAGGAGAGGGGATACCGTTCCTTTGTTGGAACGTATCAGGGGCGGGCATAGGAGCAGGTATGGCATCCTGTCCTATGTAGGTAGTAGGGAAGTTGACATTCATTCCCATATAGTCAGGAGTAAACGCCTCCTGAGGCGTAACGTTGGGGCTGGGCCCTTGACCAAAAGTGGCGTGGGTAGCCCATGGTCCTTCCTGGAACCCAATAGTAGGGTTGGGCCCTTCGTTGGAACTGAAAGGAAGATCCAATGGCACTTCCTGGGCCATAATACCGGAGTTGATATCCTCCGTAAAATGAAATTGGGGAACCAATGGTACCTCCTGGAACCCCGTGGTAAAGTTGGACTCTCCGTCCAAATAAAAGTAATCAGGGTCTCCCTCTGACTGGAATACGTAGTCGTCCATGTTAAAGTCTTGTCCGGGACCCATATTGTCGTCGACGTTGGAATTGTTTATGGGTGGTAAATATGACTTGGTTATGGATTGGTATGTTGAAGGGGGCTGAAGGGGATTCTAATATATAGAATGACAGCCGAAGAGAAGCAAGATAATATCTCTCTTTTGTAAAAGATTGATAAAGCATGTGTGTGTGTGTGTGTGTGTGTGTGTAAGAGAGAGAGAGAGCTGTGTGAAGAGTGTGTCCTAGCAGCGTATTGAAAGTGAGCGTTGTAGAAAGAGCGTTGGATGGGGAGTAAACATGGGCAGGGCAGGGAATATATAGCAAATCGTAAACAAAACAACGTTTTGGGATCGAGATCATAAATGAAGAGTAAAACTCAATATGTTTGTTTACTATCTGCTCGTTGAACGTTGGAGAGAGTGGCTTTTTGCTGGTATCAGCGTCGTCATGGTATTCCAAAGTTAAACGCACGATTGGGAGACCGTCTGTGGTTGATACGTTAGATATGGATGAAAAGTAAATACAGAAAGTAAATACAGAAAGGGTAATTTGGTTTCAGAAAGCTTTCTTTCTGGGCGGCGTTTCCTGCTATTACCTCCACCGTACTAGCAACAATACGAATACAGAAAGATATTGCATCTACGGCTACCGGCTGAAGACACAAAAAGACGCAGGGGGAATTGCAATGATATTACGATGGATGTGCAATAAAGATATTTCTACTAGGGGACTTCTCACTGTCGAATGCCTAATACATGTACTTCTTTCTAGGAAGTGATATGGAGGAGGAGAAGAGTTTCGTTGGGGGGTGTATCGGAGTCCAGGGACGTACCATCTGGCTCTGATACAGTTTAAGAGTCACAGACATTGGCCTCTGGGAACCTCTAGAAGTGCAAGAAAAAGACCACCTGGGCGTGTCACGATTCTTCCAAGTGCTGCGTAATGGGGGCTGTTGATGGGACAACGACTGGGTTTGAGAGTCAATCTCGATCTGCTGGCGAGATAGCCACAAAGGAAATCTCAAACTCACATTTCAATGTTTACATGGACTTGATATAGATAAGAAACACGTAAACTTCGTCAAGCTTCTACGAGAACTGAACTATGATGGGAACGCCTCTCATTACGAATACAAAAACGAGAGGTTTCTACAAACATGGGTTGTACAATTTTGAGGGTTCCAAGAAAGGTTCATGATGTCCATGTATATAAACATGGCCAGATTAATATCCTACCATTATCAACATTGTATAAGCAATTCTTTGCGTATCGAGGCGAATAACTTGGTGGTATTGAATTCCGAGTTTTCCCGTTGTTATCAGCCTGGCGGCGTTGGAACCACCCAAATCGCCAGCCTAGTAATTGAGAAAATGCCTTTACAGTGCAGAAAGAGCGGCTGTAGCACTTTTGTTCTATCGGCACACGTTTGTGAATACAGTTTCGTCCCTCCCATACTCTGCAAGATCTGCTGTGCACGGCCACGGAGTTCACCCCTACGAGATTGTACAGCACACCCTTATGCTGGCTGACCAAACCTTCTTCATTATGCCTCTCTCTTCATCTAAAATCAGTTCCATTGATCGTGAGCCAAATTGGCTACTCTGGTATATTAGGAGAGCCTTTCGTGATACTCCAATGCAGTCATTTTAGGATCGCTTTAACGTTGGCCGCCACCCCTGAGTCCGGTTGGGCGTCTCCAGGGATATTTGCCTATCTTTTTTCACCTCATTTTCAGTCGCCTCTGTATAATTCATGTACGATGCTGATGTTGGCAGACAATTGATGCATTACAAGCGTAATTGTACTTGAAAGCTGTATTTGTAGCCCGAATTGGTCGTTTTGGCGGTTGCTAGGTTGTTGTCGTTGAGAGTATGACTAATCTAGACGCCGTTTTCTGTCTTTCCCCGGTTCCTCTTATCAAAGTTCAGCCTTACCCGGGCCAGCAATACAATATCTATCTTCGCACCGACATGTATGAATACATGAGTAGGTACCTGAGAACTGTAAACTAATTTGAGTTTTTCCCAATTGGGAGCACCAGGTTGCCCGGTATCCAATGAGAGAGAGAATGAAATCTGGAGAAGTGGCGCTCCTCAAAGACACCGAAGAGGAGCCTCTCATAGGTACTTATAATTTCTCTCGGATGAGAGGTGTAATTATACGCCCCCTGATATGGCCACAAAGATTGGAAATCTCCATAGCAACAGAGGATGGAGGCTTTTATAAGAATCGAGATTGGAGATCTCTATAGCAACAGAAGATAAAGATTTTCGTAGCGGCAGAGGCTGAAAGCTTCCATAGTAACAGGCAACGAAAATTGGAAACTCTCGACTGTAGCAAAAGCTGGATATATCTAGGATGTTCCATAAGCAGATTATATGTGATGTAGATAAACAGGACAGCTTGATTAAGAATTGATACATGCGGCCTAATAGCTCTCTTCATTAGCTGATTGTTTTCTTCTATGAGATCGATGCGGTGATTTAAGTTGGTATACTGAGCAAATTCCATGATACGACTTTACATTGCGCATCTCCTATCAAGACTTAATATCGTGTTGCTTAAAATAGATGGATGTTTGATGATGGCTTTATTTGCTGAATCTGTTCCTGGAGTATCTGCTTCTGTTACTAACCTGATGCCATCATTCCATGTTCCTTTCTTCCAGTATCTGCCCCTATGGCTACATTTCTTTCTCTTAGTATATGCCACTATCAATATTGAAGTGCAAAATGCCTTTATTACCCTATATACCATGATTCCTCTTCATTTTGCTACAATTTTGAACTTCATGCCCTTGTTATAAGATGCTGTCTCTGTCAGCTGGCAGCAGCTGGCACATCACAACACAGTGCTAATACTGACCCAGAAGAAAACATCCTCGCACGGAGAGCGATAAGAACTTCATCCCACCACGATAGCGCGGGACAGCTTCGACATCATCCCCCACCATCATCCTCAATCGCATTTCATTTCTCGCCATGGCCGTCGAAACAATAGAGCTCGAGCATGTGCCGGCGTCGTACCGAGTTTACCTCGCCCTCTTCCGCAATGTGAAGAACGCCGCCTTCTTGCACCAGCAGCTCCTCGCGCGCAACGCCGAGTTTGAATATGCCTTTATCGACGCTTCGACGGTACGTTGAAACTGAACGCTGCTGTACATCTCGCTGCATTGTCTCGCCGAAGATCAGTGAAGAACTCAGAATGACCGGACAAGGCAAATCTTTTGTCCATTACTGACTATTGTGCGCTCGCAGATTGTCTCCCGCATCCACCTCCTCTCGGCCGTCTTCAAGGCAGTCAACAACTCAGTCAACGGGGCCCTCAAAACACCAAACGTCCATTCAGAAACAGTCGTATCACTAAGCTCCTCAAGTAACGTGAGTGCTACACCCCACAATCACAAACAGAAGCCACACCAAAGATTTGCGCAGAGCACTAATCACGAGCGTTCCAGATTGCCGACGCATATCGACGCTTCGGCGTTTCGCCCTCCACCACAGACCTCTTCGTTGTCAAAATTGTTTTCCCCACCGATACCAACCCCGTACCTGCATCCGCCGACGCCATTTCGAAGCACCTCATGGATAATGTTGAGGGGGATGCCGTGCCCGCTACCGACGATACTATCGAAACGATTACAGACGTTCGCGCAGTTCGCAAAAGCTACAAGCTCAACGGTCTGGCTTGGTTGGATGGTATCAAGGACGAGCTGGTGAAGCGAAAAGAGATTGAGAGGCTTGTTCTAGGAGGCATGGCACTGCGGGGAGTATGAAGGAAGGGGGGATTTGGATATGATGTGTCTGGAAGTCGTAACAAACAACTCGGCTACATATGTGCATGTTATCATGCTCAGAAGAAGAGGAAAGAAAAAGAAGGAGGGAAGAAACAGAGGCACGTCAAAGACGCAGGATGCGTCAGAATTCAGTTTGGATGAACCAGTAAGTTGAATATTCTGTAAATTTCCAGTCTCTCTCGCCAGCTATTCACATTCAATGCTAGATACTCTAATAACCAATTCTATCAACAAATTCGCAAAAATAAACTTGCCAAACTCCAAACTGTGCAATGTCGCAGGTATCGAAAAGACCGGCCTTGACCAGTTGCTTGTTCACATCCATAAATGCAAACCCACACAATATCTCCTCCTTTCCCTTCTCCTTTCCACCCCTCTCCTCATTATCTCATTACTTCTTAATTTAGGCCATGCCGACCGCAGTCTTGCATCGTCTAACCAGCTCAGCCCACATGGCATCTCTTCCGTTTCTCGTTCGCTGAACCGCGTCCTTGTTCTCCTGAGCGCGGCGCAGGAGATACTTCATGCACTCTCCAGTGGTGCCCCAGACAAGATACTTGTAAACGGGCAGTGGCCGAGCGTTGGCATTGTCCTTTTGGGCCGACTGGCTGGCCTCGACGAGCTCGCAGCTCACCTCGTCGGCCATGCCCTGGAGCTGGGCGAATGCAATGTCCGACTTGGCGCCGCCAGCATCGCAAATGGCTCTGGCACGGCGAACAGATTCGACGTTGTGAGTTGCGAGGACGATGTGAGCGTTGGGGAATTCGCCCTGGCCCTGGACAGTAGCGGACCATTGTCTAGTCAAGACGCTGGCGGCAATGCTGTTGTAGCAGGCGTCTGTATCCTCCTTGGTGTCGTGAAAGCAATCTCGCGGATCCGAGCCCAGGTATGCGCCACGCACCAGCTTGATGCCGAGGGTGAAGCCCTCCTTTTGCGCAGCGGCCAGGTGCCGTGATACGACAGCAGGGCAGTTCTTCTTGTATGCCTGATATGTACCATAGATCGTGGCGGTGTCCGGGGAGTCGTTGTACTTGCGAGCGAATTGCATGGTCCAGTCGTCGATGCCGTCTTGCAGCATATCCTGTTCGGCGTCGAAGAGGAGGCGCACCCCGCGGTCACGAGCGAGCTGGCAGATGGCGTCGATGGATTCGCTGAGATGCTGAGAAGGCGGGAGTCCGTTCTTGAGCTGGTTGAGGGCTAGGCTGCCAGCACCGGTGAATCTAGATGACGATTAGCACCTACTCTTCCTTAAGACAAGTCACACGAAGATCAAAACTTACTTGAGTGCAACGAAATCACCAGGATCGGCCAATCGAACCGTCTCCAAGGTACCGTCTCTCCAAGGGTTAATCTCCCTCTCGATGTCGCGTGCCGATTCCTGGCCCAGATTGGCAATGGTCAACTCCTTGGCATCAGACTTTTCCAAGACAACTTCCTTGGCATAGCCCAGAATGACGCCAGTGAAGCCAATGTTCTTCAACCGGCCAACCGTTTGCCGCACCTCGGCCGCATTCTCACCAGCGCAGAATTGGGCGTAAAAGGATTTTTTCAAGAAGAACCGCAGAAGGGGATTTCTATCGGGGTTCAGGATAGGGGACTGGGCGTGTGCCAGCGCCACCATGATGCGCAGTGAGGGCGGCAGAAGAATAGGAGAAGAGGAGACCACTGTCGTTGCCAGCGAGCGGAGGATCATGCTGAGCGGCAAGACTGAGAGTGGCGCTCTGTTTGCTTCCATGGTTGGTGGTGCTACAGGCGGCATGGATCCCGGTAGATCAGCCACCGTCGACGTGCGCTTCTCGGAGGAGTGTATGCTGCGGTGGTGTTTCCGCGAGTTGAGGCTGACGGAGCTTTGTGTGGCGAGAAGTCGTGATGACGAGCATGATGATGCTGATGATGAAGTTCGGAGATGAGAGATGAGAAGAGACGAGGAAAGGGGAGTCCGGGAGCCGGGCAGGCGCATTGCCTGTCGACCTGGGACGGAAAGCATCTTTTGGCTGAGCACGCAGAAGAAAACAGACGAGGTTGATGCTGCGAGTATAGGTACTATAGGTGAATGATGATGATGATTTTACAATGAATGGATTGAGTTTCGATGGGTTGTATCAGAGATCTTGGTGAGATTGGACCGGATTTTTGTGTAAGACGAGGCTTGGCTTGGTTGCTTTTTGGTAGCGCGACACAAACAGACGAGGTGGCGTTGACTATCTACCCGTGTGGCTTGTAAAAGCGATTGAAGCCGAGTATCAGATAAACGAGACGATATGTAAACCGAAAGACGATGATGGGGGAGGTTATCCTGCAAAGGGTCTGTAGATATAGGGGAGGGATTGTGAGAAGATGGCGAGGAGGGTTTGGTCTTAGGGGGGAAGAGAATAGGATTTATTAATGTTTCTATCAGGACAGGACAGGACAGGCACACAAGAGGGACGCTATCTAGGAGCCACCCGGCAGCTACGGAGGGCCGAAGAGAGGCGAGATCTAAAATGTTCAGGGACCACAAGAGATGGGAAGATGGGATGCGATTACGATTAGAGAATCAAAACGCTCCGTTGCCGGTGCTGCCACCATTCGCAGAGTCTAGATGCTTAGGAAGTACTGCGTCTAATAAAATATGTGGACATGTACAAGATAATGCATGGAAGCATGGTCATGGACCCAAGCGAACCGGGGGTGTGGCTTTTTGGTTGCTTCTCCGCAAAACTCCGTATCAGGCCGCTCGCTGCAAGAGAAGAAGAGGAGAGGGGCCAGAGTTTGAACTGCCCGCCCAGCCAACAAAATCTCCAGATTCCAATGGGCTGGGCGCATTCCAGCTTGGGCTGTTTGATTATACGCGAGCAACTCAATTGATAAGCTGGGCAGTGTACTTTTTGGAGAAAGAAGAGGGGCGATAATGGCATCACGTGGCGCCCCTCATTGGGGGGATTTTTGGAGGTGCAGCCGAGAGTAGCCGCGGGCTAGGGATTTTGGAGCTAACTGTAGATTACGATGACACTAGGAAAATAATTGCCTGCACTGGGGTTGGCTCATCAATTATTATCGCCAATTTGTATATGGACGGGACGGGAGGCGAGGAGGATGCCCTGGCCTGTCCTGGTCTGGGCAAATGGAATTGAAAGATGGTTCGTTTATGGTGTTTTGGGCACCCCCACGCCGATGCTAAACCCCCGGCTTGCTTCGTCTTGTTGCATCCATCTGGGCTGCGTTCTACATACGGAGTACAGCTGAAAGCTCCGATACGGCGCCTCTCGTCATGTGCATCATGAAGGCATGCAAGCCATTGTCAGGTGAACTCGCGTTGTATTATTGACTATGCATGAATCGAGGGCTGCGTCCAATCGCCAATTGCCGCCCTCTTGCCCCTCCCTCGCTCTCTTCAATGATATCATGACATGATGCTTCTGTGCTTTTTTTCTCATGCAGGCGAGAATAGCGCGCGTCATGCTGATATGTGAGAGCATACATGCGCCAGTATATACGGACATAGGTACTCGTACATACAAGAGTGTTAAACCTCCTCTTTCCCTCTTGTCTTTCTTCTTCTTCCAATTTGCTTTTCATTCATCCATTCATCCATCCTGTAATAGCTCGCTGTACGTAGTCGTATCACATTGGAATAAGTGAGACCCGACTGGAAGCGTTCGTCAAACTGAGCTTACATGTGACCGTGGGGGGACTTGGCCCGTCTGCCCGGAGCATGCGGCTCCGTCCTCTCCTGTCGTCTCCTGTTTGCTCATCTTTTCCCCCTTTCCCTCTTTACTTGATTCGGGGCATTGGTATCACGTCAACGTCCAAGTGGTGCTTCGTGCTCCGTTGGTTGCCGATACGCCCAGAGGAAACGAAATGAGGCCATCTCCACTGCTGAATTGCAAACGAAAGCGGCTGCTTACGGCGCTGGGATTGCCTCTAGACTCTAGACGTCGTCGCCTTCTCGTGACCCAGCGCCAGAGCCAAACCGACGTCGGATCATCTCCACATACCCAATCGGTCTGCCGCGGGCTAAGCCCACCAGATCCTGGACACCTCCGTAGGCCAGGCCAAAGACCAGCCCGTACTTTGCGGTGCGCGCGGCGGTGGAAAGCGAGAATCGATCTGTAAGCCCAGTGCCGGCCGAAGATCGGCTTTCTGTTAGCTAATGGTTCCCACCGTCCTGATATTTTCTTGCCCTTTTGGGGGACTCTCGCCATCTTGATCCGACACTTGCCAGTAGGGGCGTGGGGAAGCAAAAGAGAGAGTGACAGGCACAAGCTCAAAGCCGGTGAAAGCCAGACCTGGCTAGCCTGGTTCCCTTCACCTTTTTTGGACAAAGTGCAAGATGATGAAGAATTTGCGAAAGCCAAGAACGAAAAAAAAAACCAGAAAAAAATTAAATAATAAAAATAAAAATAGAAGAAACAGTGAAATGAAAATGAAATCAACTCACGCCATAGCGAAAATGCTCCTGCGACGGTGAGCGTCGCCACAACCGTCGAAAACATGTCGCTGCTCCCCCGATAGCGGTCCACGGTGCTCTCCAACGACAAGGCCAGCAGACTCCAGAAGCCCGTCTTGAAGCCCATCCGGAAGCCCTCCTGGATGCCGCCCTTCATGGCGTGGTAGTTCTTGGACTTGTGATACAGGTACCAGCCTGCCGTCGTGTCGGGCATCTTGTGCGCGTGCTCGGCCCGGAAGCGCAGCTGCGCCATCTGGCCTCCCTGAACCGCCCCGAGTGAGGCTCCAACCATGCTGGCGGCCACGGAGCCGAACAGCAGCCGGGTGGGAGTCATGATGGCCAGTCGGGGATGCGAGTCGGCCGGGAAGACGGGCTGGTGAACGGGATCCGAGCGAGGCGCACTGAGGAACAGCCCATCGCTGCTTGAGGTTCTCGTCATGATGAAGGACCTAGAGCTGGTTCTGGATCTAGACTCCTAGCAGTCGTTCGTACTCGTAGTTTGCGAGCAAAGCCCGTTCCCTAGGCGCAAAAGGGAACCTCTGTGAATATTCGGGTATCCTTTCCGTAGAATTCCTGGATCTGATTGGCTACAGTGGCTGCATCTTGTTGCTGAATTCCATATGGTGCTCACGAAGCTATAATACTGAGGTATCTTATCAGGAGCCTCTGCCTCTCCGTATCGCATGTTTTTCCGTATGCAGGTGGCCAGCTAAATCACTCAACGCGTGCTCACGTGGCTTCGCGCTCACTAAAATCGCGGGGCAGTGCCGCACTTTGCACGCCTCAGTACTGAATACATCATCCAATACCTTACGCAGCTACACTTCACTTCATCGATTTGAGCAGAGAATAGATCATCTGGCTCCAACGACCCAAGAGGTACTTATACAGAGGAGTAAATCATTTTTTTTTTACAGACACAGCTGAGAGAAAATAACTTCAAAATGGTGAATTGAACCTCCTCGCGGGCATCTATGATGAATGAAATACTAAATGTAGTAGCCAACTGAGATCGACGACGCACACATATCCGTGCGCTTCAAGTACGGCATCCACACCATCTTTCTCTTCATCGACGCACTGGCGCCTTTCTCTTCTGTCACACAAGATCTATTGGAGGTTCTCAGAGATAGATATCCCGATGGTCTCACAAAGTCAAGCTCTTCACCAGATGAGAAGACACCCGTGCCAGATACAGCAAACCTGACCTATGGTGTTCTTCGTGTACCCACCGATCCCTCTAAGGGATGGAAGCCCCTGAAACTTGGAAGCGACGGTTCGAATACTCCTAGCAAGTGCGGCATCAAGGATAACAACATTGTGGCCTTTGCGTTTGGACCAGATGAAGAGGATGAGATGGATGCTGATGAGGGAGATGTTGTGTTTGAAGTCGAGTGGCCTCAGGAGGACGAAGAGCTCTACGAGCAAGGGCCTTGAGAGGATGGATACATGAGGTTTATCGCAGAATTGTATCATATTGAATGTTCGAGACCCTTCTCCAATTACGGGCTCGGAGTCCGGTGGCGCCCTCTCCCACCGAGCTTGGACTGCATTAGCAACCTCGTCGTTACGAAGGGAATCTTGCTCAATATTTGAGTGACTTGCGATTTTCCCTCGCAAGCTTCTCATGGCGTTCAAGGTAGAGAGAAAACGATGGGGACTATTTGAGTTCATAGGAAAAGACTTTGATCATTTGTTTCCAGGCGCGGCGGAAGGATGCACCTTATCTCCGTTGTCATAGGAGATGCGCCTCTTCTACGCTCAGATCTGGTAGCTTTATGTATTTGTTTACCTCTAGATCTTGAACTATACCGCGCGTTCACAGTACTGGGGAATCGAAGAGACCTCAAACAAAATGACAGTATATTCAGCCGCGGAATCTTATTCGGCATCTACGGTAAAAGGGGCCTCCGCCACATACCTATACGGCCGGAGCAGGAGGAAAGAAGCGAAGAAACAAAAGATATTCCATCCGAACAAATTACAAAGCCTATCTCGCTCTCGTTATATCCACCCCATCATTTACTAGTTATACGTGTAAGTTCCACGGCCACACCCGGCCCATCTTCGTGAAATCTCGGGAGAATAGAGCCTTCGGCGTCTAAAACTCAAATCCAAAGGAGCAGAATCGAGGCGCGGTAGCTCTGTCGCAAGAGAAGCGGACGAGATACGGTGACCCGGTCGTATCTGACGACAGGAAAGTGGTTCCATCCGGTGCGCTGACTTCAATATCGAACTCGGCAATGCGAGGTCCCTGACCGTAGACGATACGGAAGGGATAGTACTGGCCTTCTTGGAGGTCGGCAGTAAAAGTTCCCGTTGCAGGTCCGTTGTTGTAGACGGCCTTTAGATCCGCGTTTGCGCCAGTCCAGCCAGAGTATGCCTCGGGGCCGATCCAGATGTAGGCGGCATCGTCAACTAGGTTGAGAGTGAATGTGTAGGTGCCCGTCTGGCGCGCGTAGATGTACCCGCGATGGTTGAGGACAAAGTCAGACTCTGAGAGGGGAGGTGAGCCGTAGACGCTCTTTGGGGCGCTGTCTTGGAAGCTGATGCCACCGATGACGTTGGTCACGCCTTGGTACTCCGGTTGGATTATCTATGTGGTGAAGTCCGCGTTAGTATTGATGGGATCATGAGGGCATGACCACGATATCTGGTAACATACTTTGTATTCTTCAGGGCGCCAGTCGGCAAAATCACCATCGACGGTTCTGTTATAGTATGCGAATTCGATGCCCTGGTTTCCACAAGTAGAGGGCGCGGGACAGGCTCTTGTCGTAATGGTTTGCGTGGCTGTAGATGTCGTTACAGTGGGGGAACCGTTTCCAACGGGGCCAACAGTCCTGGTTATGGTGATTGTGGGCGAAACGAAGACGGTCCTGGTAGATGTGACTGTAGGAGTTGGGAGGTCGATACAGCTACACGCCTTGGTGACATCAAGAGTCGGGAATTGGGTGACGCAGGCAGGGATGGGCGGGATGTAAATTGGTGGAAGTAACTGTCGCTTGAACAGCGTGGGGATGGCATTGCAAGAGCTGCTGGTGACAGTTCTGCAATTGGATGAAACGATTAGACTGATGCCATGATAAATATGTATTGAAGTGCCATATACTTACACGGTAGTGCCGCTTGTGATGGTCGGACGAACGCCGTTGGAGTTGGTCGTCGTCACTGTGACAGTGGTTGGTCTCACGATAGTGGTGGTTCTAGACCTGATGACTGAAGGAAGAGGAACCACAGCCTATGAGATTTGGCGTTAGTTATTTCAACATGGTTAGATTTGGCATTGAACATGTGAAGATGATTACTTACAGCGCAATAGGCAATCGCCAGGGGGTCTCCAACGAGAAGTTCGGTGATGACATTGACAGCCAGGCAGGTTACATCATCAATGATTCCCGGCACCACCAGTTGAGGCGTCGGAGACGCAAGAATTGATGTAGATAGTGTCAAGGCCACAGCGGCCAGTGAAGAGAACGAATGCTTCATGGTGTCAACACTTGAACTGTTAGGTTCGCGGATGATGAGTGAAGGTCGGCGGGGAGTTAGAGGATATATAGCAGGGTCTAAAGCATGTTATTATATAGTTTTTCTTCTTCTTCTCCCATTCTTCTCCCCGCTTTATTATGTTTTACTATTACTCCCCGACAATTCAAACTCTATCCCTAGAGGGCTGTGTTATGATTTGCCTATGAGACGAGAAGGGCTAGTTGTCTACCCGATTTTGGCGCATCTGTGTCATGAACAACACATCAAAGAATCACTTGATACACCGCTCCTCCATATAAATGTAAGGGAGATGTCGCTTCGAGATTACCAAAAAAAAAGCCACTTTTTACGATTGAAGCCTAAAAACCGTGCATTCGGATGCGTGGAGCACATGAAACCTACCAAATGAAGACATTAAACAAGTCGCAATACGAGAGTCTAGTCTCGCAAAACATAAGTCAAGACGTGATTCTGCCAAGATGATGAAAGACATTACTAGGATCCCCCCGATGGCCCTGTGCTGGGAGCTAATCCCCTCTAAATAGTGTTTTCCCACGGAGAAAGGTAATGTTCTTTTGTAAGTGGCCTACGATAGAGTTTTGAAGCATCGTAATTGGATCGAGATGGGGAGATGCGTGTCTCACAGCTCGAGGCTGGCCAATGAGAAACATCCCGTCGTTTGCAGGGAAGGCTCGTAGCTTGAATGTGTCAATAAATGGCCGTCTTGATTTCCCGTGTCTTAGACCATGGCTTGCGTGGCACAAACGGGGTTAAAATGTCTAGGCAGCTGTCATTTCGGTTCGGCTCGGAGTGTGGATGCTTCTAGACTTGAGACTACCATTGAGGGCGCACCGATCTACCGAATTCTTGAATGAGATGGACATCTCGTATTATCAAGGGAGTGGTAAACCATCGCCATGAGCTGGCTATTCGGTATCCTCAGTTTGTGGGGGCTGAGTGCAACTCCGATAGCTACCAGTTTATACTATGGTTTATAAAAAAGTCTATCCACCGGAAGGTTCTCCAAATAGCTTTGTTTAACTCATATATTTTTTAAGAGTGTCCAACTCTGCGCATTGATACACATATATCCACACATCTCTATTACCGAGCGTCTAACAACATGCATGTACCAATCATGCACTACCACGTCATTTTGAAGAGGTCAAAGCAGCCATAATCAAACGAAGTAGTCGCTCCTTTGATCCAGACCCCAAAATGTCTCACAGTGCATGCGAAAAGGAACATCTCCCTTACCTCCAGGGTGGCTTCACGGCCTTATTTTCAGCTCACTTAGCACGCTCCTCCACAAACTCAAACGGGCAATTTGGTATATCGCCACCATTGAGCTCTTGGTATTTATCGTGCCATGGGAGAAGCCGGTGTCTTTTGCCGTTAGACTATGGGAAAATACGCGAGGGTGCGGCTTAAGTGTGGTGCCGTATGCGTAGGCATACATACAAACCTTTGGCATTTTTAGACAATGACGTCTATTTAATCTCTCTCGGACTCAGCTTATATTAACGTAAAAACTATGTACTTTCTAGAGGAAGCATATGTAGCTTAGGTAGGGTATGCAGCGCGGGTGACTCGGCTGCTGGTGGTGATTGCCCATGCCATCCACCACTAATACCCTACCCTCGAGATGCATGTAAGTTATCAACTCGCACTAAAGGAAATACGCTGGATTTTATGCACGGCAGACTTGTATCTCCGTAGTTCCGCTTTGTGGGTTGGGATCATCATTCTACATGAAGGATACGCCCGGAGTGATTATTGCCTGAATTGGAAATAGAGTAATCCGTCCGAATCACGCTGCCTATTCCTTGATGCTTGTCTGAGACATATAGCTGCATGGTCATCGCTCACGGCATCACTCCTCCATCTTTCTTCTCTCATGTATGGGATCTCGACGGATGATCTTGACCATTACGCTGCTTTTTGGTTCTAGTTTTTGCTCTCAATACTCCAGAATGGCAGATTTCAGCCATCTTGGAGGCCCCTCTACGGAATGGGTAGAATTCTCAAAGCAATTGTCACTGCCACCCTGCCCAAATTTTACAGCCAATCTCGATATGAAAGCCATTCGTCAGGCTATCAATTCTCAGAGGTTCCTCGCAAGGAACGAGGAATTGAAAGCAATGGTTGATCACGGCGTCAAATGCGAAACTATCATGGTTGTTACGAGTGACTATCTCGAAATACCCGTTCGACTGTATACTCCGCCCAAACGAAGAAGCCCTGCATCAGTCCTTCTATACTTTTATGGCGGCGGTTTCTTCTCTGGGTCGCTGTCTGTAGATGACGCTGCGTGCATAAATCTGGCTCGAAAATGCGGACTGATTGTAGTCAGTGTTGGTTACCGGCTGACGCCAGAATGGAAGGCTCCAACGCAGTTCCAAGATGCCTGGGATGCCCGATGCTGGGTATTGCAGAATCCAGAAGCTCGTGGTATCTCTTCGCCTTTCGATCTCTATGTGATGGGGATCAGTGCTGGTGCCTGTTTGGCTGCGAGCATTGTTATTCGGGAGAGGAAGGTATGTATTGTGCCGTTTAACAACAAAGTCAACATGACTAGACTAACAATTCGATGTTCCATCTAGTCAGGCGAGGCCGTTATCAAGGGCCAAAGCCTCTGCGTACCGTGGTTATGCCTGCCCGAAAAGTTTCCCATCGAAGAGATTCTTCCAGAGAAAGCTTCGCCAACCCAATGCAGAGATGCGGCACTACTTCCACATAGCTGGGTTGTAAAGTACGCAGATATGTTGGATACGCCAGAATCGCTTCGTGACAGTCCAGTGATAAATCCCTTATTGTTTGATGAACGGGTTGTTACGAGCCTGCCGCCTTCTCATATTATGGTCTGTGGAGATGATCCTCTCCGCGACCATGGCATGCTCATGAAACAGAAACTCGACCGTTTACGGTAAGCATAGCTCTTTGCCTACTTGATAATGATTCTTTTGTGAATAACAGCTACTAATCCGCTCCCGCCTCCAGTGTCTCAACCAAACTTCACATATATCCGGGATACCCTCACTTCTTTCGTCGATTTCCAAACTGTCCAGCTAATAAGAGTTGGGATAATGATTTGCTAGAAGGCATTGAATGGATGATGGCGCAATCTGAGATAAACGGCCGGGAATAAACTAGCTGGTCGCCATTCAGACTATGGTTATAGATGTAATATTATATGTGAAGATATCTCCCACAATCCCATATACACATCGCTTATTTAAAAGGTATCTGTGAACTGACAAGTCAATTCTTGCGTTCCAGGTTTCCCTCACCAATATGAAGCACATGGATTTCCATCATTATACCTGTGAATAGACAATTATTACAATCATTTGCATGTTGGGGCTTCAACCGGCATCAGTCTAGGAGCGCTTGTAATCCTAAACCATGAAAGTCCGGCACGACGCGGCAAGAGTCTTTGGAATCAAGGCAAAGTCGGCACAGCAAACTCCCGGTAGGTAACCCATGCTGAACTGGTCCTATCGAGGTCTATGAGATCCTTTACTTGTCATTGTCCGCGTATCTCGCCGGCTATGCTGTTGTGTGGGGCCGATGTATGCCGTCAAATGTTCCACATTTAACTCCGTGTTAGATGCGCAGGCTGGATTCAGCAGTATTATCCAACATGCAACGCTAAGATGGTGATCAGCCCGGACGGGCCGCAAGCGCCATTCACCAGTATGAATCCAACTCAACATATACTAAGGATGCCGGAGTTAATGTAGGATGTTGACGTAAATCTTATGCTTTGGGGAAGAACTGCGGCACACATCGAGTTAGAAGGCATCCAGTTGGAGTTCGTCTTTGGTATCTAGCCAATGTTAGTGCCTACAATACTACAGGATTGGCGGTGAGTCAAGACTCAGAAGGAAAGCTGTCCTTACGGCACAGCTTTCATATCAACATTTACTTGTGTCAAGTCTGATGATATGAGACAGCTATCACCCATAGTCATTTAACAAGTAGTTGTCCATCTTTTACGAAGAGATCGCATTGACCCGCTTTCTCAATAACATTGAAACTGGGCCTAGAGGATTGGCCTATCGGAACATGTCTCATCCCTGTACGAATTTACCGATCCCTTCTTCCTACTCCGTACAATTACATTGTAACACATTACTACATGGGCAAATGGTGTTTTCCAAATAAGGAACAGCCTCATTGCTACTCTCTAGTAAGCTCACATGATAAATCAGCTTAATCAGGAAGCGCGAAGTATCGTCAATCTGCATTGCTCTCCGAGGATTTCGCTAGTGATCGCGTCTCATTAACTCCTGAGGAGTGATGGTTAGCGGGTAAACACGAGGCACTTCTTCCTATACATATTGGCTCGCCAAAAGAACTACACGCGCTTCGAGGATGGAAGAAAAGTATGTCTGTCCGAGCTCAACATCGTCATCACTGGCGCGTCTAACACAGTCCTGCAAGGTTTACTCACGGTCAGGGAACCAAGAACCTGCCGGCGCGTGATTTTGATATGCTCCTCCGTAAAAGACGTCGTCTCCGCGCAGCAAAATCATGTTACCCATGTAGGCGTCGGAAAGTCAAATGTAATCTCCGTCAGCCATGTGGGAGTTGCGTTATCCGGGGCCACCCAGAGCTTTGTGACTATGGCGTCCAAAGTCTTCCCGGCAAAGAGCAACATCCTCGGGACATCAGTGATGGAGGGAAGCCATCTGGTGCCACTAATGAAAGGGCAGCAGCCATCAACATGGACCAAGGACTTATCTGGACCCTCTCTCACACTACAGCACTAGGGTGCATGTAGGATATGAGTCGCTTCCTAGTCTTATCTCCATTTACCAAACAATAAGCGCGAACCAGCCACAGCCGGCTCAGAAAGCGTGGACTCTCGGGCCCACTACAAGTCCGCAGACCGTCTTTGAGCTCCTGTGCCTCCAAGACTCAAGCACAATGTTTCCGTTCACGAATATTTGGGCATCCGGGGATGGCCTAGACAAGGTTTACAGTGCCCTACCAGAAGACGAAGCTATATTGAGGCAAGTGGCTTTCTTTCATTGGTATTCACTATTACTGATGATTTTACAGTCATCTTAAGTTTTGTCAGGAATCATTGTTTAGTATCTTGCCTCCATTCATAAATTTCCCACAGTTTGAAGCCACCCTTTCTTCATTTCATTATGAGAGAGCAAAGTCTAGACCGGATGCCTTAACGAATCCCCCATTAAACTGTACCTCCTCGTGGTTTGCTCTTCTGTTCAGCATATTAGCATGTGGCGCACAGCTTGCTTCAACAGACGTGGATTCTGAAATACTTAAAGCTCGTGTTTTCGGTGAGATACCCATCAAGCACTGCAATTATTCTACCAGTGATAGTTCATCTAACTTGACTTCAGCCTGTTGTTCATTTCAGTGCCTGAGATTCAGCAATTTCCTCTCTTTTCCCAATGCTGAGATCGTCCAGACACTTATACTATTACTTAACTTTCTCAGAAACCAGGCTGATGCAGGAGCTTCATGGTCACTACTTGGTACGTACAACAGCTCCTTCATCAAGGTTTACATAACGCACTTACATGAATATTGTTCTTAGGTCTAACCATACGACTTGCTCAAGCCATCGGGATGCATTGCCCGCCTGACCCTGAGAGCATATCCGACCCGACTGAAAAGGATGAGGCAATTATACACCATGATATCTGGTATGATATATCACCAATAGGCATTAATTCCTGACTTATACTAAAAACTATGGACTAGGCGCTCGTTAATATGGCAAGATACGCTGATATCACTGTGTTACGCCCGGCCGTTGGGTATAAATGTCCTAGAAGAAGTAATACTAGCAACTCCAACTGGGCGAGGCGAAGTCCGATTTGACTCTTTTTCGGACAGCAGCCATAATCTTTTCATGGTTGCAAATAAAATTGGCCAGGCCCTTCAGTACGCAAAATGTACAAAACAGCCCCTATCACTGTTGAAAATACATAAATTCAAGGACTTGATCAATCAAGTCGAGTCTCGTTCCCTTCCCCACATACGAGATGTGTTGAAATGTCAGGGCCGGACTGATTATTTCCAACACTGTTTCTTTCGGCTATTTTCAGACTCAGTCATGTTATGTTTATGTCGTCCAGCTGTATTGTCCGGCCATCATGAACATGGCCAAGAACTTGGCAGTCTCTGTATGAGCCGTTGTCGCTCTGTGTTGCGAACATACCTAGAGTTGCTCAAGTTGGACAATCCACTGAGACGGTCGTGGATATTCATGCACGTTACACTCAGCTGCGCATTGTGGTTGGGAGTCACTGCAGACATTGGAAAACTCAAGTCAGACAAGATCTTACTCGAAAAGTTCTTTGATGCTTTGTCGGAAAGCACGATATGTGTTAAGATACCTCCATACGCAAACGCCTTGAAACTACTAGGGGATCTCATCGGTAGCCATGACCTGGATAAATAGCAGCATGGTTGACACTTAGTTAATTCATCATCTTGCGCGGGTTCGGGATCCAGGAGTGGATGGAAAGTTTTGACACAATCGCAACGAAGCTGTTTCTCTTATGGGTCCAATAATATTTATCATAAAACTGTACAAGTTCGCGCTGCCAATTTTCTTGGCTTGTCGTCTCCATCCTAACCTATCAGCTCAGTGAATTCTCTCCAAGTTGCATCATTTGCTAGACCAACAAAATCCTCGTGAAACAAGCTCATGCCAAGATCCATGTGCCCTTCTTTATTTTTCGGCATCATGTACACTAGATCTGGCAGCTCCGGTAGCCTGGCCCTACGGACAAAATCGGGCACGCCAATCGCTGTACCAAAGCTACAGTTTGCCAGCCAGTGCAGCTGCACCCATGATGAGATTAATATGTCCTTTCCAATCTTCTTCTTTGCTGCGTAGAAAATCGTCGTCTTATCTTCCGTCTCGTTGATGAGCGTCGCGAGACTGCGCATGTAAAAGTCGTCGATGCGGTTGAGTGATTCTCTAATACTGATGGCGGCATCGGCAAGAGAACCATTAACAAGTTCACGAGCCGTAGGCCAGGCTGTGTCGGCGAGACCGCATAGATGGCCAAGATATCCTTCACTGACTGGCGGATTTAACTTTCGTCTTCCATCTACCGCTCGAAGGCAGTGAACATCTTCGTCTGGTGCCACGCGATTCGCAGCTAAGCGAACAGCCGTAAGTCGCTGTATGTAGAATGCCGTGACGGCGTCATTCGTAGAGACCCAAGTGCGCCCACTCGACGCAATCTCCTTGAGCTTTGCAAGCTTCTCTGCTGGGAACCGCCAGTAATTCCACGGCGCTTTACCCGGCGCGCCGTGGTGGCCCGACTGACCCAAGGACGATGGCTTTCTCAGATCGCTGTGATCGAGGCCGACTTCTCCTGGCTTCAGCAGTGGCACAATGGTATCGGCGTCTTGATTTCCAGCCTTGACCAGCTCCGCATCCAGCTCGTCCCCCCGTGCGGCAGCAGCAAACATCTTGAGAACGATACCCTGTCCGTTCATATCAAGGGCGTTATGCATAGAAGCGAAGCATAAAAGCAATCCCCCTTTTACAAAATTGGCCTGTATAATGAAGACTGGGCGCTCAGTCTCCTCAGTATACACATAGCCCATGCCTTTCTTGGGGCATAGAATATCCCCGTCCAGCATGGCAAACGGTGCCTTGGCCCTAAGGATTTGGTCATAAGAAGGACACAAGTCGGCACAGTCTTTTCGGCGGACGGGAGATTTTTCGTTATGAGGCGGATATGGGATGATTTCATATTTGCCGGAGCTCGTAGCTGATTGTCCTCTTTTGACGACCTGACCAGCAAGGAATGGATAAGCCTCTAGAAGTTTTATGGCCGCCCTGTCTAGTGCTGTCATGACTTCATCCTGTTGCACTCCGGGCTGATCGGGGAACCCAAGAACGACTACAGTGTAAGTGTCCCAGCCAAGCTGACCAAAAATTCCGGGTTGGCGAAGTCGGTTTGCCATATTGTGAGAATAATACAGTGGTTTAAAGAAGGTATAAAGAGGCTTTGAGAAGCTGCAATTTGATGGTAATCACGGGCCTTTTTATACTTCGAGTAGGTGTTGTGTTACGTCCTGATTCACATAGTGTCTGGTATGCTGATGAGCCATCTTAGTATAGCTTCGTAGTCTGACTCAGATAATTAGCCAACGGGACGGACCTGGATAATTTCCGTGGTATAATACAATTAAAACCTTACCTTCGTTCGTTAATACGTATATACTCCTTACTAACTGAAGCTCAGCATGCTGCGTTACTTCAGGCCTGTAGGCGAGTCTATTCACGGAATCACAGCTACCATATTTCCGTGCCTTCGCAATTCGAACGGAGATAATTATGGGTCGGCACACTTCTTGCCTGCGCTTCTCTTCCGACAGGGATACATTGAGGAGCCTATTGTCTTTTAACTGCATCCCAAAGAGGTGCCCATTGGGGATATGCGATCTGTATTTATTTACAAGGGATGATCACGTTGGTCCGGTCATTAGTTGGATCGCGCTGCTAACTTGTCTCAGTTGCAATTTATACGAGTGTTGCAACGAATGTAACCACAGTTTTAGGAGTTGACACACCGCCATTATTACTGCTCGAGCGGTTCTCAGAGAAGCTGGTGCTAATACCGCAGTAATTCATGTAATAGAAGCGTCCAAGCGATTGCCCTCACCGTTACAGAGATGATAACAACTAGTATGAACCACCCGTCTAAAATTGCATTGCTAATAACTGTTGGAGATGATTGTTAGAGCCGTTAAAGCGATGGTGGTGGTAGTGGCAAAGTAGAGGTGTGCATTATCACTGTAGAGCCAGGTTCATGACTTGATGACGAGCTCAACAACAATCACAGGCCGCACGTTTGTTTCCGAAGGAGCCGTTGATTACATTGATGACGCCAATAGGGTAAATACGAGACAATTAAAGATATGCAAGTGCCGTGGAAGCCGGTTTGTATGGTAAATTGGAGGGTGTAGGGGTAGAACTACCTTGGTAGAATCTATCAATGACACGTATGGTATCGCAGTGGGCCTGTTTAGAGATCTTCGCCGAGGCTGACACCATGGGTTGTTGGAATATTGTCGGAATATAACTCTTTGGAATTAAAACTCAGATGGAAGACCATTGATGCCGTCAAGTTGGGGGCCTAAGATACCAAAGAGAAGAAAACAGGTTCCCTGGTCAGGGTAGCACGGCACGAATATGTGCCAGCCTATCCACCAACTTTGTCAAGGAGGTGTCAACATGTATCCCTACACTACAACAATAGATTTCTACAATAAAAAGCCCAACTTTCCGCCAAGCAGACAGTCTGTGTTAATGCTACGAGCAACCAATTGCCATTCGAATAAGCCTAAGCTTGATCAAAAGTACTGAAGATCTTTTCGTTTCCAACAATATGTCTACACCTTCCAAGAGTTTGAGGATTGCGATCGTTGGGGGAGGACTGGGTGGTCTGATGGCGGCCCTCTGTGTCCACTCATTCTGTGGTTCAACTGCCGTCAAGATTGATGTTTACGAGCAGGCCTCGGAGTACAAAGAGATCGGTGCAGGCGTCAGCCTCGGCAGAAATACTTTGAGAGTCATCAAACAAATTGGACTTTATGAGCAAACCTATGCGATGGCAGGCAAGACTGACAGTTGGTTATCAGCTCGGCGATACGACACTGGTGAAGAGACTGTCAGGATCAGAGCAGATGGTGATGAGCCATCACATTTGCCGGTGCATAGGGCTGAGTTTCTAGCCCTCCTCGTACAAACGATTAAAGAGAGGGCCGCTGCAACTCTTCACCCCAATAAGAAATGCTTGACAATAGAGGTAAGAGTTTTTGAACACTCGTGAAAGACTTCTGAAATAGTATCTCATATCCCAGTCTTAGGAGATAGATGACGCTATTGTCCTAAACTTTGCAGACGGTACAGTGACCACGGCAGGCCTTGTTGTTGCGGCTGATGGCATTCACTCTCGTATACGTCAACACTACCATGTACGCTACATTTACCCAAATTCCCTGCAACGATACATATACAGAGCGCTAACTCTGTTAGAACGGTGATGCCCAGTTCGGTGAGATGGTTGTATATCGCGGGTTGGTTCCAACGGATGATATCAAGGACTGGTGGCCGCTGGACACTTACACTCCCATCTGGATTGGTCCCGGCAGATACTTTATTGTCTACCCCGTTAGCGATGGATCTTTGCTGAATCTCGGTGCATTCGTCGCGACTGATGGCAAATCACTTAAGAATAAGACAGAAAGCTGGACACTGAGAGGAGATAGATCCGATCTGGAGAAGGATTACGCGGATTTCGACCCTACGGTGAACCGTCTCATCCAACACTTGGACGAAAACCCTCTCAAATGGATCTTGTATGATAGACCTCTTTGCAACAAGTGGGTATTCTCAAATGGTAAAGTAGCACTACTAGGGGATGCAGCCCATGCTATGGTTCCTCATCAAGGTACGTGTTGCAAGGCAGCTTGTGCATCATTTACTGACACTCCATAGGTGCGGGCGTTGGTCAGGTTATAGAAGATGGGTATATACTTGGGTAATGTTTGAGGGATTATCTGAACGACTCAGGCCCTCGCACTCTAGAGGATTGGTTAACAAATGTCTACCAATCAGTTCGACTCCCTCGGGCTCAAAGAGTACAGACGACGTCGAGAGAAAACGGAAATAATCTGCATGCTCCGTCGAATACTTTCAAGGATCCGATGTCTGAAGAGTGTCTAAAACAAAATCTCCAGGATCGAATGAAATGGATCTGGGACGATGATTTAGACGTCATGTATAATAACGCCCGAAGGAACATGTTGTCTGGCGGTGCTGATGATGCAAGTCGCGAGGACTCACAAGTATAATCAGAGAAGGTCGCTTCACGCTGACATGAGGGAGCAATCGTTTGGTAAGGGTCTCTGTCCATTACTATCTGAACCAAATATCGCTGACAGTCAAAAAGTGCCATGGAGCTGTGACCAGTTTATCGACAGGAGCAAGCCCAGAAGCCTATGGCAGAATGAAGGTCTCGATCCGATGTATTCCTGCAAATTTTAATATATCAATAAAAGATACGGACAATCATGTCAGCAGATACTGCCAGATATAAAAAAAAAGGAAATTTACCACCAGGTAGATAAAAGATACTTCCTCTGCATCTCAGTATGAACCTTCACCTAAGCCCACCGTGGGGGGTCTAGCACCGGATAACCAAATTGAGCCGCCAGACAGCCACTCTCTAAAACTGCAAGCATTCAATTGAACTCTACGTATAGGCATCTCAGCCACATATCCATTATTACTGATGCTAGTCAATTCACACAATAATAAATACTCTGTTAGGCGCCTAGTAGAAAGCATTGCCATATCTTCAATTGGTAGAACATCCATCACTGCGGCGTCCATAGAACTCGGCCCACTAAAGCTACTTCATGAATATCCGAGATTCAACCGGCACATCTTCCAAACCAACAGTGAGCTCACCATCACTAAAGCTTCAACCTACAAACCACCACAGCACCAAGTTCATCTTTAGAATCGCAGCCTCTATCCGTCGCGTTTGCTTCCATTGAATCTCGGCGCTCTCAATTCCGCAACCGATTAGCAACGCGCCGCATTCGTTGCTTGTTTCCCACTCGTTGAGCAGAGCAGTGCAGCAAGATGGGCAAAAAGAAGCGCGGCCATCCCGATGTCGAGGAAATCCTCTCGCGACCATGGTGTTATTACTGTGTGTGCAAACTTCATCCACAATCCCCGAGGCGTCTCGTTTTTTCACACTGCTAACCGATGTTGTCTCTATAGGCGAGCGTGATTTCGAAGATTTGAAGCTCCTCATCTCCCACCAAAAAGCCAAGCACTTCAAATGCGACCGATGTGGCCGACGCCTAAACACTGCCGGAGGTATGTTTCCCATTGTGCGAGCCTTGGTGGATAGAAGAGCTCCGGTTTCGCGAGCAAAGGGAAAGAAGACTGGCTAACAATTGGCGCGCTTTCAGGTCTCTCCGTCCACTTGAACCAAGTTCACAAAGAGACGCTCAGCCAGGTTGAAAATGCGCTGCCCAATAGACAGGGACTCGAGGTCGAAATCTTCGGCATGGAGGGTATTCCGCAAGAAGTCCTCGAACAGCACCGGAATCGTATCATCCAAAACTTTTACCAAGCACAGGAGGACCGCAGAATTGCGACCGGCAACCCCCCGCCTGGCCAATCGAAGAACCCGAGAAAGAAGATCAAGATTGAGACAGCAGAGGAGCTCCTAAAGAGATTTGCCGAGTATCGGGTCCAGCGAAAAGCGGCGTTAGCAAGCGGCGGTACCATGGAGGGTGTCGTACAGACAGGCACCGCCTTCCCTCAGCAATCGTTCAACCAGCCCGGCTTTCCTGGACAGCAACCGCATGGACAAGCGGCTTACGGATTTTCCTCAGATTCCCTTCCGGCACGGCCTTCTTCAGGCCTCGTTGGAGCACCTGGTTTGCCTCAACGACCCACACAGGCCGGATTCTGGGGCGGCTCATCTCAAGCTGCCGCTTCTGGCGATGAGATTGATCAGTTGATTCGCATGGCCGAAGCCGGTGTCAAGCCACAGAAGAAGGCGGAAGAGGGCGAGGAGGGAGAAGGCAAGAGCAAAAAGGACAAGGACAAGAAGGGCCGCATGATCTACGACGATGCAGAGTTCAGTCCCGAAGAGAAGATGGCAGCTCTTCCTCGCTATGCGTACACGCCAGTCGGAGCTTGATTTTGTGCAAAAGAATGCTATTGGGTAGGTTGAGCAACCAACAGGACAGCTCACCCTCGGACGAGGAAGGGTTACACACAAACTGCAGAATTCGCTTTACAAATAATGGTCAAAGGCACTTTTAACAAGGATAGGCGTCAGGGATTGTGTATAATACAGTGGACTTTTTTTTTCACGCATCTACGGAATTTGACGCAGGTAGATCTGACGTGGAGAAATCAGGATGATATCTATGTCGCGATAATGCTACAAGCTTTTGAATGCTGCTCATTCATGGTTTCGAGTGAATAAGCGGATTGGTACAACTCCTGGCTTTTGAACAGGTACTGTAGGTTAGACACTCGAGATTCTTGACGTGTTGCTGTGCGAATGATGAAAGTATAAACAAAATCAGAAGCCGTTTATTGGTGCTGGAAACATTATTCAGCTTGTGCTGATAAAAGACGACCTCCAATGTATGTAGCACAGAGTTTGGTGCAGAAGCTTGGTGCGCTGGAACGACGAAGCTTCTCTTGTATTACGCAACAGGTAAGTCTACATGGCGCCTGGTGGTCTTGTGTTAGATGCTTTAGTAGTACCTTGTACATAAGTTAATGTAGCTTCAGTACAGGTCAATTTGTTTATTCGCTGCTTTCGCAAGTTCTGCTGTGCATGTCATGGGTGCGATGCTGTCGTGTTGCTTCATCCCACATGTGCTGGTCGTTTCCAACTTGATAGGCCCAGCAGTGTATCCGTTCTCCGTAAAAGGGTGGGAGAGACAGCACATGTACATTGTGTCTGTGGCCAATCAATCTCCACACTGCTCGTCACCGACACCTTCATTCTCATCAATTGAAAATGATAGAACTTTTTGCAAACCATCTGACCGCCATTCTCATCAACGCCTGGCCGTTGAGCTGGCGCTTTCTTTAAAGCTAATCCCGGCAATTCTCCAGAGTTTGCAGGGTAGCTTTCGCTGCGAAACTCTGTTCTTTAGGCCCTGTGGGTGGAGCTTCCCGCAGCGCTAGATGTTGTCCAGGCAACACCGCCAGTTTCCATTTTCCCTCCTGACAAGGGTCAACAAATAAACCCGATTGATTGGCACGTCACTGTCCAGCTAGACTTGTTCTGTTCGTACATATCGAGCCTCTACGGGATATCAATTGAGGCCCAATCGCTCTCTCCATTTTGACATTTTTGTTTGCAGCCATTGTGTTTGACTATTCGATATCTCCTACGAATTACTGCTGCTACTGCTCGTGTTTGATCTGGTTCTTGGGGCTGGCTGTGTCTTTTCTTCTTTAACTCCGTCGGCATTCCTCCATCTCAGCTCTGCCGCCCCCCCCCTCCCCTGGTCACCGATTCTCTATCTAGATCGTTCAGCACCGATTTGACCAGGCATCATTGCGCACTGACGACCTCTTGATATCGGGAATTGGGCCTGTGTCGAACAATTTGCACGACCTTGGAGAACACAACACGGCAGCCTTGAGCTAGGAGCACAACGAAGTCTATCACGGGAAGCGGTGAACCATGGCCGACTCGGGGCAGTCGTCCATCACAGTGGCCGGTATGTTCACGGTCTATTCTGTTCTGTTCTGTTCTATTCTGGCAGGGACGGTGGTTTGCTGACGTTGAATGGTGCAGTCCGAGTCCGGCCTTTTACAATCCGAGAAGCAGCTTCATTGTAGGACTTCTTCTTCCTGGCAGTAGAATCGATACTAACCACACTCAACCTTTAGGCAGCGGAACGACGATGGCACGATTTTCCTCGGCGATGGCTCCTTCGCCTCGGCACCGACTCCCAAGCTTCACCGTGGGGGCATCCGAAATGTTATCAAAGTTATGGACGATCGTTGCCTGTGAGCATGCTTACCGAATGCCATTGGTGGTCCCCTCCATCGGCTGACTCTTGATTCTGCTGCAGAATATTCGATCCGCCAGAGGAAAGCCCCGTCCAGAAATTCTCCCGAACCGTCGTTCCCGCCTCGAAAAAAGTGAAAGATCAAGTGTTTGCCTTTGATCGAGTCTTTGACGACAACACAACGCAGGCTGAGGTTTACGAGGGCACGACCCGAGGCTTACTCGATAGCGTCTTGGATGGATATAATGCAACTGTATTTGCCTACGGCGCAACTGGATGCGGCAAGACGCATACCATTACCGGCACAGCACAGCATCCCGGGATTATTTTCCTGACGATGCAGGAGCTGTTCGAGAAGATTGAAGAACGCAGCCACGAGAAGTCTACAGAGCTGACGCTGAGCTACCTGGAGATTTACAACGAAACAATCCGAGATTTGCTGGTGCCCGGTGGCAGCAAGGCCGGCCTGCCTCTTCGCGAGGACAGCAATGCAGCGGTCGCCGTTCCTGGCCTGACCAGCCATCGCCCTCGGGATGTCCAAGAGGTCATGGACATGATTGTTCAGGGCAACGAGTACCGAACCGTATCACCGACCGAAGCAAACGCAACCTCGTCTCGATCCCACGCCGTGCTCCAGATCAATATTGCGCAAAAGGACAGGAATGCCGACGTCAATGAGCCTCACACTATGGCAACTCTCAGCATCATCGATCTGGCTGGCTCTGAGCGTGCGTCTGTCACCAAAAACCGAGGCGAGCGCCTGACAGAGGGTGCCAACATCAACAAGTCACTTCTTGCTCTAGGAGGCTGCATTAATGCTCTCTGCGACCCGCGAGGAAAGGCACACGTGCCGTACCGCAACAGCAAGCTCACTCGACTCCTCAAATTCTCACTCGGTGGCAACTGCAAGACTGTCATGATTGTCTGCGTCTCACCATCGAGTGCTCACTATGACGAAACCCAAAACACCCTGCGTTATGCGAACAGAGCGAAGAACATCCAGACCAAGGTCACTCGCAACGTCTTCAACGTTAATCGCCACGTGAAAGACTTCTTGATCAAGATTGACGAACAAATGGCCCTGATTAACGAACTGAGAGCACAACAGAGGGAGTCTGAGAAAACCAGCTTCGCCAAGTTCCGGAAGCAGTACGAAAAACGAGACGGCATCGCGAGAGAGGCCATGCAGAGGCTTCGGGCTGCGTATGACAACGCAGGTGCCGAGCGTCAGGAGCGTATTACCTCTATGAGAAAACTTAAGCACTTTGAGAGGCGCATCAGTCTGCTGTCTGCGTGGATCGCGGCCTTTGATGCAGTTGCTGACCAGAGGGAGAATGACGCAGAAATGCCACAAAGCCTCGCAGCCATTCGTAAAACTGCTCAGGGGATCATGCTGGAGCTGGAGAACAGCAGACATCACACTCATCAAAGGCTGGATAAATCGGCCTGGGAGCGCCATCTCGACACAGCTTTGGCTCACGGTATCAGACAGCTTGAACAGGCCGAGGGTGCTGATACCGGCGAAATTGAGAGCTTGACACGCGAGGCTGAACTTCTCAAGTCAGAGTTCAACCGCGAGGCCTATCGCGAAGTTTTGGAACAGGAGAAAGCGGGGGATGCTGCCATGATGCAGATGCTTCTCACTGCCCAATTTGAAATAATCTCGTCCCTTTCTGGAATCATGATGATGGACGAAGACAGCGCAGTGTCGCACGCCAAAGAGGCCATTTCTCGCCTCCTACAGACTGGCCTCACGGCAGCATCCCAGGTGGTCAAGCCCGATGGTTCTCTGGCTGCTATGCCTGACGCTCATCCCCAGCCACGGCGAACGCTAAGAAAGAGAAAATCCCTATCTGCCTACAGACCAGTTGTGCCTCCGGCAGTCGTGGCCGTACAAAACGAACATGTGTTTGCAACTCCCATGAAGGCATTGCCGAGACGGCGTAAGGCCCTCGGTATGCCGAAAAAGGGAGTCAGCTTTACTCCAGTCAAGCGAACCACCAAGAGCCGAGGGGTCAGGTGGAGGGACGACGAGACGGAGGACGGCACACTGGAAGATTTCGAGAAGACGCCGCAGAACCTTTTCAGCTCCCCTTCGGTGCAGCCATCGCCAGTAGTTAAGAGCAAGATTCCCTCGCCGCCGCAGCTGAACAGTGTTCCTAAGGATGATGCTGCCTCAAACGACGACTCCTCGATAAGCCTAGAGATGTCGGACGCACCGAGCCTTCCAATCGCTAAGACCGGTAGGTTTCAAGCTGGCTTCCTCTCAAGGGGCGCGCGATTCTCATCTGTAGGTAGCGGGCTGCCCGTGTCCTCGTCACCCCCTACTTTGAGTATGCACCTCCGCTCTTCGAGCTCTCCCGACGTGGCCAGAACGCCGCCCTTGAGAACATCTCTAGACGGTCCTAGAGCCGAGAATTCATCCCCGCTCTCCTTAAGCAAGGTTCCCCGACCGAGTCCCCCACAATACCATCAACTGCAGTCGGTCATGGATGAAAATAACCCGCCGAACGGCTCGGGATCCGACTCTGAGTCCGGCACGATTGATATGCAAAAACTCCGTAACGCTATTGCTTCGAAAAAGCCCCGGAGAATGAGTCTCGTGGGCCAAACTTCTGTCCCCGTGGCCAGAAGGGTGAATTCAATCGCCCCTCCGTCCATCGAGAGACCACCTTCACGATCCACCATGCCCATGATGGGCAGCGCCGGCAACGGCATCTCCCGCCTTCGAAGAGGAAGCTTGGAGCGCCGAAAGAGCCCACCGCTGTTGTTCTCAGCCCCAGATTCAGAGGACCATCTCACTACTGGCCAGGCGAGACGCATGAACATGGGAAGCAACCTACGACTGGAAAATCTCGGAGCTGCCCAACGTGACGGGATGGGTCTAGAAGGTCCTCACCGTGTCACTATTAAAGTTGGGCCAGGCTCTGCCGCTGCAGGCGTCTCTGCACACCGAAGGTTGGATAGCCGAGGAGGTATGCCAATTAGATGAAGGCCATACCGACGGTGGCCGCTTGCTTTTCCTTATATATATTACTTCCTTTAATATTTTGTTAGCCCTCTATATTTTGCCAAGCATCGGGCTTTTTTGGTTTCACAAACAAGGAACGGCGTTACGGTATATTGTGCCTTTTTAGGTCACAAGATGATATATATGAGTATTGGCGTTGGGGAGAAGGATTGGGCCATAGAACTGGCATATGATGAACCTAGATGTTTTTGTGTATGACTTGATTGTATGCATACGTATGGGAAAGAGAGGGCTTAGAAATTTGATTTCTTTTGCTCTCATTCATAATGATGATGATAATGATGATACGATCAAGTGTATGTTTTCTCTAGTGCCTGTAATTGGTTTTGTCTTACTCAGGCAAGTAAGTAATCTGCTTGTATGTAGTTTCTGGATACCTATTTACCATATAAATACGTCAGATCTGTCGATCTCTTGTATCCCATTTTCCTCTTCCTTCTCTTCCCTTTCTTTCTCCTATCTATACTTTACGAGAAGAATAATGGTGGAAGGGATGTTCTTTGTGTAATACAGTGTGATGATGATCTTCAAAAATACTGTATAAGCTTGCCTGACTCATCTGTCTTAGCACAGTGCTTCCGCTTTTGCTCTTATCCACCACCATCAACTTCGTACAAACTCTGTGGATATAACACCTTCTGACATCCGTACTTCCGTCATCCGCCTTCCCGCTCCTTTTACACCTTGAAGAACAAACAAACCAATTACTGGACGAATGATTTCTTTGACCGCCGTGCATCCGCAGCGTCGCATTGGCCAATCCAGACGACTACGAGCATAAAATCGCCTCCCTTGTTCTCCAATGGACATGGACCATGGCTCAGGATCGGAGCCCGTTCGCTACATCCGCAGCCGCATCGCCAATGCCTGTGACGGGTGCAAGGCGCGGAAAGTCAAGTGCGACGGGAAACTGCCATGCGGATTTTGCGTTGCGCGGCAGAGGGCGCAAGTGTGCCATTACTCGCCGCAGAGGAGACGGAGACAAGGACAGTCGCAGAAGCTGCCGAGGTCGCCGCCGCCGTCGGTGAGGGAGTCGCGGGATCAGGAGAGGGATCGGGATCGGGATATTAGGGACGTTTCTTCTTCGTCGGTGAGGTCGGCGTCACCGAGTCGGACGCCGGCTTCGAGGCGCGTGTCTTCGGTGGCTGGGGTGGGCGTGTCGTCTGCTTCTGCTTCTGCTTCTGTTGCGTCTCCGGCGATGGGGGGCGAGAGGCGGCATCGGGTGCAATCGTCGGCATCTGCACTGAATCAGGCTCAGGAGTCGTCTGTGGCTGAAGACGAGACTGAAGTGCCGCGAGATGCTCGGCTGCTGTGTGACGCCCATGGAAAACTGACCTTTATTGGGGATTGCGCGCCATTGTCCTTCTTCCAGTCGGTGCGCAGGCTTGTGACGAACCGAGTCGGTCAGAATGCCTTTGCGCCGCAGACGAGTCGATTCTCAGTCCTGGAAAATGCGCCGGCACGGCAATCCAAGAGATCAGTAAGAGATCCAAGGATGCCTGAAGTTCGGCCTGTGGATGTTACCCCTGCGGTTTCGGCGTATTTGTCGACAACAGCGAGTTTGGTGGATTTGTTTGACAGTCCGAAGCTGCTGGATGATTTGACGATATGGGCGAACTTGACGCACAAGCCAGATAATGTTACGACTATTATTCACTTTCTTGTTCTTGCCATTGGATTGCAGGCGGAGGACGACGGGTTGTCTCAGCAGTATTTCGAGTATGCTCGCGATCTGGCGTATACGGATTTGAGCGACAGTCTTGGTGTTGAGACGGTGCAAGCCTTCATCTTGGTTACGGTTTACATGCTGTGTTCCTGTCAGATCAATGGAGCCTTTCTCTTCTTTGGTATTGCTGCGAGGGCGGCCTATTCCATTGGCCTGCATCGAACTGAGGTGAATGCTCGGTTTGGACACGAAATTCACCAGCAGAGAGACCAGCTGTGGAAGAGTCTACGGGTGCTGGACCTGTTTCTCAGCAGCTCCATGGGACGCCCTCCCGCCACTTCAGATGTGGATTGCACTGTTCCTTATCACGCTCAAGGAGCTGATGGGAAGGAGATGTTCGACTTGCTCAATGCCTCTGTGCAGATCCTGCTGATACTGGAAAACATCATTCTGGAAGTATACGGGCGGAAAAAGATCTCTATGCAGTTGACCGAAGGAATATCCCTCAAGCTGAGAGGGTGGTCTGGGAAATGGCTTGGCCTACTAAAAGAGGTTATTGCACAACCTGCCGCTCGCAATGAGGCTCAGGTCACAGGAGCCTGCCAGGTGCTGTCATCGTACTACTATGCAGTGATGCTTGTTTCACGGCCATTCTTGATGTATGAGTTGTTTCAGAGGCTTGTCGACGGCTCGGCTGCATCGGGCAGACCGGCAATGTCATCGGGGAGATCAAAGCTGGCGGACGCATGCATCGACGCCGCAAGTTTGATGGTGGATCCGGTCTTGGATTTGATCGAAAGGGGTGTGTTGAAGAGGAAGGCTCCTCTGCTTGTGTGAGTATAACCAACTCTAGTTTGTTGCTAGCACAAAGATTTGAACTAATGGTTTATAGATCGTGGCTTTTTGCTGCGTCGCTGGTCCTTGGTGTTGGTCTCTTGGGCGGATTCGGCCGTATACTGGAAAAGTATACTCGAATGTCCATACAAACCATGGACCACTTTGCGCAGAACGATGCCCATGCCCGCCAATACTCCTTGATTGCCCAATCATTGCTCACGACAGCATTGGAGCATTTGGAACGGCAGGATCTTCAAGAGCGGATGCGACGCACAGAAAACTCGAGTCAGTTGTTCGGCCTGGTGGCACCTGATGCACGATCTCCTTTAAATAAATCCCCGGCGCCGCTCAGGGACATTGACTTGCGAGTCAGCACACCGGATACGACCATGACCAGGAGCCGCAGCTCGATGGATAGATCGCTTCTACAGCACACAAGTTTACCAAGTGGGCCATCTCCGCGATTAGGAGAGATGGATTCCGTGTTCCTGGGACTGTCGGAGTCGATGCTGCATACGCCGGATACTACGTACTGGGATGGGATCGTCGGCAACGACAACGATCCGAACTCTGCTCTAAATTTATTTCCATTGTTGGAGGCGGGAGGCGGTATTGATTTGGCGCACTGGCTTTGAAGGTATGCTTCTGATTCTGTAAAAAAAGGGTTTCTTTAGAAGGTATGACACTATGATTGGTGTCGTGAATGGCGTAATGATAGATGGCATGGCCGGGGTAGCTTTACCCAGTAGTATCCTTACTCGGGTTTACAGCATCTTTGTCGGAGCTGGAGCAGTCAAGAGTCGAACGGTGTCCGGAGTGAAGGCCTCCGGATTTCAATAGTCTGGCTGTGTGACAACTCCGATGCAGTTGCGGTCTGGCACTAGAAGCATGAGATGGAATTATCCAGCCGAAATGGTAACCCATTTGATGGCATGACAGCAGGGGTGCTTCATCATAATCCGGGGCGAATTACGAAATTTCAAGAGCAAGTAGCGGTCGAACGGCCTAGTTGAGTGCCGAAGAAGTCTCCATCGATGCCCGAAGCTGCAACGGACGTGGTGTTATTGGATCCTCTGTTGCTCTGCTTGTTGAACCAAATACATGGAGCAAACACTAGTCGGCCCGGAATGGCACCCCATATTTGGTGCTAGCAAGCCTAGCATCGAACAGCTCCTCAATTACGGCCGCCTTGAATGCGGGGGAATAGAACGTTCGTTATGGTTAGATTTGGACAGGGCGACAAGGAGTTGCTGGTCTTTGGAAAAAAGTGTGCGTGGTTGATCCGAATATCCGGTTGTCGATCCATTACGGGCCTCGTCTTACGGATCTTCGAGCAACAAGGTAGGATCTCCTTTTTGTTCTAGAAATAGTGCCAGTGATCATCGGTCATCCTACAGGAATAGCACTGAGTAATAGTGGTGTTATAGTAATACTCGTATGCAAAATACATAGGAGCTCGTACATACTTGCTCCTTTCTTATAGCATTGCCGGGAAGTTCGACCCGAACACGGTCGCATCAGCACTACGGGGGTTACAGCCTCGAGATTGTGGGGGAAGGACAAGGGTAGGACCGATAATCCCTGCACATACAAAGAAGCTCAGCTGTTTCTCTCCTGCTGAAACGGGCAAAGCCGTCTGGGGCGGCCGTGAGGAAATTGTTCCTATAGATGGATTAACTGATCTTGGGGACCGGAGAGCTGCCTTGGTTGTCATGTCATCACGAACGGGCCTTGCATTAGATTCAGGGACCTCAGGAGGTTGAGAGTGGTTCCTGGGCAGCGTAGCATCGCATGACGACATGACAGATATAATTGTATATATGGGGCTGGGACGAACTTTTTCTTATTTTCTGGAGCTCTTTGTGAAGGATTGTTGGACTCAGTTTTATTCTTTGTACGAGTAAATTCTGGTCAAGCAAAGAGGCAAGCTACAATGGCAAAGTACTTGGTTCCGGCGTCTGTGCTGCTGTCGCAGTCGATTGCGGCTGCGAGTCTGTTTGACTCGTATGTGAGCTTGTCGTTTGAGCTCATTGGCTTTCCTACTTTTGCTGGTGAGTTCTGCAGCTAGAGTTTCTATGTTGTATGGTCGAGGTTCAAGTAAACTGACTTTGTATTGTTTTCGGTCTTTAGGAACAAAACACCAGCCTAATGCCTTCTCCCACAATCTGATGCACAACTTGGCCGAGCTCCAGGGCAGCGGCATTGTTGTGCGAGTTGGTGGAAACTCTGGGTGAGTCTCATATACGGCATGGACATGATTTTCACAACATCGGCCGGTTTAACTAACAGTTTCAACAGTGATCGTGCCATCTACGATCCGACCTTGACCACCTCTACAGCCAGCGCATGCCCCAATGCCGACCCCGGTGCGTGGCAGTGCATTGGTACGACTTTCTTCGAGTCATACGGCGGCTTCCCCGCTGGCACTCGCTACTCTCACCAGTTTAACCTCGGTGCATACAACTCCTCTGGATGGGCTACCCTCGAGGCTACGGTGCCACTGGCTTGCAAGGCTCTTCGAGGCCAGCTCGAGTTCTGGGAGATGGGAAATGAGCCTGACCTGTTCAGCGGAAGCAGACGCCCTAGCACGTACAATGCTTCTCAGTACGCCAACGAGTGGTTGAACTCGACCCAGCACTTTGAGAGCTACCTCCACAAGGCCTGCCCAGACCTTTTCGGTAGCCTCAAGTATATTGCTCCGTCTTTGAGCTCCCCCGGCGCTAAGCTGCACATTGCCGACATCTTCCCTGACGAGGGCAACGCCACGGAGAAGATCACCCAGGTTTCCATCCACAACTACATGAACGGCGCCACCGTTCCCGGCGTTACCCTGCAAAACACTCTGATGAGCCACAATGCCGTTGTCAAGTCGATCACCAGCCACGTCAACTACGCCAAGACTTCTACCATTGAAGCCGAATACATTATCGGCGAGCACAACAGCTTGTACGGCGGCGGCGCTTCTGGTCTCTCTGATGTCTTCGGAGCTGCTCTCTGGGCCATGGAGTTTTCTCTCTACGCTGCTTCCACCGGCGTGATCAAGCGAATCCACTTCCACCAGTCCGTGGGCTCTCCTTACGCCGCCTGGGTTCCTTCAGGAACTCTCGCCACCAACGCTCCGTACTACGGAAAGCTGGCTGCCAGCACCTTCTTGGCTCACTCTAACACCATTGAGGTCAAGACGCTTGCTTTGAACAAGGATGCTGACTTGGACTCTGGATATGGCGCTTACGTTTACGGCGATTTGCGTCGCGTCGCAGTTCTTAACCTTAGACAGTACAACGCTGGCAACGGTACCCGTGCAAGCCAGACTTACACCGTCAAGGTTGCTCCTGGATCTTCTTGGAAGTCTCAGCGCCTTACTGCGGCTGGCGCCACTGACAAGACTGGTGTCACTTTCAACGGATTCTCTTATGATGCTGACTCTAACGGTTTGGCGAAGCGCGTCAAGGGCCAGGAGTCGGGCAAGGTCATCAGGGCTGACCGTAGCGGTAACATTTCGTTTACTGTTCAGGATTCTGAGGCCATTGTTCTGCTGAAGGAGTAAAGAAAAATGTGATTGTATAATTTAATAGTATGGATTTGTTGTGGGATCAATCTCGGTACCCCAGAGTGGTGTACACTGTATATATGAGATAGAGAAACAAATACTCATGATTTTGACGATATTCTTTGTTCACTCTGTTGTTATCTAATATCACGCAACAGACCAACGAGTCCGAATATTTATTGAATCAGAACTTGTTTTTCCTTCTTCAGCTTCTCCACAAACTCCAGCGGCACTTTGAGCGTCTGCGCAACAATATCCGGCGGCGTCAGTGCAAGCCACTGCGTGAGAGGAATATCGGCCACGCGATCCGACTTGTATATCTCGACCCAGATGAGATCTTCCGTCTTTGACGTGTTTTCGATGTAGTGCCCCGAGTTGTCGGGGAAGACGGCCGTGTCGCCGGCGCGGAAGTTGAACGTTCGGGCGGCGGCGTTGCCGATGAAGACGGTGGCTTGGGCGGTGCCTTTGTGGAAGTAGAGCCATTCTTCGGCCTGTTTTTATATACTCGTCAATTTATGTTACCCATCGAGGGGAAGGAAGGGTTGTGTATAGGTATATGGACTGAGGGGAAGATCAAGACACTCACGTTTGGGTGCCAGTGCAGTTCCCTCAAAGCACCAGGCTTCAGTGTCACAAAGGTCGCTGCAATCGTCTTGCTGATTGGGAAATTGGTCGAATCAATCTTGCGGAACTCGCCACCAGTTCCTCCAATCTTCTCAGGTGGATGCTGTAGCGTGCGGTAGACGAAGGTGCTCTTCTCAGACAACTTGTGGCCATTCCCAGTGACATTATGTGTGCTAATCGTCCCGTTGATGATATAAGGATCCGCCGCGGGAATGGAATCAAAGACAGATTCGTCGACTCCAAAGTTCTTTGCGAGAACGGAGCGGGGAGTGTGAGCGATCCAATCGTCGACGTTGAAAGTGGTGCTGTGATGGTCAGTTATCTCGAGACTTGTTTTTTTTTTTTTTGCACGAGCAGATGATGTTCTTCTTACCCGATCTTGTCAAAATCCGCCGTGTCGAAAACTAGGAGGAATTCGTTCTCATCCTCGAGTCCTTGTACTGTATGGGCAACACCCTTTGGAAAATACCAGATGTCGCCGTAGCCGAGTTCCGAAACTTCGTATTCACCATCCTCGTTAACCGCAGACAAGGTGATGCGGCCGGCGTAGACGATGCCCCATTCAGCCTATGGTATGAAAGTTAGATGGCCAAATAACAACGAGGCTGAGATGGGGAGATAAAGAGTGCGAAAACTTACTACTCGATGCCAGTGTAGCTCTCGGATGGCCCCTTTCGTCAGATGCTGCTGAGCGGCAGCAATGTCGTGACTTGCAGGCAAATCGGTTACTACTTGCTCCCGGACCCAGCCGCCTTTGAGAATACGCGTTCTAGAGTCGGAGAAGCTCCATTTGAGATTTGGTACGACACCGTTGTCAGTGGATTGCTGGCCCAGGTTACTAGGATTTTGCAAGTCCAATTGATGATTTGTGCCGCCTTATCTCCCTTGTTAGAGCTTTCGCATATTTCGTCTCCGTGAAACTCGAATGAACATACCCGAAAAAGGTGCTCCTTTCCCATCTGGGCTGATGGGTTGTCCGTCGGCAAATCCTCCATCATCCCGTTGCTGGACTTGAGGTGCTGCAGATGCACCGATGAGGCACAATGCCCATGTTGATAATACAGAGGCTCTCATGGTTACAAGAACTAACAACGGGTGAAGATATGAAGAGAAAAAAAAGAGACTGGAAATTGGTTGGCCCCGGCATCCTTTAAGCTTATTACACAAACAAGCATATACACAACCTTGTGAGAACCCAATAGAGATTACAATGTAACACTACGCCTCCGAGTCTACCGATGGCGCAATGACCACCATCGTGCCTGAAGCTCAAGCTGCGTGCGGCCATCCTGGTCTCCAACATTAACGCTAAAATGGCGGCATTGTTATACAGCTCAGATGTTGGTTACACAGATCTATTGGATGAGCATCCAGAGGGAGGAGAGTGCTGACTGATTTGGAACATTCCTAGTAATGGTAGCGCAGTGGTGTGTAGCATTGGGACCTGTATTTGGACTACTTTGCATGAGAAGGTCGCAGATCGAATGACGCCATGATACATGATGATGGTCATATTCTATGTTTTGTTTTGCGATATGTAAACGGAAAAAGAAATTGAAGAACACGACGACCCTTCATTAAGCGTGGGTATACAATAACCGCTCGAATATACAGATAACACGCTCTGAGCTGATAAAAACACTAAACTGCTGTTGGCATCGACCTCATTTGCTTCATATACCAAGACTACAAATTGAATTAGTCAAAAATTTCTCCAGTGTGTCAATAACTTCAAAAGAACACTTACAGTCTCTGCTCCTCCGGCCATTACCTTGACGCCAAGAAGCTTTGGAAGCAACAAGTCCGGCGCCTTTCTCGTATATGCCATAGCATCTTCACTCTTGACTTCTTTATTGAAGATCAAATTCTTTGGCAAGAAAGGGTTGAGGGCGGCAGGTCGGCCAATGCCGACAATATCACAAGCGTCCTCTCGAAGAGCCGCCTCCATGCCTTCGCGTGTCCGGAAGCCGCCCGTCACCATCAATGGAACGTGCCTGAATCTATCACGGATCTCCTTGGCAAAGTCGAGGAAAAAGGCCTCACGGGCTAGAGTACTGGCGGACCTGGATTCTTGCATCATCTAAGGGAAAACATGATTAGTCCTGTTTATTCTGTATCATCAATGCCCGGAAGCTTGGAGCACAGAGCGGTATGAGCTTACTGAAGGATCTTCATATGAACCACCACTGATCTCAAGGAGGTCGACGCCTGCGGCTGTAATCTCTTCAAGCTGTTCGATGCAGGCGGCGAGCTGCTCCTTGTTCTTGAAGTCGGCGCTGTTCAACTTGATGCCAACGCAGAAACCCTTTGGCACAACCTCTCTCACGGCCTTGAGAATGTCGACAACAATCTTTGCTCGCTTCTTGGCAGATCCACCATACTGGTCCTCACGTGTGTTGGATGCCGGGTTCAAGAACTGAGACAACAAGTAGCCGTGCGCTCCGTGGAGCTCAACGCCAGCAAAGCCAGCTTCGGCTGCCAGCTTGGCAGTCTCTGCGAATTGAGAAACAACGCGTTGGATATCCTCAAGAGTCATCTCCCTTGGCGATCCGAAGACAAATGCCCTAGCAAGCCTAGCCAGGATTCCATTGCCTATATTCAAGGGAATTGCACTTGGGGCAATTGGCTTCTCAAAATATCCTCTGGTGCCGGCGCCACCAGGGCTTTGTCGTCCTGGGTGGTTGATCTGCATGATAACAGGCGTGCCGTTTTTGGAGGCCGCCTTTGCCCACTTCTTCCATGCCGCAAGGATTTTCTCCCTGTCGACATTCTCGTTGGGGCTCACATCTGCAGGACTGCCCAGGTATCTGACATCAACTTGAACGTTGCCTGTGAGCACTGATCCCCATCCACCCTCGGCCCAGTTTTCGTAAATTTTAAATATCCTTTCGCCAGGCAAATATTCGTTATCTGCCCAACTTTCAGCCATGGCGGCCTTGGACAGCCGATTGGGGAGCGTGAGACCACATGGGAGTGTGATGGGCTCTTGGAGCTTGAGTTCTGAAACTGAAACAGTCATGGTGGCTGAAAAATGGCGAGTTGGGGTTGTAGTTGACAATCTCTTGATCAATCCTGGAAAAGTAGATTCCCCAAGACTTCACAGCTGCTTTATAAAAGCAATTGTATTTGGCCTTTTTTTCCCTTCTCTTTCTGATTTTTTTTTCCAACTCCGTCCCCTTTTGCCTCCTATCCACATCTTCAAACTCATGGCAGCCTCGGCACAATTTCAATGCCGAGTCAGTGTCTCCGTAGCGCGCGGAGATCGGTCGGCGGAGTTTGGCCTGCCATTTTCGAAAGAAATACTACCTTGGTGTGATGCGTTGCGATTGAAGTGTACGGAGTAAGAAGAGGATAATCATTGAGACTACCATGGCAAACTATCCATGTTTGGAAGATTCATCCAGCATACGGAGTAGTCAAACGGTATTCTGTCTTTGCATCTATGATGTGTGAGCAGTCTGCCATCTCATTGGCCACAATTTAATAGATTTCGACAAATGATGCGCCTTACATTGTTAATCAGACAATCTGCTTCAGGCTCTTATGCCTCTACCTCTGATACTTTTCTGTTTGTGGTAGATAGTCGATGACACATCTCGAAGATAATGCTCTAAGCTGGTTCTCTAATTGTCACTGTTTGTTCGACTGAGCATGAATTCCATTACTCATGTTGCATGCTCCGTACACGAGAAGAATATTTGTTAAGAGCTAGTATGTAAGCAGTGTGGTGTGGGGATGCGGAATTCGGCATTGCAGAGTTGACACAGGAGGCTTTGACACATGCGAAGCTCCGCTCCGCTCCGTTTCCGTTTCCGTTTCGCAGATCGATGGTCTTCGATTTATAAGACCGGTGCATTCTTGGAAAAATCGTTTGTAAGTCGGACAAACAACGATCAGTAATCAGCTGGCTCCCTGGCTCGTTCCATCTCCAAAGAGTGCTGGGAAACGTTCAGTTATCTGTTCTCTCCCTCCCTCCCTTCCCTCCTCCTCTTTATTTCTCTACAGTCTCTAGATGCGCGCGCTTGCGGCATTTAGTTATCGGCCCATTACTAAGCTTTCTCGCACAAAACTGCCAACTATTCAGACTGACCAGTCTTGGTTAACTAAAATGAATCTATTTCTCCTCTATCCACGTACTTTCGAGCCACCGTCTGTTACAGAGGTGAGATTCAATCCTGTGTCTTGACGAATCGGAAAAATTGCCATGGTGTTCTCCGTAACAAATATGCATCCCTCTCTAGTTGCTGACCTTGGTCACGCTTATACACACAGCCGTAGAGTGACAGAATGTGTCGTTTGCTTGACCCTTGTGTTTCTCGCTCCCATGGAATGGGATGGAAAGACAAAATAAGTCAAACACTTATTATCCACTGATGGATTGTTAGCGCTGGTGGAAGGATCTAGTTTTTCGTTGGTGAAGATCTTTTGTAAACCCACTGTGGCATGACAGAATAAATGGTGCAGTTAGCTGATCCTTCTCAATATGATGGCACTAGGGCATAGAGTAGGATTGCGTGAATAATTTTGTCACACCTGATACTGGATATACGGTGACAAAAAGATTCTTGAGATGGCTCATCCAATGGAGTCCGGAACAAGTCCCTTTCTCGGCATAGGCTTGTACAATATCTGGAGAATCTCGAAAGTGTTTACTCTGTACGAGGCGACAAATAGATTGTGCATTCGATCCTTACTGTAGTATCCCGTCTCCACTAAGAACAAACAGGGGAAGGGATTGAGCAGATACTTTTGTCATCCCATAGTAGTTGATACGGGGTGACAATATCAGAGAAAATCTGCCACGATAGTCACACTTGAATGAGTCATGCAACTGCACTCAATTAGGTACGAATGCAACCCCATCTCTCCCTAGTTCATTTAATTGAGCATCTAGCTTCACGTGGCATGCTAGTATCTTACTATATCCTGTCCCGCTGATTGACTCAGGACGGAAGATATACCGAGGGTCAACTAACAAAGTCCTAGCGTTGCACTCCGGAACGGTGGGGAATTGTGCTGAGAATTGGATTTCTAATCTGCATCATGGCGCAATCCATGGAACATACGTGGACCACGGAAATATGGAATACTATATAAGGCACAAGAAGAAGATGGATGTTGAACTTTTTTGTCTTGCCAGTATCAACTCAGTATCAAACTAAACACCAAGTCAAAAAGCAATCAACTCGTCATCATGTCCAAGCTCTTCACTCCTCTCAAGGTGGGCCGCATAGAACTTGCCCACCGAATTGCCATGGCACCTATGACCCGATTCAGGGCCGACGATAACCATGTGCCTCTGCCGACTGTCAAGGAATACTATGCCCAGAGGACAGCTGTCCCTGGCTCTCTAGCCATCACCGAGGCCACTTTCATCACTCAGAGGGCTGGTGGCTATAAAAACGTTCCCGGCATCTACACACAAGAACAGATCGACGCCTGGAAGGAAATTGTTGATGCTGTCCACGAGCAAGGCTCATACATCTATCTCCAGCTTTGGGCTCTAGGAAGATCCGCCAAGGCTGAGGTTTTGAAGGAGGAGAGCGGTGATGACCTGGTGTCTGCCAGCGACATTCCCGAGGCCAATGGTGGAAAGCCACGCCCCCTTACTGAGGAGGAGATCCTCGGGTACATCCAGGATTATGTACAGGCTTCCAAGAACGCCATTGCTGCCGGCTTTGACGGTGTCGAGATTCATGGCGCCAACGGCTACTTGCTAGAACAGTTCATCCAGCAGATTACCAACAAGCGAACGGATGCATGGGGCGGAAGCATCGAGAACCGCGCTCGCTTCGCCCTTGAGGTGACCAAGGCTGTTGTTGCTGCCATCGGAGCAGACCGTACCGGAATCCGCTTCAGTCCATTTGCAGACTTCATAGGTGATCTTGACTACGACCCCGTTCCCCAGTACATCTACCTTGTTGAGCAACTGAAGCCGCTCAACCTGGCATATATCCACTTTGTCGAATCCCGCGAGAAGGGCAACGACCTGTCGCCAATCATCAAGGCGTATGGCAATGCCGGCCCTGTCATGGTAGCTGGAGGCTTTCAGTTGGAGTCAAGCAAGAAGGCTGTTGATGAGGAATACAAGGACTACGATGTCGTTGTTGCCATTGGCCGCCCTTACACATCTAACCCAGACCTACCGTTCCGCTTCAAGCAGGGCATCGAACTTGTGCCGTACCAGCGTGAGACGTTTTTTACTCCTAAGCTAGACAAGGGTTTCCACGATTTCCCTTTCAGCGAGCAGTTTACTCTGCTAAAAGCAAAGGCATAAGCCACGCGGCAAATCTTCGTTTAGAAGTTCATTTAGATATTCTTGATAGTTTGATAGCATTAGCGACGCATTAATACAATGTATGAAACACTTACACGCATCCTTATTTACTAGATAAGCCTGACTCGCTCCCAAGCGTGAAATTCTAGCCTATTCACCATATCAATACACGTATTCAGTAATCTAGAAGTCATTTCACAGCGGATCTTCCCTAGAGCTTACTCGAAACCCGTCATATAATCGATCAGATGTGGCTTAGTGACGATCGTCGCGGCTTGGCGCCCGTCAGCACCCAAAATAGTTAGATGAGCTGAAGGCCCATTGCCCCACAAGTTGGATTCGACTGAAGCGAGGGATTCATGCGGAGATGTAATTATGTCATAGAACTGTGAACAAGCCGTTGATCATGATTGCTCAGTCAACTTTATAGAGCGGTGCGTTGTTATATTCTAGTATATAACTTGCCGGAGGCTAGCATTCTATGACTGCTAAAACTCTGTTCCGAACATTATCTACCCCATAATTACAATGTCCTCTTCTCATCACAAAATTGTCTTAGGTAGGCCCGAAAAGACAGATGAGCACGAAAATCGAGAGCTCGCCGCTCAGTCTGGCCTAAGATGGGGGAAAACACCTTCTTCTTGTTCCAACATGGATCGACCACTTTCAGAACTACCAGAAGACCACCCTGTCCATAAAATCCCACTTGAGAAGCAAGAGAAGATGAGACGGAAGGGAATCAACCCTGTACTAAAAGCAGAGATGGATGAAGCAATGGGCAAAGGACAACCAGGAGGAAAATTTTGGAAGAAATATGGCACTACAAGCATGGGCCCATGGATGGTTTAAAACTCTCGACCTTAATGACTTACGAGGAATCCTCTATCACGGGTAGCTAGCTGTTTGGGTGTAAGTAAGTTTGCTGAATAAATTGCTTATTACACATATAGACTACAAGGAATCACTAAGGATGTAGCCACTGTTATAAACTAGTCATATTTAATATTCATTACTACTACTACTACTACTACTACTATAATGGTAGTCTATACACTCTCGTTTAGTTCCAGAAGTTCGTCGATGCGCTCGGCGGGAAATCCGCCTTAGCAGTTCCAAACTTTGTATTCTCCTTCGGCCCAAGAGTCAATTCCAAAACTCCACCGTCGAGGAAGAAGCTATGCGTCACCCAGCCCTTGTTATAAGGCTTGCCATTCAGCTTGGCGCTCTGGATGTAGATGTTGTTGTACGAAGCATCAAAGTTGATGTTTCGAATAGTAGCTGTCTTTCCTGAGCGCGGGTCGGTGAACTTGACCTCGGGGAAGAAGGGTGGAATGATGATGTAGACATCTTGTCCGCTCATGGGGTAGAGACCCAGCATGGTAAGAGCCGTGAAGCTACCCATAGCACCAGAGTCATCGTTTCCTGGAAGACCAGCTGCGGTATCGTTGAAGGCACTAGGGATGTACTTGTGCGCGTACTTGGCAGAGAGACCGGGGCGGCCGGCATAGTGGAAGATGAAGAGGAGAAGATAAGCTTGCTCATCGCCAATGTAGAATAAGCCAGGAGTATCGTGCATATACTCAAGACGGCGGACGAATTGGTCGGGGCCACCCAGTGTCGTGATGAGAGTTGCTTGATCATGAGGCACGTAGAAGGTGTAGAGCCAAGAGCCTGCTTCGTAGGTCTCATGGCCGCCAGGGTTGAGATAGCAGCCTTCAAAGTTGTACAAGTCGGTACAAATGGCTGGCTCTTGGAATCCAAAAGTGCCATTTAGGTACCGAGGCTGCAAGAAGCCGGTGAAACCACTGTCGGTAAACTGATTGTAGTCTTGAGTTCCGGTCAGGTTCAGCTTAGAACGCGAGTTCGGATCAAACATGTTCTTCCAGTTCCCGGAGCGCTTCAGATACTTCTCCGCATCCCCGTGCTTTCCAAGGCCACGGGCCATCTCAGCAATGCAAAAGTCATTGTACGAGTACTCAATGGTTCTTGAGATGGATCGAGTGAAGAGACCATAGCCATTGGGATCCCAGTCATCAGTTGGGATGTAGCCAAGAGTCTTCCAACTTTGCAGGCCTCCACGGCCTTCGACTGTCCAAATTGTACCCTCCTCTGTTTAATAACTGTCAGTAAATAGCCATTAGAGATGGAATAATGTAGTAAATGTTACCTTCAGCGTCGGATACGACTGCCTTATAGCCGGTATCCCAGTCAATACCGTCCTTCAAGCCCTTCAAGTACGAATCCGCCAACAAATTATCAGCGTTGCTGCCACCCTGGGTAAAGCCCTTGCAGAGTGACATGCGGCAATCCGGTAGCTTGCCCTCATGGCGATATACGTCAATGAGACTGCGAATCATCAAAGCTTGAGCATGAGGATCAACCAGGGTAAGCAGCGGATGGGTGCTTCGGAAGCTATCCCAGATGCAGTAGTATGAGTCAAAGTAGGGTTCGTTGCTCTTCCAGAGGGGATTTTCTCCTAAAAATAACGAATGAGAGATGCCTCTATAATTTATTTGGTGTATCAATTCTCTTACCAGTATAGTCTTGAGGCGAAAGAAGCGTGCGGTAGATGCCACTCCAGAATGTTCTCTGAAGGGAGTCGCTTACACCCGTGTTGTCGACCTTAATGACACTGAGCTTCTTGCGCCACGCATCCTCAGCATCGGATCTGACAGACTCAAAGTTGAAGTTGGGAATTTCCTTCTCAGCATTGTGGCAGGCTTGATCAGTGCTGATGAACGAGAGTCCAACTCGAACCAGAATCTGGTTGTTTGCTGGAGGGTGGAACTGAGCCCAAGCACCGGCTGGGAGAATTGGATTTTGGCCATCATCATAGGTACGGAAGCTCTTGCGGGTGTTGCTAGCTCGGTTGTTGATAAAGATTCCAGTGTCACGGAGTTTGGCACCGTGGAAGTCAGCGCAGAAATACGACTTGTAGTTGCCGATTCCGAAAGACGGCCTAAAGGTACCATTGCCTGAGATGCGACCAGTGTTGGCATCAACTGAAATGAGTGCATCGGTTCGAGAACCAGAGAGATCTGCCAAATCGGCCAAGATCAAAGGGCTATAAGGAGTCTTTCCATCGGCAGGAAGCTTGGTTGGGGTTCCGTCAGTTGGGAACGAGAATCGGTACAACGCAGTGTGGTTGGTGACGGTCATTTCAGCCTTGACTGAAGTGTTGAGCTGTATGGCAAAATAGCCTGGCTTTGCCACGACGGAGCTGTTTATCTTGTCCGACGCTCGCAGGGTCGAAGGGAAGTAGCAGCGATTGATATCGTCATCGACACAACCTGTCTGGGCAAACAGAGGGAAATTTCCCAAAGATGCGCCCTATAGCACAACTGGTATTAGAATGTTTGTGACTCTATAAGTGCTTCGGGCTCGACTTACACCGCCTGTTCCACTGTCGTGCATGTGGGAGAATCCAGTGACTATTGAAGTTGGTCAATTCTTGCGTTCTCTTGACAGGGTGGGATTATAGGATCGCATACTCTGGCCATCGTTTGATGCATAGCCTCCTTGAATCTCTTTATTGCCATCTGCTACACTCTTTGCCATACCATCTTTGAATTGCCCATCGAAATCAGTATTCGGCACGCACCATGGGGACAGGATGTTCATAGATGGATACTAACATGGAAGACTTGCGCCAGGGAAGACATGGCCTACAGTGCAATTGATTAGCTCAGTCTCTAGATATCTCAAAAAACAATCTCGTACCTCCATTAGCGGTACCGATTAATGGGTCGATGTAGTCTAGGACATCAAACGACGAGTGTTGATCCGCTGCTTGGCTCAATCCAAGCAACAGTGGCCAATAGGCCACCAATTGTTGAATATGCATGCTGCTGTCGAGATGTCGAAGCGCCAACTATCTGGTGAGTCTGTTTTTCTGTTTATGAGAGAAAGCAGAACACTAACACAAGAAGAAGCCGCGACTGTCGGGTCTTGGGGACGAAGCAGGTAGCCCTCGTGCCACCTCGGAAGATTCCACGTGAAGAAGCTCACCCTGTGAGTAGCATTGGTGAATCATTGTTGCGGGGACCGGTATTTATGTAGCACCGTCCGACCTCCTCCTTTGTTGGGCATCTCGTGGCCATCCTCGCTTGGTTGGACAATTCTAAGACAGCGATCTCGCAGAGGAGCATCCGACTCAGATTACTATCCATTCCCCGCAACCTCATGGACTCGAAAAGCTTAGAAATGGCGGGGGAAGCTCCGGGTAATACCACTCTGTCAGTGATCATTTCTTGAATTGGAAACGCCTGCTGCAGGTTCAAGACACCATGTCACCTTAAACACCAGGCGATCAAGGTTGTTGGTTCCTGGTGATGCCGTCTTCGTCATGATTGGACACATTGAAGTCGCTTCAAATAGCCGTCGGTACTCCTTCCGTCAATTTGTTGTTATTCCAGGGAAACGGTATTTCACAGTAACCTTGATGAGGCTGGCGGAGATGTCCGTCGCCAGGGTAAAGCTAGCTGACATGGAAGTTTGAGGTCTCTGATATCATCCTTCAGCAACATCTAATATGAGTGGCCAATGTTCCGGACCCACAAAGATGAACCCCTGTCTGAAATTTGCTAATTGTTGGCACCGCAGCTTGATGATGGTTACATGGAAGCAACTCCCCCTCATTTGTGGATCGTGATGCTCATACGATATGCATACTGTAGTTGTACTCATAATGAACGGAAGGGAATCGGGTCGGCCTAGGCCAATGGCTATGTTATCCGATGGCCCCGTCGTGATTTCCGTGGCCCTTAGGATGAGGAGATGGAAGGCTATCCGCATCTATCCGCAGCCAATGCTACCTGATAGTCATGCCATCACGTCCTAGACATTGATGTCTTTGATCATTTAGGTAGGTGGACGGTGTGTTGGCGAGGGAAGCTCCTCCGAATGCGCCCTGGGTACAAGGGGCCAGTGGGTTTTTCAGGGTAGAATATTTGCCTGCACTTTGTAGAGTACCTTCGAATAATTTTTAAATGCCGCCGGTAAGATCTGCAGTTGCGAGATACTTACAGTTCAAGCCGTCGGAGTTCGGGAGAAGGAGCACTTTGGAGGACTATTCGAGGAAAGACAAAAGTATCGTGGAAGAAGGAGAAATTGGAAAGGAGCGACAAATACCCATATAGGCTATAGAAGAAGCTTGAAAGCCAATTGCTCTAGTATGAGGAGTAGTATGCATAAATTTAACTGACATGGTTATTGTTCTACAGCTGATCAGCGTTGATCATATTTCTCCATCTTCGAAGGCCTTTTTAGTCCTGTAAATGTAACAATGCTGGTCCTCTCTCACAAAACATTTACCGTTCCCCTCATGAAGCGTATTTGTACCAGAATCATCTGATCAAGAACCGTCAAAGAACTAATAAGCGGCACTTGTCCTAAATTCCGATGAACCGTCGCCACAACGAAGCCGAAGAGGCGATCGCACTACTGTCGGGTACTTCTGTCAGTGGCCCAGGTTGGGAATTAGATCCATCGGTGGGGGAACGACGGCCCAGATCGCGGGGAAGAAGTGACGAGAAATTGCGCAGCAGCAAGGGGGTTTTTGGTGAGGAGGGCGACAGAGAAATAGGCCGGAGTTTTCGGAGTCTAGAGCTGGACTTGTCTAATGCAGCTAAGACATGACATGATGGTATCCATTTGATCCTGCAGCGTCTTGCTTCTGCCTGTCTTTGCTTATTTTCGGCCGCTCACAATGTGTGACCTCATCCCATGTACTTCTGAACCCTGTAAAGCTATGAGTGCCATGACAATTTGCCCGCGGCACTTCAGCGACGGCTAAATGCCAAACCCCGGCATCACTCCCGGCATCGGGTCATATTTGCAACATAGTCTAGTAGTATAGAAGTAAGATGCAGCTACCACGATTCATCACAGAGCCTCGAATGGTACGTCGCACCGATACGAGGGCAAAACCTCCAAGGGCTAGAGGGGGAAAGGGTACGCCCTAAGAAATACAGGGAGATAGTCTCATAAGCGGGACTCAACGCTTTTATCTCACATGCAGGTAGGCAAATTGTACACAGGGAGGTTGGAAAGCCCTTGATCAAAGTCTCATCTCTGTTGGTGCGAAAAAAGTTATAATTATAGTACAGGAAAGTTTAGAACGAACAACAGAGGAAAGAAGAATGTTTATCTATCGGGTAGTGTATCCTCCGTCGATTACAATGTCGGCTCCGGTCGTATATGAACTGGCATCGCTGACGAGATAGACATACGCGCCCTTTAGTTCTTTAGCATCGCCATTGCGTCCCATTGGGATCATGCTCCTCCATAGCTCTTGTGTCTTGGGATCGATAAAGTCGGATAGGCCGGTATCGATATAGCCGGGCGAGATGCTGTTGACTCGGGCGAAATCGCGCCATTCGTTGGCCAGAGAGCGCGCCAGATGTATGCAGCCAGCCTTGGCAACGTTGTATGAGGTCTGTTCCTGAGGGAAGTTTGCGACGTGGCCAGACATTGAAGCTGTGATGACAAAGGATCCGCGACCCTGCTTCTTGAAGTGAGCGCCGACGGCCTTTGCGCAATACGCAGTGCCGCTCAGATCGATCTGGATAACATGATCCCAGTCGTCAGAACTGCCATCGACAACTCCGCTGTTTGCTGTCGCACCGGCGCTGGCAAAGGGGAAGAAGAAATGTCAGCAATTGATCGATCACATCCATTGGGGATAATAAAGGGAAACATACTTGGCGATGAAGGCATCAATCTTGCCAAAATCGGAAACCACTTGATCGACGAACTTTTCAACGTCTTTGTACTCGCTCACATTGATCTTGTACACCTTGACCTTGACGCCATACTCTTTTTCCAGCTCTGCAGCGTTTTTCTCTGCGCCCTCTTTGCGGGACGAATATGTGATGGCCAGGTCGGCGCCCATCTCGGCGCAACCACGCGCAGCTTCAATTCCCATGCCTCGGGGGCCGGAAGCTCCGGTGACGACAACGACCTTGCCCTTCAAGCTGAAGAGGTCGGTGAGACGACTGGCTGTGGGAATAGTCTGAGGCATGATGGGCGGTAATACTTGTGATGTGTTGTAGGTTTGGTGGGCGATAGAATCTCAATGGTGGGTGGTGAGACGGGAATCAGGAGGGAGCGGCTGCTGACGGGATACCCTTACTTTATTTATATGAGGACAGGATACAAGTGGAACGTGGAATGTGAAACGAAGAGGATAGATAACCGGTTGCATGTGCCCTGATTGAGTTTCCTTTGCCTTCTCCTCATCTTGGTCCCTCAGCCAGGCACGCCTTGGGATTCGCGGAACCAAGAGTGGCGTTGCCCGTGTGGATACGCAGGGTGCCCGGATGCAGAGAAGGACTGGATAGTATCGAGAGTGGCTTCACCAGGCAATCAGGAGATAGCCGGATAGGCTGCGAAATGAAGAGGCCATGATGTCATGGTTCATGCGGAGAACGGGAGCTTCCTCTCTTCGATACCAGCGTCCTATGGTCTGGATACATTACTAAGATTACTTAACGATTTGATGTGTGTTGTAGCCGTGGTTAATAAGGTTAAGCATCACACCATCCCGAGTGTCTGTCTATTAGGATGAATAGATCTGCTTTTTTATCACCGTCTTTTCTGGCCTCATTGCTCAACCGCTGGGACAATCCAAAGGCTCCAAGACATGCAGGTTACGAGTAATTGCCTGCTATTCCCAGATACTCGTGATGCATGTCACCACCAACAACGTCATCATTTCTTCAGTCCGCGGTTTTCTCCATTACCCCACCTCCCGGATCCGTATTCCCACATTTCTCGGGCCTTGGCTCCAAACAATGTCCCTCACTTTGGAAGGTGTGCCGAGACTTGGGCTGCTTACCAGCAGGTGAATCAGCATTGAAAACGATTATTCTTTGCTTTGTTAAATATTTGTGTTATCGCGGCTCATCATAACCGCCATTTCTTTTCTCAAATCCCGTCAAATTGGGCGAAGGCTTCTCTTCGGAGGTTCCCGTTGCCGATCATTTGCTAGTCTCACCCAGCACTTTACTTGTATCGAAACGGGTAAGATTTGCAAATAGCCACCACTATTCGCCCGACTCATTTCAGCAAGTAAGCTTTCCAGAAGAACCGTGTAAAGGGCCGTTATTGGTCATGTCAAAGCAAATGTCAGCGTATCTTGCACACGAATGTTCGATGTAAAATATGTGGCCCTCGCGCGTGAGCGATAGGCACGGCTTTGGAATAAATGGGTCGCTTCCTTGTATTCCTACTGGCTAGGACGTAGGACTGGTTTGCTGGTCAATTAGTTATAATCCTATGAACCGATCTTGTGTCTCCGTTGGTGCTCTTTCTCCTAACTATTGACCGTGGTAGCAGTGAATTTGACTATGACGTTATGGTACGTCAAATCATCTGTCATGTCGCTGTGCATCATACGCATTCACGCATGTTATAGGGTCAAGAGAGGAAAGTATCCAAATTATATTAGACACAGAGGATGTTGTTTATATTGACGAGAAAAAATGCTGTCTAGTATAGTTCGGTAGAAACGCTGACCTAATAGCTAGATACATATACGGAGGCGTCAGGTCATGCTTAGGAAGTGAACATCTACGTTATATATCTCTAAAGAAAGCGTCAATGATGCCAAGAAAGTCCGCGAAATATCAGATGGTATTTTACTGACTTAGACGATCTTCAATTGTTAGCATAATAATGCGGGATCCTCTCCGGTATCTGCTTCGAGAAGTGGGACCATCAGACGGAATACCCACTACAGCTTATACCGTGCCGCCATTTCGCAGCCTCGATTCAATAGTAACAATACGAAAGATGATATAGCTAAGAAGAAGCCTTAAAACATATTGTGAAAACAAAAGATTTCTGTCAGAGGCCTACGCAAGCCCTCGCTGTGAGAAGGGTGAAAGAGAGCTGATGAGTTTGAACTAAACCACTGCGGCCTGTGAAAGGAATATAAAAGACAGGAAAATCCCCTTTGTATAAAAATATCAGAGATAAATATCGTCATTATCTGCTACCTGGCTGTGGGATAGCAGCAGGAACTCAAAACTCCTACCTCTTTGGCTTCTCTACTCTTCCTTGTGTCCAGACTCTTAACAATACTAGAAGTGCAAATTTCGTGCTCCTGAGTCGGTGACAAAGGGAGTGCTCGATAATCCTTGTATTCTGGAAAGGAGGTCCAAATAAATACCCCCCCGTGAAGGATTCAAAATATCGAGTAACATTTAGACGGTGAGTTTGTCAACGAGAATCTTCCCATATACGAATGGTGTAGATCAGTGATATCGCATACATGATACAGGCAACCCCCCTCCCCTCTTTGAAAAAGGAGAATAAGAGAAAATGATTCCTCTAGCTATGGATATAAAAATTGAGATTGATCTCACATCGTCGTTTATTGCATCATAAATATCGGTGTGTTATTCTTCATGTTGGCTCAGCTTGCCATCTTCTACTCTAGGGGAGAGCTTTCTACAAGATTGGATTCATATAATATATTACTTGAAACAAGTTCAAGAAATATTTTCTTGATATTATTGTAGTGTGCTGACCCCCTCAGGCTATACTGGCATCCGTCTTGCTTGGGGATACTGCTACCCGCTTTAGCCTCGTAAGTTGTATTGGTAGCAAAGACACATCTCACCCATGTTTATATGTATGGTATAATGTTGTGTAGCAACCAGCTTCTGTCCGAAAAAACTAAAAACTCCCAAACACGAGATCTCTTGGAAATGGAATTTCTCAAGTCAACCAGTATAAACTCGCTGGGAGGCTTGATATGGATGAGAAAAAGCATTCAAGTGGCATCCATGAATTTTATTTAAATATGACACATGAAAAATCGCTATGAGGAAATCGCAATTGAATGAAATCGACGGAGAGCATAAATACGAATGGACGGATAGTGTTTGAGGACCCATGTCATATCTGGTCACCACCATTAATGAATTCTCCAGCTGCGGGCAGTACTTCAATCGTGAGAAATAAAAGACTACTGTCAGACAATATGAACCCAATAGCTTTACTTTCACTCCGGTGCAAATAGCTTCTGCATGGGTCTCGTTCCTTGCTCGGTTGGATAGTAAGATGAAGGTCTCGTCTCGCTAGCACAGAGTAAACCCTAGACTTCCGTGGCAGCCTTTTTTCATGTCGGAAATGGCGAACGGGGTTAATATCGCATCGGATTGTCGGCCATTCGCATGCAATATCGTTTTTTAATTGTATCATTTCATTCATTAGTAAGCATCTAGCCAATTGGTTTGACTGCTCTCTGTGAAGCATCCCGCTGTCGTCATCTTGGTCTAAATCACGACTCGCGAATCAGCTTTAGCCGATATTCATCTTCCTGCAACACCATTGATAGTCCATGCTATCGCAAGTATTCAGTACTTGATAAGGTCAATAATATCCGTTTTTTTGGAAAGATGCCCGAACAAAACCCACTTGGAGCGTTATCAGGATCCGGGGTTGACAGCTCAAACCCCCCACGATTGCCATCTTTGGTAGGCGCAAGGCGTGATTATCGCATACGAAACGCCTGTTGCAAGCTTTCCCTTACTTACCACACTTGACCAACCCCGCAGTTCACCATATTGGATATCGATCACGATTAAGACTTGGTATGCCGCCATCGGCGGAAATCTTGACGTAAGGTGCCGATGTTCCGAACATAGGGGACCGGAAGACGCTCATATCATGTCTCTGTCGGGCCTATATAATGGGTGACATTGCTCATTCGATGATATCGGATTTTTGGAGCGTCGCTACATAACGATATACATCTATCGTACTTTGGTCAACCTGTACGTTGGTAAATTCAGCTCTAATTCAATATGTCAACAACAAAGACAGTGACGCAGTCAGGCACTGCTGTCGGGAAACTCACTCTCGCATATGACGATGCGATCCACCAGAAGGTAATATATATTACCAGCTATCACCACTTAACTTCAATGATAGCACACATTCTAACTCTTTGTCCAAAGTATCGTTATCACGAATATCTCCCCGTCTATGACGAAGAGACTCACTTTGACCCGATCCAGCCTTTCGAGTTCACGGATCGGGGACTCGCAGCGGACAAAGCCAAGTCTGCTCTCTTGTCCAGCGCCAACCCGGAGCTCAAGGTCTCCAAAATCACACCAGTTATCGGTACCGAGATTAGAGGCCTTCAATTGTCTCAATTGAATGACACGCAGAAGAACGAACTTGCGCTGCTGATTGCAGAGAGGGGTGTAGTCATCTTCCGTGGGCAAGATTTCAAGGATATTGGACCAGAGAAGCAGACAGAGTTTGCGAGATATTTCGGCCCACTGCACGTTCATGTTAGTAGCTTCATATGGATGTGACAATGCAAATACTGACCGACTTCTCAGCCCGTTGGAGCTCATGTCAAGGACCACCTCGAGTATCACAACATCTACCTTGGTCCAGACAACGAATATCGGGCACGACAGCGAAGGGAAAGACTGACAACTACCGGGTATCACTCCGATGTTTCGTACGAACATCAGCCACCCGGAATTACCATTCTCACCCTCCTGTCCGTTCCTCCAACCGGTGGCGATACCGCATGGGCATCGCAAACCGCAGCATATGCTCGCTTGTCGCAGCCAATCAAGACTCTTCTTGAGGGCCTGCGTGCTGAACACAGCGGTTTCAACCAGGCAGAGAATGCCCGCCGTGATGGAAAGTTTGTCCGCCGGGAGCCGGTGAAGTCGGAGCACCCCATTGTGAGGGTTCACCCAGTAAGTCGCGTGTAATAAACTGAGACATAAATGTGTGGTGCTAACAATCAGTTCAAAGGTGACGGGTGAAAAGGCTCTGTTTGTCAACAAGGGCTTCACTAAGCGCATTATTGGCCTCAACCATGAGGAGTCGGATGCTCTTTTGCAGCTCCTGTTCAACGTAAGCATCGGATACACAATTTGCCGACACATTGTATTCACATCGCTAACTGCTTCCTTTCAATCACAGCATATCGCCCTTGGACAGGATTTCCAGGTCCGTGTCAAGTGGGAAGAGGGCACAGTCGCGCTGTGGGATAACCGCGTCACAGCCCATACTGCCATCTCTGACTTTGACATTCACAACCCACAGGAAGGACTCCGCCATGGAGTCCGACTAACAACCCAGGCGGATAAGCCATCGGGCGTGAATGGACTCGAGTCGGTGTGGTAAGAGATAGAGGGTAGACTTGAGCCGATTGGCCAAGATACGACCAGACATAGTGTATAGGAAGAATGAAGAATAGTTAACGCATTGCTGAGTCTCCATGGAGAAGCGGAATTTCCTCTTGCTTCGTATCGTTCGACTCTTTTAGGCAGAAGGGCTTGTGAAATGCTACTATGCGCTAGGACTGGGCGTAAACTGCAAAATGTTCCGATTTCAAATCCCACATGAGCTACCGAGAAGACCGTACGCTTTAGAGCTGATTAATGCAGCCACCATCCCGGATATGCTGCCGGAATGTTTTGCGTCAAATGCTGTCATAGCAGGGCGCTCGTTTAGGCAATACGCATTTGTCATCTGAATTGCTGTGAATTAACACAGTGTGGCCCAGATCCCGGTATAAGCTTGTCTGGATCCCTGAGTCAGTTGTGCAAGTAGACGTTGGGTCACCCACATAGCCTATCGTGAATACAACTCTCTGACCATCTCTCAAAACAGCCGCCGCAATATACAATTTTCTTTGGCGATATTCCTCACGTCCTTGCTGCTCTTCGTATCCGATAACTAGGGCCTTCGAATGCTACAACTGCCGAGCCAAAACTTTGCTTTGGTAAAGCTGACAATAGCAAGCTTTCGCGCCCGACCAAGTCACATGATCCGTCCTAGAAGAGCTAATAAGCCGATTGTCCGATGTTCATCTACGAAGGAACACCAAGTAGCGACAGCTTCAGACCAGAACCTGCCGTGGTCAAGATGGAGAATACAAACTCATACAATTCTATAAAAAGTCGCCAGAGAAACATCTTGGGCACTTTTTCATTCTTGCCTCCATTGGTACCTGATGATGGAGTTGTGGCTAATACCGCGGCGCCCGAAAAGGGCCAGCCGCCGAAAAGGAGGAAGCAACAGATCTTACGAGCACAGAGGCATGTTATGATTCAGTTTTGTTGAATCATTTTTAAAATGCTAACTTTATCACAGGAGCCACAGACAGAGAACAAAGGATTACATGGATGCGCTTGAACAAGAGGTCCTACGTCTCCGAGCAGAGGGTGATCGCCTGAATCAAATCGCTACCAACTGGAAGAAGTGTGCCGTGGCCTTGATCAACTCAGGCAACACACCTGTATTAAACCTACAACACATATCACAGTTTGGTCCTGGTATATTCCTTTGGTCGGTATCAAGCTCTAGCGTTGAAATAACTATCGATGATCCGGCCTTCTTTATGAGCGACGAGTACCAGTGGCAGACATACCACCAACAGTCCATGCTATATCCCAGTATGGATATGATACCACACATTAACATTGAAGATGCTTCAGAAGAGTTTCTACTGAGAAATTGTACGTCGCAATGCTATGTTGTTCTAGGTGGAGTTGTTCGCTAACCGCCTGTTCAGTCTATGAGAATGTCATTCCCACACTGGACGTGACGGAATCGACCAACCAAGGCTATTCCAAGCACATTCTTCCGCTTGCCTTTAAGCATCAGATGGTTCGAAGCTCCATATTGGCAGCATCTGCCAGCCATATACAAATCACCCAAGGCTCCAAATCCATGGTCGACAGACTCAACTACAGATCAACGGCGCTTGCTGAACTAAGACAAATCTCGGCACGACCAGAAACAGATTCTTCTGCGCCTCTCGCTACAATCCTGGGACTGATGATTGACGATATGATATGCGGTCACAGAGAGTGCCCTGCTTTACTGAAGCTTGCCGAATTCTGGGTTCGCAAAGACTGCCCCTTTAGTACCGATGCGACCGAAAAGGCAACACGCCGATTCTTGTTAGACCAAGTGCAGCTGTACGTAACGAACTATCTTCTACATGTGCCCAAATCTATACAGATTCCACTAACACGATGTTTGATGGCATAGTTTGAAAGCAGTTGTTTGTCCTCTTTACCAGTTTAACAAGCTCTTGAGCAAAGACCGCCAAGCCTCGGATGGTAAACAATTGCTGTCGCTCAACCAAAAAGATTTATTTGAAGTCTTTTCTTCAATGGAAAGCGCCATGGCACAAGCCTGCCATATATACTCACTACCGACTACCAGCAGTCCACTCGACAGCAGCGGCTCAGATTCGGATTCATCCTCCGACGATCTCAACAGATTGCTCGACAAACTTCAAGTTACTGTGCGCAAGATTCCTCCATATTCCTTGGGAGAGAACTCTTTGACATGGGTGTACTTCGTTGCGGCCTCAAGGAGCCGACGCCTAGACCACAGCGCCTTTTTTGTTGCTAGGCTTGCAGAGCTACTGCAACGCATTGGACATGACAGGGTGAATGAGTTATTAGCGGGACTAATTTGATGGGAGGCAAACGATTTTTGTAAATTTAATGATATCATATCGTCTATTAATTTCATGGCGAGCTACACTTCCACATTGTATAGAAGTGGACTATGTTTTGTTTTGCATATGTAACATATTCTCCAGGTATAGGCGAAGGGGGATATATAGCTGTATACACTGAGCTCATGGAGCAAAACCATCATTCAGTTTAATGAATCCTAGTTGCTGCATTGCGACAAGACCAGACTCCTCTCCCGTCTCTTCCAAAATTTTGCCATTCTCCAGCTTATAGATTGTTGTGCCAGAAAATCTCATTTCTTTACCGGTGTTGGGCTCGGGCAGACTTCCAACAGGAAGATCGTAAAATGCCGGTCCGGTATGCTTACCACCACCAAACCAGCGAGCAACCACGTAGTTGTCTTCTGCAATCAAGGGAAAAGGAGACAGCAGTCTAAATGAAATGTCGGGAAACGCCTAATTGGGCCATGTACTGTTAGCATGTCAGGTCGCCCGAGAGAGGCGGTCATGTGTAGACGAACTTGCTTAAACTTGGCTAAACACTCTTTAGTAGCATCTTTGCCCACCATTCGCCCATGCATGGGATAGAAAACCGTTACATTGTCGGCGCAAAGTTCGTCGACGATGTCTGGATTCCCATTGGTCCAGAACTCCTGGAAATACCGCGTAATAACTTGCCGGTTCAGCTCTGGTACAGAGAGAGTATTCATCTTGCCCTGCTATTGTTGTAAGGGATTGTTCACGTAACTCCAAATACTTTGAGATATGCCTAGCCGGAGGGGAGGTTGGAATGAAAAGTTTAATCCAGGGCGCTCGCTTAGGACTTGGAAGGCCGATGCAAGGGTTAACTTGATGTTGGGATTAAGCCGATACGAATGCAGGAGCTGATACCAAGGCTAAGCAAGTGTATAATGGGAAAATGGGGAATAGATTGAGTGGGTAAATAGTTGTCACTGTCACTGGTTATCGAAGTATGCAATAAAAGACAAATAATTGTATTAGAACCACAACTAGCGAAACCTTCTAGCGGGCATTGTGTACCGGTCTTATGAAGTAATATTGACGCTATGCGCCTAGAATAAAATAGCTTGATAGGCTGTCAGACTATAGACGTTGAGCGGGAAAATGAGGGGCGCTGGTTGAGTGTAACGGTTTCTAGACAGTGTGTATTTGTTTTCGACACTTGTACGACTCACGAGATAGAATTTTTTCCATAGCTATCATGTTCCTGGTGTTGCTTCGTAATTTCACATTAATAATTTTCTGGTAACTCAGAGGCATATGTGATTACTATTCCATTTGCTTAGATGCTTCACTCCATGGTCCTGAGCGGGCCCGCTGCATATTCTCCGTGTGGCCGCGACATTTGAACGTTAGCATGCTTGTAGTTAATCAGCTGTTGTTTGCATCATCAATGTGGAATTATTGAAGGATAGCTACTTAGATAATGCGACGGAGCTGACAAAGATAGCTTGGCTCCTGTTCTGCACAAGTTACATCAAGGAGCATATTGCTTCTCAACTTGTTTCCCTCCTTGTTGACAGGGATACACTGACCTATCTAGCTATGGATCTTTCCGTTGGCATCAATCTTCCGCTTCCGTCTTAGCTTAACGTTTTCGCCCTCGGCAGCTTAGCTCGTTTGTGTACGTCGCTTAACTCTGTCGCGTCGTTTATGGGAGTCTGAGAATCTTGAGAATCTCGGAGTCAAGTGCCCGTCCAGAACAGGCATTACATCTCTACCCAGAACAAGCAATACAGCCCGCCCGGAGAAGGCGACATCTTTACACTATCTTGTTCATGGACATCTAGTTCTCCATCTCACTAATAATAGTAGGAACAAGTTGTGTGTCAACTCCACATTCTACGCCAATTGTACCCAGAGATATTATTGGTATGCAACTTTCACATGGCTCTGGCTTTTGGTTCATTCCCGACATTGAGACAATATGCCGCTGTGGTGACGATTCTTGGTCACTGCCTTCAATACCTTCACGTCTCATTACTGGGATACATAACAATAATAGCGAATTTCTTCGTCGAGCATTATCCGTCTTTTTTACACTTTTTGGTACATTATCACTGAAGATCTATCCTTGTGAGATGATGGACATATCACGTATCACATACAGAAAATGGAGCATCTTCTCTCAAAGTTAACTATACGGCTTCAATATATTAGTCTATTTGGTGATCCAACTAGGCCAAGTTCGAATATGATTAAAGTATTAATGCAAAGAATATGCCTCCCAGAACGCTTTCCCAGGCGTGTGAAATACTTTGTTCGACCAAATAAAGTTACCTAGGAAGCTTTCTGTTTCTTTCCAATCAGGGAAGATAGCATCGTATCCAGATTGGTGAAGTAACAGTATATACTCAGACCTGGTCACTCCGAGTTGGGCAAAGGTGCCGCCAACTATGATACACCACAGCAATGCATCCTTATGGCCCTCCCACAAAACATCTCTTCTCACCTGCCGCAAGACACGTAAGAGCTTTGCTGATATATGGGATGGTATGAAGTGGCCAGCCCAAATGTCCGTAAACAGCATATAAGCACATAGATATAATGTGAGTATACAGCATATTACTACTTCGTTATCCTCACCTGTTGCTAGAAAGTGTGAGAAAAGGCGAGACTCCACCCATGCTTGATAATTATCCATGTGGATAAGGGAAGTTGAATCATCTAGATCCATGTCTGACGACTCTCTGAAATGCTGTAAAGCATAAACGTCTTCAATGACTGTGACCAAGTCATCTCCGAAAGCATGCTTTAATGGCTCGAATCCAGGTGGTAGGGTATATATGGAGGAGAGAAATGGATTGCGACCCCAATGAAGCTCCGGGAAATTTTTATGGTTGAACCTGCGCTCGGAGCCTATGATCCAGGCCGCATTCAAGTCTTGCCAAAAGATTGCACTGTTGAGATTAGAACACGTGTTCGATAACGTGTGGAGTGAATTCTAGGTCAGGTATTTACCGCTTAATGCCGTCATGAAGGTGTATTAGCTTCGAGTCGCAAAAATTTAACAGTTGCATAATACCGGTCAGGTGCATCTCTACTCGTGGTTTGTTCCCGAGCCGCCACTATGCAGTCTTCTTAGCGATGAAACGTCAAGGGTATACAATACTAACCTCCACTCCTATTAGTAACAATATGGCTCCTATCATCTGAGAAACTGCTTTGGGGTCAAGCGCAGCGCCAATTTTTTGGTTGATGTGTCGAATAGTGGTGTTCTTAAAAGTGACGCATTCCTGCGTGAAATGATATTCATTTGCAGCGAATGAGAGTGAGAGCATAATAGCATTTGAGAGAGCTGCATCGTTGAAGCCGTCATGAAATAGCCGATGGAACTTTTGGTGTGCTGTTGTTTCCGCAAAGTTGCACACTGGTTCCAAGGCTTGGGATGCAGTTTCTGAAATATGTCAGTATTGGACTTAACCGGATAAACCACGAACTATACTGTTTGCTATAAGGGATTGAAGTCGCGTAGAATTGCTTATGGAAAGTGACCGAAAAGGATCGAGCTGTTGAATATCGCCTGGCGCCTTGTAATCGTGACTATGCCTCTTCGCGGTGGTGTTCTGAAGCCTATCGGTTTTAAAATGACGGAAATTTCCAGTTGACTCAGTGACTTTCTTTTTGCGTCCTTCCAAGGCTTTTTTGGCACCATGACTGCGAATGACTCTCTGGATCGATTTCAACTTAATTGTGTTAGGATCTTGAAAAGTTATAAACCGGAACTTGTCCCCGGTTTCCGTCCCAGCATTTTCCCTTTGTGGAACATTCTGTGTAGTTGGCTCAGTGGTGGGCCAGCTTTCACCACTCATCTTCTAATTGACCAAAGCTGAACTGGATTATCGGTGCTTGGATCGAGATCGACTTATACAACGAGCAATCTGGGAAGAACAGCCGAGGACTTTTGAGTTGAGGGCAGTTTTGTGAGCTGAATCTGGTATCGGCTTAAACTACCAGGTTCAGACGGCAAATCAGCGTTCAAGTAGCATGCAAATGATAGAAATCACTATCCGAGGATGACTGCAACACGAAGACAACGACAAACAAATTAAAATAAGGCATACGTATAGCCAGCTTCAGCGCTTTGCTAAGCCGTAGCGACAGCCGCTTCTTGGTGATTCCACGCCATGCAAAAGCGGCTAAACCTCTACAGGCAATTTGACTACTGTCTCAATATACGAGTTCAGCATAGTTTGTTTTGCTGATAGAATCGAGCCTTTTAGGCCGAATCATGCCAATCCCATTTGCTCCTCGTATTTGTATTTGTCGCCATGATTCAGGATCCCAATAACCTTTCAGCCTTACCAGTCGCCATTTAATTCTCCTATATCACGGAGTAATTTACCGAAAGTAGATGTTCATCAGCTTACTGTAACAATTTAGCATAGGAGGATATAGGTTGTCTCCAATAGATGAACTGCCGAAGGACATCCCACTATAATTGCTTGACTGATGTCCCCGTGATAATTCGATAGCTTGAGAATCCGCCCTATGAAGAAGCTGTGACTTCCCATTTGTCTAGATACAGCTCCGGAATCGGAATTGGGCTGCAATATACGGAGCTGAATGTATTTTTTTCCCGCGCAAGTAACGTTCTATTGGAATAATGTTAATCATTGTTTACACGACTAGAAGACTCACTACATCCTTTATCCTATATAACTCCATGTCCCTACTTCCCCAACCCATCCATCATTGCTTTGGCGCGCCAATACTATCAGCCCATTCTTCGACGGTCATGACGCGCTCCACGAGCAAAGGCCAGATCAACTTGACAGCTGCATCCTTTTGTTCAATTGTGAAACCAGCCGTCGCATTGGAACTTATGGTCAAGTTAGCGCAGATAAGCTTTGTACATTAGGCGCTTACTCACAGCAGAGTCACATCATATCCCAGCTCTTTGCCATATCGCGCTGTGCATTCCAAGCACTGGTTACTAGTCATACCTGCGCAGACCAATTTAGTGATATCGCGTTGATGCAGTAGGTAGTCTAGGTCGGTATTCTGAAATGAACTGTGAAGACGTCTGTGTCAGTTGATTGCTCTTTCACGAGCGTTAGCAAAGACAGCTCTACCCACCTGGCGTTCCAGTGCTTTGATACGACCACATCGCCGTTCGCAAGGTCCGGCTCCATTCCTTCATAAATCTGCGCTCCCCAGCTCCCTTCTTCAATCACACGGCCTTCTTTCATCCCTATGTGATACGACGTCATACGGTTCCATCCATCATAATTGCCCGGTTTGTACTGCTGGTGCAAGCAATAGTAGATGGGGATATGCGCGGCTCTTGCAGCTTGGATCAGTCGCCGCATATGCTTTACTGTTTCCGTAGCCTCCAAGCTCTCTTTCACGTTGCCGTACCATTTACCCTCAGGGTGAATGAAGTCGTTGTAAGGATCAATGAGAAGGACTGCGGTTCCGCTTGTAAATGTCATTTTTGCTAATTGTCCTATGTAGAAATGGTATGATAGAGAAGAAAAGGGAGAATTCTGGCTGGGCTGAATGAAGCGATTTTTATTCTTATCTCATTCATTCATTCATTCAAGGCATCAACCGATGGGGGTGCTTATATACTCTTCGGCGGATGCTTTGTGATGCCAAAAACGGAAGCAACTGCATTTCCATAATCTGCATAAGCCATATTCGTTTCAGGCAGTCAAAATTGCTTAGTTTTTATTCCACAGAGTCCGCGATTGAGTTGACTAAAGTTTAGCATTTTTTCAATAGTCTGACAGATTAATCATGAACAGTAAACCGGATGGTATGTATTACCTGTTTTGGAATTAGTTGTGACTTGACTTTCCGTTAAGTTCAATCCTGGCGGCTTCCTTCAGATCCGAATGCACTTGAGTACGGCCAATACATGTTTAGAGATCCTGCACGATTATTAATAAAAAGTTAAATAACCAATTTTCTTTTCCTTTCACTATTTACTAAAACTTTTTTGGTGCATTTCCTTGTGCGTAGGAGTAGTTCATTTGGAATATGACCTACCTAGTGGGAATATATTCCGAGTATTCCGAGTGACGCATTGGTCATTCGACAACTACGTCAAATTGTAGAAAGGACTAGAAAAGTAATCTCAGCTCTATGATAATACTATATATCACAGCATCTTCACCTCGCAGTCTGACCCCCTTTCCCATCTACTAGCGACATAGATTTGTTTCAAACTACTTCTTTGCTTCGTGCAGACAATAGGGTAACTGAAGTTATTATCGATCAATTTTCCGCCTCCATGTGTGTCGGCTATAGAGGTCTGTCTATGTGAAAGATGCTACATCATAACCCCAACAGTCTGAAATCTCGTTACATCGGTAATTGTCATCAGATTTACTACCAGTTTTGAAGACATAAGGCCGATCAACAGAGATTAACAGGGAAATCCGCAATAGTTGACAAAATTGTTATGGGCAAAAGGATGACATTGTCAGGGTTCTGGTACACAATAGAAGAGTGACAAAGTTAAGGAAATAATACAACAGCTATCTAGCTACTATTTCGCAGCTAGTAATATAATAATGGCTATATTGGTCTCTTACGCCGTTCAAGAAAGGAGAATGAGCCTCTTCTCGACATGATTCCATTGGAAGCCACAAAGCCAAGCTTAAAATTGACGCTTCTCTTCGGTTACCTAGCTTCTAGGTTTCTGAAACCCACTATTAAATGAACCGTAAACTCAACTGGCATAGAAATAAGCGGTGACTCCAAGATGAAGAATATGCCGCATTTTTTCATCTGGAAGAGAGGAGAAAACTTGTCACACTGTGGATCAAGAATAAACGACCCGGACAGCATAACAGTCCAGAGTCAAAGACAAAGAATATGCCGATGTATGAAGATTTAATTCCCTGTTGCAGACAAGCTGACATGACGTAAAGAATAGGGTGCGATTTACATGCTCCGTAGCGAGCCTTGGGCGAAGCTAACGGAGAATTTCTAGTGGCATGCATGTGCGGACCAGGGGCGGGCAGGGGCCGTCCTCGTATCTAGTGAGAATCTCCACGCAAGCCTTTATCAACACTGCGGATCTCATTACCAGACTTTAACAGCCAGCTGTTACTTCGTCGGGCGTTCGTCCGGGCGTTATGGAAACAATAGTTGTAAATTTGTAATATACGCTATTGAGTCGTAATCAGCGGTTTCTTCATAATCCTAACAGCTACTAGTAGGCCTAACCTGAACTGCTTAGACATTCTAGAGTCAACTGTATAGGTAATTACAAACATTGATTGCTTACAATGATATTATGTAAATGGGATAGTATCATTCAAACGTCTTCAGCAATGTTGAATATGGCAAGTTTAGTGATCTTCGTAGATATATAAGCTGTTTTGTCTCTGGATATTGAGATTGGTTCTCATCGTTAAACATATAGTCTCAAAAGCAACACATACCTGTATTTTCTAACGCCGTTTTATCTAAACAATTCAAACATTTTCCATCATGCTCATTAACAACACTGCTTCTCTGGCAGTTGCCTTGTTTACTGGTGTGGCAACTGCTGCTTCAGTTCCGGCCTGGGAGGATTGGGCACATGGCCGAGTCCAACTCAAGAATGTCAGCATGCATTTCCGTTATGCTGGTAGTGGTCCTCCATTACTTCTCGTACACGGAAATCCTCAACACAGTGTAAGTTTTAGCATATCAAAGTCTCCTTTCTCAATGGCTAATAGTTTGTTTTTAAGATCACCTGGCGTCTCTTAGGTCCTGCTATGGCAGAACACTATATCGTCATTGCCCCTGATAATCGTGGGATGGGAGATAGTAGTCTTGCTCCAAATGCAGATTATACTGCGTCTTCTATGGCTTCAGATCTTGAGGGATTGCTGTCTTTCCTCAACATCAATAAGACATTTGTCTTCTCATACGACAAGGGAGTCGGCGCAGGTGTAGCACTGGCCGCGAAGAAGCCTTCTCTGGTTCAAGCGTTAGCTGTCTCGGAGTACGCACTGCCAGGTTTCGGTTATGAGAGCCTGTGGACTCCTCAATATGACTGGGATGCATATGGCAACTGGGAATTGGCGTGGTGGAGCGTGCCTGAGGCTGCCGAACGCTTTATCCAAGGGCGTGTGTGTGAAGTTATCGGATGGTTCTTTTATCATACCTCATATTCAGGCGCATCCTCAATCCCGTTGTCTGCTGTGGATGAGGTCGTTGACAGTATCAACAAACCAGGCTTCCTCAGAAGCATGCTAGGCCCCTTTGCTGCCTCTACTATGGGAGCTGATGCTGCATTCTTTAATTCTACCATACGTCAGCATCCCTTGCCAATGCCGTTCCTAGGATTGGGTGGTGAGGCAGGCACTGCAGCGATATTGCATGAGCTGTGGCCACCGGTCGGAACCAACGTGGAGGTGGACATTGTGCCTAAGGCTGGACACTTTCCAGCTGATGAAAATCCAGGTTGGGTTGCGCAACGCATCAACAAGTTTTACAATCCACACAAAAAGGGAGTCTCAGCAGTTGACCTGTCATGGCTGACAGACAAGGTCACGCTAGTATAAACGCTGCTTCAGCTCTCAGACATTGATATCCCCTAGGAGGCTCAATTTCTGAATTGGCTGAAGTTTCTACATCCTGAAATAGACAGTTGCTCACGTGAATGGGGAGTCTATTAGCTGGGCTGAAACTTCGAAGGAGCCTTAGATATATCCATCGTTAGGATCAGTACCTCTATTTATTCTTCTAATGGCTTTCGTCAAGATGCTTCATTTATAGATTTGCAAGTCACTTCATAGTCACAAATATTAATACATATATAGTAGTGTTCATAAGCCCATTCCTCTCTAAAATTGGTTTCCCCTTCTCTCAGTCAGGGTAGCATCAACAAATTACTCCTCTTATAGTTGATTGTTAGGCTATTGATGAAAGAGATCCTTCTGTGATAGATATATATATTACTATCCTGCAATAAGGTTTGGGGACAGATTCTGTACATGGAGAAGCTTAAATGAAGTTCAGTGACCGTATAAGCGAAGGTTGAGGGTATGTGAAGTCCTAAGATACTATTATTCTTTCATGAGAGACAAACGCTGCTTCAAGTAGCCTATTGTTAACATTCTCCCTTTAGAAGTACCACTAGAAGCCCCTACTCCCCACAGGATCTTATTCTATATCTATGCATAGATAGGGAACTAAACAATCCAAATAAGTGCTTTGGCAATGCTCACCAATTTATAACTATTCCTCAAGATTATAACCTTAGGTCTTGACCGACTCAGTTACTTGCGATTGCTGTTGATGTAAGAGTTGCTGTAAGAGAATTGACATGGGCGATTTCTCTCATCTGTCCGTACGACCTCTCCATTCATCAACTCGGGTTATCCAATCACGAACAAGAGCTTCGAAAACACCAGTCTCATCGATCGGAAGCCCATGCGTACCACGATCTAGAACAGCGAAAGTTGATCGTGGGTAGAGCTCCAGCAAACGAAGGCTGTCTCGGTAGCCCACAACGGTGTCTTGTCGACCACATACAACAAGTGTGGGGGCAAAGAACTTGGCACCTTCATTGTCCAACGAAAAGGATAGCTGATATCGATTTGGATCTGTTCGGATTGGATCCAACACTTTGTTGTCTGATGCCTTTTCTGCTGGAACCCAGACATTCTCAAATTTAGCCTTTAAACTTGCAACGTAGGCAGGCGTTTGGATGAGAACATCTCCAAGAAGTGATTTATCTTCGGCTGATATGGTCGCCATAAGCTGCTCATTTGCAACTAAAGGTATGAAAGCATCGAGATCGCGCTTGCTGTCATCTGGGTCAATAAGTGGTACGCGTAGCAGTAACCCATCGACTTGCTCAGTGTATTTGTGAGCTATCGCGCGTGCGAGGTAACCACCGCATGATGAGCCGATGACCAGAAATCTTGACTTTCCAAGTCGAGAGTCAATGAATTGCACCAGGCGAAGGTAAACTTCGTCCTGATCTTTGACATTATTCGCAGGTGTTTTGCCCATTCCTGGGAGGTCCACGTATATGCGGCGAAGTCCTGGCGTTTTGCTGAAAATTGGCTCAAAGTCTAGCTCCTCGACCTTTCCCTGCATCTGCCATCCATGAATGATCAAAACTGGAAGTCCTTCGCCGACTTCATTTGCATATAGAATAGAATCCATTTTGCTGCTAACTGGTGATTTTGTGAATATACGAAAAGCAATAATTAGATAGAGGAGTCTAGTCGGGGGAGGGGTCACGGAGTATATGTAGTTTGTTTTAGCACAATCACGGCATTGAAGGATTGAAGTTGGGCCATACTAAAGTAACGTTATAGAATCCACCCCATAAACGAACCAATAATACGGACGACCGATTTGGAATCTCATCTTTTACCAGAGTAGAACAGCCGGATTAATCACGTGCCGTTTCCCTGAGCCTAAGCCGATGAATAGCGTTTGGTAACATTGAACTTTACCTATGTAAAATCAGCGAAAGCCGATATCTTTGTTGTGTCTATGCGCCACCGTCATTCCATGTGCCTCCAAGTACACAAGAATAAAAAGCCCCAAAGGGAGAATAAGACGACATGTCGGGTATTCAAGAGTGTATCTGAATAGATATGAATTGAAAGACTAGAATGCTCAGCCGCTCCCTTTATCTTCGCAGGTTCGCTGTTGCCGCCGCTGTGTCTTCACGCTCCTGATCTCTGGTAATTCACATCTACAGGTATAATTCTTGCCTGTCCGGCACATGGTGCCAACCCTGTTCAAAGCCGACATATCTAGGCCACCGAGCAATCACAAGCTGCACTTCGGGCTCTGTGATTCGAGGGTAAAGGGACACCTTGCGAACCTCATGCACCTCGTGATCGGCAGACTTGTCGAAATTCTCCACACTGTCAATGACTACAATTCCAGGATTAGCTCCAACCTCACTCTGAGCCATTAATTAGCGACAGGATGGACTTACTCATATGGGCAATGGTCAAGAAGTCTTCTTGATGAGCGAGCTTGAAGCTCAAGTTCTCACCACACTGCTCCGTCATCTACGCAACGGTTGCAATTCCGCGCACGAACTTGGACGTATGGCCGTCATCTTCATACTCACAGGCACGTTGGAACACACCATCCCACCCAGACGGATGAAGTGGCTTGTAGGTCTTGAGCTCCTCTGGACGAGGTTCTGGGGCACCGCATTCAGCGTACAGCAGTAGATTGGCTCGGCCAAGCCACTCGACGAGGCGAGCTTTTGACTCGGGTTTGATCCAATCCGTCTTCAAATAAACTGGAAGGAATGTGGCTGTGGTTACAGTGTGTATAAGCATGAAATCGAAACGAATCTGCTTATTTGATCGTTGGGCCATAGTCGTGTAGTACACTTTATGATATCAGTCCCTGTCAAAAAGAATCGAAACAGGGGGAGGGGGATCGTACCGCATGCGTTGAACAGCTCGGTAGCCTTGACTTCTACCTCGTCGACCGAAACCTTCCACTGGCTGATTACTCTGAATAATTCGTCACCGGCTTCACCAATCAAACCGTCGTTGATCTTGTCGATATAGTCATAATGCATTGCACTGCGGATCCTCGTGTTTGCACGTATTTGCTCGAATATCTCCACCTGTGAGACACTTGCAGTAGAGGGTGCAACTTTTTCAGTTGGAAGAAGGAAATCATGGAGCTCAGGGAGATGGACGGCGGTTGAAGCTAGTGCCTCAGCGACCAAGAACGGTTGCATGTATTCGAGGGCATAACCAAGGTGGATGATGCAGTGCAGATAGCCTATGGATCACGTCAGCCGCTCTCGCGGTAGCATTGCAAGATCCTACACAAGACTTACCCCCGAAAAATCTGTCGAACATGTCGGTAGCTCGCTCGTCATCGCCAAAGATGAATGTGTTTACCGTTGTTGGAATTCCGTGGGTCTCAATTTCCTTACAGAAAAAGAGGAAGTAGTCATTGAAGTACTTGGAATCTCCGAGGCACTTCTTGAACTCGACCGGGTCAGCCAATTGCTGTGCGTGCCCTGAATTGGCGTAGTGCGAAGGTAGCTGGTAGACAGCGTTCAGGTCGAAGGCTTTTTCCATCTGCAGCGGAGTAGCCCCAAGAGCGTAGATGCACAGGAGGTGGTGAAGGATATGGTCTAGAGCTAAATCAGCTTGCCTTGAGCTGGTAACTAGAGGCGGTAGCCATCATGCAATGGAGCTGAAGGGTTTAATGCTATGAAAGCGTACTGTGAAGACCAAACTGGTGATAGCTCAGGTGATACTTGTCATGATTCGAGGTCAGAAGCTGCGCAAGTTTGTCTGCACTCTCCTGGGTTAGGTTGGAAACGTGGAAGGGGCCATTGTCCTGTAGCTTGGTGGCAATAACGAGTTGCCGTGTGCTTGCCATCTTGACAGAACAAAAAACGTTGCTGTTGAGTTACTGCTGAGGCAGACATGTTATTCAACATTGACATATATACACAACTTAAAGCCATTCCCGGAGAGCGAGCAACTAGAGAAATGCCCCTTTCTGACATAGCTTGCATATTACCCCAGACGTAAGGTCCAATTTTAGATGCAAGGGTATACCAACAACACTCCCTTCCCCAGACTACCCCATAACCCATGCCGCATTCGGTTGGTTTTGGGGTAGATGTACAGAGTAGGGTTCTCACTTTCTTCATCAAACGACCTCGGTACGCCGTTCAGTCGTAGACATAACATAGGTAGTAGGCGGCTAGCAATATCGGCAAGTTACAACTGGGATTATTAGTATTGAGTCATAATGTCAAGACTTAATGAAGGATATACTTGTGTATGAAGTATGAGTGATTTTAATTTATATTAAATAAACATAACTAGTTGAGAAAGAATGTTACATTATATATGTTCTATGTATAATTAAAATGCCCAGTCCAAGTAATAATAGCTCTTTTTTAAAGCCGTTTGACTCAACGTAACATCCTTATCGCTTTCACTATAATACGCTACCTTATACGCTCAATTTGAGTTTCTTGTTACCTAACGAAGTACGGTAGCTGAGACGCCTATTAGTAAACAAAATTATAAGAACCGGTTGTTAAATGAGAAACTTATTATTGCACTAAACTAAATGTATCTGCTCATCTTTCCGTCCGTACTGAAAGCCTCCGGAGTGTCTGTGATAGTCGCCCCTTCTGATTGAAGTATCACTCTTCGGAAGTCTCAGCAACCCATTCGAACAGCTTCTTAGTAAGAAAGGTATCAAGATAGAACCGAGCATGAGCGATTTTTCCGTCTCTGATTTCGAAAAGGTAGTGATACGTGTTGTTGTAGTGATGATCGTTGACGTGCATATCCGAGGTACACTCGAGGGCAAGGCGGTCCTCTTGGGCGGTGATGCCTCGCAACTGGAGGTTGATGGCTCGGTTCTGAACCGCTGCGCCAAGGAACTCTTCAAATTGTTCCTTGGTACGTGTTCCGCCAAGTTCGGGGGAAATGTCAGAGCGAGCCATATTGGTGAATGTCGCGTCATCGTGGAATAGCTCCAGCAGAGGCTTCACGTCTCCGCCCTTGGGGATGTTCCATCTTTTGCACACTTCGTAGGCGAGCGTCCTATTGTGCTCGACACCAGTTCTCTTTGAATCGGTTCCCCAGACCATGATGGTGAAGCTAGGGTGAAGAAGCTGGAACTGTTATTGAGTTCAAAGATCGAACGATGGAAAAATACCAGCAGGTGGCGGTTTACTAGCTGAATTGGATGGTTCTTTCCAATTCGTGTATTTATATCCCTTTATTCTGGTATTTCCCCTTGCTAATGCTGACCAGTCCGATCGGAGACAAGCTACCGAGGGATATCATGCACACGCAAGCCTCTCCACCGGAGTTTGGGCGTGTCTGTATATCGCGATACCCAGACAGGCTGTCAAGTACTAGAGTTTGCCAAGAGGTCCGTTGTCAATCAACCCCAGCGTTACCCCAGCGTTACCCCAACGCTTCAGACGGGTGGAGCCGGAATCATAGCCGTGATTGCGTGTAACTAGGATCCATGTGCCAATACTAAAGAAGACGACTCACCTTGGATGCCTAATGGTGGTATGAATGATATACGTACTCATCTTAGAAGCCTAATAGTATGACTGATATACGTATATAAGATCATTAACTGCCATCTTGCCAGCCTACTCAGTCTGAACCGATACATCATCCATACATACGACTATCATATTCTCTCGCAATGGCCTCGAACCCTCCAGGAAGATGCTGCGTTACCGGCGCGAGACATGAAGGCTCACCCCGCGGTGAGATTAAGAAATTCAATGACGGTGCGACAATGTTTTTTTCCTTCAAGTCAAGATTGCACCACTGACCTATCTTAGTCGAGGTCTACATAACGTATCCTAAGGACAAGAACACCGAGAACGCCATATTGTTCCTGACAGATGTCATGGGTCACCGATTTATCAACGCGCAGCTGATTGCGGATGGATTTGCGGAAAATGGATACTTTGTCTATATGCCAGACCTTTTCCATGGTGACCCGGTTTCGTTAAACCCACCCGAGGACTTTGATATCATGGCTTGGCTTAACGGTCCGCCAGGCCACCTTCCTGACCGCGTCGACCCCGTTGTGCAGGCATCTATCAACGAAATGCACAAGACACTGGGCTGTAAGAAGATTGGCGGAGTCGGTTATTGTTTCGGCGCCAAGTATGTGGTCCGCAATCTTGGCTATATGAGTGGCGTTGGCGACAGACTCGACGCTGGCTATGTCGCTCATCCCTCGTTCGTCGAACGCGATGAGCTCCAGGCAATCAAAAAGCCTCTGGCAATCTCTGCTGCAGAAACAGATAGTATCTTCCCTACTTCGAAGCGCCATGAGAGTGAGGAGATTTTGATCGGAACAAAGATTCCTTATCAGATCAACTTGTTTAGCGGCGTTGAGCATGGATTTGCAGTCCGTCTAAGCGAGGAAACGCGGGTAGGAAACTTTGCTAAGGAGCAGGCTTTTGTTCAAGCTATCACTTGGTTCAATATGCATATTAGAGAGACTGAATAGTCATACATTACAAATTGATATTTTAGCCTGAGAAATAAGGACAGCTTATCGAGTATCTATTCTGATGTATCTGGCACTTATTTACATTGGGTCTGTGACTTTGGTTTAGTGAAACGCTGATTCTGGCTATTGTATGTAAATTTTGCTTCGAAAGTATTATTACACACTAATTTTCTATAATATTTATTAAAGCTGATCCTTTGATTGTTTTTATGACCTTTAAGCTGGAATTTATAGTACTACTACAATAAGTTTTATATATACCCAAGTTATCTTCCATAAACTCTGGACCCCAGGTAAAAGGCCCTGCCTCAAAGGTTACTCGGCTCAAATCTGTAATATTCAAAGTAGTGCAGATCTCAGTTCGAAGATCAGTGAATGTTGCATCATTTTGTGCTGATACAGGCTGGAAGAAGTAAAGCACCTCCCAGCCTTCTCGATTTACCTGCAGCCGGTCCTCATCGGATGGCAGACGTCGTCTCCACTGTATCCCGTTTCCAGCTGCCGTGATATTGAGGGGGAAGCATCTAATGTCGAATTTGTCGCGTTCTGCAACAAATGCGGTACGGGGAAAACAAAAGCCGAACTCTGCCCTTACCAGAGGTAAAATGTGCAACTTCATCTTGGCTCCATCGAAAAGGCACGTCTCGCCGGGGTTGTCACATTTGTTAATGGTCTGGAACCATACCGAATTATTATCATGTACTAGCGTTGGCAAAGTCTGCTGGAGCTGCTGATAGAGGAGGTCTCTATTCTCACACCAGTGTGTTGCTTCAATGGCAAAGCGATCATCTTGGCCATGAATCTCACAATTGGCAAGTGTATGTGGATGTAGAGAAAGCATTTGTTTGATGGACAAGCCTATAATCATTCACTAGCATTAACACTAAATTATGCTCCTCTGGTGCCTTGCTCGTACTTACCATTCATCAACAGGACTTCGATTCTAATTTCCACGGTCAGTTCATTACGGGCTGCCATTTTCTGGGGAAAGGTAAGTGAGAAGGGTACTGCTAACGTCCATGTTACAAGAAACATCCGCCAAGAGGGACGAGGCCCTCGGATGGAGCGGACGGACTTGTCTTGTGATGTAACCCAGGGGATAGATTTGATCAGCTTCTCCATCTTGGGGTTGAGTGGGGGTGATCCGACGAATAAAACCTCCCAGGACATAAATGCTGCATGTTGCACCGACTTCGGCCTTCTTCATTACCCCAAAACTTCGTTTATTAACTGGCAAACCCCAGCCTGTGCCTTCAGCTTGGGGATGCTGCCTTTGTCTCAAAGTCAAAGCGGGTCTTGTGTGACACTCGTCTTTTGTTAGCCTGACCCCAATTTCCGGCAACATCCCCAAGATCCCATCCTGTCTCATTAGTCAGATTTGCAACAGCATCCAGACCTACCCCATTCTATCATCTCTCATGACGGGCTCCAATGGCGCCAGGCGTCATCGCTGCTTGGTTTGCCAGAGACACTTCAAGCGTACTGAACACTTGACACGCCATCTGCGACGCCGTGAGTCGTTTGAGTTGACTCAGCTACTCCGTGCTGACTTGGCTTCGTCCAGATACTCAAGAAAAGCCTTATCAATGTCAGGAATGCTTGCAGTGTTTTGCCAGGAAGGAACTTTACCAACGTCATCAGCAAAGGTTCCATGGCGCCAGCCAAGGCCATATTCCGCCGCCCCGGGTGATTCCCACACTTAGCTGTCCACCTACTCAGGCTGCACCTCCAGCTTCAGTAAGCGGCAATTCATCCCATGTACTAGGATCGACGGCCTCTGCCTGCAATAGCACCGCCGGGAGAACTGCCGCCGTTGACGTGCCACATGATGCTCTCCCTTCCGTGCTATTGCAACTTCGCGACCACCATCAAGCAGAGTCTACGCGAGCTTGGTCTGAGACTCCCAACGAGGAGTCCGACACAAACCTCGCTGAGCCAAGACACAACTCATTAGATCTAGCTTCCTCAGAATGTAGTGATTCGCCACAGGACGGCCACGAGTTCTCCAACTCCTACTAGAAATCAGGGTCTACAATTCCAAGCACAGTCACCACTTCAGAGAACCCTGACCCCGTTCCCTCGACAATATCTCATCCTCCTAACGTGGATTCTTGCCCCATATCACAATCCGCAAGTGCTATTGATCGAGGTTTGACACAGCATAGCCCACATTATCCACCGGCCATCGAGTGTCTACTCACATCTCCCTCTTCTCAAGACGTGACAAGTATTCAACACTTGCGAGAGATTGTGATAAGAGCAATCAATTCCAGCCCATCATGGTAATGCAATAGAAAATTGGTTATCTATTCACTCATCGATAGCCAAACATGTCTATCATACCAGTGTTGACTCGACCTTGTAGTGCCTCACTCCATTCTCCTGAGGAATATTTTAATGTTCCTGATTGTATAACCCTAGACAGATACCAGCAAACCTTTTTTGCCTTGACATATAGGAACTTACCGTTTGTGCACGCAAGCATTCCCCTAATTGACCGTGCTCCAGGTGAGCCCACACAAGGGGTTGCTCAGCCTCCGACATCGATTAGCTGACTGCCGCCTCTTCCAGCTGTTATTCTAAGCATTCTTGCTGATGGAGCAATGCACTGTGTCAACGATCAAATCGGCCATCGTCTATTTGAGGCGTCTCGCCGACTTGTGTCGGACTATGTAAGATTCCTTTACTCGTCCTCAACATCTGCTACCAGACACTGATCACCACCGCTGCGTTAGCTGGATTCAAATGGGTCAGGCCCAATACCGCACTGGGTTATAGATACTCTATTGATCAACTGCATCTACGGCCTATCCGGGGGGGCGAAAGCCACATTAAATGCCACTCAAGGTAGTCTCTCGAGAGTTCTATGGCTCGCCAGCCAGGTTGAGCCACCTGAAATACGGACAGCTGCCCTGGGGCAAAGTTTTGCCGTTGAAGATGAGTGGAAGAATTTCGTCGTTGAGGAATCTCTGAAGAGGTACATCGCTCTTTCCCATGATCTCAAAGTATACCCTTTGATAATCTCTGTTTAAAGATCTCTACTTTGCCTTTTGATATTCCTTGGATTATGGTCAGCCATACATGGGCTGCTGGTCAAGATACCTGAAGGCATATTCGCCAACCTGGATTTACCATGCACCGAATCTCTATGGCTCGAAACCTCGGCAGAGCAATGGAAATCGCTTTCCTATACTTTACCACGTAAATTATCATATCACAGCGCAATCCATGAGCTCCTTTGCGACAAGCCCTTTCCGAGCCCAGACTTAGCTTCCGTCTGCCTCGTAGTTGGCCTCATCCTCTGGTCTAATGAATCGCAAGAGAGCCTCCCTTTCTACTCCTATACCCAAGGTGATTTTCGGCTTGCCGTATGCCACTGGAAACGCAATGTCGAATGCCAACTACACGAGAAAATGTCCATCAATTTATTTGCTCTTCCCATCACTTCATACCTGCGTGTTGAGCTGCAGGTAGATCTCCGCGCAATGATGAGCTCGTTTCTGCATCATGACTTCGTCCAGCTTCGTCAAAAATTGCGCTGTGGGAGGCTTCGTGAAGCTTGTGAGGAGGCTCTTCACGGTCTTGTTCCTTGGGCGCCGAGTTACAAGAGCCAAATATCCATGGTCTTTATTCCACTATGTGGGTTGACCTCGTCTGACCGGAAATTCACTCGCAGATCGCTGACTCGAAAAATAGCTGTTATTGTTCTGGAAACTATGATTCTGCTCCTTGAAAGGTCTGAAGTTCGCCCTTCAGACGATGTATTATTTGAAAAGATTAGGGCCTCATTCCGTTTGTCGGCATATGACATGCAAGTCCATCTTGTTTGGGACAGATTGAAAAGGGTTCTTGCTCATAGCCCAGGTTTGCAACTATCCTATACATCCGACTACGTCTTCATTAAGATATTAATTTGCATAGCTACATATGTCTTGTCCGAGGCATTGCGCGAATATGAACGGGCAAATGGTCTTTCCGGACATGCCCGCTTATCAGCGACATCCGTCGCGATGATGGGTTAACAACAAATGACTAACTTTCCCGCAGCGGGCTTTCTATAGAGATCTCTATGCCATTTTAAGTCTATTGGCTCATAGCGCTAGGAAAAAGACATTGAATGTTAATTGATAGTAATGCACTGGAGGCAGGTCGAGTAATTCTGAAAGCTTCGTGAAATCTGTACAGAAGGTTTCCGCTTTCCTCGTTGATAACGGATATCAACTGAACAGCTCGAGAGAGAAATAGATATAAATAAAGGAACTAATGTTTTCATTTCATGCTTTATCTCATTGTAAAACATTATGTACAGTGGAATAGAAGAGCGAAATAACTTTTAGTAGCTAGTAGCTACCTATACTCAAATTGCCAAGATTGCTTCAGCGTCCTTTTGCAGTTTTGCCATAGCACCAATCTGCAAAGTCGGCCCAATGCTAATTCTTGCAACTCCAATGGCGGCCAATTCCTTTGTGGTTAATCCACCAGAGAGGTTCAACAAGACGTTTAGTTTTCCATCAAACTCCTTGACAAGTCGAACGACTTCATCTCGCGAAACACCACGGCCTGCACCCCACACAAACACAGTGGTGGCGCCGGCAGCAAGATATGCATGGCCTCTTTCAATTACTTCTTCGAGGTTTCCGCCATAGACCAGAGTATCGCATCGCGCATTAACAACAAAATCGGGTACTCCAAAGGCGCTGGCTGTGTTGAGCACTCTCTTAACTCGATCTGCCGCCTCAGAGATGCTGTAGAATTTCTTTGCGCTTCCGTTATAGTCCTCGAGATTAATCCCGACAACGCCAGCCCTAAGAAGTTCTGTTACGCCCTCCTCGAGCTCATTGCCGTATCCGTCTTGAAAGTCAACCGACAAAGGCTTTCCGAATTCTTGAATGGCTGAAGCAATATTTCTAGCTGCTGTCACATTAACGGCCCGCGTCAATGTGTCATCTTTGAGACCTGCGGCTTCTGCAACCGCATAGCTAGCAGTAGCAAGGGCCTTTGCGCTAGGCAAAGAAGCTACAGCCCGTGCAGATACTGCATCGTAGATATTTGCAAAGATGAGGGGAGTTCCAGAGGTGTGCAGAGCCTTGAAACTCTTGGCGAGGGCGTTCTGAACAGCTGCCATGATCGGATATTGATTGAGTGGAGGATTTGTGGTGGCTTTAAAACAACGTGAAAATACAAGAATCCAAGTAATGACTCTCCAGTCATTAGTAACTACGGGAGCTTGCTAATATATAAATAATAACCAGCATTCTTCAGCAGCCAGGTTTCAGTCATACTATGCGCTTAATCATTTTCACGTCTTTATAATCATTGCATTTGTCAAAGTTCCAATTGCGTCGATATTTGCGGAACAACAACTGCAGTCCAACATCCTTTGTGTTGTGATGCCTGGCTGCTATCCCAAAGAGGTAAAATAATGCCATTCTCACTAGCCTGATAGGACGGCCTCAGTATCATGGATGACACACAGCACTCCCAAGCCACTAAAAGCATGCCGCCCTTCGTACGAAGGCTAATAAGATCCGCGCTTTTCCGTGGATGCCGAGCTAAGGCGCTGTACATTTGACTCGTCATAGTGGGACAAACAGATCAAGCATCTGAATATAGACTATAGCATAATACTCTGGTAATCCACTGGCATGATATCGTGAATCCGACAATGAAAGAGACGTTAAAATCGGGTAATATGCTTGTATGTTCAGGTAGTCGAATCATTTCAGTGTTTCACGCCCTGTGAAAGTTTCGGTGCCACAGTAGCGGAGTGGTCGCAGCTATTAATCCTCTGCTAATAGAAGAGAAACCTTTCCATCAAATTTCGGGGGCCTTTTCTTTTCCTTCCTTCACTCTTAATTGCTTCCAGTGGATTGTTTAATTTTTTTTAAATCTACACACATAGGGGACAATGTCCACAACAGCGAGCAATCCAACGACATGCACCATGAACCACGCAATGATATCTTTACAATGGTATTATATTGGTTAGAGTAATATTTAGCCCAAAGAAATCCAGAAATTATATCAAATAAGTCTTCATGATCATCCTCCGTTATTGAGCAACCAACACACCGCGGTATCTCATCTTTCCATCGCTTAGTGTTTTGATGGAATCTTCAATGCCGGCCTTATTTAATGGGAAAAGCATTGTTACCGGTCGGACGTCGTTCCTTGAAGCGAATTTCAACATCTTCTTCAATTCCCCCCTCGAGGAAACGACAGTACCCTGAATTCTGTAGCCGAATCCAAGCAACGGATATTGAGGTATAGAAAAGTTGCCAAAGTGAATAGTCAGAGGAATGATCATGGCTTGAGGGTTCAGAAGAGGAAGATAAGCATCCCACTCCATATCAACCGATGTCGTGAAGAGAAGTGCATCCAATTTGGTGGCGCCAATGTTGATGGCTTCTTTGCCGTTCGTGACCGCAAAGCTATTGGCACCCAAGCTCAAAGCTTCATCCTTCTTGGATTCGTTGGTCGATAGAACTACAACATTCATGCCCATTTTTGAGGCGAATTGAATAGCCAGGTGACCTAATCCACCAACACCAATAACGCCGACTGTAGAAGTAGATGAGAGGCCATATCTATGCAGGGCGTTCCAAACGGTAGCACCACCACACATAAGCGGAGCGGCATCGTTGTCGGTAATATTGTCTGGGATTTTGAACAGGAAAGCCTCTCTCCATACAACTGCCTCCGCAAAACTGCCTTGATCCAAGTTCGCAACGCCGTAAATTTCTCGGTCAGGGCAATATTCGTCATTGCTGCTCAAACATTGTTCGCACAGGCCACAAGAATTTGCCTGATATCCCCACCCGACTCGGTCGCCTAGTTTAAGAGTCTTTACGTCCGGACCAATTTGTTGAACAACACCCGCTCCTTCATGTCCAAGGACCATATCAGCAGTTTTGTAGTGTAAATCCGTTCCACATAGACCAGATGCTGTAATTTTGACCAGTACTTGATCGCCAGTCAATTCGGGCTTAGTTGTGTTCGCCTCTTGAATTCCGTCTGAGGCTGAGCCCTTGTAAACTTTGAACGAAGGCATGTTCAATAGGTTTCGCCGGAAGTAGAAAAAGATGCCGTCTAGATGAGATATATAAGAAGAATTAATATCCTGGAGGTTTCAGAGTAGCTCAGGGGAAGCTGACTGTTATACAATGTCTTTTCTTGCCCAGATAACTGCATTCCGTTACGGCAGTATTGTTTATATATTAAGACGATATTGTCACTGCTACTAGTGTTGGAGATGATCCGAATTGGGGATTTCCCAGAATGGAATATTCCCAAGCGAGCTTAGCAAATGAACGCTCCTTATGAACGTTAGTGCCCGATGAATTATTCAGCTCCGTCGACTAATGAGAAGACCAAGCTTCCACAAGTAGTTTCAGCGCACCACAAATTATTAACTGCTGTGCCGTAAGTATTGCTTATGTGCGTCATTGATACCACTCTAGAAGCAATGTCTAGTCTGACAATGATGCTATGTCATCTAGCCATGCATGACAGACGCCCGATTCCAGTGTAAATAGAAGCTGAAAGACTTTCCCATCTCTTTGGCCGCTGTTAAGGAGGCAGGTTGGAGGTTACTCTAGCGGACGCCACCACACACTGCCGGCCCTCCTGATTGTCTTTCAGAAGTTAGTCCAATAACCTCTCCTGCTGTATCAGTACTATGAACCCATTATTGTTCAAAGTCCTACACAGTTGACCATCATATAGTCAGCCCAGCCGGGAACTAGAGATCAGTGATTACTCTGATGTTATCGGATACAGTGCGTGTGACTTCTTCACGCATTATGTTGCTGAGGTAGGCAATCTTTCGGTAGACGTTCTTTTATCATCCAACTTTCAGCCACCGAGTGAGAGTAGCCCTACCCACATGAAAACGTATGCAAGTGAAGTATGTAAATGGCTACCAAGGCAATTCTCATTTGTTTGTAATAAATTTGTATTTTGTATCTAAGCAAATATTTCATAGAGCAATAGAGTGAAAATTGCTTATAGACCAGCCTTTCAAGCGAATTGAACAATTATCCCAGATACATCTCTCAATATCTATTGAAACTAGATATGTAGTGCCAATTCTCGTCTCCTCGACGTAGTAAGCCAACTAGATAAGACTATCCACTATTCATCGTGTACAATATCGGACAAAGAGTGCGCTCAAATCATCACAGTACAACTTTTTTACCCCCCCAAGAACGCCAAATCCGTACTTATCCTGTAAGCAATTATGCTCCAACGACAACAATTTCTCCAAAGAGACGCTCTCGTTTCATGATTAGCGCTGCCAGTAGTATGACACCACCTCCTACTGGCAGCAAGATCAGAGCCTGTTGAATGGCCTGAGTGATTGCGTGAACAGCTTGGTTACGCAGCTCGCCGCTGAGCTGCTGAAACAATGTGCTCTGCGCGCCGGACACCGCATCAACTATTTCTTTATGCGAAAAACTCGTGCCGTCCAGGACCTTTTCCAGATTTCTGACAGCCACGGATTGAAATATTTGGCCGGCAATAACGAGCGAGATAAGATTCGAACCAATTTGTGAAAAATTTTGCAGACTGATAGCGTCTCCAATATCCTTCGGGTCCACAACAAGGGATGCAACGGCATAGCCAATCTGAAGAGTGAGACCAGTACCGACAGCATTAATCACCGACAGGCCATAAATGACAGATATAGAAGTCGATGGCTTCAGGTAAGCAACCATAAATGAGCCACCAATCGTCAAGAAGACTCCCGAAATGACATATATGGGCATATATCGTTTCACCTTGGATAGTAGACGGCCGGCTGCGAGGTTGAATGTCACCGTGATGATGACATATGGTAATAGGCGGACGGCAGCTTCCAAGGCCGTATCGTTGTGAACAAATTGGAAGTATATAGGGAAGAAATAAAGAAAAACAAACATTGTCGCGCTATTAGCCGACATGGCCACATATAGCAACAAGTGAGTGCGGGTGAAGAGTAGCTTTATCGGGAATGAACGCGTCTCTGGGGTTGTGAATATGCAGAAACGTTGTTGTAGAGCGTAGCCAATCACCAAAACACCGAACACGACGAACATGGCGATTGTTCTTCCATCATTCCACGGCCATTGTCCACCAGCCATTGTCAGTGCTAGTGCAAATGTCGCCCATACAGCTGCTCCGAGGATGAACCCGACGAAATCAAGACGTAAAAGCCTGGTTCGGATTGAGACACCTTTGACGGGATGCAATGGTGGTAATAGGAAAAGATAGATGGGTGTTAAAGCACCACCTATCACAAGGTTGATATAGAAGGCCCAACGCCATGTCGCAGAAGACACCGAAAATGCACCACCGACGACTGGACCAAGGACTGCCCCAATGCCCCAACAAAATCCAATTAGGGTAATGTAAGTCCCACGTTCTTTAGGAGTTGTCAAAGATGAAAAATAGTTGAGGCAACCAAGATAGATACCGGTTCCGCCCATGCCAGCAATGACTCGACCGATTATCATGGCGTTCATATTCGGAGCCGCACCGCAGAGAACAGAACCAACTTCGAAGATGATCACCGTGACAATGAACGTCCATTTTAGATTGAAGTTGGTAAAGGCAGCCGTGAGCGGTACGATAACTGCAACGGATCCAAGTGGAAAGCCAGCCCCGATCCAAGCGAGCTGTTCTATGTGGCCGAGTGCTTCAACTACGGACCCCTGAACATCTGCTGCAATCGTTGTATCAAGGCCATAGAGGAAACAGGTGATGTATAGCGAGACGCATACAAGAATCCAACGGAAGCCTTTGATCGGGCGAACATCTTCCTCAGTCTTTTCTGATATCCCCGCAACCTCTTTGTTTTCAACTCGGCTCGATGTCTTTTCGATCGGAATTGTCATTGGCTCGACAATTGTAGAGTCACTAATTGATTCTGTAGTTGACATGGTGGAGGATATGGGAAATAGGAAGCAAAGAGCCTAGCCTGGAGTTGAGCTACCAGATGATGAGGACACTGAGCTGGGATTTAGGGCTGCTACTATACTACTATACTATAGAAGATCTTTTATCAGTAGATCTGATAGATGTGCCTGTCAAGATTTGGTGGGCACCGAATTAGTAATTATCATTGCATCCTACTGATTTGAAATCCAGGAGGATCAGGTTGCTAGCACTATCTCGTATGCCGCCTGTCAACATTTTTTTACCGTTGCTAGGGGCCAGTCCTAGCGCCGGTAGATGATTGAGCGATTTGCATCCCAAAACTGATTAAGCAACAGATGGATTTGTAATTGGGGTCTCTACATATAGTATTTGGATACTGCTGTGAGCCAATAGCAATTCTTCACCTTTTTCCCTTCTTAAAAAAAGCGGTTTGTGGATATGCTTATTTGGGTGGGTCATAGATTAGCTTACTATGGTCAGTAGTCCCTCATCTGCTTAGTATTGGATCTCCCACGTTGTCAATAGGAGTTTTTAATTAGGGTTAATAAGCGGTTCGGTTGCCGAAGAGGGGAATTCCCTACAACTAACTGGAGATATGCGAACTACGTGCACTCTTCTAAATCACGGCACAAGATATGAGTCCCTCAGTGGCCGCAATCACATGCAGTATTGTCGTCTCGCCGGTAATGGTTTGTCATGAAACAGGATATTATTAAGTCTAAACACGAATAGCAGATAAAAAATACTACCAATAATTGCCTTGTATACCAATCATTCCTACTCCGAAGGTTAACATCATCCTCGAAACCGATCGATTGCGCTGATTGGGCCGCCAAATGCCACATCACATTAGCATCAAAGACAAATTAGGGATTCTTTGGCACAAGCAAAGCACTTTATGTATTTCATATGATTGGGGTATATAGTCCTACGATATAGATTATTGCACCTAGGCGTTTACAAATTACCAGTCCTCTCCAGGCAGAGCAATCATGGTGCCCTTCTTCGTTCCATCCACACCTCCCAATGTCAAAGCAGCATTGACGACACCTGCAAGACCCTCTCCGGCGACGAGGCCAGCAGCAACGGAAAATGCGTAAGTGTCAAAGTTCTTTGCGTAGTACTTCCTCCACCACCAAGCCGTGATACTACCGAACAAAATAGCACTGCGGACGAGTTAGCACGAATCTCCATATAATGATCACATTGGACAACATACTTAGCATATCCACTGTCGACACCCAAGACCCAGGCAACACCGATTGACATCCAGTTGGGGAGGTAATCGCGATATTTCTCACGCGAACCGACCAAGTAGAAGTTCTTGACGAGTGCCTGGATAGCGCAAACAACACCGCAAACAATGGCGAAAATTCCCGAAGACAATGGGATAGGGAGCTTGGGAAGGGTCACAGCCTGGGCAACTGCCTGCCAAGCAACGACTGAGGGTGCAGAAAATGGGCACTCCTCAATAGTCTGGTCGCGGATGCAAGGGTAGGCGGCCATGAAAAGAACAAAGATACCGGGGGCGAGGAAGATAGAGACCAAGGCACCGGTAGCCTGAGCGTAGAACTGCAGCTTGGGGGGAGTTCGGAGAAGGAAACCGACACGGAAATCGCTGACCAAGTTGGTGGCGACGTCGGCAGTACCAGACGCAATGTTACCAGCAATCAGGTTGATACGCTGAGCATCTTGAATGGAATAGTGGCCCTTGGTGATACCACCGTAAACCAGCTGCGAAGCCTTGGAAGAGGCAGTAAGGGGCGCGGTATCGGTGACGGCTCCTCCGTAGATACTGAGGAAAGCGAAAATGAGACCCAGGATACAGGCAAGAATAGCCAAGCCAGCATTCATGTGGAATTGAACGTGGCAAACAATGCAAGCAACAACGACAAAGACAAGTGTTCCAGTCAACCACACCCAGACAGGAACTTGATCCTCTGGAGGGGCAAAGTCTTCCATCAGAGACGACTCTTGATCGGCCTTTGCCGCCTGCTTCTCCAAGAAAGTGTTATTCTTGCCGCGAGATTGTAGCACGCCGTTGACGGAGCCGGCCAAGCTACGAACACCATATTTCAGGCCGTCCCAAACGACACGGATGTGGATGAGGAACTCAACCAGACTGTAAACGATAAGAACCATGACACCGGGCCACAGCATCCAGTATCGGGGAGAGGCAACCCATCCAGGAGCACCAATGCCACTCATGCTTCCGAAGCTGACGAGGCCTTCCCACTTGCCTTCACCGTAGGGCTTGCCGACACACTCGCCATAGTGGACGAGAAGAGGTCCAATCAGACCCCAGGCAAGAACAGTTCCTACCCACCAAGAGACGGCAGCGTTGAGACCGACAAGAATACCGGAGCCGAAGAAAGCGGGTGTCAGCTGAATGTACCAGCCCCAGTTCTCGATGTTGAGTGCGCCGTTCTTGTATCCACTCCAGATGTAGAACCAAGTGAAGATGTGCCAGTTGTGCAAGATGCCATCAGCATATTGAGACACAACGATATGGGTAAAGGCACCCAAAAAGGCGTATCCCAGAGCCTTGACCTTGCGCATGGCATCACTTGCACCGCTGCCGACGGCATGCATCGATCGGACTATGAAAGAGTCAGTGTCTGCTATAATACGTACTCTATTATGTTTTGCTCCTAGGAGAAGACTCACTGGCAAGGGCTATAGAATAAAAGAGTCAGTTTCTGTTCCAGTAGATGCTTAAGATATTTTCTTTCAAGAAAACTCACCAGTAGCAGTAGGCGATGGGAAGACCAAGTTCAGTTCACGGGCCACGTTGATAATAAAGAACTTTCGGAGTGGCACCGCAGCAAAGAGGCCAAAGAAGGCACACACGAGAGTGATGGTGAGAATACGGCCGAAGTCATCCTTGGGGTTCTCCGACAGCAAGCTGAGACGGTACATAGCAGGCAGACCAGCCACGAAAAGACCAGCCATACCACCGGCACCTGTTGCAGAAGCCTGAACAATGGAGTTTTCTTGAGGGCCGAATCGAGTTCCAATACCGGGGATACCGGGGAAGATCTTGGTAAGGAAGAGGATAAAACCTGTGAATGATCCGTCAGGTTATGCAATCCTGGAGGATGTTGTTGAATGATTGAGACGTACCATATCCGAAAATTGCACCAAACATGGTTGCTGGAAATGTGAAACCAGTCTTGAGACCTGTTGCAAATATTGTTAGACAGGATGTCACATTAGAAAGTGTCAATCTCCAGCAGCATAAAGCCCGAAGAAATCTATAATGTGAAGACTATTTGCTTACCCAGATAGACGTTGGAAGCGTTGACCAGAGAGCCAAGAACGATTCCGGTGAGCACCGCTCGAACTGTCAGGGGGTTGGGCTCAGGCTCGACGCCCTTGATCGCAGGGAAGCTGGTGAAGAGGTCGGTGATGGCCTCATCTTCTTCATCCTCTCCGTCTGATTTTAGGTTGACCTCGACGGACACTCGCTTCTCCTGAACACCACCGTCGCCCACGTATTCAGGCTCTACTGTAGTAGGGACACCCATGGTGACAACCTTTCCGGGTTTCCTTGCTGCCGCGTTGTAACACAAAGCAACACTGACCGAGTGTCTTGCCGGCGTCAGTGAAACACTTTTGTGGCAATAGCTGATAAGTCTTTAAGAAGAAGAACGGATCGCAGGGGCACCTTGGTATTTAACACGGAGTCCCCAATGAGAGCCATGGTTGTAACCACCTCATGCCAAGGCGCTGAGATTGTGTCCCCAGAGCCCTCAACCCGGCGTATGACAGATCTCAGATGCACGGGGACCGAAAAACGAACCAACTATCGCCTCTTTTGGGAGGCACCTTTGTCTACTGTTGCAGTTGTTGGTCATCGTGGATAGGAACTTTTTCTGGCCCTGTTGCCACAATATTGGACGAAAGCGGGACGATCCCCGTTGCCAACAATAAGACTAGCCAATAAAGAGCTTCCTCCCTCTTTCCTGCTAGCGGGCGTATCAGAATTGCCAAGCGTTCTCTATTGGAAAGCAATCCGGGCAGATACCTTGCTCTACACGGCAGCGGAGGCGGCCAAGGCCTCAAGGTATGCCGGTGATCTTCACATGGGCTTCCAAGCACATAAGTTCCTTTAGAAGCACCAAACAGAAACGCCCATCATGAGATCTAATGTGGCGCGTGTGCAATCTAATGGTAATGCCCTAGGCGGCGGCAAAAGAGCCATCTCTCTCTGCATTTCGCCCGTCTGGGAAATGGCCGGGACTTGCAAGTTTAGTTAACCCTAGCCTAATAGTGCGTAAAGAAGTTCCAAACACTGTTCGCAACAGGGATTACCCGCAACGGAGCAGGGATTGGGAGTCATGTCTTCAGCAGGATGCCGACATCGTTACTCGTTCGCCTTCCCTTTTTACCAAGTGGCGGCAAATCGTACGAAGACTGGTGGACAAATGTGGCCAACTCGTAGCGTCCATTTGAACTCATTCTCACTCGGAGCGGCACTCGGCGCTGTGCTAATTGGCAGCGAGCGGGACATCGACTGTTACATGGACAGGCGGAAGTCTCTTAGGTGTAGATGGTATTGGAGTGAGAGTGCTGACTCGGAGTGTTCCTCATACTCCATGTGGTCTCTGCAGGTTGTGTGGTAAGGTCAGATTGTGTGGTTTCATCGCGCTGCTCCTCGGACCTTTTAGACGCATCGCGAAGACACACGGCAGCAACCGCGTAATACAATGGAGCAGTTTTCGGACCCCGACAGCCGGAGCTGGTGTGTGGGTGCACAGAGGGCATCGATAGCTTCAGCCATATGTTTGACTGTTTTGTTGATACGGACGATCACCACAAAGATTCATCCTCTGGATATCTTCTTGACCACATGGCTAGTTTGTGTTGTGCATTGTCTTCGTCGCCGAGATGCGGCCACGCGAGACCGTTGTCACACAGTATGAGAAACAAGGTCCCAATTTACCTTTGTTAAGTTACAGGTCCTTAAAGCAAATAAGGATTATTCAACTAAGCTTAAATTAGAAAGGCACCCGGCTCTTGAGCCCTTATCCAGCGCCACACCGCTAAGGAACCTTTGGATCTCTTGGCTGACTACTGGCATTTCTGGGGCATTGATAGGGTGACCTAGGCTGGGAACCTTTGTAAACGAAACAATACGAGCGAGTGCTAAGCCCGTACGCTGTGGATGCTGACACCAGAAGCGGCAAACCGACATTACTCGAACAAGAGCACTGAGTAGCGGCATCTTCCCCGCGGCTGAATTACGGAGCTTGCAGTTTAACGTAAGGGCATTACACGATGTTCCGTGTTTCATGACGAGAAGAGAAAGGTGAGCAAGTCGAGAGCTGAACTCAGATCGTTACTTGTTACGTAAATAAGCTTCTCCAGAGTTAACGGACCGCATTAACGCGGGTAGAGCGTATTCCGGGAGAGTTGCCGTGATCAAGGAGTTTGCGTTGCCACCAACGACCAGCCCAACCATAACAACTTGTTCTTGGCAGCTGCAACAGGATATTGCTTTGCATCGCTGCCCAGATGCGCCAAGACTAGCTTGAAGTGATGTGTATGGAGAGCTACCAAGCTACGTACCATACGGCGTTTATTACCCCGTTGCTCGTACTTGGTTGCCTCCATTTCTCTTTTCCACTGTGGAGCTCACTAGGGTAATATCATCGCCTTGGGTATCAATCGCGCGAGGCCTTCACGACGGATGGTTTGATAATGGTGTTTAATATCTCTTATCCAGCAGAGAAAATACGAACACTGACACGTCGAAATTAAATTGAAAGCTCCATGCGAGTAACTTTCAGATAACTGCTCAGATAAATGGTTCGTGGTGCCACTGAGAGGTAAGCTGGGCCAATTGAGGGCCCTGCTCCCTCCCCAAGTCATGCGTTCAGGTATCCATCTAAGGGGTATTACCGCTGGAACTTTTGCTATTAGACAGTGATCACCAGTTCACCCAGCGGGAGGAAGTAGCCAGCAGTATGCATGTGATTACTGGTATCCTTCGCAATACTTCTGCAGTAGAGAGTAACAACACTGTCTTTATAAGTCATTCATCAAATAGGCTGTTGATTTACCTTTTTGTTTTCCGAGGCAGAATTGCCCTTAAGCTCCGTCGGGGATATGCGAGTTAGTCACGGGCTCTCTACAGAGCTGAGGATGGCTCAGATTCCCTCCAATATACGGAGTACTAACTATCAATAGCATTCTTTCATGACTCAGCAAACTAGAAAAAGTGATCCATTGTATTACATCGAAGTATTTAGAAGTTGGACGTTATCAAGTGAGACATCATCGGAGAACAATCCATTGTTAGTGTAAAGGCTACATTAGACATCTGGTGAGCAACGTATACGAGATATTTTCCATCGTGAAAACAGTCACAGCAGTCCATATAGGGTAGAATTTCCCGAATAAGTAAATCTTGACCTGGGTTTCCAAGCTTCTTTAGTTGCCAACTAAGCTGTCTTGTAATCTGACCCACGCCGTATTACTCGGGTACCTCTTCCCGCGGATACTTTCCATAATCACCATAGCCTCCCTTCGGTGGTGGGTATGTCTTATAATCCCCGTATCCTCCCTTTGGCGGCGTCGGAGGTTTGTATTTTCCGTAATCACCGTACTTTCCATATCCTCCGTAGTCTCCATAATCGCCGTAGCCGCCCGGATCAGCTTTTGGAGCAGCCTCGGCGACAGGGCTGGCGAGGGCGAACGAGGCCGCGACGAGTAGAGTGGCCCAGATAGCTTTCATGTTGATGGCTTATAACGGTGACTTGGTTTGGTGTGGATGTGAGTCCGAATAGACTGAAGTGACTTTTGATATTACACTTGTTAATGAAAGATCAAGTGATTGCAGGTTCAACCCGGCTTTACTTTTGACGCGGAGGTGATCGTCTTTAAGTACCTATATGATATACCTCATTCAGCTTAATACTCATCTTAATACTCAGCCCTATTCATATCATCATTATTTTAGTCATACGTTGGCATTGGAATGATCTATTGCAGATCCCGGGGAAACTTTCCGGCACGCCTGAGAGCCGAAGAATATCGCATATCATTATTCGCCTCAACGATGAATACGAAACCTTGAAGAATAGCTTCACGATAGTTGCGTGTGGTTTTCTACTAGTCAATATGCCAAACAACAGCTGGAGGAGCGCCACCATTCCATGATTGATCGAGGCTGGCTGATGGTGGGGAAATGCACATGGATGATCCCGCCTCGTGGTTTTCAGCTGCCTCCAGATGCGGCGCAATCACGATATTGATGGAGTCAAGATTTACAGGGTATCCGTGTCAGCTCGATGCTAGAGGCTTTGATCTAGTGTCGGCTAGATCCTAATGCGACTTCAAGTGACGATAATTTTCGTCATGGTGTAGTATTATCACAATTGATTATTGGAATGTGGATGAACTTTAAGTAACCGACGGAAAGACCGTGCCGCCCAAGAGCGCCTCGAAATCGCCCGGCAAAACTGGCATTGAGATTTTTATTGCTTCCCATCTCATGACAATCATTTCTTGATTCAGATTCACTGGATTGGTGATCCAAAGTAAACTTTTAAGAGAAGATCACCGGTTATAAAACGATTCGATTGAGTTTGCAAGCGGAACGCTAGAATTATATAAAGCGGCTTAGTTAAGAATATAGGCTTCGCGCTTGCATCGACGTCATTTGGCTTGAGATGGCAGAATTTTTTTCCGACATAATGAGCTAGCGGAGCGAATTGAGAAATACGAGTTTCGCTGCTGATACCAGGATATCAGCTTCATCTTTGACATCATTTGACTTGACGACATCTTCACAATGGCCAAAGATCATCTACGCCGGCTCCTTTCCAATGCCTCGGACGAGTCAGATGAGGAAGGCAGCTTACCTCGACACGTGAACAAAGAAGAATCAAGGAAGAAATACCTTGTTTCGAAATCTTTTCTCAAGTCCTGCTGCTTTTTTTTACTATTCTTAATAGCCTGTGTTCTGTCTTTCTGGGCTGGGACACGTGTGGTTCATGAGGAATCAAATACAGATGAATTATGCGCAAAACACACGACTCAGTGGTGTAAGTAGTATAATCCCCCGCTTCCATACAGGACATAATTTGACATATCCAAGCTCCTCTCATCAGAGATGTACCAGTTCATTACAGCTTCAAAGAATTCAATGGCTCTTTCATGAATGAAGACATTTATCGAAAAGTTGGATCACCAGAGGTTGATAAAGCCTGGGAAGATCTTGGGTCTGACTGTAACTATATCTATTAGAATTTGATCTTAAGAAGAGATTCTAACTGTCTATAGACCGAGCTGGTATTATTTCATACAAAGATGGTCTAGCTAGTGGGTTGGATCCATCATTTGTTCAGCGAGCCGAAAAGTACGGCGGAGGCTTCATCGTTAACGTCGAAGGAATGCACCATTTGCATTGTTTGGTAAGGCTTCTTCTGATTTATAACTACAAACCATTTCTGTTTGGTCTATTAACAGGTTGCATAGAATCTAGTGCGCAAAGCACTCTACTTCAACTACGACCGATATAAAAAGTTAGGGGAGCATGCGTTTGTAAACGATGATTTTATACTACGCCTACATGTCAGTAAGTATAACCAAATAATGCAACAAGAATTCAAATCATGATCAATCAACTGACTTCCTTATAGCGCACTGTCTAGACACTATTCGTCAGGTCTTGATGTGCAACGTAGATACAGGTGTGCTCGGACAGGTGTGGGTTGACCCGAAGCAGCCAACGGCGTTTCCAGATTTCCGCACCAAACACGTTTGCAAGAATTATGACGATATACGCAATTGGGCAGAAAACCTTCAGGTGAGCACGAAGATGTAACAACTGTTGTCCAGCGATTAATGTGTATCCAGGCTCCACCTCCCGAACAGATCCCCAATGACTACTTGGCTCGCCCAAAACAAGGAGATGTCATAGAATTCACACCTTAATAGTGTAAATTGCATCATATAAAGAGGTCTCAATGGGTGTTTTAATGTATTTGATTGCTTTGGACATAATGTTAATACATCTTGGTATCCCCAATACAATAGCTCAGTTTTGTCGTGCCTTCTGTCTGTAAAAGTCCCGAGTCACAAGTCATGTGGAAGACAGATATAGTCAGCCTTATTAGATATGTTAAGTCTTTTGATCTATATATCTGTAAACACATTGCGTTTCCCGTTTCCATTAGACCCCTAATCTCGTTGAGAATTCGGCATTGAGATCAAAAACATTCATTTGCTCCGGATCGGAAGCCAACACATCCACGCCGTCCATGAAATCAAGAGTATTGCTATTCGGATGACCATCTGGGATAAAGTCGTTATTTGTTGTGTGCCAGAGGACATGCATTGCTTTAAAAGTCTCCAGCAGCTTTGGGTCATCAGCCGCAGTGCGCTCAACGCCAAGAATATCGCGCGCTTTGGCGCGTAGGTCGTCGTCCGAAGGAACATAGAGATTCTTCATGCAATCTTCAATGTAGGCATTCAAGCCGTCCTCGAGTTCGCGTGAGCAAAAAACAGAAGGAGGAAATTGGTATTCCCCCTCACAAAGGGCGCGGACATAGCGCTCAGCAGTGTCTTTGTTGACATTATAGAATCGATGATCGATAAGTACAGACGTTTCATCCGCAACTTCTATTATTTTGCCGGGCTTTGGTTTGAGATACGGTGGCGTCAATCCTGTTCCACCGTCCGTCACTCTCCATGGTCGAGGGGGTCCGTTTAATGGTAAGCCGTTCGCGTCATCAGCAGCAGTAATGCCGACATCACGCTTGAAGCGAGCCAGCCACTCAATATTATCCGCAGCAGTTTGATTCCATGGGTCGTCGTCGTCATAGATTATCCAGCGAGCTTGATACTGGATTTCTTCGTCGGTAGGAACCTGAAATGTGTCAGAATAGGTCCTGGTATTTAACTATAAGAGACCAGACGCATGGAGGGGGTCAGATACATACGTGTTGCAGTGGGTTGTTTGGGCTCAGACAGCTCGTTACAAATCGAGTGAGTTCTTTTTCCAACCTCCCATAACAGTTGGCGTCGCTCAAGAAATACCGTAATGGTTGGTGGTGCGAGGGGTGCGAGTTGGCAGAGTGCGGCGTTTCCGTAAGGCCCGGTAGATAGTCATTCGTATCCATAGGCGATGTGCAACCAATAGCTTCATCTGGGACGCCCCAGTGTAATGCTTTGGGAGACGGAGTAGCACCAGTTTTGGTGTCTTTGGCCTGGTGGGTTGAGGTCAAGTCTCCCGACTTGTGGCTTGCTATTAGGGTATCATCAAGCGAAGCCAGGAGATCATGACGCTCTTCTGAGGCACCAAGGTCGCTCAGTTCACCCAATATGGTCTGATTGCCATCACCAGGTATGATGACATTCGATTCGAATTGCATTTCACCCCCCAGTGTTGCTGTGCCGGGAATCTGTGATGCACTGATGCCACCTAATGAGCCTTGTTGCAGCACTGAGAGATGATGCTCGCCGTTGGTTATGATGTCTTGAACACCTGGTTGCATATGTCCATATAACGTGTCGGCATTTGAGAGGAGGCCCGCACGGCGTTTGAAGGCTGAGAGCCAGTCGGTTGAAGAATTGATCAGGAATTTGAACCATTGAACAGCCTCTTTGCACTTGAAGTTGGACTTTGGTTCAACGTCATCTAGGATTTTGCATGCTTGAAACTGCAGCTCTGCATCCGTAGGTATCTGGCCTGCGGCCTGTCTGGACTTGACATATCGCAACAAAAGCTTTTCCTTTTCGTCTCCAACCGTGCTCATGTCAGTGTACGTAGACTTGGATGTCTTCATCTTCTCTATCTGTGATGTCCAACTCGTAATTCCAGATGCACGGTAGAGTTCCTCCTGTGTCATATGATTAGACGGCTTGTGGAGCATAATAATGTCGCGAAACCACGAGATGTCAGGACCTGTAAGCGAAGTATCTTCCGTGTCAACTTTCTGTACAACTCTCTGCGCTTCAATAAGTAGCTGATCATCTGTGGCCGCCATGCCCGCCACGGTCCGCTTGTTGATATAGTCAATCAACCACAGTTTGACATGATCTTCCAATGTTTTGCCGTGTCTTACTTCATCTTTGGAAGCTTCGAACGGATCAAGAGTATTTCGTTCATGATGGATGAGATCTGAGCTGCGTGTTAACCTCCTTTTTTTTCAGCGGCGTCTTGGACGAGTCAAGCAACTTACAAGGTGGCATTCCATTTTCGACAATCTTCAGTATCTCTCCCTGAAATCCCCAATCACCCTTCCAATCTGCCATGGACTTCCCCATTTTGAAATGCTGAGCAAGATGGCCAACACGTGAATCCCAAGAGTATAATATGATGCCACAAAAGCCACATCTGGATCGCACAGCTGGTGTGTCTACTTTCCAGTCACTCATTGGCCATTTTTGGAACTTGGCATCATGAACGATACTCAGATGCTGGCGCAAGTGATCTTTCCTAAAAAAGGTCTTTTCTGCGTCTGGTCTTCCATGACACACAAAGTCATTGTGCTGTTCGGCATGCTCCGGCGATGGGTTCTTCAATCCGCAGTACACACATGCCAGGCAATCCCATTCGGTGCAAAACTGAATTGGTCCGTTTGGTGAACAGACCCACTGTTCAAGAGACAAATGCAGCGATTTTTCGTGTCTTTGCCAATCGTGCTTAGTTTTAAACGTTTCGGTGCAGAATGTACACTGGTATTTATGGACGGACGGAAGTATGGTGGAAATATCGACGGCCTTGGGGATCTGGCGGCGCCGGCGCCGTCTTCCGCGGCTTTTCAACGAGTAGAGAGACTCCAAAGACTCGCGAGATTTGTGAGAAATAGCCGAGCTCTGCGACCCGTTGCCTGAATGCGATGTTTTTGAACTGCCAGCGGATGAGAGATGATCGATAGAGCCCGGCAGCCTATCATCCATATCCTTGTAATTGGCTGACGCAGCGCCAGCTCCAGCTGGGAACCCTGCAGATGAGACTGCCGAAGCGATGGCAGTGATGGAAGCAGGTTCCTGATCCGGCGGAGAATGTCTCCATCGCTCCATGGGACTCATACCCCTCGTCATTGGAGTCTTCTTTTGAGGAATGTCCATAGCGTTGTTGAGTTGGCCCGGACTTGATGAGGTAGACCGAGGAGCTCGTACTTTTCCTCGGCGGCGAGCGTTGGCGACCCAAGTACTGATTTGCGTTTTGTTCAAGCCTGTCTGACGAGCAAGATTTTCTTTTTCTTCATTATTGGGATAAGGGTGACGATGGTTGGATAAAAGCCAGTTCCTCAGAATCCGAAGTGCCTCTCGAGAAAATCTGGCACCAATCTTGGGGGTGGCATCCAACCCCCCAGTCGAGTCGTCGCCCAACGAATCATTGCCTGTGAAACTGGACTCTGATCTGCTATAAGAGCTCTCTGAGAGCTGCTGCAACTGATCCTGATGCCCATTGCCAGCAGCCCCAAAGTCGGCAAAGGACTCCAAGGGTTCCAATGCATTCATGGGTGCTCCCATGTTAGACGGCAAAGTACAATTTCTTTTTGCCTCAATACAAGGCTTGCAGCCACCCAGATTGATAGTCTCTGGAGTCACCTGACAATGAATATGCTCCTTGACGCAATATTCACATGACTCGTTTGGGACAGCGGCGTCCGTGTCCTCCATGCCACCAGAGAAATCTATAAAGTCATCAGGGTTCATCATTGCCATTTTGCAGGCCGCTTGAACGGGTATTGTTAAGTCGAGCTATGAACTCTTAGCCTTGGCAGCTTCCGTGTTTGTGAGTAATCAATCGCAGGGCGTGGTTATGTCGTGATTCAGATGATCCTTTGGAGTTGGATCGCATCGCATTCTTAGGAGCGCAGTGTTACTAATCTTGGTCAATTGTAGGGCGTGATGGCAACGCTTCCCATTGGACGCAGCCGACTGGGCTGAATTACCCCGCCAAGATTCAGCTGGACTACTGTTAGCGTCTGAAAGGCGAGAGTCATCGAACTCAATTAAATATCAGCTCTGTTACCCTAAACTTTCGAAACGCTTGAGGGAGTCATCAGCTTTCTCATAACAACTCTGGAACAAATAGAGATTTGCGACTGATCATATAAGCAAGTGAAGGCTTGGTTTCAAAATCTGACACTATCTACATACTATTACGGAGTAGATTTCCTCCCGACTATGGTAGATAACAAGAAGCTTGTGATGAACCGAGGCAATTGAGCAAAACTCGTTGTCTAGCCTCCGTCACAGAACAAAACAATTTGTTCATTTGTAAGCGAATTGTTTTGTACTACCCGGCGATGAAGATTTTACTGCGCTCATGCAAGAGCTCAAAGCAACAAAAGACACAGTAATGTAATATCCTGAACTGATTTAGTAAACAACTTGACTACTTACATGTAGTTTGCTACCCACTGAAATTTGTATATACTATCGGCGGGCTGTACCTTGCACGCAAAGGCTTTATACACAAAGGTACAATTTCTTGACCGCGTCAAGACATTTCTCTGGCGTATTGTCATAGCCATCAGATTTTATCCATCAGACTTTAATTCGCAATAGATTTCTACACGTAGCCCATCTTCTCTCCACCTTTTGTATTGAGCCTTGAATCGAGATGTCGAAGGGATGTGAAATATTTCAAACCAAGCAGTTCTAGACAAGTGAGACATGCGTTGTGGATACTTTGTATCCGTAAGCTAGGCGTAGATTTACTCGTTTCTTAAAAGAGAAATAATAGACGATCGCGCACAGCAAGTGGGTGATGTCTCAAGATGTTACACCTACGGGTACATGACACATGGAGAATGGGCTCGAAAGTGATTTGTTGGTTACTAAATCTAAATGAATCTGGGCATACATTATCATGCCATAATTGTCCGCCCTCTCCAGCGGTAAGTAGTAAAAAATAGAATGCAACAGGCGGTCGATATAGACCATATGCGGAATCTGATATGCCCACATAGACAAGTGAGGGGGGAAGCTCACCGTAAAAGCCAGTGGCAAAATGTTGAATATAGGACTGGGGTTGAAAAGAACCAGCCTCAATTGCGGTTGACGTTGATTACCAGCCTCAATGGCGGTTGACGTTAATTACCACCCTCAATGGCGGTTAACGTTGATTAAGCTAAGAAATTCATTTCGCGTCTTTTCCCTGCGCTCAAAGCAGCCAAGCATGCAACTCGTGATGGTGGTGCTATTCGTCTTCTGCACGCCGCGCATGACCATGCATAGATGGCTAGACTCTATGACCACGGCCACTCCCTGGGGTGCGAGGACGTCGAAGACGGCATTGGCAATATCTTTGGTGAGGCGTTCTTGGATTTGTAGCCGGCGCGAAAACATGTCGGCAATGCGAGGCAGCTTGGAGATGCCAATGACGTTGTTGTTGGGGATGTAGCCAATATGGACCTTGCCGGTAAAGGGCACCAGGTGGTGTTCGCAGAGCGAGAACACATCAATGTTCTTCACCACCACCATCTCTGAGTGGCCTTCCTGGAAGATGGCGCCGTTGACAATGTCAAATACGTTTTGCTCATAGCCTTGTGTAAAGAACATCATGGCTTTGGCATATCGTTCGGGTGTGGCTAAGAGGCCTTCTCGGTTCGGGTCTTCTCCAACGCACTCGAGTAGAGTCTTGACAGCGCCCTTCATGCGGTCGAGTCGGGCAGCCTTTTCCTCCTCTGTTTCTTCTAACCGCTGGCGCGTGCCTACGCTGGGTCGGCTGAGGCCATCGAAATCAATGGCAGGGCTGTCCTGCCTTGATACGGCATTGCTAGAATCTCGTTCTTTCTCTCGTTCCTCGCGGCGCTTCCGCTTCTTGTGCTTGAATACGGGCTCGTCGCGCTGATCCCGCCCAGGCTTGCTTATGCTCGAGCGTCGCACGACATGGCTCTTGGCTCCGTTTGGAAGCCCTGTGCTCTCGCTGTATCCGCGCTTCTTGCTGCTGGAACCGTCGTTGTTTTTGCGTTTCTTTTCGCTGGCAGACGAGCCGGGCGAATCTCGGCCTTCGGTCGGCGATGGAGGGGCCATTGGCGCACGCTGGCGGGCTTCGCAGCAGCAAAGCCTCGATCTTTGGATGGAATGGCCTTTGCTGGACCTTGCGACGACAATCGAGGCGATGTGTTGTGGTGACGACGCAAGTGAGGCCGAGGTGGAAAAAAGTGAGAAGCCCAGGATGTGTCAGACCAGACGCTGCACGGCCGGTCTTTTTAAAGATCCGCCGTTGGTCTGTCCTACAGGCCCGAGTAGAGCGCCTCTAAAAAAAAAAAAAAAAGCCACCGAAGCGCGCGAAAAGTCGGAGCAGTCAGTCATACCTGCGGATTACATTGCAGTTGTGCGACAGAAGATCTCTTCGGCTGCAATTCGCGTTTGGAAACAATTCTACGGAATCTTTACTATATTTATTACGCCGGTAGTAACCAATGCACAGCCCAGTGATGCAGAAAATGCGGCCTGCCGTTGAGGAGACCCGAGACCGCTGCTGCACGCCCACTAACTGAAACTCTTGAGCAGCCAATTGCATTTACCAATTGGAGTCATCACATGCAGCCTAATGCCATGCAACTGCGGAGCGTTATCGGTGAATAATATCGGGGGACACACAAGTACCGAATCACAAAGCCAATGATTTCTTTGTTGGTACTTCTAAAAGAAAACAAATGCATTATCCTCCCGATACACGGGTTCCTACTTGCTTCAGGTATAGTACCTTCAGACTAACAGAAAATTTCTCTGTGTTTGTGCTCCCCAGGTAGCGTCTGACATCGGGTTTGGAGCTCAGCAATAGCACCAACGAAGAAATACAAAGAGGACATGCTTCGCCAATCAAAATAGAACAATTAGACGCCTCTTTCATGGAAAGAATGGATCTAGTTGTGCAATCTTTCAGGCTGCTGCTGCTGCTACAGAATACGGAGGTCATGCACGGTCAAAATACTGCCTCTTCGCTTCCCAATAGCCACTGCAATTGTTGATAGCATTACGGAGGAATACGTACGGGTACATCCTTCACATCCCCGCCACGATCCTTGCATGTGTCACAAGCCCCCGAATGGAAGCAGCCGAATGAAACAAAAACGACCCAGTCTAGCCGCTCTGTGTACCCACAAGCAACTAACTGGAAATTTAGCACTGGAACTACGGCTCAGTCCTCTAACCTTTGAACTCTGAACGAGGCGGATAGCAAACAAAATATGTTGAGTCAGTGAAAGTGCCCTAGGTTAGTATATCCTAGCAGGAAGAAGCACGAAACTTTTTCATGTTGGTTGGCCGTGAAGGCTTACCTATAGACGATCGATAAGCCACAGAGTCACAAGCTGTCCCGATGTCGCCCTTTCCTGAATGAAATTGGCCGGCTGTAACCCGATATAGTAGGAAAGGAAGAGATTCATTTCCATGAGCCATGGATTCGATTCTTTCTTTCTCTGTATACTTTTCTACGCCGGCATTCTTGATAATTGTTTTGACATGGAGTATATGTATGTACAAAGACGAATGGAGAGGCACCTACTATTATAGCAAAACATCCGGTCGGCATGTATCCAGCTAGCAGTACATTCCTACGGGGCAGCTTATGCTGTCACGGAAAGCAATGACATACGAGCGATATGCTTCTCTCACCTGCGACTAACGGTTGTCATTTTCTATCTGCTTATGCGTTTTCTATGCCAAGTGTGGCGCGAATTTCATGACCTGCAGATGCGATTCTGTCAAACACAGCCCGAAGTCAGGTGACGCTGCCAAGCCGTATTGCGAAGCTGTCATAATTGCACATACGTCACCAAAGTGGAATCCATAGTGATGAAAGCTTCAACTCAGATCTCTAAAGCCGCGACATACCATCTACTATCTCCAAATACCACAGTCATATCCCCCTTACAATTAGCACAAAATGCCTTGGAAAGATCAGCTCAATAAATTTAAACAAGAACTGAACCATTTAGTCGCCGAACCGAAAGCGGCATCACAGCCACCACCTGTACCGCCTCATCCGCCATCTGGGCCGCCCTTCCGTGGTGAGGTTTATTGGAAGCCGCAGTTTTATCCCAATGTTCCCGTCAATCACGAGTGGGATGCAAAGCTAGGCAATGGGCCGGATGGATGGGGAAACCACGAGCTGCAGTTTTACACTGCCGAGCCGCAGAATTCCTTCCAGTAGGTCATAGCCACAGGTTACACTCGAAAGGACGACGACTGTAGAAGGGTCCATGGTTCTAATATCATTTGCAGCACTCCCGAAGGCATGCTGGTCCTCCGGGCCCTTGCAAACAACTCTGCGCCTTCACCAGAGCAGCGCTATACATCAGCGCGCCTTGTCAGCAAGCAGACTTTGGCCCGCGACAAAGGTGTTCTATCAGCCACTATTTTATCTCCTTGCGCTGAAGGCATTTGGCCCGCCTTCTGGCTTCTGCCTAAAGAGCCTTTCTCTTGGCCGACTGACGGTGAGATTGACATTGCCGAAACGTGGAACGGAGATCATGAGAATCGGACTTGTCTTCATTGGGGACATCACCATGAACCACAGAAACATCGAGTTTTGGGCTCTCGCATTCCTGACATGCACTGCCGTCCTGTACGATATGATTTTGCGTGGGAGCAACCAAACGGCGTGCCCGGCCAAGGAAGGATGATCTGGTACATCGATGGCAGACCGGTAATGAAGGGTGAGGTTCCAAGCGGTACTCGTCCTCTTCGAGACATGACCATTTTGCTAAACGTGGCCATCGGCGGAAACGTGTGTGGTGGCAAAACACCTCGGGATGGATACTATGATATGGTTGTTTACAGTCTCTCCATGGCGAGTGAGCTAGAATACGGGGGATGGGGCAGGTTTGAGCAAGACTGGCATCATCCCTCTGTGCCATTGGGAAACACATACTAGAGGCTTTCAACATCGAGGCCTTTTTGAGAATTTCTTTCGCTTAGCAGGGCTTTTCTAACCATCGCATATAATCACATGAATGAGGGTCAAGTAGATGCTGATTTAACTTCAATTGTCAAGTGCTATATACAGGGCTATATACAGTATTCTATGACTGTATACATTTGTTTCAAGTGAGAGATACATCAGAATTGAGACAGTTTCATCTGTCATACACCGACAAGGCCAAATTAAGACTGGCTGGCAATGTTGGCAATCAGGGTTTGCCAAGATCCACCGTATCCGTCAGTGCCACCGTTGCCGAACTCTGCGCCGTTGGGCAGTCTCATGGTCTCTGCGACGTTGGGTCCAGCGGTAAAGCCGAAAAGCTTAGAGTTGGACACAGCAGTCTGGATGTAGTTCATGATGCCTTGGTTGACCTTGGTCAAGCTGTTGAAGTTCCAGCTACCAGCAGCATAGTGGAAGATGTTGCTGTTGCTACCAGTGTAGTACTGAGCAAGACCCATGCGGCAGACAGTGTCACCGCCACTGCACCAGGAGAAGTTGGGGTCAGAGGCAATGGCGTTGAAGGGCTGGCCGACAAGATCAGCGCCGTTGTTGCCCTGGTTGTAGTTGGTCTCAGACTGGAAGAGGGTGACGAGGACGTTGGCGGCGTTGTGGAAAGACAGCTGGAAGAGCCAGTTGTGCTCGGATCCGAGACCAGTCAACCAGGTACCGGCAGTAGCCTCGACGAGGACACCACCCTTGACGGCGCTTCGGGTGCCCTTGCCGCTCTGGTCAGAGGCGTGGTCAGCAACCCAAGACCAGAAGTTGTCGATGTAGGCGGAAGAACCAGCAGCAAGGTGGAGACCCAGGTAGGCAGCCTTGCAGTTGTCCTCGTTTTGGCAGTTGATGGACGTGTCACGGGTGCCACCAATGGTGTTGAGAGAGTTGAAAACAGCGACATCACCGGGGTTGTTGCCGGCCATGTTGATTCTGAGCAGAATGGCACCGGCGAGGGGCTCGTTGACGGTGAATCGGATGTCCTGGATGTGAGCGACACCCTTCTGGCCGGGGGTGCTACCGATCTGAACAACAGGGGTAGGGTTGGTCTCGGAAGAAAAGGCACTGCCAGATCCGGAAATGGTGGACCAGGCCTCACCATACAGCTCAGTTCCGGAAGGGATGGTGATGGTGGACGTGACAATGTAGATACCGAAGGGCAGGTAGGCAATCTTGCCCTGGCTGGCAGCGGTGTTGAGAGCAGCCTGGAGAGAAGCAGTGTCATCGGTGAAGCCATCTCCCTGCAGGGTGTGTCCGCCGTTCTGGTTGGGGTCCTTCAGGTTGACAACGTTGGCAACAGTCTTGTCGGCATACTGGGGAGCGTTGATGACGGGGTATTTGCCGCCGGGAGCAAGCGCTGCAGGCCTGTTCACTGCTTGAGCAGTAGGGTTGGTCACATAGGTAGGGTTGGTACCACGGGTGTTGCCCCAGACGTAGGTTCCGATGCTGGTAACGCCACCGACCTTGACGGCACCGCCAACGACGACCATGTTGGAGTTGGTGGTGTCCTTGGAGATGTTCTCAATCATGAAGTTGGGGAAGCCAGGGACACTGGTGAAGAAATCACCAGAGTTCTGGCTGACACCGTCGATGACGGCGACCCAAGGGTTTCCAGAGTTGAGGACAATGCAGCGGCCGACGGTGTTGCAGGTAGGGGCGAAGATGCTGATGGTGTTGCCGCCGTCAATGTAGATACCGTTGGTGCAGTCAGTGAAGGACATGCCCTTGATCTGACCCTGTTGGTGGCCATTCCAGTGCAGACCAATGTTACCGAAGCTGAAGTGGACGTCGGAGATGGAGATGGTAGATCCTCCATTGACGAGCATACCAGTGTGAATGCCCTGGGGCATGTTAATCTTGACATTAACCAGAGCACAGTTCTGGGCAACGGCCCAGCTCAGAGCGACGAAACCGCTCTGGCTAGTGACGGCAGTGGTGTCCAGAATGACGTTCTTGACTGTAGAAACCGTAGTGTTAATACTTTGAACTATTCTTTGCAATGCAGCGCGTACGTACTCATGACCGAGAAGTGGGTTTCACCACCAGAGCCACCACAAGGGTGGTTGGAACCATCGCCCTGACCACCAACGATAAGGTAGTTGCCGTTGAAGCCAGAAGCCGCCTTGATGGTGGGAGGGTTGGCAGCATCACCGATGATGACGGTGTCAGTGTCAAGGAAGATGGTGCTTCCAATGGTGTAAGTTCCTATTATGAAGCCGTTAGAACATTGTTTCACAGCACGAGACGTCTATTCATCGACTAACCTGGAGGCAGGTAAATGACACGAGGCTCTCCAGCCAGGTAGCAGTTGTCTCTGGCACCCAGAGGTCCATCAGAAGTGATGGCACTGACGAAGCCGTTAGCATCGCCAGAGTTCACCGTCTTGTAGACGGGGTAGTTAAAGTCCTGAGCTCCATTGCTGGAAAACAGGTTGGGGACATAGCCTCTGACGGCTCCCGTGGTGTGGTCAATGTTTGGCAAAAACCATGATGAGCCGCTCTGCCTCTCCTGAAGCGAGGCGGCCGGGCTTTCAGTTGGCAGAGCCCAAGAGAGGGATGACAACAGGGCCACAGAGCCCAAAAGGGAAAAGGACTTCATTTTCGACAAATGATCAAACGCCCTTCTAGAAGCTATATCTAGATTGACACTGAGCGTGAAGTCTGGTGGCTCTTGGCACCGATATAGGCAACAGATCGTCCCTTATATATTCTGTCGCGCACGAACAACCATGGCTAAAATTGCAGGACATCAACAAAGCCGCTTACCACGCTTTTCCGGCCCATATCAATCAGCAATTGGACATCTTTCCAAACTCGGTAAGCCTTGGGATCATGGTCCCCAATACAAAGCACGACCCGGCCTAGCGCTACTAAAACCTACGTATCCACGTCTGTACTGTAATGGCAGCTGTTTTGCCCGCTGGCGAGCCCGCTGAAGAAGCAGCTGACGCAAAGAAACAAAAGTAGATTCCTAAGAAAGTCAGCAGAAAAGTGGCATCGGGCCGAGCAAGCCATCCCGCCTTCCAATTTCAGCGTAGAGGGTCAAACTAAAGCCGCCAGACGGACGCGCCGCAAGCTGTATCCGGAAAACATACAGTGACGTGAATGAAGCCTCGAAACGTACGGAGCGCTGTAAGCAATATGGACACGGAAAAATGAGCACCACGTCTCGGGTATCCGGCAAGCGGTTGCATTGAGAGTTCGTACTACATGCTGCTTCAGTAGGGACAGAGCCCCGCAGGGAGCGATGGAGTCTGGTGTCTTTGGTGGGAATAATAATGGATGATGGTGAGAAGCAGCGGCCGTCAACTATGGACCTCGAAAGGGCCAAGTTTTGGCGTCTCTACAATATTATGACTCTAGTCCGACAATTGAAGCCATCACAACCTCGGGTGGTGAGAATTACCAAGGCTTCTCAGGAGATGCATACGAGTATTCAGCTGCCAAACCAGCGCCCATTCTTGTGTGAAGCAGGAGATTGATATAAGGGGTTGAGCCAGTGGAGTTTCTCCTGCGCCCCCCGCTCTAGTTTCCGAGGCTAAACGAAGCCACAAGTCAGACTAGCAGCCATCCGGGACGAGGCGACGGCAACTCTCTGCTGTTGCTGCTAGAAGCTCGTAAAGCGGTCATGATCAGCATAAAAGAATAGTAAGAAAATAGGATATCTTTGGTGGAAATAAATGATGTCTTGTGATGAACTGCTGTAGTCTTGAATTCTAAATTCCAGTGCTTATCCAGAGCTGGCAGCGGGCGCTCTCCAATTGGTTACTAGTGGTGCTGCTAAGAGGCAAGTAAAACGCCGGATGGATGGATTTGCGATCTCACCACTCCGTGTTCTATTATCGGAAACATCACGAGCTTGGGCCCCCTTTGGTTTAATTGTTGAATCATCCTACAGCCGTAGCCGATGCATTCCTCGGTATAATAGTAAGTGCCAGGTTGTATATTCTTAGAAGACGGATTGTCTCAGCCCTATTTCTTTTCTATGCTGGGAGTGAGGAATTGTTCCCACATAAAGGATCATAATTACTTGAATCGAAACCCAAACTAATAAAGTAGTGAAATAAGCATAAATCAATTTCGCCCAAGTCGCCGGAGCAGCTGAATCCATGGCACACAAAAAGAGTGTTACTGGTAAGGTAGCACCATATGTATGGTAACATTGTGTCTCCTTACAGGGCACTTAACAACAGGGCAATGTACTTATGACCATCGTACTACAGTCAATAGCCATTCTCGTCTCTACAATGACCGACTCGAATACTTCTTACTGCTCTATTGTATAATTAACATTATCTTACATTAATCAGCATATGCTATGTTTGTTACCTTCCTCGCCCTACCATTATACCCAGCGGCCAAGAACTTCTGACGTATTATAGCATGCCTTGTCTATCAAACCCTGGACTTTCCCAGGCTTCTCACTTTTCTACAGAGCGATTTCATAACTCATCAGTTATCTCTCGACTCGGAATTGTTGACATCCGCTCGTGACTTGTTCTCTTCTTTTCCTCTTGGTTTGGTCGCATTTGCCAAAAGTCCTACCCCAGCCAGAAGCACAGGTATTCGGAGCAACACTAGCTTTCTCTAGTAAAATCATTCGTAATATTTTATATGTTGCTTTCTTGTACGTTCCATACAGGGTTCACAAACTTACTCTTTTGGAAGGTCCCGAACCCCGGGCTGAGAAGCACAAGGATGGCGGACAAGCGTTGTAGTATCAAGGAAATGGACACAGGTCTCCCCGATCATGCAACTATACTTTCGGAACTGAACGTGGTTGGTTGTAAAAGAAACAGTAATCACTTTGACGGCTGCCTATTCTCTCTTCACCTCCCCAAAAAATGCAACCCCAAAGGCAGCTTTTCAATTCCTCACCGTGAGCCATCCCACTTACATGGGTTACAACGGTCTTACACCACCTTGTATGGGCGCAGGCCCGTAATCGTAGTTTGTTACCATGCATCATGTCTCGCAACTCTAGACATCTGTGTCATACGACTCCCTGCGCATTGAATAGACATATGGTAAGCATGGGCCTGGATTATTACTTCTATAATATGTTCTATGGATTGCGCATAACTCAACCAACATGACACAAACACACTGCGCGGCCATTAGTTGCAGACTACAGTCGACCCCTAATTCAGCTTACACCATCCTCCATATCTACTGCTACAACGGCAAGCCCTTGACAGCCCCCACGCGTCACTGATGGAACATAATCTAGCTTCCTCACAAAGTATGGAAACGGAGCCCTTAAAAGCGACTTTCCGCAATCAGTGACCGGTGAATGCGTACCTGTTCGAATACTACATGGCTAGGCAAAGATGGATAATGAGTGAACCCTTGTAATTTGCCTGATATGGATCGATGGAGGGGTCCATGTGGAGATGATTGTTAGTACGATTACACATATGGCAAGTCAATAAGGCGTACGGAGTACTGAGTAAATAGTGCATTTTACATTTTACAGAGCCAAGACCTGCTAAGAAGGCCGCATCCGATTTATCGCTCTTTACCCTACGAAGTTTGTCTGTGCTCCGATTTTGAACGATATTGCCAACGATAACACGATCCGCTGCCTCCCTAGATGGCGCAGTTTTAATCTGCTCGTGTAAGCATTAGCCAAAGAATGGCATCATAGTTTCAATCCCACTTGCCAATTGTGGAGGAGACAACATTTCATAGCTTCCCTTTTGAGCACCCGGGCATTGACTCCTGTTGCTGCGACGGGATTTCGGGCTTTATGGGATGACTTGAAGCAACCGGGAGTTGGGCGATAATACGAGATCTATCGTCACATCAACCCTGCAGTGATCGTCGCTCTTGGCACATCGACACGCTGAGGGCCGCTATCCCGAGAGCAACGTCTTGGCAGTGTTGCCTACGTTCCTGTACTAGGGCCCGCTGACCGCAACGGTTAGTCCATGGATTGACGTCGTATGCTGATGTTCGGTGTATTTCTAGAGTCTCCCGCTCCGATTTGACGATTTGCCGAAAGATCAGCCTTTACCAGACCGACTCACACGTGGCAGGGAACGTGTGCTGTGCAGTGCTTCAGGTACTGGCTTGGTGGTTTACCCTAGAACGCAACGGATTGTTCAAGTGTATGGCAATATCCTCGATGATATAAGATAAATAAGTAAATAAATAAACGTATAGCAATAATCACGCAAAAGAAGCCTGAATTTTCGTCTCTTTGTTCCTCCACACGGGTTTGGAAGATGGGAACTAAGCTTGACAGCCCTCCAGGTCGGCTACAATTCTAGCACAAAGCTCCCTCTCGCTCGCTTTTGCCACTTCGTCGTCGCTACTGTTAATCATCATGAGACAACTGAGAACAACATCCGCATACTTATCTCCACATGCCCATCTGAGGCGATCAAGGTACACTCGACAAATCCATCGTCTTCGCTCATAATGATCCTCTTCGTTATCATCGGGTATGATATATCCTCGAGAAATATCAATCTCTGTGAAATCACCGCGACTATAATACTATGAGTGCGTACCTTTGTAGTTCATCAACTTCTCCCACAGCCCGACTTCAAGTAGAAGAATACCGAGCGAGTATACGTCATATGCGTGGCGATAGAGGCGCTTTGGATCCGCGTGCTTCGCAGGATGTTGATAGTAGTCAAGAGTGAAGCCACTGATGTTTGTCTCTTTCGTCTGCTCCTTCACGAGTGTCTCCTCCGGCATAATATGACCTAATATGGTGTCATCTCGAAGAGTTCCGGTTCTACGTTTCGAATCTACTCTCTGATCCATCGGGTTATTCCATATGTGGGTAGTGGTTCTACGCTCCGTCTTCAGGAATCTAGTTTCAATAGGTTGTTCAATTGCTGACGAAATCGTTCGGATGATAATGTCGTCTGGCCGTGAGAAGATGTAACCCATCAGAATAGGCTTGGAGACGTCGATCTCAAAACTGTCCTCGTATCGATCTTCTTGGAGCGTATTCGAATATTCGGGGAAGAATATTACTGAGTCCGCCCGAATATTTTTGTGCAGCCAGCCACTAGAATGAAGTAGGCAAACGGCATGCACAAGCCTTCTAGCCAGCTCAAAACGCGCACCGAGTGTAGATCGGATACCTTGTTTTCGCTGGGTTCTAAGAAGAGACTCTAGCGTCACTGGTGCGCGAAGCTTCAGGTTTTCCGCAGGCCGATCGCGACTCTGAACGCCAATCGTGCCGGGGAGCCTGTAGAGAATGCTGCAATGACCGTTATGTTCACTTTCTGTGTGGTCTATCGTACCGGCGATATCTAAACCATATACGCTTTTCATATTGTTCTCACCTTGAAAGGTATTAACGAAGTTCCTGATGAGAGTGCGAAGCTTGGGATCGGCTGGTCTGACCGCCTCTATCACTTCATCACCTTCGGATTCGTCGCCGTCGTATTGTTGATGGGTTTGGTCGGTGTCAGCCCTGCCGTGATGGCTGTTCATCGTGTCATCTATTGGCAATGTTGGCAAGAAGCGCGCCCTGTTTCGACGACGCTCTAATCTCTGTTTCTGCTCTGGAGTGAGTTCTAGCGGCGGTCCGCGGTAGTCTCGCATTTCCCTGTAAACGATCTGCCCTTCAAATAGGGCAAGGCCTTTTCCCAAATACCGCATCTCGCGTTGCCCTTCGCCAATGCTGGTGAGAGTGCTGTCATCTGCGTCCACCTTGTCTCTGTTTTGATAAACCGATGCTTTCAAAGTGGCCGCCGAAGCCAGCAATTTGTAGCCTTTCCGTACTGAAGACTGTTCATCGCCCTCAGCAAGCTGAGTTGCGAGGCTTGAAGTCCACTCCAGGCCTGTTGGTGACTCCTCCCTGGCCAAACATTCCATAGTGAGATATATGTTCATTGACTCGAATGCGTTTTCGGGGCAAAGGCGATAGAGCGAATCGCTGTGAGATCTCAAGTCGGCAATAAGTTTCTTGAAGTTGTCCTTGTCTTTCAAAGACCATTTAAATTTATTGAGCAGAGAGAGACGACTCCTGACTTCACTGATCACAGGCTTGGCATCCTCAGTTGTAGTGCCCGAGATGACCAATTGGACGTTATTCATCACCTGTGACCCATCCTGGACGACCTGGGCTGACTGAAGCCGGATACCATACCGCTTGGTGAGTTTATCTTGATCGGATAGTGTATCTGCAAGGGCAGAAAGAGTCTTGAAGACGCCTTCAGCCTTGAATCGGTTGCTCAAGAGATACTCATGAAGTTTGGTTCGCTTTCGTCTGGTGGGATCGGAATGTTCTGGTTCGCCGCCGCCCTCGTTGTGAATTTGCCAATAGAAGCCCCATGCTTTGAGAATGGACTGCTGAATCTCCAATTCGCGCAGGTGAGCTGAAGATTCAGCCTCTGCAGCTCTCACAGTGGTAAAAAAGTTGTAACAGTCTCGACATGTGGTGTAGAGATCCACGATACCGACAGCAAGACCCGTAACGTCCATGATAGTGATGGAATAGGAACAAAATGTATAATACTAGCCAACGTGGGAAGAGTCGAGCCGCAGCGGGCTATAAACAATTTAGGTGAAGTCGAGATCTTCATCTACGAGTTTTATCCGTGACAAGACATCTTGATGCATTTAGGTGGGATTGCGCCTGATAGGCAGCAAGGCTGTGTTGGCTGTGCTAGGAGTGATTGGTAAAGTTGATTGGCCTATCTGCAATGTAATATGTGTGTTCCGCTTCATATTAGCACGCAGGAATGCGCGTGTTCTTGGCCTGAGGAGCGACGTCCGCACAGTGAGCGCTTTCTGCCGCAACCTCACCGAAACCAAAGGCGATTGGCCTGTATGCAATGTATGCGTTCTGCCTCATATAGAAACACATAAATGCGCGTGTTTTCGGCCTAAGCAGACATTGACACCGTGAGTGCTTTCTGCCGCTGCCTTGCGGAGCCTAAAGAAGATGCGCCGCGGCGGACTTTACTTCTGATCCATCGAAGCCTTTAGAGATACTAAGAGAAGCCTTGTTATTTAAAAAAAAAACATAGATGACCAGCTCGAAGAAGCCTCTTGGATCTCTTGCTTAATACACATACATTGGCAATTAGGGTATGTGTATTAAGCTAGAGACCCAAGAAGCCTCTTCGAGCTGGTCATCTATGCTGCCGCGTCTCATCGCGAAGATGCGTGCTGCAATCCGAATGCACAGCAACAGGAGCCTGTCATCCTGGACAAGCTGCTCGACTCTCCGGGTACTACACAATAGTGGTCGGGATGTAAAAATAAAAACATAACATAATGAAAAAAAGATTGTATACAATTGCAATCAATACCATATGCCCAAGTGTTTCTGAGCGCAAAAAAGATTCAAAAGAATTCCTCTCAGATGTCGCGCGTCCGAGAAAAGTGGAGTGACGACGTCATCCTCCAGGGCGTCGGGTTTGACAGACAAGGTTAAAAAGAGAGAAACGGACCGCTTATAAACAGACAAAATCGCCCTGCAAGTATGCAACACATGCAGGGCATTGATAAGTGATTACATAGCCGGGTACCTAAGCAACTCCGGGTTCTCGCTCGTATGTTCCGGCGGGTTGCAAAGCCTTGGTTCTGAATTCTCGAAGTATCCAAGTTAATTGGCGTTGCTCAGCTCTTTGCGGCAACGCCGACTGATCCGTTCTCATCCGTAGTGATGCGTCACCCGCCAGTTAGCAGCTGTGGCGGCCATCGGGAGGAGCGGAAGTCCACCGGTAGCGTCATGTTGGATGATTGTATAAAGTGCGGGACAATCACCTGCGCCACTGCGCAACGTCTTATAATTGGCAGCCGTGGACCTGAAGCTGTCGAAGCGTTGATTAATCGCTCTTCCAGTTCCAGCTCTGGAGTAGCTAACTCGACAACTTCCTTTTTGTTTTGCCAACTCTCCGAGCGACCAAAATGCAGAAGGTGACATCTAAGCTGCCGTCCTGGGACACCACCAAGACCACAAGCAAGAAGGGCTTTGACAAGGTCTGGGGTTGGGCGGATAAGCTCGGAGCACCCGTGAATCGGCTTTCCAATCGCATTGGCAGCGAAGCATTTTGGCCTACGACGCTGGACAAGGAAAGCGACAAGGCCGCAAGAATCTTGAGATCATTTTGCAGTACGTATTGATTTCTTGTTAGATGGATTTGTTCAGGAGGAAGGCGAAAGACGTGATCCATCTTCACATCCATCATGTCAATGCCTGGTTTGGTTGCTTCTTCATTTTTGACCTTGTCCCATTTCCACATCATTTCCAATCCATCAATTCAATTCGGGGCCCATGTTTCCATTTACCTGCAATATCTTGGATGATTGCTTACAACATAATTCGCTATAGAGGATGGTTTCTATACCGAAGAAGAGCGACCGGCTGATGATGCCGGCCCGAAGCGGAAACAACGAGTTATCAAGAAGATTCCTCAAAAAGTAATAGAGAATGCTGTTGGTCTCGCCATCTTCACAACTATGCGTACCGGATTGTGGATATCCGGAGCTGGCGGTTCTGGAGTCCTAGTTGCCCGACAGGAAGACGGATCATGGTCACCACCTTCGGGCATTTTGCTCCACACGGCCGGTTTGGGATTCCTTGTTGGTGTTGACATTTACGACTGCGTGCTGGTGATCAACAATCCCAAGGCCCTTGAAGCATTCACCAAGATCCGGGCCACCCTTGGCGGAGAGATCAGTGCAGTCGCCGGACCTGTCGGCATGGGTGGAGTTCTCGAAAACGACGGCAAGTGGAAACAGGCAAATAGGCCGGTGTTCACATACCTCAAATCCCGTGGCTTCTATGCAGGTGTCCAGGTCGATGGTACGGTCGTGATTGAGCGCACTGACGAAAATGCTCGCTTTTATGGAGAGACGATAGGTGTTTCCGACATTTTGGCTGGAAAAGTTCGACATCGACCTCCGGAGCTTAAAATGCTGATGGAGACATTAAAGGCTGCTGAAGGTCGATCTGATGTTGACGAAGAGCTCATGGAGGAGCTCGAAGGACAACCAGCGCCAGGTGACGTCAATGTCGAGGCTCCCAGCGATGGGAAACTATTTGGCATTCCGGAACCTGACGATCCAGATCCGTATGGCTTTTTGGCACTACAAAAAGAGGGACTGGATATCGTGGAAGCTGGCACTCGTTCAAGACCATCGAGCCGCCAGTTCGAATACCATCCAAGCCCAACGAGTCCAGTCTATGCCAAATTTCACAGTAGAAATAGCAGCATGGAAACATCAGAAACAAGAAACAACCGCGATAGCTATACATCATCTCGCCTAAGATGGAGCTCTGATCGACACTACGAGTCGTCCGATGCTGGCACACAAACAGACGAAGTCATAACTCCAATTACGAGCCCCGTCATCAACGGCTTTGGGCACTCAAACCTTTATGATGAGAACGGCGACTTTTACAACGCGGTCAACGATAGTCCCTGGAGTTCAAAGGGCCGCAAAAACAGTATACACCGCGACTGGGGCAGAGACGACAGCCTTACCTTTTTCAGCGAAGACGACGAGAAATCAGAAGCTGCGTTCTTGTCTCCCTCCGATCTACGATCACAGTCCATCAGCGCTCCTCCAGTTGATGCTGTAGTCACTCCTGCCCGTGTGCCACCTCCCCTTCCGCCGAGGAATATCTCCCGCCCTCTCAAGCCTGAGTTTGAGGAAGTAGATCTGAAGGCCGTCGAAGTTGCGAGCCACGAGGAAGCTCTCTCGTCCGCTCCCCATTCAGAATTTACCGCCAAAGAGACAGAAGGCAGCATTAGTGAAGCAACGTCGGTCTCACCAAGGGAAACACCACTTGGAAAGGAAGACGAGCACTTTGCTTTGCCACACGAATCCTCCCGTACTCTCTTCGATTCTGACTCACACTCGCTTGAGATCAACGCTCGGGACGAGGGTGAAAGATTCCACAGCCTCTCTGGCAGTCCTCGCAAGTCTGGTGAATAAGCGTCAAAACTGCTTGTGGCATGTCCCTCTTAAGGCATGAACGAGGCAGCTTCGAACGATATCGATGTGATAAAGGCATTGGATCACGATGACTCGATATATCTAAATGAATGAATGGCATCTGTTACACGTGCTTGCAGCATGCATCTCCTTTTATATTTAAACCTTTTTTACTCTGGCGTCACGGTGGGCCTCGGCGAATCTTGCTGTATATAAGTGACAAATTGAGATTGGCGTTTCCATCTAGCCTGGTTTATTATGATCATCGTTGAAGTGTGGATACGAAAGAAAAGTCCTCATATTCCGGGAGATGAACGTTCAAATGGAGGTTCGTCGTGAAGCGCAATTCCATGTAAAGGTCTAAAATCCATCAAAATTGTATTAAATAGTTTCTTCCAACGGGAAACATGCTTTGTACTATATATGTGTGTAGTCTATCCCTCATGGCTTGACAATTCCAATATTTTTCAGCTCGTCTCGCCATTCGGTTGCACATAGCAATTTGTAGTTAACCTCAAACTTGGGTGCCCATTCCAACAGCTCTCTCTTTGTGTGGCCATGAACACCGCAGCCAGGAAGATTTAATGGACATTCTTCATCGTCATCCATGCGGTTACTAAATAGGTATTCCGTATATTCCCACCAAGATTCTGTTATCGCTCCCACTGCATTCGGCTCTCTGAGTTCGTGCCAAAGCAGAGATAGCACGAACGTTTTGTACCGAATGAGTGGTCGTATACTCGGCGATAACGCGATAGGATGCCGCAATCTTGCATCGGTTAGAAACGGACTGTTTAGAACCAACTCTGGAGGTATATCATGGATATCTGCAGCAATCCGCTGCACATCAACTGCCAACATCTCGAGTACCGGTAAACTGTAAGCGATATCGCCGCCGCTCCCCTCAGAAGCCAGAGATTCGGGCTTCCGTTTCTCGTCAGGCCCCAAAGCCATGATGGTCAGCGTTTGTAAGTTTGGCAATTGTCGAATGGAAATAGCATTTGCGAAACCTGTGAGGTCTCCCGGAATTTCGCATAGGGCGAGGTTCCGTATTCGACTGCGGTCGAGGGCGATAAACCCGTCCAGGGATTGGTCGCCGTTGTCAGCCAGTCGCGGATCTAGGAAAACATCCGAAGGAATTCCATTCGGGGGCCATCCGTCAAAAACGGCAAAGATATCGGTATCATAGCTGATGAAAGGAGTGTCGAAGCGAATAGTGATATTTGACGCGTGGTAAAGGCGGGAAGGCTGGAAAAAGTGTGGTTTCCAAAGGTCTCGGGCTTCGCGACATGCGTGAAGCAGTGGGAATATCGCATGTTTCTTGGGCTGCACAATATATCGATAATTGTAGCGCTGAAGAGGGTCCTTTTCTTCCACTACGGCACTTGTTCTAGTACCAATAGCGCGATAATGGTGTCGATACCATCGAGCAGCTGGAGGTAGTATCCCAATCACCCGAGTAGGCCTTGGCACGGATTCCCATATCTTGAACCGTAGCTCTGCTGGCAAACGGGAAAATAGCGTGAACTCGGCAGCCGTCTCCTCCATCATGGCTGGTTCATATGGTAAGCCTCGGCCCACCGTGACAACGCCAATGGTTGATGCCCTTTGGAAATATTCTGCGCTGTGCAAAGAGCAATTCGTATTCCAGAAAGATGTCTGTTTTCTAGATTTTTAAAAGGAATCGTCCAGGGGATTGACACTCCAAATCTTGCCCAAAGTAAACCCAGACCCCTCGTTGTGGGGGTTTCTGCAGTCCGCGGCTCAACGCCTTTTTAATTGGCTGTTCTCTTCCCGTTTACCGGTAAAGCACAGACTCAGGAGGTGATGCACTGCTGAATAACGCTTTCCTCTGCTTGTCTTATTGGCATATGCAGTCGTCGTTGGAGGCTGGTACGTGGCTCGCTCTAATACGCTCCCTTACTCAACCTTGTCACTGCTAAGGTATGCGAAGTAGAAACCGGCGAGATTCGCAATTTGTATTAACGGGGAACAGAAAACAAATGACGTAATTACTGATATGTACAGAGTAGGGTGATGGAATGATCTCTGAGCGGACCATGGATCGAGGCGGTGGGGTTCCCCAACAATGGCTAAATAGAGCCTATTTTTGGAAAATGACATTTTCCATTCAAAGTATGAGAAAGACGTAGATTACGGAGGATGGTACTCCGTAGAACCTAATGGGCCAATGAATGACATTGAGCAAGTGATAACAAAGTGGCATTGGTAATTGGCACAAAGCGATGCTTGCACATCTCGACGACATCTCTGTGGAGGCCCATACTCTGCTGGACAGATGCAACACATTTTCAATTGAATGCTTCCCATTATGGTATCTTTACTCAAACTGACAGAGCTAACTTAATCTAAGCAGTAGAATTTCTAGACCTTGAACCTTCCCTTGCTTCCATATCTATTGGCATTAGTAGTCCCACTGATCACACCAGTTTTTGATCAACGCCTCGTCGATCGGCCCGAGCTTCCTCATGGTCTGACTATGTGCCACAGTCCTCTTGACATCAAAGTAAATGTGGCCGATACCTGCCTTCCCTTGCTCATCCATTCCCTTGTATGTATCAAGAAGCTTGATTCCTGGATTTTTCTCCACATCCTCTGCTGTCGCATCGATCGCACTGGCTTCAAGAGCACGAATCCACTCATCAAACGGAACGAGAGCCTTGATCCTTTCTCCGTAGTAATTTTTGAGACTTTTAGCAATCTCAGCCCAGCTCGTAGCCGACGGGTTGACTCCATGGAAGTATCCTGAGATGCTTGACAGAGGAATCTCCTGGTTGACGCCAGCGACATCCAAAACCAATCCCGCAATGTCTTCCACCGGCGTCCAGTCCACAACGTCTTGAGGGCCCAGACTGGCCGGCAGTATCCCCATATGGACTGAGCTAGCGATTAGACTTGGTATGAATTCTTGGGGGTTCCAGGTGCCTTCTTTGGTTCGCGCGCCAGCAATTTGGCCGACCCGAATTACGGCGGCGGGGACCCCGGATTGCTCAACGGCGGCATCTAAAATAGAGCTTGCAGCAAATTTCGATTGCCCATAACCCATCTTTGGCAATGTCACGTCATCGAGGCGATGCTCAGGAATTGGCTCTGGCTTTGTCCACCCCTGGACAGTACCGATACTTGAGATGAAAACGATGGGAACTTTTTTGGCTGCCTTATTAGAGAACTCGACCAACTGGCGAACTCCCAAAATATAGGGCTTAAACGAGTTGACGCTGATGTTGAAGTTGACAGGCCATGCATTGTGTATGATGCGATCTGCCGTGGCTAGGATATCGTTATACTTGGCCTCAGAGAGATTGAAGTATGGCTTAGACAAATCGACACCGAGGAACTCGACTTTGGAAAAGTCGGTGCTCAACCCTCTAGCAGCACTGTAGGCGGGCTGGCGGGAGTGTCCTCCATCTTGGCCGCGGTTGAAGGCAATGACCTTGGCAACCCGAGGATTCTCAATCAGACGGTCAAGCATGTAGGCACCAAGTGATCCCGTAGTGCCGGTAACGATGACTGTTTGTGCTTCATCCAGAGGAAGCAGTTGGTCCATGTTTGGAGGCGGCAGGTCCGCACTGTACTCTGAAATGATTTCAACCATGTCACTGATCTCTTTCGCAGACGTATCGTCATCGTTTTGGCCAATGATGGCCGTCGAGAATAGATAATTGGCCAGTCCGCTTATTGTTGGATTTGCGTAGATGACTCTAGCAGCAACAGCATCCTTGCCAGACTTTATACCAGCGAATTCCAGGGCTGAGCGCAAAGTTTTTGAAAGAGTAAGAACCTGCATTGAATCAACACCAAGGCTGAAGATATCAGACTCGGATTCAATTCCAGATATACCAGTCATGGATTCGACAATGTCCACTATGGACTGCGTGAGGGACTCTGGGCTAGAAATATCTAGCGGCGCAATTGCATCCTTTATTTCGATCGCCTCGTCCGTCTGCGCATACAATCTGTCGATGAAGTCTTTGTAAAGCCTTACAGTTGCCATTCGTTGCATCGTACCTTTGGGTGATAATGCAAATGGTATGGTGGGATCTGAGATGGCAATCATATCACGAGTAATTCTTCCATGAGCCACAGTGACCTTGTTAATCTCTTCGACGATGCTCCACACACTGCTTATGAGAGCTTCTTCGGCTGCTTCGTCTTTTGGGTGTTCGTACGGCTCCAAGATCAAAGCGGGCTGGAACCGTTGCTGCCCTACTACAAGGGCGAGCTTGATAGCGGGATGGCCCACCACAGCGGCCTCAATTGTAACAGGATTGAGCTTCTCGCCTGTAGAGAAAACGATAACGTTATCCGTGCGGCCGTGGTAGAGCCAGTGGTTTGGCTTCGTTGGATGCTTCTTATACATGTCGCCTGTAGACCATTCAGTCTTGTCCGGGAAAGTGTAAAAGAGGATTTTTAGCCCTGGTTCCCCAATTTGTTCGCGGCGAATAAACATCTCGTAAACATCGTCGTCGGCTATTAAACGGAACTCAGCGCCCATTTCTTCAGCATTGATGACGATCCATTGCCATAATGTAGGATCAGCCTGGTGGTGGATCAGATAAGGTGCAATCCTAGACACGTTAGCTGTATACTTTGACAATTCTTTGGTGCTTTTAAGCTTACTCAGTCGAAGATATAATGTTGACGAGCTTAACGCCTCTTCTAACAAGTGCATCTCCTATCACAGGGGCAAGATTGCCTATCCATCTACTATTAGTCGGTGCCACAAGAATGAGAAAATGGAAGAACTCAGGTTTTTTTTCTTACCTCCGCCAAAACCCGTGCTCTTTAGATTAGCAAGGAGCTGAACGTGCTCATCATTCACACTCATGTCCTCGATAATTGAGGGAGGTAGAACTGCGGAATCAGCCTGCGAGTGGACGAGGCACTCTGCCACTAGGTCTGCACTCAGAGGACGATTCGGCACACCTAGAACTATTGTAACGCCGTGGTAAATGCCAAAGATTACCATACAAGCAACTCCGGCCATGTGGAATGTGGGCATTGGCGAAAATATCTTTGAGCTGTTGGTACCCCACCAGCTCCAGATTGAAGGAGCACCATCCAGAAAAGATGCCTCTTGTAGGTCATCAACGATCGCAAGGCTTCCTTGGCGAACAGTCACAGGCTTTGGAATGCCTGTAGAGCCACTCGTATGCGCAACAACCATGGGGTGCCATCTTGCTTCTTCAAACGGCGTGTTGTATGGCACATGGGGAGCCGTTGATTCGATCCAAACGCTCCAATCGGGGGCTGCCGTTGCTGGCATAGGATATGACTGAAGCCATGACTCTATGGTGGATTGCATGGGCGCATCGTACATGATCCGTGTGCATTCTGTGGCTTTGAAAAGCGAAATTTGAGCCTCAAGACTATTGCGAGGCGAAATGAACAGGGCTTTATGATGAGCTTTTATGCAGGCAAGCATGATGATGACATATCGTACATCGCTTGGTCCGATATAAGCTACCGTGGGAAAAGAGTCCGTCTGCGAAATATTTTCTGAGGCCTGTTGAAGTAGCTCACCAGCCACGTGGTTTACAGCATTTGAGACATCTTTGAATGTGATGGGGCGATAGCCATCTTCAAGATTGCTGGAGACCGGCTGATAGATGAAAACTCGTTGAGGATCGGAGGCTGCATAACCATCAACGATGTTGACTAAAAGTCGTTGTCCGGACTGGGACTTTGAACTAATTTGTCCGCCCATATCTACTATTCAAGCGTGGCAGTAAATCCGGTGATCAAAGCTGATATGTAGTTGTTGTAGAGATTGTGAATGTCGTATTATAAGATGATTTTTCGAGGTATTCTGGCTAAAGCGAGCACCACCATTTATATCATTTTTGCCAGTCGCGGTGTCTTAACATTCTAGAAACAAACGACGACGACGTCACAAGGTAACCACGCCGCCCCCAGCAGTTCTTCTGCGCCCTGCACCGTTACAGTCTCGCGAATCGGTGGCCCGAAAGTGCCCCAGCTGGAGCCATATTTCCTCTTTCAGGGATGAACGTCAAGTGGATCATGTCGCCCCCCCTTTATCGGCATGGTATATGGAAGGTACCCGATCCCGAGGATAGGGCCTTGTTTCTGTCCGTGATAGGTTACATACACTAGTAGAAGAAATGTTGAGCTCTTACAACTACTGGAGGGCAAAATGCACGCATCACGATACGTGGTGAACTTCTGTCAGCACCCGCCACGACCTCCGAGTCCGGAATTAGCTCATCTAGCTCTCCAATTATTATTACTATGTCAGGTAATGACGAAAGGGGTAGTGTATGTGTCATTTATCACCCAGTTTCAACTTCAATGATTTAGTGTACATGCTCCATTAGGTGGCTTCATTGGGCCACATTATCATGTTCTGCCACTTTCATCGGAACACCATGGTGCCGATTCTCCCGACTTATCTTGTTGAGAGTCATTCATAAATGGCTGCTCAAAGTAGTCATCTGGAGGTTGTTTGAGACATGTTATGTCATCTAGCTAGCTGAGAGAATATTTCTGTGTAACGCCGTTAATAGTGTTAACTGTGGCCGAGAAGTCGAGTAGGAATTCTGTTAGTTTCTTCCCATGTCCCTACACTAGCAGCGAGAGGGCGGGAACGGGATCACCGCGGTGGCGTATGCAAAAGACGCCTCTCAGGGCTGGCCATTTACCACAGTAACATTCTGCCTTACAATACAGAAACCCCCACTCGTGATGCTACTGGTACGATCAGGACACATCCTTGGCATCTACAAAGCCTGGTACATCATTGGCCGTTACACATGCACGCGATCGCCTCATCACCGTTTTAGGACATGTGGCTGCGGACCAAGAGAGCTACCCGCACGCTATCCCCCAAAACACGCATGTCGGCGTTAACAATATAGCACGGCAGGTAAATGCCGGGCTATGTCCGGAGTACGGAGTAATACGAAATGTTCCTTACGCGTTTGGCGGCGGACAAGACCGAGTCACATTGAGAGAAAAAATGACGTCCCAATACGTACAAAGCACGGAGCTGTTTACGGCGAACATCAGCTTCGATTTGACACTTCGTGATCCACATGCGTCTCGGAGCGGCGCTATTTTGACAGCCGGCACTCCGCCGCATCAAAACGCTAATACTTGACAAAGAACGTCCTCACAGGGGCAGCTCAGGGATAGTTTCGGCTCCTAAGACACATAGTAGACGAATTACACACAAGCCCAAATAAGAATACCCGCTTTAGCCCCGTTCCAGGAGTCCAAACTCCTAGTACTAGGACAAGTAATGTTTCCTTGCTCAATTATTTTGTCTGTGAAAGCTCCTGAAGCGCTGCTGGGCTTGTACCTCCGCCATCCATGGACTCCACGGATGTTTGAGCCGAGTCCGCGTGTTGAGGTATTACTGCTACCTTAATCCCACGTCGTAGTTCCCTTCTGGGCTATGGATGATGTGTCGTGCGCCCGATTTAAGTGAGTCCGATAGAATATACAGGGTCACATCGCTTCTTATCTGACCCGAGGAAAAGTTTCTTGTTCGGGAAATGATATGCTGAGTTTATTATGGCTTAAGGAAGCTATTCCCTCGAGCATCACATTTTTGAATGACACAACGAACGTTGTCCTTTCGCATAATATCGAAATGGGAGAAAGGCTGCCAATATTCTGGAGAGCTTGACTGCTATTCTACCGCGTTAATAATGCGAAAAATATTCTCATTCCAAAGATTCATAAACGTCAGATGATCCATTACAATACCGGACTCCAGGCAAGACGCGCTGTCTCAATTATTCTGCAACCTATTACAGAGTATATACAAGAGATTTCTCCATCTCAGGCGCGAAGCGCTTGTGAACGCAATAGAAACCTAGAGTGTCCTACACCAGGCTTCACCGTTAATATTTATTGTATAGGAATTCCAGATATGGCCGCGTATATCAGCGATTTCACTGCTTGCTGAGGATATCCAGGGCCAATTGATAAGCAGACTGATATATTAGTTAGGCCCTGAAGGAGGATGGATATTGGGATGCCTCTTTGTCCATTTTCTTGGAGGGTGGGAAAAGCCTGCCTGTGGGTTTCTTCTCCACGGTCCCCTTCCTTTGATAAATTGCCCATGAGAGAATTAAAGTTGAATGCCTGCAGGGCCGGCACTCTCCGCCATGCGGACTCCGGGTGTGATGTCGAATAACTCTGTAATATGGATGTGTTTGTGTTTAATAGGCCAAAACCATGTTCCGTCAAAAGATTGAATCCATCATTGGCTTCTGGGTTGTGAAGAAGACTTGACGAGTTGGAAAACTCGAGGATGTCGTCTTGCCAGTTGACTATTCCGACATCATGAAGCAACACGACCACATCCTCTACACTGAGATAAGTTTCGCTCGTTGGAACGCCGGGGTAGTTTCGCGCTTGCTTTAAGCGGGAAGCCAGAGACTGGCCTGGGCCAAGCCACCATTGGAATTCTGACAGAATATCGTCGCGATTTCGAAAAGCCAGCGTGAGTCCAAATATCCGAAAACCTAGGTCCGTAGCGTGCCCAAAGTTCCCTCTCAGAGCATCATATCCAGAAGACAGTGTCGTACGAAGAAGACGCGATCCAATAGAAGAAGGTTCTCCGTTGATGGCAAACTCCAGAGCAAAGTAGGATGGCGAAATCAAGATCCGGTTGTCGGGTGGTTGTGGGTAAGCATTTTGGTCGAGTTGTTGATGGGCAGAGGTAGACTCGCTTCCGAAGTGGATAGTATTTTTGCCCTTTTCTAGATCGAGTTGTGTAGCATTCGCCATTGTAGAATCCATGTGATCGTCCAATAGCATTGCTTGCGTCGCGTTTGTATTATCCAGATCTTCTTCTGGAGGTTGATCCACATCTCCTGATTCAGATCGCTGAGTCTCCCCGTCCACAACTTTTGCTACATGACGAAATTCTTTTATAGCGTTTAAAACTTCAGTGCTAAGGTCCGTGTCCTTTGGAATTACCCCGGACCGGATAAGGGAACTGGTCAAGTCCGTGAACACTGTGCAAGCGCGCTGGGCTGCAACTTGTAGGTCCTGTGCTCGCTTTTGCGAAGAATCGAATTTCTCTTTGTGCCGTTTCCGATATGCTTGCTGTGCAATGCGGCTTCGTATCCGCCGTGACTATTAACGAAAATCAACAGCTGATTCTATTTTAAGCTTGAGAGCAAACGTTTCTGTACATTCGCGGTGCTTTGTTCTTCCGCAGACGACATCGTAAGGCTTCAGCTCACTATTGCACAGAGATGGCCTGAAGACGGTGATAGATTCGGTTCAATTTGATGATTTAGTTTCTCACTTTTACTGCCACGGGCATATTCACGTTACACACTCCGGCATGATGTGGAAAGCCAAGGTCTTTGTAAATGACCGGGCGAGACACAGAAGAACCAGACTGGTTAGTTTGATTTGTAATGAAATTTATTAATCGTCTCTTTTTGGGTTTAGCATCCAGCATCCCGCTCCACACAATCAATGTCAGCACATGTCATACCCTTGACCGCCGGCATCAATAACGTTATCATCCCGAGAATTAAAGAAAAGAAGAATCTAGGCCTGGACCAGAATTTATATATATATAGCCATACTGAAAGAATTGCGGCAGCAGTTTGCCTTTTACAAGAACTGGGGAAAGACTAGTTGGGAGGGGATTCGATCTAAGATAACCCTCTAAGTTCAATTTCTTGCAGACTAAAGAGCGCTGAGTTTAAAGGCCAATTCACACATTTAAACAAAAGTCATACTTCATGTGGCATGTTTGGTATCCAGTTGGCAGGATTGCTCGAAAAAAAAGCCTCGATGGCCGGTGCTTATTGAAACGAACCATGGCTCGAACACATAAATTAATAAGGTCAAATGCATTGAGCAAGTAAAAGTAATACAAGACAGTGGATCTTAATAATAAACTTGAGTATATGGGACCCAAAGGCGCTTTTGGCACTGGGCATTTAGAAACAACACGCGGATGCTTCCATTACACTTAAGATACACTTAGGAGATATATTATATCAGCCGAGGGTACGGAGTGAAGAATACAGAGGAAAATCCAAATATTGACACTCTTCAAAGATGAAGCTACTTTATCAATGGTTGGATGGGGATCGATCACCATGGCATCAACAAGCGTAATACTCATTGCATCCTTTAACAACTGTTAGAGTGAGCGTCATTGATGAATTCATCAGTGAACTGTATTCAACCATTAGAGAGTGAATATGCGAGAAATCAAGACTGTCATCTAGGACTGTTATCATTATCAAGTAGAGTTTGCCTACATTCTCACTCATATACTAGAATGGTGTCTTCCAAGGACAAAAGTTTATAATGAAGAATAGATTAGTGACATATTATTGACCCTTTTATTAGGATCGGAGTTTGCATTGCGATGCTAGTATTTCTGGTGATGAGCGTGTAAAATACCCTATACCGGGAGAATATCTTCTTGATCAAAGCAAATTAACCAATGAATGATCGTGGGGAATTCCAGAAAAGCTGGTAATTCTTGAGGGGAAGGTAGAGACAATACTTGAACTAAGTCTCCTGGTGGTAATGGTGAAGCTGTGGGAGAAGGGTCGAAAGTTTTGATGCCAGGAGGGTGTTTGTCGTCAAGCACTCGAGTGAATGCTTGAGAGTAATAGAACAACTTCTGTCTTGGAGAGAGGGCTGATATTATGTCAGTAAACGTACGTGGCAGCTCGCTATCAAGAACTACGATCTCACGAGTTGTGGACTCGGCACAAGACGGCAAATTTCTATTTTAGCCACCAATGACCATTGCAGTAAGTACTCACGATGAAGGCCTCATCAGTCTACGAGATTCAGTGGTCCAAGCTTACTTGGTTACGTGTTGCTTGCAATGTCATTCTTCCCCGAGTGCTTTGGCGGAGGCACTACGCTGCTACTTTTCCGCGTAACGTGCTTTTGGCTTTCTTGGGCAGTTACTGATACAGCGGAGTATTTCAGAGCCGCCTACTATGGTTACATGTGTTACATAGTTGGATAATTGTGAATGGTTGACCATTGACCTGCAAATGCATGGCGGGATGATCTGCAGAGCTCCTACCACAGTGTATGCTGTGATTTCCTCCAATCACGTTGAAGAATCTCGATGCGCTGTTCACGCAGGCCTCCTTTCCTTTCATTTTGTGTATATGCCGATGCTATTGGCTCCCATTGTGACAGGCATTTTCTTATGTCTACTTCTACATTGCTGAGACAAAATAAATCTGGTGCTACGTACATGATACAGATGGCGGCTGGAATGGACCAGCCAATTGATGCCAGCGCTCTTTACTCCGACATTTTATCGCAGCATGTTATGTGCTTTTTTCTTCCTAATGCTGAGCTGGATTCCATACTTGTTTTTCTGTTACGGGATATGCATGGCTTATTTCAGAATGGATAACCTATCATCCGACTAAACGCACAATTATGCATTTCCTCGCATGCCGTATTTGCTACCAATGTGTAATTATGAGGAGTTCGTATTTTTTAACCCCTTGCATGCCCTGATCAGTTGACGGATGAAGCCACAATATTCCTACACCGCAATAAATCCTGGATTTTAATCCGTATGACGCACTATATCGAAGGGAGCAGCTCGAAGCATGGCCGGAAAAATAGAGATCCGCATTTTCTGAAAGCCGAGTTCTGGAGCTACAGGCGAAGCAGATCCCGCATCAAGCCTAGACTAAGGGGAAAAGGCTTGGTATACAGATTAGAGAAATCATGTCCATGTGCTTCCCCAAGACGCCAAGAGATGAATCCAATAGTTTGGTCTTGATCTTTCGCGGGGTAGCTTCTACAAGCCGACTACTGGCCATTTTCAGATTTCCTACCCATGCCGCTGTCTTGGCCTTCTTGGCCTTTGATGTGGGGATCTGACATCTACAGGAAGCATGGAGTCAATACAGAGTAGCGGGGCGCCCGAATGGTTTGCCGTCAGCAATCGATGTTAAGAAATAACACGGGGGATTCTAGAATGCATTCCACAGTGATGGCACCAGGTCGTGCCCTTTACTGTTCGACCTGGACGTCCATATAGATGGATCGTGCACCTTATTCGAGTATATTAAGGATTTCTGATCTAGCGGCCAAGAATAGAAAACTTCCACCAATCAGATTCCCCTTAGCAAACGTTTTTGCCGGGTATGCGGCACAGCGGACAATCTGCATTCAGGAACATCCTGGCAGGCATTGGTGTACCTGTCAATTTGGTATTAGTGCTATATTCCACTGACTAGTTGGTCTGAAACACGATCATCACGACTTATGCGTCGGTCAGGACGAGACAAGTATATAAACAGCATGAAGATGCTCGTTCTGGCAATGTGTATCTCAACTCACCTCGAATAAGTGTAAAACGAAGTCTACTCACCGTGGTTCAACCATTTCTTTACAAACAATCATCATGCCTGCCCTCAAGACTCTTCTTGCCTCCGGCTTCCTGGGAGCCGCCTCAGCTCTTAACCCCAGCTGCGCTCCTGGCGGTAACTTTGATCTCAGCAAGTGGTCACTCCAACTTCCCATCGGCAACCCAGGCAGCCCGACCACTATTCCTGCTTCCCAGCTCGAGGGATGCGGCGGATACCAAGACCCTGGCCACCACTACTTCTTCACTGAGAGTGGTGATGGTGCCTTGGTCATGAAAGTGCCCGGTGCCCCCTCAAACACTGGCTGCGTTACCACGCCCAACAGCCAGCACTGCCGTACCGAGTTGCGCGAGAGCAACCCCAGCAGCTGGAGCCCCAACGCCGCCAACAACAAGCTCACCGTGACGCTGGCCGTTGAGCAACCAGACAACTCGGGCCACGGAACTGTCATCGGCCAGATTCACATTGATGACAGCGTCAGCACAAAGCCGGTTGCTGAGCTGTACTACAGCTCCAGTGGCGTCCTGGCTATGGGCGTGGAGCAGACTCGCTCTGGTGGCAACGAGATCATCACCACCGTTGGCAACGTCCCAGTTGGCCAGCAGTTCACCTACACCATCAGCTACTCCAGCAACGTCCTCAGCGTCAGCATCAACGGAGGTGCTGCCAAGGTTCTCAGCACCTACTCTCTGGATGCTCCCCCCAGCTACTTCAAGGTTGGAAACTACAACCAGGGCAGCAGCGCTTCCGATGTTCACTTCTTCTCCATCAACGTTTCTCACTAAGCGGTTTTCGTTATGAATCGTCATTTTTAAAGTAAATATTACGCAGGCAAATGGCCGCTGTATATATGAAAGGGAGACAACTAGCCTTGAATATCTCATTGCCCTACTTCTACAATGAGTTTTGGATATATCTACTATGAATAATGCAAATACTATTTTAAACGGGAATACTATGATGAACCCTGCCGTGACTATGAACATCTATAAAAGCTAACTGAAACATAATCGATCTTCCTCCATCTTGAAAAATTGTGATTCTCGTCGTCGATGGGAATGGCACATCGCTTCACCTGGTTAGCAGACAAGTCTCTTGGGGCATGTAAATTTGCGTCGTCTTAATTACATGTAGCCTACGAAATAAGGTATATACTAGTCACTGCATTACAACCACTACCACGTGCATAAGAGACATAACGATACCCGAATGTAACATCATTGGCACTTCTGCGGATCTTTGTAAACATCACGGAGGGGTTCCCAAACACCATTCAACATTTTCTGCTCCGTAATAAATGTTCATCCACTGAACTCCGCTCGTACTTCAACAATTCAAGTAGGTGTCGGAACTTGGGTTCCACAATCCAGGGGCATAAGATCCACTGCTCAGCTGCTGTGAGTATCCGTACATGTCGCTTCTACACAGGAGCATACTCAGAGTATGAGGGACGATGCGTACATGAGGCAATTGACTCTCACACAATAGTGCGCATTTACTAAATGCTAGATATCTTTCATTAAAGTTGATCGATCTCTCCAAGAAACATGTCAGGATCTCCAATCTCCAATTTTATAGCGGATGCAACGGCGCGAGGCTTACAGGCTAACCTACATCAAGACCAGATCTCGGCTTTATGATCCAGTCAAGCTTCCCAGTTCCAGATTTCCCGAGCTGGAACCCCGAGGTCAAAATGCCGAGCAACTGATAGTCAGCGCCAATGGAGTGCGGGCACGTACCACTGCGAAGTGCAACTCGGATTTTTCTCTTCTTCCCGAACTTTCCTTCAGAAGCTCGCTCGGCAGCAACTTGCAATCATCATAATCGCGACGGATTCACCACTGGCTCAATCGCACGTGTTTTATTCGACTTTACTACGATGTCACCTCCCTCGGCTCCCGAAAAGCCGACAAAGGCTTGCATGTAGGTAATCCAGTCTCCCTGGTATCTTCTATTGTGCGATCCCGCTGCTTCCGCATTACACATCTCATTATTTTACGAGTTTCACGATGGAGATGTTGTTATTAGTCACTCTTCGCTTACAATATCAACAGGACGTGCAATCATAGGAAATTGAAATGCGACGCGGCTATCGTTGGGCTGCCATGCAGCAGATGTATTGACAAAGGATATCCGGAAACATGCGCTCTTGCTTATAGACGCCGTCGAAAGTATGCGCTCATAATGCTCCCAATCAAATTAACGGCTCCCAGTGACCGTTTATCTTCAATCCATATAGGCCCGCGATCATAGCCAAAGACAAACCTCAAGCCTCGTATCATTCAGGTACTCGGGCTCAGCTAGCACGCCCTGCCGAGGCTAAATCTGCCGACCAAGTATGATTTGGAGCCAGATTTATTATTATTCCGTATATTGATTCACCAATAGGAACCGCATGTTTGTCAAGATGGTCGCATTCAAATGCCAGGATGGGACCTCATCGATGGTCATAAAGGAGTTCATTATATGAGCGCCCTTAGTCGGCTCGCTCGCAATGAACAAGCCCGCGCAGCTCGTGCCTCAGGGGCAAGAGCTGGCACAAATAGGCCAGAAAAAGAATCCAGATGTCAAAGAGCCAATGTGGTATCACGTAGTATGCGACTCGATGACGCTGATAAAGAATACCTTCGACAAAAAGGAGCTTTTACTCTGCCTTCGCATACTTGCTGGTATTACCTATTGCCATGTCCTTGCTAGACATTTCGCTAATTATTTTATTAGTGAAACAATGCTACGACAACACTTTATCTCAGTTTACCCACAAATTCCAGTTTTCGATTACGTTGATTTCGTGGATTCATACTTGTCAGGGTCATTTTCCTGGTTCATGATGCAGGCAGTACTAGCTTCCGCGGTGCCATATACTGCCATGGAGGTCTTGACAGAATGCGGCTTCACCGATCGTTTGACAGCGTTGGAGTTTTTCTTCTCTAACGCGGTGAGGTTATATGACTTCGAATACGAAGAAAGCCAGCTGGCCAAACTACAAGGGTCTCTCGTTCTAAGTACTGTCCTTGTATCATATACAATGGACAAAGATTTTCGGTTCTGGCACCATAACGCTGTGCGCCTTGCGGTAAGACTTGGTCTACATAAGGAGTAAGTCACAATCTCATACATATAAAGGCATAACTAAATGGAAAAAAAGCCATGTTGTGGAGGAGAAGGAACCTGCCATGAAGAATCTATACCAAAGGATATGGTCCGCAATATGTGTGAGAACTCTAAATATTGACTCCAGACGCCGAGCATGCAAAAAACTGATTCTTCCCAGTGCCGTGAAATCATTTTCTCCATCATACATTTGGAAGCGCCCAGATTGATCCAGTATAGCATCCGACAAGCACCCGAAGTTGAATGGTGGAATACGCCTATCCCAACGTCCCATGCCTCAATCATACCGTCGTGGACCCAAGGTCAAAAATTTTATAGTAGTGAACATATGAAACTAGCCATCATAGGTAATTTTCGTGCATACTTGGAGATAATTTGCCATTGTTGCTAAACAGGAGTAGCTATTCGCTGGCAAGACGTTTTACGCGCATTGGACAGCGAACAACAACCAACGAGAGAAAACATTGCCGAAGAAATGTCTTGCTCTTTCGCAGAATGGCGAAAATCTCTTCCAAAGAACGTGTCATTTAGTCACAGCTCTTCGCAGGACAGAGTCGATGAAATCTGGGTAGCAGCTCTGGAGGCAAGCTGCTTCAGGTTTGAGTGTATTTTCTACCGTTCATTGCTCCGTCGCACTCTTGCTCGCGGAGCGACTGGCGGGCAAGTAGATTCCCTGAAACAGCGACTTCGGATGGCAATATTCGAGCTAGACACCATTGTCAGCCGCCTCGTGATAGCTAACCTATTAAGATTTGCTAATTTGAACTTGTAAGTGAGATACTGTCGTTAGTTGGTGTCTATGGTACTTTAGTCTGATGACAGAAATGTAGGCTTGGCTGCGTCACCTGCTTATTAGCACTCCATATCGAAACAGTTTTAGAGCCAACTGAGTCGCCAATTACAAGATCCTTGGCTGTCACATATATTCGTCGCACCGAACTAGCTTTGCAACAGATCTGTGAAGTCGTTCCAGCTATGGAGTGCAACCTCCGTCTCCTTCACCGGTTCCTTGATCAGAAAAGGCTCGACGCGGCCTCTACCGCCGATGTAACACTGGCGGATAATCCATTGAGCGGAGAAACAGAAGATCGAGAACTTGAGCCACCGAGTCAAAATTTACAAGATCAAAGTGGCGCAAATGAACTAGAGCCACGGGCCGACATAATGAACAGCAATTTACGGCTCCAGGATGAAGATACAGCCGATGATATAGGCGATGTGAATGACTGGCTCGATGGCCTAGTATGGCTCGATTATTTGAAGGATTCCAATATTTTACCTAGCTAGATGCGTGATAATGATTGTAAATAATTATAATATCGTGGCGGCGAATATCTTGATGTTTGCAGATCGGCCGTCGTAGCCTAAAGTGGTGATGGCCTCTCTCTTACCGCAAGCTCAGCCCTGCGGTTATACTGTCACAGCGCCGCTTACCACTTTTGCGACCTCGTTCTCTCACATATCCTTCCTTTAACGAATCAGACGAATAAACAAACAATTCCGTATGGAGACATCTCATCGGTGTCCGGCTAGGTTGTTTACTAATACTGCCTGATCCTTCGGCTCGGCTTTTGGCTGCTCGGGAATTCAACTTTTGCACCGATAACAAAATTGGAATCTGGTTTATCTCACAAATCAACCTCTATTTCTTCTGTATATAATATGTCAATGCCTCTCTTTTAACCGAATGCCCTGGGACAGTTCCGGCTTACTCTCAGTGCCAGCAAAAGAACAATTAGCACCGGCCTACTCACTTCAATCGTCCTTGCTTGCACGACCGAGCCTGCCATGTCGGATACCGAACGCACTCTATATGATACGGATGAATCGCCACCTTCTGATCCCAGTACGCAGACAATCGCAAACTCGAAAATCACTTATGTACGGTTCATTCTCGACCGGCCACTCATAACCCCAGCCGTATTGAGCCACCGGTATGAGGGCTTGGGAACGCCCTCAAATCCATATCTAGTCACTTGGATCGAAGATGATCCTCGCAACGCGAGGGAATGGTCTCAGGGGAGGAAAGTACTGACGACCATTATTATGGCAATGCTCACACTGGCGGCCTCATTTGTCTCATCAACGTATTCGGGGAGTAGAAGCGAAATTATCTCTGATCTACATGCCAGCGAGGAAGTGTTTGCCCTTGGGCTTTCACTTTACGTCTTGGGATTCGCTCTCGGCCCGTTATTCTGGGCACCATTGGGCGAGTTGTACGGTCGCCAGATTATTTTTTTTATAACCTATGGAGCATTCACTGCGTTCAATGCTGGTAGCGCCGCTGCTCAACATATCTATTATCTCGTCATCCTACGATTCTTTGCTGGAGCATTTGCTGCTTCAGCTCTCACAAATCCCGGAGGTGTCATTGCCGATATGTTTGATGCTACTCATCGAGGCTTGGCCATGGCTTTATTCGCAGCAGGGCCATTCATGGGGCCAATCCTCGGACCTATCGTGGGCGGCTTCTTGGGTGAGGCGCACGGCTGGCGCTGGGTTTCTGGATTGACGGCCATTTTCTCGGGAGCTTTATGGATTATCACTGCTGTCTTTGTGCCAGAGACATTTGCGCCGTTTCTTTTACGGAAACGAGCAGAACAGCTGTCGAAGTTAACCGGCCACTCTTATCGCAGCAAACTTGAGGCTGGCAAAAGCGAAAAATCCGCTTGGGGCGAGCTCGCAGTATCGTTGACTCGCCCGTGGGCATTACTATTCTATGAACCCATCGTGCTACTTTTGTCTCTCTACATGTCTATTACCTATGGGACGTTGTACATGTTTTTCGGAGCTATACCGATCGTATTTCAACAACAACGCGGTTGGGGGGAAGGACAAGGGGGATTGGCTTTCATTGGAATACTTGTTGGAGTGATCTTGGCCGTCCTATCGTCGATTCTATACCAGAGACGCTATAAACGAATGGTGCAGAAAAACAAGGCCAGTGGTGGCACAGGATCTCTCCCACCAGAAGCCCGCCTACCTATGGGCATGATTGGGGCAATAGTTCTACCCATCGGCCTAATTTGGTTTGCATGGACAAACTATCCGAATATTCATTGGATGGCTAGCATCTCGGCGGGTGTGCCATTCGGTTTTGGTATGGTACTGGTCTTCACATCCGTCAGTGCTTATCTGGTGGATACATACATGGCCTCCGCCGCCTCTGCGCTGGCAGCCAATGTAGTTATGCGCTCAACTTTTGCCGCCGCCTTCCCTTTATTCACTGGGTATATGTATGCAGGGTTGGGAATCCACTGGGCTTCAATGATTCCAGCATTCTTGACATTGGCTTGCGCCCCGTTACCTTTCCTCTTTTACAAGTGGGGTGGCCGTATACGGGTTCGATGCAAGTATGCAGCTGCTGCACAGGATGTCCGAAAAGCAATGGAGGAGAAATAGGATGCAAACGATAATGTAGTGTTGTTGCTGGTAACTTAGAAGATCTGGGGGAGAGCTGCGAGCGGTCCAAGTCATTGGCTGAAGAGAGATTCATGTCCACTGAGGATTTGGAGAAAAGAAAAATACATTGTTCCCCTCGCGATGATAACAGGGGTAGCTAACTCTATAGACTAATAACAATTAAAATGATAGACACGATATGAAATATTATTTTCCGATGCATTGCTGTAATAAGCCCTGAACTCGATCTCGATCATTTGAATCAAAATTGATTCCGAATGGTCTCCGATCCACGACGCGTTCTCGTTCTTTTATGCTCAGGCTCGGCTTCCGACATTGATCAGTTGGAATCCATTCTTGAACGACTTCTCGCCACGCATCAATAAGCCAATCTCTCCCGGGTGTCTCCAGTGGAGCCAAAATACAATGACCAGCATTGGGAGAGCGTCAAAAATGTAAATGAAGGTCTCCCTGGAAAGCAGATACCCATCATTTCCTTCGACGTATTCGATAACACGGAATAGATTTCGAATGATTATCAAGATAGCAGAAACGTATAAAGTCTGGAGGTAGACTTGCCAGCGGACCTCTGGTTGTTGTGAGCGAGCCGTTGGGATCGACCGCATTCGATAGTGGAACACGCCTGCGACGACGACGAAAATGGCGAACCAGATTAATTGCAGCACAAGGCCTCCAATAATGACGTTGTTGCCGGTGTGGGACATGGATGGATTGTTCTTTGCCGTGGCTAGAATCCCGCTACCTAATTATGGTACAAATTTGTGTGATTAGCGAATGTCCTTTAGACGAGGGTGGGAAACATGGCTCGTACCTCCAGCCAGCATGAGGAAACAAACAACATCTCCAGTTACGAATATCTTAGTCAACCATTGTGGTCTAATGATCGAATGTTCTTGTCCATCGACAAGGAGGATGATTCGACCGAGAATCATGTAGATAGAAGCCGCGAATAATGCTGGCGCAAGCAAGATAAACATGCTCTGGATAAGGTATGGCCCCAGAGTCCAACAGCCAACGTCTTGGACTCCAGACCCAGCTCTACCAGCGAAGCCAATAAACTCAACTAGAAACCGAGTCGAAGGTTAGCTCTTGTGCGTCTCTTCGTGGTTGACAGCACTGAAGATAGGGGACCTAGCGTACAAAAACAGCCGATTACCAATGGAGTCAAATACCAACTCCTTGTCTTCCACATCTGTATAAAGTGGAAGACGCCAGATAAAAAGAACAGAATGCAAAACAAAATGGCGGCACCCAGAGAAGGGTGGTATCGGTAGTAAGCAAACGTGGCATGCTGCCAGTTCGGGTCGCAGACGGTGCTGCTCATGGTGATTTAAAGGCAATGTAACGTGCAGTAGGGTATAATAAAGGAAACAAACTAGAGGTGCTTGAAGAATTGATGAAGAAGTGCTTGGAGTCAAAAAAAAAAAAAAAGATAGAAAGGACCTATTGCTACATTTAAATGCAAAGGATGTATCCGTTGTTCGACAACCTGATTCTCCCATCTCCACTCCCGGCACAGCGCCACTGGTAGTCAAACCTAGAGTGTCAACTCAAAAAGCAAACGAAAGGGTCTTTTGGTCCGCAGTTCACCTCGTTGGCGGCTCTTGTCTGCGGCCTCCTCGTAAGTCGAATTCTCCGTATACGTGGATAGGCGTATTGTTGAGTCTGGGATTGGCGAAACTCTATGAAGTGCTCCGTAGGATTTTCCATGTACGCGTATCTCCCCAAGGCTTTCTTGAGAAGTCTGTCTAAAGGGTCATGTACCCATGATACTAATTCCTTATTCTCCATTTTCAAGACGAAGCTGACGAATAGACCTACGCAGTTCCCGTGTGTTTACTATTACGAAGCCAATCCGTTGTGTTCAAGATAACCTAGTTCCAGAATGCGCCGCCCCCTGATCCACCCGCGTATTCCTGCTTCTCTCATTGGCCGGCCCTAAATAGCTTTCTTTGGCTCGCATAAATTCCGTCGAATCCATGATTTTGCTGGGTCCCTGGACATTGCCGTGTGAATGAACTCCGCAGTCTACTCCGTACCTAGCAAAGATGCATTCACTCAGAGATACTATCGCTGCACCCATATTATGTTGGTCCAAAGCATCTTGGCGCTGTATCTTGCAGAATGCGACGCCTATTTTATTCTAGTCATGTTCCGCATTGCCATCTATTAACATTAATTTCCATATGTAGAATCCCATTATTTTAGGTTGGCTTAAGATGACGGCTGCGTATTACTTGAGCTCTACTTCTCCTTCAATGCTTTGTTCCATACTACCCAGTACAGATATCTGCTCTTGAAATGCCGTTGGATATATCGCGGAGGTATTACTTATGACTTTAAGCTGCTCATTGGGCCATACCAACCACCGCGCCCACGGTGTCCCTAAATAAGTCGATATTGACTCAATCAAAAAGCGTCCGGAAGGACCAAATACCCAGAAATGCCGTAAACGATGCAAAAGAACGGCGTGGAAAGATAATATGATGAGTGCCTCGGGTATTCGTTGCCCGAGCATTTCCCCAAACCTGGCTGGTATGAGAATTGAAAACGCGACGGTGAAGTGCACCCGAGTTGCTGGACTGATGCGATGGAGCTCGAAAATCCACTGGAGAATCTCAATAGCCTCAAGACACACGTCTTTATCGGATTCTTCGAGATCACATGCGTCAATGAGAGAGATTACATCATCACATTCCTGAGGCCGCCGCTTGCCAAGGCCCCTGGCCACCGAGAAGTCCCTATGCCCAACGATCCCATCAACGATGTCTTTGATGGTTGGCCATGCTTTTTGTATTACCGCGCGCACACCTTGATGGACCGGAAAGTAGGTGCCGAGTCGTTCGAGGAAAGAGTTGAAGTCGCTGCTATGAAAAGTCTCAAACATGACCTGAAGGCCAAGAAGCGAAGCATACAGAAACCAGGCGCAAGAATTTTGCTGAGACATGGCCAATTCGGACCTGTTGAAGAGTGACAACGCTCGCGTCTGGAGTTCCGTTGCTTTGGTGCGGAAGATTTGTTGCTGTCCCTGGTGAACAGTGCTCAAGTGTGCCGCCGATAGGGCAAGAAGTTGATCCATGAGATAAGGGTTGGCGAGAGCGCATTGCATCACCACTCTACGCGTCGATGAGGGTAACGGCAGGATGCTCGCTTTTTCAAGCCCGCGTGATTCCAAGTGGTGAAGCAACTCAAGATGCCCCATACCGTACGCTTGATCTCGCCACTCCTGAGTAACCCATGGTAGATGCGGCGGAACCGCAGACGGCGATGGCGACGGCGAAGGTGTCGGCGTCAATAGTGGTGCTGCTGGTTTTGTTCGAAAGGGGCGATAGGACGGGCGTGTGTGGCGGTATGAACAGGAGCGGTTGGTGATGGAACAATTCAGGCAAATTGGAGAACTCTCGTCGCATTTTTTATGGCGCTGCTTGCATTCTCTACATCCGTGCCGGGACTTGCGGTGAGAGCTACGCATGATTGAGTTGTAGAGAAGGCGAGCGTAGAATCTCAGATGGAAGAGGACGAACAAATGCGTTGGTTATGAAGCTAGGGCGGATCTCTGCGATTTAACAATGAGGAAACTGTAAATAACAACCCGAAACTGATGAGCCACGACGAGTAATTATGATTTAGCAGACAACTTTAGGCGTACAGTACGTGTAGTTGATACGGTGTGCTCCATAAACTCAGCCACAAACTGGTCGTGTTGCCCCCGCTGTATGGTAACCCCGTATACAGAAATACGCTTGAAGGAGAGAGAAGAGGGCCCACACTTACATTGACGAACTTGTCATTTTTTGTCTATCAATTAGAGTTATATTTTTCTATCTTACGGATGAAAAACGTGTAGTTGATAGGTCGTACAAAGGAGAAGGATGTAAAGGAGTTGTGGTATTGATGTTTCGAATGCTCGCTACCCTGTAAAATGATTATATACGGCGTGTAAAAAGCCACACACGTTTTAAAGCCTGAAATTACCCTCCAGCAGAATATTAACCGCCTCTTCCCAGCCTCGAGAGGAGGCAATGTCAATGACGTTTCGCCCCTGATCATCCCTGGCCTCTAGATCAACACTGAACTTGCTACTCAAAAGTTTCAGTATTCTCATATCGCCATTTTCGATGGCCTGCATAAAAGCGTTCCAGCCGCGGTACACCTTGTTAGGATTTGCGCCCTTGTTGAGGAGCATTTCCAGAATCTCGGTATCGTCGCCACGGCACCTTCTGACGGCCTTGACAATAGGGAGATGCTCACCAGGAGCATTCAGATCTGCATGGCCATCAGTGATGAGGAATTCGACCATCTCCTTCATGTCTTCGCGGATAGCCGTGGTCAATGGAGAGAAGACTCCGCCGTTCTTATCCTCTACCGAAACACCTGCTGCGAGCAACAGCTTGACAGACTCAATCTGATTTGCCGCTACCGCCATTTCCAAAACACCTTTGTATGCGCGTGGCTCAGCAAGCACCGACAGGATGCGCCTCAGAATGGGTGGGCTTCGCACAGCCATGCATACTGGCCAATCTTGACCTCGCTTGTTGGGGTCAGCTCCCCTAGCAAGCAGGACTTCAATCATTTCCATGCGGGTTTCCCGAATGGCGGTTGTCAGTGGGGAGTATCCCTTAGGACTTCTCTCATTTGGATCAAGGCCTTGATCCAACAGCCATGACAGCGCTTCCATATTGTTCGAGCTGACTGCCGTCTCCATGATTCCTTTGGGAGAATGCAAATCTGCACCTGCAGCCACAAGTGCTGGCAGTAGGTGGACACGATTATGCGTAACGCACTTGAAAGTAGGATACTCGCTAGCATTGACGTTTGGATCAGCGCCACTGCTAAGCAGCAACTGAAATATGTCCAGTCTATTGTCGCGAATTGACGTGCAGAGGGGAGTATAGACACCGTCCTTCTTGGCATTAGGATCCACTCCAGCTTTCAAGAGCACGCGGACAGCTTCGATATTATTGAGACTGGTTGCCAACTCCATAATGCCGGGGCATTTCTTATAGTCAGCGCCGTGGCTAAGAAGCAGTTGCAGGCAAGGCGTCTGGTGTGCGGCCGGCCAGAGCATATGCTTAGGACCAGGGAGGTTTGGATCTGCTCCGTGGCCTAAGAGACTGCCCACAATGTCAACCCGACCAGCGTTGATTGCGTCGAAGAGGGCCGTCTTGCCTTCTCTGTTCTTCTCGTTTGGATCAACCCCGTAGTGGAGTAGAAGGTCAATCATCCGCTTTGGAGTCTTCTTGTTAATCGATGCAATGAGCAGAGTGTTGCCATCCGGAGTACCTTGTGACAAATCTCCGCCATACATGAGCATAAGATGCGACAAGCTGACTTTATTGGTCGTGATAGCGGATGCGAGCGGAGATTCCAACTCCGACCCGGCGAGGAGATTGGGATCCGCTCCATACTTGAGAAGAGTGATTGCTCCAGAGAAAAACATCTTTTGAACAGCTGCATAGAGTGGCGTGATACCATCGGCGTCTGCTTCGTTGGGGTTTGCTCCGAAGAGAAGAAGAAGTCGAACACTTTCGGAATCATGGAGATTCACGGCCTCCGTCAGGGCTGCATGGGGAGCCACTCCTCTATCCAGCAACTGCTCAATCAACTTGTGATTCTTTCCACGAACAGCGGAGATGATGCTGCCTCTGAGATTTTCGGCGTCTGAGCCTCCCGTACTGCGAGGTGTCCAGCGAGGCATTGTAAATGGATCGACCTTGAGCCTTACGGGGGTCTTTGACTTTCCAAGTTCCATACCAGCCAGTTCCTCCAGGAGCGCATCTGACTCTGAGTTTCCAGTGTGTGAAGATGCATCTCCGATAGTGCTAGCCCGGTCAAAAGCTGGGGCAATAGCAGAGTTGGCTCTCTCCGATATTATCGAGCTTGGGGTAGTCATGCTGTAGTGGTGAAGAATGTCGTCGGACGGGCCACGCGAAGCTGGGAAAGGCTTGTTTCCTAGACTAGAGTCAGGCCGGCGAGAAGATGATCTTTCGCTCCATGCAGCTGATGAAGCAAGCATTTGCTGGTGTTGTCCATCGACGGCCAGCATCCCATGGTTCAAAGGAGACGGACGATGACGGGACAGATCCGGCTCGGAAGCCTTCACCTTAACGCGACCGGAATTGTCGTCCAGCCTGTCCAATGCCGCAGCTAGTCCAGTGAAACCAATACCCATACCGCGTTCAATCTTTTCGGTACCCAAAGTCCACTGGAACAGCAGCGCGCTCATTCTTAGGCCTTCTTTTGTGCGTTCAAGAACCGACGTCATTTTGTCAACATCTGTGTCTCCGAATATTTTCCCCCATCCGCGTCTCATTTTTCCCATGGTGCCCTTGCGCTCATATTCCAAGAGCTTGCTGAGCATCTGATCCAGGATATTGAAGTCTGACTGGGCCACCCGGAGCTTCTTGTCCAGTTCCACAACAACATCGGGTGGTAGTTCGGGAGTTGAGCGTCCACATTCTGCGAGGCCAGCTTCAATGGAAAAGAGAATTTGGCAGGTATCAAGGAACAAGTGCGCTAAACGATCGAAGTTTGGTGAAAGTTGCTTGACTGTCGTCAGATATTCGAGCATGCGAACGGAGGTGCGATCTCCGTTGGCAGCAACGACATGACAGAGCTCGCTGCATTTGACGAGGGCTTTCGACGCCTGGCGCGACATTTTCGTAGGCTTTTTGATGGTCGCTTGCGGTTTTGAATTTGAATTTGAAGAGGTTTCAATATTAGTGGTGCTTGCGGCTTTGGGAACCGGCGTGGCCAAAGGCGGAGGAGATTTCGGTGTGATCGGATCGATCGGGTGAAAAACAGTAACAGGCCCGGAGAGGAGCTCGTCGGTGTTTAATGTAAATGGTTCCTTCTGGGGAGTGAGAGAAAGAGCCTCAAAAAAGTCAAACTGTTGGACAGACTCTTCTTTGGGCACAACAACTCCTGGTTGATGAGTTGAAAGCATTATGCCCAACGAAACAGCATTGCTCCAATAGCTCGGGAAATGGGGGGAGGGACGGCAGGAGCAGGCAGAATTTGAACAGCTATTTAACCTATGACAGTCCGATTCAGCAAGTACTCTAAACTGCACATTTTGATCGATTTTGAATCGAATACTAACTCACATTGCCTCTTTGGCGTCCAGGCCATCATCGCAACTCCATAGTGGCCACGAGGGACAGGGATCGCCCATGTCTAATTAGTGTAGCCTCTCCACATCCCAACAATAGTCTATTCAGCTTTTCTTGGATTGGCGAATCACACTGCCCGCCATCTTGGCCTGGCCTCGGCCATGTGGAGCCGAATGGTGTAGCTCACGGATCACAGCAGCAGCATCCGCGCTTCGTATTCCACAGCTCAAAGGTCAATGGCCTGCCTGTGCGTCCACTAACTATGACTGCTGAAACACACTATCAAGACGCGAACATTTTGCTGCCTCTGCTAAGGCCGGATAACGAAAAAGTCTGACGCCTCGATCCAGGGGTTTCGGGCATAAGGGGAAGGTATAGGCTTAGAGTTGAAGCCTTTCCGGCTGCTAGCAGAGACACTGTCATGCACTCCACTTGCCAGAGTCCCGCGTGATTGTGCATCTCAACTACCGAGGATGCCATCAGACTTCCCGTCATCCACTAGTTGAGCTACTCGACGAATGCTTGCCAGTATCGTAGTAAACCCCCCAATGACCTGGAGATTCAAGCCGGCATTGAGAGTGAGAACGTTCCGGCTTACGTGCATACTCGATCTTGATGTTGTGGAGTTGCGGCCCCGCAGCTCCCTTTCTTGCAGCTCTAGCTACGGAGCAATAACTGTCTCACTCTGTCCAGCCGCGGCCTCTCAGTCTGGTCTGGAACAGATGTCTTTGTGGTGGCAATTAGTCGCCGAGAAAAAGCACTGAGGACGCGTTGCACGTGGTCCTCTTGTTTTATCGCTTCAAAGTAGCGCTATTTACAGCTCCGTACTTGAAAATTGATGCCATCTAGCTCAAGTAGCTAGCTCGGCCGGTCTAGTACGAAAAAGAAAAGATATTTGAGCACTAGCAACTTTCAGCCACTATGAGATTTGATCTAGATCGAAGTGAGCTTGCCGCCGGCGTAGAGCAGCGTCATAGAAAGAAGTACAGGGAGTACGTAACATATCAGTTATCTCATGGTGATCTGTCTAAGGATTGGTCAGCGATCGGTGTATGAAATGATTACCTAGGTATTCAGGTTACGTGGGCTCTCAGCTTAGGTCGTCTAAAGCGAGAATACGGTGGTACAGAGAGCAATAACCTCCGATCAAGTACCATCGAGGTTGGCTTAAATTTGTAGTCCGTATTTAGACCATAACGATAATGCTAAAAAGCCTAGATCTTCTAGGCATCCTCATTTTCAGGCCGGCTGCGATGGCGGGGCCAACATCCATTCCATCCCGCTTGACTCCCTTGCATACAGCGTCGGGCAACCGCCTCGCCTCCTGAATCCCTCGACTGTCGGCTAACATCGCGAAAACGGGAACATTTTAAAACAAGGTATACTATATTCAGACATTGGAAGGACCGCCACAGTTTCCACTAAAGCCTGCATACACACTTCCGTCCAACGGCAACATGTTCGATCTATGCACTCTTGCAGGGAATTGAGAGACAGAGAGCGAGGTTGAGGTTAGATTAACCGGCTCTCTGTATCACCAGGGGGTTCCCGTTTCGCTAATTCTCCCTGCAGATGAGGCGCATCACAGCGGAAGCCTGGTGCCTTAAATTAATTGCTTCTTCTGACAAGTGAAAGTACAGAGTATGTTACGCATTTGCTCCACTAGACTGCAAGGCGTCCTCCGTCCACCGGCAAATTTACACCCGTGATGAATGCAGCCTCATCGCTGGCCAGGTATATCGCCGCCTGCGCAATATCATTGGGCTCTGTCATACGCCTCAGCGGCACAGATAACGCAAAACGCTCCCTTTCCTCAGGGGTATCGGCGACGCCACTGAACATCTCGAGGAGTCCTGTTGCGCCCCTTAGAGGACATAGAGAGTTTACGCGGACGCCGCACGGCCCGTACTCGGCCGCTAGGCCTTGTGTAATCTAACAGAGTTGTAGTTAGCTATATTTGGATAGCATTTGACAAATTATATGGCAGAAAACATACCGTGTTTAAGAATCCTTTGGTACCTCCGTAGAATACCTGACCGGGCCGCACCCTAGTTCCAGCCACGGACGAAGTGTTCAGGTAAACCCCATACTTCCTCTCGAGAAAATAGGGCATTATTACAGACACGCTTAGGTAGATTCCCTTGACGTTCACGGCAATGATCCTATCAAAGTCCGCTTCCGAGACATCTACACTGGGTTGCTTCCTGTACGTTGTGCCGGCATTATTGACAACGATATCGAGCTTCCCATAGTTCTCTTTCGCAAATGCCAGACCACTTTCCCAAGCACTTCGGTTTGTCACATTGAACTCCAAAAAAGCAGCAGATCCGCCGCCAGGATATTTCTTATCCGTAATTTCTCGAACGACTCTCTTGCCTCCCTCAACGGCGATATCTGCGACTATCACATGGGCGCCTTGAGCGACAAATCCATGTGCGATGGCTTCTCCAAACCCAGACCCCGCTCCGGTAATGATGGCAACTTTTCCCTCAAGTCTAGCCATGCTGGGTGGCCTATAGAGAGAGATGAGGATGTTTTTAAAAAGGATAAAGACGTCAAATTAATGGTATAAGTATGACTGCAGTGAGTACTGCAAGGTAGCAGTATAAATATTTGACGACTTATATTCGGAACAATGTTACTTTTATGTTACTTATAATTCGAATAGTATTCTCAATAGATCCTCATTGTTTCTTCTGAGGATCGGCGTATAAAGTGAACTTCATGGGCTAAACACCCCGCAATTCAGGGTAAAACAAACCCGACGGACCTTTGACCTCCGGTCAAATATGATCCTTTCGGATACTGAGGTCCCGGTACTAGTGTATTTGGTAAAAGTGACTAAATCTCCGGGTGGAGGGATCATGAGACTTATATTGTATTATCCTCCCAATACTTTTGTTTCTCCCCTGTATTTGCTTATATAGTTACTTATTGAGTCTTCCTATTTGAACAGATAAAAATTCCTATTTGAACAGACATGGCCCGTGCACTCGACAACCTTGAAATCCATTAACATTTATAACAGCTATAAAATGCTTTTATTAAAATAAAAAAAATATTTAAAAAATATATTTTAATAAAATAATACTAAATCTACTTATAAATATTTTTAAAACATTTATTTTTAATTTTTTAATTATAATTTTTTAATATTAAAATACTAAAATTTTAAATAAGTGTCTTTTGGTGAAAAATTAAGATTATAATATAAAATTAAAATAATAATATCTTATTTATATAAATAATATATAAGTATTAAGTGCATGGATATATATATAATATTTAGTAAAAAATCTTATATTAAAGTTATCTTAGATTTCTAGCTTATTTACATAGTTAAAATAAATTTCAAAAAGAGAATATATAAGATTATGTAATAATTAAAATGATTCTATTTTTAAAATATTTATTTTAATTTCTTATTATAGTTATTTTTATATTTAAAGTTGGAAGTGGTTTTAGAAATTTCAAGTGCACGGACCATTTAGTGCGGGGCACAGACCATATCTGTTCAAATAGGAATTTTTGTCTGTTCAAATAGGAAGACTCTACTTATTTTTCTCGTATAACTTAATCATGAACAGAGGAAAGTCTAAAGCGCGTTGAATGATATCGTACTAACCATAAGCCGCGCCAAATTTACTTGGCTAAGAAAATTACTGGCTGCTATAAGTGTCCAGATGCTGTTTTCTTGGATGCATGACAAACGATGTCGCTGACGTTCTTCGTTCATGCAGGATTAGGCGCCGATATTATCCTCATCTACCAAGTCGCTGCATCTGTGCTGTATTATTGGTATAATTATCCCCAACCTCCAACTACCAACCTACGACATATGCTGACCATCATCTGAAGGTATATCGGTATTCATGCCCACCATGTCCGGCAGCATGTCACCGAAAGAGTGAGACTGGCTGCCCATGAACCCATACAGAACGTCTTCATTGAAAGACCCATTCCAATTGCCCCAGTCCCAGTCTCCTCCTTCTATATATTCATCAGAAAGAGGCAATGGAAACCCAGGATTTTCGACATCCGCCTCTTGAGGCAACGATGCATCTGCATCATTTGGTCCCATGTCTGGGCAATCAATTCCATCGTCTCCAGGCGAGATTGCAACCCCTTTTGCTTCCATCAATTTTTTGATGATTATAATGGGACGCGAAACTGCTGAATTAGGTATCGACAGCTCCTCTAAGCATCTGAGGCTCCACGTTAAGAGAGTCGAGTGATCACTATCCCTTCCTCCAACTGCCGCTGCATTTCGCACGTGGATGGTGCAAGCCACGTAAACCCCGTAGCTAATGAGGTATGGAGCTGATCGTAGACTGTATCTAGCCCTGTATTCTTGGGCAATATTTGTGATATTCCTTGCAGCTATGGTGCATCTCTTCCAAGATGCAGTGGGAGCTCCTGATGGTAGATTCAAGTGACCCTCAGCAAGAAGTGGTCGATGGAGAAGAATTATGACTGCGTTATAGATGATGTGTAATGCGAGTATGTTAGGAACCGCACGACGGCTATTCAGAGAAGCTCCTGATGAAGGATCTAACTGAATAGGACTGGGAAGATTTGCTTCCCACTTGTTCAGCGCCGCATCTATACCATCCAAGCTCGCCATGGCTTCGGCTGGGGTCGCTCCAACCACATAGAAATTATCTATGATACGTGAAACGATCTTGAATAGTAGGCAAAGCTGTTGGAAACAAGAGACAGAGTGTATAGGACCGTAGGGAATGCTTGGCGTCTGAGAAGAGCTGCTAGGAGTAACGGGGTCGACATATGGAGCCCATGGCTCATTCTCCTCCATAATGTCATTCAGCTCGTGGGATACATGGGCATCGCGAGGTCTGATGGCAACTGGGCGACCAAGATACAGACTCTGAAGCTTGTCGCAAATAAAAGCGCCCCAGAACACACGCCGATAGATCTCAACCTCCTCTGCATTCTCCAGCGTAATTTTGTGGTTGAGATGAAGCCCTAGATCGTAGACCATGCGCGACGCAGCCCCTGTCAGCAGCCATGCTTTAGTTGTCATTCCCTTGGCGTTGTAGGTCCCCCCTAAGAGCAAAAGGCCAACTATTGTTGGTAAGCTGGGCGATAGTAATAAGTTGCCACTGGACATCAGCTCATCACAACGTTTAAAGAAGCGTCCTCCCGAGGTACTCGGATCCGTTGGGTCGTCCAAGACTTCCAATCGACAAGAAAATTTGCTCGCACAGGCAAATATAGCGTTGAGGAGAAATTTGGACGAGAATCGACCCCCCTGCGCGATGTCGCGCATTAATGCCGGGCGATATGTCAAGAGAAAAGTGTGATGTTGCCGGTTCCAGTGTAAGTCGAGTAGATGAATCGCAAGATCTATGGGCACTCCATCTAACGAGCTCAAAAGTCGTAGGCGATGTTCTTGTTGCCTCGAAAGAACAGCGTTGGCCAAAAGTCCGTTTCGCACGTATACCAAAGCTACCGGATCCTGGTGCTCTTCTGGTTTGATACACGACTGAAGAGCAGAAGAAGGACCGAATACATTTACATTTCCCCCCTCATCAGTCCATAAATAGGGGGATGAGCTATTTCTTCGGGATCGTGAGCGGTTGGTCGACCCGAAATCGACTGGTTGGGAGTGCTGGCCCTTGATCGTTCCTCGCAAAGATCACGCCACGACTTCAGACGCTCATCAGCCGTCTGTGCTGGCTCAATATTGGTGTCAGATTTCTCTAACTGCCCCGTTTCCTTGATTTGTCGGATTTGTCTTTTCAAGTACTCATTTTCTGCTCGCAAATCGTCCAGCATGGCCCGTGTAGGCCTGTCTTCTAGGTTAGCTGAATGACTTGTATAATTCAACGGCTCAATTGATGACTGTACCTTGCCTTTGGTGCTTGATGTATGTAGACGCATTCTTTCCCGTGCTTCAGACAAGATGCACAGGATGGCTTCTGTGCGCTGCAACGGACTTTTCGTATGCGACAGAACTCGCAGCTACGGGCCAGAATACGGCGCTTACCACCTTGCCTATCAGACATTACTAATACTGAGACAATTTCCTGATGCTCAGAGACATGGGTGTATATTGGGTCGCTGGGAGGATCATTGAGTATGGGGTAAGAATCTGGGGTATGGGGTTAACAAGCCGACATGTAGACGGATACTTATACTCCGTCAATTCTAATGTGCATTATGTCCGATAATTCGATCGGAAAATACGGGAATAATACCCCAATTAATACGCCACATGCACATGCATCCACTGCGAAGTGACAGGCCTGGCGCGAGACTTAAAACCCTGAGGCCTCTCTTTCTCTTAGCCTAATACTAGCTCCGATTGGCAATACTTACTCAAGACCGAGTTTGGGCTGGCGGTCATAGTAATGTTTACAAGATTTTGCAATACCTTTCTCTCAATATTATATTACAATATGCAAGGAAATCTGCTTCGAAATCGCTTGTCATAGTTCATGTTGCGCTATAACTGCCCTATTAATGTTATTAGGTTTCTGGATGTTTTGATGAGGGACTGTGATGTTGCAATTTAAAAAATGTTAACGTATGTTGACGGAGCAAAGAGATGTGCTCACTTCACAACGACACGGCAATGAACTGTAAGAATAGAGCTACGGAGTACATTAAGTGATATTTGTGAGACACATCCACTGAGTCTCTGAATAGGAACAATGTATTACTTTAAACAAATTAATCTCACAGAGTGTACTTGAAGAACGGACTCTTGTCCCCGTCGTCCTTTCGCTCTTCATCCAATTGCTCCCGATCCCCCACTGGGATTGATTCAATCAAACGCTCGTCGGCGCGATTAGCCCAGAGCAACAAGCATAGTTGAGCGATAGCTGTCACGATACCAGCTGCGAAAAATGACGCCAGCACCAAGTAGGCAGTGCGAAACTCTGGACCTTCCCTGCTCAAAAAAATGTTCGACCCAACGACACCGCCAATCACATTGCCCAGTGTGAATTCCAAAGCCATTCCAATAGATCGCTTCCATTGTCCAGCCAAGTTGTTCGAGATCCAGCAGACGATACCGGGAATAGTAGGAAATAGCCCGCTTGCTACCAAGAAGTTTGCGAAATAAACGACACCTGGCTTCTCCCTTGGCGAAATGACGAGGCAGATGATTAGACCGGAAAGGCCAACCAAATATGGTATCACGATGGATTGAAAGCGTTTCTGAATCTTGTCGGCAACAATGGCGTTTAAAACACACATGATACAGGCAAATGCGTAAATCGGGATGGTGAGAAGTTGAGCGTTCGCAGCTGTATATCCAAGGAGATTTATAGTTGTCGGTAAGCTGTAGGAGAGAGAATATGTTCCAGTAGAAATGGTGAAGAACATGATCTTGATGAGATAAGTCAGAAGTGAGAGCGTTGGAGATATGTTGAAGCAAAACTCACACATCCTAGATAAACCTTGATGTCTCCAAAGGCTTGCTTTAAATACTTCATTTTGAACTCGGGCTCTTTATATCCGCTCTCGTGTCCATCAAATTGCAACCGTAGCTTAATGAATCTTTTTTCTTCATCTGTAAGCCATTTGACATCGTCTGGAGTATCGCATATGAAAGGAATCGACGCTAGAGCTATAATAATGGATAGCAGACCTTCCAGGATGAAGATCCATCTCCATCCACTATAACCTCGAATTCCTGAAGTTTTGCGTTAGATATCTTGGCTATTCATCTCCGCTCGGTACTCTTACCATGCATAAAACCGATTCCATACGCCAAAAGGCCAGAAAATGATCCTGCTAAACTTGCCGCCGTGTAAAACAGAGCCACTCTAAAATGCTGCTCGTACCGAAGATACCATGTTGTGCAAAGGTAGGTGACTCCAGGAAATAGGCCAGCTTCCGCCACGCCGAGAAAAAAACGACCAGCCAAAAGACCAGAGTAACTTTGAGTCCAACCCATACACATCAATCTAAGTATGGTTAGAGTGATATTCCAATTATTAAATAGGCTCTGAGCCGCAATGTTTGTGTAAGTCTAGAGGAACACTCACGCAACTCCCCAAATGGCCATAATTCCAGGCAGCCAGATGGAAGGCTTTGTAAACTTGAGGCCAAGATTACTCGGAACTTCAAATAGGCCATAAGGGAAGAAGAAAATGGTCAAGCACCTGTGCATGTTAGTCTCTATTCATCCTATGGGCCGTGAACCACTTACCAGTTGAATTGGCTGTGAGACAAATGGAGGTCAGCTTCAAGGCCTTGGAGTCTCGCATTGCCTATGTTGGATCGATCCATGAAAGATATAAGGTAGAACACTGTCAAAACAGGCAATAATCTCCAATCAATCTTTCGGAGCAGTTCTTTCTGGCGTTTGGTATCAAACTTACTTAGAAGATGTTCGTATTCATCTCGTTCATTGGCGAAAGAGACAGTCTCTACATCGTCTCGCTGTTCTTCAATTGGGTTCTCTCCAAAATCCATTGTGGGCTAGAATCGATTGAGAAGAAGGTTAGCTGACGTTGATTACTAGAAAAAAAGGCATTTGCCGATTCAGTGAACTACATCATGGAATATTGAGTCAATAAATATACTAGAAATAGTAGAGGAAATGTTTCAGGTGGCGTCGCGGACAATCTGAGTCCGCATGGAGCAAGATGGCCCGTTTCCTGTTTGCGGGGACCCCAAGATCGCGGGGACACCGAGATCGCGGAGATGTAAAAGAACCGATTACTATTCTAGAATTTCTCACCGGATCGCATTCTTGTCTATACTGCCTCAGAATATGGCCCCGGACGCGAACTAATTATCACTAGGTTTCAGTGATTCTATTACCTCCGTGGGCGTTTGGAGAGCGGCCCTTCACCGACCGAAATACTAGAACCGACCGGATATTAGACACACGTATATAACTGGCCGAGGCTCTAGTAGTTAATCAGTTCTAGTTACCTACCCTAACCTTTTACCCGTTCACGACATAGACGCCTGGTACCATGTCGTCTCTTTTCGCCAACATCGTTCAGCGCCCTCTCACACAAGCAGAGAAAGCAATCAATTCGGATCCTGAGATAGCCCTCTCAGCAAATGACCTGAATCTTCATTTTGCCCTAAAGTCTAACGACTCTGCTTTGATCCATGTCGTGTCCCAGACAGGGAAATTTACTCTCTCGTTGGGTGTGGAAACCTCGACGGAAGCATTCATACTGAATGCCCCTGAAGAGTCATGGCGCGGATTTTTCGATAAACAACTTCGACCACCATTTCAAAGCTTTTGGGGAATGCTTCGTATCCTCAGTCCTGACAAAGGGGTCCTTATCAGTGGGGATAACGAAGCATTTGCCAAATTCTGCCGGGTCTGGCGGCTTGTCTTGGATCACTTACGGGATGCTGTTCATGGACGTCCAAGGATAGTCGCCTCAGCAGCCTCGTATGAAGAAGGAACTGAAGATGATGACATTATCGGTCGCTATATCTGGGTTGATACTGCATACGGAAAGACCAAAATCTTCTGCGAAACGGCGGGCAGCGGCCCCCAACATGTCTTATTTCTGCATACTGCTGGAGCCGACGCGCGCCAATTCCATACTATCATGAACGATAAAATAGCACAGGAACGATGCTCCATGTATGCCTTTGATCTCCCTGGCCATGGGCGGTCGTATCCCGGCGCAACCCAGTTGCCAGGAAGTTATAGACCAAATGAGGACTCGTATATTGATATCATTGAGAAAGTTCTCCGGAAGCTCACTCTTCATCGACCCATTGTCTGTGGCGCAAGCATGGCAGGCCATATTTGCCTCGCTGTTGCTATGCGAGCCGATGAGATAGGTGTCGGCGGTGTAATCCCATGCGAGGCATCTGATCATGTCTCTGCGTTGGTAGATCATTACGCCGTCGGCACTCTTCTAAACGAATCTATTCTAAATCCTGAGCGTGTCTGTGGCCTTATATCCCCTACGGCACCAGCGATTTACCGTCAGTTAACATGGTGGATTTATTCTTCACAAGCCACTGGTATCTTCCCTGGCGATTTAAAGTTTTATTTTAACGGGTGGGATGGAAGGGACCGAGCTCGTCTTATTGACACGAACAAATGTCCCGTGTACATGCTTACAGGCGAGTACGACTACAGTTGCACAGTGGCGGCAAGCAGAGCCACTGCAGAAAAGATCCCAGGAGCTGTCTTTGAAGAGATGAAGGGATTAGGGCACTTTCCAATGACTGAACAGCCTGCAGTTTTTCTGCTGTACTTTTTACGCGCCTTGGATTTCGTCCAGCAGTCAAATGTTGTTCCGAGTTAAAGATGTTGTGGCGGATTCTCAATGGAATAGGCCCAACTGGTAATAACAAGACTACATCTTTAGAAATTTTCGAGGAAATGTTGAGTTGGTTATCCGATAATCTCGCTGCTTGCAATGAATTGTATGGAAGTGTCCACCCTCAGCAATTGCCTCCCGTATCATCATTTCCATTTTGGACGGCTACGGACCCAAAGCTGCCGAAGCTAACACCTGGAAATCAGGAACGCCAATTCCTCGTACTAAATATCGCTCAGAGGACATAATCCTATGGAAATCAGAGGCATTACATGGATGTGCGATTTTGCTTTTCGAAGCGGCGGATTACCGAGCCTGCCCGTTGACGCGGTTTGTTGGTATGGTATCTCAACGACGGAACATGTCTTCCCGTGCCATATGATGCGGGCCCATTCCCGAATTTGAGCGAAGGCATTATTTTATACTTCGTTCGTAGAATCAATGCCTTGGTTATTTAATTTATTTGAACTCATTACCTTTTATCCCTATTTTGTGAACCGCTCAAGAAACCGCATTCATAACCATAGCGATGAGCTATGAAGCAGGTATACTTAACTGAGGTATTCGGCGTCGATTTCTGTTAATTTCCTATTAGACAGGTGCAAACATAACATCCAAGCAGGGATCTACCCCGGCAATTTCCTTTGTGTCTGGGTCATTTGCTGGCGGTGTAGAGTGTCTCGTCACAGTTAGTTGATCGGTAGACGGATGTCGAGGCGGACAATTGACAGCGGCATAGTATCCATTTGAGTTTGCAAAGACAAGCATGCAACTACAAAACACTCATATCGCAAGCAGCCCTTTAGTTGTTCTAAGGCAATTGATTCGCACGCAAGGAGTCGCTGCATTGTACACAGGATGCAGTTCACTGGTGTTGGGTACCATGTTGAAGTGTGGAGTGCGCTTTTTCTTCTTCGAAAACATAAAGCTACAGCTCACAAATGTGGTGCCCAGTGATTCGGTTCTCATGCATAACGTTTTGGCCGGCATGGGAGCCGGTGCCGCCGAGAGCCTGCTGGCCGTTACACCGAGCGAGCGCATTAAGACGGTATTGATTGACGATGCAAAAACGGGCAAGAAGCAATTGAGAGGCGGTCTGCATGCGGTGCAAGTAATATTCCGTGAGCAAGGGATCAAGGGACTGTTTAACGGTCTGTTACCAACAACTCTAAAACAGTCGATGACCTCGGCTGCGCGAATGGGTAGCTACAGCACACTCAAGCACATAGGCCGAAAGTATGGCGTGGAGAACAACTCGTTGACGACTTTTGCCATGGGTGCAGCTGCTGGTACGTTTACGGTTTATGCAACTCAACCATTTGACTCCATTAAGACGCGGTCACAAGCACTGAAAAGCTCGGGGACGATCGCCGCTGCTCGGAGTATCATCAATGACTATGGATTCAGGGGACTGTGGCGCGGTAGTACAATGAGACTTGGACGCCTTCTTCTGAGCGGTGGAATAGTATTTACTGTATATGAAAATACTCGCGAAATGATCGAGGCTGCTCTACATTAACAGCGTAAAACTTTATAGAATTTATAGAACATTGTTACCAGGTGATAGTCCTAATTCTCAGTTGATTCATGCTGGCTTTGCGGAGTACACAAGTAGTTACAGGGTTGAGAGAGTGTCATTGTCACTATTACAGCTTGGTGGAGGGGTAAGGGCGGCTCGGTGGAGAGCTGGAAGTAATCACTGCACGCTTGCAAGTAGGATGGACGTCAGCGTTGTGAAGATGTTAGTAGATTGGTACAAAGCCGGCATTAGAACTCCATGATTCAGCAAATGTGCAACATATAAATCTCATCAATATAATTAGTGTTTTTGGGTCATAATTACTACTGAATGAAAACAGGGAGACATAACCTCAACAGTACATGAATATGAAGAAATGAATAGAGGGGTAAAGTTACATCTTCCGTCTGAGAAGGAAAAGACTGAAGACTTCAATCCAGGCCAGCTCACAACTTCGAGGGACCTATTCGGTGAATCAATACCCACGGGATGGTGCGTATGGATCCGAAGGCTACAACATCTCCCCGCAAATCTTCAGTTTGTGAGATTTTCCATTTCGGCTTAAACAACGAGGGGTTGTGCTTTGCTACCCCGCGATGGGGCCCAGATTTTCTCAACGGAGAGTCTTGTGGTATTTCTTACGTCGAGCCGATTCTTAATATCTACTTTCTCAAGCTGCACACTCTCAACTGGTAATGACGGAACACCTTGCTCCGAAGCTAGCCACCAATTGTTTATGCGGGAATTCGACAACATCCGTGGAGAATAACAAGGCAATATCCGCTTTTTGTCGATGCTCTCGGAGACTTCTGGTCCGATGGTAAAGCTTGGGCACATGGAATCCAGGACAGGCTGCTCTCATGAATAGAGATCAGCCTCCCGGCGTGATATAAACTAGGAAGTAAACCTTGGTCTGTGAAGTTATTCAAGTCCATCTTACAACCTCTTAAAGAAGCTATTTCTTTCAAGACCTGCACTAGATGCATTCTTCGCCGCCGCTCTCTACATCATCTCAAGATCCCCGCATATTTTCATCCTCATTATCACCATTACGTTGTCGCATGCAGCCGTTGACTTGACCATTGAATCATCGAATCATCCCTACACCAATGGGTCTACTACTGAAAGAAGTGGAAGTCCTTGTTGTGGGAGGCGGCAATGCTGGATTCAGCGCTGCCATCTCGGCAGCAGAGTCCGGGGCTAAACGCGTGATGCTTATCGACGCATGCCCCGAGCATTGGGCCGGAGGAAACTCATACTTCACAGCCGGCGCATTTAGAACCGTTTACCATGGCCTGGATGGCCTGCTTCCAATTGTGAACAATGTGGACAAAGCCATGGTAAAGAAAATTGACATGAAAGCTTACACCGCCGACGATTTCACGCAAGATATTCATCGCATCTGCAGCGGTCGGTCTGATCCCGAGCTGTCTCAAATCCTTGTGCACGAGTCAAACGCTGCAGTCAAGTGGCTTGCTAAACATGGTGTGCGGTTTCAACTTCCTTTCAACCGACAGGCTTATGAGGTTGATGGCCGGTTCAAATTCTGGGGCGGTCTATCGCTGAAGACACAAGATGGAGGCAAAGGCTTGATTGAAGATCTCCGACGAGCCGCGAATACACTTGGAATACACGTTGTCTTTTCCACGGCCGCTAAACGTTTGGGAGTTGACGCACGAATTGGTTCTGTTCGGTCTGTTTTCGTGCAGACTGCTGACGGTATCGAGCAGGAGATCCGAGCTACAGCAGTCATTCTGGCGGCAGGTGGATTTGAGGCCAATTCTCGGATGAGGGCGCAGTATCTTGGCCCCAACTGGGATCTGGCTAAAGTGCGCGGGACGCCGTACAATACAGGCACATGTCTAGAAATGGCCATCCGAGATGCGTCTGCTAAGCAGGCAGGCAACTGGTCTGGCTGCCACTCTGTCGCTTGGGACGCCCATGCCCCCCCACATGAAGGTGATAGACTCATCTCAAACGAGTTCACCAAATCAGGTTACCCTCTGGGCTTAATGGTTAATACAGAAGGAGATCGGTTTGTGGATGAGGGTGTCGACCTAAGGAATTACACTTACGCGATATTCGGCAAGGCTATTCTGGCTCAGCCAGGTCATACAGCGTTTCAAGTTTGGGATTCCCAAATGATACCCTGGCTTCGCGATGAGGAATATCGAGAGGGCCGCGTGGAAAGGATCATAGCCTCGTCACTATCAGGGCTAGCCCAGAAGTGTGCGAAGCATGGATTGACAAACCCAGGCAAATTTGTGGAAACAATCGCAGAATACAATGAGGCTGCCGTTGCTTTCCAAAGAGAGAACCCTTCTAAAAAGTGGGATCCAGGTGTGAGAGACGGGCTCTCTACCCAATCCAAGACCAAACGTCTTTCCTTGGCCAAGTCTAATTGGGCTGTCCCTCTCATCAAAGGCCCATTTATGGCTGTCAAAGTAACATGCGGTGTTACTTTCACCTTTGGAGGCCTTGCCGTGGATCCCAAGACTGCAGGAGTAATTTCATCGACATCGAACTCCGTGATCCCGGGACTCTACTGTGCGGGCGAGATGCTGGGTGGCTTATTTTATGGTAATTATCCCGGGGGTTCTGGTCTTACTTCTGGAAGTGTGTTTGGCAGAAGAGCTGGTAAAGCCGCCGCAGCTGCATCCAAGACATGGAATGAAGATATCCAACTACTGTCGAGACTGTAGAGAACCATAGAGGATTGGAGATACAGTGCTTTGCGTCAGTGATTATTGAAGGGATAAACAAGCTTAGAATATTTAGCTGAGTTCTCTCTCTCTAGAAATCGCTAGAGGTTACCAATCTTAAGAAAGGTACTGCGACGCAAGGGTCAAGACCTCGTAATAATTGCCGTAGGTGTCATATTACAACATCGGAAAATAAATACCTAAATTATATAAGAATGAAAACTTCGACATTAATTTGCCGCTTTGGTTACAAGTGCACCCTTTCAAGTCAAGTCTTAAGCGCCAAGTCGCAAATATAATGTTTTGATATTGCGAATACTGCATTGATATGCAACGCAAGCTCGCAAATGGCCGTTAATTAGAGGGTGAACAATTGCGACATGTCTCACGAATAAAACAGTATGCGTATGGAGACTTGACCAATATAATATAAGACATGGGTGCTATCAAGCGCTTGATTGCCGTAGAGTAACTGTGTGGTAAATTCATACCTTGATATATCCCATCCCACCATAGAGCATCGAGATGCTAAAAACGGTGCTTATTGGAGTTAAGCCAATTTCCATCATGAGACAAGATTACTTCCACATTTATATAATTCTTCAGGTCCCGGACCCTTTGTACATGTAACATCGCTTCGTTTTTGTCAATGTGAGCGCACTTGAAACCTCCAGTGTCATCGTCCCAGTACTCAGCCATTTGTTTCGTGCCATCAAGTATTCTCGGATCATGGGCTGTGTCACCCGCTAAATAGACCCAGCGATCAGACTCAATCCTAAGAAGTGCATTGATATGCCCTGGGCAGTGGCCAGGAGCAAGAACTATGAGCAGAGAGCCGTCATGAAAGTAATCATATGTCTTGGGAAACGGTCCAAAGGCGACCCATAAATTGCTATCGGCCGAGGGTAGGTTTAATATGCGACCATTGGTGATGAGGTTAGAATCGTAATGGGAATCCTGGTTTTCGGGGTATGACTTTGGGCCAGTGATAAGATCACTCGCTCCAGGTCCAAGAACAAAGGATGTCTGGGTTCCCATCCTGGATGGATCCCCAACATGGTCGTAGTGTAAATGCGAGAAGATAACAGAGTCCACATCAGATTGAGGATCTATTTGCATTTTCCGAAGACTATCATAAATGTCCTCTGGGATCTCGGCCTTGACAGTTGTCTGCATACGACGGAAAACAGCTGGGGTGTAGCTTTCAACGTCTTTCCGGAGTCCCATATCGAATAGGACTTTTTTCTTCAAATTATGGTTTTCTATCAACCAAGCCATGCAAGGAACGCGACGGACTTCATCGGTATTCGCTCCCTGTACAAAAAACCGCATTGGAAGATGTAGAAATCCACCCTCAAGTCGGCGCAAACTTACAACAGACGGCGCAACTGGCTGATCGTGACCATCTGCCGTCGCCATATTTGCTTCTGAATCGAAAATTGCACAGCGCTCTGTGAAGCTCGAATGTGCCGTTGTTTTAACGCAATGGGAGATACTTTACCGCATATACAGCGAGCTCATAGCTGAGTAGAGCTTGGAAGTGGTCTCGGAGCGAGAGTGTTCGAAGCGGGGTCAAGCTGTCGGCATTGGGCTGGCCGGTAGTTCTTTATATCGCCATACCCTAACGGAGACTCACATTCCGAGCGCAAACAATACTTCATTTCTTCGGACTGCAAATTCCGTCTAAATATCCTGCTTCATTTTCTGCTCGTTTGTTAAAATGCTTTACCCCACAGAGTACTATTACGCTGAGGTATCTTACATATTTTAACCACCCAGACGCACTCAACACGCTGGCATTCCCCACAGGACTCATTAGTTAATCATCACCACCAATTATGGCTTTCACGTCGGGATCAAACGTACTGTTGAAGAACATCCCATATCAAGTGAGAATTAATCTGTTGAGACTGGCTTTTATTTAATATGGTTGTTAACCAAAAATACGCAACAGTTCAAGGATGTGTCCCTACTTGATAACAGAGCCTACATTGGAGGTAAATGGTTGCCGGCCGAGTCCGTAGCTACTTTTCCAGTCTTTGGTCAGTTTACAAACCCATCTGTAACTCTTCGAAGCTAAAATAATCTCGGCACATAAATAGATCCTGAAGACAACGTGGTAATCTTTCGCGTTGCCAATCTTACCGATGTGGAGGTTCATAAAGCTATTGATGCGGCACAAACTGCCTTTCTCACCTATAAAGAGTTTAGCCATCGGAAGCGAAGGCAACTCTTGCATCAATGGATTACAATTGTAAAGGAAAATCGAGACGATTTGGCTGCTATTTGCACACTCGAAATGGGCAAACCGATCACCGAGTCATATGTCACTGTTGACTATGGCCTCAGCTTCTTAGAGTGGTTTGAGGGCGAGATTGAGCGATTGTATGGAGAGACTATCCCTGCGGCTCGAGAAAACAATCGAATCTTCACAACTCGAGAGCCACAGGGAGTAGTAGCTGCCATTACCCCTTGGAATTCCCCTATCGCCATGATCCTGCGCAAAGTTGGGGCCGCCATTGCGGCTGGTTGTACTGTCGTGCTCAAGCCAGCTCCAGAAACCCCAATGTGCGCCATTGCTATTGCAAAACTCTTCGAACGCGTTGGTTATCCGGCTGGTACTCTCAATATTGTCACGGGGGATGCCGCTTCCTCGCCCAACATAGGTAATGAGATGTGTCGTAATAAGCTGGTTCGCCACCTAAGCTTCACAGGCTCTACTGCTGTGGGTAAATTTCTCAACGGAGAATGTGGGAAATCGTTGAAGAAAACCAGCATGGAGCTTGGAGGCAACGCACCATTCATTGTCTTTGAAGACGCCGACATCCAGAAAGCGGTTGACGGTTAGTACCAAGCAAACACGCAAGCGCTCGTTTATAACAGTCTGATTGACTAGTTGGCAGGCCTAATTTCGTCCAAGTTCAGATCATCAGGACAGACGTGCGTATGCGCGAACCGCGTCTTTGTGCACCGCTCCATCATGAGCGAATTCGCCGAAAAGCTACACGCGACGCAGAAGAAGATCTTTGTTTATGGCTCGGTATGGGATCCAAAGGTGAATTTTGGGCCACTGTATTCGTCCAGTGGACTTGAAAAGGTCAAGAAGCATTTGGAAGATGCGCTCGCAAATGGAGCGACAGTCTTTGACAAAACTTCCATTATGGAAAACCAAGGACCAAACTTTTTCCCTCCCACAATTCTACTAAACTGCAATACAGAGACGATGCAATTCGGCAGCGAGGAGACGATTGGCCCACTGGCTCCATTAGTTCCGTTTGACAGCGAAGAAGAAGTCTTGAGGGTGGCAAACACGTACGAAAGCGGGCTTGCCTCATACTTCTACACAGAGAATATATCGAGGCTTCGGCGAGTGGCTGAGGCTCTGAACACAGGCATGGTCGGAGTACGTGTGGGCCTTGTCAGTGCCTGCGAACAACCATTCGGAAGCGTCAAGGAGAGCGGCATTGGCCGAGAAGGATCCAAGTTTGGCGTCGAAGACTACACCAATGTGAAGAGCATCACAGTAGGAATATGACGTGGTAGCCATAATGAAGAAAACAAACACGTCACCGACTTCTATACATTATATACCATGGCCGCATAGTACTACATGTAATATTACGCAATGGAAAGACGTGGTGAGGCTGTTAGCTGGATCTAGCGCTACCTTCAGTATATCGCTACCTTCGGTATATCGCCACTACACTTTTCTTCGCAAACTGCTAGCCAAGCTTGTAAAAGTTCAGTCATTTTTTTCCCTATCGAATGTCATATACACCCCATGATACAGCAAAAGAACTTGACATGATGACCGACGATGTCCATGGGACGGGCTAGCCATAAGCATGAAGTTAGATGATCAGCGGTCGAACGAAATCACCGGGGTTATGTGCTAATCCTTCAATTTAAGCCTTGATGCCAGGCAGTCTTCCTGCGGGTGAATGAAAATGCAATCCTTCCGGTTGGGGCGGTGCACCAATTATACTAGACGGCGTGTTCAGCTTGGCCCACGTAACAAGCGGCATAAGGCTTCATTCCCATCAACTGGAGTTTGACATCAATTACAGCGGCACATCGGGCTGTATCGAGTTAGCCCAGGTCCATCAAAGGATCGCCCCACCCCATGAAATGGCTTCAAATCGTTACTTGGATGTTTGTAGCCTCAGCACGTCATACGTCTAAATTAAGCACAAGGAGATTTGGGGATGATACAGCGCCATGAGAGTCCGGTATTGTCAGGTATTGATGCGTCGCGCATCGTCATGTAAATATGAGATTTATTTGTATATATATAGGGCCCTTTTCTCCTGAGTTCTATACTGGTAGCTAATTAGACATCAACACTTAAATCTTTGCCTAAGATCTTCAATATGCATTTCACTTGCAGTATTGTCATCTTTCTTCACGCGCTTTGGCTAACGCCAATATTTGCGGACACCTTGGGACCAAGCTATCCAATGCCAATTGATCTTACTAGCCGTCATAGTCTCGTTGCCGCTAGCTTCACAAACCTCACCTCAACTCTGGACACGTACCTCAAGGACGGCAAATGGAAAACGCTTCCCAAGCCATTGTCAGGCATAACCAACCTTACCTTCTCACTCGGATTATTCTCGCTTCACGATCCTGCAGCCACGAAGTTGCAGTATCATTATACAGCTCCAGAAATTGCAAGCGCCCCGAACGGTACCCACAAAGTTGACGCGAATACCATCTACCGCGTTGCAAGCGTCACCAAGGTCCTCACAGTTCTTACAGGCTTACTTGAGCTGAATGATAGCGACTGGAATCGCCCCCTTACGGAGATCCTATCTCCTCTTAAGGAGTTTGCCAAGAAAAAGAATGGGGAAAGGGACCCTGTATATACTGTGGAATGGGATAAAGTCACCCCCAATGCTCTTGCAGCTCAGATTGCTGGCGTTCCGCGAGATGGATTCCCAGACACAAGTGATCTCGCATTTCAAGCTTTCATTCAGTCAATAGCCGGAGTGCCGCTGAACCCAGATCCGGTGAAGTTGGGTCTCCCACCAATCAGTCGGAATAACACGTTTGTATATTCACCGTGTTTGTTCTCAAATGCATCAACTTGTCCACCTATTCCATACATAGAGAGCAGCGAGGCAAGAGCACCAAGCTTTTTACCCTATACAACGCCTGGATATGCCAATAATGGATTCTCTCTTCTGGGCCTCGCCATTGAGAATATTACTGGAAAGAGTTTTGAGAAAATGTTCGATGAAGACATTTTCGAGCCTCTCGATATGACATCCTCTAGCGCCGTCACTCCTCCCAAGTCCGAGTGGCATCGATCTGTGATTCCTGGCGACATCAGTAACTTTGACGTTGAATCTGGGGTTTATATCACTTCAGGTGCAGTTCTGTCAACTATCAATGATATGGCGAAATTCGGCGTTGGTATTCTAAATTCCACTCTATTACCATCTGACCAGACTCGTCGGTGGCTGAAACCCTTCTCACATACCGCCGACCTGAGGCAATCTGTTGGACGCCCATGGGAAATTCACCGCTATACTCATCCATCAGGAGTAATCACGGATCTCTACACAAAATCTGGGGACTCTGGTGATTACAGTGCCTACTTTGTCCTCCTGCCAGACTATGATGCGGGCTTCACTATCCTTTCATCCAGTTCACAAATCACGCGATTCTTAACCCTTTCTGCACTTATGGATATCATAATTAACTCGTTGATACCATCTCTTGCAGCGCAGGCGGCCGCTGAGGCCGAGCATCGATTTGCAGGTTTCTACTATTCTGAGGACTGCAGCATGAACTCCTCCCTTACTCTGACTGTCAACCAAAGTACAACTGCAGCGCCTGGTCTTGTGATCTCGTCTTGGATTAGCAATGGAACAGATGTTCTCGAATCACTTACTCCAACCACAGGCCCAGGCCCTTGGCGACTCCTACCTTCCATTTCAGACTCTGCACACGGGAAGGTGGCCTTCCGATTTGTTACCGATCTCGATGCGCCCAAGATCAGCCCAGCAACAGAGAACAAACTCTTCACAGGTTTTCCCTTGGCAGACTGGGTGGGTGTTGATTCTACTGCATATGGCGGAATAGCAACGACTCTGTTTATTTTCGATGTGGCGAAAGACGGCACTGTGAATGCAGTAAGTCCATCTGCCCTTCGAGTGAAATTGACGAAGGAGCGCAAGTAGCGTCAAGCGCATACATGTTTTCGGGGGCACACATTATTGTTCAATGTCATCCATAGAGCTTATGGGGGAGGAGATTAATTCGTTGCGTTTTATCACACATAGAAGCGGTTGCAAAGGAAATATCATTGCAGTATTAGATTGAAAGTCGCATCGTGTGTCAGCTTCATCGTGAACGTACGATCAAACAATATCGTGAACAGTTACGCAAATCAAGTGTGAAGAGCGCAAGATACAAAGACAGATGCATAGATGTGGAATGAGGAGGGAAGAGTGTTCTATTAATATCCGTGTAATTGTTCGGTTTAGGCATGTGACCCCCGAAGCCTGCGGCAGACTTGAACAGTTATTTCGACGTGGATGCGAATGGGATGAATCAGATTTTATTTTTAGTCCAGTAATAACATTAATTGCGTATGCGGCCCCGTAGAAAATTTAGTGAGTGCAAAGCATCATAAGCTGATGATTATAAGTAGACTCAATTGCCAATACTGTTGAGGCGAAGGATATAAAGTTTTCCAAGTTCCCACAAGAATGCTGTGGTATCGGCGATACGTGCATACCCTCCACCTTATCTAAACTTAAGCAGAGATGCTGGAAAAAAATCTTCCTCTTCATTTTATCAACAATGTTACATACGAACAGAGGAATATTAAAGCTGCCTTTCTAACAGGCCAAGAATTTCACGATGGTGATACCGCGAATATCGCGCATCCTTAGCACTTTCAGCCCCTACGCTCGACGTTGGGTACCCACTCCTCCAGGTCTTCCAACAGTCAATCAGAATCTCACAAGCCTCTGCTTATCGACTTGGAATATCGACGCCTTCTCGCCGCGGCCAGTCGCTCGTGCGTCTGCCATTATAGGTCGTCTTTTGACAGACCCCTCAGCTACAGGCGACATTATATTTCTGCAAGAGGTTAGTCGGGAGGTCCGTGACTACCTGTTATACGATGATCGCATACGGGCCGGGTTTTTCATTACCGATACCGAAGACGAGATTGCCTTTAACGCCGTACCATTTGCGACTATAACATTAGTGTCTAAAGCCTGCTTTACATCTTTTACTCCCAAGAATGATATAATAGTTACTTCCATGGGTGTTGCAATAGCTTCTCCTGTTGCTCGATTCAAGTTCCTAAGCCAGTACTGAAGAGATGCGCTTTGTACAGACGTTATCCTACCACGGCCTAAATCAATTTTACCTACACAACAACGCTGGCAACACCTACGACTTATCAACGTACATCTTGACTCTTTAGCGTCGACGTTGCATTATCGAAAAGAGCAGATGCGGATTGTGGGGAATATACTGTGCCCGACTGATGATCAGAAGGAGAATGGGCAGCGAAGTTTAGGGCTTATTGCCGGAGATTTTAATGCTATTAGCCAAGATGATCAGGAGCTTGTGGCAAGGAACGGCTTAGTAGATGCATGGGTTCGGTTGTATGGTAATAATACAGCCAAGTCTGGTGGGTGGACTTGGGGGTATGAGAAGCGGCAAAACAACTTGATGCCAAGGAGGCTGGACAGAGTTGCAATGACAGAGGGCCTAGAGCCTATAGACATGTATACAACCTATCCTGGAGTTATAGCAATTCCTAAGCCAGGAAAGGAGAGAGATAGCGAGGTTCGGTGGAGTGACCACGCAGGACTGAACTGCTCCTTTCGGATAAGTTGCTAGGTAGTTTCTAGAAGTCAATAAAACTGGAGTAGATGCTCAATTTTTCTATACTGTCTAACAGTCTTCGGTACGAGCTTTAGAGACTATTTTATGACCGAGTAATAGTTGCGCAAGCAGAGACCCTTCGTAAGGCCCCTTCAGATGTAAACAAACCTGATTTCGATCTTAGAACAGTATGCTAAATGGTCGAAGTTTTTAAATAATATTTAGATTATATAGCTTCACCGTAATATCAGAGGGCTTTTAACACGCGGTAATGTTTAATATTAGTATATTAACCTTATGTTGAAGACGAGGCAGGCCGCCGTGAAGCCTAGTTTGTGCCGCGAGGGACACACAACACCAACACACACAACCCAACCGTCTTTGATAGTATACTGTGCATGGCACAGGCGTCAAGTGGTATGATGAAGATACACACAAACACACCCAAACAAGAAAAGAATAGTATCAATGGATAGCTTGGGCTCTGGTCAGAGCCAGCGTATTCACGATGGATGGGGGTTACCCCCGTAATAGAAGTAGGAAACGATAAACGAATGTATTTCGGTAGAAAGGAATGTTGTGACCTTGCGGTCGGTACTGGCCAGTCTATGGTCAGCAACAGGCCCGCCGTTGCCCTTCCTCTATCTCATGCGAGGACAGGCTCTTCTTATGTACACGCTGGCTCTTCAGCAGTGACCAGGGGTAGTTGATACCCCTGGTCAGAGCTCAAGGATCTACCTCGTTGTTCCGCGAAGGGAAATAACGCTAAGAAAATGTAGGAAAATAAACGACTATAGTACAGATGTATCATCCCCATTCCAATGTGGAGTTTCTAAATCGGAACCCAAAACTTCATTCACTGGCTGGGGTGGTTATGCAGCATTCTACTATCAGTCATTACCTTAATTTATGGCTTTGGGGAGGTGAACCAATCTTGCAAGATTGCTTGGTCCATATGGCTTGTAAAAGTGGTGTTTCCATCTGCTATAGCTCGCAGCTTTGCTTAATAAGAACCAGGACATGGTTTGATAGGCCATTCAGATATGGGCGGGGTGTCTTCCCCACGATGGCGTGCTGGCTCGAAGTTTGACGCGATCTTGGCCCGGAATCACGAAAATCATACTGCATAACGGAGAGATTGTATAATACAATGTGAGAAATTAGGGCCCAATAAAGATAAAGCATATGACAAAATATATGATGACGCCCAGGGCTTTATCGCTCCTATATATAAGACTAAGTGTTTACGGCTTATCACACAGAAGAAACAACATATCGTTGGAGAGACTCGATACATCCATTGCCGCTAGTTTTTCCAAGATCATTTGAAATGAGTGATGCGAAAGAACAATCGCATGATCAAAATGCAGAAACCGAAATTACAGATATAGAAGATGGGGTTAACGAAAGAGCCTTACTGCGCAAGCTGGATTGGAGGCTTCTACCAGCGGTTGGCGTCTTATATCTTCTCTCATTTTTGGATCGTAGCAACGGTATGACTACACAAAGATAGCACTTCTACTTTACTAACAGAATATCAGTTGGAAATGCCCGTATAGAGGGCATGGTGAGCGACCTTCATATGAGTTCGGCATAACACTCCCCTCGCAGCTTTGGCACCTCTAACATTATCACAGCGGGGAACCAGTATCTTACAGGATTGACGGTTTATTTCATTGGCTATGTTCTCTTTGAGGTCTGCACTAATCATATTGTGTTCCAGTAAAGCAAATATGTTAATGAGAAATTAGATTCCTTGCAATGTCATTCTTAAAAGAACAAGCCCTCGGTTATGGCTCCCAACACTGACAATAGCGTGGGGTGTTGTTGCCACACTTCTGGGAGTAGTACAAAACCTCTCCGGCTTTCTTGTCGCGCGATTCTTTCTAGGTGTTACAGAAAGTGGACTTTTTCCGGGCGTTGTCTTCTATCTCTCAATGTGGTACAAGCGAAGAGAGCGACAGTATCGAATTTCTCTGTTTTTCAGCGCAGCGTCACTTGCAGGAGCATTTGGTGGCATATTAGCATATGTCGGTGATGTACAGCCTCATGGTAGCTACAGAATGAAGCTAACGAACTTCAAATCGGCAGGGAATTGGGAAAATGGCAGGCGTTGTTTGGAGCAATGGATGGCGATGGATTTTTATTCTTGTGCATCCCCCAACAGTTTTTTAGGGTTATCTATGTGTATTAACATCGTCTTCTAGGAAGGGATTGCCACCGTCATCGTGGCCACTATAGCGTACTGGTTTATCGAGAACTATCCGGATACTGCAAAGTTCCTTACAAAGCCTGAGAGGGAATTCATCCAGACTAGGCTGGCGGCGGACTGCGATGCAATGATCAAAGAAGAATTCACCTGGAGTGCTGTACTAGAAGCAGTGCGGGACCCAAACTGTTGGCTTTATAGCTTGGGGTTCCATACAATGAGCTTGCCACTTTATACGCTCTCCTTATTTCTGGTATTTCCTCAATTATGTTAAACCACTAAATGTTACTTATACTGAGATGGGGATTTAGCCAACCATTATCAGCAACCTCGGATATACAGCAGCAAAGGCCCAGCTACTTACAATCCCCCCGTATGCACTGGCGTTTGTCACAACAGTAGTAGTGGCTATTGCATCTGAGAAATTGGGGAAAAGGGCCGTTTTCCTTGCTGGTTCCTCGCTTACAGCGGCGATTGGATATATCATTTTGCTTGCAAACACTGATCCTGTTGCACGGCCGGGGGTGTCATACTTGGGCACATTCTTCGCGGCGGCAGGAATCTATCCATCAACAGCACTTGTCCTTTCTTGGCCTGCAATTAATGTTTCCGGACAAACTAAAAGAGCAATTGCAAATGCAATGCAAATTAGCATTGGGAATTTAGGAGCTGTAATGGGAACACAGCTTTATCGATCCAACGATGGACCGAGATTTGTTGTCGGCCATTCAATGGCCCTTGCATATCTATGCGCAAATGCCATTGTGGCTACCTACATAGGCTGGCGACTAAGGGCTCAAAATAAGGCGAGGGAAGAAATCGCGCCGGAGATTCAGAACGTGGGTGAGGCGTTGGACTGGCAAGGAGACAAGGACCCTCGATGGAGATTCTCCTATTAGAGGCATTATAGATGAAGAACAAACTAAAGAATCTCCGTATCGGTATGGAGAGCACTGGCTTTCATTGGAGGTTTAATAGGATGCTCTATATGAACTAAATTAATGTCAAGATCAAAGCCAAAGCCATCATGTGCGCAATCTATAAGTGTTCCTAGATTTCCATTAAAGAGCATTACGAATTACATTCGTGACTTCAATTGATAGATCAAGAAGGTTGTCTAGCTAGAGACACACTAGGTAGCAATCATTCATCCAAAAGTCATTGGAAACGGGAATGTAGTCTATTGTCGCATGAGGGCCTATGTATCCTACGATATAGGACAGGATGCTCTATGCCACGCCCCTAGTCGCAGCTGATAGATCCCCAACGTAAGAAAAGTATATTCGTAACGCAATACAAGATCATTTAAGAGGCATGGACCACCTTGCGCAGCCCAAGATCATATACATCTCCTGCCCTCACAAAATAAAATAGTCCTGAAGAATCCGGAATTTGGTTCGCATCGCCGCCGTCTCGCGACCAGTATGTTCCATCGTAAATGATGGCATAGCTAGCACCGAAGATCTCCGCGGTGTTCTTGGATACGTGGACGGCCGTGTTCTCATTAATGGCAATACCGAGAATCCCAGGCTTGTATTTGAGAACATTAAGCATGTCGAAATGACGATTCCGTACGAGAACATGCTGGTCGATGGCCACATTCTTCACATAAGCGAAGCCTTGCTGATGGTCTCCGATAATAAGACTGTTGCTCTTCGTATCGCCGCGCGCAAGGAAATCTCCTTGGATCGATGCTCCGGCAGAAGATCCTCCGATGACGCCACCGGCATCTAGCACAGCACGGATCTTTTGTTCAGTGAGTGTTCCTGCATAAGCGTCAACCAAACGCCACTGGCGGCCGCCTCCAAACCAGACACCGGTGGCGTTAAGAAGTGGCTGAACAAATTCCTCGGTGTTTGCAACCGCAGGATCATAAGTATGTAGAACAGTAACGCTCTTAGATCCCAGCCGGCGGAAATCATCCGCATTGGCGGCATTCTGATCGTAGCTTGGATCGCCCTGGGCGGTTGGGATGACGACGATAGAGCTGTCGTTGCCTCCAGCAAGATCAATGACTTTCTGGAGAATAGCATCGTCCAGGGTGCCGCCGCCAACAATTACCAAGTTACCATTCGCAGGGCCAACATATTGTGTCGAGTTATCAGTAGGCAATGCTGAAACTGCCATGGCCAACGCCAGGATAGACTGGACAATGAATCGCCCCATTGTAGGATATGTTATGCTGATATGAGCTTTCTATTCTGAATGAAGCAGTGTACTTTTGGATCTAGATGAAAACCTTGAGTGTTAAGCTTCCTATTTATATTTTGTCCGGTGGCTTGGTTGAACAATCGCACCATAGTGGATCATTCTTAGAAAGTAGACATCACCATCATCATGCAGTTGACATTGTTGCCCGGCTAAATTTACAATGATAAATGGGTTTGCCAAGCACTCAGATTAAGAAGCTACCATCACCTTCAAGTGTGAGTAAACAGCGAATTAGACTTAAAGCGATCCATTTTCATACATGTGCTATACCTGGCAATTGATTAGTGCCGCATCTTTCAACTATTTGGGTATGGGGCACGTTGTTCGTTATTTTGATGAGACGCCTAGTTCGGCATTCATAAATGATATGGCGCAATGGGAGGGGTTACAAACACCGAAAACGTATCCCGAGATCCATCTCGCAGTCGGGATAATTCAGCGCGAGATTTGGAGTAGACTTGTAATTGCATTTTCGCTTCGCCTTGGTACTACTAGACGATTTGGTATGTGCGGTCCATAATCTAGGCGAGATAATCACACTTTGTAATCACTGCATCGCCGGAATTCATTCTGAGCCCCGTAATCTTAGGTACGCTCTTATCTATGAGGTGCATTTAACGAGTTTGGAGGGGTAATCTGAGGATCGTTGCCAAGACATCGACGGGGGCATTTGTTTAAAATGTCCCAAGATACTGTCGCCTCAGTAAATCTCACGGAGCGTCAATAGCATTGATTAGAAGACATAGTCTTGTTAAGCTATATCAGTAGTAAAGATATCTGTTTTGTCTACCTTGGATATTGTATCAAGCCATATGCCAAGCTCACTTCAAAATTTGGAGGGGTCTAGTTCTAAAAAACCACGCTGGCAAAAGGCAAAGCTAGCACAGAACATTTTCTGCTAAAAGTCTATAAAATTCAGGCCTTTTATAAGCTAACTCGCATATCGTTTGTAGTGGAGAGGAGAAATTGAGATTTCACCTCTTAAGTCACCATTGAGCACCTACATCTTCGAGTCATTTTTTCTTGATGCTCAAACATCTCGTTTTTCTCATTACAAGAGAGAGAAGTTAGCACACTTACTGTTAAGCTCTACACCAAACTCTAGTATAGACAAGCCGCTTTTTCATCAAAGGTTGTGCGGGCAGCCATCACTGATCTAGAGTACTCTATAAGGTGAGAAAAGATGAGACATTAGAGGGTTGTATCCAGCTTGATTGGATAAGTATACTACTCCTCGCCGCTACAATATGACTCCCTCTCACTGAGCGCATATGTAAAATTTGCTTTCTGGATCTTGCTCCCCGGCGTTGGTTCCAACAATCGCTAAAAGTTGTCCATATGGCGATTTTTTAGTGATGCTACAACAGTTGGTGCGAAGCGTGCAATCATCCCAGGCAAATCTACACATGCCGCGATTCATCGAATAGCGTTCATTACAGTATCGCATCTGATAAATTTGTTGAAAGTGTTGATATTTGTTAGAAACACTCTCGTAACCCTGCAGAGTGGCGCACTCGTTAGGCCGCTCACCCTTAAATGCCCTTCTGTGTTCTCAAACAGATTACTGATCAAAGTCCGGCGGTTCCCTTTTCCGCTGCGACCAAAGCTAGTGAGAGACGGTGATGGCTTGATGGGAAAGACTACAATGCAACGCAAATATTGCACGAATGTTTTGCCAGCGTGCAGTATATGGAAATAACACCTTGTCTGAGACTGCCCAGCTTGAATGGAGAAATTGCTCTATCCGTCACATCTCCGTATTTAACATCTTATTTCATAAGTTCAGCAATTGGATACCTTTATATACTAGGTGATGACGGCGGGCAGGTTAGTATATTCTATAATGAGGCATAATTTAAACACACGAGCCACATCATTGTAGGAGCTGTCTAGTTTCGTAGCCGTTATATCATCTTGGGCGACATCGTATTCTATTCAACAGGTCTACGCTATTATTAGTAGCTACTCCGCAACTTAATGATAACAAAATGTAGCAGAGAATTCGTCATTGAATCACTCATTGTACCTCAAGGGTTTTTGGTACGGTCGCAAAACATTGACAAGATCTCTGGTTTTTATAACTAATGATACTTAGTATGAAGTATATAGATCCCATTTACTTAAGATGGGCGAGATTCTAAGAGTACGGATACAGCAAACTTGCTGGCAACTTTTTACGGGCACTCAATGATTTAGGAAAAAAATATAAAGCCCGCATAAAGTAGTTAAGCTACAGGAGGAAAGTGTTAATAAGCTTGTTGTTAGAGACTAAGAGTAACGTTTAGCTCATGGTGGTAAGTTTTGAACTAGAACAAGGTTAAAACGTTGTACGAGGACTTAGCGGCGTTGGTTGTCTACAGAGTTAGATCCCACACCGGCCAAATATTAGCAGATGAGAGAGGAACTACGGACTTTTATCAAACTCTTGTAACTCCGAGGCGATTCCCACGCCGACCAACTCTCTCGTATACTCCCCAATTATTCCCAAATTGGCAAATTAGTCTCACGTCTTCAAGCCCGGATAGGCTAAACATGCGCTTCCGAGACCCTAGCCTGAGAAATTTTTTCTTGCTTAGTACATAACTGCTACTCTACGCTCCATATAAGGTCATGCGACGGGTTCAAGTTGAACGAATGATAACAGTCATATCAATCTGATCAGATAAAAAAAGATGGGACTAGTGTCAGACACTACCAAGTTACTCAGAATAAACTATGATGACCCTTGCTTGTTCCACATTAGACAACTTGAAAGTTCTTGATGCCAAGAGTCCGAAAGAGCAGGGTAAGGCGGTACTGTAAAAGGCCGACTCCCGCCCTTCTCAATTGTTTTCTAAATATCTCCTACTTTTTTTTCCATCGATCCTTTATGCCTCAGTATCATGTCTACAGAGGATAAGATTTCTCCAATTGGGGCGGGTGTCCCTGACGCGGACAATGCAAGTGATATCCTTAAGCCTGGAGCCAATGCTGGCGATATTGTCCAGTCTAGGGGTGTCACCCGCATGGAAGCCGTGTATCGAGAGACGAAATCAAATCGAAAATTGCTCTGGCTCGTGGGTGGTTCAGTTCTCGTCTGTGCCTGGGCTTATTCACTCGACTCCTCTACGACATCCTATTACAGCGTTGATGCTTCATCTTATTTTAAACAGCACAGCTCTGTCTTGGCAACCCTGTCAATTGCAACCAGCATCATAAGTGCTGTCTCGAAGCCTTTTATTGCAAAGATTTCCGATATTACGTCCCGCCCGTACACATATCTTCTTATACTGGGGTTTTATATCATTGGCTACATGATTGCTGCCACATCGAAGACAATTTCCGCTTATGTTGTTGGAGAAGTGTTTGTTGCAATTGGTGGTTCTGGTATCGACCTTACCAATGATATCATCGTTGCTGATCTCACGCCGCTGGAGTGGCGTGGCTTTGCCAGCTCTATGCTCTCCACGCCCTTTATCATCAATACCTGGTTTTCAGGCAAGATAGTCGATGCGTTAGAGAAGCGCAATCAATGGCGCTGGGGATATGGCATGTTCGCCATAATTATGCCAGTTGCGCTAGGTCCTGCCGTTGCAGCACTGATTTGGCTGGATAGAATGGCTAAGAAGAAGGGCGTGGTCAATATCGCATCAAGTAACGCCGCACGGCGTACTCTTGATAACACGGCGGATCAAGAGGATCAGCAGAAGACTATTGACCTCACTACCACACCTGTGGTTGACAATAAGCAAGAGTGGACTCAGTCGCTGAAGACGAATCTCGAAGAGATTGATGCATTTGGTCTAGTTTTGCTTGGATTTGGGTGGTCACTACTCCTGCTGCCCTTTTCTCTCAAAACCTATGCTGAACATGGGTGGCGCAATCAATCTCTCATCGCCATGATGATTGTAGGTGGCCTTTTATTGGTTGCCTATATTGTTTTTGAGATGAAGTTCGCTCGTGTCCCCAGTGCTCCCCGTCGACTTGTTTTCAACAAAACATTTGTGATGGCGATCATTATCGACTCTTTTTATATGTGTAAGTACCGCTTTCTTAGGCTGCTCTCTACTTGACACTGTTACTAACAATCTATCTCAAGTGGCCGGAAACATCCGTAGTCTCTACTGGAGTTCATACGTCTATGTCGCAAAACCTTGGAGCTATCAAGATTGGGTCTACTACGGCAATACTCTAACATTGGCATTATGTATCACCGGTCCATTTGTTGGCCTAGCCCAGCGCTGGACTCATCGATATAAATCCATTCAGATTGTGGGCCTTGTCATCAAGATCATCGGCATCGGTATTATGTTGGACGGGCGTCTCGCAGCTATAAGTACCGGCGCACTTGTCATGTCGAGCATTCTTGTTGGTATCGGTGGCTCGATGTCTGTTGTTGGATCCCGAGTAGCCTCGCAAGCTTCCGTACCTCACCAAGATGTTGCCCTTGCAGTATCATTACTTTCTTTATGGTCAAAGATTGGCAGTGCCATTGGATCTGCCATTGTCGCTGTCATTTGGTCCAATCAGATGCCAAAGCAGCTGCGAAAATATTTGCCGGCCGGCACCCCAGAAGCAACTGTGAAAAAACTTTTCGGCGACATGCGTTCTCTGCGCACTGCTTATGATTTTGACGATCCCATCCGCCAAGGCGCTATTACAGCTTATCGCCATGCCCTGTACTACTGCATTACCGTGGCTCTAGCACTGGCTTTCGTCCCTCTTGTGGCGGCCTTCTTTCAGACCAACTACTTTCTTGGAAAACAACAAAATGCTGTCACTGATGTGGGAAATGATGGTCTGCCATTAAGTGAGAAAGACCGTAACCCAGATCCCTTACCGCCGCCCAAGAATAAGAGGGAAGCGTTTCTCCGTTTTTGGGCGGGCAGCAATTGACCTACTGCCCGTTATTGCACAAGCTAGACGCTTAGGGTCAGCTGGAAACATTAGGTGATAAAATACAAAGTTTGCTGTTCCCAAACGATTGATCTACGTAATAGATAAGTGATGAAAAAACATGATAGTTATTTATGAAACACAAAGCATATGTACGCTAGACAAAAATTAAAGGTACTTGGCCAAAGACAAGTGTTGAAGAGTAAGCGAACAGTTACACCTGCACAGTTGGGTATAGACGTGGTAAACTATGGAAACATATAATATCTCACATGTCTGTATTTGCTCTTGAAATGCGTTTCTCTTGCTTAGGTCTGAAGTGTGCGCCTTTTGTCTTCTGCCAGGCAATTGTTAGCAGCATCCTTGCCAGGTACGATATTGCTGACCACATTAGTGCATCTTGTAGGTCAAAGGGCACAGACAGTTTCGTTATTTTTAATCTCTTTGTATATACCATCAATTCTTTTTTTAAAAAAAAATAAAAAAAATAATAACTGCTAGTAATTGCCGAATATCGTCGGTCCTTCTCCACGTTAAGCCTATGTCAAGCTCCCATATGCCTAGCGGTGAGATGAATAGGACTTATTAAGAAGCTTGCGTAAAGATATTTAGTGGTATGCTAGCTGAAATAGCGTAGTTAGGCACGTTCACTACTTCTGAAACCCTGAGGCTGATGGAAACGCTAGCAAGCATATATGCTTCCACACGGCTCAGACTCTTTGTTTGCATCATGTATTCGATAATACCGCGAACTGCCTTGCGAGCAGCTTCCAGTAGATCTGAATCAATGCCAAGAACAGCATAATATCCTCGGTCTTCAGCCAATGTGAGGGCTGACGAAGGAGAAGAATAATTGGGAGAGCTGACCCATTTCATGTCCTTCCTAACTGTGAGTCGTAACTTCACCTGCATGGGAGTCTCAATAGCAGTTCCACAAACTTCTCCGTCGCCCTGAGCTGCATGGCCATCACCGCAACTGAATAATGCACCGGGTGCCTTCACGGGCAGAAAAAGCTTTGTTCCAGCTATAATGTGGCGGGTATCGATGTTGCCTCCTGTGTCGAGCGGTGGAATAGTGGGAAATTCTCCCTCGCCCGGAGCTACCCCCATAACACCAAGAAAGGGATGAGTAGGAATGCGAATGCCTTCCTTGAATGTCGCAGAGGAATCGTTGGGATCAAGTTTCCAGATCTTCAACTGTGGCTCCGGGAACTCATCTGTAAGGAGTCCAAAACCAGGTATAATTGCTGTCCAGCCCCAGTCTGCAGTTTTTAACTCCAAAACCTCAATTTCGAGAGTGTCTCCTGGCTCAGCGCCGCGTACATACACGGGTCCGAAGAGGGGGTCTGCCAGTTCGGCCTTGAAGCTTAGGACATCTTCCACGGTCGAGCTTGGCGTAATTTGACCATTGCTTCCATCGATAGTATCGAAGGTTACAACCTCATTTGAGTCGACGGTTAATACGGGGGCGATGGCCTTTGACCACTTAAGGTGGCTTTGTCCACTGTGAACGTGGAAGGTAGAGGTAATTTGCGGAGACAGCATTGTTCGGTATTATCAAGAGCAGGTATAATATGAACGAGGAGGGTAGAATCCAGTTATCTTCGTACGAGAGGTACACTACATGAATGGATCACAGGGAGTGTCCTGACTCGCGAGATTGTTGCCCTTAAGCTGCCGAAGATCGGGGGTTTGAATATGAAGAAAGCCAAGAAAATGAGTAGAATTGTGCTCAATCCACATGTGCGGAGTATTTTGAATGCTTCAAAAGCTAGCAGCCAATAGTCTGCAACGGTGGTGGAGATTGTCCCATAACTCACGCTAGGCACCACTTCAGCCAGATTATGGACATCTTTCATGGCTCTCTAGCTCCTGTAAATACTCAGTCTTAATAAAACTCCAATCCAGACTCACAAATTGGAAAAAGCTTGTAGATATAAGACAAAGCGAATAAAGAAAAGACAAAAACCTGGAAATTAATGTCTAGCCAATCGTATCCAATTTGATTCAAGACTTATAAGCCTATGCGATAATTAGATGACACCATCCGATAATGATGCCCTCCTCGTACGGCTCTTGATACCACTCATTATGAACAGCCTAACGGACTGTGATGTGATTACATGATATCAGCTAATAGCTGCGCCCATATTGTAATGACCTTAAAACTCTCAAGCCTTTCCATGCAGTCATGTTTTAATATATACAAATAATTTCTCGAGCTCCTTATAAGGTTCAAATACCCAGCGATGACCACACATCTGCTCTATTGGCAGGACGACCACCATTCGCCTTGTGCTACACATTTATATGGGGCAATGCACTGTGTTGGGCCTGTGTAACCCTCGCCACCACACTATAGAACAGATCAGTTTGCATACAAGAAGATATTTTAATCAGACTTTTCACGGTAGTTCTACTTACCTGGCCCCATTGGGGAACTGTCCCTGTCGGACCCGATCCCGTGGCTGACGAAGTGCTAGTGGCAGACTTGGTAGGCTTTGCGGTAGTTGTCGGGAGGCTGGAGCTGACGGGCTGGGAGCCACCACAAGGAGCACCAGTCAGGAGGATGTTCTTTGCCTCTTGGGCGTAAGTGCATCCATTGTTCACGTTGGCATCAGAGTAGCCAGCAGCCCACATCATGATTCCGCCGAATGCTGGGTTGGATTTGGTGTTTTGGACAATGGTGGCAAGTTGAGCGGGCGTGGCGTAGTAAACTGCACCGCCAGCGTTGCCGTTGGCAGCGAGGGTGTTGGCGGGCACTCCGATGAATAATTTCTTCCTCAGGTTGTCAGTGACCAGAAAATATCATTAATTGGTGAGTCGGAGTAAACATACGGCATTTTTTGAGGGCGTTGTGGCAATGAATGACGTCCAGTTATTGAAGTTAAACGGCGCATCGCCCGGCAATCCGAGAGAACAAGGGTCTGGACCGTAGCCGTTATTGTTGTAGAATTGAATCCAGAGATAGTCGAACACCGAGGTACTGATGATTTCTCCCATGTTGGGCTCTCTGTCGACCTTTATTAGTTACACATTCGACTATGCAGGAATTAAGGTCTGTGGGAAAACTCAACGGAATCGGGCATTGCGGAGCGCCAGTAATGTAATATGTCTTCGTGGGGTCGCTGGGGAAGTTAGACCGGAGAGTTGAGATTAAATATTGATAGTACTGGTTCCCGAGATTCAACTCAAGATCAAAGTCCCATCCATCGACAATTACGTTTCCAAAGGGTCGTACTACAGAAGTACTGCCGGAATTGCCATAAGCTTCCCAGAGATATTGACCAATAGCGACAGCTTGGGACTGAGATTGTAAAGAGTAAGAGCCGGCGGCACCTCCAAGCGATAAAATTATCTTAATTCCAGCAGCTTGGCAAGTAGCTATTGAGGCAGCCAAGTTATCGCACTGCTGGGGCACTCCAGTCGAGCCGATATAACAGGAATTTCCAATGTTACCATAAGGGATATTTCCAGTTGTACCATATATATCCAAGAAAGAAAGCACAAGGATATCAATACCTGCACCAGGCTTGCAGTAGGTAGCTAGGTTGTCATTCTCGTTATTGTTGCCCCCCCAATAAACAACGTTTTGAGCGCCAGGGGCTTGGCGGGCTTTGATGCTCTGCGGATAGGAGGGAGCAGCAACGCCAAAGCCCACAAGGCCTAGCCCAAGAATGAGTGAAGTAGAAAGCATCGCGACTTATGTTAGAAACAAAACGGAAGTTTTATATGTACGTTATAGAGGAATATATACAGGGGAAAGTGCCTATCAGATGGGAAATGAGAGAAAGAAGTATCGTGGTGTGCAACTTGTCTACATGTTTGGTAGCGTACAGTGAATGTTATATATATATTACTCTCCTTTCTACCATTTTGTAGAGATGTATTCTTTTTGAAGCCTTTCCAAGAGCTCCCAGAATACTTTGCTGTAGAACTCAGTACGTCTCTTTGCGCGACATCTGTACTTTACCCCCAACCCCAAATGAAAAGAGACGTTACATGAGGCAAGTGAATCTTTGGCCTTGTGGCCGCGACTGTATTATATTAAGTTCAGCTGACCCACCCAAAGATCATTGACTATGCCCGACAAATTATGAATAGCACCTCATAGAGGTTTGATGCTGGAAGAACTGGCAGGTGACATTTCCGGAGAAACCGTAGTCCGGTGGCATCACGAGCAGTTTACCGATCGCAGGCCAGGTGCAAAAACAGCTCTATGTGGATACCTCAGTGTTCAAGCCATGATAGCGAATTGGTTTAATGATAAGAGTTACCCAGGTAGGAAGCTTCAGGCAATTATACAGCAATGTCTACTCCGTAGATTATTTTATATCTTATTAGTCCGTGTACAAGTTTTCTGTTTTAGGCAGCTGAGTTAGTGCTACGGCATTGTGACTCCGGATAGCTGCCTCAAAATTAATTAGCCCCATTCAAAAATCCGCCTACCGTCCTATCAGGAAGGAGAGAGCTACGATACGCGCCAAATATCCATGGCTGGGTAGGATAAATTGGCGTTTGTGATCAACAATGAAACTTCCCTCTTAAGATACAACGTTCCAGATGTAGCCCGGCCCGCACTGATAGCAGACATGTTTCTTCGGCGGGATTGAGCAGAAGAACTTGAACTCTTTTGCCCGCATGTGTGAATTGTTTTCTTCTTTTACTGGATGATCGAGAATGGAACCGTATACAATACAATGTGAATGTGATTCTAGCTAAGCATAGAGATCAATTAGTCTTACAACAGGAGCCCGATTCGTCACACAACTCCTTGCGCGGACGAGCGTCCTGCTTAACAAAGAGTGAAATCGCACGCTCTGCAAGAGGCAGTTATGATATCCAGCAGCAATGGAGGCCGATGTCTCCTCAGGAAGCCAAAGTCCTCGCTACCAGATGGCGTCAGGGTATACTATTGTAAGACGAGGTAGGTGACAAAGTCGTCGAATAGGCTACGGGCAACATTAATGGTGATCAGATCCGACGTAAAGAGTCTTTCCAACGTAGATTCTGCGGGCTCGTCATCAATGGAAATCTCATTCTCATACCGCATTACAATCCGCCTGCCAACTGCGCCCTTGTCGCCTCCTTAAGAGGACGAGCGAAAAACATGTGTAGCACCGTCAGCATGTCCGGCAACTTAATCATGATCATAATAACGAGCATCAACTCGCCGCGACTCCTGTGCTGCCCACTGCTGCCTGCAGCTCAGCAACCTATCTTTCCAGCGCAGCGACCCGCGTATCGGTTCGCTTCCTCCTTCCCGGCACCATCGACTTGAAGACTCACTCTGCCTCAATCTTGAAGCAGCGCCTGCATTTGCCGTGCTCGGCAAAAGTGTCCAATGAGTATCGGAGCTTGGACGCATGATAAGCCGTACATGTGTGCTTCTGCATACTCATTCTTCTGTTGTCTTTTTCCCTGAGAATTGTTAAAGTAAGAGAATTGACAACTTCTTTGCATCAGCTTTCTTGGGCGCTCGACTGAGATTGCCGGTTCAGGTCTAAATTACCCCCGATGGCTCGGCACCGGCACGGGCTAATGATGCCACGTCGGTTATTGAACCCAAGATTCGACTGCCCGTGTTAGAACGAAAGATCTTGTATATTTACTATGAAGTATATCCGTCGGTCCGGACAACGTTCATTGCGCTTCCAGAGCGATAATCTTCTAGCATGATCTCATCTATAGTTACAAAAGATGCTGCTCCCGATCTACAGTCATCACTTTTGCTTTTCAATACGGAAGCCGATACGAGGAAAATGAACTACTATCCGCTCTGCAACACCATCTTCCTTTTCAATAGCAACTTGACGAACTGTCAAAGCTACCAGGCGTCCAGTCACAGGCTCTCGGCCATAGTCATCCGGCGTAACAACCACTACGTCCCCCTCGGAGATCTCAAGCTCATCATTGACGATTGATGATTGCCCCACATGGGGGGGAGTAGATCGCGCTGCTTCAGACGCCTCTTCCATGCTTATGTCGGTTCTCCGTCCATGGCCAATGGCTTTGACTCTTGCTTCCCATTCCACCATTTTGCCAAACCTGGCAAAGATGTTGTCGGAGAAGGGAATATAGGCTCTTGCCGTCCAGATCTCGACGTAGGCATGAAAGTCGGCGAGACTTGGCTCGCCGCCTAGCCAGAAGCGCCGGCCATCAGAGAGCTGCTCCTCAATGAGGCTTGCATGGGCTCGCAGCTGAGTCGTCAGATGGGCAATGTCAGCACCGAGACGATCAACGTCCATGAAGCCCTTGAAATAGGCCTTTCGATCAGCCATGAGCTCAGGAAGGAACTGGTCCTTGTTGACTCCAATAGTGAGCCCAGAGCTCGCAATGTGGAAATCGGTATCGCTCCAAGTGGACAGCGCCATACAGAGTCCCTTGCTTCCTCCTGGGAATATCGAAGGCGAAGGGTATCTCGCTTCCAGCTCTTCTGCGATCAAACGGGAGTCGCAGTAAATGTCGGAACCAATCTGCATGACGGGAGTTTTTCGATAGCCACCGGTCAACGCTGTGAGCTTAGGCTTTGGCATGATGAGCTCGGCATCTACAGACTTCCATGATAGACCCTTGAGCCCAAAGATGAGGCGTATCTTCTCGCCAAAGGGTGAGGCATCAAAATGATGCAAGATGATCGCAGCCATGATGTATACGAAGGCGCTCTTCTCTCTACTGAATCCTAAGTCATCAATTACTTCCTTTTTGTCGCTCACTATACCGTCTTCTATGGGTTTTTAATAACGGACTTAGCAGTTGGTACGCCCCTATCTCCTGTAGAATATCAGGAGCTTCTATATGTTCAACCTAGAATATCAGGTGTCTTGGCCCAAAAGCTTTCTCATCGGAGCCTTGTGTGATTCCGACTCAAAGACTAAATTAACGATGAGTGGGGCTGGAATTAACAGATCTCGTCGACATAGAAGACATGCAGTGTGTAATATACCCTATGGACGGAGAATTCGAGATGGGCTATTTTTACAGCTCTGCTGCTCTTAAAAGTGAGCTAGGGAAGACTTTTCTTTACAGTAGTCTTCTGCCACAGCCAATAACCTCAAGGCAGATTACTTTCGCAAAAAGAATAGCTGATCATGATGCTATTCGTTGTCCATAGAGAGTAATTAGAGAGCCCACTCAAGCTTGTTTGGAGGGCGCCGGTCCAAAATTACGCCGACTCTTGGAGCGGCTTTTCGACGAGTGGGGTCAGGTATTTGCCGATTCTAAGCTTTGGGGATGGGCAGTGATAGTACTTTGCAGTGACCTTTTCTATCGAACAATGTTCGGGATAAAGCGGTTCTGGTTCTGTTGACCCGGATGCTTGGGAGTAACAGGTCGGCTGTGGTTGAGAGTTGGCGCCGGTGTTGATGATGGCGATCTCAGTAGATCGCCTATCAGGCCAGAAAACACCCACTTACACGCGACAATTCCGAGACGACATTATCCCTTCTTGTTCGTAAACGTGAAAAGGAAAAGTAACAAGTTGATAATGTTGTACAACATTCGGGGATCGAAATTGTCTCCATCTAGGCATGATCAGATCACTCAATGGTTCACTGTAACACTGTCGAGAGACGAATTGTTACAGGGTAGTCGGTCCCGAAGCGAAGCTCGCCGCGAGCCAAGAACCAAAAGATGGCCATGTATAATGTTCGTACCCTGTAATTCGTAATAGCTAACACTGCCAATGCATGCTCAAAGGGGCATAATTATCGAACAGTTGCTTTGAACATGATCTCAATGCTGGAAATGGTATCGAGAAGAGCACTCAATGCACCAGAGCCTATTTCTCCACGTGATGGAGTGATTCGCCCAACCCTCTCGCCCTTTCTTGGCATTTGGACATGTCCAGACAAACTAATCACTGATGGTGTACACGCGGAATACTACTTCATAAATCTATTCTAGAGGCACCAAGTCGCTGGCCCTCTTTCGGAATCTAGGTGTGTGAAATACATGTTTCACTCTATTTGGGGTCTGCCTCTATAATTTCATAACATGACGATACACGTGCGCAAGGCAACTGAGGGCGCTGTCCCCTCTATCTCCAGCAATACGAAGATACGCTTCTTGTATACCTACCCGAAAGAAATATTTGTATTCCATACAGCGGGCAGTGAGAGGCAAATCACGTTGTGTCTTCTTCTTCCTCTCACTATTTTCGCTTCTTCTTCTTCTTACATAAGCAATACTGTGCTCTTGCAGATAGGTAGGAAAGATAGAGTTATCATTTTTCCCTCGAATCGCCAAAGATTTGATATGTGATACCTACAACGATTTGACGAGCACTCGTCGCAATCTTCGGCACTCCACATCTCGGCCCGTAGGTGGGCTCGGCAATTCCCAGGGCACTACGGAGTAATGCCGCCCTCATAAGAAACCTAGGCATGGGACTGTTTCCGACAAGAGAGGCCATGCCAGCGGCTGACCAGACCCCGGTAGATACTAGCTGAGTAGCGAGTTCTAACACAAGACGGAGGCAGAGTACTGCACATGCATGGCTCACTCACAGTTGTCTCAAAGCATTTTACAAGTCGTGCAGGTAGCTGGTATATCCAATTTCGGTGTTATAGCTATGTAATCTTTGCACAGGACTAAACAACCCAGTATTTACCATATCCTGGTGAACTTGCCTCTAATATCTTTTAGACTTGTATAATTCGTTCACCGATACTCCGTATTCTCCACGTACTTGTTCTCTGCCCCTATTATCCGAGCTAACCACCATTTCACTGGCCCCATGTTTGCCCATGTATCAGCCTGTAAACTCGCTTGAAGATTACGGGAGGAGTTAGCCAGCATTCCGATACCCGTCCAACCCCTACAAGAACCAGCCCTTCTTCTTTTTTCTTCATTTTTCTTCTGCTTTTCTTTTCGGATGTTAAAAAAAAAAAATTATAGCCTCATGAGAAAACAGAAACAGAAGCTTGGTTCGTCCAACATGGCTGTCGAGGAGATTCTTCAGTCTATTGACCACCTGAGCTCGGTCGTATTTTTAGCACAACGGTCCTGCAAGGTTTAAGCAACATGGGCTAAACCTTGTATCCCTGTTTTTTCCCGCGTATTCCACATCAGCCACTTCAAACTACGACATTATGGCCTGAGATTCGGTACTAGTACTATATCCTTGATGTAGCAGAAATGGCATAGAACCGACGACGGTCGGGGAGTCGGCGCCTATTTTGCTTTGCTGGTAGTGTGAAGCTAACACTTCAATAGCCGGTGATTGGCACTTATTCCTCGCTCCTATTGACTACGTAATCCCTTTGATATTCTACAAGACAACCCGTTATTTCCCTTTCCTTCCCTTGAACGAGTTCACGAGTAGACGCGGCAGACCAACAATTGCTAGTCTTCCAAGTATAAGTAACATCTGTAATGGGCCTATCTTACAACATAATTTCTGAGTACAGTTCACAAATAGTCAAGGATCATATGCCAAGGAGGGGAGTAGAGGTAAGAAATACTCAACAGCGGGTATAGGTATAGCGCGATGCTATACGTTAGCCGCTTTCCTTATCCATAAGAACTCTTTGTTGGAATAAGACAGCACTACAGAACAGCATTCATCTCACATTATCACTGTCATTACTAAATACCTTGCTGGAACTCTCATCCAATTCACTGTCATGTCTCTGCTACAGTTATCATTAACCGATTACTTGAAACTATGTTCCGACATTGTGCGATGGTGATCGCCGCGTTAAATGCCGGAGCAAATCCAAATCTTACAGGGATGGTCCTCATGCAGGCGCCCTAACTACCGGCCAGGTAGGCCCTGTAATCAGCTTTTGCCGGCATTGAGTCATGGACCTGGTACTATCCCTGAATAAAGGCAATGATGGAAAATACAGTATTCTATAATATTCCGTAATAGTCTTGGTATCAAGCTGTGTAAATACAAAACTGGCAACTGGATAACCCCCCCGGAGCTTAAGAAGGTCATGCAGCGTTGGAGATCAGTCCACATCGAATGTAAGCCGACAAATAAAATGGATGAGCATGAAAGCTTGGACAGCTGAGCCAGGAGTAAATGGCCAGGGTAACATAACCCAAAACACTCCTGGTGTATCCTCACATAGGCTCAATTCTAGCCGATATCATTAAAGGGGTCACAAGACAATTCTTGAGTCCTCCGCCAGTTTGAGTGACCCTCTGTGGAGGAGGAGGATGATTAGCTCAAAAGACTCTCATCTCTCTCATCAGTGCAAGTGCCTCATTGTTCCAGAGCTAATTTACAACTCGAGACAGCGGTGTCAGAATCAGTCTTCAGTGGTCACCAGCCTTTCTAATATCAACATGTTGCCAACGATAGTAGGCGTCACAGGAATGTGGCATCCGGGAAGCTGCTTTGACGACCTCGCAGCTGTCTTTGAGAAGCGAGGTTATCCATTTGTTAGTCAAGATGCTCCCGGTATTCTCTCAGAAGATCCTATCAACAGTACGGTCGACATGGATGCTGAATCGCTCCGACAAAACATCCTTCTTCCATTGCTTGCCGAAGGTAAAGATATTCTTCTTCTTATGCACTCATATGGTGGCGTTTACGGCTCAGCCGCTGTGCATGGCTTGAGTCGTAAAGAAAGGGAAAAGGCAGGCCAGGAAGGTGGTATAGTTGGCCTTGTGTATGTCACAGCTGTTACGCCTGCTGTTGGAAAATCCTTGCTAGACATGATGGGACTCACTCCGGAAAATCTACCACCGCATGTTGTGTTGAATGTGAGTTAACAAGCTGACCCTTTCATTCCTCCAACTTCACTTGACAATGAAGCTAATTCTGCCAATTCAACAGGAATCAACAGGACAAATCATGTTGATTGAAGCAGACAAATATATGTATCACGATATTCCGACATCTGACGCCGATAAATGGATTGCCAAGATCAAACCCCAGGCTTTCAACTCCGTCAACACGGCGATTTCATATTCTCCTTTAGCAGACTCAAATTATGAAGGTTCATTTGGATATATATTCTGTGGGAACGACCGAGTTCTCCCATTGGAGGCTCAGAAATATTATGCAGACATATCTGGGATTAAGAACACTGTACTAGTTGAAGCTGCATCGCATGCATTTTTTGTCGGCACTTGTGAGGAAACAGTTGCTGCCACTATCTCGCTGTCGAAATCTATTGCAATTGCTAGCTAAATTAGTCTATAAAGCTAGAATATTTGAGAAGTAGGAGTAGACTTGAATATGCACTGCCTCTAATCATCATTCGCTGGATAGAACAGACAACTTTATGCTAAACTTCTGAAACTATTTCCCAGCGGCCAAATCCTTCGGAAAGCTTCCGCGTATCCGTGCTGACACAACATTAGAGTTTCGCTTGCTGCACGCTAGGTCAGTGTGCCTGAGTCCTGAACAGCATCCTTGTTGTTGAAAGCCCCTTATCTGGGTACGCATGTCGGCTATCGGCCATGAGTTGATGGATTGACCCTGTCTAAATTCGAAAGGTACATGTCTAATCTCTTTAAAGCAATGCTTTTTCTACACCGGACTCGCACATACCCATATATTCTCCCCAAGTCCCCAGATTTCTTTTTTGGTTTTATGAATCACTCCAATATATTCCCTACACAGCTAGTGGAGTCATCATGTCGACCACAAATAGTACTGCTATGAATGCTGCATTCTTGGCAGAAAATAGACAAGCTGAGGTTTATGCTGTCGCCACTGTGTTCTTTGTGTTAAGTCTTCTGTCCCTTGCTGGACGCCTTACTGCCGCGCGAATTGTTGGAAAGTCTCTGTGGTGGGATGATTGGTTCGCGATAATTGCTGCTGTGAGTGAATGATGGTATCACTGCGGGTTTTAACTTCACCGGGATTTCGTGTTAACATGTAACCAGGTTTGTGGAATCGGTGGCTACATTACCACCATGCTCTATCTCCGTTTTGGCCTTGGAAGACATGCCATCGTTGTCAGCCAAGAAGACCCAGAAAACCTGTCCCGCTTTCTTCAAACAATCGTCGCAAATGAAATTGTTTACACCAGTGGCCTGGCTTTTGCCCGACTCTCGATTGTGGCGCTGTATTATCGCATTTTTGGCTCATCGAACATGCGATACTTCTTACACGGATTTTCAGCCTTCATTGTGGCCTGGGCAATCTCTACTGTGAGTCCATCTTGTACTTCCAATGGCTTTCATTTCTTTCATTCTGATGAAAAATAGTATGTCCCGTCTATCCGAACCTGTTGGCCAATAAGCAGTTTCTGGGATGGCACAAATCAAAATTGCATTGATCTTCATGGGTTTTATGTTGGCGTTGCAATTGGCAGTATAATTACAGATTTCGGTCTCATGGTTCTCCCAATGCCATATATCTGGAACCTGAAAGTTCCAACGTTTCAAAAAGTTTTACTTGCATTGACAATGATTTTCGGGGGATTGTGAGTGAAGCATCGCTCATGTATATGAAACTTGCCAATACTAACAGTTGTGAATAGTGCTTGCTTTGTGACGATTTTTCGCCTCGCAATAGTGGTTAGCCTGGACCTGTCGGACCTCACTTGGAATACCGTTGATCAGATCATTTGGACTACCTTGGAATTATTTTGGTAAGACTATGTTCTCTCTTTTCTTGCCGTATTAAACTTAATCATTATTTTAGTGCTATTATCTGCGCCTGTCTTCCTACGCTGCGCCCCCTAATTAAGCGCGCAAGGGGATTCTTCGGGCTTCCAGGATGGAGTTCAAGAGGAGAGAGCAATGTTGAAGGAGGTAAAAGCGGCAATTCAGGCATAGGCAGGAAACTTCCAGCACCTAATGAAAATCACTCGTCAGAAGAGATATTGGGCGATTATCGCGAAAATGATACCGAGCTCACTAACTATTCAGGTGGGTATGATGACCAGTTCGGGAAGAAAACTCTCTCTAGAAATACTCAAGATTCAGTTTGAGGCGGTAATTTTCCGGCCAACGTTTTAATAACATTGAACTCGGTCTATCGGGGGAGGGCGAGTCTTAAAACTGCAGTTCAAACTCATCTGGTAGATATTTGTGTTAGAAAATGAGAGGAATGTTGTCTTTGTCATAACATTTGGTAGAGTTCTGAGTCAAACAATAGAATCGGGCGGAGTAAGGGACACCATTTTGGGCTTACTCGTCTTGTCGGCTTCCATTGAGTGTATGTTCTGAGTAGCCCCGATATTCCTTACGGTGACCAAAAGATTAATATGTGATTTGTCTAGTTCATTGGCTGAGGTCATTTGTTGTACACGACGCCCAGCGTTGGCCACCCTACAATAGCGCCTATGAAAAATTGCTCTATTAGGACAGCGCTCCGCATTTTAGACATCAACTGGCGCTGGATTTTACACAAGTGGAACGCTACCGAAATTGTGAGAACTGACGTGATGCTTGGATTGAAGCAGTATATAATACTCTCTTTGTTCGTGATGCAGGACATAGTTTGAAGACTCAAAGTCTGCAGATGTGTATTTAACTATTCCAACGACAGTAATACGTACTTGCGACCTGGTTTTAAGAGACAGGATCATATTATTTCATCTGAGAATGTCTTCCTCAGTACTTGAAGTCACAAAAGTGACAACACATTATTGGAAAATAGCAATCAATCACGGTCCCTTTAACTTGGCAGGACCAGAATTCTTCCTAGACCTTTGGAATCTTTTACAGACTATTGAAGGAGAACCAGACTTGAAGATCATGGTTTTCGAGAGCGCAATCCCAGATTTCTTTATTTCTCATTACGACTTACAACGGGCTTCGTCTATCCCCGCCGATCTGTTAGCCAAATGGCCGTTAATGATGCTAAAACTCGCAACAATACCCGTCATCACGGTCGCCGCGATCCGTGGAAGGACTCGAGGCATTGGGTCCGAATTTGTATTGGCCTGTGACATTCGGTTTGGCAGCGCAGAGAAAGCTATCTTGTCCCAAGCTGAGGTCAGCTTCGGACTCCTCCCCGGAGGCGGAGGCATTGAATGGCTTCCAAAGCACGTGTCACGCGGTCGAATGCTGGAGATAATTTGTGGCAGTGATGAATTTGATGCCGCAACCGCCGCGCAATACGGTTGGATCAACCGCGCTCTTCCAGACGCTGATCTGGATAGTTTTGTGGACAAATTCGCCCATCGTGTGGCAGGCTGGCACAAACAAGCACTATCATCAGCAAAGCATTTAACAAATGAGCGATTTGGGCTTCCTAAAGAGGAACACTTTTTTGAGTCTTATCAGGCGATGGCGCAGCTTTGGGCGGATACTGACGTGCAGAGAAGGATGGAGGTTCTAATTGATAAAGGTCTTGAAAAAGACAAGAATGTGGAACTGACTGTCGCAGAGTTCACTGCTAGATTTCCCATGCATTAGCTTAATTGTTTAGTTATACTCGTAAGGTAACCATAAATACAATCTATACTTTGTATTATTCTGGTATTCTGTCTAAGTGGCAACAAATGTATCTTTCATGATTATAAGACGTAAATGCATTTCCTTACACTGCGGACTCTTAGTTACAGGTCTCTCTTATAAGATCGAGCTTTAACCAAAGGCAACCAAGTTGGCCAGATTTCCCTGATAGATGCAGTAACTAATTCATCATAAAGGAGATAATACAGCTCCAATCTTTTTAATTGATAGCTCACTATGATACGCGCTGTTCTGTTCTATGGAACATGTCGGCCTTTTTTACCTCTATATGTAGCCAACTTCCGGTTATTACGTGGCGCCGCAGATCAAACCAGACTCAACTACTGGATATAAACTTACAAGGAGAATCTCTGAAACAGGTAGCAATAAAAAGCATATTTGCTTTACATTTTAATTGAGTGGGAGTAATGGAACCTATAAATTTCTACCTGTGAAAGCATATGTAAGGGTTATTAAGTGTTGGCAGCCCATGTAATAAGTTCAGAAGATGTAATATCAAACTACTTCTAAATTGATCACATGGTAGATGGTATATTTGACGATCATAATGGAATCACGCGGCTCATGGGCAGTTTGTAAACATGGAGTATAGCGTCTGCAGCATTCTGAATTTTCTACAGAGACGATTACGAACATTGTTCATTTCAGAATAACGAACATTTCTCGCCTTGTTTCCTCTGAACCAGTCAAATGCAATTGTTCAGATGACGGCAGCCGTCATGCGACGATAATTCTAGAGCAGGCTTACTATGGCTCCATGATTAGTGATATTGAGTCCAAATGTCGGTGACCCGTTTCCCACGAAACCCACGACATCGTTCAAACACTTTGTAATTCCTGCCTCTCTTAGACTAAATATCAGGCACCATGGCACTACCGGCCATCTATAGTCTTTCTCCTGAGACCTTGGAGCTGATATTCGGTCAATTTTGTCTTCACTGCCAAGGCGAATGTCTCAATCCAACTCCAATTGACTGTTCCATTAACGGGGCTGAGCAGGGCGATGGCTCTTCTTCCTCGTACTCCCTGGACCGCCACGCACTCTTCTCACTATGTTTGGTCTCCCAGAGGCTCTCTGACATTGCTCGACCGATTCTTTACCACGAATTTGCTCCAGGATATGGAGATTCCGGGAGATCGACAGTATACGCGTGGGATAGGCGGCTCACATCGTTCATGCGGACTGTAGCGAAACGCCCCGAGCTAGGCAGACTTGTCAAAAGAGTTTATAAACACCATTTTCTAACAAAGAATCTCGATGTTGGCGATGCAATGCACGCCCTTGATGAAGCAGCGCGCGGAATGGGCCACGATCTATCACATGCATGGATGCTACGAATACAACGCGGCTTCGGCGAAAATCCGATGTGGCTTTCATTCCTTTCGTCTCTTTTAGAGACGGAGAAACTTCTGAAACACCCTGACTTACAAGGTAGCCTAAAATCGAGGGAAGAATTGACTCAGAAGCAGCGACGATGGCTGGCTGCCGAATTGATGTCGACGGTCATTGCTCAGCTGCCGAACCTAGATCATCTCAGTCTATGTGTGTTGCCATATGGTCCTGGAGACTGTGCTCCACCATCCGCCTTAGAAGTTCTTGGTATTTCTAGTTTACGCCTTAAGACTGTCGATATCGCCCTTGATGCTAGCGATATTGATATGGGGTTCAACTTGGAAATCCGGCTGCGCGGTCTACTTCGCTGGTCACAGCAGTTAACGACAATCAATCTCCATAAATGCTCAGCGACATTCAGTCTAGTGCCAATTCTATCACTACCACGGTTATCAAATATTCGCATGACCGAAACCAGAATTGGTGAGGCCAGCTTAGAATCACTGCTGACCTCGAGCCAAGATCTTCGTACATTTTCATACGAGGCCGCATATTCTGACAGCTGGAAGGAAAGTCTGAATGGGCGCTACCATTTTCAATCCTTTCATGCGATTAATGCTCTAGGCAGGCATCGGGAAACACTGGAATTTTTGCACTTGGATCTCCGAGGATGGGACGCTTTACTCGCAACTCGTGGTACACATATCCCGCCATTTCCGAGTCTCAAGCATTTTACGTCACTTCAGCGGTTATTTTTGAGGGTCGACGCGATATTTCTTAACAGCCTGGAATCGTCTAATGACCACCAGGCGCTAATTAATATTTTGCCGAAAGGCATAGTATCGTTACGTATCGGTGGTTATTTCAGTGAAACTTTCCCGCGTCTTGCAAATGCTTTACTTGGTCTTGCGGATGCCGTAATGTCTCAAAAACACAACGAAGAGCGACAGTTTCCCCACCTGAGTGAGATTCAGTGTGACTTTACACCAATGATGGATAAATGGGGGATAAGCAAAGTGTTGGGCGTTGCTGGCATTCGTTTTCTATATGGCGATTCTGGCTCATGAAAGTCGCAGATTGCATCTGGGAAGCCCCCATTTGTATTGTATGAGTTGGTTGTTATTATAAACAATGAACATATGGTGAGGACTATCGTTTCAGCTTCAGAAATGCGATGTTGAAGAGAATATTGTGTCCTTATAGGAAGTACTGGTCATAACAGTACCCATATTCTTCCAAGTGCGCAACCTTAAGCCATCACGAACAATTTTGGTATTGGTGCTCTACTGCTCATTTCATCTGTACATAGAACTCTCGCTATTCGATATTACCATTGTATATAGGCACTCCCAGCTTCCTTGTCGCAACGCCAACGTAATTTAGGGAAGAGAACGTTTGGCGGCCAGCTGATGGCTATTGGGGCAAATGGAGCCCCACCAATTTTGAAGGCTAACATTTAATGCTTACCCTCAATACGAATCAACACATCTCCAAACTGTCCTCGGAGACCTGCCAATCGAAAGAATATTGCATACAAGCCTTAAAAGTGATTGAGAGAATGCTTCGCCCATAGTAAAGCAAGTGGTGGACTGGGTTGCCCGTACATATGTCTTTTTGCGAAGACTGTTTGAAGCAAGGTAGGATTGTAGAATTGTGAAGCCTAGGCCGCGTACGCCAGACATATTGCAGTAACACGGTTATGGACCTCAGCTACGGAATACAAGCTTCGTACAGCACCAAATTACCACCAAAAGCGTGGCAACTCTAGCCACACCATCTCCGCGGTTTTCTTGGCTTAGCATATATGAAACCATACTTCCATAGATGCTCCAAAACGGCGAGGATTCTTGAGCTAGCGTATCATTTAATGGCACCTAGAAGATGATGAGATGACGGCCAAACTTTAGTTGAACTTTGGGGTATCAATCTAGACATAGTCTTTACAAAATTGGCCTTCTAGAAGAAGTCGGGGAAATCGACGACACTCGTTTTTGTTGGCGAGGTCTCTATACTAATACAGCAGCCGTTTCGTAAATGCCTTCAAATTTTTTCTTCTTTAGATGGAGACTGTAAGTCATGACTTGGCCTACTGAAACTTTTAGACTAAGATTTGCCAGGGTTAGTAAACCCCTTAAGCCCCTCCACTAGATACAGGCAGAGGAATGGTTGATTGCAGGGCGATTTTCTTTTTCACAAGAGAAAAGGATTGGAATAAATATAATATTGTATATATATAAATAAGAAAAAAAATATACGGCCCCGTATTGAAAGCAGTTCATAGGGAACATAACTAACATGGTATAGCTTGTTATAGTTTGTCAAATCATATGTAAAGCTCAATGTTCGACTGGATACTTGCTCACCGTAAGCGGATCTGGAACACCATAAAAACACCGCTAGACTAGGAGGAAGTCAAACCCTATGATGCGGAGATGGTGGTGAGACTCGCAGAAAGTTTGAACTAAGATGTACATTATAAACAAGTGCCAGGGCAGTGGCCTGTTCTTTGCATGCAAATCGTACCATGGTAGGACAACATTTGATGCTATATGTGCGGCATATGCGGCATATGCGCATCTCCGCGGTAGGATGGTCGGTCGCCTGTGTGTAGCCTGTGAAGGGGTATGGTAACTGAGTAAGCTTCATTACCCGCCAAATAGCCTACTGGTATATACCAGCATCGCGAGTAATTGAACTGGGCAAAGCAATAGTCTCCGCGGAGAACAGAGCGCAAAGTCCTCTCAATGGGCATTGACAGAGCCCTCGTGATATGGTGAAGAATAGACATCAAAAATATAATGCGCTGTATTGTCTGAAGTATAAAAGTGCAAGACAATGCACGCGCGTTCCAAAGAACCAGAACATTACACTCTTCTCCAAACCACCTCATCGATTCATCCAAAGCATGCCACTTCCCCAAACGAGATTATTTTCTCCCCAAGCACTACTTCGGAATTCCCAAAGCCGACAATTTATCCGAACGATTGCTTCAATGGCTACCGATGCACCTAGTTTCCCGTTTCGGCGAGCTTCTGGCATGGAGCCACCGGCCGAGTTCGCACGGTTAAGGGCCGTTGATCCAGTATCGAGAGTTAAGCTTTTTGATGGGAGCTTGGCTTGGCTGGTCACTAAATACAAGGACGTAATTACTGTTGCAACCGATGAAAGGCTCTCCAAGGTAAGGAAGGATCATGAAAAGATCATAAGTAATATTCTAAGATTATTAACGGCCGGTTAATCGCTAGGTCCGGACACGCCCTGGCTTCCCCGAGTTGGGTGCTGGTGGCAAAGAGGCGGCCAAAGCGAAGCCAACATTCGTTGACATGGACCCTCCAGACCATATGCATCAGAGGTAAGTGTTTCAATACTCCGTAGTTTAATGGAAACTAATGTCAATTCCTCGACAGGAGCATGGTTGAGTCGATATTTTCTGTTGACCATATCAAGGAGATGCAGCCATATATTCAGAAGACGGTGGATGATCTCCTTGGTGTCCTGAAAGCTAAGGGTTGCGCTGATGGACCTGTCGATCTGATTAAAGAGTTTGCATTGCCAGTCCCATCATACGTGAGTGAAGCGCATCTCGAAAAAGTAGCCCATCGTTGACTGTCTTTTAAGATTATCTATACCATCCTTGGCGTGCCGTTCCATGATCTCGAATATCTTACCCAGCAGAATGCCATACGAACCAACGGAAGCTCTACGGCGCGCGAGGCATCTGCCGCAAACCAGTGTGTTCTCTCTCCTTCTTTCACTCTCTAGTTAGTAGGCGTGAGGCAGCTTCATTGTGACTGACAATGACAAACCTAGGGGGCTACTCGATTATCTTGCCAAATTAGTGGATCAGAGAATCCAAGAGCCTAAGGATGACCTCATTAGTAAACTCGTTGTTGAACAAGTAAAACCTGGGAACATTGAAAGGGCAGATGCCGTACAAATAGCTTTTTTGCTACTCGTGGCAGGAAATGCTACTATGGTCAACATGATTGCATTGGTACGAGCCGCCTCACATCGCCCCATCGCATCCCAATTGAGTGTAGCGATTTATGGCTAATGAAGTTCATAGGGAGTTGTGACTTTATTCCAGCATCCTGATCAGCTTGCGCAATTGAAAGCTGATCCTTCACTCGCCCCTGCATTTGTGGAAGAACTATGCCGATATCACACAGCTTCAGCACTGGCAATTAAACGAACGGCCAAAGTTGATATTGAGATTGGCGGCAAGGTATTTCACTTACGAGTTAAAGGTGTGGATGCTCATTAATGCTGACATTTGACATGGAAACTAGCTTATTAAAGCTAATGAGGGCATCATTGCTTCCAATCAATCCGCGAACCGGGACGCTGACATCTTCGCAAATCCAGACGAATTTAATATGAATCGCAAATGGCCTAATGAAGATGCTCTTGGATTTGGATACGGCGACCATCGTTGCATCGCTGAGACTCTTGCAAAGACCGAATTGGCAACCGTCTTTTGTAAGTGTAAAACCACACCGGTGTATGGAAATTATATGCTCATAAGCGTTTATAGCTACACTTTTTAAAGAACTGCCCAATCTAGAGCTTTCAGTGCCAATCAGCAAAATCAACTTTACGCCTTTACATAAAGATGTTGGAATCGAGGATTTGCCGGTAGTTTTCTAAGGTGGAAGTCATTAGAGCTCAGCATCGAAGCAACAATTCAGACCAGCAACATACTCCACTTAATCATAGACTGTAGTGTTTCACGGTCGGCAATTATACCTACGTGACGAAGGCCTACTTAACAGTGACGTCTAAGTAGTTGACTATTATTACCGATCATTCTACAAGTATCTATGTAGCATTGGTCTTGTATCAGTAAAATCCGAATTAAAAAATGCATCTGTCTAATACTTGCGGCTGGCGGCTGGAAGTAGTCTCAAACACCCAGAGAATCCCTCAAATACCCAATATAATCTCTCAAACACATAGAATCTCTCAAATACCCAGAATCTTCAGCTGGGATTCAAGAGTGGCGCGCCAGCTGGGCACCCTGTCTTCCTTCTGACCCCGTGGGCGCACTTCCACGATTGCACGCAGGTAATTAATTGCTTCTTGCATGGCCCCCTGCATTACTGAGTTTGGTCTTGTCTCCTCTATCAGCGAGCTTAATCCCCGTGCGGCGCAACATTCTGTAAACAAGGTCTTAAGGCGATCTCTCTCTGCCATGGCTCCTTCAGAGTACTGGCCATTCCAAAGAAATGCCCCAACAGGATTCCAGCGGGTTGCAGGTACAACGCTGGAGAATTCCCAGTCCAGAATTCCAGTAATAAGACCGGTCTCTTCATCGCACATGATATTTGCAAAATGTAAGTCTTTGTGCGCTAGGAAATATCTGGTTTTGTTGAGCTCCGGGAACTCAGATAGGATGTTAACAAAGAGATCAAGCCGTGGCAGCATATCTCGCATATCTGCCAATGATGGATGAAGGCGAATTGCATGTTGATAAACACGCACCATCGCGGCGATGTAATCGGTGTAGCATTTGTAGGGACCAGTAATATTGAGAGATTGGACTGACTCTGACCCAGGCCAGTATTTGACCACATCAGGCTGCTGCCAGAACGTCTCCTCAACTATAGGTCCCGGGACAATGTTGCCGTCATGGTCGAATTGAAGGCCGGACACACCATCCCAAGAGATTGCATGGATTTGCTGTACGATGTCTACCAACTGATTGATGAGACTGTCAAGCAGCCGTGGCGGGAGTCGATCATAAATCTCGCTAACCGCGACGCCAGGGAGTCGCTGTAGAAGAGTGAATTCGTGACCCAGTGGATTATTGGTGCTGGCATCATAACGTATGACTTTGGCTACAGGCAATTGAGTATTTTGCTGCAGCCAAGTCATCGTTGCGACTTCGTTGACGGTCTTGATGCGGGGTAGGTGATGGCCGGAGATGCGCAGGATAAGTTCAACACAATCCTTGTTGGACCGTGAAAGCATCGGAAAAGCGGCATCTGCCACTTCGGTCGCGAAAGAAACGACATAGATCGAATGATACTCCGCCGTGGTAGACAAAGCGGATACCGACTGCGGCGGCGGTAGGTTGAGGAATGCAAAAAGAGCCCGTATGGTGTCCTCCGATATGGTCAGCGGAAGATGGTCTTTGGGAGAGCCCATAACTGCACGAACGCGATGGACACTCTCTCAGTTTTGCGCAGCTCAATGATCACGAAAACGAAATAGAAAGACGCGAAGCAGTGATGAGTTGCTCAAGTTGCTAACGTACTTGCAAAAGATCAGCAGAGTCTATTTGGGTTGACTTCTCCTCGCTTCAAAGTAGCTGAGAGGAGGCAACATCTCCCCGCTTTTCAGTTAGATTCTATGCCAACCAACGCGTTCATCATCACTGCCTATGATAGTGTGGTCTATTTGGTGCCGCTCTCACGTATCTTATCTTCTTACGGGGTACCTATTAAGTGATCCTATTTTCCCCTTCGGAATATATTTTCTCTTTTCCTTTCTTCTTTCTTTTCTTCTTCTTCTTTTTTTTTTTTTTTTTTTTTTTTTTAAAATGCGTGTCGTTGTTGGAATTGTCTTGAATAACATCGCCGTCTTGGCTGCAGCCAGCCATGGTCACGGCAAATATCATGCTTGCTTTGATGGCTTTAAATGCGCCCGTCTAATCGCCCCATTGGATTATAAAAATGATAGCGACTTGCGAACTGTCGCTATCGCCATGATCAAGTTACCAGCCGTCGTATCAAACGATGATCCGGCATTTGCAGGCTCCGTCTTCACTAACCCAGGCGGCCCTGGAGGAGCAGGCGTTGGTTTTATACTAAGGGCCGGGAAAGGTTTACGAGATGTCCTCGACAAGCCCGGCCTTCGCCACTACGAAATCGTTTCATTTGACCCTCGTGGTATTGGCAATAGTTGGCCTCGCGCTAACTGCTTCGTACATGACACGCTGCGCCGCGATGCCATCTTCTTAGAGCTGCGAGGCCGAGGATCCCTCGACGGCTATGGAGGCACCAACGTGCCTTATATCTTTGCGATCTAAAAGGCTATCGGTCTTTGATGCCAGGACGTAGAAGCGAATGGCATCAACGGCGGCCAGATTATGGCCTACATGGGTACGCCTAATGTTGCCCGCGACATGGTTCACATGGTGGACAAGATTGCAGAACTCCGGGCCCGCGATGCCATTTATCGAAAGAGCGGCGGCGATAATGGAGAAGACCATGTAGAACTAAAACGGGAAATGAATAAAGAAGACGACGATATTCCTCGATTGCAGTATATCGGCTACTCCTACGGCACAGTCCTCGGAATCTACTTTGCGTCCTTGTTTCCAGGTCGCGTTGGAAGGATTGCTCTCGACGGCTTGGTTGATGTTAATGATTACTCTTCGGGACCTGTACGTGACAGTTGCGAGTGATTGGCATTGAAACCAATTCATTGAAGTTCGCTAATGTTGATTTAGGGCTGGATGACCAACCTTGTAGATACAGATAAAATTGCCGACCGATTTTTCAGTGGATGCCACGAGGTTGGCCACAAGATCTGCGCCCTCTCCAGCAATGGCGATAAGTCGGACGCCTAAATTAAAAGTCGCTTCTACTCGTGGCTGTCAAAGCTGGATGAAGAACCAATTTCCACAATCGGCCCTTCTGGTGAGATCATTATTATCAAGAGCCAGGATATTCGCGAGATGCTGGGCGCGGCGCTCTACAGGCCTCGCAGCTCTTTTATAAACCTTGCAGCAGCACTCGACGGTGCCATGAGTGGAGATACTGCCGCCATTGTAAAGATTCTGTTTCAACGCCACATTCCTCATCTAGACGACGATTGCGCTATCGACAACATTGACTCGGAAGCTTACCTGCAAGAAGGTACCGCCAGCGTGCTCTGCGCTGATGGGGATAATGTATCGGACTATGATATTGCATGGTGGAAGCAGTATATTAATGACCAGATCAACACATCGTCTATCTTTGGCGCCTACTGGTCTAATATCCGAATGGCGTACAACTCCTGGAATTTCCGGCCTAACTGGATTTTTAAAGGACCATTCACCACTCCTCCAGTTGTACATTCCGCCTCCGGGAATCCTGTTTCTGGCCACCCTGCCGCCCCCATCCTGTTCATCTCAAACCGCCACGATCCCGTAACTCCTCTAAGTGCCGCGCGTGCTATGGCTGTCCAACATCCTGGAGCGAGCCTTATAATCACAGAGGGGCTTGGGCACGGTACTATGGGCACCAGTGATAGTACATGTCTGCACAATTATGTGGCCGATTATTTTGACATTGGCGTTGTGCCGGCCGGTGAGGTTACGTGTATACCAGATTGCGGTCCTTGGGATATAGACTGTGATACTTTTGGGGTCGAATTTATGCCTGATAATAACCATGGCTATGGTAGAGGCCCTTTAGCATTTTAAATTAATCTTCACACAGATGTATATGTCCAGTAAGAGAAAGAGGATGCATCGCTTCTGTATCCTAGATGTAAAGGCTAAAGCTCGAATAATCCACAAATCAACAGGAACTTTTGATGACATAGCTCTTCATGCATTAAAGCCTCTCTCGCCTTCTCCATGGAGCGTTCATATTACGCGGCCCTTTCAAGACCCGTGGAGAGATCCAACTCCGGTCACTGGTGTTATTCGTTACAAGATTGACGAGGTATGCCTTCACCTGTGTTGGCATCCCAGCCGTCCCAGCGGAGTCGATCCATTGGGTAAAGTCAACTTTGGGAAAACTCCCACCGTGTTGCCTCTCTAAATACAATCCGAGTTGATCCAACCGGACCCAGTCGTTCTCTGCGCCACAATGGTTTCGATATTGCACCTGTGTTCTTTGAAGACCTTCTCTGCTCAGCACGTCAACTGCGATGTCTTGAGCCACTTCATCGATCTCCACAAACTGTAGCCATCTATCTACAGCTGGCATTCGAGGCACGCTCCTCAATCTTTCTGCAAAGCTCAGAATGTTGTGCATAACATCGAGTTGGGGCGCATCAGGTCCAACAACATAGCTTGGCCTGTGTATGGTGACAGGCAGCTTGGAAGCGACATGCGCATTTTCAAGATATTTCTCTGATGCCCACTTCGACGCAACATAACCATTTGCATTTGCTTGAGGTTGAGGTACAAGAAGGGACTCTTCGTACAGCTCACGCGTTCCAAGCTGAGCAACGCCAGCGGTTGAGACGAAATGGAAATGTGGCAGTGGCCTATCAGCAGAGTATTGTATGGCCATCCGTACAAGTGCTTTGGTCGAAAGAACATTGGCTGTACGAAGGGTCAGATAACCTCGAAGAAATGAGACGTCAGCGCCATTGTGAATGATCGCAGAAACTTTGGAAAAGATGTGCCTTGCAGTTTCCTCGCCAAGCCCCAGGTCTGGGTCTCTCAGATCACCAGGGTGAACTATGACCTTTGGAGAGTCAATCAGGAGTTTTGAAGTATTTCGAACAGCGATACAGTGCACTTTTTCAACCTCACTGTCGTTAAGAAGCTTCTGCAGGATGTGTCTGCCAAGAAATCCGGTTGCCCCAGTCAGCGCCACTGTAATCCCACCAGAGAGCTCGTCAGCAGAAACATGATCCTTGAGGCCCGCCACGAAACCCGGGCCTATCTCTTTAAATGCTACTTCGTCTTGCCAGTTGATATCGGCGATAGATTGATGGAGAGTATCGCTTTCAGTTGTCAAAGTGTCCAAGAGCATCGACATCCCCTCCAGCGTACTCGCTTCGAACAACTTGGCCAATGGAAGGAGAACATCAAATTCTTTATGAACCTCGTTCTGTATACGTATAAGAAGCAGCGAGTTTCCACCAACCAGGAAGAAATCAGAGTCAAATCCAATATCGTCCTCTGTCGCGATACCGACGAGTACAGAAACCCAGATTTGCTTCATTTTATCTCTGGTAGAAGTCCTCGTGGGCCGTTCCCTGGAATGCTCGTGATTTTCAACAAGTATGTTCGCCATTTTGCCCATGGTGCTAGCCTCGAATAGGTTCACTAAGGGGATGTTTTGGCCAATTTGCTCATGAATCTTGTTTTGAACTTTGATCAGCAGTAATGAATTACCGCCTACAAGGAAAAAGTCAGAATTTTCATCCAGAGCCTGTCCGGCGACGAGATCCCCCAAGGCGTTTCTCCATATTTCTTCAATGTCACGCAAAACTTGGCTGTTTGTATTTCGTCGTGGGGAGGGTAATGCCTTAGAGATCTCTGCTGTCTTCTTTAGTGGTGACTTGGAGAGAAGTTTTCGATCAACCTTTCCATGATGGTTTAGAGGCATGGACGGCAAAGACACCACCATTGACGGACGCATGTATTGCGGTAAAGTGAGATTAGAGATCATGTTTCGAAGCATGCTATCGATAACAGGGCCGTTTGTGCCATACTTCTGCTGTATTTCTGTTGCAAGGACAACATGTGCAACAAGGAAAGCAGAAGCGGCGTCCTTGTCGTTTTGGTGCCGAATATGTGCAATTGCCTCAAGTATATCGCCTTTGCCGACAGCAAGCATTGCTGCTTCAACTTCTCGTAACTCAAACCGCTGGCCTCTCAGTTTGACTTGCGTGTCGCCATTCATACGACCCAATGCAACAAAGACGCCATCTTCTCTCATATAACCACGATCACCACTTAGATGAGCATGAGTCCATCCATTTGCGATGGCCTGATTGCTAGCAAGTATGTCTTGAGGAAATTTAGCTGCTGTAAGCTCCGGCTGGTTGATATAGCCGGAAGCAACACCGGCTCCTCCAATGACGATCTGGCCCGGGACACCTACGGGAAGCGGATGGTTGTCTCCATCCATGATGTATACACTGTAATTAGGCAAGACTTTACCAATTGGTATGGGGGAGAGAGATATACTGGGGTCCCGATATGGAACTTCGTAGGCATGCGGGACAATTGTCTCTGCTGGGCCGTAAGCATTCATGAATCGCAGGTCCGGCTTGTCTACTGCTTTTAGCCTCTCAACAAGGATGCTGCTAATTTCTTCACCAGCAGATATGTGCCATTCCCATGCAGACGCACGTAGCTGTTGCAGGTCTCCATACTGCAGCCAAGACGTAGCCTCTGAGGGTACTGCAAGCGTAAGTGAGATCATTTGCGAAGCAATAAGGTTGGTGAGTGCAATGGGATCTTTTCGAGTATCCTTCCCAGCGACAACAACAGTTCCACCAGTAGCAAGTCCAAGCAGAGATTGCCACCAAGAAACATCAAAGCTTAGGGCGATTTGCTGGAGGACGGTCTGAGGCTTCATTGGGAAAATTGCAAGGAATCCCTTGATGGTGTTTGTTACCATTCGATGAGGAAGAGAAATTCCCTGTCTTTCAGTCAGTACCTGAAGCTTGGATGAAACAATTTCTTGACATTGAAAAAGTTATTACCTTTGGTGTACCCGTAGAACCGCTGGTGTATAGAATAATCGCCTCATCCGTAGGTCCGGCGCTGTAGAAATTGGAGGCAACCGCTTTCCCGCTGTCACTAGTTGTGGCAACATTGATGACTGGCGTAGCTTGTGCAACACCTATATCCTTGTAAAGCACTTGAGTCGCATCGTGGACTAGAATAGCGGCGAGATTGGCGTCTTCAATAATTGATTTTAGGCGTCCAGTACCTTGAGTGACTTCCAGAGGAACATAACTTGCGCCAAACCGCCAGATTCCGAGCATGGAGCATATCCAATCCACAGTCGGATCTTGGAGAACTCCAATTCGAGATCGATTGGAGATGCCCAAAATAGAAAGTGCGTGGGCAATTTGAGTGGACTTTTCCATCATGTCGGCATAAGAGAGCATGCCGCCGTAGGTATCCTTGAGTGCGACATGATTAACTAGTCTGGCAGAGATAGTGTCCAGGTATCCAATAAGAGACCCAAGGTCAGTGTCAAGGCTCACTCCTACATGTCGGTGAATTAGCAATAATAATCTGGCAGAATGGCATGTTCCATGGAGGATAAAGAACAATTCGTCCAGTATAAAAGTTTGCGGCTATCAGAGTCAGACTTACCTTGGCCTAACTTGATTGCGTCATGAACCGCGAGTTCATTAAACATTTGTGGTTGACGCCCAGGGAGGTGTATATCATTAGTGAAAGCGTCTACAAGGTTTATGAAGCAATCCAAAAGGGTTTGCGCTTCATGCTCCGTGTACAGCTCCTTCTGAACCATGATGGCTATCCATGGGTCGCCAGCTGGTGGGTCAATAATTGCCAACATGATGTCGTACATAGTTTCTCCGATCTCATAATCTCTATTTTCTATGATTCCGTCTCCAAACGACCTATTTTCTCTGACCGGGATGTAATTGATAAATGCTTGGAAGAGGGGGCTATGGGAGGGGTGTCGGATAGCCCCAACCTCGTCTAGAATGATGTCAAATGGTACTGCAGAATGGCTCAAGCAAGCCAGACCTTTCGCTTTGTTTTCTTTTAGTAGAGACAGAAATGATTTCGAAAGTTGTGAACGTAGCCGCAGTGGAAACAGGTTCAGGAATATGCCAATACTGCTGTCTGAACCAGGATCGTTATGCCTGTTTGCGCTAGCAACGCCAATACAAACATCCTCGGATTCAGTCAACCTTCCAAGAAGAATTTGAAAGACTGTTACATAAAAGCTGAACGGAGATTGTATATATCCTTGTTTTCGAAGTTCATGGAGTCGAGCAGTAGTGGCGGAGTTTAGGCGTCTCTCTGCTCTTACGTGGCGGTAAGTTGTTCTTGTGGTTGGACGAGATCGAAGTGTGTTTGGTGAGAGGGGTAGAATGGGCAAAATCTCGGGAAGATCCTTGAACTCGTTTTTCCAAAACATAATGTCATCTGCATAATGCCCAGTACGAAGCCGCTCACGCTGTCTACTGGCAAACTCATTCTGTTGGAACGGCGGTGGCAACTGGGCTCCCTCATAGGTTAGCCTGAGGTCGTCAGTTATCGCCATTATGCTCATTCCATCAATATTGATGTGGTGATAGCCGACTATTAAATGATGCCTGATTGGTGACTCGGTGAGAAGTAGGAGTCTTAAGGTTTCACCCTTTGCGAGGTTGTACACATGCCTGTTCATGGCCTCGATTTCTGTGCGTACTTGATCTTCAGCCTTGATGATCTTCTTCTCCAAGTATAATGGAGATTCGTCCAAGATGCCCTGTTTGGGCTGGTGAGAGTCGTCAGTGAAGAATGCAGTCCTCAGCCCTTCATGACGTCTACCCATTTCCCGCACGAGGTCTGAAAGGACCTCGATGTTAAGGTTTGTTGTTATTAGAAATGAGACAGTTCCGTTAAAAAATGTTGGATCGTCTATAAATTGCGTCATGAACCAAAACCCAGATTGACCAAAAGACATTGGAAGAGTCTTGATGATTTTTGTGGATGGCAGTGCCACTTGATTCACTTCATCGTTGATTAGTTTCGGGTCTCTTGCTGATTCCGCAAAGTTATGAGAAAGTGGAGAGGGATTGTCAAGCTTTCTGCCTGAAGCTGGAGTCCCTGCCATATGACTAGGATTATGTTGGATCGATAGGTTTTGATTACCCGTCTTCGTGACCAAAGATAAACTTTTGTATCCATCCGAACTCCTCAAACGCAAGCACCCTAGTGCGTTCAGCTTGTTTGAGCCGGCACAATTTGATCTAATCCGAAAATTAACGAAGTCTGTCCTGTCTCCGTGTCTCTCATGGCTGCCAGTCGACTGAAGTTCAAGGGTAATCTGAACTTGGTCCTCACCTCTGGCTACGGTGATGTCGTTTTCGACGAAAAAGTCGTCAAGTTCGAATTTTCGCAGAGTTCTTGATCCAGACCATTTCAGAGATGCCTCAGCAACGATCTTGACATATCCAGCAGCTGGAAAGACACCGGGTAGTGATACATTATGGTCGACAAGCGAGAGAAGTGTTGAGGCTTCAAGTGTATTATGCCAGGTAATTCCTAGACCCAACGGATCGACACTTGAGACCCCCAGAAGCGGGTGGACAATTTGGCCCTGAGCTGATACCTTGGTATCCGGCGGTAGTAACTTTGACATTTCGGCTCAAGTTAAGCGCTCCAACGATGCGAGGTTCAATATAAGGTAACTTGACTTATCACTCTGAAACAGTCGACCTACGTTAGATATACACTGAGTTCTATTATATAGTCCAAGGTGAATAGGAGATATAAAATCCGAGGGATAGCCTATGCGACGGGCAATATAAGCCCTAATTGAAAACGATTCGAGGTTCCACTAAATTTGACAGAGTGCGCTTACTATTTCGTATATATGTATACGGAGCTCAGCCCTCCATATCACCCTTGTTCTACAGGGTTTCAATAGTCGGATACACTGGATGGTATTTGCATGAATTCTACTATGTTTTATAGTGATTTAATATTGGCAAGAGTGATAGGGCTTAAATTCGGTACAAGTGTCTTTGCCATACACCGCAGCATACTCATACTACTCTTTTGAACTACACACCTTCGTTACGTCCTTTCAGTTGGTCGCGGAGGGTGGACCCAACAGGTGGTTATTGGGAGATCTCTACGTAAGCATATCCCAGCTGGCGTGACGAATCACTTCATGTGCCTGACATAAGAGATGACGAGCTTAGATTTAGCTCAATTTATTAGCCCCCAAGTACATAATAAATTGACATAGGCTTAATCAGTATCTATTAACCCCTGAGTTACTGTTAAGGATTTGTTCAGCTACAACCAATAAAGCCACTTCTCTGCTCACCTGATGATGACTGCATGCACTAGCATGATGCTGACAGGCAGGTTACCAATTGTGCGACTTCGCCGATTTGTCACTCTCTCACAACAAGGGCCGAAAACTCTCCAACTATTTGCAGTAGTAGATATAGACTGAGGGGTTTCTATTTTCCTTAGGATACAATGTATACAATTTTTATAGTATTTCAACAGCTGCAGAAAGATATCTTCTATCTGGTTGCCAACTCAGCCCTATTATAGCAAGTAGAGTGCCGGGTCGAAAAGGCTTTCAAGTGACATCGCTAGCTACACGTCTAAAGCAAACAAAGGGTTACACCAAGTATTACTCATAGTGTAGTAAGTGTTATACACACACACTAGTAAGACAATAACACAAGACAACAAACACGGTACAGGACTCTATCTAGAGAATAAATGCTATCTCAAATGGAAAAGAGCCAAGAATATACAGCCTGCATTCCTTCTTCCGTCGGTTTCACAGAGTCCTGGGTGCCATCAGCAGCGTGCTTGAACAGGAAACATTTCCGCGCCACTCATCGCCTGATTCGGAAACGACCGCGAGGTGGATTTTGTTTAATATGCTAAAATATTTCCACCGCAGCTTCGGATGACATTTCATCAACACACGTGGCAATTGTGTACAAGGTCATGCAGCAAGGGAAGGCTTTATGGCGCGAAGTTATAGAGTGTCATGTTATGCGAGCGCTGATACTGGGTGCAAAGAGAATTGCTAGCGGCAAATACAGTACGTATTGTTTTTGCAGCATCCCGAGTCTACAACCATCCAGATAGACGATCAAGCGCCTGGGAATCTTGTAGGGGGCCCAACATGAAGTGCGAATTACAGAAGCTGTGTTCAGATTACATGCAGGAATGCAGCATGCATATATGTTGGGATCCCATCAGCCCCGATCGAAAGAATTAGAGAAGCTTGCCGGAGTGAAGTAAAGACAATCGCATTCCAAATGCAAGGGAAGGCAGTCTCCAGTCCACCATTCCAATTGAAGCAATATAACAAAGCATTTTAAAGACCTACTCTATGATGCTGCCCCTGATTTTCAGCGAGAAGAAAACAATAGGATGCATCTCCGGTCTGATAAGTCAGACCACATACTAAAGGGCCACACGGGGAAAAGGGCCATTTCCATACAAATTTCCATAGGCTTTTATAAAACTATTAATAGCAACCGCATTACTAGATATTATAAATAAATATTTTAATATAAAAAGCTTATATATATATTATTACAAAAATATTATTATTTTCTACTAATAATCAATGTTATAATAAATATATAGAAATCTATTATTGTTAAGATTTACATAGAAATTACATATAAACACTAACAAATTTACTATATTATTTTTACATTTATATGACACATTATATAATCATAAAATTAAAATAAATTGTATTTTATCATATAATATTAGTAATTATATATATAAAATAATATTTTTTATATTTATACTTATTTTCTCTAATTAAGTATGATTTTTTTAAAAACTGTGAGTTTTGGTGTAAATGGGTGGCCCTTTAGCACGGGTGGACGCGTAGTATGTGGTCCGACTTAGGGAGGCGATCATGCACCAGATGGCCGACTAATGTGTCAGCCACTTGAGGCGTGCACACTCATCCCTGTTTAGTTTACCAAGGCCCGATCCGTCGGTTGCAATCCCATGACACTAATGGTATCATATGGCTTGAGGTGTCGTCGAAGTCAACTAGTTTACCAGCGCATTATTATTATGATGAGAAGTTATACTATACATAGATCATAATTTTCAATGCCAGGCCCGTGCCTAATAGTGTCATTGTCAACATTCCTAACTACATCTGTCGAATAATTGCAGTCGGCTTGTCACATATGTCACTTAAAGTTACGTCAGAATGCATCTTTGGCAAAGTACATTATTCCTTGATAGGCGAAGTACTCCGAGGTCGTGCAGTTCACTCTCAAATCTTTACGGATAGAGCATTTATTCCCTCGAGAGAAACAGTAACTATGTATTATGCTACACTAAAACAGAAACGCTTTTAGAAAAGAGAAAACAACTTGAAGAACAACGAGTAAATCGAACTGGTGGTACATTCTAACATTTACGGTGCGCATTACTCTAGCAGCTCCAACAGCCCCAACAGCCCCAACAACTCCACTCTAAAATTCATATTCTGCACTATAATATGGGGCATAACCTACTGTACATAGGTTCCTACAGATCACTCCACCCAAAGCTCCAAACGCTCCAACAGCTCCAACAGCCCCAACAAGCCCCAATAGCCCCAAACACCACTAGACTGCATGTTACACTTAGGCTAGATATTCTTGTAATGTCAAGGAAGGGCAATTCCTTTATTCTCTGCCTATATAATAAGAAGCGAAGTCTCAGCGAGTATCATATTTGTCAATATTCACTTACAACTATATATCCACACTAACTTACATTATGGCCTCCAAGCAAACCGTTTTTCGTTTACAAAGCCGGCATAGTATTGTCGACTTTACCACGTCTACAGAGGAGATACCTAAGGCTGCAGCTTATGAAGTTCTTGTCAAGGTTCGCAGTGTTGCGCTGAACTTTCGAGACTTAGCCATCGCTACTTCTCGATACCCATTTCCCGTCAAAGACAATGTGATCCCTGTTTCGGATGCAGCTGGGGAAATCGTTGAAATCGGACCTAATGTCCAAGGATTTACTATAGGCGATCCGGTTATCATAAACTTCAACCCGCGCAATTTATATGGCCCAATGAAAGATTGGTACGGTGGCTTAGGCGGTCCAGTGGACGGCGTTCTTCGGAATTACTTGCCTATCAACGCGGACTCGGTTATTAAGGTTCCTAAAGAGTCTTCCTTGAAAGCTTCACAGTGGGCTGCACTTGTTTGTACCGGCACCACCGCTTGGAACGCTCTTTATGGAAATGTTCCTTTGAAGCCAGGCCAAACTGTACTGTTCCAAGGTGAATATGCTGACCAATATCTTACAAAGGAGTGTACTCAACCAATCTGAACACAGGCACGGGCGGCGTTTCTATCACCGGATTAGTCTTGGCTAAAGCAGCGGGAGCAAAAACAATTATGTAAGGACTCTTTTACTGACTGATACTAGGTACTGTAGTGTGCTAATAATTATTAGTACCTCATCTAGCGATGAAAAGCTAGCCTATGTGAAAGAGAAATATGGCGTTGATCACACCATTAACTACAAAGTCCATCCAGAATGGGCTCAAGAAGTGCAAAATATCACCCAAGGAAATGGCGTTGACTATATTTTTGAGAATGGTGGATCTGGTACGATTAAACAAAGTATTGACTGCATCGCCTGTGGGGGCGTGATATCCATCATAGGCTTCTTATCTACCGCCAAGCAAGAGGACATGCCAGATGTAGCTGGTCTTGCCCTGTCCAAAGGCTGCATCGTTCGGGGAATTACTGTCGGGTCGAAGCAATTGCTTGAAGAATGCGTGCGCTTTGTTGGTTCTCACAACTTGGACATTCCGGTGGAGAAGACATTTTCATTTACTGAAGAGGGTGTGAGGGCTGCTTATAAATATTTGTCGGAGGGTCAACATATCGGGAAAGTTTGCATCGATGTTGAATAAAGGAATTAGTCTAGTTCTGAGATATCATTACAAATAGGTAAGATTTACTCATGAGCCTATGTCATATGCTGGAATGATCTCTCATACATTCCCGCGAATTCATTTAGACATTCGCCAACGTGCACTGTGATTGCCCATGCAGATTTCTCACTGAAGATCTTCGACCATACTTTCAACACAGCTATGCCCATATGCCGGGGACTTTGAAACCAGGATGGTGTATCCATGTGCTCCCAATCTGCAGAATCAACGGCTTCTTTGATGACAGATTCAACGGATGACAGTATGTGGCTCTCATATGCTGAACTCGAAGAGTTAGAGACAGATGGAATACGCCCACTGGGAGACCTCTATGGGAGAGGAAGTGGTGATTTCAATATAACTCACGTTCCAAAGGATTTGACATTTGTGTAGTAGCAATAGTTTCTAGCCACTTGCTAAGAAAAATTGCACACTCAAGGGCGCATACTGCATGCTGACAGCACCACAAGATTGACTGACTTCTAGCCACATGTTCAATGCCAAAAGCTACTGGCAAACTCAGTGAATGAATCGCATGCAATAAAGCACTTGTAAGATTTGAATGACGTTGTAAAGGAGCAATTGAAAACAGCGCTGATGCGACTGCTTTTGGATCACGCGATGCCAACAGCATATGAGGACCTATATCCATATGAGTTCGAACATATGCTACAGTTAGAAATGCAACAGAAGTGAAAGGAATCGGTCCATGCTCGCTGATTGGATGTAAATCGGAACCCGACACGCGCTGCCATATACTGGCCCACGAGGAGAGTGCTAAGCTGCTATTTAGTTAATACGATTCATCTACTGACCCGCCGTCATCATATAGCAGAGTAATAGCATCGTTTGCGGAGTGACATACTGGATCTCGTGGATTGTTTGATCTCCCAAATTGGATCCAAATGAAAGCTGGCGTTGTAAATATATACGTTGCAAGACTCCGTGGAGTAATATCAGATTGCCAAAAGCGCAAGGTAAGGTTTCCCAACCCGCTGCCTCAGCAGTCACAAGGGACTCAAGTGCATCTTTAAAGCTAATCGGATCAGACGGCTTCGCTTGTCGACATGCCGCCCACTCTTGGTCATCTGTAGCTTGCCACTCCTCTACTGAGCAGGGGAGTCGAAGGTGAGTTTCTCTGGTGAATATAGATGGCGGTCGATTATATATGATGGAATGAATGTCGAAGAAACAAAATGCAAGGAAGGAAATCCGGCGTTCGGTCTCAGATAATGCCCACTCAATCCAGGTCTGCTCGATAGAGTGGTCATGTTTCGCAACATCGCTTCCTCGCATGTACTGCAATATCGGCTCATGTAACTCAAATCCTTCGGTAACAACAGAGGCATCGCGGGCCCAAGTCGAATATATCAGGAGAAAAACGAGAGTTTCGGCGGACTGCAATTTCAGTATTCGACTAATATTATCTGAGGAAGAATTGGTTTTAGGCTTAATGACGGTTATTGTTCAGTCACTCCCAAATTAGATAGCCCATGCACATACTTGTGAGTCGAACCTGTCGACCTGCAATCTCTCCAAAGCCACAGCTCTAGCCGCTTTGTATAACTTCCTGGATGTATGTTCTTCCAATGCCTGCACTGCGCCGAGTGCGGCTATAGCAAGAATGAGTTCAGGAATGCAGTTCCCTAGACGAAAGGTAGGAAAGTGTATGACTGGGAAGTGGCGGGATAATCCTATACGCCAGGCTTCCATATACCTCATGAGCGTGCGGAGCGATGGGAGAGTAAAATCATTGGCAATGTTTCCGAATGGACGGAGACCCTCTTCAAGAACCTTGATATCGTTGTCGGTAATTTCGAGAGCTGTAAGCTTACAGGCTCCAGTAAGTCTAAAGTCTATTATATTTTTAGCCAGATAATAAGATACGTCACAGCTTGCTCAAAGATGGTATTCAGTCTTGAAGATAATTCTCAACAGACGGAGATTGCAAGTTCTCAAGGTTGTGCCATACCATGTGGATGTAAATGTCTGCTAAAAGGCAAAGGTCCGACATTGTTGTGCTCAAAATCGTTATTACCTTGGACATTTGCTTCCAATGGTGGATTTTCTGGTACTGCTGCAGAATCGCAACATATGTTGAGGGAAATGGGAGAAGTAACAAACTCCGGCGGCAATTCTATGCCTTCAACAAATTCTTCGAGACTATCCAGGGGATCAATGAAAGTAAAATCACCGTATGCAACTACTCTCAGATCAGCTTCATAAATTCTCATCGGGCGCACAAACTTGGTGTTCAACCTTCGGCAGCTCCTGTCGTATCATTACTTGGAACTACTGATGATCCTGAGATTTGCGTATCTCTCATTGAGGGTTGTAGAGGGGTTGGTCTAGGGATTGTAGTTGTGGAAGATTCGCCGGCATGATTGTTATTTGGCTCGAGAGGGGCCAGGTGAGTGAGTTTCTCGTGCCGGCGCAACAAGTCTGTACGCGAGAATGCAGCTCCACAGAAGCAAACGAACGGTTTTTCATTAGTATCTATGGCTCTTTAAATCAGTTCATACGTCTACTTATCAGGGTCAAGCCTTTGCGTACGTGTCCGGCAATGACGCCGCAGATGCTCTGGTCGCTTAAAATCACGGCCACAGTGAGGACAGGTATGGAGGTTTGGCATTTCGGACGTTAGAATCGCTAGGAATGGCCTTAGAGGCGAAAAAAACAAGACATAATAGGGGTGCACAATTGGTGTAATAGGGTGAACTGTCGGTCAATGCTACTGAGTGACATGAAGATTTTCACTCTGGCTTCATATATTCACAGTGCGATATAGCTTATAAATTAAATGTTCGTACAATGTGCCCAGCGCGAAGAAATGCCAGTTAGATTTTAGTCTTATTACTCCAATCATCGCCTTCAAAATCCACTTTATCCACCCCACCACCTTGGTTCGATTCTGCTCACAGAGCAGCAGATTTCTCTATCTCCGAAGAGCTGACTTGAAGCGAAGACCCCTCCTTACACGCAGAAAGAAGTGGGGGGATGGGTTCGGCTCACTCAAGGCACCGAATACCTAACCATCGGCTTCAAGTCGCCGCCATCAACTTGGTTCGGATGCATGCAATCGCTTCAAATACTCTAGTGTTCCACTTGTGCCAAAGTTCGCCCAAGATTAGCGAGCAGATTGTTTCTCCACAGCCATCTACTCGGTATTACACCACACCCAAGCTTATGCGCTAACTAAATATTCCCGTCTCGATGCTGTCAAATTGTTACGTATAGCAACAGTTAATGCCTCAGTAAGTCTTATCCTAGTTTAAGAATACAGAGTCATATGGAATAAGCAGTGGTGCAAAATTCGAACCTCTTTGTTTTTTGTAGCACTACTATTAGGTAATTACGCTCTTCTTGGCCTATATAAACGCCAAAGATTCCAAAGTATATCACCACCATGAAAGCAGACGTGTCTTTCGATAAAGACGTCGGTATTGTTGAGCAAGATTCAGGTTGTCGGGTAAGTAGTCGAGTATGTGTAAGGCATACCATTGAATATGAAGAAAGAACGTGGATCCAAAGACAATTATCGAAGCAATGCTCCAACCTGCTCCGCTCTAATCGGAATCCCCATCTTTTCTCCCTGACGATCGATTATTCGTAAGATTAAGAGTTCAGATCAAGCTAAAGGACCCTAGAGAAAGGTTGTGGTCTCAATCTCAGCAAACTAAGCGTCCTTAATATGCCCGCAGCGCCCTCAAGCTTTGACGTAGTGAGTAGTCAAAGTATATTCCCAGTGCCTCCGTCACAATTGCATAATTTCGCAATCGTAGATTTCCCCCACTTACTCTTTTCCATTAGATGGTCTCAACGCCAGTCTTTTTCAGCTTAAGTGAAAATGCGGGTATGAAATTACTAAAGAAAGACACATATCAAAATCCGGAGGTGATATATCTTCCTGAACAAAGAATAATATACCATCAACTAAGTTACCCAGTGACATTTCCATCTAGTCGGCCTTTTCGTACCAAATGTCACCTCCAAAGAATGCTCTGATCGCCGTTACGTCGGCACACGCAGCCTTGTATCCCGAAGGCAAAGAAACTGGTATGTTCAATCCGAAATTATGTGCCCTAAACTTATGTCTGATGTGACATCTATAGGTCTCTTCATTACGGAGGCATTACACCCATTCGAGGTGTTTCAAAAAGCCGGTTTCGAAGTTGATCTTGTATCCGAAACTGGAACTTATCAGCCCGACTGGCTTTCACAGCAAAAAGATTGGCTCTCGGATTCTGAGCGTGCTATATGGGAGGATCATTCCAGCGAGTTTCGCAGCAAGTTGGATCATCTTCTTCAGCCAAATGACATTGATCCAGCAAAGGCATGCCACCATGTAATGGTTACTTGGATAACAGGCTGCTAATCATGAAGAATGTGCCCAGTACGGACTATTTTTTGCTTCGGCTGGTCATGCGTCCTTGATTGATTACCCTGTTGCTCATGGGCTTCATGCGGTTGCCTCCAAAATGTATGCTTCGGGAGCAGTCATTTCAACAGTGTAAGTGGCAAGTTCATATTGTGTCCAATCCAATCGTCCTGCTAACAATACATCTCTCTTGGTAGTTGCCACGGCGGTGCAATATTCCCAGGCATTATTGATCCAGCCACCTCGAAGTCGATAATCTCGGGCAGAAGAGTCACCGGATTTACTACCCAAGGTGAAGAAGAAGAAGGAGTCCTTGACACTATCAAGAGTTGGAACCGCCCTACCATTGAGTCACATGCAGTCAATGAGGGTGCTACTTGTGAGTCACAAATCACCACTAAACATTGTGACTAGGGGTTAAGCTAATGGCGTGTATTCAATAGATGTCCCTCCACCAGGTCCATGGGACGCTTTTGCAATCTCAGATGGACGTATTGTTACTGGTGCCAATCCCGCTAGTGCTACGGTCACAGCTGAAGAGGCTGTCAAGGTATTCCAAACATTGTAAAACATTTATACATTTATTTTTGTTTCTTTCCAATTGGAACCATATTCGATATGAGAAGTCAAATTGTAAAGATATGTGTCCTCTCTTTCCATTAGATCCTCCACTCGATATATCCTCTATCAACAGATGGCTCGTTGAGCTTTGAAGCACACAGATACGATATTTCAGGGTTTTAACGTTCCTTCGCTGGACAGATATGAGTGAGAATGTTTGGTGTTTAAAGTCAATCAACATTATAGCTGTCCCGAGTGTGAGTTTTTGAATGTAGGTATTCTCTGTTGCGATTGGCTTTTTGCAGCAAGCTGAAAACTCCAATGTGGCGGGATACAGAATATAGGGCACTTGCTCAGTAAAATGTTCCACACGTGTCTACTAATGTTCTATTGAAAAGCCACACAAAACAATCTGGCGCCTAGTCTCGGCTCTGCCGAGCTGGCCCGTAAACCAAAAGCCGCTTCAATTGCCGCCGGCTATACGGAGTCATTTCCCACATAGCTTGACATACAATGGTAAACTAGCTCTTCATTGCTGAGGTCTTCTGTCTCCCCTCGGATTTGAAGTTCAAATTCTAAAACGACTCATGAATTGCTGTGAGAGAACACCGCAATGACCACTTTTCATCTCCAATCGGTTGACAATGACCTGCGTGGCCGTCTTGCGCTGGTGACAGGATCAAGGTTCGTATAGCGAAAAAGGCATGGATGCAGCACCCGCAGACTAATACATAACATCTTCAATTCTCAAGTGGTGGGATTGGCTCGGCTTGTGCAAAATCATTGGCCTCCGAAGGTTGCGATGTTGTTCTTCATTTTTCCTCTAGCAAGGTAAGTTACAATACATTATGCCTTTACAAACCAGCAACCAGTGGATTAACCCAATTCCAAAGGAACAAGCCGAACTATTAGCCGCCGAGCTCCAACGAGATTATCCGTCACAATTATTCGTTACCGCCCAATGCAATCTTACGTGCCGCGAATCCACACGCTCGTTCATATCAACGGTGCTGGCTACGCCGACTATCGCCGAGAAGCACAAAGCGATATCTGTGCTGGTTGCAAACGCCGGTATTGGTCGTCGCATCCGAGATGTTAAGGACATAAATGAACAAGACTGGGATGATATGATGGAGGTCAATGTTCGCAGTCAGTTTGTCATTACAAAGTCAGCTGTGGAAGGGATGCGATCACAGGGCTGGGGAAGGGTGATTCTCGTAAGCAGTATTGCGAGCCGGGGAGGCGGGCTGAATGGGTGCCATTACGCGGCTTCGAAGGGTGCTTTGAGGTGAGATTGCGCTTTAGGTTCTGGCTACAAATTGCCTGTGCGTGACCAACATGGTTTAACATATTACAGCTCGATGGGGCTGAACTTGGCTACAGTTCTGGCTCCAGAAGGTATTACGGTCAACATTGTAGGTTTCGTTTTAACCCCCTGCGGCGATTGGACTTTCTGACGCATCCTTAGGTCTCGCCAGCCATGATCGGCTCTACAGGAATGATTCCTACTCCGAAAGAACGGTAAGCCGTATTCACAGTGCTTTTTTTTTTTTTTTTTTTTTGAGCTAACGTCTAAGCATATAGAACATGGACTTCTAAATGTGACATGGAGGCAAAGAAGGAGTCAGATCCCGGGCTTGCAATTGCTAGCAGCGTTCCGATACATCGACTCGGGGTGCCAGAAGAGGTGGCTAATGTGGTAGTAATGTGAGTTTTTCCCTGGTCACAAAGCTGGGAAATGTCGGAATTCGCAATTAATGTTGGGATACAGGTGCGCAAAGACTGGATATATGACGGGGCAGGATATCTTGTTGGCTGGTGGATTAAAATAGATCAATGGTTTGATATCAACCGTTAAAAGGCGCCATAGCTTCTATATTCATGTGATAATGTATAATGTCATGTGGATCTTCGCATTCTACTCATGTGATTAGATAGTCATAATTCCATCTAACCTGACGCTTGACAGCTATATGGTTCTACAGTCCGTTTATTTTCCTTCTCTTTATACTTTCGCCAACACAGGCTTCTGTTCCGGTACCAATGTAAGGAATTTTCCTTTTGTAATCGCACTCTTGACGTTGTCAATCACTAGAACCTCCATTTCTTTCTACACATTGCGAAAAATTAAAATCATCAGTATTAACCCTTTGGTGTAATATCAGTGTCTGGTTACATACCTGGGTATCAACAGTCGCAGTACCAATGTGAGGGAGCAAGACAGCCCCGGGATGGCTGATTAACTTCGGGTTGATCTCGGGCTCCTTTTCGTAAACATCCAAGCCAACGCTCCAAACCTTACCGGACTCAAGGGCCGTTGCTAGAGCTTCTTCATCAATGATGGCACCTCTGGCTGTGTTTACAATGATCACACCATCCTTCATCAAGCTGAATTCATTCTTGCCGATCAAGCCCTGAGTAGCTGGTCCCAACGGTAGATGAACTGAAATGACATCGCTAGTCTGAAGCAACTCTTGGAAGGATACGTATTTGGGGACCTCTTGAGGAGTAAAATGCTTGTCCAGGTTATCCACAGGCCTCCTGTTATGGTATTGCAATTTAAACCCAAGAGCAGCGGCACGCTTAGCCGTAGCAGTTCCAATGCCGCCCATGCCCAGAATCCCGAGTGTCAGTGTGTGGGGATCGCGACCAAGAGGGCTCGCACCTCGCCACTTGCCCTCTCGGAGAGCCAGCTGGGGGATCCAGGCACGGCGTAATGCTCCAAGGATGAGAAAGATGGCGGTATTTGCGGTGGCAGCATCGACAGCTTTGGGCGTATTCGATACGGAAATATCTGGGCAGAAGAAAGGAGTTAGAATTTCCTCTACATCACAGTCTTCCAGGTTTCTATACTCTTATCTGTGCACGGCTGGATATCGATTTGGTCGTAGCCCGCGCCATTATGGGAGATGAATCTGATTGACGGAGGGAGGTGAGAAACGAGTTCGCTGTCAAATCGTCCCGTAATCTGTAGTTTTTAGTTAGTAAATTGGTTGATTTCTTTGCTGGTGAGTCAGACACACCGCTACCGAGTCGTATGTTCTCGAAATGGCGACCACGTTGTTGTACTTGCCGCTGTCGCAGTCGCGGATGAATTCGTCACGCGAACCAGATGTCACTTGCTGTGGTTTTTCCAGAATCGTTAGTATGAGAAGATTATTGGTGAATAAACTCAATGAGCGTGCGCATTAACAAACCGTAACATCCGCAACTTCGGAGAGCTTCTCAAACTCTGCTTTCGCATGATGAACAATGCCGAGCATCAGGACGCCGGGCTTTGGTGAAGATGATCCAGCCATTGTTGGAATTGGTGTTTTCTCAACAGATCAATTGAATTCTCAAGGCAAGAGTGTTTCAGATGTCCGAATCGCGAGCCGGAATAATGGTATGACAAAGGTGAGAACGAGTTAAGTCCAGGGCGAAGTTCACACTCTCTGTAGAAGAGATGAAAAGGTGGGGGATTTACGACATCATTTGCCCAATTACCCATTTGCCCATTTGCCGCTCCGCCCCACGGGGTTGAAGAGGCGTGATGCCGGCTATTGACATTCAGCTCCACCCCGCAAACTCTCTCGTCGCGGCGTTTGGTCTCACCATTGAAGACTCTTTATCGCCCTTGATAACGAGTCTCGTTAGCCGATGGAATTGCTCTCGACACGGATGCCGACCGCTGGCATGGCACGATCAAAGGCGAAGCGGGTCTCTCGTGCATGTCTTTCATGCCGTACACGCAAAACAAGATGCGATCTGTGAGCAGAACAATATCCCAAATGCTAGACAGGGCAACACGCGTGCAAACCCCCCTGTCAGGAATAACCTCGCTTACTGACGCTTATTGGGGAGCAGCGATTCCGCGGGAGTGTCTGGCGTGCCTCCATGTCGTCGATGCGTCGAGCAACAATTGGAATGCGTTCTGACAAAGTCGAGACGTGGAGGGCGTAGAATCAAAGGAGTTCGTAATTCGATCGCCCAGTCGGCCAGCCATGGCAATGAAGGCCACGACCCGGCTACCGCTACGCGCGACGACGACGGCAGCGACTACCATAGCCGACAAACAAGCCATTCTCTTCCCGACCAGCATCCAGGAGGCACGGATGATATGCAAGGATGGCTTTCTTCACAACAAACCGGCAACTGGCAGGCGGATAGCCATGATGAGGGGGGTTCCACCCGTGAGCTGGCTGAATCGAGGACGAGTTCGGATGGTTTGGAAGGACATATTGCTACTACCGATCTTTTGAACCCCTCGGACGCGCTCGACCTTCTCGCTCAAGTTGCCGACTTGGATCCTAGTAGACAACGAGATGAAGCTACAGGCCAAGCTGACTCAAATAATAGACTTGTGCACGGTATGCGGCAAACCGTCGGTAGACCAGCTACGAGTTATTATCCTCCGCTGGATGATGGGGTCTTGACGCCCTCGGAAGCGTCTTACCTTGTCAAAAGGTAACCACCCTGTGACCTTTTTAATCATCAATCGACCGCCTATTGACTTACTAAATCCTCTGGATAGATATCACGAGAAGTTCCATCCTTTCTTTCCAGTGGCTCATGGTGCCATATTTGAAGAGGGTACGATATCCGAATGGGCCGCCAAGGAGCCCCATCTCTTGACGGCTATTCTTACCGTCGCCTCAAAAGATGACCCGTCATGGTTCAGAGTGTACGATGCGTGCTCTCGTCACATTGAAACGTTCATGTCAAACCTGATCTATGCCGGATCCACATCTGTTGGCTCCGTGGAGGCGCTTCTTATTCTTGCAGAATGGGCGCCACAACGCCCTCAAGAGAATTCCGCCATCGGTTGTGGTCAAGAAGACCATGGTGCCTGGATGCTTGTGGGCTTGGCCATTAGGCTAGGGTATTTGCAGAGGCTTGAGCAAACGGCACTATTACCAGACGAGGGAAAGCTTTCCGCAGAGATGAGTCGGAAACGAGTTGTTTGGGCAGGTATGTGACAAAGTAATATCTCTCCATCTCAGGCCCAGGAGTATTAACAATGATAAAGCGTGCTACATGTGTGACCGACAAGTGTCAATCCGGCTTGGGAAAGGATTTTGGTCCCGCGGGCCTGGTCCAGCTCTTCACCTGCGCGCTGCAGACTTTCCAACATTGCATGAGCAAGCCCTTGGCCCAGACAACATGGGGCTGTTATTTCAAGCCCATCTTGAGCTTACCCAGCTAATTAGTAACGCTCACGACATTTTGTATTCGTCAACAAGCCACAGGCAGCAATTGTATATTGGAGGAGAGTATGTCAGATACATTGTAAGTGTTCCATGACTATATAAAGTAGCTGACCGCTTGCTGACACCAACGCACAGGATGACTTTGCTTCAATGGTTCGGAAGTGGAAGCTCTCATGGGCGAACCACAGCTGTACGTCTCTCTTTCCTCTCGCTTTGAAGTATTATAGAAAGTAGCTAATGTCTCCCAGTCACGCCTCCTGTGAAAGCCTCTTTGGTGTTGTCATTCGAGTTCTTGCGACTCTACATCAATGCCTTCGCTTTTCAGGCCAACCTGAATAGGGCTGCAGCTCGAAATGCCCAAGTAGGGTCCGGCAAGGCCAGTGGGCCGCTGTTTTCTAATGTTGCCGGAAAGCCGGATGCCCGATTCATATACGAGTCAATCGACGCCGCAAATTCACTACTCAGCATACTGAACAGCTTCATCGATCCTGTGGCTGGTCTCAAATGCATGCCATTAAAATACTGTCTCTATGTAATCTATGCTGCCGTCTTTTTGTTCAAGGTATAGGCTCCCTTTATTTACTATCCTCTATATGCATCCATAAAGAAGTAGGGTGCTGACAATTACATAGGCAAGGCTAGCGGGTGCCATCAGTAGCGATGGCGGCGATCGTGGAGTCCGGCGCGCCATTCAGGGCACCATTGCACAACTACAAAAAACATCAGATAATCCGCATAGCCTCGGACGGCGATACGCCACCTCACTTCGCCTGCTCTGGAGGAAGTCTTGTACGAAGCAGCCAAGCAAATCTGTTTCTCGTCATGATCCCTTGACTGAGCCTCCAACACCGACAATGGACGAGGTTAACAGACATGATGGCATTTCCTTACCACCCGCTGGTAAGGCGACGATGGAAATGGACCCGTTGAGCGGGTTCTCGTGGAGAGATTTGGATTCATTGGGACAATTTATTGCCAGCAATTCGACGATGAGCATGGCGGATGGAATGCTTGCTGGTGCCGATTTCGATTGGGAACACAGCTCGGGTGGTCTGGATGATCTTGTAGTGCAGCCACAGTTTGACACTAGATGGGCCGGGCATGATATAATTTTCTAAGAGCGATTGTGCTATAGCATAGTGTAGTCAATTAAGCAGGTTCATAGTACACAGATTGATGAAATCAACCAAGGTCTGTTGCATGGAGCTAGACGAGAGTAGAGCCAGAAACGGTGCGGCTAGATGCAATGTTACTGATGCCAGCGCCGAGTCTTCGATCTCTACCGTGAGTAAGTAGTGCCAAGACCAATATTTAAAAGTCGTGGAGCTTTCTCTATATGCTAATTCAGAGACATACGAAGTATCAGGAACTTCTGCAGTAGATCGAATAGTACTGGTTGTTACCTGTATCTGAGATCGCGTTTTATCGAGATCGCGTTTTATCGAGATCGCGTTTATTTGAGGTCACACATGCGCTCTCCAATGAGTCCATAGCATTAATGCGTGTGCATTTATATGTGCATTTGAGTAATATTAGCTGAAACAAAGGGTGAAGTAGAGGAAGATCATAGCCGCTCAATATATATAAACAAACTCGTCATTTTGACGATCCGTAAGGTCCAAAAACGCCTGCTCCCCAAGTCGAGCCTCTCCCGCAAACTCTACAGTGCCAGCTGTATTTTCTTCTACAATAACAGCCTCTTCAACTGTGTTACGCTCATCCATAGTCTGATACGTTGAATCCATGGAATGATCGACAACCTTTGCCTTTTTGCCGTTGCGCACACGCTTCTTTTCTTGAAGCTTGTTCAGGACGATAAGGTTAGCCCACTGGATGGCGACAACCGCCACAAGGGCCACAAAGATGGCCAAACAAGCACGGAGACCGGGCTTGTAGGCTGGTGCGTCTTTGTCGTTGAAGAGCAAGGGTCCAATGATGTTGCCAGCTGAGCTAGCGGCGTTGTAGACGCTCATGATCGAAGATTTCTTCGTGGTGCCAGCTGTATTGCCAACGATCCAGGTGACAATAAGGGGATTTCCGCCGAAGAGAAAGGCGAGGAGATAGTATCCCACGAGAAGAGCTGCTTTTGCGGAATTATCTCGAGGTACAGAGTAAAGGACAGCTAGGCCAGCGACAACAGGAATCATGAAGAGCATGAGAATGACGCCTTTGACACGCGCCTTTTGGGCTAAGAAACTCGCCAGCAAGATGACAATGGTCTGTAAAGCACCAAAGGGCATATTTAGCAGACTAGTCATATACTTATCAGAAACCAGGCCGTTTAAGATAAGGGGACCGAATGTGTTGGTAACACTCGCACCGACATTAAGCAGCAGTGCCATGGCGATCCACAAGTAGGTTTTAGGCTCCACGGCTGCCTCGAGGAGATGTTGCCACTTGAACTCTCGGCTTCCTGTTCCTGTTTGGTTGGCTCGGAGTCTTTCAATAGCTTGTGCCTTTTCTTGATCTGTTAGGAACCGAGCGGATGGGATATCATTATCGAGCTTCCAGTAGATGAATGGGGCGGAGACGATGGTGACAAGGCCGACAAAGAGGAAGATACTGTAAGTACATTATGTAAGTATGAGGCAATTATTTTGAGTATAGAAGATTGGTTGAAGTCATACATTTGCCACTCTTTTAGCAGATCTGATTTAATGTGTCCCAGACCATAGGACAGAGCAGCTGCGATAATAGTCGCGGCTCCATTGGTGCCATACCACGCTGCAACTCGAATCGGCTGCTCGGCTCGTCTGTACCATTGGCTCGTAATAATGCTGAACAATGGCAGGCAACCTGCTTCAAAAAGACCAAGGAAGAATCGGGCAGCCATTAAGCTTCGAAAGTTATGGCAAGCTGCCATTGATGCTTGCGCAATGCCCCAGCCTAAACAAAGGGCTGGCATCAAAATTCGATGCGGGACTTTGACAATGAGATAGGATGAGAAGGGCTGCCATGCCAGTTGTGCAATCGGGGCAATAGAGCCGACTAATGAATATTCGTTTCCAGTTAGATGCGTATCCGTCTTCAATCCGTATGTAGCGCCGTAGCCGAGGACGGATTTGTCGAGTATCTGCAGGAAATACACCCAGACTAAGATGGCGAGGATGACACGATCCGTTTTGCGACAGATCCGACGACTATCTTCCTCCGTAAGCTCGATTTGCTCGCTGCCAATGAGAGCCAAAGCCCGATCTCCATGTTTGAGTTGGTCATTGGGCATCTCAATTTTGACGCCATCAATGCTGCCTTTGTGCTCTTCGTGAACAGAATCCAGTTTGGTGTCCGCGGTGGAAGCCATGGTGCTGTGAAAGCTAGTGTCTCATAGAATATAAGTATTGAGATGAGACAAAAGCAAAGATAGGCACGCACGATGATCTTGACATTTGTTGGATCGGATCGGATTAGATGGGCGGAGATGATGGATGTTTTATACATCTACACTAGCTAGACATATTCGCCGACAGAAAGGAGAGCGAAAGTTCTGAGTTTGTGGGGTTTGGTGCCTCCCCACAAAGACCCGCCAATAACCCAGCGGTTTCCATTGCCTTGGGTTCCTAATTTTCACACATCTGGGGTCTGGGGAAAGCAAAAGCCGATTTTGATACCCGCGGCAAGTGATTTTCCAATATTTCCCTGATCTTTTTCTCCACTTGCCGACAAGGTGTTGTGACTAAAGTTCAATAGCCGACCTGAAAACTAGGTGCCATCCACATTCAAGCGTCCAAGTGGGCATAGCTCAATGGGAATTCCGCGTGGCGACGTTCTCGGTCGAATGATCACAGCCACCTCCGCCCTTTGGTCATCACCCCGGACCATAAGCATGAGTCGCGGGGATGAAAAGAATATAGTATCATGGCAAATCAAAAGTCATAGTGAACCGATGGACACTTATGATGGCGGGCCGATGGCGTAAATTGTCAACTCTATATGTCCCCCACTTTGCCAACTGGCGCGACTTGGCAGCAGCTCGGCTATTGATACAGTCTCGTGATGGTATGTTTTCATGTCATGGTGATTCATCTGAGCACTTTGGGATGAATTTGTCTAACAGCATCGGTAATTGCTCATTGCCAATCCTCAAGTATTGTATTGAAGGGCGTAATTATGCTATCATATCCAACATCCCCATCTCGTCATCTCGTCTAGGCGGAACGAACTGGCCCCTGGTGAGACGCATGGCGTCCAAGCTTTATACCCAACAGTTAGCGTTGAACCCATTTTGGTACATTAAAGGCATGACCGTGAGATGATATCTCCTTGGGTATTATGAGAAATAGTGAGGCGAGGGAGCACATACCCACAACAGTTCCGGTCTTCCAGCGTGGCCACAGTTATCCAAGAAACCCTTCTCCTTAGTAATTAAGCTCATATCCAAATCTGCATATACCATGCCTTCTTCAGAAGGCGGCAAATCTTTAGTCAGAAGTCGTCCGTCGGGGCCATAAATCCTGGCATTGCCACCGCCTGGTTGGTTAAACAGCGGAGTCTGTTCGACGCCCAGTTTTTCGATAGATGGTTGCGAGATAACGGCGGTTGAATGGAGAGTAAAACACTGTGCCTGCATAGAGTATACACTTGAGAAAGATGCAACAGCTACTTTTCATTAGCAAAATATGTGACAGATAAAGAAAGAACCGGGCTTGCCTTCATCTGCCATGGAATAGGGAGCTGGCCCGCCTGGATGGGGTGCTACAGGGGGCCAGGCAGCACAGTGAATTTCTTCTCCCTGAGAATAAGTATTATATACAAGAAGTGGGTTGAAGTGATCCTAGGTTGAAGATTAGCAGCAATTGATGATCGAACCCAGATGAAAAATACCTAAGAAAGGTGAGATATTAGGTTTGAAGATACATACGGCACAAGAAAGTTGCCCAACCCTCCCAACACCAGTCGTTGCGACATTGTTTAGGGAAGGACCATTTCCATCTCCAAAAATGGTACGCTCCATGTGAACAGGCTTAAGTTTTCGCCTGGACATTACCAGCTCGCCGGTATTATCGATAGTATACTGACCAATATATAACGAGTTCCCTTCTCGCTCAGAATAGCCGAGACAAACAACGATATTATTTTCGGCTGCACAAGCCTTCAGCCGCTCCATCTCTTCGGAGTCAATAGAGAGGGAGTTATCAGCGTAGCGAATGTTCGTCTCGAAGTCCATTGCACGCACCCTATTCTTTGTATTAGCTATGCTATCCTTTAAGGACATGATGGGAATGCAAACCAAATCCATGCTGGATATCCTGGAACAAATGCCTCTGGGAATGACACAATTTGGGCACCGTTTGAAGCCGCCTCTTTGATCAGCCGGCATGTCTTCGCAATCGTGGATTCGAGATCAAGCCATACAGGCTCTGCCTGAACTGCAGCTGCCTTCACTATTCTGAAATTGGAAGCCATGATTCGAGTGATGACTATCGACGATTGTGCAGACAACTGAAACAGCTGGAACAACTGGAGCCACTGAAACAGGTTGCAATCATTCTTATTTATACTGCATAGGCGCACCATCCCCCAACCATCAGAAACTGTCTAGTCAGCACTTATAACTTGCTAGTAAGCTTACATCAAGAGCTTACAAATTCGAGTATCATTACATGATTTGCGTTGACCGTCGAAGACTGTTTATCCTCATCGCGGAGGATACCAGACTGTAAATGCTTCTAGTTTCCTTTTCTGTCCAATGCAGTTGCCAGTAAATATGCATAACGAATCTTTATAAGGAAAACATACGGAATACTCATATAGAGTGTACACGAGAGAAGAAAGCATGCCAAAATGAGAATTCATGATGCACGACTAAACTTGCTTTATTGTTACTCCTCTGTATACAGCAATACCAAATGCAGTCACGTATAATGAAGGATGGTCAGTGGACTACCTGGGCTTAGTTTTACTGCACCAATGGAGAGCACTAATAAAGATCAGTACTAGTTGCGATATTTAACACAGGTGTAAAAAGCAGAGCCTCTAGCCATTTCAGGAAGTGCGTATTCCTAACCAATCGGAGACTTACAAGATGTAAGAAACAGGATCAAAACATTGTGCAAACTACCATGGTGAAAAGGATGGGTTATTATGCCAATGTAGTAACCACACTGGAAACTATAGATAGATCATATCATTTTGAGAGCTGAGTTGTAAACTATTGACCAAGGGCAAGATAACGTTTTCAGTACGCTGTAGATCCTCTATTTACCCTACTCTTCAAACTCTGTACGCAAATATTTAGATGTCTTTGTATTCGTATCCCGTTTTTACCAGAGACAACGCCGGTGAATACAATGTGGAGCCTCGAGTAATCCTGATCCCATGATGCACCAGTCCACACATATCTGCCGCTCGCCGGAATATAACCCGAAGCATCCTGACTCTCCTCTTCCAAAGCCATAAGCTGACGTCTAGCCAGCGAACTAGCCTTGACATCCCAATTACGCGTTAACAATGTCATCTTATCGAAACTGTCTAGTGCTTCTGAGCGGATGGCTTTGTCTCTGCATTTTTGCGACACGAAATTTAGTACCGGGAGAGTATAGATGTCGAGAGCAGTCTCGATTTGTGAAAAGCGCCTCGATGTACCTCCAAAGGAGCAGGCCATAGAGACAATTTCCCGGAACGTGGAGTTGAACTGATCATATAACATCTCCGTCGCGTCATAACAGCAGCTCATAAGGATGAATACAACCTTTTGGCCCATATGAAATATGTTGAAAAGATAGGACCTGATGGGATTTTTCTCCGCTTCTAGTCTCAGCAGGATTGCCACTTCCCATTGCCGCAACTGTTGAAGAAAGGTGGTCCGATGGTCCAAAAGCATCACAAATTTGTCTGAGTGGTCATCATTTTGACATTCCTGTATGGCTTTGACAACAAATATAACAGCCCGCGTGATGAAACTATTCCACATTGCTCCGAATTCTTCGAAACTAGTATCAATAGTCGGCATATTGCCAGGGATAGGGCGCGATGGTAGCCTAGACCAGCACGTCGTCTGCAAGGGGAAAAGGGGGGTAGTCAAACTGAGAAAAATCTAAAACCGAGGTAAAATCCGTTCAGCTTGGTCCAACCCATCGTCGTTAGAAGGCGCAACGTAATTGTGAAGATCTTGTGCATGGTGTTGCGAATTTATCTCAACCACAAGTTGGTCGTGCTTCTGCTTCAATAGCTCAACGCTGCTCACCAGCAGCTGATCGGCGGCTTTGGTGTTTCCTATTAAAAGCTCAAAGAGAAATAGCAAAAACATGTTGATCAACACATTCCGGCGTGAAATGGTGTGAAATTCCTTGAGCATCCTTGTGTGGAGCGCTGTGGTGGCTTTGGCATGGTACGTCATGGCAGTCTGATACATGGTGTCCCCGCGTCCCTCGAGCAGCTTTACCATGGGTTCAGGGTTTGGGGAACGCAGTGCCAGCATTAGAGCCCCAATACTTAACACAGACCATCGCACGCACTCGTCTCCCATGGATTCTCTAGGGATCACACGGTTCCAAAACAGGGTACATGGAGTGTATGTAAAGTCTTGGAGAACCTGCGCCCTGAACATGTCAAAATACGGGACCTCATCCGCTTCCAAGGGGCTCGCTCTCGGCCGAACATAGAGAGATCTCGTAGTGACTACATCATGTGTCTCCGGCTTGGGAAGGACCGGTCGTCTCTGGGGTGTGATGCCGCTCCGTTGCTTCTTCTCGGTCGGACCATAGTTACAGGTTCGATCGGACTTCTGGCATTGATTGCATGTTGGCTTTACTTCGTTGCATTTTTGGTGCAGCAGTTTACACTTGAGTGCTAATGAGTTAGCGAAACTACTTGATTATTTTATTAAGCAAAAGATAATAGTAATAGATGATACAGCGTTGTATAACCGCTATATATCCAGTCTCAGTACCAGTTGGGGGATAATCCATTGAACTGATACTGGAAATTTCATCTACTGACAGTTCTACAGGGTAAACGTACTGAAATGCAGCCACCTCGACTTTTAGGTCTCCCGGCACGTGTATGCTTCTTGCCAAGAATATTACGCGGTAGCGAGTTGGCAAGTGCAGTCGTGGGAATCATGATATTGCGCCTGGGACTCAATAGCTCAGCTGTGCTTTTTGACAAATGATACAAGAAGCAAGATGCTAGTCAAAACCTTGTGATTTAAAAGGACACTTGAGATTCATTCGCGGAGAACAAGGGTGAGCTAAAACGACTGTACATAAGCGCACTAGCCAAACTGGAATAAAACGTCACGTGGAAACAAGTGCTTAAAATAGAGGTTCTTTTGGGGGCCATGTGCTCCCCACGGTCACCTCCGTTACGACAATATCATCCCTCACGCTCTTGAAAACGTTTTGGAAGCAAAGGCTTTCAGGAACGCATATCTTTGTCTTGAATCCACGAAAATGGAGCTATGGGGGCACAACGGAGACGTAATAATTAATTTGGATGCGTTTGGGAAACGGATACAGTCTGGATCTGCCTTTCCACTTGTCGCAAATTTACGAAGTAGACCTCATTGTACTTTCTTCCCCCGGCGCCAGATCCACTCAGCATTACCATTACAGGATGCTGCAGCTTCCCACAGGTCTTTCAATGAAGCAAACTCGATCTTCTCAGCCGTGCGATTGCCGCTTATGGTCCCTCGATTTTTATGACGAGACATCCAGAGGTTCTATCGCTCGTGCGCTCCATGCTACTCTGCGTTGGTGATCCTCCGAATGTCACTATAGAGCTTCCGAATGTCCACTATAGAGCTTCCGAATGTCACCATAGAGCTTCCGAATGTCCACTATAGAGCTTCCGAATGTCCACTATAGAGCTTCCGAATACCACTATAGATGCTATTCACACATTTTTGTCTTCATTAGTTTCGGCTATATGGAGATCAGGCATATACTCAGGATCATCGACCATCGGAGTAACGGCTTGCGATGGCGTTTTGACGTTTTTCTAAATGACTGTGTACTTTAAAGGTATCGTATATGAGTGCCAGCGGCGGTATGTAATCTGAGCTACCTACGTATCATAGCAAGATGGATATCACTATGGGGGACTTCGGCTCTTTTGGTGATTTGAAGCGGTGAAACTGTCAAATGGTTCTATTACTTATTTAGGTAGGGATCGGCAGGCTAGGCCAATCACCAGCTGGATTCCAGTCGCTGCAGCTTATAGTGGATTTAGTAGATGAAACGCTGTAGATATCGGTTGAATGATGTCGGATTTAAGCCCGAATTACTTGCTGGGATTGGAAGAGTTTACGAGAAGAGTGCGAAATAGATAGAAGATAAACAAGATTTAATACACTAGACTATCCATCTACATCTATTTACCTACTGCAAGAAGCACTGTCGTTCCTGCTTTTTCACCTTACCTACATGTAGGTATGTAGGTATCGATCAGATCAATCGTAAGCACTGAGCTATAGCACCGTTTGGGCGTAACAGCACCGTGCCGTGCGTTTTAGCACTGCAATCGCTAAAAGCCCCTGTAAGACAAATGCTGCAGTTTAATACATAATTGGCTAGGACCGATTTTCTCATCTGCAATGATTCCTACAGTAGGTACTTACCTAGGTATCTTCATGTTAACATAACAATTTCAGTTCCATCCTAAAATAGATACATCGGGGCAAATGGCCTATCGTTACAGAAGGGTTTAGAGCATTTGTCATGTATTCCACTAATGAACTATTTCAGGGCATTTCTCAACGATTTGGCCCCATCTAACAGTTGAAAGGCAGGCCGATTTCCCACTATTGTATCGGTCAACAGATTACAAAGACTTCCCTTTTGAGATATGACCTCACTTGCTATCTGTGGGAGAAGAAACTATTCGTCACTCTATGGGTTCTCCATTCTCGATGGCGATGGAAAACGAAACCGTTGTTGTTTTACCTCATTATGACTTACCAATTTAGGGTGACGTATTTCTGGCTGTGCCTTTCATAAAGCCCCTCGGGCACCCGGAGTGAGTTTTTCAGCGGAGCGTTGAGTCGCCTTCTTGAAGATCTAGGTCTTGGATACTCCATGTGTGCTGGTGCGACTCGTTTTCCCGAAGGGCATGAATCTTAGCTCAAAGTGAAAATGTATGGAGAGCTTGAGCGCGGTCTGTTCATGGTGCGTCAGGTACTCTGGTGCTAGATGGTTCCAGAAGAATCCTTTATGAGTGGCTTGAAGCACTCATGTTTGCCAAAAGGTTACCAATAGAAAAAACAATCGTAGAGAAGCTGAAGAGTGGTAAATCGGAATTGTATATTGCGTTTGGAACTCTACTGGAGTTTGAGGAGTAACCACATCAGAAGGCCCAAAGGTCCACCCCTGCAAAGTACTCTTGCCATCATCCCTGGACGAGAGCAAGGCTTTGGCCAAACATAATGGATGACAAATTCCAGGAACTGTAGATGGCGGTGAGATCCATGTGTGTGTTTTTCAAGCTCCTACCTCTAAAAAAGAAGACATTATTATAGTGATTGTGAGAACGTTAACCCTCGAGGTTGCCACCTTTTTCTTTCAGCTACTCGTGATTGGCGAATTATTGAGATTTCCAGCAATGCTCACAGCATAAATCATCTTTCAAGCGCAATATAGAAAGGGACTTTTCTAGTATTAAATAGTTTACGCATACAATTATATCTATTGACTTCCAGGTACAAAGCTAAGTCCACGTCATAACTCTATTCCTCTTTTGCCATAACATGAAGTAATCAGAGGTGAATCTTTTTTTTTCAGTTTCGATGAGGTGCATATTATCCCAGCATCAGACTGTAACACGGAGTAAGCCGAAGGAATGATTTCCTCCGGTTTCGCTGAGGTGCATATTAACTTGGTAATAGAATATAAGATAAAGTAAGCAGAAGGAAGTAACTTCCTCCGATTTTGCCGAGGGGCATATTGTCCCAGCATCAGATACCACGTATACTGATCACTGTTTCTATCAATGGCTGGTTGATCTATAAGCCGGGCGTGACTTTGCATATACTCACCCGTTCCAAATGTAACTTCCACAGGGTATGCTGCAGTAAGACGGCAAGACGGCAATAGGGGTTTAAGTCCGATAATTGTAGCGATATCTCAAATATAAATTTGTAGCTCAGCTATATATTCATCACACGTATTAATATTTAGCATTATTCAACTATTTACCTGAATCATATACGTTGAAGTCATACTTCTTATCTTTTCTCATTACCATATTATCGAAGATGAAACTCAAGTCATTCGCCACCTTTGGTACCTTTCTCTGCACATCGCGTGTAACTCTCGCAAACTCTGGAGTCCTTGACCAGATCTCCCTTATTTATGAGTTTCCAAACAATACTTGGGTGGAGAATATCGCTGCTAGAAATAACGGGGAACTTCTCTTGTCAATTGTTGGAACACCACAACTATTCACCATTGACCCCTCGGCTCCCAGCCCCAGACAGCCGGTTTTGATTCATGAGTTTACAGACTCTCTTGACGTGTTTGGCATTGCAGAATACCAGACCGACAGGTTTGCTGTTCTGACTGGGAACTTCTCATTTGAGACTGGGGATTTAGGTCTTGGATCTTGGGCTGTATGGAGCGTGGACTTGAATGGAGTCAAAATCTCAATACAAAACGAAGAGCCGACGCTATCTTCAACTCCAAAAGTTGCAAAAATCGCCGATATACCGCCTGCACAAATTTTGGACGGCCTCACTCTGCTATCTCAAAAGCAGCAAAGACTTCTGATGGGCGACCTAAGCGCTGGGGTGATATATCGACTGGATATTGGGTCGGGAGATGTTGCAACTGTATTAAATGACACTTTCACTGCTGCTGTTCCAATCCCGCATTTTGCCCCTTCCGGGGTTGACGGACTACATGTGCGAAATGGCGAGTTATTCTTCTCAAACGTGGGCCAGCAAAAGCTCTTTAAAGTTCCCATTGATGAAGACGGTACGCCCTCTGGACCTGTCACGGTTGTGGCAAGTGCACTCTCGACCCTGGATGGATATGATGACTTCACGTTCGATTGCGCTGGTAATATCTTCGTAACAACTGGAGGCGGAAACTCAATTGAAATGATCTCTGCCGATGGTAGTCAACAAGTCATTATCGCTGGCGATGTCAATTCGACTGCAATTGCAGAGCCAACGTCTTGTGTGTTTGGTCGCGGCTTACATGATAAAAATGTGCTGTATGTTGTCACTGCTGGAGGACTTGGTTTACCAGTCAATGGAGATACTATCATCGGAGGCCAACTTGTGGCTGTTAAAACCACTTCAATTGGATCTGCTTGCTAAAAAGATTAAGCGGGTTATTTGGCTTTGGGACTAGTGAGGAAAACATGATATGGCACGTGAAGTTGTTGGTGAACAGCTGTACAGAAAAGGGTAGCCTTTTCTAGAGGTAAGAATTGGTGGCTCCAGTTGATTCGTTTTTACATATCTTCCCAGATAAATGCCCCTAGCATAATAAAACAACCGTTCTGGCTTTGCATTCCAAGCAGTGTCTTTAGACAAGAAGTATCTCGCCTCAAACTTGTATCATGCATTCATCTACGTACAGCGTCAGATTTCTGATGGCAAACACTCCTTATACTAGAAACAACACTGTAACTTGTTGTGTCATTGGTAGGATACCAGTTCGCCACAATGATATGACAGTAATGTCATTACCGAGTTTTTCTGGCGCCAATGTGGCCTGCTTTGCCTGGATGACAGTCTCGAACAAGCTCCGTTTCCACTTAGGGATTTTGTTATCGTATATCTCCCTGACCTCGGCATGTGTATGGCGTTTGGTCTCTGGCATCAGGAAGGAACTCCAAACAAGTACGCAAGCCATATATCCAGCAAAGATGAGATACGTATTAGCTCCAAGGCCAACCTCACTGGCGTCGGTCAGCTGTTGCACAGCGAAGTGGTGTGAACCGCAATCGTCTGAGCGTAGGTAACGGTGTATGCCATGGTATGGCTACGGAGCTTCGGCATGGCAATCTAGGGTGGAAAGAGCACGGAGACGGATAAGAACGATGTAGCCCAGAAAAAATTGAAGGTAAAGCCTAGGGCGGCGATTGCTAGTAACGCATCATCATTCTTAGGGAAGACTGTTAATGTTCCAACCGCAATATCGATAACGAAAAGCATCTTCTATATGAAAGAGTAAAATTAACTAATAGTCTATCCTTCTACTTGTTACATTACATTCCATAAATCCCCAAAGCTGAATATTGAAGTGTCGTCAAATAGTGACCCCATAAAATCTCCGAGAAACCCAGTCTCATGTTCTGAAGTATTCATGGAAAAAGTGCTATTGTTGATGCTGTGGAAAGGTCCTGCTGCTGATTGACTTAGAGCAGCCTCACTGATGTGATTCATGTTATTAGAATTGCTTTCTGGAGTTGAGTTGGCTGTCTGGTCAGCGGCAGACATCATTGGTTGGTATGTGGGACAGATCTGTTGCAGGGCCTTAAGGAAGATCCCTCGGTAAAGGGAAGCGACAGTATATATTTTTTGAAGTTCTTCCATGATGAGCATGCACATCTCAAGTTTATGAAGCGTCAGACGTTTTGTTAGGGAATCGGCGGACTTGTAACAATGCATGTGCGTTTGCATTGCTGCGGCCAAGAGTGAGGGTCTATGACATGTCAGATATTCTATTCGAGTCAACTGCAGATAGTCAAGAAAGAAATGGGTGACAAAGGAAAATATCCACATATACTCACGTCATAGGCCCGGAAAATATAAGAAGACCATCTTCCGCGAGGGCATTGAAGATATCGTTGGTTTCGGATGCAGCATTGCTAGCTTTCAATCTCATCCTACGCTGCCAATCTTCTTGTTCAGCAGCATCAAGACCGGCTGGAGATTTCGATCCATAAGGCCGATACAAACAGATCAGAAGTGCTCTGCTCCCATGTTGTTTAGCAATAATGATCCCGAAATATCCAGGTATTTGGACTTACTGGTAATGCAAATGAACATGGAATGAATGGAATCGTGCAAGATTGGTCAGCCCCGAGTCGTACTGCCCAGGTAAAGTGCACTTAAGAATCTCTGATTCGACAGACTCAAACTGTTGGACGGTTGGTTTTGGTCTTTGAGGTGGATAATTCATGGCAATAACAGCACCCAGCTGCTTGCTCAGTTCAACTAATGTCACCCAGTATGAGGCCAGCCTGGGCAAATCATTTGGAAGGAAGCCGACGGATGTATTTTCAGGGATCCCTAGGACATCAATTAGTAGGTCCGCGGCTATTGGCGTAGGCACGTCGCAATCGACGAGGTTAATCCGTAGTGGCCTTCCAAAACTCATCCCAAGCCAGCAGTCTCGATAGAATGAGCTCCACCAAAGCCTACGCCACAGGCACCGTTGTCGATCCGTAACGCCACAATTAAACTTCGAAGAATCTGGATTACGATGCAATCCCAGCATCTGACAAAGATTGATTGCGGTTCCTGTCCAGTACCATGGCTGCAAGTATTCATCGCGTTCAGAAATCCAGAATCCCATTAGTAGAGATGACTGGATAAGGACAATTTTATCCGTTTCCTCGCTTATGGTATACATGCACTAGTATGATGTAGCGAATTAGTATGTGTGTTCAAAGAATGAAGCAATCTCGATCTTCCAAGCTAAGCAGGGTCCGTGGTTCACTCACTTTGGCGCGGGAATACATTGAAGCCTTCATTTCCTTTCGAGATTTATATCCCTCCTGCTGATATACTTCGGGAGAGACAAACTGTGACTTGATTAGTACTGCATGATATCATGAGCACTAGGGCACCAGAGGGCATTCACATTGACTGCAGCGGAAAAAATACTCCAGAGTAACAGGATATTGTATTCGTGGAGTCTCCCATTGTGCTGATATTCTAAGATGTGATCAACCTCAATCACTGGCATAATAGGATGAACATGGTGAAGGTAGGCCCGAAGGAGACTTTCACAGCTTTTTGCTTTTGGAAGCGTAAGTACTCCCTTCGCTTCAAGATAGCTTCGGTCCGCGTTAGAGAGAGGTGACCGGGCGCGTGATGGGATAAGAAAGTGTGTTGACAATGGCTTCTCTGGCGAACAAATATCCAAGGTGTATGCGGGTCCGGTCTGGCTCCCTATGTAATAGATCAGCTTGGTCATTATTGGCCATGAAGTCGGATGCACTCACCACTGTAAAAAGGTACTTGACCATTTCCTCGAGATTGCCCAAATGCTGCTGTCACAATCTCAACCCCGTTTTGCTCTTCATTCTCAATGTCACCTTCATCTTCGTTGCGAACGGTGGTAGCTCTGGCTTTCTGGGATTGTTCCAGCGACGGCGTATCAACATCAACTTCATTGCACACTCCACCTTCTCCAGAGTCGCCGATAGGAGCTGAAGAAACCTTTCGCCTAATTAGATCTGCTTCACCCGGATCAATTTGGAAAGGAGGGGGAACTTACACTAAGATTCGATTCGTGATCAGAAGAAGGATGGTTTATAGCATCAGAACCCCGCATAGAACCTGTATCACAGCGGCGATTGGCTTGTAGGTACGCTCTCTTAGTTCTGTAATTGTAATGATTAGAAAAACTATATAGTGTCAATTTCCGATTATCGGTTCATGCTCACTTTCTTGGCTGCTTTGGGACCACAATGCACTCGGCCCGGTCTTGTGTACAGCCAATGCAAGGCTTGCCCGTAACGGCCAAGCTGCATCGAACCTTGCGTTGTCGGCAAGCCTGACAGGCAACTGCGCAGCGGTAACTACGGGTTGGGAGCGTGAGATCGGGAGCTGATCTGGCCGACATACCGCCCAAGGATTTGATGCTGTTGCGAAGTCAAACCTCGGAGGACTTCGAATTATGGGTGAGTGAGGAAGGTTATGAACAACCTGATTAGTGGAGAACATGAAAGACTTTTCACCCGATTGGACAAATCTTCAGTATCACATGATTGCCTCGCGGAAGATACGGAGCTGTGTGCGATATGAAGGCAGTCAATGTCTGTTAGAATAAAACTATCGCCCATGATTGATCTCTTCTCTCTCCAATCACCAGTCTCCTGCATGAGGTGCCCATTCAACCATCCGTCGGCTTCTGCTGTAGAATCTGTAACAATGGCTCGAGGCTCCTTGGCGAAAAGGAACAAACTCTAATAAAGCCAGCGTCTTATACTAATGCTCACGATTCAATGCGTTTAAGAAGATATTAAATAAAAGATTGATGATGTAAAAAGAAAAGTGGAAATCAGCGACGAATAAGGAGGCCAGTAAATTCCACTTACACTATCCAATCCCTCCACAAAAAAAAAACGCCTTGGTCTTCCGCGGACCGAGGTCCTGTTCCACTACTTCAGAGTAGGCGCAGTTACATTCGGTCGGGCCGCTTAATTGTTTACTGTTGAACATCCCCGAGATACCGTGCTATTTCATATTCACCAGCAATCCAGATTTCACCCTCAATACATTGGAGTGGACATTGGCTGGGAGAGGGTAAATGTCCTCGGAGATTTCGCTATGGGAGAATTGGCAGATCAGGATTAGGATCAAACCTGTACATCTGAATATAAATACGTAGCACAGAACGATTCTATTTACCATCTCATGCTCAATTTTATCTTCAACTTTCTCTCCCAAATTAAGTCGTTTCCAGAATGCCTGCAACACATACAACCATTCCCTGCCCGGAGATCTACGGCCCGGGCACCTTTGTCGACAAAAGCTTTCTTGCTATTCCCGATGATGCACGTCGAGTCTTCGAAATTCTTGCTAATGCGACACCAAATTTTACAAAGAATCGCGACGTGTGGGATTCGGTCAAATTTCACGGCCATGATGAACCTATAATCCCAGGGCCCCTTAAAGCCCCCGTCGTCGCCGCTGCCCTTCATGCTATGTGTGGTGTTGTAGCGAATGAACTGCTTGCCGAACGTGACGGCCAAGAAGTGGCAGATCGGAGTGTCATCATCAATACCGATCAAGCTGCAATCTGGCTGGGATCAATCTTGACCGTTCGACTGAATGGATCAGATGTTAGCGAGCTTGTGAAGATAGGCAAGGGGTCCTCTATCTTCGATCGTGATTTTGAAAAGGGTGTTTTCAACAACCCCCTTAGACTGCGAACCACAGCCATCTATCCCACTAAAACGCCCAGCGTTTGGTATCAGCTTCATGGGTCCCTCCATGCTGATCCTGTCCTCCGTGCCATCGGTGTCGATCCTGCCACCAAATGCGAGTCCCCGGCCGAGGCTTATAACCTCATTCGCGAGCAAGTGCAAAAGTTTACCGCAGACGAGCTGGAGATGATTATGCTCAAGAATGGATTTTGTGGGAGCATCTGCCACACTCCAGAAGGATGGAGCAAGACATTGATGGGGAAGCGCTTGCAGAGTCACCCCTTTGTCAATTATTCTCATCAGTCCCATGCTGTACCTACACCACCGACCCCTTTGCCAGTCTTGCCGGGAGACAAGCGCCCACTGGCCGGTATCAAAGTTGTGGAGCTTGTTCGAATCATTGCTGGCCCGGTGATCGGAACTACTTTGGCTGCATTTGGGGCGGACGTGATTCGCGTCAACTGCAGTAAACTCCCAGATCTAAACGTAAGATATAATTCCAATTGGGGATGTGTACCACTAACTAACTCTATTCTGAACAATAGGCTTTGCAATTGGCGTTGAACGCAGGAGTACGCACCATTGATCTAGATCTCACAAACGACGATGATCGAGCCCGGCTAGAGGAGCTTGTTCAAGATGTGGATATTTTTATTCAGGGTTTCCGACCAGGTTCCTTGGAGAGAAAAGGCTTCGGTTTGAACCACCTCCTCGAGACAGCCAACAAACGAGGTAAAGGAATTGTTTACGTGGAAGAAAACGCGTACGGGCCTGATGGTCCCTTCTACGAGAGGCCTGGATGGCAGCAAATCGGAGATGCGGCCTCTGGCGCCTCTTTCATTACCGGACGTTCTCTTGGCTATACTGATGGAACCAGTATCCTACCACCTCTTCCCATTTCAGATATGACTACAGGGCTTGTCGGAGCTCTCGGGGCTTTGATGGCTCTTCGTGATCGCACGCGCAATGGAGGTTCCTACCGCGTACTCAGTTCTCTGGTTGCGGCCGATGCGATATCCCTTCTACCTGAGATTGGGTTATATTCACCAGAGGTGGTGCAACAGAACGAGAAGACCTTCCAGTGGGAAGTTATGGAACCTTCGCAGTACGTTTCGGAGCTGCTCATGGTGGTTATGAATGGTTGGAAGAGGGTCTATCCAGAGTATTTCGCCCAGGACTCGCCGATTATGACAACATTTGAGAAGAGCCATTGGGGGCAGTTGCAATTGCTCAGTCCAGTTGTCAGGCTAGGAGACGACTCTGCAACTCCTCGTTGGACTACACCATCTGTACCTCATTGCCATTTCGACCGCAGCATTTCTTGGCATTGAAGATTCATCTCAAGAGATGCTCTAGCATAGCTTTAGCCAACTTTTCCTAGAAGATTTCCACGTGTTTAGTCAAAGCCTCGAAGAATGTGAATGCTCCCATAGCTTGGTTAGTAAGAGGTGGCTACTAATTTGATGCCTGTGCACATCAGCACTAATAGCAGCAGGCATTGGTTCCTATGAAAACCTACTCTGTATATCTTTTTATATTGATTTCAGTTGATGTTTATCTTGTGGTTGGGCTGTTTGTTCATTTGCACACAAGCCACACATTTGGTACCTCATAGTGTTCAATATTTTAGGTAATTAACCAAGCAGATGAGGCCAAATGGCACGAAATCGGAAGATACCAAAGAATCTTCACGCGAGCAATCCAAAAAACACACAAGGGCCCAACTAAATGTACTGGATGATTATATGCATGAAGCCAGCGGAGATGACATATTAGCCGAGAATATGTCGCTAGAAAGGAGAGACATGTTCATCTTCGGCTGATCCGGATTAGAATTCTACTGTTCAATTTTCCAAGTTTCCACACATACCGAAGAATAACAAATTTGATGCAGCAGCTGGTGCATCTCTTGGACAAATGCGATGGACTGAGGCAGAGTTTCATTCCGCGGGCCGAGGTGCGGGGCTCGTGGAGAGCTCGAAAGTCGCATACCCGGTTTAGCACTGGATCATGCACCTTCAACAATCGTTAGACTCCAGAAGGAGTGACAGGCTTTACTCTGATTTCTTACCAGCTGCTTGGAGATTAAAAACATATGGAAAAGGAGCGTGGCGAGTATGTTGAAAACCCGCTGCTTAATGTATCTTGATCTCTTTACCATATGTAATATTATCGCGTAGTAGGGTTGTTTATAAGACATACTTGAAGACGGATTTTTGTTTCACGAATTAATTATGCCGCCAAAGTATTGGCAGATGGAGAAAATCTTCTCGTTAGGAGCTAAAAGAAAATTAAAAAAAGTTAAAAGAAATCTCTATATGTATATTGACTGATCGATTAGAAGTATCTAGATACGGAACTACCTAGGCAGACGAAATTATTGGAAAATCGCATCCGGGTAGGTGTTAGCTTGAGGCTGGAGCCGCTTTCTTGCTCTTAATGAGTTCGACAAGACCTCTGTCCCGTTGGCTCTCTACACTCGCAATATCTGTGCTTTCTAACATGTGTTGTACACTTTTGTCCAACTCTTCGATTTCGTTCTCGCCGAAACCGAATGCATGAGCATCCATGTCTTCAATCCATCTTTGAACTCCCGGACCCAGATGAGTGATTAGTCGATGAAATCCATCTTTGCCTCCCCCTCCTCCGAGGACATTGGTCATGAAAGGACCCGTAAATGCCCATCGAAGGCCAATGCCCGTGGTAACGCAGATATCTCATCATTTTGTCAGCTTAGATCATTCGGAGTGATAGTCATGAAGTCTCACCACAAGCTTCAGCTGAGACAATCCCTCGATGAACGAGGCTGTATGCCTCCCTGGCAAGAGCTGCTTGAAGTCGGTTTGCCACAAAGCCAGGGCATTCCTGGTTCACTAAGACAGGGCTTTTACCCATCGCCTTGTAAAACGACATGGCAGTATCAACAGTGTATGAATTGGTTTTGTCGTGTGGTACGACTTCAACAAGTGGCATCTTCACCATAAATTAGCTATTTTCTGAGGAGCAATCACGTATAGGATAATACCAAGTGTGGCGGGTTGAACGGATGGCCAATCAAAACACGCTCTGGATTTTGGCACTCGCTAATAAATTGCGACGATGGAATACCCGATGAAGAAGAAGCTATCACCACATTTTTTTTCGCTTTCGCATCTAACAGAGCAAAGAGATTTCGTTTTAAATCCGGCCTCTCAGGCACATTCTTTGAGTTTGTCAGCAAAGAACGAGAGTCAAGGTCAAATATTTTATACCTCCTGGATGAAATCAACTTCACTGCAGTGATCACCCAAGCTTTCGCCCACGAAGGTGCAATTGGATATGGATGCATCACTATGGAGGCCAAGTTGCTTCAGCATCGGCCATGAATCTTGGAGGTATACGAAAAGACGGTCTTTCGCCCCTGGAGCAGGGTCAGACACTAAGACCCTGAGTCCACGGCTAAGGAAAAGAGCCGTCCAGCTGGCACCGATAACACCAGTGCCTACCACTCCAACTGTCTTGATAGATTGCATTTTCGATATATAAAGATATGTTATTAAACCTGGATTGTGATTGCAGCAATAATTAGAAGTTGATTGGGATCCCTATTTTCCTTCCTATTTATAATGTCTGTCTGTATACCCTTTTTGGAGACGGTATTTTCGGGCCGAGACTGTGTTCCATTTCTTTCAATACATTTTGACTAAAAAGTTCGAAACCAAACGCAAGGCAAGCTCATGAATGAATGACGTTAAGAAGTTAGCTACTTCATGTGGATGCTGCCGAATTCCTCGGGCCACGGAGTTGATCTGCAGTTTGCCACGCCTACCATGGTGATGGAGAGGAGGCTGGATCAAGATTGGCCGTCAGGATTGGACTAACTAAATGTACTGTTATATCTGTTTGTTAGAGGGGGGAGGAATGTTGCACCGAGGATGCGATATAAGAGGTGGCAATCCTCAACAGCCGCTGCATGCACTAACCCTTACCGCTATAATTACTGCTAACACTGGGACGGGCACTACGATTCTCGCTACTACGCCGCGCGATCAATATATGTCTCATCGTGGCCAGCTTCCCTAGCCATACATCGGCAGCCCCGAACAGTCCAATTCGCGACTAGACACAAGGTTGACAGAGAATGCTGAGCAGTTCTTGTAATTGAATCCCTTTTATCGTGATGGCCGAGGCCCCACAGATTGCGATTCAAGGAAGCAACACCATTACCGTGATAAAGCGACTAAGAGATTTTGGGCCAATTTACTACAGTAAAGTCGCGGGCACAGTATATAACGATGACAACGCTTGCCTCTGGGTTCTTCCATATAAAAGAGCCATCTTAACAATCATTCTAAGCTTCCTGAATCTTAACAAATACCTAGTAGCTATCAACATACTGGCTACCGCTAGCTCCGCTTACCGTCAAGATGTTACTGTGCTGACCATAATGCGGAAGAAGCTGTCGTAGCAACTCTCCAACGGCGACAACGGTTAGATGAACCGAGAGACCCTTGGCTGACGGGCACTTCATCCCTGCAGCGACAATGCGGCGCTTGGAGAGAGGGCCGAATTGTTAATGTCTCCACTCGCATCTCGGAACCCGGATGGCTTCGGCATCATTTTTTCCGATCAATGTCAACGGGCCCATGCTGAGTGCTCATTGAGTGTCGTATTATCGACTCATTCTCATTTTTTGGACGAGGGGACAGAGGCGTAGAGACTCCAATAGAATTGTCTTAGCCCGTAGTGGGACCGCTGCCAGGCTGAGCAGTCGCTAAGGGACAACAGATCATCGTCTCGATTGTATGATATGGAATCGCCGCGACAGGTCTGGATCATGATCCCGGACATAATAGCAAACTGTTGGAGGATCATCTGAAGCTTATGCTGATGATGCGCTAACGAATATGGTAGGTTTGTGCACGTCATTGAGGTCTCAGGGCTGATCCAGAAGAGTTGCGAGAGCTATCCTAGAGCGGCGTTGGATATCGAGTCAGAGCTAAGACTTCCCAACACGAGTAGCCAAGATTGCGCAAGGCTGAATGTATGCAATTGACTCAAGACAATTTTTAGGCGTCCTATGCGCTAAGATTTGAAAAATTTAGTGGTTTGTTGCTGATTATTACAGCTGCAGTGAACAAATTAGGCTTTGTCAGGTCACTTTATGCAGCAGATCGATCGACTATGGACGTGAGAATATGGTGGACGCTGTGTAAGTAGCTTTGAATAGGCGCAATCCGTCTCACACTTTTGACGCAATATCGTACGTAAAATGGTAGCTATGAGAACGCTATTGATCGGGTTGGACCCTCCAAGTGATGATAGTGTCAACCCAGCTTGCTTACCATTTCAGGAATTGCATTGAGGCGATCGAGTTCACGAAGTCTGTCTCCAGCACGAACCATACTCTTCTCGAATATCGACATAAAATGAAAGCAGCAGAAGATCAATGATTTGACTAGACGCAAATTTAACCAACTATTATAACATAAGGTATCTTTTATAATCAGGTACTAACAGTATCTTTGATACATATAATAAGTTATAGTCCAAAGAATAAAGGAACTATTTACAACTATGGCTAGGTAAACTACAACGTGATCCTACACCTTGAATAGGTGTCATAAAATAGATATATCTACCATTCTTTTAGGGGAAAATTCTCACTTAGATGTTCAGCGCGTAATCCCCAACCAACTGTGCCAAGGGCACGTCTGGCTTCAAAAATAGCCCAGTAGCTATCTCGCAGTAGCTCGCCAAGATCGCCTCGGCCGTTTTGGCGGTCATCATGTGCGTATTTGCCTGGAACTCAATATTGACTACATCTCCACGAGGTCGTGACGTCAACCAAATCTTGGACTGAATGTGATGAGGATTATCGAAACTCTGCAACTGCGCTGAAGCCTGACCAGCCTGAAAGTCGGGGGTTTCGTTAATGTTTTGATGCACAATCACTGAGTCGATGACCGCATCGGCGGGCCACTCTGTACAGTGTTCACGGATATCTCGCAGACCGAGCCCATCTGCTTCCCCAACCGCAATGAATTGGTGTTGGATAGACTCAAGAAGCTTAGAAGGTGTCTCAAGAGAGTCGAAGGAAGCTCTCATAGGGATAATGTTGACACAAGGACCCACAATGTCTTCGACACCTTCAATGGCCGCATTTCGACCGGCTATCAATTGGCTGTAAATAATGTCCTCTTTGCCGGTCAAGCGGGAAAGAAGAATCGCCCAGGCACTAGAAAGCAGGGTGGCAGGAGTGATACCCAGAGGAAGCTGTGGAATGCTAATGTTTCTTTCGAGCCGGACTGCCTCACGGCGGGGCGACAACGCAGTCAATTGTGGGAGATACTTCCCTGCCGTGGTTACTGAGGAGCGGTGAAGCAAACTTGTCCAGTACTCTCTTGACTTTTCAAGATGCCTATGAGTTTTTATGAGATAGTCTGTGAAAAGCGAAGGCGACAGGGAAGAAGCGTTCTGGCGACCATGCAGGATAGAGTTGAAGATATGTGGCAGTGAGATACCATCATACTGTGTATGAGAGATACGGAGCACAATACGGGCGCTCTTTGCGTCGCTACGGAACAGGAAAACTGCAAAGGGTGCATTGGTAGCCTTCAAAGTCTCCTGGTCTCTAAAACAGAATCCACGAGAGAATCCAGCTAAATCTTCTTCATTACCAGCATTCAGGATTTGGAGCGGCAGTTTCTGAACTTGGCGGGGAATGACCTGCCAGAAAGAGCCCAAGAGCGGTAAGAATCTTGCTCGTAAGATAGGCAATCTCTCCAGCGCCCAGGCACACGCCTCTTCTAGATGAGTGATATCAGGGCTGCTCTCCAAGTCAAGGAAGAAATAATTGCAGAAAAGCGGTCCTAAGCTCATTGATGAGTTGACCAAGTTGAATTGAAAATCCGTCAGTGGCAAGATCTCAGCAACGTCAACAGATCTCAGCTCGTATTTATCACTTTGGGAGTCAATTTCCGCCAAAAGGGCAGATTTTTGAGCTGTCCCCAATAGCTGATGTTGTTCAGAGCCTGCAACGGCGTCGATGTTGCTGGTGTCATGACTTACCAGGCGAGCAAGCTCTTCGAGTCTCGGGTTGCGGAAAATGCTTACAATGTTGACCGTCAGGCCATGCTTTCGCGCAGCACCAACAAGCATCATTGCCGTAATAGAATCTCCTCCCAGTTCGAAAAAGTTGTCGTCTAGTCCTATTGCATCTTGTTCAATTTGAAGAATGCGGCTCCAAATCGATTGCATCTGCATCTCTGCTGCTGTCTGGGGCTGACGCTTAGGTCCTTGCTTGGCAGTACGCAGTTCGGCGAGTTGTTGAATGGTAAAGGTTGCGCCGAGTTCACGTAGGCGTCCACGATTGGTCTTGCCGGCGGCTGTCATGGGAATCTGGACCACAGAAAAATATACATCAGGAATCATGTGCTTTGGCAGAGTTGCGGCTAATGCGGCCTCCAGCTGAGAATCCGTTTGGTAGAATTCTAGCAAAGACTCTGCAGCTGTTGCTTTGGAGTCAAGTTCCAGAAAAGCAGCAAGCAAAGGCCGCGTTTCATCTCCTCCGGGTGCAATGACTTCAGCAACAACCTGCTTTGCATTTGGAATATGCTGACCAACTTGATAGGCAACATCACCTAGCTCAACCCATTGACCGCGCATCTTGACCTTCGTATGCTTTCTGCCAACGAACACAATATTGTGGTCGTTGGTATACCGGACTAGATCACCCGTTCGGTAGAGGCGCCCCTGACGTCCGGGGTTCGTCTCAAAGCCTTTGACTAGCCACTCAGGGTTCTCAACAAAAGCCTCCGCGGTCTTTTCTGGCGCGTTAAGGTAGCCAAGTCCGACCAATGGGCCTTCAAGTAGCAGTTCTCCAACATGTCCAATTGGGACCAGCTGATTGTAGTTCTCAGCGTCAACCACCCAGGTGGCTACTCCGACTCCTCTTCCGATGTATCCCATCTCTTCAACACCTTTGGCCTCATAATTAATGGTAGTTACCGGAGTACACTCTGACGGTCCATATGTGTTGATCGCATGTATGTTACCGAACCAAGGCTCTGCGTCTTTACTATGGAGGGCTTCACCGCACCACAGTATGGATTTCACTCCTGGCACGTCAGCAGGCTTGAGGGACCGCGATACAGACGGCGTCAGAACAAGTGTATCCGCATTCAGCGCTGCGATCGTCTTTGCAAGATTATTTCTACGATCTTCGTCCCTTGGGATGCAAAGACAACCGCCAGCAGAAAAATTGTGAAAGATGGTGAAGAGAGACATGTCGAAACTGTAAGACGCAAAATCGAGGAATCTAGACTTGTCTGAGTATTTGAAATGGCCTTGCTGGTGGTGGATAGCTGTCGCGAGGTTTCTATGGCTTACTTGGACACCCTTTGGAGTTCCTGTACTGCCGGATGTGAATACCACGTATGCAAGCGACTTAGAGCTTACGGAAACCTTCGTATATGATTGCGAGCTGCCGGAAATCTCTTTAAATAATGATGCGTCGACTACGATTGTCTTCCTTGACGAGAACAGGCTGAAACGCTGGGAAGCCTCTGAAGATGACAGCAGAAGCCCGCTGTCCAGCTGCTCAACGATAGATTGTAACCTCTGCTCTGGTAGGGATGTGTCAAGTAAGACGAAGGCTCCCCCCGCTTTGAGTACAGCAAAGAGTGATACAATCGTCCACTTGGACTTTTCGAAGCACAGTGGAACGGCGACGCCAGATTCGAAGCCAAGCCCTATGAGGTGTGAGGCCAGGCTAGTAGATAAGCTGTCTAGCTCACTGTATGTAAAATCACCATCCCACGCGTGGATGGCTGGCGCAGCAGGTCTGACTTGAGCTTGGTCCTCAATCACTGAATGTAACAGTTTGTCGATATAATCAGGCACTGCGCTGTTCCATGTCCAGAGTGTCCGCAAATCGCTTAACGGAAGTACCTGAAGATCCTGAAGTGTCTTACTTGAGCTTGCAATGTTCTCATGTAGATTAAGTACAGTGTCTTTGAATTGCTCAAGCAGTCTCTGCATCGTCAAAGGCTCAATAACTCTAGAGTCAAAGCTAGCCTTAACAGAAATCTCCGATGAGCCCAAAGTGATGAAGAGAGTAAGAGGGTAGGTGTTGCTGTTTTTGCCTTCGTCATTCTGCCATTTTCCAAAAGCGCTCTCCTGCTCCTCGCCATCCTGAGGTTGGATGATGAGTAACGTCTGGAAGTTACAGGCTTTGGCACAATCTGGGCTCATCTTCGCGATTTGTTGAAGGCCTGTCTGCTCGAAAGAGATCATCTCTGTACGCTGGCTTTGTACGTCCTGTAGGAAGTTTGTAATAGTAGCCTCTTTTGACCACTTGATACGCATTGGGACAGTAGCAATGGTAGGTCCGACAATTTCCTCAATACCGGCGATGGTAGCACCTCGACCGGATACAGTGCTGCCGAAGACTACATCCTCTCCGCCACTAATGCGGCCGACAACAATTGCCCATGCAGCGTGCGCAAGTGTAGAAGTGGTGATATCTGAGATGCTGTTCTTATCCAACAAAATATGCTCACTGGCTACCTGTCTAGGCGCCGGTTCTCGGATGGATGCGGGCAGAGTTGGGAATGCAACGTGATCGCAATTGCCCAGCGATTTTGTCCAGTAATCTGTTGCCGATTTGGTGTCTTGAGAAGAAACATATTGTATAAATCTGTTAAAGGACAAACAAGGTTCCAGCTTGCGTCCCGTATAGATTCTGTTGGCCAGATCCATCATTCGTGGCATGGACCAGCCATCGTAGAGTGCGTGATGAATCGTCCATACGAACCACTTATCAGCAACAACGGCAAATCTTGTAAGAGGCCTGCCCATAGTCATTGGCTGCTTGCGATCAAACTCCACGTAGTCAGACAATGCGGTAGCTGCCGTTGTTTCCCACTTTAGCTCTTCCTTGACGACCACCTGCACAAGCTTCTCATTGTCATCTGTGACTATTCTAGTACGGAGAATAGCAACTCTTTTCACCACTTCCTCCCAGCACTTGCGGAAACGAGACATGTCAACATTCTCGGATATATCAAGTACCCATTGAGTAATGTAGTCCCCGCTCTTGGAAGACAGCGACAAGAGCCCTGCTTGGAGTGGTGTACATGGGTACGCATCTTGGATCAAAGCTTGATCGACACCGCATGACTTTGCAAACGCCGCAATCATAGATTCTTTGCCGACGGCGTCTCCAAGAAGGCTAAATGGATCAATGTTATCACTGTTGTCCGACTTGACGTAGGTTGCTCTGCTCGCCACGTCCTTGAGCTTGGGATGGCGGAATAACTCGGCCACGCTTAACTGGATACCATCTTTTCTAGCAATACCTACCATGGTCATTGCCTCAATGGAATCTCCGCCCAGATGAAAGAAGTTTTCGTTTGGGCCGATAGTCTCCAAGTCGACGTTGAGCACTTGACTCCAATAGAGTCTAATTTGCTTCTCCATCTCTGTGATGGGCTGCCTCTTCGTACTGAGGGTGTCTTTCTGCTTGTGTACAAGATCTTTGGTGGAAAAAGACTCCCCAATTGCGCGAAGGAGCTTACGATCAGCTTCTCCGGAGGGCATTGTCGGAATTTTTTCTACGGAAAAAAATATGGTAGGTATCATATGTCGCGGGAGAGTCTTGATTAGCCTGTCCTCGTCGTCACTGCTAATGGCTTTGACCGTTACAGCAGGTTTGTCGATTGGGCCGCTAGTTGACTGGAAAGTAGGAAACTCCGAAACAATGTAAGCCGCAAGCGCGGTCCTGGAGCCCTTGCCTACGGGAGCCAATACCTCGGCCACAACTTGCTTGGCTCCCGAAATAGATTGCTGGACGTGATGCTCGACCTCAGAAAGGTCAACTGGCTGCCCATGTATCTTGAGGCTTGCAATTCGTGGAACTCGTGGAGATTGGACAATTCGGGGCTCCTGTGAAACTTCGGCACTTTCAATTTGGGCAACTTGAGCAACTCGAGCAATTGGCGCAGTTTGCGCGGGCTTTTGTGCAAGAAATAACATGCTTCCATCTTCATTGTGGCGCACCAGATAACCGGTGCTATAAAGACTTCTACGACCTCCAGTCGTATTTGAGTTGCCGCCTTGGAACCAGACAGGATCCCGAATGTAAATACCGCCGTGTCCATTGACAGCATTAAGAGATGATCCTTCCAAGAGAAGCTCTCCAACGGAACCAGGCGTCAGTAGCCTATTGTAATTTATAGGATCAGCAATCCAAGCGAGCTGGCCCACGCCACTGCCTACTGAGGAGACTGTGGTAGTGATTGTCGGAGTCTGGATTGTATGTGATTCGATCTGCTGCTGTGTAGGTTTGCTACCTGATTCAACGTCGCGTTCCACAACTGCACTAATCTCGGAAACTTTTCGAGATTGATCCCCCGTAGCAAGTTGCCGCAGAGTGGCGCTAAAATCGCTGAGCAGCTGCTTTACTACCCGTGGTTCAATGAGGTTGGAATCAAAGCTGGCATCTACCTTGACAGACTCTGTGTCAAGATTTGCAAGAATTTCCAAACCATATGTACCACTCCAGCTGTAAGCATTTTCCTGCCATTGCCCAAGATAGTCCGACTCGGAGGATTGTTCCTTGGGTTGGACCGCGAGAAGAGTCTGGAATGTACATGCTTGTTGACTTCCAGCACAATACTTGCCAATGCGACGAAGTCCAGTTTGTTCAAATGGAATCATGTCAATAATTTGCTGATGTACCGCGTCAATCAACTCAGACACCTTCCAGTCGCTGGAATATTTGATGCGGACTGGAACAGTGGCGATAGTTGGCGCCATCATTCTCTCGATGCCGGCGACTGGTGCATTCCTTCCAGATACTGCTGCGCCAAAAACGACATCTTCCGTCTGAGCCCATTTGCCAGCGGTTAACGCCCAGGCAGCGCGAACGAACGTGGCAATTGGAGCCCCGGATATCTGCGCATGTCGCAAATCGATTGAGATTTCTTCAGACGTATCAGCAAAGGGCTGTAGAACTGATGGAGTAAGTAAAGGGAAAGGCGTATCATCATAATCTTCCAACGCATCCTCCCAATACTGTCTTGCATCGTCGGCATCAATATCGCCAATGTATTTAATAAAGCCATTGAACTTGGGCGACGCGTCGAAAAGTATTCCTTGACAGGCTTGAGCAACAGCCTTCAGAATTAGATCCATCGACCATCCATCATACAAAGCGTGATGAATCGTCCAGGTGAACCATTTGACGACGCCATGGTGGTCTTTGATCAAAGCAAAACGTACCAGTCGCTGGCCCGGTTCCATGATCTGTCCCCTATCAAGCTTTTGGTATTCTTCAAGCCCAGACGTCTCGATCCATTCAATGGTTTCATCCAAGATAACTTGCAATGAACCTAATGTACCATATTGTACAATTCGGGTGCGAAGGACCTCTGATTCCTTGAAAACTCTTTCCCACGCGCTACGGAAATTCTCAATAGAGATATTTTCCGACAACGCTAATGTCATCTGCCAAATGTAGTCTCCCGGCTGCTTTGAAGAGAGTGATAAAAGACCTTCTTGGAGAGGGGTGGATGGATACACGTCCAGGATATTACTCTCCACCAAACCATACATGGCTGCAATCTCTTTAACAGCATCTTCATTCTTGGTGTCCACACCTATAAGATCAAATGGTCGAACTTCAACATTGGCAGTACTTGACTGGCCCTCTAAACCGCCAACTAGTTCCCCGAGAGTAGGATGGCGGAAGACATCTGCCACTGTGATCTCAATATCTTGCTCTCTTGCCATGGAAACCATCTTCATAGCTGCAATCGAGTCGCCGCCGAGCTGGAAGAAATCATCGCTGAGTCCGATTGCATCAAGGTCGATTTCTAGAAGATCACTCCAAATCTCCTGCATGGTCTTCTCGTCCCTGGTAGTAGGCTTGCGTTTTTGAGCCTTCTCAGCAGTCCTGATCTTAGCTAGCTCTTGAACAGTAAACGAAGCGCCAATCTCGCGGAGACCTTTTCTGTTGATCTTTCCAGATGGTGTCATCGGTATCTCCGCTACTTTAAAATAAACCGAAGGTACCATGTACACTGGTAAGACCTTGTGAAGTTGGTCTTGGATTTCGGCTGGAATGTGATATACCTGAGTGAGCGATGATGGGTTTTTCTCATAGTCTGGGTGCTCCTCGCCCAAGCATAAGAATGTTGCCAGAGTAGGTCTTGCTCCAGGTCCCTGTGGAACGATAACTTCGGCCACAGCTTGTTCCACGTCGTGCATGAACTCATGGATACGACATTCCAGCTCTCCAAGTTCAACTCTCTGGCCTCGGATCTTCACTTGCATGTCCTTGCGCCCGAGGAAGGTCAAGAAACCGTTCTCAGTGTACTGGACCAGATCACCTGTCTTGTACAGCCGACCCCGGCGGCCTACATGATCGGGTGTTCCTTTGACTAACCACAGCGGGTCATCGATGAACACTGCAGCAGTTTTTCCAGGCTCGTTCAAGTATCCCAAGCCGACGCAAGGTCCTTCAAGTAATAATTCACCAACACAACCGGGAGGAACCAGAACGTCGTGGTTATCAGGATCCACGATCCAAGTAACTTGTCCAGTACCCTTGCCAATACTCAGCGCTTCTTCTAGTGTGGTCATGTCTTCGTTCATCGTAGCATTTGGGGTACATTCTGCAGGACCGTAACTATTAAGCATCTTGACTTTTCCACGCCAAGCATCAGCGTCTCTTTGTTGCAGAGCTTCTCCACCAAGGATAAGCATTTCCAGACTTGGAAGGTCCTCGGCACTAAGAAGCCTAGATAACGACGGGGTGATATCAAGCATAGTGGCACGAAAGGCATTCACGCTTTTAGCAAGATTATCTTTTCTTTCTTGCTCACTGGGGACGCAAAGACATCCACCCCACGCCAGGGTATTAAAGACGTTCATGACGGCGACATCAAAACTGTATGAAGCAAAGTCATAGACTCTTGATCTTGTATCTACCTGGTACTGCGGCTGTTGATGACGAACGGCAGAGGCAAAATTCCTGTGACTGAGGAGGACACCCTTAGGAGTTCCTGTACTGCCTGATGTGAACACAACATACATGATGCTCTCTGGGCTAGGATCAACAAGTGTGCAACCTGGTTGCTCCGTAATGGCTTGGAAAAATCCCTCGTCAACTTGAATAACATTACTCGCCAATCTTGTGGCTAGGGATAGGTTTGTACCGGAGGAAAGGAGTACTCGTGGATTGACTTGCTTGACAATGGTAGCGAGTCTTTGCTCAGGTAGAGCAGAATCAAGTAAAACAAAGCCTCCACCGGCTTTCAGTACACCAAGCATAGAGACTGTAGCCCATTTCGATTTCTCAAAACAGACAGGGACGATCTGGTTTGCCACAACGCCCTCATCAACTAGGCGAAACGCCAGCTTGGTGGACAAGTCGTCGAGCTCTTTATAGGTCATGTCGCCGTCCCAAGCGCATAATGCCAAACTTTCTGGATTCTCTATAGCACGTTCATGGATGATATTGTGCAAGAGTTCATTGACTCGCTCCGGGAGATCGTGGTTCCAGCCCCAGATGATATCTTGGTCGTGTTTGGTCATTGTCTCAACGTCGCTCAGCAGGGCTTCTGAATCAGCGCGCCAGAGCTGCTCAGATACATGCTCCAATCTTTCAAGCAGCAGCCGTACAATCCAGGGCTTGATTGCTCTCGAGTCAAAGCTTGCCGTTGTTGTGAATCCATTGGTTCCCATTTCGATCTCTAGCATCAGCGCGTAAGTGCTTTCCCGATCTCTAATTCCAGTCCACTTGCCCAAGGAATCGTCTTCTAGACTTTTCAGATCCGGTTGTATCAACACTAATGTCTGGAATGCACACGCCTGTTCACAACCTGGTCCATTTTTGGCAATGCGACGCAGACCAGTCTGCTCAAAAGGCATCATCTCAATCGTCTGGCGGTGCACTGATTCTAGATAGTCCATTAACTTCAAATTATTGTTCCACCTGAGGCGAACTGGGACCGTTGCCAGAGTTGGCCCGGCCATCGAGTCAATTCCTATAACTGGTGCAGTTCGTCCAGACACAGGCATGCCGAAGACAACATCAGCAGTGTTTGTGCTAGCACCCATGACAAGTCCCCAAGCAGCCCGAATCAGGGTTGACAGCGTAATGTTGGACGATTTTTGCTGTCCAGTCAAAGTCACCGAGTGCTCGATGATGGTGTCCGTAATAGGTTGTGGCACTGACGCAGGCAATGTGGGAAATGGAGCATTATCAAAGTCACCGAGTGTGTCTTGCCAATATTTGTCCGCGGAGTCATCATCTCTTTCCGAGATATACTTGATAAATCTGTTAAAGGGAGGAGAATCATCAAGTATAGAGCCTCTGTAGGCGTCGTTCAAGGCTCTCAACAGAAGCGGAAATGACCAGCCGTCATAAGTAGCATGATGTAGCGTCCATGTAAGCCACTTAACTGACCCTTGCGAGTTCTTGATGAGCGCAAACCGTGACAACGGCTGCCCAATTCCCATTGACTTCTGCCTATCGGCCTTCAAATACGACTCAAGACCGTCCGTCGCTGTGATCCAGTGAATCTTCTCATTGACAACGACTTGCAGTAGGTTATCATTTTGAGAGGTAATGATTCTTGTTCTCAAAAGTGGCATCTTGTCGACGACTGTTGCCCATGCTTCGCAAAGACGCTCCACATTAACCTCATTTGAGATTTCTAGAGTGTACTGCGCGATATAGTCTCCTAGGCTAGAGGCTAACGCCAGGGAGAACAATCCTTCTTGAAGTGGTGTGCACGGGTAGATGTCTAGTATTGCCGACTCTTCGGTGCCGCATAACTTGGCCGCTTCTTTGACAATGCCAGATACATCTTCACCATTTGGCAATAAACTAAACGGTTTGATGAGCTCCAACATATCTTGCTCGATATAAAGACTATTGTCCGCAACTTCTTCCAGCGAAATGTTGCTTAGGATTGTGGCAACAGACAGATCAATTCCTATCTTACGCCCCTCGCTAGCTACCTTCATAGCCGCGATTGAATCACCACCGAGCTGTATGAAGCTGTCACCCAGGCCGATGCTTGATGGCTTCAGGTTGAGAATGCGGCTCCACAAAGCGTGAAGGTGTTTCTCCATGGGCTTCTTTGGCTCTCGCTTTGGCCCTCCAGCTTGGGTTCTCATCTCAGCTAGCTCTTGTACAGAGTAAGCACTGCCCATCTCGCGAAGCTGTCGGCGATTGATCTTGTTCGTTACAGTTTTCGGTATCGCAACGACTGAGAAAAATACCGTTGGGATCATGTACACCGGGAGACTATCACTGAGTCTTTTCTGAGAATCCGCAGTAATGTGATGTATTTTGGCGGCGCGTACATTGTCACCGTCTTGTGCGGCATCTGTAGCGGCATTGTCGAGGACTAAGAACGCAGCTAGCATTGGGCTGGCACCATCGCCCTTGGGTACAACGATTTCAGCAACTACTTGCACGGCTTCGTCGATAGATTCCAATATGCGATGCTCAACTTCACCGAGCTCGACTCTCTGTCCTCTAATTTTAACCTGGGCATCTTTACGCCCGATCAGCGTAAGCATGCCACTTTGATCAGCCTGCACCAAATCTCCCGTCTTGTAAAGGCGGCCAGATCTCCCAGTGCCCCCAGGAGGTCCTTTCGTCAGCCATGTTGGGTCGTGTATGAAAGAGGCGGCAGTTTTTTCCGGATCGCCTAGATATCCTCGTCCAACTTGAGGGCCCTCAAGAAGCAGCTCTCCAATACAGCCAAAGGGCACGAGCTTATTATGATCCCTGGGATCAACAATCCAAGTCTTCTGTCCATGGCCTCTTCCAATGCGCGTTACCTCGGCCGGCGTGGTTGCACTATCGTTGATGATAGCTCTTGGGGCACACTCTGCCTGGCCGTACACGTTCAGAACACGAACCTTCCCCCACCATTTTTTGATGGCATCGGCGTGAAGCCCTTCACCTGAGAAGACAACAGTCTTGATACCAGGCACTTCATCTGGATCAAGCACATTGGCTGCAGAAGGCGTGAGATGTATAATGTTGGCACGCAGTGAGTTGATACTATCGGCTAGCTTGTTCCGTCTATCCTCATCTCGAGGAATACATACACAAGATCCTGAACAAATAGCGTTAAACATGTTTACAATAGAAACAATAAATCCGTAGGAAGAAAAGTCGTAAATGCGTGAGGTTTCGTCAAGTTGGTAATGGTCTTTCTCATAATGCATCGCCGATGCTAGGTTCTGGTGTGTGACCATGGCTCCCTTTGGAGTTCCTGTGCTTCCTGATGTAAAAACCACATACATGAGTGATTCAGGACTGCTTCTATCAAGTTCCTCATGGGTGTCGTGGCTGAGATCCTTGAAGAAAGCTCCCTCGATAATGATGGTCTTTTGAACGTGAGGTAAGACAATATCGAAACAGGCCCTTGAAGACAGAGCAATATCACTTTTGGTTTTTTGGATTATTGTTGCTAACCGCTGGGATGGAAGAGAAGGGTCAAGGAGCACAAAGGCACCCCCTGCTTTCATCACTCCCAGCAGCGCTACCATTGTCCACATAGATTTTTCAAAGCACACAGGCACCAAAACGTCAGCCGTAACACCAGAGTCGACTAGTCTCCAGGCCAGTAGTGTAGAGAGTCTATTCAACTCTCCGTATGTCATTTCGCCATCCCAGGCATGTAGCGCGATAGCTTCGGGACGGGCCAGGGCTCTCTCTTCGAAGAGGCTATGAATACAGCGTTGGATAGGCGCCGGGAGGATTTTGTTGCGCTCCCAGATTGTGGCAAGATCACTCTCTGTGACCATATCAACGTCCGCAATGGTTGTCCCAACCGGGGCGTTGTGAAGCTGATCCAGCACAAAGTCAAACTGGCTTAGAAGCTTCCGAACCTTCCACAGCTCGGTGACTCTCTCGTCGAAGTTTGCTTCAATTGCAACTCCGCTGCTATGGACCTGGAAGCTTAGGTACAAGGCAACATTATCCATCTGCTTCTGGCGGGAAACTTGTTCGTCACTGCTCTGTACGATTTCTGCGAGTTCAATGTCGAGCAACGTCTGAAATGAATATGCTCGTTGAACTTCGGAGCTGATACTAGCATAATCCTGAACTCTGATGGCCTCAAAAGGCGCAAGTTCTTTTGCTTGTTGATTGATAGTATTGAGAAACTGAGAAACTGTCCATTCTTTGGACCATTTGATCCTTAGTGGATAGGAATTGGGCGTGCCATTTGAAGAATTGCCCAGAGCCTGGCTAGATTTGTCCTTGAAGACAATACCAAAGACAACATCTTCTGAGTTGGTCATTTGACCAGCGACAAGAGCCCATGCTGCTCGAATCAACATTGGTGTGCTGATAGCATTTTGGGATGAAGGTAAAAACACCTCGTGATGGACAACAGCGCTCAAGGTTGGCTGCTGGACGAAAGATGGAAGAGCAGGGAATGGAGTGTGCTCGCTGCCAACGAAAGTATCTCGCCAATAACTTTCAGCATCATGAAGTATTGCTGGAGAACCCATTTTGCAGATTATCGTAAAAGGAGAGAGCTGTGAAGTGGTAGATGGCAATCACTCTATCAAAGCAATACCCAAATTGTCAACTGACTTTCTCAGAGCGTGTACAAGTCGTCCTCAGTTGGAGCGAGTCTAGGATCTGTTTATCAGTCTCCTGGATTTTGACAAATGGAGTAATAAACGTCCGTCTCGCTTACCAGCAACCCTATCACGTCTGCTACCCTAGAGTTTGAAGGCTGTTTTACTGTTCGGGTACATATTGAGCTGTATACGGAGTATATCCGAGCGCTTGCTCGTGAGTAGGTAGTGCTTACTTCTCCCCCACTGTCACATCTACCAATCTATAAACTAAATGTGGTAAGTAAAGGATCTCTGTGGAGAAGACAGGTGGAGGTAGGGTGGAAGAAGGGGGTGGATGCAAAATGCGGGCTGCGGTGGGGACGGAGAAGGACGGGAGCGGGATTTAGCATTTTCTTAAATTACAGCTAAACGCTCTGCTTATGCACTTCCAGGTTGTCACAAGGACTAAATTAGAGACAGTTTAATAAATGATGTATAAGCATGCTCATTTGTGCGTTTATTGCATCAACTGTGAAGTCCGAAAAAGTTTTTTTTGTCATCTAACTCAACTATACTGCTTCACTTATGAAAAAATAGGAGGGGGTTTCTACATTACTCAGGGACTTCTTCAAACTCTGATACTTCAACGCATTCTCCAAGATATTGCTTGCGCTGCTGAAGCTAAATCACAACTCAAACAAAGCTTCATTAAGTCGCTTTGTAAACAAAAAGCCTTGTCATGTACTTGGATCAACATAGTCCCGCTGGCCGCTGTCCAAAGCCCCGTAATATTTGCGCAACCAGCTTCCTTTCGTATATACTGCTCCGGCATAGCAACCGCCCCATTAAAAAAACACACTACACAAAAGAGCGTTGATATATGCTTATATTTTCCGTTCCAAACCAGCCACTCAGAGATAGTGCGCTTTGTGTGTGTAAATCACATCGCCCTCGTCCGTGAGAATTTAATTCCTTTAGCGAATCTCCAGTTATTGTAAATTTGTGAAACGTTTTCTTCAGTCCGCATTGTACATTAGAACCGAAATGGCAATATTCTGAACTCTAGATCTTTACAAGAAAACCTCATTATGCGTAGGAATGACACCATTAGAGTAAGTTTTACATAAAAGAACCTTTGTATGCTTACGTTGTCTTCCCCTAATCAAGCAATCAATACTATACGGAGTAGTTTTACCGAGCAAATAACCTTGTTCCTGTCTGTAAGAATTTAATTACCCCAGTGAATCCTTAGTTCATAGCTTGCGAAACATTTCTCTCATTTTGGATAGCACGTCAGAACCGAGCAATGCACGATACACCGCTTAGTAACTGTCAGCTTACTCTTTGTTACTTGTTGCAAAGTAGCGCTGTTATGGTGTTGCCGTGGTACTAATAGGTGGCCTTGTGAATTAAGGTCGGGCACAGTTTTTTATACTAGCAGGGGTTGAGAGCCACTTCGCAGCCTAGGCAAGGCTAGGGTTGTTAATCTAGGGGCGGAAGGGAAAGAGGGTTGTGTACATTATGGGCGCTAACAAGCACTGATCGACGTCTGGTACGAAAGAGCTTGGCACCATCGTAGGGCTGTAATCAAGGGGTTGTTTGCACTTCATAATTTTGAACTATTTGCGGCTTTGACAGGGATGACTTCACTGTGGCCATTTCACTATCACGAAGGACGTCAACTCCAGACAAGAATGGTCTGCCTGCTCTTCTACTTCAGTGACAATTACGAATATGGAAAGTTAAAAATCGTGCGAGAGGATTCGGTGGATCTGTTGTGGGGGTCATGGCAGTTACGTGGAAAGAAACAACCGAACTCATACTCGTACGAGTACGAGTCTTATGGGAATGGATCGGGCCCTGGCCTAGGATCCAAGCCAATAGCATGTGAACAATGCAACTCTAACCCAGGACCCGCTTATCTTTGAGTTGAATTGCACAATCTGCTATGGAGGTTTCTATTGGAATGGCAACTGGTTGAACACTTGGCAATACGAAAAATCGGTCTAGCAATTGACCCACGTTTCAGGGTTTCTAACTACCGCGGTCCTTGTGACACCCAAGCTTGCTGGCTGGTTGTATGGGCTCGTTCTCGTTCTCGTTCCATTACTCCACCACTCCTGTGGCCGAATTCGTCTCAGTATTGTCCGTGGAAGATTTGACACCGTCGTTCTTCCACAATTCTCCGAAGTATGACCCTGGAGTCGCAATCAACGCTTGCGGAGTGCCCGATTCAACTAGTCTACCCCCATCCAGAACGAACACACGGTCAGAGTAGTCGACGACTGTTTGCAGGCGATGTGACACCGCAATCACCGTATAATTCTCAAACTCAGCCTTGATAATCTCCTGAAGGCGGCGATCGGTGTCGTGATCGACGCTACTGCTCACCTCATCAAGCAGTAACACGCCCCCAGCCTTTTCTTGGTCGGTCTTCTGATCTTTGATCCTTTTCCGTAAGATGGCGCGCCCGAGACAAAATAATTGCCTCTCGCCCATGCTTAGATCATCGGCCTTCATGGAAGCATCTAGCCCCCCTCGGCCACTGACAAACTTGGCAAGGCCGACGACATCAAGGACGGACAGACATGCTGCGTCGGTGGCTTCGGAGCGTGGGTCAATGTTCTGCCTGATGGTGTTTCCATCGGGTAAGAAAGTGGCTTCCTGGGACAAAGCTATGACTCTCTGTCGAAGTGTACCACGTTTTACTTCGCAGAGAGGTACTTGATCGATCGTTAATGTCATCGACGTATTGTTGAGTGGGTCGAGGAGACGAAGGAGTAGGAGCATTAGCGTGGATTTGCCACTTCCAGTCCGACCACATACGGCAACCTTTTGTCCCGGCAGGATGCTTAGGCTCACATCATGCAGGACCAAGTCCACAGTGCGTTGAGATGACTCGGACGGTGCGATGGAGCCCACGTCGTCTGAAGAATACGAAGCAGACACGTGCTTCAACTCAACGGCTCCACTAGTTGGCCAGGATTCAGGAGGCTCGAGGTTGTCAGATAGCCTATCCTCAGGGGTTACCGAGGCCGAGAACGTCTTCAAACGACTCACAGCCCCGATACAGGTTTCCAGGTCCGTATAGTTTTGCACGAGCTCGGAAAGTGAGGAGCCGAATGACAGCAGGCTAACCAAGCTCGTTCCTGCCAGGCCCACGTTGGATCCAAGCTGTGTAGCTAAGGAGACGAGCAGAAGTGCCAAGCCAGCCACAATAAGCTGCATGACCACGCGAAGCCATTGTTGAATCATAGCCAGCAAATAAGCTGGCTGTTGAGCACTGTCAAGCAGATTATCGTTGTGGTCAATGTCGTATGGAGTCCACCCAAAGGCGCGAACAGTGGCAATTCCTTTTGTAGTGTCGAGAAAATGAGTACTACATATGGTCAGCCATTAAGGTTACCCACAGAGAAACCACGGGTACTGGTGTAACACTTACTAGAGAGGACTTTTAGCTTCCAGGTCGAGAAGTCGCATTTGCCTCGAAGTCTTGAGGTAGAATCGCTGCACGACGTACAATGTCGCAAATAAAAAGGGAAATCCAATGGCGAGATATGGGGCGGCCGTTGCAATGACAATCATCATCCCAAAAGACTCTGTCAAAGTGAGGGCAACAGAGAAGAAAGCAAATAACAGCTCGCCGTCGATCAAAGTGAGATCTTGGGAGAAATGATTGGTAATGACGCCAACGTCCGTAGTCGTGAGATATCTTAGGGGAGCAGTGACGACAGTCTGCAAAGCTTCCTTGTGCAAGGCAGCTCCAGCCCACGTGGTCATGGAGATGAAGATCTCAATTGCGCTAAGAATCCACGAGATAAGAAACATGGACTGGAGCAGTGCATATATTCCAATGTAGAAGCCTCGCTCACGGCCGAAGGAATCTTGAGACCAATAGTTCAACCAGATGACACCAAAATTGGAGCTAAATCCATGGATCAGAGCCCAGAGAGCCAATGAGACTGTTGAGAATGGACGGACGCTTTTAAACCAATGTTTATACACGGCCCAGTCGCCCATTCCACGAGTTGAGCTGTCTGGAGATCCTTTGTCTGAGCTTGGTGACTCGGCGATGGAATCTTCCAGCAACTTTGGCTTTGGAACGCTTAGCTCTGAAGCACTTGTCTCTAACACCAATGACTCTTGGACCTCAGTGACGGTCGTCTTGATATCAAGTTTTTGAACGTACTCGTTACTTTCAACAAGTTGCTCGAAATGCCCTTGGTCAGCCTTGGCACCGTCGGCTCCAAGGACAATAACATGGTCCGCTGCAGGCAGATGGCCGACAGCATGGGTACAGAGCACTGCGGTAATGCCGTTTCTTCTAACGAAGCCGCCGGGTCCAAAGACACGCTGAAACAGCTTCGAAGCTGTGCTCGCATCCAGTCCGCTCATTACATCATCAAAGATGAGAGTCTTAGCCTCGGAGTAGAGCGCTCTGGCTATGGCCACACGTTGCTTCTGACCTCCACTCAAGGTGGAGCCACTGCTTCCCATCATTGTGTCGCTACCACGCTCAAGAGCGCGAATGTCAACGTCTAGGAGTGTCGCTGCAATGATTTCGTCATATTTCTTCTGGTTGAAGTCTGAACGACCAACGATGTTGTGCTTGAGAGTATCGTTGTAGAGAAAGGGCTCTTGTTGGCAGTAGCCGATGCTGCTGCCGCGGGGTAGAAAAACAGAGACTTTACCAGAATGAACGGGAATCTCGCCGAGCAGAACCTTGCACAACGTCGACTTGCCTGAAGCAATGGGACCGATGATAATGGTCAAAGCTTTTAGCGGAATTTCGCAGCTCATGTTGGTCAAAACTGATTTGTCGGGCGTCCATCCAAAAGTTCCATCTTCAACTTTGAAAGCCAAGCCGCTTTCCTTTTCTCCCTGTGAGCGGTCTGCACTCCCTGTTGCGCCAGCTTCAGACGCCCACGATCGAAAATCAACCCTTGGATCTGAAACGAGAAAGCTTCGAATGCGCCCAATGCAGGTAAAAGCCGCAATGACAATTGGAACATTGTTAAAAATGATTGTGAACGGGAGCGTGATGAGAACGATGTACGAGTAGGACGTGAAGATGGTTGACACATTTAATCTGGAGGTAGAAGTGACAGCGAAAGTGATCAGTGGGGAGAAAGCCGAAGGCACGGCGCCAAGCGTAATGGTGCAGATGATAAGCCAGCGAAACCGTAGACCAATACGGATCTCCTTTTCTCGAAGGCTTTGAATGATGGAGCCCATGACCTCGGCAAGACCTGAGATCTTATACGACTTCATCTTTGCAACTGTTGTGGCAGTCGCGCTAACACGCTGCTCAATCTGGCCCATCCAAGACCCCAGGCGTTTATCAATGGGTTTGCCTAATGCCGTCGTCAATACGCAGCATACGGCGATGACGGCAATGGGAGAGACGAATGAAACTCCAACTTGACGTTGCAGGAGAAAGCAACCAATGGCTACCTGCGAGGTAATTGCCCACATTTCATGGATAACTCGAAAGCCAGCTACGACACGATCAAGATCAGTGCTCATGAGGGTGATGGCTGTATCTGCCTTGCCAGCTGCTAAGCTAATCTCCGTAGTCTTTCGAAAGATAGCAGTGTGGAGAGTGGAACGAAGCATGTAGACAAATCTCTGGTTGTAATACTGGTACACTCCAGAGGAGATGGCAATGCCTGCATAGATGAGTATAGAAGCCGCAATGAGACCGTACCCATGGTTTTTGTCGCGCAGTTCTTCAGGGGTCCCCAAAAACTCCAACATGCCGTCAATGAAGAATGGCTGGCAGAGCTTCAGTGCGAGCAGAAGCAAGCGGGCTGGAATTGGATACAGAAAGGGCCCCAGTAGTGCCCAGCAGAGGTTCTTGAGAGGAATTGACTCTAGTATCTGTTGATCGGTCGCATCTTGTAACGGACGTGTGGATGTGAGCTTGTCGTGAAGTCGTCTTGCTTTCAAGGTTGCATCGAGGGGGTAAAGGTCGTCGGTAGCGATTGTTCCGCGGTATCCACGGAAGAGCAGCGAGTTGAGCCATGAGAAGACGCCGATACTGAAAATTCCGCTTGTGATTTCTGGGCTGCATTTGCGTTCCTGATTGTCCTTCAATTGCGACTTTGGGGTGGCCTCTAAGCAAAAGTTGACGGTTTTGATGGTGACGGCAACGGTAAAGACAATGGCAAGAGTTCTCTGGTGTGAGAGCCAGATTGTGCGGACTTGTACAATGTCGAAGAGCAGTGTGGAAAACAGAAAAGACTCCAAAAGAATAGAAGGCTTTAACGAGCGAGAATGTTCGAGGTAAGACAGCCCAATCGCAAGGATTGAAGCAAGCAATGTAATGGCGGCTGCCCCTAGCGAGAGAGAGTGGGCAGCAGTTTCGGGGTGCTTGGCTAGAACTACCAGGACTGCGATCTGAGTGGCGGAAAAGCCAGAAAGCAAGACCTGAATAGACGTTAGCAAGCCTCACTGGCAACCATTGCACTCAATTGACGTTATAACTCACCACTTTGACATTACGGAGGAGGATGTTGGCTGTTGTGTGTGGTTGTCGTGACAGGCTGACTAGCCGAAGCGCTGCAAGTATCACGAAGCAGGCGCTGGGCAGGATGGAGAGGATGATTTTCTCAAAGGCGACAGTAAAATCGAAGTTGCCTCTACAACCTTCGACGGCTGGCCCAAAGGCGTCGTCATTTGCGCACGCAGAGACACTCATCCCGTTGGGCGTGGACGATACTCTGCGCAGACAACACGAACGCGGAATCCAAGTTGGAGAGCAAAATCGTGAAAGGCTGAGTCCCAGGTAGGCAGCCTTGTTCTGCTGACTATGCAAATGGACTTACTTACTTCGTTTGCTCGACTTCACTTCACCGCCCTCGGATCCAAAGCCCCCTCTCATGGTCCAAGGCCAGCTTGGCAAGAAAGGGTTGTTGACTTGAGAAAATTTGACGTTAGCGTGCTTGTTCGGGCTTACAGCAGCCGGCCAACAGGTTCCGTCCAGAAAAGGACTGGAAGGCCCGCGGGCGTTTGGCGAACTTCCGTCGGGCTTTGGTCTTGGTCAGGTATAACACGGTACTGTAGGAAGGCCTGCCAGCAAAATCCACAGTAGACTCCAGCGGTCTGGAGGATCTAGGTACTAGGTAGCACGAGTACGGAGTAGTAGAGAAATTTTCCACGACCGTGCGCTTCAGGGCATGGAACGTTAATTTCCTCCATCCATTCGGCTCACGGTGGGCTCACAGTGCGCAGATGGATGGATTTAGTGGTCAGCCCGGGGGCTGATGGACGCCCTGCTGTCGTTGCTCCCGGGGCGGGTCAGTCCGCTCCTGCGCGGAGGCGTGGAGGAGATGACTGGTGCTGAGGCCATGGTGATAGATTGGCTCTGAGATAACCTTGAACCATAGTGCCCTTTCGGGAAGGGGGGGCTTGGGGACTTAGGGGACCGGCGTCAGGAGATCAGACGACCCGTCCCCCCACCTCATCCCCATACTGTATATGCTCACCCCTCAGGTGCAAGGGGTGCGGTTAGAAGCTCTTCCCTCGCTGATCCCCTTACTGATCCTCGCCTAGGTAATTATTCCGAAGACGTGCTCAGTTCATCCGTCTGTTGGCACCCTGTACTTGTACGCCATGGCCGGGACATCAGCGAAGTCCGGAGCATTCTGTGTTTGGTAGCAACTAAAGAAGCCAATTCGGCACCACGCCATGGGCCACGTCCTTCCAATCATACGAACATTTTGCGTAACTGCGTCCTGTGTTCTTTCTCAACCGTCTTGATAGTTGCACCAGGCTTGATCGATCCTCGTTTACACTATAGCTGTGTTTTGACGTCCATCTCCATCATGACGGTCCCCGATTCTGTTCGTCAGTCAGAGCTATACTGGCAGAATACTTTGACTGATTTCAATGCGGCAACATTCCCACATCTCAAGTTGCCTGATCAGAATCCCCAGGCCAATGACACAATCACCTACGAGATACCTGTACACTTGAAGAAGCCTCCTGTTGCTACCATACCAGTCTTGATGCGGGCGTCATGGGCATTGGTGATTGGTTGCATGACAAATTCGGACGACGTTGTTTTCGGCGTTACAGTATCTGAGCACAATGCTTCCATTGATGGCACGAATGATCTTGTCGATCAGACGACTGCTCTTGCTCCCGTGAGAATCAGCTGGAACCGTGCTTCCACTATCACAGACTATTTGAAAACCATTTATAAGCAAGGCTGGGAAATGGCTCCGTTTGAGTACATAGGGCTTGATAATATCGCCAACATATCGCCCGAAAGCCGCCAGGCTTCCGAGTTTCAAAGTCTTCTTATTATTCAAACCCGTGAAACTGGAAGGTCCCAACCGCCATTAGCAGGCTGGACGGGACAGTCGCTGCTATTGCACATCCTTCACGACGCCGAGTCAATCTCCATCACTGCCACCTTTGACGCCAATGTCGTCGAGCCCTGGGTAGTCGAAGGAGCTCTAAAACAATTCACGTCTCTTTTCGAACAACTCCAACAGTCTAGTCCTGCTACCACCTTAGCTGACCTTGAACTGGTAACATACGACAACCTGGAAACAATTTGGAGCTGGAATGGCAACCGCCCTCCATCTGTGGATCTTTGCATCCACACCGTCATCGAGCAAAATGCTCGTGAGCAGCCAGATGCAATCTCCGTGCAGGCATGGGACGGGCAGTTGACCTACAGCGAGTTGAACCATCTTTCTTCTATTCTTGCTTGCCGGTTGGTGGAGCTCGGTGTCGGGCCTAATAAATTGATACCTTTGTGCTTCGAAAAGTCCATGTGGACAATGATTGCATTACTTGGTGTCCTTAAAGCAGGCGGTGGATTCGTCCTTCTCGACCCTTCCCTCCCCCAAGAGCGGCTGCGCACTATAGCTCACCAGACAAAGTCTGACTTTATCCTCTCTTCCATATCTTCCCAATCTGTGAGTATGAAACTACTCAACAGAGTCATCATAATCAATCACGAATTCTTTGTCAACCTGTCTAGCGGGCCATTGTTCATACCTGCGCCGGACCCAGACTCCGTCATGTACGTCGTATTCACTTCCGGCAGCACAGGTACGCCTAAAGGAGCTATGATAAGCCATAGAAACTTCTCCTCAGCTATGACATATCAGCTGGAACACTACAAGGTCACTTCCCAGATGAGGATGTTTGACTTTTCCTCCTATAGTTTTGTTGCCTCAATTGCCAATTTATTTATTACCCTCACCGCAGGTGGCTGCATTTGTATCCCTAGCGAGTATGATAAGAGAAACAGGCTGGCCGAGAGTATTGCATCTTTGCGCGCCAATGTTATCCACCTTACACCATCAGCCTCGAGACTCATTACCCCAGACTTGGTTCCTGAAGTAGAGCTTGTCATATTCTCTGGCGAAGGCCTTCACACCGAAGATATAAAGGTCTGGTGGGGAAAAGTACGGGTGATGAATGTTCTGGGGCTCTCAGAATGCGCACCTAGAAGTGTACTCAATGTGATTGCGAAATCGCCAGAGGAGGCAACGCGAATTGGAAAAGGTATAGGGCAAGTGACATGGGTAGTTGACCCTGAAGATCACAATCGCCTGATGCCAGTTGGCGCTGTTGGAGAATTACTTTTAGAAGGCCCTCTTGTTGGGCTTGGCTACTTAAATGACGAGACGAGAACGGCACAGTCCTTCATTCACAATCCTCGGTGGCTGCTAGAAGGCTGCCCATCCAAGCCCTCTGGAAGACAGGGACGGTTGTACAAGACGGGTGATCTCGTACGATATCATCAGGACGGCAGCCTGTCTTATGTAGCGAGGAAGGACGCGCAAGTCAAAGTCCGTGGTCAACGCGTCGAGCTTGGAGAGGTAGAGTATCGAATCAAGGAAGCGCTTTCCGACGTCGAGAAAGTGGTGGTTGATGTGATCAGCCCTCGAGGAGAAAAAGCGAATCATTTTATCCTCACGGCATTTACTCAACCAAATGAATTGCCATCAATTCCAGCCACAAGTGACTTATTTAAGGCGACACTACTACCCGTTACACCAGATAACGAGGAACGTATGGCAAAAAATCTTCCCTCGTATATGATACCGGCACTGTTTTTCACAATGTCAAAACTACCCACCACCCCGACTGGGAAGATAGATAGAAGGAAGCTGCGAGAAATCGGCAGCTCCTTTTCCCTCCAGGACTTGGCGGATCTGAGAACTACAAGTGCATCTCCCAAGCGAATGCCGAGCCTTGACGAAGAGCAACAGGTTCAATCGCTTTGGAGTCAGGTGCTCCACCTCAAACTCTCAAGTATTGGCTTAGATGATACTTTTGTACAACTTGGAGGCGACTCTCTTGGGGCCATGAAAATTGTTAGCGAAGCCCGAAAAATTGGTCTGAGTTTATCTGTTGCAGATGTTTTGGGCTCTTCAACCCTAGAAGAGGTGGCAAAGACTGTGCAACAAGTATCATTCTATGGTGCGGTTGATATCTCTCCATTCCATCTTGTACCAGCAGACTCTCATCTACCACTGTTATTGGATGAGGTGCAAAAGCTGTACGGGATTCAAAAAGAAACCATCGTGGATATGTATCCATGCACGCCGCTTCAAGAAGGGCTTTTTTCACTTTCAGTAACGCAAGGTGACTACATCACCCAGCGCATTCTGAGACTAGCACCGGGACTTGATCTAGATCGGTTCCGTACGGCCTGGGAAACGGTATCTGGGGCGTTCGAAATCTTGCGCACGAGAATCGTTGCATCAAATCATGGCCGACTGCTTCAAGTAGTCATGAATCAGCCTGCCGCATTTGTCACAGCCACTGGGCTTGAAACTTATCTAAAAGCAGACAAAGCTCACCAAATGGCACTGGGCATGCCGCTTGTGCGCTATGCCCTCGTGAAGGACGAAATTGGGTTGTACAGCCATTTTGTATTGACAATCCACCATGCACTTTACGATGGGTGGTCTATGCGCCTAATACTTGATTCGGTTGACAAAGTCTATCGCGGTCAGGACTTGGACGCTCCTTCAAAATTTAACGGATTTATCGATTATGTAAATCGACAGAGTGCTGAGTTAGCCAAAGCATACTGGTTACGATTTTTAGACGGCTATAGCGGGACACCATTTCCTACGATCCCTCCGACGATACACCAACCTTCAATCGATTCAAGGCTCCGATGGGACATGTCGATACCAAATACCACAACGATGAAGGTTACTACATCTTCACTGATTCGTGCTGCATGGGCCTTGACTGTTGGACTTTGGATCGATGCCAATGATGTCGTATTTGGTGTTCCGCTGTCCGGACGGAATGCTCCAATCCCTGGCATTGAGAAAATGGCCGCCCCAACTATTGCTACTGTTCCAGTCAGAGTCCGGTGGGACAAACATTCCACGATTGTTGACTACCTAGAGATGGTACAGAAGCAGGCCATTGAAATGATTCCATTTGAGCAATCTGGGCTGAGCATGATCTCTAAGTCAGGGGATAGCTGCCAACGAGCTTGCGAGTTTCAGACTCTTTTACTTGTCCAACCAGACATTAGCCCCATAGAAGAGACGTTGGGCAAATGGGAATTAAAGGAATATCAAGAGCTCAATACTTATGCTCTCACGGTCGAGGTCAAACTTGGCGCACGCGGCATTACAGTGCATGCAGGATTTGATTCCAAGATACTGGAAGCTCAGCTTGTCCAAAATCTTGTTCCATCGTTTGAGTCTGTTTTGCAACAGCTGAGCATAGCAAGTCCGGATGAGAAAATTTTGAAAGTCGACATCATGACAGCTCAAGATGTAGAGAGGATATGGAGTTGGAACGGTCGTCTCCCGAATGCAATTGACCGCTGTGTTCACACTTTGATTGGAGATCAAGCCCGCGATGATCCGGCTTCGCCTGCCATTTATGCTTGGGACGCCACTTTGTCGTATGAGGAGCTGGATCGCCTCTCCACTAAGTTGGCGTGGCGGCTGCAGGACATTGGCTTAGCATTGGGCGACATCGTTCCGCTTTGCTTTGAGAAATCAGCGTGGATAATTGTATCGCTGCTTGCCGTAGTGAAGGCAGGAGGCACATTTGTTCTTCTTGATAATGCACTTCCTGAGCAGCGACTACAGGTCATTGTGCAGCAGGTCAATGCTCGTATTATCCTCTCATCCACAGATTGCCAAAGCCTGAGCTTGCGGCTCGCTAGTACCGTCATCCCGGTCTCAGCAAGTCTAGCCTCCGACCTGGAAAATCAGCCAGAGCGACAATTAAGTAGCCCAACGCCAGACTCAATTTTGTACGTCGCATTCACGTCTGGCAGCACTGGAGTACCTAAGGGAGCACAGGTCAGCCATAGAAATTTTGCCTCGGCCATACATCATCAGACAAAGAAATTTGCCTATAAGAAGAGCTGGCGGGTTTTCGACTTTGCTTCATATAGCTTCGACATGTCGATTTTTGCCATTCTCTATACGCTCGCTACTGGTGCTTGCCTTTGCATCCCTAATGACGAAGATCGAAAAAGTGACTTACCAAAGGCCATCAGCGACATGCAGGCAGATTCTATTATTCTTACCCCTTCGGTGCTGAGGACTTTACACCCGACAGAGGTATCTTGTCTCAAGTTAATCATGTCCATTGGTGAACCCTTGTGTAGAGATGATGTGACTCCATGGGCAATAGCGGGTGTGCAGCTTGTCAATGCGTATGGCCCAGCAGAATGTACTCCGGTGAGTACCATCAACACGGATGTAGCCGATGGCGAGGGAAATCCTCATGTTGGCCGCGGGTTGGGGCATGTCACTTGGGTCGCAGATGCCGAGGATCATAATCGCCTGGTTCCAGTTGGCAAAGTTGGTGAGCTCTTGCTAGAAGGGCCACTTGTTGGATGTGGGTATCTGGGAAACCCAGAGAAGACACAGGCTGTCTTCATCGAAGACCCGTCCTGGCTACTGAAGGGATCCATGAAACACGCCGGAAGACACGGCCGTTTGTACAAGACGGGTGATCTTGTCAGCTATAACGACGATGGCACATTAAATTACATCAGCCGAAAAGACAACCAAGTGAAAATTCGCGGCCAACGAGTTGAGCTCGGAGAAGTTGAACACCATGTTAAACAATGCATAGCTGATGCTGTCCAAGTTGTAGCAGAGGTTGTATCGAACGGCGACAGCAGTGCCAATCCAGTACTAGTGGCTTTTATTACGAAAACCAGCACAAACGAGGAGACCAATTCTTCCATTATCCAGACATCGCATGGTCTTGAGCCTGAGGTCGAGAAAGCTCTCACTGAGCTCTTGCCTTTATATATGATTCCGGTGGCAATTTTCCATCTGGAGGAAATGCCTATGACGGCCACTGAAAAGACCGATCGCAAGAAGCTCCGCATGATTGGATCGGAGCTCCTAGCAAGGCAGCGCGTGGAACGACAGGCAAGTTCTCCAAAACCCAAACAGCAACCGTCCTCCCCAGTGGAAGTCCAGATACGACGTATTTGGGCCCAAGTTCTGAATGTCAATGAATCGGATATTGGCGTAGACGATAGCTTTCTACAGCTTGGTGGTGATTCAATCACCGCGATGCAAGTCTCCTCGCTAGCGCGAGCTTCTTACATTAACATCAGCAGCGCTGACGTCCTGCGCGTCAAGACTATATCGAAGTTGGCAGCAAATTCAGCTGTCGCCCGTCCTCTTACAAATTATTCTGTCCAGGTGTCTGAGAATACAGGCAATAGTTTCCCATTAAGTCCTATGCAGAATTTCTATATGCATCTCCAACCGTCTCCAAATCTGCCTTATGATCAAAACTTCTTCCTTGGTTTCAAGACAAACTTGTCGCAGGACGTCATTGCGGCAGCAATTGAAGCCTTGGTTGAGCGGCATAGCATACTGCGTGCGCGATTTTTTCAAGACAATGAGGGATCATGGCAACAAAAAATTAGCCAAGATATCTCCGGGTCAATTTATATATGTGCCAAACAAGCGAACGAAGATTCTGTCGCCAGTATGATAGCTCAATGTCGCGACAGCCTTGACATTGTAAAAGGACCCTTAATTGCAGCCTGCATTATCAATGAAGATGAAACTCAGTCCCTGTTTCTCTCGATACATCACCTTGTGGTTGACCTGGTGTCTTGGAGGGTGCTGTTGCGCGATCTGGAGTCTATTTTGACCTCGAAAGACAGCTTTGCATCCGCATCGCTGGACTTTCAAACTTGGACAATACTTCAAGAGCAGTATGCTTCGATCGGCTTGGAAACGCAGTCATTTAGGCCCGGTAAACCTGATATGGGGCATCTAGAATATTGGGGAGTGGACTACCTCTCGAACAAGTCCGACAGCATTCTCACCAAAACATTTGCACTCAAAGTCCAAGCAACCTCAGCCATCCTGGGACACTGTAATGATGCATTCGGAACGCGGCCAGTGGAGCTCATGATAGCGGCAGTCATTCACTCATTCGTATCAAGATTTCCAGATCGTCACAGTCCGATGATTATGAATGAGGGCCATGGCCGTGAGCCATGGGACAATGCCGTGGATGTTTCTAACACTGTTGGCTGGTTCACCACTATGTCCCCCGTGCAGGTGCCTTCCGACGTCAATTCTAGCCTAGATGATGTGATACGACTCACAAAAGATCTGATGCGCAACCAACCACAGAACGGGTGGGCAAATTTCACCTCTCTCTGCAAAGACGGTGCTGGAGCCATGGAATTTGCTAAGCAATTCCCGGTGGAGATTTTGTTCAACTATGCAGGGATATACCAGCAACTCGAGAACGACGACGCTTTCTTTCAGAAACTTCAATTGCCCCAAGGCTGTGACCCTCTTGCACGTCTAGATGTTCAGAGATTCGCCTTATTCGATATTGGGGCACGAGTAGAGAAAGGGTCGCTCATTGTATCGGTCTCTTATAATAAATACGTGAACCATCAAAGTGAAATCTGCGAATGGGTCGACATCTTACAGGGCACACTGGCTAGAATGTCCAGCGAGCTGCCTACGGCTATACCTTGTTGGACCCTTACGGATTTTCCACTGGCTTTCCAAACATATGACGAGATTCAAGAACTTTCTCAGTATCGTCTGAACCGACTTGGTGTGAAATCAAGTGATGTAGAGGACATCTTTCCATGCTCCCCTCTTCAGAAAGGTGTCTTAGCAGCCTGCAAACGAGATCCACGCAACTATAGAGCTAAATTCGCCGTCGAAGTGAGAGCAGGGCTTGGAACAGGAATACTAGATATTTCAAAACTTGAGATGGCGTGGAGAGAGGTGGTCCGTAAACATGCACTCCTGCGATCTCTTTTGATCACCAAATTTGGCGAGCAAAAACAGGCATTCCACGTTGTGTTAAAGGATCCGATGCCCTCTGTTTGCCGCATACGAAAACAGGACTCGAATTCTCAGTGGACACTTCAGCATGAGATAAGTGAGGCTTACGGGCCTGACGGATTGCAGCACCATCTTACCATACACGAGATTGATGCAACGACAGCCCATTTGGAGTTGCACATTAGTCATGCTATCATGGATGGCTTCTCACTGCAATTGCTTTGGAAGAATCTTCAGGAAGCCTATAATGATTCTCAGAGCTCGACAGGATCTTACAGGAGTTTTGTCGAATATCTTGAATCGCAGTCTAAGGATGCTTCTATTGACTTCTGGTCTCGACGTCTTGAAAATGCTGCACCCTGTATCTTACCGGCTGCAGTAGTCGACCAAACTTCATCAGCTTTTGAAAACATTCAAGTTCCCATTGAATCGAATGAGCTTATAAAGGAATTTTGCAGCGTTTCGGAAATTACAACTGCGACATTGATCCGTGTTGCGTGGGCCATGGTTCTAAGACTGTATACCGGAAGTCAATCGCCATGCTTTGGCAATATTAGTTCTGGAAGAGACACTGCCATTCCACGAGTGGATAGGATCTTCGGCCCTCTCATCAGTATGGAACCATGCCTTATCTCTTTTGAAAACTCATTGTCGATGCTCGAGGTCTTGAAGGCGGCTCAGCAAGACTATCTTGACAGCTTGCCATACCAACATCTTCCTCTGAGGGAGATTCACCACATGCTGGGTCTCAAAAAGAAGGCGCTTTTCAACAGCATTGTAAGTTTTCAGAGATTATGGGGTTGGGAAGCTCAGGACGGCTTGTCGGTGAACCATCTCGACGCCTTTGATCCAAACGAGGTATGGCACCCAATTAGACTGTGCGAGCATATATGACTAACAAACATGTTTCAGTATGACATAACCGTGCGCGTAAGTGATGGAAATGCCGGGACTCTGGTGAAGTTAACTTTCCGGCCAAATTTCCTCAGCTCAGATGAGAAGCGCGAGGCAGCTCGCGTTTTTGGGAAGGCGATCAGCGCAATTGTTACTGATCCTTTGCGCAAGGTTGAGGACATTCAGCTTTGAACGTTCATGCTGTTGCTATTCGAACGTTTTTTATTATCTACTTTTAAGTTGAAGACTTGTTTCCTCTTGAAAATATCACTGGGTAATCACAATGAGAGCATTCGCTTAGGCACTACGTAGTAGGCACTTTCAGTACTGCTCGCTGTACGAGCAAGTGTCTGCCTTATCCTTCCGAGGCTACCTGGTGCACACCAAATTAATCACATGCATCTGTCGTTACATACTTCTGTCAGCTGTGGATCTCTTGACCCCCTGTAACCAATGCTTCAGTTCGGAGTACGGAGTACGGAGTAGTGAGTGTTGTACACGTAAACGGGCTGAGATGGATCATCCCATGGATACCTTATAACACCCCGGTTGCTCGACATGCACACCCCCCCCCCCCCCCCAGACCCCTACAGCAGACCCTCTAGCGCGTTTTAACGGATGAATGCATTCCTGCTTACACTGCTCCAGTATTTATTCCATCGTGTCATCCGTAGGGTGCATTTAATCGTTTGACCCAGAACGTAAAGCACATCTCCAATGCTACTCATAGGAAACAAACCAGACCTTCTTCATCGCCATCATGAATGCTAATGTCCCCTTCTCCGTTACGGTCCACCCTTACCGTCCCGGCTACGCAGCCTACGAGACAGGCTCAATTGGGCGCAAGAACGCCATTGTCTTCATCGGAGGTCTAGGAGACGGGCCACATTCTGTGCAGTATCTTCGGACTGTTGCAAAATATCTCGAAGGCGCAGAAAGTCTGAGCTATTCCCTCTTTGAGTTTCGCTTAAGAAGCTCTTTTTCGGGATTTGGCACTGCATCGCTCGCTGACGATGTCGCCGACATCTCCACGCTTGTCAAATATTTGAGATCGGTTGGTAAAGAAAAAATCGTGCTTTTTGGTCACTCTACAGGTTGTCAGGTATGATTCGCATTTGTTCTCTCCTTTCTTTAATGAGCATGTTGGAAGTGAGGGTTAACGGTAATATAGGACTGTGCGGAATACACAAACTACGCCAAGCATGGCAGCAGCCCAGTCGACGGCTTCATTCTGCAAGCACCAATCTCTGATCGTGAAGCATTTAAGCTGGAATTTCCAGATACAGATAAGAGCGTACAAGTTGCGGAGCAGATGATTGCAGAGGGTAAAGCAGACCACATTGCACCAAAAGAGGTCATCCCACCATCGCTAGGGCTTGCCGTCTCAGCGTACAGATTAAGATCATTATTGGCAAAGGGGTGTGTAGCTGCAATCATATCAACCCACAAAATATTACACCTGTTTACTAACAACTTTCGGTTAAGCGGAGATGAGGATTACTTTTCGTCTGATCTTGATAATGCTACGGTAAAGAAAATCTGGAGCCGCTTCGACAAACCCGTGCTGGTTCTGCATTCTGCGAAAGACGAGAATGTACCACGTCATGTTGATCAAAAAAGATTAAACAAGCTTTACCAAGAGGCGGGAGCTCAAGTTAGTCCTTTGTCAGATTTGATACCGAATACTGGCCATACCGTTCGACGGGACTCTGCTCGCGAATGGCTAGGAGAGAGAATTGTTGAGTTCTTGAAGACATTGGCTTGAAAAAGGAAAAGAGAAACTTATAAAGAATTACTATGGTTGTAAAAAGTTGCTTAGTATTATAAGTTGGAAGCATATTTGAATAGGTGTGGCGAACCGTGAGCCAAAGGATAGTATGTGCTCATTGCTAATGAACAATTGTCATTCCTGGTGATATGGTCTGGAAAAAGAAAGTTTTGTATATTTAAATGGCACTGACAAATCTCCCAACATGGTCCGGCACCAGGATACCAGAATATTCCAAGTCAATGATATGCAGAAACGCAGTAACCGGTCTGTGTTGCTGCAGGGTATCCCTGACCGATCTGTCTGTGGATCTCGTAGATTGTATAGATATAATAGGTCCTGCCCCCGACGTTTTGATAGATAACTAAGATCTTTTATTAATACAATATTACACCTAACTACAGACGTTTACAGTCTGGGGTATCTGTGTCTCGGTCTCTTTCATCGGCAAACTCTTTTCATCGTGCATGTTTCAATCTCTAGCCGGTAACACAATCTTTCATTGTCCATGAGTTTCCGATTTCCAAATCATGTGTAGTGATTTACTCAACAAGATGGCTCCCGCTGCTGTCCATCGGTACCGCTCCTGTGTGAGTTCACCCAGCCAACATCAACAAGACCATGTCTCCTAGGGCATTTCAAAGCGGTAGCTATGTTTCACGAACTCGGTCATTGCATTCGTGATCTCCTGTCTGAAACATATTGAAGACTTTGTGAATATCAGAGAATGAGAGCGTCCGCTCATAATGTAATTGTGTGGCGACGGTAATACACATGAGAACAACGAAGTAAGTCAAGCTGTCGCCAATTTTCTAGATCTTTGACCAGGTTCTCATTGTGGTCGTAAATGATAACCAGTACATTTTTCGTAGTATACAGTAGCAGATAACAATGCCTGACCCAGCACTCATTCCAGTTACCCTGATTGCAAACGTGATTGGTACCACAAGAAGCAGAAAGAGAACATTTCGAAGAACGCTACTCTCACACGTCTACAGAGCTAGATGCAGGTGACTATCTTTACCCTACATACCTCGAGTTGTACTTTAGCAATAGAATGAGATCATACGTTCTGTTACATATATTATAACATAGACCATGATTGTTAGCACGCAAAAGGTCAAACAAATATATTTCTTAAGTTCCAGAAATTGTTATATTCTACCGTTGGCAGCTCACTCTTCGTGTAGAATCTTTAATATTGACCAAACCTGTTCAAAACTATATCCTCTAGCTATCAATAAGATGTACATCTTTCATTCAACGCCATGTATCGAATAGATCACATTTTAGCTTGATTTTGATTCGGCTTCCTTCCTCTCGCGAATGGTATTAAGAATAACAATTCTTGCTAGAAACGTAGGCATAAAATCCATCATAGCCTGTTGCAGCGCATGCGCCCAGTGGCCAGTTATAACCCCGTGCCCGCGACCGGCGCGGTCTAGCGCCGCTCGAGCCATTGTGTTAGCCGATGGCGTGAAGAATGACGGAGACTGTCTATTATGCGATACACCAGTGACGTTACCAACGCGGACCCCCAAGCACTCAATGTCTGTTTTGCCCGAGAACGCAATTTCTAGGTCTATAGTACGCGTTAAAGTCATTAAAAATTGTTTGCTTGCGCTGTAAGAGGCAAGCAAGGGAAGCCCGGCGTCAGCCAGGGAGCTGATGTTCATGATCAGGGCAGGCGAATTTTGCGCCAGATGCGGAAGAAGAACACGAATCAGATGCAGAGGAAACAATGCATTGACGGTGACGTTATCAGTAATGCGCTCCTCAGAACTGTCGCTCAGCGAGAGATAGACGGGATCCCTGGCGCCGCCACCCGCATTGTTGATCAGGACTGTGAGGTGCAAGTCTTGAAGCGCGTCTTTGATAGCATTGAAGTCTAGCGGGTGTTGCGACTCGTTCTCTCCGCCCTGCAGACAATTCACGCACTGCACTTTGCTGGCGTCTGCGACAAGAGTTCGAAAAGAAGTCTCCGGGTGTTTCTTTTGCAGCTCAGCCTTTACCACGTCAAGCTTTGTCTGGTTGCGGCCATGGAGAACCACATTGAAGCCCCGTAACGCGAGCTCTTCTGCAAAAGATCGGCCAATGCCATCTGATGCGCCAGTTACCAAGGCCCACGGATGCTTGCCATCGGATGAAAAATGTGCATATCGCTTCAACTTTGAGGGAAGGATGTAGACCTTGACGGCGGAGAGGACATTGATAGCGAGGGCAGCAACCGTAACTGCGCCGATGGACGCAAAGATGCGGGAAGAGTACATCTTGGGCAATGAAGTAATATAAATGACTGAGCAGCTTAAACGAAACGCAGGATTCTGGGCATAGATAGGTAGAATGTATATATGCCCAGAACCAAGGCTATGCGATTTTGGAAACTGGATCGTAGAGATCAATTTCCTCTACGTCTGTCACTTCGTCAGAGAAGACGGAAAACAAAGGGCGGGGTGAGCGGAAAACATACCATGTAGGTAGTCTGTTAGATCTTAGTCCTCTCATCTCGCAATCATGTAGCTACTATGGAACCGTAGGTAATTACTAAGCGCCGGCTATAAATGCCGGTTCGTTATCCGTACATCCGCCTTCAATGACCAAAATCAAAAAACTGCGCCGACCATGTCATCGAGTCTACTATTTCCGCCGGCCAGTAGCAATTTGTTGGTACCAGGCCGCCCGGCATGGGTAAATGTTGCCCGTAATCGCTGGTATAAGGTAAAGTCGACACTGTATTTGGATGAGATATATGGCTCTGAAATCCTGGAGAGTTGTCAAATGATTTCTCAGCCTCTTGAATACTTCTCGGAGTGCCATTGCTGGCGTCTTCTGCAAAAGATTTAGCACTTCAAATATATCGACATTATCCGGTGCTATACTCACTAAACCTCACCCCGCAGTCTTTCAAAGCTTTCATCATATCTCGCGCGATTCTCGCTCCTGGTGACTTTATACTGAGGGCATCGAAAACTTTGAGACATGTTTCTGCGTCGTCAGACAGCCCGGCAGTATCAAACTCGGACGACAATTCAAGCGTTGCTTCGGCAAACATGCTAGATACTAGCAAGATAGAGCTAGCGCATACTAAGCATGATATCATCTGCCACCATGGGAATCCATGAACCAGTTCCTCTTTGCTGGAGATCCCATGTAGCAACCGTGCAGTCTCCCGTGCTTCCGAAATGCATGCTTTCTCGTACGAGCGTATCAGCGGCCAATCTAGCTGGCTAATGGTGGCAGTTGGATCGGCCAGGTGCATCAGAAGCGGGTGACACAAATACGGGCGGTAGATGAGAGCCCTGAGATGGTGATACTTTATGGCCAGCATGTTTCGCTATCAAAGATTAGAAATTGAGACTGCGAGAGTGTCTGGTGTTCTATCATAGAGGTAAATGAACTTGCCTGTCTCTTGAAAGTTTGTAGTTGCTCAAATGTATGACCTAGATCAAAACGAAGAGCTCTCGGGAGGGCTAATTTCCATTCCACAAGTTGTCGATCGAGGTCTTTCGTAGTGAGCAAATCTTCCGAGGCGAAATGGCTTCTCCTAGGACGATATAGGCTGCGGAGAACTCGCCCGACAATTCCCGAGAAGGCAATTACTTCGAGGAAATAGTCTCCTGACGATGCATCACTGTTGTCTCCCTCTTCGATGAGTTCGCCTGCCCAATCAATCTCGGTGTCACTGGCTCTTGTGGGTAATGGGACGTTGAAATCATCATCATGGATCGCTGGGGGGCGACCAAGCTGTAATGAAAGAAGTCGATCTAATACATAGATGGAATACCACACGCGGCGCCGTTTTTCGGTCTCTGGGGAATGACCGGGTTTTATATGGTCTACTTCCTCGTTTTTCATGTGCAGCCCAATGCTTTGAGCTACACGAACTGCTTGGCCAAGTACTGTCCAACAACTATGACTGTTAATACATCTTTGTGTTATCTGACGAACGCATTGAACCTACCTTTCTGTCTTGCACACAACCAGGAGGTAGAAGCATCTCGCCAAAAGAAGTACGACGTGACCGAGTGATCGTTCCATGTTGGAAGTTGGCGCTAGAGTTAAAGCGTATGAGTAAAGTTTCTCGTGCAGCATACCTACGGTTTCGTCCTTGCCAGGCAAGGCTTTATAATAAGCCCCAATAGCGCAAATTGTATCTGCAAGGTTAGAATAAGAGCAAGAAAGATTTGTGGACACATAACTAACATGATAGCGCTGTCTCGAAGATACTCTTGCAGCTCTGAGCCTGGGGAGTGTCATGACTTTCTAGCGCCTTATAATTTTGTATGAAAGGCGACTCGGGAATAAAAGGGTAAGCAATATGGATGGTGGTAAAAAAAGCATTGATATAATGCTTAGCTTCCTCAAAGACAGGTAGTAGGATGATGGGACAAGAGGGCCTATTAGACGGTAATAAGCTCTCGCCTTGATCGTAGCTCTCAAAATCATTTTGTGTCATCGCGGTCCCATCTTGGGTTTGCAGAATTTTTTTCACGAGATTAACAAAGCGAATATCGCTAACCTCGCCCAAGTAGCCTGGAGACCGATCACTATGGCTGGAAGGTGATCTGCTACGAGACTCGCTAGCCACTGCCTGCGGTAAGACTTCAGCCTTGGTGCTAGAGATGGCGTTGACAAGCTGCGATTTGACACTTGCGTTCTTCAGAAGGACCGCTTCTTGTTCCGGACCAGATGGTAGGAGAGAATAACATGATCCAGCAATCTCTCTTGTAGTTGTATTGCATCACATAAGTCCGGTAGCCTCTCGGAAATGCTATGGTTGAAGCGGTCGTCTGTTCCAGTCCGCAATCGAGGGCGCTGCAAGCGGTAAACGCAGGTATACCCGTAGCCCTGACATCTACTGCATGCCGGCCGTTGTCCGTCACACTATAAAAACATTAACAGCCATGGAAGTTAGGCCGCTGCACCGTGACTGTTTACCTTTGATTTCATGGACCTGCATTTCTGACAGGCTTTGGCAACCCGCTTCCGCTTGTGTTCGATATCCATGCCTCACGGTTTCGTCGCTTTCCCTTCAACGCAGTATCCTTGGGAGGGGTAGGGGTTTCCCCTCTGCTGATCGGAAATGTCGGAATAAAAAAATTCGGGCATAGGCCTGAACAACGCTCCCAACAGGCGTGCTATATTTCACAAATCTTCATCAATGAATTGCGAGCAGAAGTTTATAACGGATATGTATGTTGCAATTTTTAAATCGCTTGATGTCCAGCCACAATGGTCATGTGCTTCCGACCAATATAAATGGATTCGCTTGAGCAGACTTGTCCCAAGCGGAAATACCGGCAAAAGCCATCGCATGTGAACACTATTAGGGGAAGGCTGGCGTCAAAGCGTAGCTAGATCATTCGGTCCTTAACGTCATCGCCACACCACCGCCTGGAGCGCAAATTCAAGAAAATGCTATGTAAAATATACCAGGTTCCATTGGTAACTTTATTCGCATGGTAGAATAATTGCAATGCTACTATAAGTAATGGGATGACATGAAGTCAGAATGTTGCACAGGCTACGGGATACTACACTGGCGAAATGACGCATGCATTAAGAAAATCTGTACGAGCAAATACAGTCTATGAGTCTTTACCAGGTAGGAGTAGTTAAGCAGAATCAGCTGCTCATGATTCAAAAGACGGCATTACGTACTACCTCCAATTCGAAGTTCAATTTTCTCCATTAACCGAAAAGTTCGCAAATACCCTGACTGCCTTCTCAATCGACAATAGCGACTACGACTGAAATGAAATATTAAAGTCATGGCGAAGCTGAGGGTCTTCTGGGGGATGTACAGAACGGAGAGAGCAGTAAAGATAACTAAATACCGTCGACGCTCAGCGCCCTTTCTTATTAGCTAAAGGGTGAACCTGGAATGAGAGGGACTTTAATTGTTTCCCTAGAAGAAGTACCATCTGCGCCGCCATATTACGCGCTGAGCTTAAGCTTCGCCTCGAGGGTATACATTGCTGACCACCCCACCAAACACCTCCACTCAGGCATCCTAACTGCGATCAACAAAATACATACATGACAGCCATGCCCCTGATATTACAGATGACACAATTGCTAAATAAATCGTTCAAGAGATAGGTGATGGTGTCATAATGATACCAAGATCCCCATTTTTGTTGCATATGGAATTGAAATTGAGTTATGACATCTTCATTAGCTACTCTTATCAGGCGGTCAAAGTAGCGTTCTTGTCGATTCATCTAAGAAGCTGAGGCCTAACCTGTATATCCGGTATAGCCGACAACTATGTCACAAATGCACAACAGAGGTCACAGGTAAAACTTCACAGCTTATTTAGAAAAGGGTAGAGTTCGTTCTCAATCACCTACGAAATCAATTATTACAACAAATCACAAAATCTCGGTTTTGCGTTACTGCAGATATCATCGCCTTGAACATTTCAGCCACTTTAACCTGCCACTGCAACGATGAAGTTAGCACTACAAATAGACGACGAAGACGGTCCGTCTTCTTTCCGTCCTGGCGATCCGCTGCGAGGAATATTAGAGATACGGGGATGTTCTTTTAAAAGTCTCTTCAGGATCAAAGCAAGATTTTTTGCTGAGTAATGTAGTGCAGACTGAAGATTTAAGAGTCTCGGCTCAGAATCATAACCCTCACAGGTAGATTGACCGTCAAAGTCTATCCTGATGTCAACACCTATTGTACCAATGAGTATAATCATATAGTGGGTGCATCATCAAACTACCCTCTATGCTGCTAACTCATCATTTAGCTGTTTGAACAATCCGAGGACCTCAAAATCTTACAATCAACTTCTGTCAATGATGATGTCGGCAACTGCGTCTTTCTGTGCCCTATAGAATTCACGTTTCCGCTTACCCTTAATTGTGCGTGCGAGAACTCCTGCCAGCTACCGTCATCTGTATCGGCCAATGATGGGAAACTCCAGATAAAATCGACCTATTGGTTATCTGCTACAGTGGAGCGACGTATCGTCGGGAAACTAACCCGAACTAATAGAGTCAGGCAGGAACTTCCTTTCAGCTGTAACCCTGTTGTCAATAATTTCGCAGCATCCTGTATTGTTGCACTTTCCGTCGACAAGCTAAGTCAAAACTTCGAAAGTGCCTCCCGAGAGCTTGTTGGGTTTGGCCGTGCTGATTATCCGCCTATATACTCTCCGTCCTTGCAGATGGAGGTAATTCTGCCAGAGCCACCAGTTCTAACTCGTGGACGGGGGACGCCGGTGAGATTGGTGCTCCATACCCCGCAAGAGTTAATGCAAGGGGCTCATATCTACGTCCGGAGTGTAGAGATACAAATGCAGGCGGCGATATCTGCTCTGTTACGATATACATGGAAAAGCATGGCAGATACGCGACTTGGCAATAATATAAAAGGGGCCGTGCCGATTAACTCGGAGCACTTTGAGCTGGACCTAGGAGCCTGGGGAATATTTGTTGTCATTCAGTCGCGACCGTCATCTAATTCCTGCTTGCTAAAAGTTGGCTATGCCATCGAAGTTATAGTTGGCATATCTAATGGCGTGGAAGGCTCGATACAGGTACGTTCAAATGAAGAGCGCAGTGGTTAATGATTCTAACAACGTATGGTGTTGAATAGTACTTAAAGGCGTCCTTGGACGTCCTTGTGATGGATCCTCCTCCAATATATCGAGCCGAGGCGCACAATATAGCATGAAATAAGCGATTCAATCGAGCGTTGCGTTGTCTATCAATATCATGCATACAAACTTGTCGGGTGAATTGGTGAGCCCAGTAAGCATTGTGGTTCGAATGTGCAGTATTCCAACAAAGGGAAAGCTGGTTTTAGAGGACCTGATGTTAGGTTATACATTCCAATAGCCCTCGTTGAGCCATTAGAACTTTCTTGAGTATTTGGTGCCTAGTGTGGTCCATCTTCGACGATATGTTCGTAAGTAGTCTGCGATTGGAAGCTGTCTCCGATATAACGATGTGTCCGCCTATGAATACTGTAAAACCAAGGTAGAAAACTTATTAAACGACAACAAAAGGCATTGTAAATGAAGAGGCAGGTATAATGGTGGATAACGCCAGGATAGGGCAGCAACTGCTGATTAAACAGCAGGATTGAGTCAGTCCCCCATAGGCGCACGGGGCCGTATAACTGCACGGGACCCTTAGTCAGCAAAAGCCCGCTGTAATGACCGCTGTAATGACCGCTGTAATAACCGCTGTTATAGCGCGGGAGCAATCTAGTCCGGAACGACCGTAGGGAGTGAAGGTGTTGCTAGATTGTCGACCAGAGCGGTCTCTCAACTAGAATCCTTATCTGCAGCGGTGAGTTTTAGACCTAATAATATCCACGGATGTGTATAATGCTATCTATCCTTATCTACAGCGTATATCTCTGTTATTATAGCAGTTGTTGCTAACTACATAGAAGGATCTTATACACCTATAAGGCCCTAATAGATAGGGGCAGCTAGAAGAAAATTACAGCGGTTGTTATAGCGGGCTTTTGCTGACTAAGGGTCCCGTACGCCTACCGGGCGCCGATTGAGTCTAGTTGCGCCGCCGCCGTTTAAAGGAGATCTAGTAGATAGATTTCTACTACAGCGGATCCTGCGCCAGTTGGGAAACCTGCCTTGGGAAGTAGGTTTGATGACCCGTAGAGGAGCGGTTTGCTGCTTCTTAAGTCTACGATTCTCAAAGCCATCTTGTCTGGCTTTTGGACTAGGGAGCAGTCATCATTACTTCGTTTCAGCTGACCCAGTGAGTTTTTAGGCTGACCTCCTTGATAAACTCATCAAAGGTGCAAATGCCTGACCCCTGGTGCAGGAGCAGCTTCCTCGCGTACCACTCCAGCGGGGGATCTATTGGGGATACGTACACCTGTCTTTATCAGCTTCATGTCCCTCATATGATCGAAAAGCTGACTTACATCCAGCCACGATTGTTCTAGAGATTTTATACCTCCGCCATTTTAATACCCAAAGCTATAATAATATTGAAGATTGTGCGCTTCTGCTAGTAGAGTCACCTCAAATAGTAGTGCAACAACCTAGGGGTCCAGAGGCAAATATAACAATCAAAATAGCTAAAGCTAGGGCTAATTAAGCTAGCCAGGTTGCAATCGCCCCGCGTTTCAACCCGCCTTTGCAATGGAGCCAACAAATGCAACCATTCATAGTCAGTCATCCCATACGGAGTAGATTAGCGCAATGTTACATTACCTGTACATAAATGGCACTTGGCCCAGCTAGGCTGTTGCTACATTGCCTGAGCTGATAAGGACACGAGGTGGCAGGGTAGCAATCTCAAGAGGAACGTAAGAAAAGAAAAGACAAGGGTGACCGCAATACCAGTGTATAAAGGTCACGAGCTTCCCCGGGGCGCGTCGATCTTGTGAAAAGCTTGAATCCGCTGTGGGACACCCCGCAACATTTGGCAATTCCTCAAGCTCACCCATTTGTTGACTCTGGCAGTGTAGCACACAGTCTACTCAACAAACCACATCACCATGTCCGCCGAAGAGAAGACCACGGTGGCGACCGACGTCGCAAATCCCAGTCGCGAGCATGAAGTTGTCCACGGCGACGAGAGCAATGTCGACGTGCCTCTAGATTTGCCCGCAGGATGGAAGTACAGGCAGATTAGCATTTTCGGCTACAAGATGCCTTGGTACGCGTCGCCCCGTGTCCAGCTCCTCATGGTTGCTTTTGTCTGCTTCATGTGTCCTGGCATGTTCAACGCGCTTGGTGGTTTGGGAGGTGGTGGTCGTGCCAGCGCGACCTTGGCTGACAATATGGTGAGTCACGCGAACAACCCCCCCCCGTGCTCCATCTCGCGTTCTTACTGACACTGCTCTTATTAGAACACCGCCCTCTACAGCGCATTTGCTGTCTTCGGATTCTTTGGTGGCACCATCGTTAACAAACTCGGTGTTAAATGGACACTCGCTTTCGGCGGCATCGGCTATGGTATCTACGCCATCAGCCTGCTGGTTTCCCTCCATAAGACCGAACAGGGTTTCAGCATTTTCGCTGGTACCTTCCTCGGTATCTGTGCCGGTCTTCTATGGACTGCTCAGGGCACCATCATGATCTCCTACCCAACCGAGCAAGAGAAGGGCCGATACTTTGCCTGGTTCTGGGCTATCTTCAACATGGGCGCTGTCGTGGGCAGTCTCGTAAGTAACCAGCCGGATGGTCAGTCGGATCTAATGTGAAGGTGACTCTAATGGACATTCTACAGATTCCTCTCGGCCAGAACATCCATCTTAGCCCGACGGCGCATGCTGTCAACGACGGCACCTATATCGGATTTATTGTCCTCATGTTCTTCGGCGCTTTCCTGGCAACCTTGCTTGTCAATGCTGGCGACATCATCCGACCGGACGGCAGTAAAGTCATTCTGATGAAGCACCCCAGCTGGGTGTCTGAGTTTGTCGGCCTCTGGGAGACTTTGCGATGGGAGCCTCTCATCCTCCTGCTATTCCCCATGTTCTTCGTCTCCAACTGGTTCTACGTCTACCAGCAGAATGCCGTCAACGGTGCCGTCTTCAACGTCCGAACCAGAGCTCTCAACAGTCTCTTGTATTGGCTTGCACAGATCTTCGCTGCCGGTATCTGGGGATATCTTCTTGACGTCCAGGGAGTTCGTCGTTCTGTTCGTGCCAAGCTCACATGGGTCGTTCTTGTCGTCCTCACCTTCGCCATCTGGGGTGGTGGATACGCCTTTGAGAAGACGTATACCCGCGAGACCGTCAATCCTGAAGCTCCCGTCAACTACGTCGGCAAGGATTGGAGCGACTCTGGCTACGTCGGTATTATGTTCTTGTACATCTTCTATGGATTCTTTGACGCTGCTTGGCAGGCTAGTGTTTACTGGTAGGGATCTTCCGCCCTCCCCGACTTCCTTTTTTTTTTTTTTTTACTGATCGCTAACACGTTCCTACAATAGGATTATGGGCGCTCTATCCAACTCCGGTCGTCGCTCTGCCAACTACGTTGGATTTTACAAGGGCATTCAGTCCGTTGGTGCCGCTGTAGTCAATAATCTCGATGCTCGCAAGCTGTCTTTCAAGACTGAGTTCATCACCAACTGGTCCCTCCTCGCTGCCGCTCTCGTCTTTGCTGCCCCTGTTATTTTCTTCAAGATCAAGGATCATATTTCCGTCGAGGAGGATCTTCAAGGCACTGACGAGACGATTGCTGATGTTCTCCCTTCCGGACATCCTGAGAAGCATATCGATGCATAAACGTGCCCATAGACGGCTGCCAACGCGTCACACCAACTTTCCGCTTTTGTAATGTTAGGATTGCACGTCAATTCGAAAGTTAGCCATCATCTGGATAGGTTCTTAATCTTTGATCAGACCATTGTGGGAGCATTACAGAGATATTTAAGGATTTAGTTATAATATATTTAAATAATTTTGCTTTACTTAAATTATTTTATTATACTTAAGTTATTTTACTTTACTTAAACTACTTTACTATACTTAAACTATTCTACTCTACTTAAACCATTCTGCTATGCTTAAACTATTCTACTGTACTTGAACTGTTCTGCTATACTTGAACTGTTCTGCTGTGCTTGAACTATTCTACTGTGCTTGAACTGTTCTGCTGTGCTTGAACTGTTCTACTGTACTTGAACTATTCTGCTGTATTATTCTCAATACAACAAAACAAAGTCAACAGGTTATTGGACCACAGTAAAACCAAAGCCGAAATACTTTTCATTGTCTTAGCTTCTTTCCTTCAGACGTAAAATACATCTCTTTCCTTTTGGCACCAAGGCAAAATGATCAGTCATTTCCATATCATCATCGATCGTGACGCTACCTATTTCAACACTGAACTTCCCTATCAGTGCAGCCGTTCCTACCTTCAGTTCCATATATGCCATGGGCTTCCCCAAACATGCTCTCTGTCCTTTGCCCCAAACGAGAATGTATTCGTGCATCACATTGAGATGATCTTCAGACGCAGAAAGCCATCTGCCAGGATCAAACTTTCTGGGTTGGGATATACTGTTGGGTCTCTCTGAGTTGTATAATCCTGGCAAGATGCAATTCCCTGTAATAAATAGTGAGCAGCTAATTGGTAAGTGATCCATTACGCAGAGGCTTACATTCTGGGGGATAGCGATTCCATCCACCACTGCACCTCCTTCACTAGGTGCAAGTCGCTGTAGACTTGCCGGCGCCGCGGGATGAAATCTCAATGTCTCATGGATTACGGCGTCCAACACACGCAGGTTCATAACATGCTTATACTCTGGAACCTCTTCAAGTACTGCTTCGTCTAGTTCAGCCTGCAGCTGCTTTTGCCACTGCGGATGTTTCGCCAATTCGTAGAACATGTATGTAAACGTGTTGCTAGTAGTATCAGTTCCAGCAAAAAATAGATTCGTCGTCTCATTGACAATCTCGTTATCGTCTAGTGGGCCGTAGTCCTTGCTGCCGGCGATAAGCTTGGTGAGGAGGTCGATGCGATCCCCAGAACGGCCATGTCGCGCAATGTACTCATTGAACTTTTCAGTTCCATATTTCTGTGGTTGGGATTAGCTTTCGTCGAAATTTATAAGCTTCACACAACGATTACTCACATCATAGAATTCTGAGGCGATTCTCAGAAAATGCTGCATAGGCTTGTGTGGAATAGCGAGGAGGAGTGAACGAATGGCGGCAAATTGCCACTCGATCAAAAGAGAGGGAAACACCTCATCTAGATCATACAAAATCTTGGGCGGCGCTTCGTTATCAAGTCCACCAAAGCTCTGCCCAAAGAAGACAGATCCTATTGCGCGTAAGCAATTGTCTCTTTCATCTGAGAGTAGACACACTGACCAACAACATCGAGGGCGAATATTCGAAACTATTCCATCACATCAAGTGGCTGATTAGTTCTCTTTGACAAAACGTGTAGTAGCTTTTGAACTTGTTCTTTTACAAGCGGCTCTACAGCTGCAATTGATGCCGGTGCAAAGACATGTGCAATGCGCTTCTGCCTTGACCGATGCTCTGTCTTAATCCAGGATAGTAAAGGAGCTCTGCCGGCCAAAAGCTTCGTATACAGGGCCTTTCATAAACTTATTCCCGGATCCATAAAGGTCTTTCATCGCTTGCCGACTAGAAAAGGACACTTCCCTTGGACCGATTCTAACAACACTGCCATACTTCTGGTGGAGCTCGTGGATAGTTTTGGAACGGCGTCCTGACATGTCAATCCAGATAAGCCAGAAGCGCGACCACCTTGCTTTCATAGGGCCTGGAATATCTTTGAGCGGGTCTCGTATGATTGACTGCCACTGTTAGTTGAAAACTCTTCGTTACTCGCGTTCACATTGACTCGCAACTGACCGAGAAGAAGAAGAGGACCAAAGCGCTGGCAATAACAGACACTATAAAGCTTGGGTGCCTAATTGAAACCTTTTCAAGATTGTATAAATAATCTAGTAGGATCAAAGACATCATAGGCATGTTCATTTTTGATCTAAATTGTCTCCAATCTTGCAGTGTCGGTATGGTTGGAAGATGCAAGAAAGAGCAAATAATACAATCGATACTACTCATATAACTACTTCGCGATTCCCTCTACACTCTCAGTTCACTGCCAAATGCTATTCTGTAGCTTTGGGGCGTTCAGTATAGAGCTTACAGTTAGTCTTACCTCAGATGTTCCGCTGTTGTCCATAGTCTTCCGTGTTTTCCCGCCGTGGACCGATGGGTAGGCAGTAGGGCTCCCGAAGGCAATGCCGATGTCGACTGCCGTATCAATAAGCGAATGATGATGTAAATACGAATGCCAATGACTACGAGAGCCGCCAGTTGATGTCTCCAGAGATGGGGATAACAGTTCTGAGCATGGGGTATAAGAAGAAGGGTAGACTAAGCTCACTAGTCTCACTACCTGACGGTCTGGGGAACATAAGTCCCAGCTGATGCCATTGTTTATTCATCGCTTTGACCAACACTCAATCATATTACATTTTGTTCTCATATTTTCTTATTACAAAATGCCTGTCAATGTTCCCTGGACTCGCCTCATTCGCTTTGAATCCGAGGAAGATGTCAACATTTACTACGGCGAGCCGATAATTTCCACTAGTCAATTAGACTTTGGACGATTAGAAAAGTCGCAACCGCTGAAGGCCAAGAAGATTACTGGAAATCCCCTCGATTCATCCTGTATCATCACCGAGACAGTACTGACGGTTCGGCGACTCCTTGCGCCACTAGCAAGACAAGACATATCTGCCATTCGGTGTATAGGCGGAAACTATCGCACTCATTGTAAGTCACTGCATCCCAAAAGAAACAAACACGCCTACTTGACTAATCAATGTGAAGTGGATGAGCTTAGTATTCCACCTCCAGCATTTCCATGCATGTTTCCCAAGTTTCCAAACTCAATAGTTGGGCCTGGGGATAACATTGAGATTCCAAAAATTGCACAAGATGATCAGGCAGATTATGAGGGTGAACTTGTCATCGTTATAGGAAAGGACGCAAAGAACGTTTCAGTAGAAGATGCATACGATTACGTTGCCGGCTATACAGTAGGCAACGACATGTCTGCTCGAAAATGGCAAGGCAATTTTACGAGCAACTGCATTCCGCCCCCTCAAGCTGGATTCTCGAAAGCGTTTGACTCGTTTTGTCCGATCGGCCCATATATCACTGCAGCACATGTTAGTAACCCCAGGTAGTCATCGTACTCGAAGCTAATGAATCTCGTAGCTCGTGCCTAATCCTCAAGATCTCAGTCTCCGTACATGGGTAAACGGAGAGCTGCGACAGGATTCCAACACCTCTTACATGCTATTCAATGTCGCCCAGATTATTCAGTTTCTTAGTCAGGGCACAACCCTTTATGCAGGAGATGTGATTCTCACCGGAACACCGGGCGGTCCAGGCTTCACGATGCGACCACCGAAGTGGCTTCAGCACGGAGATAAGATTGAGATCAGAATTGGGAATCTAGGCACACTTGTAAACCCAGTAACATATGCTTAATCGTTTTGTTTCTCCTCAATATCTACTTGGAACTTCTAGTATCCGATGAACGATGTAGCTCTAGCTTCAGTTCGCCACTAATTTGACATTACTGTTTGCACTTATGCTTAATATTCTTCAAGTACATGTCTCCGAACATGCTGCATTATTCATCTATGGTACTTCAGCTCCAACCCAGATGTAATCTAAGAGCTCAGAAACCCACTGATAAGCTCGTTAATTATAGCCGGTCGCGTCACATGCAAAAAATGATCCGCGTCTGGAACTTCTACCAGCTTGGCTTGCTGCAGATTCTGCCGCAGGTACAAGGCTGTAGCAGCGGGAACTTCCTTTCCAAGAGATGACGAGAAGATAAATCTGATTGTCTCTTACCACCGGAGTGGCGTCTGTTCCTCCTAAAGTTGGGAATTTGGCTACCTCTTTGAGCTGGCCATTTTCCAGGACAAAAACGGCCGACTGAAGGTCTGTGACTGGATTTTCTCTCGTCCCTGTGATAAAATTCACAAGTACTAGGTATATTTGACCATGCTGTTGAACCACGGCTAGTTCACGACCGCCTGGTCCTGTAGTTAGCTTCTGATGAATATCAAAAGCCGTACCATTCCATCGATAGAGAACGCTATCCTCTGTCAACAGGGCAAAAGCAAGATAGGACTCATTTTTATCTTGAAAGAACGCAAATGCACGTCCATGCGCACCATCAAGGGTTTGAAAATGAACGAAAGAATTTCCGTCCCACCGCAAAATGATTGACGGCTCAACATGGTCGGCGTAAGCAAGGTAATCCTCTTCGCCAATGGCAAAGTGAAGATAATTATAGCCCCATTTTGACGGAATTTTCTGGAATGTCTGGAACTTGTTACCATCCCATTCGTAAATGACGGAGTCCGCTGGGATTTTAGGTATGAGATTGGGGAGCTGAACCCCTTGAGCGAGACCTAAAAAGTGTCGTCCCTTGATACTGAAATATCTCCATTGCTTTGTCGCAAAGGTGGCGATGCGCTGGAATTCGACAAAAGAGGTTCCATTCCACTCAAAAATTATTGACTCGACATCCATGTTATATGGACCTTGGCCAGAGCGCAGACTTGCGGTAGCTAGGAAGCTCCGACCGTCAATAGTGAAGAATTCGGCATCTTCACCACCAGGGACTGGCAACGTTTGGAAAACTTGATATTCCCCACTACCTTCGTGAAGTCTGTAGAGTAGCAGAGTAGTGTCACTATTTCCAAGATTCATGCCAACAGCGCCATTGGGGATGTCCTCCGCTAATTGAGGGATCGCCAAGTAGTGACGACCCTGTATCTCAAAGGCGGCAATAGCGCGAGCGCCAGATGTGCCCAAAGTTTGGACGAGTTGAAGTTCGACCTTGGTCACATTGCGTTCTCAAAATTGGTTTGATGAAGTCCGTAAGCAATGTCTTTCAGGTACAGATATTAATGCACTGGCCCTAGTGGACTGAAAGTGAAAAATACAGTTTTGAGTAGATTTGGATTTGTTTTGGCTGTTGTCTTATCGCAGGCGTACACATGGTAGCGATGCATCCGGGAAGTATAACCCACCTTATTCGCCCCAGCTCAGTATGTAATCTTCTCAAATCACGAAATTAGAGGCTTGGTGGCTGGGTATAGCGGGACATAGTGGCCCCTGACGGCTAGTGGCGGTGGGACACGGTCACAGACGGTCCATAGCGGGAAACGTCAGTCTTAGCTAGCTCCGTATTTGGTTGTGTACATTGTAAATGCGAATAAAACCATACACTTTCGTTGAATGCAATTATATATGTATTGGAAATGGACTGGAGCTTCAGATGCTGTCGAGTATTTCACTCGTCCAGGTCCAGAGTTTGTGAGCTACCTCTTCATTCATAGCCATCTTGTCCTTGCTTACGTCGCCGTTGCTCAATACTCCCACCGGCCTGTAGTATGCTCCGTTAACAAGCTCATTTCGGTTTGCTCCTGCAGCTGTCCATAACTGGTTGAGAACACCCTCTTCTGGCGTAAGGATGGAAGTGCCAAGGATGAAGTTTGAAACACGTAAAAAGGCGGAGTCTGCAAAAGATAGGCTGTTTACCAAATCTGTTTTCACAACTCCAGGGTGAACTGAGACTGCCATGATCTTCGGAAATCGACGCCCAAGTTCCGACGCATATACAAGATTCGCAAATTTGGATTGGCTATGGGGAATTTTGTGGTCAGCACGACTATCTCAATTTCCCAAATTTAAGGAGGTAAGGAAAGATGTGATGCTACCCGTATCTTAATAGCCAAATTGGCATTCCACCTTTCTCTGTTCGCACTTTATCATACGAGATGCCGCTGGGTGGGTGTCCTTTCCACCCTTCTGATGTCAGACACACGACTCGCACGTCAGAGTTCGACATCTCCGCAGTTCGCGTAAGAACTGGTAAAAGTTCATGTATAATCATGGCATGGGCCAAATGGTTGATTGCAAAATGGATCTCAAATCCATCTTTGCTTACTGCTGGAGGCACTGCCATAACACCTGCATTGCACATGAGGATATCCAATCGGTCATGTGCAAATTGACTGATGCCCGCCCGTACTGACTCAAGAGAACCGAAATCCATCTCTAGAAAAGTTAATCCCACACCTGAATTCTCTGCCTTGATGTCATTCATCACAGCGTCGGCCGCTTTTTGGTTACGACCAGTGAAGTAAATGTGCTCAGGGTCATGTTTTGCAAGAGCCTGAATGGACTGCTTCCCCAAACCGGCAGTTCCTGACGTACCAGATATAAGAAAATGTTCTCCAGTTATAAAGGGAGATGATATATTTTAGACATACCTCCAGTGACAAGGACAACTTTGCCGCTCAGAGACGGGATGTCTTTGTCAGGATTAAAGTTAGCAATGCCAGCGAGACGTGGCATATTGAAGAATAAACAATGAGTATGGTTAGATTGAGCGTGAAAGATGTTTATTTCGTGTGAGATGAGAGAAAGAACTCGCAATTTGCTTGTTACGCATATTATATAGTCCTCTGCGTTCGCAATTCCTCCCGGTGGATTTGGCTTCCACAGCCTTGGCATTACCAAAAAAGGTGTTAGCGCGTCACGGTCTTGCATTAGCCTAGGTAGTACTATTGCTGCTCACTGGCTATTCAACTACAGCTAACTATAACAGTGGGTCAATGGTTTATATTGAACCCTTGATATTTTTGGTTGTCCGGCACTGGCGGACTGATTTCCACCGTCTTCATTGCCTTCTATTCTTGCATCTTTGTGACAAGTATTCATCAGCACAACTATCGTCCCGAATGAATAACTGCAGACACAAACAGTACCGTCAAGTACCTACAATAGCTTCAAGGTATAGCCCACTAGTAGGCTCAAATGTTTAAAATTTAGGGCACTCCTGGTTTCATGTGCCAGATCTGACAAAAGTGATTTTAGATAGTTATGGACCGGGATGACTGGAGAGGAGTGACAGACCCAGCTGAAAGAAAGAAGCGACAAAATCGTCTCCGCCAGCGGTTAGCACGTAAGTATAGCGAGATTCTTCAATTCGGAGCTACCAAGCCAATGAAGGATATAACGAGATCTCACGCAGTTTATACAAACCATGCCACGCTGCTTAGTATGTGAGACTGATTCATAGCCAGGGGAGAAAAAAAAGACTGCCGCCTATGCAAAACTTGCGTCCAGCATCGATTCCTCTTGGAATGGTTTCGGCATTTTGATGTTTGGAGCCTTACAGTCACACAAGACTATACCTAGGAGCGAAGATCTCAGTATTTCCAATCATTTTCGACATGATTCACTCAAGATAAATCTTCGTGAATCATGTGACCCAACAACAACAACCTGGAAAATAGAGACACACATGGTTATACCGCCTCTAATGCTTTACACGACAGCCGCGACTTTTGGACTGGCAACCCCTCCTCTCATTTTCCCACTCAGCCCAGACCATTGTTTACTTACCATGGTTCAATACAACGTTCAACGTGCTTCGCTGCTCAATATGGCCGTTCTATCTCTTCTAGAGCATCTTCCACTAGAATGCGGGGGCACCATCAACCTTCCAAGCTTAGCCATAGATCCGCCTAGCTCCGTACCACCTGAGCTTTTGCCCACCACTTTGCAGAAATCCACACCTCATGCGTACTGGATAGACATATTCCCATGCCACGTCATGCGAGATAATCTGATTCGTCTTTACGGGCAATATGATACTCATGACCTGCAGCGTGATCTGGCGAAGAGTTTGTACGAAGGGTTTGTTGATGGAGAGCAACGCGGCTGTTTGGTTTGGGGTGAGCCATGGTCAGTCAACGGCTGGGAAGTAAGTGAAGGATTCGTCAAGAAATGGGGGTTTTTACTCAAAGGCTGCTCGGGTCTTCTGGCATCAACAAACCGCTGGAGAGAATCGCGAGGTGAAGATGGAATAGCGATAGAAATAGAAGAATAGTAATTATTTCCTCAGCGACTCATCCTTACCACTTGAGGGGGGCGATGGTTGGGTAATGTAGTTGCCCACAGTGGGTTCTGTTCATGAGTTCAGCCCCAATTGCCTTCTATCTATGGAACAAGATACAGGCAACTGGTGATTCGGATTTAATTTTGTGGATAGCTGGGGAATGCCTTTGTTATGTCCCAATTGTCTTACAGTGATGTGAGAAAGTATATACACTTAGATTCAGTATAGTTAAACCGCAACAGTAAACTACCTATTACATAGCATGTTAACTAAGCAGCTTACTCTCAAGTTATTTCTGTGATGGACCAAATTTGAACTCCTCGTATAAGGCACGGCCACCGTGAAATACTTCATCATCTCTGCCAGGCGACTTGATGGTAGCTGACAATGAGCCCAAGGTGCGGACGTAGTAGTCACCATCACTCGCAACGAACGCGCCAGTAGTCACATTTGCAGCCAAGGTTTCCCCATTACCTAATTCAAATGTTACTTCAATCCCCTGCATAGGTCCAGTGGATGGCAGTGGTGGATAGGTACTATTGGCACCCCACGGTCGCACAAACACAGATTTGTTTGCGCAGCTCGCTTGGGCTACGATTCCGTTTTTAGCCACGTATGCGGAAAACCTTTCGGCACCGTTAGGAGGAGTGGCATCGAACCATACGATCGAATATGGTCCGACACGTGCGTGGCCCCAATACCACGTCTCCAAATTGTCTGCCAATGGAGCAGTTCCCCAATTCTTATCGTGATATCCGATACCATCACTGAACTGCAGTTTCGTGCCGTTTATGACAAGATCCACCGATGCATAAGCGTCGGGAACAGCGTTAGCCCATCCAACATTTGGCAGCATCTCCTCACTCACGCCCGCAACATTCAACCCGCAAGGATACTGAGGTGGTGCAACCTAACTTCAGGTGAGCGAGAATTTCACAATAGATCGTCACCATTTGTGAAGCAAATCACAACAGGGAAGTAAATGGGAAGGGGATTATGCTTACTGAGTGAAGCGTGACTGTTCCGTATACACCGAGGCTAGGTATATCTATTGTTGTAGTATATGTTATCAATTCCGAGTCCAGACTAGTTGCTCGAAGACTGGCAAAAAGGTCTGGCTCAATATTCTGTAATGCCAGTAAGTGCTGTTACACCAGGCACCTGGATAGCAACACTAGGAACTGGATTCTTAGTGCTAGGATCAATAGTATACATCTTTCCTTGATCAAAGGTATTTAGCAGAAGATGACCACTAGGGCGTATGCCGATATTCTCAACCTATTGAGATGTATTAGAGAATTCCCAGAGTTGTCGAACCTTGGTGCCATAGGTAACATGGCTGATGCTTAGCAAAGTGAAGAAGATATTGAGGACGGATGGCATTTCCAAATATAAACGGATTGATAGTTTAATTGTGAGAGAAGATAATAATACTAAGAAGATGAGCAGTCAAACAGCTCTAATATATTCCCATTCATTCTATTCCAGGCATTTTCTTTTTAAATTATAAGTTATTTAATTCACATCTCAAGACTATTTATCATAAAGTGGACTAAATGACAAATAGAACTCTAAGCTAAGGGCTATATGATCAGTATATTCGTGAAATTGTATACCATTACCATACCCTACCATACTATGCCACACCATACTGTTGGTGAGAAGCCTAGAGTTTTGGATGAAAACTGGAGATGCATTGGCAAGGAGTACTCAGTAATTTAGAGTCATTAGCCATCCTATCTTTCCAAATATCCAGCTCATTTCAGCCCCTCTGTATTTTCAATCACCAGTCCCTTTTGACTTGCCAAGCAAAGCAGACATATAAAGCAATACAAAGTAGAAATGTCCACCATAGCAGGTTTAGGGTATACTAATTGCAGCCCATTCATCACCTGGGTGAATTTAAGCGTAATTTCTTCCTCTGCGCTTAGCGGTTCAGCGGACTCCTACGTAACGATTAGTCAGTATATTTGCGGAAAGTCGCATCGCGGTGACCTTCATAGCCATACTTGCCTATATGAATAGTAAGTATACTTCGGCGAAAATTCTCCTCACCCAAATAACAGGACAGCACCCACGCGTCATTGCCAGCTGGCTTCAAAATAATGATATCGAGGATGAAAAACAGTGGACAAATGGTTCAGAATGGTTCAAATTCGTAGAATCAGTATACAAAGACCGGTAAGTAGGAAATATCAGATATGCGATAGCGGCAATGGTATTCACACGATGACATCAACTCCGAGCGAATCTATTAGTTCAATAGTCGCAGTCAATAGAAGTATCGGATAAAGAATTGAAGGACGCATCGCAGCTGGTTACAAGCACAATAATTGGCGATAAACCAGCTGAAGATGCTCAAATAATCGATTGGGAACGATGCCGGAAGAAGGTTAGTACACACTTGACGCGTGGAAGAAAGTGGCATCGATTGGTGTAGACATTTGGATTTGGTATTTTGTTCTTTAATCCATGGTATTAATATGTACATATGCTAAATGTCTCGTTTACGAACGATGGTTAATTATAAAAAAGGGTACTTGCAAAAACTTCAACCGAAGTATTGGATGGTTTATTAAGGTGCTGTCAGATAATTATGATAAAATGGTTATCTTAACAGGCCTTACAGAACAGTTTACCAATCTTTTGACGAGTGGAAAAACAAACAAGCAACAATTTAATGAGTACCTGCAGCATAATACCTACTTGGCTGCTGACAATGAAAAGAAGAGGAAAAAACCTTGTGGTTTTGTGCTATTAGCTTGTAATAGCTCTGCTATAGGGCTAGAGAGGGCCTTCAGCATAGTGTCTTCACAAGTCGGAGCTTGCTTTATTGGTCTGTTTGCAGAGGCTGGCAGGATTCGAACCTACGACCTTTCTCTCTAGGTCCCCTGTGAGCTTAACCACTGCGCCACTCAGCCCCCGATCCATAAGGGTACTATGAAAAGATGAAGTGTTGACTCGAGGCAGGATTCAACTATGGAGGCACTGACACTGCTTTCTACAACGGTAAGTATTTTGCGGGCGTGCAGGATGTCGTTGTTGTTACGGTTAACTACCGAATTCACGTCTTCGGCTTCCCTGGAGCCCCAGGCCAACCTGCCAACCTCGGTCTCCGCTATCAGCACGTTGGGGTCGAATGGGTTCGAGATAATATTGCTGCGTTTGGTGGTAATCCTGAGAAGATCACTATCTTTGGACAGTCTGTCGGGGGTGAGGCAGTCGACTTTTGGGCCTACGCCTACAAGCAAGATCCCATTGTCAACGGCATCGTCGCCCACTCCGGCAACGCTTTTAGCCCCCCTCTCACGTTCTCTTAAATAACCATAGTAAATACCTCCGAGCGACCGACTTCCGAGACACTTTTTGGTGGGATGGCCAGAGCATCTACCCAGCAGCTGAGACAAATGTATGTCTTATATCTGTGAATAAGTGCTGGCAAGCAGGTGTCCCCATCATTTTTTGGGGTCAAATGCAGTAGGATAGAGAAAAATTAAATTGTTAATACAGAATTGTAAGTATGTATATGTGATAGGCATGAGGATTCTCAGACTGGCATGTGCTCTGCAAGCCATCGGGAAATGCGAGACCAATAGGGGCCTCGCAAGTATCTTGGGATCTAGCCGGCGGAAAAAAATGATGTAATGATGTATAACTCCATTCCACTCAATGTCATAAAGGTTGTGTATTAAAAAGTATATATATAGTCGATATATCTCCCGAGGATCCAGCTCGATCCCAACCTCCTTTAACTTGAGCCATACTCGACCTAAATCCATTTACTCATAACTATCTTCACCGAGTTGTTCTCAAAATGAAGCCTCTTTCGTACTTCACTGTGCTTCTCGCCGCCTCGGGAGTCAACGCCGTGGTCACTAATGTTCCTACGAAGGAAGTAAAATGCAGTAAGATATCCAAGCATAGAAGGCAAAGTAATAATGACTTATTTTCTAGGTGGCGTTAACCGTGGCTTCACGTCTAATGATATTACAAACGCCGGAAATGGCGCTCTCCAACACAAAGATAAACCTATTGGTAAGTGAAAGTCCTAGGATTTGTTCTTCAGCGGCGATTAGAAATGACTTACTCTGCTCTCTCAGGAGATCGGAAATACCCTCATATTTACTACTTCGATCGTCCTGACTGCGGCAGTGAACTATGGGGATTTCCGCTTATTTGGACGGTCCCCTACGGGGGAGGAGATCCTGGACTCGTTAGAAGTATTTTCACCTTCGTGAATGAAGGAGAGAATATAGTGGCAAGGTAAGTTCGAAAATGCCAATAACTCGAATCATGCGATTACAGCTAACCTCCAAAGGTATTGCGGTACTTACGCCCACAGAACTCGGCCCGGTGACAATGATTTTTACCGGTGCGACTGATACTGGCAAACTGCCTATAGCTTGACTTGGAAAACAGTAGTCTATGCAGTGCGACATATGAATGAAAAGTACTGGTTCGACTTTTTATAATGATGTATTGTCAATTACGTGACCTCATGTAGTAAGGCAAATGTGCAGCACTGCTACGTACTGAAAGACTAAAAGAGCTTTCTCGGTCGGCACAATGACCGCCACCAAGCTGGCGGGTCTCTCGACCCTCGTCTTCGTAGCCGAGCTGCGGACGCTCATAATCACCAACTTCCTCGGCGTGCGAGGGCACCATCGCCATCGAATTCCGACAGGTCTTTCCGCGCGCATTGACCTTCCTAGTAGGTGACAATGGCTCCCATAAGAGCACGCTCGTCAAGGCCATGGTTTGGTGCCAATTCGGCTGCCATTTGCAGCGGGCTGGCAGCCAACGATGTCGTTATCGACAATGTAGACAAAAACTGCTCCGTCATGCTGGAGTTCACCAGCGGATATGTCATAGCGCAGCAACCGACGTCAACGAACTGCGCGGCGAGCTGCTTGGCAGGGACTACGAGACGTATGTTAGGATGGCCGTGCTGAGCCACTACGGCCTGACTGAATACGACATGTCTAACGGCTGGCATGCTTGAACTCTCCGTTGGGATTGGCTGCGACTTCCGGATGAACAGCGACTTCTGGGCAAAGTTTGTCTTATGCTTGTTTCGATCAAGATCATCTCCGCGCTTGCGGCTTTTTTGCTTGACGATAGAACAGCACGATCGTTGCCGCAATGAAGGCGCATTCCGCCTGGTTGTTGCCTTTCAGAGCATCGGGATCTCTCTCTCGTCAATTGACACCACGGTATTGCTGCACGATGAAAATTAGACAGTCTGCAGCCGTGGGTTGGTAATCGGGAGGGTTATGCTGCTGTCGTGGTGTCTCGGAGATGCTCTTGACTAAGGACTGCGAACGAACGGCTATTTCGTACAATCAACATGAAACTGTTGCATGCTGTCTCACGCCCGCCCTGCTTCGCCGATGCAATCAAGCAGTTCTATAAAGAAGCGTGAGCAACAACGAGGACGAAATGTTGAAAGAAGCCGCGAAAAAAAAACATTGGAATCATGGGCTTTTTTTTATAGAGAAAAAGAAAATAGTGCCATGTCGGGAAGCCCAACCTTTGGCGTATCTACCGGCGTGATACAGAGTCGGTGGTGATACCGCAGTCTGAGGAGCATTTTCAAATACAGATACTTCATATTTATTTAGGTCAGGTCGCTGATTGGCTCTTTTTTTTCCAACCCAAACATCGCTGCGTGGCGGGTGACCAGATCTTAACATTGTCGAGCGTATATGGCCCACAGCGTACATAATGCGTGAGTTGGTAATATCCTGATATTCTTCCTGCTATTCTATCCAAGAACCTAATATACTCGAGCTTCATAACCCCACCCGCAGATCCGCGATTAGAACTCTGCTGCTTCGCTCTGATATTCTCAGCTGCTGCTAATGTTCTTTTTGTGTATGAACATTTGAACGAGCTGATGCGGTCTTGGATACCCTATGATATATTAATGCGATACGCTCTTCTGCATCTTTACTAATCTAATGAGATATTATACGTTCTCAATTCTTTCTTAGTCTTAGCTGAAATCCTCCTTCTTGGGCTGGCAGTTGAAGACGCCTCTGTAAGCCTCGGGGAAGACAAGCTTGAGTCATGAACCCTCTTCACTTTATTATTGTCTTCGGACAGTTGACAGGATTCTAAGCAGTAAGTTGCACCATCTATCAGGGTATTACAGCCGAGGCACGTATTATACGTCTATTTAAGGCGTGAGGATATATTTGGGTTATAGAATAATAATAGGGTTGGCATATTCTTATACTACTGACAGCAGGTGGGTATGACCGTTTCCCCTACCTTCTCTGCAAAAATAAACCTAAAACGGTGGAAATTTCCATGCAGTGACGCAAAGAGCTATTTTGCTCCTATCTGTGCTGGACGATATACAGAGATTTATTAGTATTACATTTCCTATAAAATCCCCTACTAATATATACTAAGGAGAAGATTAATACTTCTAAAATTAATGATCTAGGTGAATTTAAATTTTTTTATTATCTTTGTTATTTTTATAATATTTTATAATGCTTATGAAGGTACTTATACTTTAGTTAATTATATCTTTTATAAGTATATGTATAATAATACTCTTTAACTTTAATAACTGCTGGAAGAGACAGGGGAATATAGTGTCTACTAATCTGCAGTTGAAAAGTAGTTACTACTTAGAGCTTTGAGCCTTCTCCTGTTTGCTATAGAATGCCTTATTACCTCTGAGTTCCTTTAGCTCCTTCTTAGATTGCTCCTTAGACTTGTCGCTAGTGTTTACTTTAACTTTAGTATCTGTTTATAACCTGGTTGTAAGTAATTAAGATGAACTGGGGTTGGATAGGTTGGCTTTATGGCCGCGCACTATGTTGCTGATATCTTCGGGCTGCTTATGTATGTCCTTAAGGGTAGTATCTTTAAGATATTACGGGAATAATAATTGTTAGTTTATTAGTTTTATTATTAACGTCTACTAAGTAAACTAGTTATATAAGTCCTTATCTGGGCACTAGGATAGTAAAAGCCGCTGGGTTTAGATCTTAAGTTTGCTACGTTTTAATTTAATAAAGGGGAGGGGGAAAGGTGTTAATCTGTTTTACGTATCTATGTCCGTCGGGAGGGGGGTTATAGTATATCTAATAGTATTCGCAATATGGTAATACGTATTACTATATATTAATATTACTATATAATATAATATAGTAGCCGTATTATACCCTATATCCTTATATAGTTGCCGTATAATATTAGCACCCGGTATATGACTATATATGGCCGTATTAATGCTAAAACATAGTAACTTTTATGGCTTAATAAGTACAACAGAGGTTAAATATCTGCGTCTTTAAGGCACTATAGGTTAGTCCCGAAGGCGTTTTCCAGCTTGCGCTTCAGGGTTCCTTCCCCGGTAGCCCAGGCAGGGATCCTTAGCAGCAAAATTGGCTTAAATCTCAGGAGCTTATTCAAGCTCTCCTTTTTTTATTTCTGCTTCCGTTCTATTTGTATATAGTAGTCCCTTAGTCTATTGTTAATATACTTACTAAAACCGTTGTAATGTATTAATATAATGTTATTGCAACCTTCTGATATACTTTCGCAGCTTATAAGCAAGCTATTAGACAATCTTGATTCACTATGTTATAATCCTATACTATCCTCTTCTTCTATAACTACCTCAACTACTACGAAAAGGCGCTACTCAAAAGTATAGTACTATACACCTGTTGGCTGCAATAAGGTCACTCTTAATGCAAAGGGGAAGTTAATATAGCGCTGCAAGTACTACATAAAGGAGTATCTAAAGTCTAGTGGAACAACCGTTATTTTAGCGCACCTAAGGGACCGGTATAATATCAATATATCCTCTACTTAAGAATCCTACACTGCGTTAATGTAACTACTATCGTCGACGCCTTTAAGAAAGGCCAGCAAACCACGGATTATAAACGCCATTGTCTTTCCACAATTACAACTCACAATTTAGACCCCGCTATTCTTAAATAACTATATATACAGTGGATTACAACCTACAGCATCTCTTTTTATATAGCAAAGCAAGTAAAATTTAAGGCCTTACTTTACTTCCTAAATCCAGAGATCGACAACTGGCTCCTAAACTCTCCTTTAACTATACGCAGCTGGACCTGCGGATATACGAGACCCAGAAACTTCGAGTTAAACGCGAGGTCTAGTCAGCTCTCTCGAAAGTACACTTCACAGTAGATCTCTGAACTTCGCCTAATGCCCTTGCGATTCTTGGCATTATTGCACACTATACATCCGAATCTAGCCAGTTAGAATATTACGTTCTGGCCCTAAGAGAACTCAACGGTAAGCACTTGGGCCCAAATATAATAGACTGTGTTATCAAAGTTATTAACGACTATGGAATTGCCTTGAAAGTGGGCTATTTCATAACGGACAATGCAGACAACAATGGTATAATAATAAAGGCTCTTTCTACGCGTATGTACGCTATATGACCAGCTTATTTGTTATACAGCGGGGTTTTACAGACTACAATTCTTTTATAGCTTGTAACCCATACTAAGTGGCCTCTCGGGTCTGACACCACGGCTCCTACCGGCCTAGTGCCTAGATGAGGACTGTTGTAACTAGCGTACATAGTGGTCGTTAATAATAAAATAAATAAATAAACAAACAAACAAGTCTAAGTCAAGAGGTGCATACTGTAGTTTCTTAATAAATGACTGTATTAAGAGTACTATGTTGAGAAAGAAGGGTACGGTTAAACAAACAACTACATGATAAGGAGTGACTAGTGGTACACGCCTTATAAAAAGGAGATATAATATAAGTGCTACCTATAATGGCGTCCTTTAATGGCTCTTGATGGCAGGTAGCTTAGCTTTGCCTACTTCTGCCTAATTTTTTATTCTGCTGAGCACCTTTGGCTTTGCTGGGTAGCTAAAGACCGGGGTAGAATAAGTCCCGTCGCTGTTGTGGGTGATAGTAGTAATGGTCTGGCCTGGTTTGGCTATGGTAAAGTCAATTTCTAAGACCGTACCGAGGGTAGTAATGTTAACTATTGTCCCGGGGGAAAAGTTTCCTGTAGTGTAATGAACCGGGTCCTATAGGCACTATAGGTTAGCTGTTTCTAAGGGATAAACCTTAGAGTGGTTCTATAGTTTATGTTAGTGGAGCGATTAGGTTAGTAATAGGTAATCTTATTACCAGCTAGTAATATAAATAAGAGTAAATGTTTATGTTTTAATCTAATTATATTATAAACGCTGTAATAACAACTAACTATCTAAGTATTTTAATAAGTAATATAAAGTAAACTTATATATTTAGTTAACCTGGACTAGATTATTATATAGAATATCGATCTTTTCTTAAATTAATAAATAGTTTATTAATTTACTATTAAATTAAGAAGTTATATTTTAATCCTTCCCTAATTAGTTAAAGGATTAAAGTTAGTTTAGTCTAGACTAACTTATTAGCCTATTATTACAACCTTAAGAGCTAGGTTATAATATAATATCCCCCTCCTATTGGTTTTATCCTTAAAACCTTATTATATTTAGTATAAGTAGCTACTTCCCCTTATTTTTGTTAGTATTTTAGTTTTTCCCTTATCTTTATATATCTTTATTAATTATTATATTAGGTATTTATAAAAAATCTTATCCTAAGACAGAGTATTATAATATTTTTTTAAAAATTATTTTATCTTATCCTATTAAAATAAAAGACTATATATATTATTTTTATCACGACCCAGCTCTTATAGTCGCGACAAGGGGCCTACAGGGTAGGTACTCCCAGATTAACGTCAGGCCACGCAGCCAATTAGAAAGTAGTCAACGGGAATTAACGTTAATTTTAATCAACGTAAGAACGAATTAATTAAGATTATAAGCGATTTTACTTAACTTTAGAATATACAACTGGATATATAAGTTTACTTTATATTACTTATTAGAATACTTAAATAGCTAGTTATTATTATAGCGTTTATAATATAATTAAATTTATCAGAAGCCAGGTTAGTAAAAGAGAGTAAAGAGGGATAAGGGATAATCACAGGTAGCTACATAGTAAATACACAAGCTTAGGGTAGCAAAGTAACTGTATTTATCTCTGCCTCCCTTAATTCCTTCCCTAGATTTTAGGTCTTTTATAGTATTATTACTAAGCTAAGGGCTTCGCAACCCTTAGCTCGTACCCCCGTAACGTAGCTGGTACGCAGCCGTTACGCAACCGCGCCCTCTTTAAATAAGCTCTAATATATTACCCTTCCTTCCGAGGCACCGCCCCAGTACCTTTAACAATATTCCTTTTCCCAACCTCGTAACTAATCCCCTTTATTAAAGGTATCGCCTATGCAAAAGCCTTAACGTAGTTTAAGCTTTATACTTGCTTTATCCTTACTATAAACGTATTACTATTTTAGGCCCTTCCTTTATACTCCTAAGGATAAATATAAACAGGAAGTTAAATATAGTAATAGTTCCGTAATACTTCTTTATTGCCTTTATAACCCAGAGTAGCTAATACTTCTTTATAAGGAATAAAGGGGTAAAAAAGGATATAAACCCACCAGAATTCTAATATAGTAAAGGTAAAGCATTATTAATCTTACCTTCAATCACCCTCGCCTTCGCTACCTAAATCCTACGTTATATTAACTTACTTACCCAGTATCCTTACAAAGGCCAACTTCTTAAGGGTAGTCCAGTATATTTAACTCCTTTCCCTTATATTAGCCCTATAACTAACCTATAAATAAAACTATTCCTTATTATCATTACCTAGGTCATATATATAAATAAACAGCTAAGAGTTAACCTCTACTTTACACAAATATAATAAATTTATTATCACAACCCTTCTATATTAAATCCTCTTCTAATTCACCTCCTAAATACCAGCCCCAAGTACGCAGTATATATTTACAAAAGCTATAGGAAAACATATATTCCTATTCAAGCCTAATATTATTAGGCTGCGTAGTTATTATTAGACGTACTTCAGCAAGCCTAACTAAACCTAGTATATTATTACTCCTTTATTATAATTATTATTCTAACTTACAGCAGGCTATTATTAGTCCGCTGTAATAGTAATATAAAAAAGCTCTTCGCAGTACTAATAATACACTTACAACTCCAGCAGCAGTCGCTACTATAGTAATCGCAGTAATTACTACTCCCAGGATATTAGGCACTACCTTAGCTCACCGTTAAACACAAGCTCATAATATTACTAATACAAAGACGCAGTTAAATATTACAAATTCTCTAAAGTTAATAAATACTATACTCTCTATTTTCTTTTTAATATATTTCCTTAGCCTTTATAATATTCTTATTACTAATCTATCTCCTAGGAGCAGCTTAAGAACCTTAAGGGTTACTTAGCTAATAACCTTCCTACCGTACCAGCTTGCAAAAGTAAGGTAACTTAAACTAATATTATTATAAATAAAGGTATAATAGTTATAGATAATAATATAACTAGTAATACATAGTAGTATTTATTTATTATAATTATATACATACCCCCTCTTTATAACGCAGTCTCCGCGCTATATAGTAAAGTAATAATATTATTTAATTAACTTATTTTCTTTTATAACTTTAAGCTTTTTATATAACTACGTGCCAGCTGCAATTCACTCTCGCTTCACTCTCGCTTCACTTTTCCCTCTAAGTCGCTTTACCACCCCAGCGAATTAAAATCCTATAACCGCAGCTAGTATAATAAATCCTATTTATAACTGCAGCCTTTTCTTCTTTTCTTTCTTCTTTATTACCTTATAATACTAAAGTTAGCGCCTTCCTTCCCTTTTGCAGTACTTCTCTAATGTTCCCGTAACTAGGTATTCTTCTTAATCTTCCTCATTCTTACTGATCTTATTTTTATTTCAGCCTACTTAATCTATTGCAATACCTTATTAATTAGACGATAAATATAAAGCTGCAGAACAGCAAGCGCTTAATAATCAGCTCTTGTCTCCTCGTAGTAGTTCCTTTTTAATTAATCTCCTAGCCTTAACCTCGCTTTTGCAGCGTTTTAAAGACGCTGCTGAAGCTTCAGACGTATACGTTCGCACTACCTTTAAGCAACCTATTCGTTAAACCCTAAAACGTAAGCGTACTCGTACGCCTCGTACGCTAAATAAGAATAACTCTAATATTAAAGAACTATCCTTACCTCCTCCTATCTTTACCTTAGCTAACGTTACTATTCTTAGGACGTAAGTACTACATTACCGTTTCTATTTCTCCGCTAACTTACAACAGCCGTAAAACACTATATTACAAATATTTCCATAATTTTACTTTCTATACTAGTAAGCTAAATAAAAATAATAAGGAACCTCCTCCCTTAGCTATATACCTTAATATTTAAAGTATATTTCCCAGTTACTCCTTTACTATAATAAACTAATAAGTTCTTTAAATAATTTAAGTAAATGTTAGCACTACTAGCTTAGTTACAAAGGCTGCTTTTCTATTCCTAATTCTTACATTAAGGTTACCTAGGAAATATAGTAGACCTTCTTATAGTTTCCTAACGTAAGGTACTCTCCCCTTCGTTACTTATTTAATACTAACTTACATAAGAACCATTCATTAGTCTACAGCTCCTAGTATAAAAGAAGCTTTTAAAGTTTTGTATCCGTAATTTAAAATCCACTAGTCTAATATATAGTACTTCTCCTGCTCCCTTATTACTAAGTTAGTACTAAAACCTGCGTTCAGATTCGCAGCTTTACATCTAGCTAAATATTATAAATTTACTACGTATAATTATAGTAATAATATCTTAATTAGTAAATATTCCTTTCCCTTTTATATTAACTACCTCTAATCCTATCTAGGAAGCACCTCTTTTTATAGACGTACTAAATACTTATAGTTATCTTACTTTATTTTCAGCTATCCTCTAAAGTAAGGCTTTATAAGCTAGTATTACTATCCCCTATTCTACTATTCCTATTCCTAAAGATATTATATTTAAAGCTACCCTCCTCTTAGCAGCTACTTACAGTATTAATACTACTATAGCGCTAGCTTAAGGTAGTATTAAAAATACACCTTCTTTTACCAAAGGTAGTAATAATAATAATAAAAAGAATATTATTAATAAGTAATAGTAGTTATTCTTTTGTAATAGGCTTATAAACTTACTATTATATATTTATATTATTTAGCTTATTAATTTACTATATTTAGCTTTATATTTAGTATTAAAGGTAAAAAATACCCTGGAATTTACTTATTACTATATAAGTCTATAGTTAACCATAGGAATTTACTTACGAAATATAAGGTCATTATATACATCCTACTGCTTTATTTTAGTCCTATATTACCATTCCTTTTTACTAACACTCCTTTTCTACATTATCTACCTTACTATTCTAATACTACTTTCAGCTTTACAATACTATACTAAGATTCCTACCTCCGGCTTATATATCCATCACCTCGTACCTACTATAATATTACTATTAAAGTTACCATCTTTACTTTTAGATTACTATTAATCCTAGTGTTAAAGTACCCGTACTAGCAGCTATACTAGTATTAATACTAGTATCTCGCCCCCGAAGGTTATATTTATACTGTAGTTTCGCTATAGTAATATATGTTAAAGCCAACGTCCGCATAGCCATTGCTATATTAAGGTCACTGTCTAACCATCTAGTTAGGCATCTATTAGAGCGTCTAGTAGTATCTCCTATGTACTAGGGCGCTTATACATAGTCGTTATATAGTTAATTCTACGATTCTACAAAGGCGGCTTTATACTCCTGTAATATTATCCCGTCTATAAAATCGGATTTCTTTATCTAGGTATTTTCTTTATCGAGGTACCCTTTCTATTTAATATAATACAACTGCCTTCTACTATTATATTAATAGGAAACAATCTTCTTAACTTTATATATTATATCTAGTATAAAGGGGTAATCTAGCGGTTCCGTTAATACACTATCGCAGCTTTTAAATTCTTTAAGGTTTATAATATTAAAAATATTATAGATTTTAACTAATAATAGAAGCTGTAACTAGTATACGAGGCCGCTGTCGCCTACGATGCGTTCAATCTGGTACGGTCCCGCGAACTTTTCGGCGAGTTTGCGAGTTGGTCTCCGCAAGTTCAAATGCTTCGTTGAAATAAGAACCCAGTCGCCGACTTTAAACTTCTTCTTTATACGGCCTTTATTATACTACTTCTAGTAGAATTCGCTAGCTTTCTATAGCATTTGTATAGCTACCTCGCGTATATCCTACATTTCTCAAACTTACATAATAGTATCGTTATTTATATACGGTAGTTAAATCTAGCTAGCCAACGGGGCCTTTAGTTAAAACCTATAAAGTAGTAACGCAGGAGTCTCGCAGATTACTAAATACTATATTATATTATAAGTAAATTCCACCAGAGGAAGTTTATATATCTAATCTATCTAGTCTTTATTACAGAAGGCCTAAAAGTAATATTCTAAGTTCTAATTCTACCTCTTAGTTTAATTATCTATTTAAGGGTAAAATATAGTGCTAAGTCACCGTTTATATCCTAGGAGGTAGCAAAAGCTTTACTAAAACACGCTAGTAAACACTAAACCGTAATCTAATATAATTCCCCGTGGTATTCTATATAGGCGAAATACGTAGCAAAGGAACTTATTTACAAGTCCTTTACTATTAATATTCTTTAAATATAAAATATATAGCGTATACTTTATAAATCGGTCTATAATAACCAGGATAGCGTTATACTTACGCCTTTTATACTTAACCTCCGGTAACCCAGTAATAAAGTCCATTAAGATTTCTTTTTAAAGTTCCATTAGTATTAGTAACACTGCAAGCTTACTATATAGTAAGTACTACCTTACCTTTATTATCTAGTAAACTATATATATATTAATATAATTCTTTATATCTCGTTTTATACCTTGCTAAAAGTAAATATTTGTAATTTACATAAGGGTTCTTCTAACCCCCTAGTGCCCCACTATAGGATTATTATAAAATAGCATTAGGACCTTAGTCCATATTCCTAGAGGCATAAAGGTTCATCTTTTATAGTAAAGTAGTTAATCATCTCCTATAAACCAGTTGCATAACCTCTGCCCGTCCGTAGTTATTTTTTCTTCTACTTCTCTTTATAGTAACTTCGTAGTTAAAGCGTCCTCCTTCTACGCTTAAAGTAATACTTTAAGAAGTATTTATTAAACTTCCGGCAATATTACAGCAGCGCTCCTCTAAACCACTTACTTAATTACAGTCGAAATCCGCGAGGACATATACCAAAGGCAAGCCACTTACTTTATAATTAAAACTCTCCTAACTTAGTAAACTAAATTAAAGCGTAACCTTAATTCTAAGTCGAAATAAAGACCCTAGGGTGTATAATTATCTAAGGTTCCGTCTAGTCTAACTATTTTAGCCTCTATTTACTATTTATTTTTAAATCTCCCTAGGAAATCTAGTAGGTAACTATAACTTAGTTCCTCCTTTACTTCCTAGTACCTAAGATCTACCCTTTAAGATAACTTATCCGCGGGGTTAGCCTTTCTAAGTCTATATTTAATAATAAAGTTAAAGGGTAATAGCTCCTTTAACTATAACACTTACTTATTAAACAGCTTCTTCTTTCCTATAAAATAGCTATAATTTAGATAATCCATTAGGATTTATACGGGGTAGTCTACGTATACTACGTAGTACCGCTATATTTAAAACACTTCTACAATAACTAGTATTTTAGCATTAGGTATAGCATAGTTCTATTCAGGCCCGTTAAGCTTTCGCAATAAATATACAATAGAGTACTAACTATCTCCCTATAGCTGCAATAGGATAACACTAATTATAAAATTTAAAGCATTAGTTTTAATTCGTAGCTTAGCTTCTAAATTAAAATATACTAAAACCAGTGCTTTAAGGAACTTCTGCTTTAGCTATTTAAATACTACTTTCTTATCTTATCCTAGTAAAAAGTTCCCCTTATTCTTCCTATAAGTTATATTTATTAATAAGGCTATGATCTTACTATACCCCTTAATAAACCTCCGGTAAAAATTTATAAATCCCAGGAATAATAGAATTTCTATTATATTTTAAAAAATCAGCTACGCTTTAACAGCCTTAATACAGCTGTACTTTATATAAATTCCCTTTAAGCTAATTATAAACCTTAAATAAAAGACTATATTTATATAAAATTTACACTTCTATAGATTAGTATACAGGCTATATTCCATTAATTTATTAAGGACCTATTAAACATACTCCTAGTGCTCTACAAGATCGCTGCTATATATTAAAATATTATTAAAGTATATAATATAGGTATAATCTACTAACCTACGTAGTACCTAATTAATATAGCTTTAAAAAGTAGCAGGGGTATTTATTAACCTAAAAGGTATTACTTAATATTTAAAGTAGCCGTAGTGGCAGTAAAACGCTATCTTCTATTTATCCCCTTTGCAAATATAAATTTAATAGTATGTATTTTTAAAGTTAAGTTTTATATATACCTTCGCTCCCTTTAGTCTATCTAAGATCTTATGGATTAGCGGCAGTAGGGCCCGGTTTTTATAAATAATCTAGTTTAATGCGTAATAGTTAACGTAAAGGCGCAGCTTACCTCCTTTCTTAAGTATAAAGAGTACTAAAACGCCTGCGGGGCTACTTAATTATTTAATCTATCCTTTTTATTCCGCTTTACGGAGGTATTCTTTAAGGACTTTTAGTTTACTATCTGCAAAGGAGTAAATTAGTCCCTACGAGGGCGTTATCCTAGGTTTAAGGTCTATTACGTATATTAGTCTATCAAGGGGCGTAAGTTTAGCTGCAGCCTTCTTATTGAAAACCTTTGTATATTTGCAGTATTTAGGGGGAAGTTCCCTTGTTTTTTCCTTATTACTATCTCCCGGTGCTTATTTATGCTCTTTATATAAGTAGAGCGGGTATTGGGTGTATTTTATTTTCGGGTCCTTACTTTCTATTAGTTTATTCCGCGCTAGAACCATTTACACCTTAGCTTCCTTATCCTACTTATAAACTTACTTCTTTAAAGTTATAACTTTAAGGTTCTTAGCAGAAATATAATAATACTACGTTTTATTCTTAAAGTCTAAAAGGGTATTTAGCGATTTATACTATAGTTTCCCTAGTAGTATACTTAAATTTAAGTCCGCTACGATAAAGAAGGGGACTTAAAACCTCTTCGTTACTCCTTAGTTATCTATTATCTTATATAACTTTATTATTTTCCTATAAACATCGCTTTTACAGTCCCCTGTAAATAGGGCAAGGTCTATTCTATATAGTAGAATATCCTTTAGTTATATAAATCGCTAGTATATTACGTTAACGTTACTGCCTTTATCTAGGATAAAGGTTACTTCTACCTATTTATTCCCAGTTTTTATCCTAGTTTATTACTTAAAAGTAGGGCTTTACTCCTTAACTATAATAATAGGTATTAACGGAGTAGAAGTACCTCTATTACATCCCTACACCCTTCTTACAGCTAGGATAAAGTTTACTTTAGTAGGTCCTTTTTTATTTACAGGGTTATTATAGTACTCTATTATATACCGTTAATCTCCGTACTTTATATAATTAAGTATAACGTAGGTATTCCTAAAATAAGCTCTACTGTATTTCCAATAGATTAATCCTATTACAGGGCCGTTGCTGTTCCTATTTAACTTCGTTAAGGTATTATTATAAACGGGCTTGGGGTTAACTACAGATATCTTTTACTAGTAAGTACTCTATACTTTAAATAGGTTATATTATTCCTTTAGTACTTGGGCACTTTAACCATCCAAGGGCCTATTTTAATTATTCTAATTTATCGCCTTTACCCTAATCCCAGTACTACGGAGTTCTTACTACGTCGCAGGGAGTCTAAGACTAATAATTCCTCTTTATATATAGTAGAGGCACTTATTAACTAACCAGGGAATCTAAAAAATATTAAGGAGTTATCCTAGAATTTTACTAAGAATTATTTTAAACTTCCCTATAAAAACCTAAAACAACTTACCCTCCTACTAATAAAAGCAGTTTAGTTATACAGTTGTATTAAAGGCGCAGGTAGTCCTATTATTAATATTATCTTTATACTACTTTATATACTATTTATATATAAGGTTAATATAAAAGCGTTAATATTCTTTAGTCTAGAACAGGGTCTATTAACACTTTATATCCCCTGCAAAATAACTACTAGTATACTAGATTTTATATGCATCCTTTTTAAACTAGTCCTTTTTAAGGTTAAATTAGTTACTTAAGTATGTAAGGTACGTCTACAGCTCTATTTAGTCTTACCCCTTAAACTTAGGGGTTAGTATTTAGATCTTTCCCTATAAGTTAAAGCAGATTTATTTTAGTTCTGCTTTAGAGTCTTTACCTAGAAGGCTAATATTAAAAGTAAGGTCCTCCCCGTTTTTAATTACTTATAAATACTAAACTATCTTTCTTTTCTTCTATGTTTTAACCGCAGCTATAGTATATTCTCGCAGTTCCTTTAACAAAAAGGATTTAAGCTAACTTAGCTCAGGGGTCTCTCGTTAAAGGAAAGTTGCAGTACTTATTTATAAAGTCACCTACAGAGGGGTTTACAGTTATGTATATAGTTAAGTCTACGGAACCGCAGCCTTACAGCTACTGAATTATAATCTATATAAATAAGTCTCGTTGGCAATTATCCTTATCCTTAACAGTCCCTTCGCCCTTTATAGGTAGAGAGATAAACCTATTAGAAGCTGGGTTAGTAAAAGAGAGTAAAGAGGGATAAGGGATAATTATAGGTAGCTACATAGCAAATACGTAAGCTTAGGGTAGCAAAGTAACTATATTTATCTCTGCCTCCCTTAATTCCTTCCTTAGATTTTAGGTCTTTTATAGTATTATTACTAAGCTAAGGGCTTTACAACCCTTAGCTCGCGCCCCCGTAACGTGGCCGGTGCGCGGCCGTTGCGCAACCGCGCCCTCTTTAAATGGGCTCTGACAAAATTAGAACTTAGATATCTACTTTTATTTATATTACTAGCTAGTAATAAGATTACCTGTTTACTGACTTAATTACTCTACTAACATAAACTATAAAACTACTCTAAGGTTCGTCCTTTAGGAATAGCTAACC